GGGGGGGAAGGAGAAAGCGTACTCCGTTCAAGTAACCGTCGGAGAAGAGACCAGCACCGCAGGCAATCACCGGCCAGGAACGCTCCCAGCGGGACTTGGGGAGGGCGTCAATGGGGATATCATCGACGTCCGGCGCCTGCAGAGCCTCGGGATGCTTTTCATAGTCGGCCTGGGCAGCCGCAGCGGGGCTGGCGATTGCGTCCGACATGACTGTAGAGGCGCAAAGAGGGCGGAGTTGTTGTTGTTGTTGTTGTTGTTAGAAAAGAAAGCCAGAGTTGGTTTGGGGGGGGCGGGGAGGGGAGCTTCTTATATAAAATCCAGCTTATCTTGAGAGGCAGGCTATAACAGAGCAATCAGCCATACAGAGTCGGCGCCTACATACTACCGCGCACATGGAAATTGGTATGAGCTACGAAGGGTCCATTGCTGTTATCAAAGGCAAAGGCAAAAAAAAAAAAAAATATCAAAGAATTGCAACACGGCTGGCCTAGCGCTGGCTGGCGGCCACTCAGCGCCGGCAGAGTCGGCCCCAAGACCCGCGGCGGGCACGCCGACACTTGCATGCAAACCTTAGAAGAGTATAGAAATGCATGAAAATTTTCGTCCCCACTGGTTGGCTGGAGATATTCAGGTAGTGTTAGTGAACTAACTATAACCAACTAGTAGTTAGCAGTTATATAATATAGTTACAGGATAAGGAACTGCAGAGAAGATATACGAAGGCTGCTCCACTCCTGACTCGCCTGACAAGCCTCTGCTGTTAAGGTGCTGATGCAGACACAGATCATGCTATCGCTGCCATAGTACGGAGATACCATGAGTCGTAGTTGATTTAGTTAGCATTATTAACCTGTTTTGTTTATGTATGCCATACAATGTATGTATGTATGTACGTAGAGGCGACGATTCTGAGCTAAGCTTTTTAGGGCTCGGCCCGCAAACACGGAATCCCCAGACCGACGCAGGCCTTTTTTTTTTTTTTTTTTTTTTTTTTTTTTTTTTCCTTTTCTTTTTCTTCCTTCCATGTGTTTCTGCTCTGGCCAGGCCAATCACCGCTGCTTCTGCGTGCACGAGACAGTGAAGCAGGAGCTTTGCAAACATCGACAGATTTCCAGGCGGTGGATCTCTTAATTTCTCACATGCTACGTCGTCAGCGTGCGTCTATATTAGTATATAGACTCTGCAACAGCATTGCTACTGTGCATTCCAGTCCAGGAGTCGGCTGCAGCCACGTGTGTATGGAACTACAGTCCCTGCCTGAGTCTTATGATGGTATGCAAGTAAGTACGTATTGGAAATAATATTCGAAGTGGAACGCCGAAGAGGTCGTGTGCACGTGTTTCGCGCTTGCAGTGGCTGCGAGTCCTTTCCAGGGACCATGAGTTTTAGTATCACTATAGTATAGTTCAAGCAGCTAGCTACCTGTACATAGCTCGTTGCATGCGAGTGCATGCATCAAGCCTTCGGAGCGTGTAGCGATGCTGACCGTCGTGTGAGCATGAGCACGAGGCGAGAAATTGCATGATCGTAGTGGTACATTATGGGACCACGCTCGCTCCGATTCCATTGTGACTTGACCTGAGAATATCGTCGAATAATGAATGTATCATTAATGGATGAATGCATGTCATGATTCGTTGCGTGGAAAGGTGAAGCAGAAGAGCAAGCCGGAATGGAAAAACAACTTCCCGCAGAAGCTAAGCTCCAGCCTGAGCTCTGCCCATCATCACCACCACCACACGTCGAGACTCAACAGTCCACAACAACAACCGCATCCAACCGCCTTTTGCTCCCATCTCCATTCGCCTCTGCCCGGGAGCCCACCAGCTAGCCACGCCTTGTCTGCCCGTCATGGCCGATCCGCAATTCGCCAAGTATCCCGACCTGTCGCTCGCCCAGGACATCTTCAACCTCTCGAATCAATCATGTGCCGATACCGTGCGACAAACCTCGTTCAAGAGACTGCAGAATGCCATCTCCGAGCATAAGATGGCCCCTCTCTACCGCCATCTCGCTCACCCTACCGAAGGTATCTTGAACAACTCAGGCGAAGGTGTTCCGCAACAGCCATCCACAAATGGCGCCACCCGACCCGTCATCACATCCAACCTGCTTCCGGCGCGGAATTTATCGCAAAAGATCAACTTCACCTGGGACGAGAAGCTATATGACACTTTAAAAGAGGATAATGGAAAGGAGCTCGAGTCGTATCAGAGGGAGGAGGAGGAGGCCGCTGAAGCTGCCGGCGACACCGAGGTGCTCGCGGCTCAAGGCAAACGTGCAGAGTTCTGGGCTCGAGTGGGCGACAAGGTATAACTTTCTTTTTCTTTTTTTTTTCCCCCTCACATCCAGACTTGTGCTGATCCAATCAAAAGGACAAAGCTATTCAAACCTACGAAGCCGTGTTGGAAAAGACGAGCATCTTGGGCACAAAAATCGACTTGGTCTTGGCCATGATTCGCGTTGGGTTGTTCTTTGGCGATAAGGTGTTTGTGAAGAATACAATAGAACGTGCAAATGCACTTGTCGAGAGCGGCGGCGACTGGGACCGCAGAAATCGGCTCAAGGCCTACAAAGGTCTCCATCTCCTCACCATTCGTTCCTACAACCTAGCAGCGCCCCTCCTCCTCGATAGTTTATCCACTTTTACGAGCTACGAGCTATGCAGCTATTCCTCCCTCGTCATCTACGCCGTTCTCGCGGGCTCCCTGTCCCTCAAGCGGGTCGACTTCAAGGCCAAGGTGGTCGATGCTCCAGAAATCAAGGCCATACTCGGAGAGGGGGAAGAAAGGGTATCAGCGCTGACCGGCGCTATCTCTTCGGGGCCTGGTGCTGGGGACGAGGAAATGAGTGACGTCTCTAGCACCACACCTGCGACAGCCTCCACAGCTGTCAACCTGACCACTTTGGGGGCTGGGTCTGGCGCCCAGGCAGAATCGGAGCGGCCCATTGATTTCTCGGGGCTTGCCAATCTTGTGAGCAGTTTGTACAGCGGCAACTACCGGTTGTTCTTTATTGCGCTGGCCTCGGTGGAGGACAGCTTTCTCAGCCAGGATCGCTATCTGTTCGAGCACCGTGCCTGGTTTGTGCGTGAGATGCGGCTACGGGGATACCAACAGCTGCTGCAGAGCTACCGGGTTGTGGGCCTGGAGAGCATGGCAAGCGCCTTTGGCGTCTCGGTGGATTTCCTAGACAAGTATGAATCTCTGTCTGCTCTGTGTGCACAAGCTTTCGTTCTAACCCACCATTTTCTCGTCGTTCTAGGGATCTTGCCAAGTTTATCGCCGCAGAGCGGATATCCTGCACGATGGACAGCGTGAACGGAGTCATCGAGACCAACCGGCCAGACGATAAGAACAAGCAGTACGCCGACCTGGTGAAACAGGGCGACGCGTTGATTACCAAGCTGCAGAAGTATGGACAGGCCGTGAGACTACGAGGAAGCGAGCGGAGCTAGTGTGCATAGCCTGGTGTCATTGTAGTTAGTTGCAATATGATCCCTCGATAGAAACCTCTTCAAGCGCCTATGCTTGACTCTATTTCTCCGATTATATAGAGACTGGTAGAACTGTAGCCACCCGTGCGGCAGCCAATCGGAGAGCGCGAGCCTCCGCGGAACGGCTATCGGCAACCAATCAGCGCGGTTCCTGAGAGTGACTTTGCGGTGACCGAATGAATGAGAGAGATTGGTCTTTTTTTTTTTTTTTTTTTTTTCTTTCTCTCTTGAGCAGCCATCTCAGTTCTCATACACCTCGCGCAACAAGAGAAGAGGACGGCAGGCTGCGAAATCAGAAGAGCAGAGAAGACCGCAGACAACAAACACCATGCCTGCCTCTGCCCTCCGGCTCCTGGCCGGCTCCCCTTCACGATGTGCCGGCCAATTTCTGCAGACGCGCGCTGCCTCTCGATCTTTATACTACTACTCTGCGGGTACGAACGAAGCGTCGTTTTAGCTTTCTTTTCTGCTTATTTTCCTGCTTATTTCTCTGCGTTGTCCGGTCCACTCGTTGCTCCCTAACCCCACACCTTAGGCCAGCGTCAGGCGTGAAGACGGCGCACTACTCGTCCGAGAAATCCTCGTTGCGGTTGTGCGCGGCGGCGGGGATGGTGGCACGATGTGGTCCCTCTTCGTTTTGTCTCGTCTATATGTATAAACAACTGCATGTTATATTCTATTATCATAAAACCGAGCCTTGACAATTCACGCGTTGCATATAGGCAGACAATACTCCTCGACCACCATCCGCAGAATGGCCACCCAACGTCTCACAATCGACAACATCCGCCCCGAGGTCCGAGATGCCCAGTACGCCGTGCGTGGAGAACTAGCCTCCAAGGCCGATGAGTTCCGCGAACGCCTGGAAAAGGGCGACAAGTCCCTGCCGTTCGACAAGGTCATCTTCGCCAACATCGGCAACCCCCAGCAGCTCGACCAGAAGCCCATTACCTTTTTCCGCCAGGTACTCAGTCTGCTCGAGTACCCCGCACTGCTGGAGCAGGAGGACGCCCTGAAAGCCGCCTTTGGATACAAGCAGGACGTCATCGACCGAGCGAGGACGCTGCTCAAGGGCGTGCAGACTGTCGGTGCCTACAGTCATAGTCAGGGAGTGCCCGCGATCCGAGAGAGTGTCGCCAAGTTCATCGAGCAGCGTGACGGGTTCGCGACGGACCCCAAGAACCTGTTTCTGACTGGTGGCGCTTCCTCCGGCGTGAACACTCTGCTGAATGTGATCTGCGCGAACAAGTCGAGCGGTGTTCTGGTCCCGATTCCGCAGTATCCTTTGTACACCGCTACGTTGGCTCTTTTGAATGCTCACTGCGTGCCATACTATTTGGAAGAAGGCAAGGCATGGGGTACGGATGTGAAAGCCATCCGGGATTCAGTCTCCGCTGCGAAACGCGATGGCATTGACGTCCGCGCCATTGTGGTTATCAACCCTGGAAACCCTACTGGCGCAAGTCTGAGCCCCGACGATATCAAGGATGTTCTCGACCTCGCCGTCGAGGAGAACCTGGTCGTCATCGCAGACGAAGTGTACCAGACGAATGTGTTCATTGGCGAATTCACATCCTTCAAGAAGAGACTGGGCCAACTGCAGCAGAAATTCCCAGGCAAATACGACAACGTCGAGCTGGCCTCGTTGCATAGTGTGTCCAAGGGAATGGTGGGCGAGTGCGGTCATCGTGGGGGTTATTTCGAGCTGGTCAACTTTGACCCGGAGGTTCAGGCTCAGATTTACAAGTTCATTAGCATCATGCTCTGTCCCTCTGTCATTGGACAATGTCTGGTGGAATTGATGGTGAATCCCCCTAAGGAAGGCGAGCCCAGCTACGAGCTATATACCAAGGAGTACAACGGCATCAAAGATGGACTACAACAACGCGCGACAGCATTGTACGAGGCCTTCCAGAAGATGGAGGGAGTTGAATGCCAAGAACCACAGGTTTGTTTACCCCCCTTTTTTTTTTCCGTCACTCTCGGTTTCTTATTTTCTAATCAATTTATCAGGGAGCCATGTACCTCTTCCCGACCATCACCCTTCCGCCCAAGGCCCTCTTAGCTGCCGAAAGCGCCGGCAAAAAGCCAGACGAATTCTACTGTCTCGCACTGCTAGATGCTACGGGCATATGTGTCGTGCCAGGCTCTGGATTTGGTCAAAAGGAGGGCACGCTGCATTTCCGCACGACGTTTTTGGCGCCGGGCACTGAGTGGGTGAATCGGATTACGAAGTTTCACGAGGAATTTTTTCAAAAGTATAAGTGATTCCCCCTCTGTTTTCTCTTCATCTTCTCCTTTCTTTTTTTCTTTCTTTCTTTTTTTGAAATAAGATGTGCGGAGTATTAGTGTACATAGACATTGCTAGATTTGGTACACCTATCCGATATGTTGCATTCCTATACCTTGGGATGTATCTCCGAAACCTAAGATGGGAATTTTTTTAAAAAAAAAATCATAATCTCTCTAATTCATATATTATTAGTTTGGCCTCCATGAGGTTGTTATAGACCCAATAATGTTTGCGTTTTTTTTGTGCATGAGCCTTGTTTCTTTTGTAGGTATACATACACGCATGGACACCAGAAATCCAATACGCACGTAAGTGGTATTTGGAAAGTGTTTGTTAGGGAACAGCTCCATGATTAACAGTGTTTCATTCTGATCTATCTAACTACTAGGAGCTTTGATAACCTCCTCGACGCCCCTCTTCCCAGACCGCACAGCACCCTCCATATAACCTTTCCATTCATAAGCAGTCTCGGTTCCAACGAAATGAATCTTGTCGAATGGAGCCCGCAAAGCATGTCCTAGATCACCTAGCAGGGCCGGACCCATCACGGGGCAAGGGCAGCCCTGGCTCCGTTTTTCAGGGGCCCATCGCTGCTCAAACATTCCAATATGTGCGGCAGCAGCACTTGGGTCAGCAAAGGCACGGCCAATATGTGCAATGACCTGGTCACGGCGTTCCTGGGCCGGTAGCTGACCCCAGGCCCGACCAGTATCGCCCTGGCTGAAACAGGTCAGCGAGAAATGCCCGTCCATATCAGAGCTTGTGTCTCGAACAATGGTCACAGGACCCTCGAATGACTGAACCAAGCCAGAATAACCGGCTGTTCTCCACCAAGGAGTGTCATAACAGACGACAGACTTGGCCACCCAGCCCAGAGTCGTGCTGGACGCTAGCTTGAGCTTGTCCGCGGGCAAGGGAGGAGAGAAGGCGATCTCCTTATATAAAGGAGTAGGAACAGAGACAATGACACGTTTACAGCGGATGCGACGGCCGTCCTTCGTAGTCACAGTGGCTTGGTTAAGGTGTGAGTCCTGCTCAATCTTTGCGGACGGGGCTTTCAAGCTGAACAGTGCCCGGCTTCATTAGGGCCGCAAGCCCTTTTGAAAAGGACTGAGTGCCTGAATTGAGATGTCCTCGCGTTAGATGGAAGTCGATATATATACGTATATATATATATATATGTGTGTGTGTGTGTGTGTGGTGTCACTTACCTTGTCGCACGCGCAGGAACTGTCCGCCATGCTTCATATCAGATCTGGTGAGCATCAAGCCTCCTCCACTCTTAATATAGTCTAGAAAGTATAGAGCGCTCATTTCTCGTGGCTCGACACCGAGCAGACCTCGAGTCCATAATCTTGCGGTCGCTAGCGCAGTGGCACCACCGCCGTTCTGCCGAACAAAATCCTCCAGGGTAACAGAATCCCAGTCGGCATTCTGGGGATTGTGGAGGTCAACTTGGTGGCAAAGCTTCTCAAGCAGCGATCTCACTTGCACCATGTTTTCTGCCTCCGATGCCTCGTGCTACAAAGAAAAAGGTTAGAACGTGGCGTTTAAAAGCATCAATGAACATCACTTACTCCTGGAACTTCGCCGTAGACAAACTTGGAAATGGACCCATCCAGATCATGCACGACGCAGTCGCCCGCGGTGAGTTGCTGGATCAGATCCAACTTCAGCTTTCTTGCCACAGCGTAAATATGTGACTGGATGGTGTCGTTGATCCATGCCGCACCAAGCTCGATCATTCCTTTGCCCTTAGCACCAGGCAGACTCCAGGTTTTGCCTCCTACTCGATCACGAGCCTCCAGGACAAGAGTTGACAAGCCAGCATTCTGGCAGTCATAACCGGCTTGAAGTCCACTGAGACCGCCACCAACCACAACGACATCTACGGTGGTGTCCATGACGGCCGGCAATGGACGTGGGACTCGCCCGTCTACTCGCCCTCGAGGAATCACCGCGGTGCGTCCATTTCAAAGAGTAATTCAGGCTTGGCGAGACACACCACTGGCACCAGCATGGTGGATGCCCGGTGGCCATTGAAGAAATTCAAGACGATTGGGACGTGTGGCCTGTTGTTCGGGTCGTAGTTGACGATATAGTAGTTGATCTTGACAATATCTGTCACTCTGGCTCCGGCTGCCGCGAGACATCTACCAATGTTCTTCACAGTCTGCGCGACCTGGCCCTCGTATGTGTCAGCGACGTTACCATGCTCGTCCATGCCGACTTGTCCGGCGACGAAAACGAGCTTCATGTCACCACTGGCAGTGGTTACATGGGAAAACAACGGCTTCGAATCCAGCATACCTGCGGGATCGATGGTTTGAAGTTGCAAAGGGGGAGCTGCGGCCATTCTTTTTTTCTTTTCTTTTCTTTTCTTTCCTTCTCTATTTTTTTTTCCCTCCCCTCCCTCTTTATTTGTTCATGTTGTAGCTTGGATGAATCTTGAATGAAGTGGAAGAGATAAAATACAAATACACAAAGAAGGAGCTTGATAGAAGTCGTGCTGCCAAATCCCACCTTGTCAAGAAAAAAACATCAATGCCTAATTCAGGTATATCAAGGCGATATCTTTACATGTGGAGCATAGGTTTAACGGCCAAGGTAGTCGACAGCTGTGCCCTTCCATGCCATGGCGTACTGAGCGAGTACAGCTATTCACTTTCACTACACTCCGCAGGATTTTAACACCCCGAGCGAATTCCATGCCCTAACCCTAGCTCTAATTATATATAATGTCAAAAACAATCTCTCATGTCAACATCAGCCTAATATCGTTTGACTCCACAATAGTTAACCAATCGCACCCTGGTTGATCGTCGTCTAATTTTTGCCTTTCCCAGACCTGAAGCACTACTTCACATGCCTTGTCGTATGGCCCCAAGCCATAGAATCGTGTTGACCTGAACCATTGCAAATAGCGCGACTGTATCTCTACATCAATCGCCTCAGCTGCACATATGAATCCAGGCCAAAGAATACAGCCAGTCGAGAGGTTTGCTCTGAAAGAGGCTGGTGAAAACGAGACAAATGCAAAGGAGCAACGTGGTACTGTAGTGCGAGATAAGACATGCATACATAGTGCGTGCTTCCTTAGGCTAAATGTCATTGGATCGCTATTGCTTGCTTACTCCGCGGGATCCAGAAACGCCTACACATAACCCTAACGTTGGGAATATGGCGACGAGTGAACGCCGGAAGTCTATAACTTTTTGCCTTTCCCTATTGTTAGAGCTCTCAAAGATATATCCCACCCTTCCTACAGGTTCGTTCAATCTCGCACATGGCAGTTATCCGGGTCGACATCATGTCTTCAACGCAGACAGAAACCCCAGCCTCTGTGCTCAAGGAGAACGAGAAGCGTAATAACACAGAGAGCGTAATCGCGGCCGAGGGCCTCAAGTTTGCGCAAATCCCGACTTTTGAGAACCCCCTGCAGAAACGTCAATGGCAGTTGGAGCATATGGCTGGAGCATTCCGTGTCTTTGCCCGCAAGGGCTACACGGAGGCTACCAGTGGACACATCAGTCAGTGTCAGAGATCCCATCGACCCTAATACCTTCTGGATCAATCCTTTAGGCTACCATTTTGGCATGCTTAAGGCCAGTGACATGGTTCACGTCGACGAGTTGGGTAACGTGATCGGAGGCAATCGGGCTGCTGTCAACGTCGCTGGCTTTATGATTCACTCCGCCATTCACAAGGCCAGACCAGATGTCCACGCTGCATGCCACACGCACTCAGTCTATGGCAAGGCCTGGTCGACCTGTGGAAAGCCGAATGATATCATAAACCAAGACGCCTGCTCTTTTTGGAAGAAGCATGTCGTGTACCGCAACTTTGGAGGCATGGTCCTCGAGAAGGAAGAAGGAGAACGCATTGCAGAGGCCGTGGGCCCCGACGCCAAAGCCGTTATCTTACAGAACCACGGATAATCAAAATCTCGCAAAAGTCTTGATGACTGACTCTCTCTTTGTGGCTTATCCACTAGAATCCTCACTGTAGGAGGCACTGTGGACGAGGTGGCAGCCTTATTATACCCTATTTGAGCGTGCGTGCCAAGTACAACTCCTCGTCGAGAGCACCGGCTTAGAGAAAGTGATTATCGGAGATGAGGAGGCGGAATACACCCAAAAGGCTGCCATCGACCCTGTGAGTTGTCCTGGAGCGTCCACGCCTAAAGCAATTGTAGAAACTGACCTGATTTGTAGGAGGCGCTTTACACAGATTTCCAGCCCGACTTTTCCTACGAGGTTTTCAAGTCTGGTGGAAAGCTCTTGTTGTAGGCATTTATTTAGGTTTCGCGGTATATAGACTGAAGGCCAACAGCGCCACCCAGTCGGTATAACCCTGAGAAATTTCGAGAAGAGAAGAAGCAGGCACATATCGTCATTGGCTTGAGGATTAAAAAAAGAAAAAAAAAACATTATTCTACTGTCAATCTACCATGAAGCTCTTTAATAGCGCCGTTGGAACTTCGAATCCGTGCGTGTCGACACGTGTCTCACAGAGAAGAGCACTGAATTGAAGCTGTAACAGCTTCTTAAACAACCGTGGCTCTGGCCGTAAAATCCAAGAATTTCTGTGCTACGTGAAGCTTGCTAATCCCGAAGTTTCTGCTGAAATACATGTTCCTACAAGGCTCATCGAGCGGTAGATTTGATAAAATTTCATTGTTGTCGAACCGCTTGTTTAAATACTGACAATGTGACCGTCTCCAGGTGTAGGTAGAGAGTTGACGAAAGTGATGTCTCTCTGCTGAACTCATACAGACACATAGCTGAAAATCCTCTTGTACATGGGCTGGCTGTAGTAATGATCCAAGAACGCAATGTCCTCTTCAGACAGTGGCCTCCGACCACTTTGAAGGTCAGCTTTGGCTGGATCCACCCATTTGGTCTTAAAGATGAACCTTGTAGCCAATCCAAAGAACAAGAAACAGCGGAATGCAAAGGAAGGTCTGGAAGAAATTGCTGGCGCTGGTGGGCGCATCAATTGGAAATAGCGAAAGGTAAAAGACCGATGCAATAACAAATATACCACTGGCAAAGAGGAAGACGCTGCCCAAGGGATAAAATTTGTTTTTGTATGCGTATTTCAGGGTTAATGGATTGTCATTTTGTGCTTTGAAAGCAGCCCGCATCCCCCAGTTGGTCGCGGCGATGACTAGATATGCGAGGAAATAGACTGTAGAGCCCACAGAACTAAACCAGGTGAAGATGATGCCTGCATCATTCAAAGCAATCACGTACGGAGCAGCCGCGATGTTCGAAGGGCCGAGGAGAGGTTTATCAGTGTAAGGTACGAGAATCGATACGAATATTATGGAGCATCCGAAGAAGAAAAAGAGCCGGAAAGCCAAGTTGTTGACTGCTCGAGGCACATTCCAAACGGGGCATTTTCGCCTCACCGTTGGTAATCCCAAGCAGCTCCTGACCACCGCAGGAAAATGAAGCCAAAAGGAAGCACTCAGCAACTCCCTAGAGACCCACATCAGACAATCCATAACACTGAGAGCATGCTGTATGTAGACTTACCTTGAACCCAATTGGAAAGGCCGAGAGTTCTGTGTAGTTTGTGGCATGATGAGTCGTGCCCGAGGGGCCACCACCAGCCAGCATGACAATGGAGGTAATAATGAGGACAACCATAATCAAGATTTTCAACACAGCCGTGAAAAACTCAAACTCGGCAAACCATCTGTTGGGCATAAAGTGAATACCAAACACCACTGCTAGGTAGATTGTCATACATGCCGCTGTCGGCAACTCTGTGGTCCAATATGTGAGAATAAGCCGGAATACAGAGCCCTCAGCAGCAAGTGTGGTGTGCCAGGCAAACCACTCACAGGCGCCTAGGCGCATGTTAGTATTCACGACATGACTCTAATGCATATGTATCAAGCCACTCACCAAGTGCAAACGCCAGAGCTGGGTCAAGGAAGCGAGCTGCATGGTCGATGAAGGCTCCCGACGTAGGGAAGATAACGCAGGCTTCAGACATGACTTGCATGTTCATCCATGCCTGAGTGCAGATAAGACCCCATCCTAGGAACATGCCGGGATAGTTGCCGTAGCGAAGAGCCTGAAAAGAAAGAAATCGGTCAGTGGTGCATTAGAAGCGAAGGAAACGGATGGGGGGAATAGAACCTTTCCCATTCCAATGAACAGACCGGAGCCGATGCTCCCAGCCAGCCCTATCATCTGAATGTGGCGGGCGGAAAAGGTATGATGGAGCTGCTTTGAGGAGCCGGAAGGCCTCTCGTTCGCATAGTCTGCCTCGACAAACACTCTTCCGACCTCGACACTCACGTCGTCCGCGGAATCGGATGGCTGTTTTTTCTCCATGGTCTGTTCTCTTTTGGGAGGCCGGGGTGCGTATAGCGAATGCCCTGCTGCTGCTGCTGCTGCTCGTACTTCATATCGCTATCACGAGCAAAACAAGATATGTAAACAAGTCGCGGTGGAACTTGATACAAAGCTTCGGGGACGGCAGCCCAATCGCTGACGCTTGCACGTCCTGTGCTGGAAGCCCACAAAGAGCCAGTCCAGTCCCTAACCAAGTCTATCCTCCCATTAGTTGTCAACAGAGTCCCCGATGTGGCTCAGGAAGGGCTCATGCCTCATGACTTTGTAGTTGTGGCCACGAAGAACTGCCCGGACATCAAACCCACCGTGCCAGAGATCATCGCCCCGGCCGTGACCGAGGGCCACACGGCGATTGTGCTGGTGCAGAATGGGCTCAACATCGAAAAGCCATTGATCAAGGCCTTCCCCACGAACATCATTATCTCCGGCGTGTCTTTGATCGGGACGGCCGAAAAGGGCCACGGCAATATCATCCATGATGACCACGACATCTTGCTTGTCGAGCCTTTCCACAACCCCAATATCCCTGCCGACGCGGCCCTCGCAGCCAGCCAAAGAGTTTGTCCACATGTACAAGCACTCGGGCAAAGTTGACTGCGAGTTGGAGGAGGATGTTGGGTTTGTGCGATGGAGGAAGCCTTGTGTACAATGCTTGCTTCAACCCAGTCGCCACGATCACGCCCATGGATACGTCGCGCATGAGACTTGCAAAGACCCCAATTGACGATCTCATCATCCCAGCCATGTGGGAAGTCTGGAACACCGCAAAGGCCGCAGGCCATGAATTGCCCGAAGACCACGTCGAGAAAACAGTCAATGCCGACCCATTTGACGTGTGGTGCAAGCCAAGTATGCTCTGAAGGTAGGGGGAACGTCTCTTCCCATAAGGTCCCTTGGTTAACCCCGCCGGTTGTTTAGGGAAACTTTATCGAGCACATGAATTTGGTCTGGGAGCCAATTCAGGAAGCGAAGAAGTTGGGTGTACCTACCCCTACGTTGAACACCATCTTTGGGTTTTGCCAGGCGCTGCAGTGGCGGACGAAGGAGGCCAAAGACTTGGTGACTCTTCCTGCGGGCGCTCCTCCGCCGTAGGTTACATAGAATGAGTTAGCCTGAACTGTTTCAGAATTGATTACATTACTAGACGTGTTCATCAGCTTGTCTAACTGCTTTGTCAAACTTAATCGGTGGAGTAGAATCCTGATATGTACAGCTTAGTTTCTATTTCCAAAAAGAAAGATAGTCTCTCACGAAAGCCAATGATTGGTTCCATAATTTGGTATTATATCATTAAACTTCTTGAGAAGTCTCTCCTTGGTTAAACTTGTCAATTGACGTCCTAGATCTAAGTGCATTTTGCCATCAAAACTGCTGAACACGTCTACTATACAAATGACTGCTGAAAAGGAAAAAGAGCATGTTTGTCAAGTGACCATTCCTAAGATATGCTGCAGGGCAAGCCATGATGGATTTGTATATGGCTATGCCCATATTCAATATTCTCAGGTGCTGTGTTTATTACACCACATTTCAATGCAATAATGCCTCTGCACGGCCATAAGTACATGTATTGCTCTAAATGATACTAATGCGAACATAAACCCTTTAGCAGCAATACCAAAAAGGCTTGCAATGCCTATAGCTTGCTAAGAATGTTGTTGTGCTCAAGAACGGAGAGATGACTTTTCTTTATATCTGCAATCGATGAACAGCTACAAAAAAAAAAAAGATTTAGCACGAGAGCCATCCAGAGAATTAAAACAAAGGACACTTCTCACCCGCTCAAGGCCATTGCAAGCCGGAACTCTTCTAGTAGCAAGTTGATTGCTAGAGATACTCCATTTTCACCATTGTACTGCGGAGGGAAGGTTAGCAGGGTTAGGCTTTAAGCCGAGTGAAAGGGGGGGAGTGTAGAGGACAGACCGCCAGGCCCCAGATAGGTATACGTCCGACAAAGCAGTGCTGCGCGCCGAGCGCAAGTGCCTTGAAGATATCAGTTCCGCGGCGAATGCCCCCGTCAATGGCAATGCCGATATGACCAGCAGCAACAGGCGCACATTCTCTCAGTGCGTCTAGGGTCGCCGGCACTCCATCAAGCTGCCTCCCGCCATGGTTTGAAATAATGACCCCCGTCGAGGCCGTGGCGAATGGCGAGCTCAGTGTCTTCCGCCGTGTACACTTGACGGAGATAAAAGACGTACGCATTAGACATGGTCTCTCTCTCCCCTGGAACTTGAACACTTACCTCCTTTGAGCCAGAGCTGGAGTTTGGTACGTTGCCTAAACCATGATATCGCGTCTTCCCAGTCCACGTCGCTATCTAGATTTCCGGCTGCGTTAGCACCTTTCCTACGTTTGCATCGGGATGCTTACCGTTGATCAGCCCGTCCTTGCTGGCATCTACGAAACTGAACGAGGGGTCGGAGCTCAGATTGGGAAACTTTGTACCCTTGGGTGGTTCAAAGGCGTTGCGGTACTCGTTGAGGCGTCTACCAAGAACTGGTGCATCTACCGTAAGCACGATAGCCTTGTAGCCCGCCGCTAGAACAAGTATTAGTCAAGAAAGAAAAAGAGAAGGGGGAGGAATGAAAGAAGAAGAAGAAGAAGAACAATTAAGCTACCTTCAGCTCGCCGAATCAACTGCTCTGTGGCTTCCTTGTTCTTGTACAAACTCATCTGGAAGGCGTACGGGTTGGCATCTCCCTGAGCAATCACGTCCTCCATGGAGACTGTCGCATAGGTGGAGAGCGCCATGCATATTCCGGCTTTTGCTGCAGCGCGAGACGTGCCTATCTCTGCATCTGGATGCGCCATGGAGTGCATGGCTGCCGGGGAGAGTCCAAGAGGAAATGCCACCTAAGGGAAGCTTAGCAAATGCAGAACTTCTCGCCCTCTGGGATCGTGAAAAACCTTGGTTCCAAAAATGCTTGTGGAGGTATCAATGTTGGACACTTTGTCAAGAATCCGCGGTCGGATCTTGTAGCGATTGAACGCAGCTTCATTGTCACGCAGTCTTGGGAAGAACCAGCCAGCCCATGCAAAGTCGCAGTTTTGCAGGAAGCGTACGTGATCATGTCCATTGATCCTCCATTGTAGTATTCTGATGGCGATTAGCTACAGGAGCTAGAGAAGACAGCAGCAGCAGCAGCAGCAGCAGCAGCAACAACAACAACAACAATAACAAAAAGAAAAGGGGGAAAAAAGGAATAGTACCGCGAATGGACTTTGGCAACTTGTTAGTAGCCGCGACCTGCAAATCACGAATGGTAAAGATGTTCGGATCAAGTGTGTGGCCACGATTCGCCATGGTGAAGGTGAATTTGCAGGGTATGGGCTTTGCTTTCGAAGCAAGGAATTTGAGGTCTTCCCTAGGGTCCAGGATAGGGATGTATTGCTTTTGATAGTCCTGGAAGGGTGTTTTTTTTTTTTTTTTCTTCCTTTTTCCTTTTTTCTCCCCTATCTTTGTTTTCTTCTTCTTTCAGACGTGAGATTGGTCGCTAACACTTGCCAGCGGATTACTACAGAACCTATGTATCATGTTATCTAAGATAGCCAAAAGTTGGTGCAGATTTGGGTTTCGCTGTTGCTTGCCTAGCTTTAGTGCAGTAAGATGACCAGTCAAACTCCGAAATGGAAGAATAAACAAGAAACAAATAAGGGGGAAAAAAGAAAGAAAGGAAAGAGAGAGAGAGAGAGAGAAAAGTCGCTACAATATGGGCCAGTTTCTACCGAACTTATATGGCATATAAGGCATACAAGGTATAGTCTTTAGTTAGACAGTAATAAGATACACGCAACAGCTGACATGAAGCCACCTACTTCGGTCATCATTGGTTAGTTTTCAAGACGCAGACGCACTTTTTGCCCTGGAGAAAGAAGAGGATGACATGATACACCACGCACAGCCGGTCTGTTCCAGGGCCAGAGAGTTGACCAAACAGTCGAGACTCGGCGTGGTGCATTTCGACAAGGACGATCCCCAAAACCCGTACAACTGGGGCGTGGTAAGGACAGAAGAGTTTGCTTCCGCTTTATTGTCGTCATTAATGCAGTGTCCAGGCCAAAAACCTGTATGTTGTACTCACCGTAATTGTCATGACTCTAAACAGCACCATCTCGTCTGCCATCACCAGCAATGCCATCACCTACATCATGCAAGTCTTCAGGGTCACGGGCAATATCCAAAGCTACCTGCTCACGACGTTCTACATGATTGGGTATATCTTTGGCCAGTTAATCTTCGGTCCGCTGAGCGAGAGCATAGAATCATTTACTGAACTCATAATATGAACTCAATTGGGAAAGAGAAAAAAAAAAGAAGACATGAATTTTGTGAGTTGAGTCAATATACTTCATTCAATACCACCTGCAATATATGTCTACCTTCCAAAGGTCTCGGGTAGCGTGTGCTTCATCACGCACAATCATACTTCCAACTTTTTGCCAAACGACACGAAAATGTACGGAGCCGAGTATACATATATAGTCATTGCTAGACTTAGCACATCTATCTGCATTGGTATCTGCTCAGTGATATGTTACATTCCTATAGCTTGGATGCGGCCTCAAAGCCTAAGATGGGATTATTATATAAGAAACTCTGTATAATGAAATAAACTTATCTTCTCCTAGCTTAGCGAGTACGACTGTGACAGCAAGTATTGATATACTTGTAAGCTATGGGTTAATATGCTCAATTTCTATGAGAGCACTTAGTCAAACACGACTGGTTGGATTCTTGTCTGTGTGGATGTTAGCTTCTCGACCACGTCAAGCTATCGGCACCTACGCTGAAAGCACTCACGTTGATGGCGGCACGTCAATCGCTGGGTTCTTGGTGAAGAAATTGACCGGTTTCAGTGAAACTCGAATGATTTCTGCCGGCCTGTATGATCAAGTCAGTTTGTCGTTCATACCTAGGTATATTACCCGTCAGACAAAGAGAGAGAAATACATGACTGGAAAATCCTCAACTCGAGGAATATGCTGCAGACCAAACTGGACCCAGACCACAATGTCCGTGTCTGAGATGTCGTCCTTTCGACCAGCCCATTTCCGGACTCCGGTCGTCAGCCGGTTTTGGTTGGTATATTGTCCGCCGGCGAAGAGTTCGTGGCCATCGCCAACACTGCTACTCGTAGCTGGGAGGATGGCTGATGGATGCTTGGAGACGTAGATGGCATGGTCGGCAAAACTTGACGTTGGTCAGTTTTCCCCCCTTGTAACTTAGACTATGCATAGAAGAATTCATACTCAGCACGTTTATAGTGGAAGGACTCCGACGAAGCCAACAGAGGCTGGAAAGGCGGAACCTGGATTTTATAAGCCACGTTCTTCCCATTGACGGGATTCTGTTTATGAGCGTTCTCAATCATGAACACGCGGCTCTTCTTTGAATCCAGGTCGTATCCACCAGAGATCTGAATGACGCTCTTATTGGTGGTGTATGCGTTTCCATGAGGGTTTAGTTTGGGGTCGTATGGGATAGCGTGTGCTTCCTCATAGATGAGGCGGTTGTTAACGTCGCCGTCTAGCTCAGGATCGATGCGGAGGGAAAGAATATGCTGGTGATAGACTGCCAATACCCCGTCGTGCACAACTGTGCCCCAGGGAACGGATACGCCTTCGTCGATGGGCTGGGTAGATAGAATCCCCGTAGCGCGTGCTTCGTAGGTGAGTTCGCCTGCTTGGTTGAGGACGAAAGCGAGGATGTACTCGTAGTTTGAAACCGTGATGATAGATTGAAGGACTCTGTGATAGTCAACTAACCAGCCCCCTTTTTTTCTTTGCAGAGAAGGTGGGTAGTGGGAGACTTACAGTTCTCTGTTCCGGACTACAGCAGCACGGTTCGTCCGGTAGTTGGTATGTTTCCACAGTAGACCGGCGTCTTGTTCATGAATGCAAATTGCATTGCGTTTCCACTTGGGGTGACCTTCCTCGTTGGCAATGAGCCCGTCTTTGTAGTATATTGAGCCGAGACAGTCGCAGCCTAGACGTAAGTCGTTTGCTGTAAGTCCGGCGCCGGTGTCTCCAAGATCAAAGGCCTGTTTCTTATGGAAAGGCGCACGGGGGTCGGCTAGTCCAAGTCATCAGTGCTGTTTACTCTAAGAAAGCACTTCGTATGTAGTATTAGGTAGATGGCACTCACCATATGGAACCGTCATATCACTCAAAGACACACGGTAGAACAGCGGTCTCTTATCATACGAAACCTCATGCAGCACCATGCCCTCACGGTAATTGAACGTGAGGCGAAACTCCCATTTCTGCCATCGGACAACGTCGCCTGACACTGTGAATGAGGCGCCTTCAGGCTGGATGACTCGGAGCGGCTTCAAGTCCTTGCGCAATGTATTCAACTCGGGGATATACTCGTTTGGCTCAATGGCTCGAACAGGCTGTGGTGGCTTGATCTCCCATCCGGCCCCAGTGGGCAGATATTCGATCCTTGTCACTTTCATTGTCACCGTGTCGAGCACTGGACAGACGCTCAGCGGGAATGCATAGTGGTTACTGTCTGGTTGGTTGCTGTTTTTGGGGTCTCGCATGTACAAATAGCACTTTCCATTGCTCTATCAGTATCGCTTGAAAAAATTCTTCAGTTTAGGGATCAATGCCAAACCTGATACTGTCTAATGGAATCATCCACTCCATCCGCTCCCCTGCCGAAGGTCCATGTTGGTGCCTTTTTTTCTATACAGTAGGGTAACCCTAAGAAGACTCACCAAATCCACGGATCGCATACAACCGTTGCCCCCTTGGGGAGCTCCAGTTTCTCAATCTCAGCCTGCACTCTCGGGTCCGCCAGAACTATTTCTTCAGCCCTGGTGATTTCCTCGTCATCGCACGGACCGTGGAAATGCGTTGGGACTTGCTTGTTGCTCTCAATTGTGCTTGAGCTTAGGTTCACAATGGACTCGTAAAACAACGGCTTTTTATATTATTTTCTGGTGAGTTGGAGAAACAGACATGAACATCACTAATGGTTGATTTCTTACTGTTCCAGTGACATAGTAGTTGACCCATGCCTTGCGAGGCAGTGGCTGGCTATGCTCGCGGTACTTCAAGACTTCCCTTTTAGAGGGCTCGTGCAAACTGATGCCCTTGAAACGAAGATTTGTCTTTTCTCCAAGGATAGCACGTATCAGGCTCGATGCCTGCACGATTTCGTCTTCTGTCAACGCAGTGAGGGGGTGGAGCGAAGCCATGTTGCCGGTTACGAGTATGAAAACTTGACAGGTAATTCGTTGTCAACGACGTCAAGCGATGTAGGATATATAATTTTGAACAACGCATTCATCTGAAGATGCAACTAATTGCCTTAATCGTGAATGTGTTGCAGCCAATCTATGGATGCATCACGATAGCTGATGTGTATGATCTCGCCCTAAAGCTCGCGCGGTGTGCGCCGGATGCGCGATATGCGCAGTCTCGATAAGCCTGGGCGTGGTCATCAGAGGCGTATCACATGAATTTATGTTTCTATAACTGCGGCAGAGGCTGAGGAATTCCAAATGTCTCTTTGAGTCACTCAAATATACATTTGTTCATCACCATGGCTGCAGTCCCTGAGCTCTTTACCGGATACGGAGCAAAGTCAGCGGAGAAATGGACCAATCTCGAGAAGGTATGAATATTCTGTTTACACTTCATACTCATTGACTGACTGAATCGTGACACAGTTCCAATTCAAACCCAAAACGTTTGAAGAGTTCGATGTTGATATAAAAATCGACTTTTGCGGAATTTGTGGCTCGGATCTGCATACGCTGAGCGGAGGATGGGTACTCTTTTTTTTTCTTCTGTTTTCTGTTTATAGATCCATCCTGTTCACATTGCTAACCAATACTCAGGGCGGAACTCTCTATCCTAGCGTCGTTGGCCACGAGATCGTTGGCAAGGTCGCTCGTGTAGGCGCCAAAGTGACTTCTCTTAACGTCGGCGATATCGTTGGGGTTGGTGCCAATGCATGGAGCTGCGGTGACTGTCGTTACTGCAAGAAAGATCTGGAACAATACTGTGTAAGCTTCTTTGAACAGGGACTTAGCTGCGCTGGACAGTACTGACGTTGTGAATAGCCAAATCTCATCGAAACATACAACTTCACATACAGCGACGGCACTCGGTCCTGGGGAGGGTATGCAGACTACGTCCGTGTTAACGAGAGATTTGTATTCCCCGTCCCCAAATCTCTTGATCCAGCCGTCGTCGGCCCTCTTTTCTGCGCCGGTCTGACCGTCTTCTCTCCCCTAATCCGGAACAATGTCACCAAGGGCAGCAGAGTCGGCATCATTGGCATTGGTGGACTGGGACATTTGGCGATTCAATTCTCTGTTGCGCTGGGCGCAGAAGTATCTGCAATTTCGCATTCGTCGCGCAAAAAGGAGGATGCGCTGAAAATGGGGGTTACGAATTTCGTCACTTTGGACACTCTGCCGGAGCACAAGAGGAGCCTGGATTTGATTGTTTGTACCTCCTTCTCGAAGGAGATGCCATTGGCCGAGTATCTTAAACTGCTGGACGTGGGTGGCACGTTGGTCTATGTTGGTATCCCCGAGGCTGATCTGCCCAGCTTGCCCCCTACGTTGATGATTGGGACCAACGCCGCGTTGAGAGGGTCTAATACAGGGAGTAAGAAGGAGGTTCTTCAGATGCTGGATCTGGTTGAAAAGCATGATATTAAGCCATGGGTGGAGCTCTTGCCAATGAGTGAGTGTTCTGAAGCTGTGCAAAAGCAGCTGAGAGGCGAGGCGCGATATCGGTACGTTTTGAAGAATGATGGTACCTTTGACTAGGTATTCTGTCTGGAAACTAGAGACTATGTGGTTATAGACATCCATGGATATTGTGAAGTGGCACAGCTTTGATAGAATAGAATACGCTATATATCAAGTCACTGGGACACTTATGCCTGCCAGCTGCATTAAATTGATCCAATCCCACGTTCTCTTGTTTCCTTTGTCGTAAGCCTCCCAAGACCTCAGCACGACATTCCGACAGAGACGAATATTGCCTAACCTGCTGAACGTTTCTACCTTGTCAAACTGCATCTGGATGGCGCTCCGATCTTCCGGCAGGATGCTAGACACACCATGGACCAAGAGCGGGAAAAGCAAGAATGTATACAATCCTGATGGCTTGATCGATACCAAGCTCTCGATCCCTCGGCGCACCATCATCTGCACTTTCTCATCGTGTATATTGTCTGGGTAGATGATGGAGAATAGCCATGTGAATAACGCCGTGATGTATGCGTCGTAAGTCTTCATGTGATCCCCCGAAAGAGGAGGCGTGGTGCTCGGCGGCCGCCAACTATCGAGGTCTTGCCATATCCCAACTGCTTGCGAAATGACAATTGCAGACCGGACGTGGCCACCCATAGAGTAAGAGCGTAACGCTGCAATGCGTGAGATTAGGTCAAACAAGCCGTCGTTGACCCCCAGCATGTGCACTTGATTGTGTTTCAATCCCTGTTTGACAGAGAAGTAATGGCCCTGTATCAAGGTAGAGAAATGGGGGGTGGGGTCTTCTGTTATAGGCTTGTCCACTGTCACGTTGGAAAAGACATCGTGGTATGCAAAAAATTGCAACAGGAAGTCATTTATATCTAGATCCAAGAAGGATTTCGACGGGGAGGTTCCTTCTTCTTCATTATCATTGCCTTCGTCATCTTCATCATCCAGTAGACCATCCTCAATCATTGTTTCACTGATTGAACCGGATTCTTTCTCCTCTCTCAGAGCGTGCTGGACTAGATCCCGGGCACTATTCAGACGCAGATTCCACGATCCATTGCCCTTACCCTCGGAAATTTCATACAGACACAGAAGCAGGGCACTGATAAGTACGGCTTCCAACTCCGTAGTCTTTTCGTTGCTTCCTTGGCGAAGACTCTCTAGAGAAAAAGCCCGTACTACCTGCTGGTGCTCTGCCTGTTGTAGCAAGCGCTGTTTATCTGCGCGCAGCCCTATATTCTCGCTCGCACCCGGCTCCAAATGGTTCATTAGATGCGATGCTCCTAGACATATGAGTGACTTTAGAATCATAGGATCTTGCAGACTTCGAGGGAGGATCACAGATAGTATCGGGTTGTCCTGGTCTGTCGACAACGTCAGAACTCGTGATGTGACATCTGTGAAATGCCGAAAGAATCGATGCTCATTTCGAGACTCGATCCCGTTGACCAAGAATGGCACACTCGGCGGTATCAAGGATAGAGCTGTAGCTGCTCGACTGTCCGTGGCTGCAGAAACCTCATGCGCCGAAAACTCTTCGGTGTCGTCACTTGGATTGACGCCAGCATCTGGGAAGAAACTCAGTTCCGGCCCAAGGTTTCCTTCTAGTTGGAACATCTGGTTTAACGGGCTCATGACCGAGACAAAGCCATCCGGCATAGGGAACTGAGGACTACTGTCTAGATCCAAGTTTTGCAGAGGTCGCGATACAGGCGGTGACGATGATGATGACATTGTTGTTTGTTCTATTGGTCTTTGAGGATATGAACTTGACGGACGCACACGATAATGCGTGAGAATCGGATAGCCTTCACAAATATAACCGGCTTTCCGGCAGGAGTCGCCTGCAAAACTCGTTAGATATTTTGATCTCGCTTGAGGATCTAACTATGGACAGGCAGTCTTACACTCCGGCCTCGTTTCGTCGCACTTCTTCCGGCGCCTCTTGCAAGTAAAACATCCGGTTCGGCGTCGTTGGATACGAGTCCGCGCACCTGTATTTTCCTTGTGCTGAGGCACGCTCATGATCAAGGTCTTGAATGCTCAGCAAAAAAGGCAGCCTGCCATGCCACATTTTAAAGAGCGCGATTTGCCCGACTCAGCAGCGTTTATTTGCAGCGGCAACAGCGCTTCTGAGGGGAAAATAGAGGGCCTTCCCCGAACAAAGCTCATAGTTACTAGGCCTTCATGGATCCATGGGTCTATGGATACAACTTGTATGGCGGCCAATAAAGGAGACCAGCCCAGTCTCCACTAGTTATGGCTGTTTGCCTATCAGCAGTCTGTCTGTCGTTTTACTCTGCTAGCACGAAACCTTGGAATGCCAGAAATCCCATCCGACGTAGTATGGGAGTAGTATCGTAGAGTTATTCCTATACTAACTATAGCATACTATACTAATCATAGTATGTGCTATGCGGTCCATTTTGCATGGGCAGAGCTGAGAGTTGATCACACACTAAACCGCCATATATATAGTCAATACTCCTCTTCTAGATAAAATAAATAAGATAGGGTTGGATTGATATCTTTCCTGCTCTGAATTTGCCCACTAATCCGTACAATGTAATGCGTCATTGGTTAGAGGCTGCCACTTTGTCTTTAAAAGAACTTTGACTGCTCACGTAAATATCTAGCATCCTGGTAGAGATAGAAAAGACTCGCTCTGAAGAGAGTGGTTGATTCACTTTTCTATTAGAGACATTTGAGCAATGAGAGATAAAGTTGGAGTGTAGCTCTCAGTCATACTTTGCTTAGGGTTATCTCATCACTCCGTACCATACATGTAAAGATTCTTAGTTAGCAATGTACACATCAATAGCTATATCTGTATTTGTGTCGTCTACAGGCTGAAATCCAGAAATATGCATGAATGCCGTTTAATTTCTTTCTTTTCCTTCTTTTTTACTTGGTTTTTGACGAGGTTGTTCTTTTCCGACCCTATACTAAATCTTAGCAACCGACCACCAGAGACCGCCTCGTATATCAAGATATGCTTGGAATGCGTAGGCAGCTGTTCTAGGAAATTGGCTCTTCCAGAATCTCCGCACACCATCGCTCCACGGTCTCCCCCCAGACCGGTCGACCCTTGTATTTCGCCATATTAGGCGGCATGGCACGCACCGATGACAGAAACGCCCGTAGGCTGTCCGGATCATCGCGCAAGTCCGTCAGAGGCATGATATAAGTGCGCACCAAGAATAGTATCGCCCCAGTGCGTGGCAGGCGACGCAACGTTTGTCGCTCGTGTCGGATTCGAATGTCCTCAATCTTGGGCGGCTCGGGGAGTCTCTCGGCAAAGGGCACTTGCTGGAAGAGAATGTCGTCGGTTTGCACGAAGTAATTGTGGCGTGCAATAAGGTCGTCTGCTTTCATTTTGTGGAAATACCTGCATATATGGACATGATGAGCATGTTGCGATCAAGATACTGTTGTAGACGACTCACTTCTCTACCGACCTCTGCAGCTTTTCCTGCCACATGGGAACTGGACTGTGGATTTTCCACAGCGGCCATCCTATACGCTCTCGTAGATCCCAGCCTGCCGGGGCCATGCTGTAGCTTGCTGCCCTGTCGTCGATTCTCTGTCAGTAAATCCTCCATTTAAACAGAATGCATGTCGCTTACAGATAATGTTGCTCCGGATCCTCGCCAAACCCCGGGTACAGAATATTGATATCCTCCATAGCCAGCTGGGCAGCGATTTCCAACGGTGGCACATCGTACGGAGCCACAATCTTGAACGTCTGCTCGGTCAGTTTGTTGTAGATATGATCCAGCTGCCCCGAGGGATGGTAGAAGAGGTGCGGATAACGCTGCGTCAGATACGACACCACCATCGAGAGGACTTCCTCGCATGCTGATTCCGAGCCTGGTAAGATTTGCATTACCCCGTCATGATGCCTAGCCAGTAGCTCTCGCCGGAGTGCTTGTTCAGGGACGTAGCGCCGATCGAGCGTGAGCCATTCTTCGGACGGCACCTTTTGGATGCCCATGGTCATGGCGAATTTACCTGAACTCCATGGCCGGTAAGGATGCGGTTCTGTTGCGTCGACATTGAAATGCTCCAATGGTGTTATTCGCGTAGTACCTTGCTTGGAATCCAAGTGAATGGGCGGTGCTAGTGATGATGCTGACTTTTCTGCTCGGCGTCGTCGCTGTATCCAGGTTGCAACTACAAGAAGTGCCAACAGAACCGAACCGACTTCCAGATTCACAAGCATGATGGCCGACGATCGAGTTTTCGAATCTAGCTAGCAATAGCTTTTTTCTGTCTTCGTCGTGCTCCATCCCCGGTTGTCCCAATATGCTTCATTTATCCAACCAATGCCACACCTACAGTGTATCCAACAGACGACCCCCAACGGCCTCCCAAGGTCTCCAGAATAGCTTTGCCTAAATCACGCATCATCATAGGGTTCCCATAATTCCGGTTCTTACTGAGCGACGCAAAACCGCGTACGGCGCGTTGCTCGCATGTGTCGCTCCTAGCGCACCGAGAGAGTCGCTGATAACGCCGCCACCATATTCAATCCAGTCTCTATCTACACTGGAATGCGTCGAACCCATGCACCCCGGATTCTTTGTTGCGTTTCCTTTGCTTTGGGTCCATGGAGAAGGACGCCAGCGGCGAGAGTCCGCTTTCTCATGTTATCTCTCATTATCTTCACTATCTTTATATACTATCTTGTTGTTGCGCTCTGGGCCAATCGCCAGGATATCTAAAGTTCTACACAATCTCCGGTCCACATAGCCAAAAAGTGACTTATATGTATTGCAAATCCCTTCCGGTAGGCAATGCCAGCTCATGCAATGACCCTCTTCAGACATAGGCATGGCTTCAGATATCGCAAAGCCACAGCTTGAAGTTGAAAGCAAGACCCCCGTCTCCGGGGGTCCATCTCTCCCTAGCATCCGAAAGAGCCACGACAGTGTTGAGAATGGCGAAATCTACCATTCGACTGATGACCACCGACTGGAACAGATCGGATACAAGCAGGTTCGTTGCCTTTCCACCAGTCTCAAGCGAGGAGGTCTATTCTGACTCGGAATAGGAGTTTCATAGGGAGTTCACGCGATTGTCGACTCTTTCTTATGCAGTCTCCATCATGGGTGTCCTTGGAAGTGGTAAGTAGTGGATCTGTCCGCCATCAAAGATAAGAAGCTGACGGGCTTGTCTAGTGCCTGGCACTTGGTCGTCTCCACTTGCTGCTGGTGGACCTGCGACGGCTGTTTGGTGTTGGTTCTCGGGCTCCATTTTCTCTCTATGCATTGCCCTATCCGGTATGATCAGATTCTGATGGCTTCCCCCGAATGAAGATTCTTAAGTCTGAGACCTTCTAGTTGCCGAGCTTGTATCCGCCTATCCGACGTCCGGTGGTATGTACTTTGTGACGAAGAACGTTTTCCCCGAGAGATATGTGCCGTTGGCCGCTTGGGTGATTGGATGGTCTAATTTTCTTGGCCAGTGAGTGTGATATACTCCTTATTTGGTACCCAAGTACAGTCAAGCTGATCCTTAAACTAGAACAGCAGGTGTTGGTAAGTTTCATGGCTCAAGATCTCATTCCGATAGCTCAAGCCCATGAATTTATGACTTACTTGATGCCGTAGCCAGTGTCGATTACACAGTTGCTCAGATGGTAAAGCCAGTTGTGTGTCTTTTTGTTTGGGTGTATCGTAACTGACATTATTCAGATACTGGCAGCCGTCTCAATGGGGTCAGTAGGAGAAGATGGAATACCTACATATGTGCCGTACGTTTGTACCAAACCAACCCTTATGTTTCCAATTATTTGACTGCATGATCGAATAACTTACCTTCCCCAGCTCGGCGAGTACAACTGTGGCGGTAAGCATTGGTGTGCTTGTATGCCACGGGCTGATATGCTCAATTCCCACAAGAGCACTTAGTCAAATAATTCGCTGGTTTGCTCCAGTGAACCGTATGTTTCCCCGAGACAAAAAGGATTTGGACTCAAATCTGACCGGAGTCGACAGTCATCGCCTCCGTGGCTATTTCTATTGCCATCCTCGTGCTCACTCCAAACAAGTTGCCTGCCAGCAAAGTGTTTGGGACCATTACTGATGGGTCAGGCTGGAACAACAAGGGCCTATCCTTCCTAATCGGATATCTCTCAGTTGCGTGGACCATGACAGACTACGATGCAACAGCCCATATGAGCGAAGAGTTGAAAAACGCCGCTATGAGTGGCCCCGTTGCCATCTTCCAAGCAGTCTTATTTACCTGGGTTTTTGGATTTCTGTTGAACATCGCTCTTGGATTCTGCGCTGGCAATGTTGCAGATATTCTTGCGTCACCCATGGGAAATCCTGCTGCGCAGGTCTTCTTCAATGCTGCTGGCCGGAGCGGAGGATTGGCGATGTGGATATGGCCGATTATCGTGCAGTTTTTTACCGGTATGTCATTCTTCTCTTCTAGTAGCCTTTGGCTTTTCTTTCTTCTGACGCAAAACAGGCATCACTGCTATGCTGTCAGATACAAGAACTGCTTATGCCCTAGCAAGGGACGGCGCTCTGCCATTGTCGGGGTATGTATTCCTATGATCGACCTTGGAATTCTCTGGTCCATGCCATTAAAAGCAAGAACAGTGTCTTCCGCCAGGTAAACGGCACCACGCACACTCCCTTATACTCCGTCTGGATCGTCGTATTCTTCTGCTGCTGCCTCAACCTGATCGCTCTCGGCTCCACGGAGACAATTGACGGAATCTTCGACGTTACCTCTCCAGCAATGGACTTATCATACATCACCGTCATTGCCGCACGCCAGTTTTTCAAGCACGAATCGCCCATCGCCAAAGGACCATTTGACCTGGGAAAGTGGCGGAAACCTATCAACTATATCGCCATTGTCTGGACCATCTTTGTTAGTATCTTCCTGTTCTTCCCGCCCTCATACCCTGTTACGCCCGAGAATATGAACTATGCGATTGTCATCGCCGGGTTTATTGCGCTTTTGTCGTTTACCTGGTGGTATGCCGAGGCGAGGAAGTCATACATAGGGCCGAGAACGCAGTCCTAAGTCTGGCTATGTATGGTCAATGTTCAGGTGGGAGGTCCGTTTGTCTTTTTGTGTATCCATTCGTGAAATTTTAGCCTGTATAGCGGTAGTAATCTCGACGTCACGTCCATTTTGCCTTTATCTGTCAAAAAAAAAAGGAAAAGAAAAGAAAAAGAGAGAGAAAATAAGCCAACTCTTTAGGTGCTGCATTAGTGTATGCAATAGCACTGCGTAGTATAGACTACGTGGTAATTACTATTTACGGCTAGGGCTTTAGGGCTAGCTAGGTACTGCTGGTAAGCATGCCATGAGCTGAGAATTATTATCGAGGGTGAAGAATGAAGCAAAAGAGATGTGAAGGTCTCGCGAGGAGGAGATATATCCCGCTCGTGAGGCGCATTAACCTACTCCGGAATCGCAGTCACGGTTCTGCACTGAGGATCTCAATTATTGACAGCGGAATATAAGGCTTTATATACATATAAAATGAGCATTACCAGAAGTCCCATTCAACGGTCCCTTTTTGTTGGCTGACCGATTAATATTCCGTTGTTGAAAAAAAAAAAAAAAAAAAAAACCAATTGACGATATATTCATATTAAATAAAAGGTACTTTGAGATATATATATATATATACTAGTAGGCAACCAGACGTATGCCATAGGTACGTGGCATGGGCCAGAGGAAGTCTTCACTAGAGCAAGGATTATTTTACCTCTTCCTTCTCCTGGATTTCTGCAACAGACTCTTCCTCGTCCACATTCGTTGATTTGATAGCCCAAACTGTGGGCATAACAAACACCAGAGAGCCTATACAGAGACCCCAGTCCATCGCAAACTGGGCTGTTGGCGACATGCCCAGCGCATTCACCCGCCATGCCATTGCTCCTCCAGTAGATTGGAAGGTCTTATATGCCCCTACCAAAATCGCTGTTTTGGCCGGAGAATTGGACAAGGCGCCAATCAGCCAGTAACAGAACGATTGCCACAAGGCGTCGTAGCCTCCATAAAACATATACAAGATGATAGGGCCTGCCGAGAGGCTACCATCCGTATAGTCAATGTCCTGCTTCAATCCTTGTGCTTGTCGGTGAGTAGACCAGAGCTGGAACGCATATCCACCGCCCCAAATACACATTCCGGTAATGAAGAGAGTCGCCCAGCCAGCCACAGCACGCCAGCGACGAGTCAGCCATGGCATATCGAGCAAACAGCCCATGACCAGACCACCAATCATTTGGGCTATCCAATATAATGCACCGTTTAGAGATCGACTGCGGATATTGAAAGTCATCCCGTTGACCTCGTTTTGTTGATATGAATAGAAGACGTTTGCGGAAAAGAACAAGGGCACCATACAAATAACCCGCCAGTCAGACAGGGTGCTTAGTGCGAGCCGTGCTGTCTGACGCCAGTTGGATTCCTCACTAGCGATTGTCTGTATTCCTTTCACTCTGACTGCTGAGGGTTTGCAGATAAAGATGCCGAGTGCCCACCCTACCAGCATAATCACGAGTAAGGCAATGTAGGTTCCGTCAGAAACGGTCCCTGTCTTCGAGTGGAAATTGAGGCCAAAACTAGCGAGAGAGCCAACTCCACCACCAAGGTTAAAGACGATCCAGAAGACTGCAATTGCTCGTCCCTTCTGCGACTCGGGGACGTATGTAGTCATAATCGCTCCCTGCGACACCCATAGAAGCGAGGCACCTAAACCCAAAAGCGCGCCGGACGCTATAACGAATGCACCATTTTGGGTATCTGGGGAGGTTATTGAGTGTCAGTACTTATTCCTGCGTATGATTCTGTATGTAAAAACTTACGATTGTAGTTCAACAGGCTACCCGAGTAAAGCGCATAAGTCCATCCGCCCAGAAGAAGACACATTCGGGGCCCAACACAATTGAATATTGGGCCCACGATAAAAAGAGCTGTTCCCGCCGTGGTCGACAGTAGGGCAACTGTTGCATTGGCTGCTACGGTTGAGTTGACCTGACCGGATCCTCCCAAGCCAGAAAGGGCATTGTACATCTGGGGGAAAAAAACGGATTCTGTCAGCATGAGATTATATTTGGTTGCCAGAATAGCAATGCTATTGAGTCCTTACGCCCGGACAGCAAAAACAAATAAAGCTGATGAGTAGGATCTGAAACCAGGAGTGGGTGTAAACTCGTCGAACCATCGACGAGGACTCCTCGACGGCCGTAGTCGACATTGTAGTAGGTGTATGTATACTACGATAGATATAGCAGCAATGTGATCTGACGAGCTGGGACTTCCGTGAACATTTTATGATGCGCTCTGAACTGGTTGCTGCCAGGTCTTATGTATTATTATACCATGGTGAACCCCGGCCGAGTACAGAGCCCCAGCCCAATCCAACCACATGGAATCGACGACGGAGATAAGCAAGGCTGGCAGCGTGAGATAGGAATGTTTCCTGAGGCAATCCGGAGTAATGTGGAGTCTGCGATAGTCTTCGGCGTAAACGCGACCTGTCAATGGCCAGATCCCGTTGCTTTTCTCCGACTCGGCGTTGTCTCCGCAAAAGCGCCAGATAAGGCAATTTTCATGTCGTCAAACTTCCGCCCTATTCTGTTCATTCGAGAGTGTACTCCGGTGAACCTACGAACTTCTCCGGACCGATGCTACGAGCAAGGTGTCGTTGAGAAATGTTTCCCCCAATATAACGCGCGGGTCGACTCCGTCCATGCATCGGATATACTGTATTCCTCGAAAGGGATAACGACAAGCTACTCTACACCCAAGAATGGCACATGATGTTTTGGATCTCTCGGGCTTGCAGACTGAGGCCATTAATGAACTCACCAGCCATATTGACAGGGGTTCGACTCTGCAGATGTGTGCCATCATAAACGACGAGGATAAAACAGTGGCAGACAGCGTGACCCCCTGTATAGGGGATATCGCGCGGGCAATAGACTTGTTACTTCCTCGTGTCCGTTCGGGTGGGCGAGTCATTTATGTTGGCGCAGGGACAAGCGGCAGGTGCGTATATTTTATTATGCAGTATCGATATGTGAAAAATGTAGTCTGACGAGGGAGATTCATCTTCTAGATTAGGAGTATTGGACAGTTCAGAGATACCTCCTACTTTTGCAGCACCGCCTACCCAATTCGTCGGCTTGATAGCAGGAGGAGATGCCGCGATTCGTCAGGCACAAGAAGGGGCAGAAGATAGCCCTATAGCCGGCAAAGATGATTTGGTAGCGTTAAACCTAGACGCTGAACGTGATAGCGTTATCGGTATCGCGGCATCTGGTCGCACGCCATACGTCCTTGGAGCGCTTGAATATGCCAAGGGCGTGGGCTGCCTCACGATTGGAGTGGCGTGTGTATCCCCATCAGAGATGGGGCAATTGGGCGCCCTCGATGTGATGATATCACCTTTGCCTGGTCCTGAAGTTGTCACAGGAAGCACAAGACTCAAGGCGGGCACTGCAACGAAGATGGTGTTGAATATGCTAAGTACTGGGACTATGATTAAGGCCGGTAAAACATCTGGAAACATGGTTAGTGTATCCGGTCAATAAATGTTATTCTATATATACCTATATATAACGTAAGAAATGCTGTTATTGTTTGCTAACTTGAATGTGCAACATAGATGGTGGATCTGATTGCATCGAACAAGAAGCTCAAGCAAAGGTCGCGAAATATTCTTCGGAAAGTCAGCAAACACTGCTCTTTGATGGCCGACCACGATCTTGACGACCTTCTTGCTCGCTGCAATGGTAGAGTAAAACTCGCAATTGTCGTCGCAGAGAAGGGCACCTCGATAGAACAGAGCCAGCTCGAGCTAGATATGGCCCAGGGAGTTCTTGCTAAGGTCCTCGCTCACGAAAACGGGAGCCAAGTTGAGCAACCCCTGGTGAATGGGTCTAATCGCCACCGAGCAGTGCTTTGCATAGATGGTGGAGGATCTAAATGTGCCGCTGTAGTAGGGATCCTCAGTGGTAACACCGGGAGTGGTGTCGCTGGGCCTTGCAATTTGTATGGGCCTCCAACTCCTTAAACGAACATAAATGAAATATGCGCTAATATTACTAGAACTGATGGAGAATACGACACTTCAATGAATTCAGTGATTACAGCTGCGCGCAAGGCACTGAAAAATCTCCCTCGGACAACTCAGGAACTCAACGGTATCAACGGTTCAATTCATTCATCGAACAATCAAGAATCTTTCTCTTCTATCTGGGTTGCTGCTGCCGGAATGGACCGCCCAGGAATGAAAGAACGTGTACAAGCGACCATCACACAGCAATTGGACCTTGATAAGTCGGTACAGGTGCGAGTATCCAACGACGTAGACCTGCTAGCTGCAGCCATGGTACGGCATCCCGAGGTTTCTTCTAGCCTTGTTGTTATTGCCGGTACTGGTAGCATCGCCATTCGCTATGCTCTTGAGAGCAATGATGGTACACCAAAACGAGTTGCACGTGCTGGAGGATGGGGTCATCTCCTTGGGGACGAGGGTGCCGGGTTTGCAATTGGAAGACAAGCTGTCCGGAAGACGTTGTGTTCTTTAGAGGAGATAAACCTGGGTCACCGAAGAGCCGGACTTAGTCCACTCGACACCAAAGTTGTGGAATTCTTTTCGGGATCGCTGCTGGGAAGAGAGAGCGATCTCAGTAATATCGACCTGCTAAGCAACGTCCTAACAGCAAGCGACGAGGGAACTGCCAAAGGCCGAATTGCAAGCATCGCCCAGACAGTTCTTGATTTGGCTGGAGCCGGGAACGCCGAGGCCGTGGATATCATCTCTCAGCAAGTATCAAATTTTGTCGACAATACTTTGCGTCGTTTGCTCAATCCCCAGTCGCAGGGGTATGTAGATCCTTCAAGGTGCGGTCTCATTCTTTCCGGCAGCGTGATGCTCCACAGCGTCTACCAGACCGTTTATCAACTTGCTTTAGCAAAGCATGGGATTAGGTTCTGCTACACAGAAGCTGTTCCTAATGCGGCCGTTATCGGGGTTGAATATCTATTGGCATCAGAGGCCCGCCCGAAGCTGTCAAATGGAGTATCTTGAATTCTTGTATAATATAGCATCTATTTCAATTTTTAGAACCAATATCGCCTGGGAAATAGATTCTGGCCTATCTGCAAACAATCAAAAAGAAAAAAGGCAAATTAACGACGGAAAGTATGATCATTTTGCAGTCTTGTCCGTTTATATGCAAATCTATACAGTCTATGTATGCGATACTCTATGTGTTTTAGCTGGCTAAAAAAGTCCAATACAACTACAACCACCCATTTTCCGTCATCTTTTCCTCCCCCTCTAGTCAAAAATAGATGCCTTCATCGAGTTGGGCTGGATGTATTCGGAGGCATTACGGAAGCTGGAAAAACCCCAACGTATCTGCGCAGCCATGGCAATTTCGACGTCCAAGTCCTTGGCAAAATGCCATGCTAGTCCTGTATCACGCTGGAATGCTCGTCCAACTAGAATCACATCGGCCTGATTCTCATTTAGAATCTTTTCGGCCACGTTGCCGTTGTTGATCATCCCGACAGCAGCCACCAGCATCCTATCCCCAACTGCCTTTTTAACTGCAGCAGCAAAGGGTGCCTGAAATGCCGGGCCGCCCTTGACCTTTTGCTCGCTGTGCACACCCCCGGTACTGATATCGATCAGATCCACGGCACCCTGCCTCGCTAGAGCTTCGGCAAACTTGACCGTATCCTCACTCTTCCATCCTTGTTCATCCGACTCCAACCAGTCGGTAGCCGAAACACGAAGAAAGACAGGCACTTCAGGACCAACCGTGTCACGAGTCAACTGAGCAATCTCCAAGGGTAGTCGAATACGGTTCTCGAAGCTGCCACCATACTCATCCGTACGCTGGTTGCAAGAGGGACTCAAGAATGAAGACAAGAGGTACCCATGTGCATTGTGAATCTCGACGAAATCCACACCTGCTGCCAAAGCTCGCTTAGTGGCGGCCACCCACGCCTCCTTGAACTCGATAATATCCGCCTTGCTCATAGCCTTGGGGATGATCCCTCCCGGGGCGAAGGGGATGGCGCTTGGTGCAATGACCTTCTCTACCCAGCCGCCAACAGCGTCCGTTGCAATGCCTCCGCCCAGCCAGGGAGGCACAGTTGAGGCCTTGCGGCCGGCGTGGGCAAGTTGGATTCCAATCTTCTGACCCTGGCTGTGTGCGAACTCAACGACCTGTCTGATGGGCGCAATCTGCGAGTCCTTCCACAGGCCGACGCAACTAGGCGTGATCCGACCCTCCGGCAGGACCCCGGTGGCTTCGATGATCATCATCCCTGGGCCACGCTGTGCGATTCCACCGTAATGCGCCAAGTGCCATGGAGTCATGTGGCCGTCATCGGCGCTGTATTGGCACATGGGCGCCAGCTGCAGTGCAAAGAATCAGTCTTGGTTGTTCTTGTTGCATAGTCGATAGGACAAGCACGAGAGACACATACCCCCAACCTGTTCTGGAATGTCTGTCCTCTAATAGTCAACGGACGGAACAACTGCGGGATGGGTTTGCCGCTGGACTGCGGGTTGCGCGCTGTGCCGGCCGGAGGGCTCTGCGCAGGGGTGAAATATGAGATGCCCGCGGCGGGCTCAGTAGGAATGTCCGGCCAGTTTGTCATGTTGATCTTGGTGGGTTTTCTGAAGTCAATTGAAGATAGTCAAGCATGAATTTAGTTGTGCCCGTCAGCACTTTATGTTCTCCTCTGCACGCTACATCGTTTCCCCCTAGGTACCTGCAAGAACCTTGGAAACTTCCAGTTTCTGTTGATTTCTAAGCCACTTCTGTTGAATGATTAGTAATGGAGAGAAGTTGGACTCTGTGATTGAGAATTTTCTTGGGAAAAAAAAAAAAGTGGGAAATGATATTTTTTTTTTGGAAATTGTAATGAAAGTGGTATTTTACATTTCTATTACATACATGCCAAGCATGTGTGGGCATAGCGGCAACATAATCTAGCCAATAAAATCTTACATCTTCTACGATTTGCCACTTTTTCAACCCGAAATAAAATTTTTCATATATTTATCACGTAATTACAAAATTTGTAATGTTTAGCCACTTGGTAATCTGTACATGTACTGTAATCTTCCGCGGGCCCTCCACAGCACTGCTTGAGCAGTTCAGGACACCCATTTAATTGGAATATCTCCGATCTGCAGAACTAGTAGGGTGGAGCAGAGAGCGATTATCATCAAATAACAAACTATTGGGAAATTTTCTGGTTCATAACCTTGACTTGACCTACGTAACAATCATACGGATGGATCCTGATACTACAAAACAACCATCTCGCCAGCAAATGCCGCAGATCTGTAAAACAGAGGTAACGCATCTGCTGTGCCAACGTGATCCATCTTCAAAGTTTGGTTATGAGTATGCTCAAGTATGTATAGAATCAAGCATACCTGACTTCCTCAAACATACCGTCTGCAACTGTTAATGGTGCCACCGGTCAGTCTTGTCTCGTTTACTTTCTACTAAGCCCGCTCTTCTGGTATCACGGGCAGCGCCATTGTGCACCACTTATGTAGGAACTTGCAATATAGAAAGATCCATTCAAGAACAAGCCTCGGCATTGAAGCCTCGGGATCCGTAAGATATCTCTGCTGAGTACATCTATTTCTGTACTTACCTGGTACGAGATAACTGATTTGAGCTTTATAGCCGACTTTGGTAGTTTCAAAGTCTATTAACTAGTGAATTTATCGCAATCAAGACGTTGAAGGAGAGCAAATATCTTGGTATAGTCCAACGAAATTTGGCAGCCTCAGGCCTCCCGGGCAGCCGTAACGCCTTCTTATCAGCAGCCAATCATATTCGACGCGGAGTTGGAAGTCAAGCTCAACCCAAGAGACCTCAGTTTCTCTGCATTGTCTCTCTGTCGCAGAACATGATTGGCTCTACGAAGCGTGCAGTCGAAAAGAACCGCGTCAGGATTCCTTCGTGCGAGCCCTGCCGGTTGTCCAAGGTCGCCTGTGACCACCGGCGTCCAGCATGCTTCCGCTGTGTTCATCGCGAGATCGCAGCGCAGTGCACCTACAGGAAGAATCCCTTCAGAAGAAATAGGCCAATTCGAGCTATGGAGCAGCGAAATGACGTGTCAGTGTTGGACAGTCAGAATCATTCAAAGGGAAAGACAGCTAATGCACAATAGACTTCTTCCATCCACTCCGGGAAATGACGCCTCGTCTGAGAGACCAGTGGCCACTTTCCAAATGAAACCATATCCAAACCCAGGTTTTCAAGGATCCTCTTCTCTAAAGACAGTGTTGGATAATCTGGGAGACCACCTGGCCGTCAGGATCGACACCTCACCGTCTCATCTTAACGACCAGCAATCATCCCGAGACGCTGTGCTGCGGGCAGACAGCTCTAAAATGGTCGATGAAGGGGTGCAATTATTAGATACCTTCCTTAATTACCTTGCAGATGATGCATTTCGTCGACTGTTCTCGGAAGCAAAAGGAGGTGGTCTCCAAACCCACCTGGGAACGTTTTTACTTTTCCCATTCTTCGAAAGCCTCGCAAATGAGATTGATATCATTCGCCAATCGCAGAATCGGCAGGCCAGCTTGTTTGCTTTATCCCAGCGTCTGTTCAAAAAGGCAGGTCAACCTATTGAAATCCACAGCTCGATGACTCTCGAAGAGTTCGCTGCTCAGTACACGGGTTCGAATTTACGATGGGAGACAGTGGGATTGATCATTACCCTAGCTGGGTGAGCGCCCTAACTTGCGCAAATGTTATATCAAAAATACTCACGAGAGAAGCATTGCTTCCACTGAGACAAGGGTTCCACATCCTGTTTGCAAAACAGAAGAAGAGCGACAGCTATTGAGGACAAGTCTGGTCCATTTGACCAATAAGTGTGTGGGCTTCTGTGACTCTTTAGACACTTTGAACGACGTAATGATGATATTTCTCTATGAAAGCTTTCTGCTCGCTTCTGTCTTCTATGGTGACCAAAGTAAGGGCACGCAATCTCAAGTCGTTTGGCAATACTGACATAAAGCACAGGTTTCAAAGCATGGAGAAGACTTAATCACGCTTCCAGCGCGCTCTTTGCAGACGGGCTCCACGAAACCGTGAAGGAAAAGCAATACCTCCCTTTCTTCCTAACCCAGTTACGCCAACAGACTTTTGCTCGCATATATGGATCCGATATTAGCTTTGCTGTCTTTCTCGGTCGACCGCCTAGGGTAAGTAAACGTTTCTGTTTTACCAACATGCCTCTCGACATTGAAGAAGACACATATAGTTTGGTTGGGGAAGCTCTGGATCAAGAACTAGCCCATCTTGATCGAAATGGATGGAATACCCTTGGTCAAATAAGGAAAAGTGCCGTCATTCGGTGGTCTATGATTACATCAATGATCCGCGAGGATGCTCTAGAAACCTTGCTTGGTCGAAATCTCTCCAACGTGGCAGAGAGAATCAGGTAATTATCACACCAGACTTTCTACACAATTTATTAAATTTGACAAAACTCTTAGTGAACTACAAGCGAAAATCGACCATGCATGGAAAGAGCTTCCTTCTTTTCTTACAGTACCAACCCAGGATCTGTGGTTGAGAGGACGACCATGTCATGAGGTAGACGCTTTACATCAGATTCGTCTGTGTTATCTAAATACCACGTTTTTGATCGAATGGGCGGCCTCTCGACATGGCCTTAACAACTCTGGTGCTTTGTTCGTGAACGCTAGCGAACTTCTTGCGTGGGTCAACGAAGCTCTCGTGAGGCGTGAGCAACTTTCCGAGCTGGGCCTAATCTCTCTAGCATGGAGGGTGAGTGATGTTAATCTTCCAGTTACTCACCGTGGATACTAAACGCAACAATGGACTAGGTTGCTTCTTGCGCTTTACCTGCTGCGGGAGCTATTGCCTGGTACCTTTTACAATTCAAACTCGATCCTTCGTCAAGACGAAGCAGCATTGAAAATCTGTCTGTCCTGATTGCTCATATGGGCGTTTTACATGACCCTGGTGATGGTAACTACCAGCTATTCTGCCAAGCTAAAGGTGCCCTGCAATCTGCCATGGACACTATCCTTGATCCTCCAAATACAAGTCAGCCCGAAAGTTCGTTGAACATGCTGTCTTCGGCCGCACTAGCACCATCGCCGGACTGGATGCTTTCGGATTATCTGGGGCTTGGAGTGGATTCTTGGTAGGCAATGTGTTTGTTCCGTCTGAGTTGAGGTTTGTGAGCTAATTACTCGACAGGATCGGTCTTCCAGATCGTGGTTCTTTTATGGCAATGGACGACAACATGCCCTACTGAGTTACTCGAGTTGCATTGAATGCCAAAGACGTGTACAAAAGCAATGGTTCATCATCAATTTCCCCCATCACCTAAGCCAGCTTGACCTGTGTTTCAATATCAAGACTATCCTAGCACTCGCATAAAATATCCGAACGTTCCTCCCCGCATCTTCGACTCCGCAATCGAGTCCAAGACTCCACACTAAAAACGCGGCCCCCACGCAGTTACGTTCGACGCCGCAAGCCCTAAGAATAGGGCAGCTGTGTGGGTTCCAAAGCCTAAGAAAGCACCCGAAGCCCTAAGCTCCCGCCAGCCGGTTAGGGGACGGGCCCAAGGCTAACTAAGCCTAACAAAGCCCGCTAATAAGAGCGAGATAGCGACGCCAAACAAAAGCAACATTTGCTATTAATGACAAGTTTATATATATTCTATAACAATAAGCAACATCCACACCTACAACCATCCTAGCAATCTATTCTTGCTGCCTTCGTACAGTTCAAAAAGCGGGCCCAGGCTGTAACCAATAAAAGCGCTGCATTTCTGTGCCGCAGCCCCTCCAACTCCAGAATTATTTTGGCCGTCTTGCGAGCGCTCTGAAGATGAACATATCCACAACCAACCCCCTTGAGATTGACGCGAAGCATAATGACAGAACAGCCACAGAGCTTGAGAGACCTCTTTCAAGCTGCAAAGGCCCAGAAGCAGTCCGTCGAATCCAGCGCTGAGCCAAATAGCGATGCTTACCGCGGGGAAGTGTCGGCGGCCGTCGCCAAGCTCGAAGAATGCCAGAGACTGATCAGCCAGGTCTCGCTCTTCAGCTCAAACGAAGGTCTGGAGGATATCGCCACTACCGACTTGCAGTATGAAGAGCTCCATCCTCCCATTTCAACGGATTTCGTTGCTTCGTTTCTAACGCTGTCTCCCAAGATTTCTGACTGTCGACTATCTCCTGGCTGAACTCGTCCAGCGCTTGTCGTCCGCCAACCGAGAAACTGTGCTGCGTCGTGCCTTGGGAGAATACGAGAAATACTTGACGCGACTGGATGATTATAACTTGTTATCGGCCCGCGATAGGAAATTATTCGAGCAATATTCGGAGAACCCTTCAAAGTTCTCTCTCGCCTCGAAAAGCGACGCTGCCAACAGACGCGAGGTCAAGGTTGCCAGGTTCCGCGAAGAGAAAGAGCTCAAGCAGAAGTTAGAGGTATTTTCAACAATACCTGTTTTCGCATACGTATAGGAGGAGGGGTGGGCGCATTCGCTGACAATTTATTTCCATACAGTATTTCTCACAAAATCAGGACCGACTCCAAAGCGATGATGAAACGACAAGACAATTATATTTGGCGGAAATCAGCCTTTACACCCACCAGACTTTCCAATCACTTGATATGATTGTGCAAGAGCTAGACATGCTCTCACAAATGCGAAGCGCCCCTCCTACTTCAGCCGAGACCCTTCGAGATGACCCAAGGAGACGAGATGCTGCAAACCAAAATACATATTCAGAGCGGCTCGATGCCCCTCTCAGCCAGTTGCTGAGAGGTGGACGCTCAGGGCCGTTGTTGAGCAAGACTGGCAAACCTTTACAGCCATTCACGCTGACAAACCGGCGTACCGAGCTCCAAAATGGCGTCTTCAGACCAGGGCATAATTTACCGACCATGTCTATTGATGAATATCTGGAAGAGGAACGGAAGCGAGGCGGCATTATTGAAGGGGGAAATAATGATATGCCTCAAGAAATTGACGAAGATGATCTGGACAAAGCCGATGAAGAAACTATGAAAGCACGTGCCTGGGACGAGTTTAAAGAAGCTAACCCGAGAGGCTCTGGCAATACATTGAATAGGGGCTGAGCGGGATCTGTCTGTCGCAAAAGATGGTTAAGCTATACACCAGGCTTAATTTCGACTGCTCTGGAGACAGGATGGCATCCAGACAAGTGCCCAGGTGCTAACATGAGGTCTACGCACGTGGCAGCAGACATACTGCCAAAGGCTATCAAGCATTTATCCACTACAGAAACTCAAGGCCACCGAATTAATCTTGTGTAAATATCTAGTATCCGGGGTCGAGATAATAATGACTCAACTCTATAGTAGACAACAGCGGTGCTGATTCCATATTCAATTCACATCAGCAGTGCCTTAAGCCTGGCGGCTTGACCTTTTATTTGAAATTAGTCTACAGAATATATGTACCTAGGAAATACCCATCGTTTTACTAACAAAATTCACGACTCTGCCTTCAATCAAGAAGTAGCCTTGTTCTGTTTAATTTCCTCGAGAATCGGCGCAGCTCCATTCGCTAGCAACTCCTTCGCCAGCTCCAACCCGAAGGTCTCGGCTGCTACTGGGCTGTCGATGGCCTTTTCAAGTTCAGCGGTAGAATGCCGTGTTCCATCAACACTGACAACAATGGTTCGCGTCTGTAGTTTCATCGTTCCATCCGTATCCCTGATCCACTCGGATTCCACTCCAAGTGGCGCACTGCAGCCACCTTCGACTGTTCTCAGCAGGCTACGTTCAGCCAGGACTGTGAAGAACGTCTCCTTGTGGCCAACTTCATTAAGCATATCCAACGTCACACTGTCATCGCTGCGGATTTCAATGCCAATCGCACCCTGACTAACGGCATAAAAGAAGCCTCCGTTTTTTGAATCAAGGTACTGGGTGATTCTATTCCCAAGACCAATCCGTAACAACCCGGCCGCCGCTAAGATAATACAACTGTACGGGCCGTCCGCTGCGTCCAACTTTGCCACACGGGTCTCGACATTACCGCGCACGCTTTCGACCTTCAAATGTGGGTATTTCAAAGCTAATTGAGCTGTGCGGCGTATCGATGAGGTACCGACAACAGAACCAGCAGGAAGCTCAGAAAGCGAGGTATAGGGCAGACCAGGCTTAACGAGAAGCACATCTCGTGGGTCTTCGCGGACCAAGACGCCTCCTAGGGCGCAAGTGGAAGGGAGTAAAGTAGGCACATCTTGTAAAGGAACAGAAGCATGTCAATAGCAGCCCAAATACCACCATTCAGGTCCAGGTTAACATACCTTTTAATGAATGCACAATGAAGTCTAGTTGCCCGCCAACGAGTAACTCTTCCAGCTCTTCTGTCCACAGATTCTTGGTGGAGAAGTCTTTCAATGCGGTGCTCTTGTCTCGATCGCCCGCGGTGTCCTTTGACTTAATGTTGAATTCGTACTCAGGGTACCGCTGCTTCAAGGCATCCACGACCTGTTGTGTCTGGGCGAGGGCAAGCTTCGACTTGCGAGTGCCAATGTTAAAGGTCTTCCTCTGCTGCGGGGCAGTCGCCATGTTGACACGGTTCAGGTGCAGGAACAAAAAATAGCAGAATCGAGCAGGCGGTCTTCAGAGGACAGTCAGAATCGGTTCTTTGGACCAAAGATTAGCACACGTCAGCTCGAAGTAGACTCGTACAGAATAGTAACATCTGGTGAAGGAGTATATGTGATCACGGGATCAGATGGGAAAATTGCGCTCGGCAGCGGCTGCCGGCCGATAAGATAGAGTGACGTCGCCAAGCCAGCCCCGGCCTCGGCTGACTTGCCTCGGCCTCATCTGTCTTGCCTCATCTCCGTGCAAGCTCACTCCATCTCAATATCGTTCTTGTTTTGTTGTTCTTATCTTCTCTATAACGACTGGTGACTGGTGGCTGTCTGTGAAAATGAGGCCAACCAACGGCAAGACGGCGAAACTGCCCCTCGTGCCCCTGGCCAAGGATACGGTGCTGCTTCCAGGCGTCACTCTGCGCATCTCCCTGAAGAACCGACCCGATATCGCCAATCTCCTTACGTCTCTCGTGAATCGAGGCAAGCGAGACAACAGTCCCATTTCCATCGCCTGCGTTCCACTTGCTTCGCCGCACTTGAGTAAGGACGGTTTGCAGCTTATAGACAACGGCTCGGATTCCGAGAACCAGGAAGAGGAGGGTGTCGATGCAGGACAGGCCCGTAAAGACGATCTTTTCAAGCATGGCACGCTTGCAAAGATTGTTGGAGTCCAGCGTCGTGTCTATTCGGAACCATATCTCCTTGTCGAGGGTATGAAACGACTTTCAGTTGTCAGGGTCCTTAAGGAGCGACCGTTCTTTGAAGCCGAGGTGACGCTACACGATGAAGTCGGTGAGTGGAAGCTTCCTTTACTCTACCAAGGGTAGTATTAACATTGTACTGTGTAATAGCTCCCAGCTCCAAGGATGCCGAATCGCTTGAACTCTTCCAGCACCTGAAACAACTCTCCCGCGAACTTCTAACGCTGTTAAGGCTCGCGTCTCTTTTTCCTTCGAATTCCTCGAATTTATCCCCTACGGTTGCTCGTAGATTTGAGCTGTTTATTTCTCGACGGGAATTTCCACAGGCAGGGAATCTGGCCGACTTCATGGCCGATATTGTTGAGACAAGTCTCGAAGAGAAGTTGCGTGTCTTAGCAGCGTTCGATATCAAAGATAGACTCGAACGAGTCATCGAGCTGCTTAATAGACAAGTTCAAGGAATTAAGAGCAACGTTAAAATAACATCCATCACTACAACAAACATTCCACCAAATTCAGCTTTTGACATTACACAATTAGACCCAAGATTGGCACAACGTGCCATGACTGGCCTCAACGGATTCTCTCCCAATGGCTCAGGAGGTGGAAAAGATGATGAGAAGGAACCGAACGAGGTCGACGAACTTGAACAACACCTTGAAGAGGCGCAACTGAGCCCGGAAGCTCGCAAAGTGGCCGACCGGGAACTGAAACGACTACGCAAAATGAACCCCGTCAATGCAGAATACGGAGTTTGCCGGTCATACCTAGAGAATTTAGCTGAGATTCCCTGGACGAAAACAACAGAAGATCGACTAGGAAGCGATACTTTACAACGAGCTAGAAGACAGCTGGACAACGATCACTATGGATTAGAAAAGATAAAGAAACGCTTACTTGAATATCTTGCCGTTCTGAAATTGAAACAGACCGTCAATATCGATGTTGACCGCCAAATTTCCGAAGTATCGGACCAGCTTAGTGCATCGGACAAAGACTCGGACGGTAACGATTCCCTCTCTCAACCTGAAAAAGAGGGCTTGGAGACCAAACTTCAAATTTTGAAAACAAAGCGCACTGTTGATAAATCGCCTATCTTACTATTGGTTGGGCCACCAGGCACGGGTAAAACCAGCTTGGCCAAGTCGGTGGCGACGTCTCTTGGGCGCAAATTCCATCGAATATCCCTCGGTGGCGTACGAGACGAAGCCGAAATTCGAGGCCATCGCCGGACTTATGTTGCGGCAATGCCTGGCCTCATCGTCAATGGCCTGAAGAAGGTTGGCGTTGCAAACCCTGTTTTTCTCCTTGATGAGATCGATAAAGTTGGCGGGTCTAATTTCCATGGAGATCCATCGGCTGCCATGCTTGAAGTTTTGGATCCGGAACAGAACCATAGCTTCTCCGACCACTATATCAACATTCCTATCGACTTGAGCAAGGTCCTCTTCATTGCTACAGCCAATTCATTGGATACTATTCCGGCTCCCTTGCTTGACCGTATGGAGACGATTACACTTGCCGGCTATACTACTGTAGAAAAACGACATATTGCCAGGCAGCATCTCCTTCCAAAGCAGATTCGAACCAACGGTTTGTCTGATAACGAAGTGTCCTTGTCAGACGAAGTCCTTGACAAGATCATCACCGCGTATACCCGCGAGTCTGGCGTCCGGAATTTGGAACGTGAAATAGGCTCGGTCTGTCGCTACAAGGCTGTGCAGTATGCCAACGCGACGGAAACGAATCAAATGGAGTCTTATGTTCCGAATGTGTCCATTAACGATCTTGAGGAAATCCTTGGAATAGAACGCTTTGACGAGGAAATTGCCGAGACGACTTCTCGACCAGGTATCGTAACCGGTCTCGTGGCGTACTCTACCGGTGGTCAAGGCAGTATTCTCTTCATCGAGGTGGCAGACATGCCTGGTAATGGCCGTGTTCAGCTCACCGGAAAACTAGGAGACGTCCTCAAGGAGTCTGTTGAGGTCGCACTAACCTGGGTAAAGGCTCATTCATTTGATTTGGGTATCTCGCATGATCCCAACGAGGATATCATGAAAAATCGGAGTCTTCATGTCCATTGCCCATCTGGCGCTATTCCCAAGGATGGACCATCTGCTGGTCTGGCACATACTATTGCACTGATTTCTCTCTTTTCGGGCAAACCAGTGCCGCCCCAAATTGCAATGACCGGTGAAATATCTCTTCGCGGTCGAGTGATGCCGGTTGGTGGTATTAAGGAGAAACTCATCGGTGCTTTACGTGCGGGTGTGAAAATAGTCTTATTGCCATATGCCAATCGCAAGGACGTCAAAGACGTACCACAGGAGGTCAAGGACGGTCTTGAAATAATCTACGTAAAGTATGTATCTACCAATATCCATCCAGACACCATCCTTTTCAATTCAATCACACTAATAATTTGCTTATAGGCACATTTGGGAGGCCCTTCGTGTTGTTTGGCCGCAGACTCATTTCCCCGGACAGCAGCATCTTAATATGTTCGAGAGCCATCTATAGTTTTCCGTCACACATACTTTCTTGATTGCTACTATTGGCGTCGTTTATTTATTTATTTGGTGTATATCGTACAACATAGTGAATTGATATTTTTTTCTCTTGGCATCTAATACCAGCCCATGTCTCCTCTCCTTCGCAGGATGTCAGTATTGTGAGCAAGCAAGCAAATTTGCGACAAATATATGCTACAAAGAAAGATTTTGATGTAGAAAAAAGAAGTGTGATATAAAGTATTGGTACATGGTCAAAAGAAAAAAAAAGTACAGGAAAGACCTCAACAGTAGGAACAATTAAAACAACAAGCTTCTTTGGAAAATGCCTCTGACAAGCGACTCGATTTATGGGTCCGTCGAAGATGATGGCTTTCCACTATCCGTCGAGTCACTCGATTCTATCGATTCTGTCTGTTTCTCGGCCTCTTTCGGCTGCGTCACCGAGAATTTCGCCAAGGAGGGTCGATCGTATCGCAGTCCAAGGGCCTGCCATGTTGGTTTCCAAGTTGTCTTGCCCTCTAGAAGGTCCTTGGCTTGCTGCTCAAAGCTCTCCCTTTCGTTTTTGACTGGCTTCGCGGAAGCGGCTGGTTGTTTGGATTCCTGGATATCGGTGCTGTATCTCTGTTGGTTGTAGAATTGTTCTTTCTCCCAGCTAAAGATATATCAAAAGAAGACTCGTCAGTATATCTATAAATGAACCAGAGTTAAAGATAAATGAAAAGGGAAAGATGTAGCATACGCAGACTGATCCTGGGGAAGTTGCGGCCAGACAAATGGCTCAAACATTTCAATTGTCATCTTCTTCTTTGATTTCGGTCGTCGGAGTGGTCCCTGGCCCATGCGATCTCTGAGTTGTCGTGTGACCTTTTGTTGCTCAACATAGCTTCGGATACGTAGAATATCGACGTTATATAATTTCTTCATGTAGTCGCGCATATCGAGCTTGTTGAATTCGAGAGGGACGTAGAAGGAGGCATATCGTGGGGGAAGAAAGGGAGTGTGAATGAGAGCAATAACGAATTCGGGTCTGCAGTTTCGGATTTCGCGTGTCAGTCTTCTTCTTTTTCTATCTTCTCATTTGACCATGTAGGAGTCCTAGGGGAGGAAAGATTGCGAGCTCTGTCAGCACGGCACTTACAGGAAAACATTCTTAGGTCTCATGTACTTTTTTCTCGAAAGTACTCGCACCATTTTGCCACCGGTGTGTCGGTAAACAGATAAATATAAGACCGGAGAGCAATTGGTGTGGTTTTTTTGCTGGTCACTGTGGTCGATTGGCGGTTGTTTAGTCGTTGATGTTGAACCGCTAGCAAATTATCTTTGATGTCCGTCAGAATAATCAAATTGCATCTTTGGCCGCGCCGCGTGCCGTACGCTACATTTTCTGCCTCAGGTGTCGAATTTCCAAGCAGCCACAATAAACCGGAATTGCTGAAGGGTTCATTCGATCTGGTTGTTTTCGTAGATACGTACTCCCTACATTTCGGACTCGTACGTAGTCAATCTTTTAACATACCTAGGTAATGAAAGGCTACTTGGGTGTTTCTCTGCCGCTACAAGCCATGGACGGTTTCTCCTTTCTGTTTTATATTTACACCAATTTTCATCTACAAATTGTATTGGCCGTATTCGTAAGCTCCTTGTGATTTCAAATGTACGAGTGCTGCTCGCCAGGGTAGAGATTATCCAGAGTCAGAAACTTTCAGGTCGTCTATCCTCCTTGTGCTCGAGTCTATATCACGATCCGTCGATGCAGCCTCTGGTCGACCATCTTCATTGCTATCCTCTTCCTGCGCCTCATCCTCTTCCTCTTCTTCTTCCTCCTCGTCATCATCATAGCTCTCATTTTCACCATCGTCCAGGTCACTGCGTTCGGCATTTTCAGCATCGCCATCAACTCCTACTTCCTTCATATACTTCTCCAACTCTCGAGCCATTTTTCTCGAGAACCCGGAGGCTTCGACTTCGACATCTAACCGCTTTCCAGGACTTTTCTTAAGCTGTTTCTTTGCGTCCGCGAAGAACGGGCCAGGGTCATCGCTTGTAAACCCATATCGACGTTGGAAGTATCGTTTTATACAGTTCACGTCACGGTCAAAATACATCTCTGCATTGGCATGGTCGACGGAGACCATTTGAGGAAAGTCAATTAGTATCGGAATCAGCCGTATATCATCGTCGTTAGGCTCTGCATTCTCAGGGGCCTTGCCCTTTGCATTGATATCCGTTTCTTCCTTGATCAATATATTGAATTCGTTGAAATCACCATGAATTAGACCATAGCGCGCAAGTTTGACGATCATAGCCATCAGCTCCGCGTAAAGAACAGCTGGTTTCCCAACCTTGGAAATCTGTCTCAAGGGAAAAGCGTCAATCAAACTCATGACAATAGTGTGTCGGTTCTGGGCGATGGGCTCCGGGACTGGGAAGCCATTTTCGCGAAGTGCTTTCATAAAAGTAAACTCCTTAACCGCGGCGAGTCGCGACATATACATCCATGATCCAGTGCTGCGATTGCGAAGGTAATCGCGATTCGTCTTGACAGTGCGAAACGAGATACGGCCGAGACGGTGGATTTTGAGGATACGCTGCGATCCGTCGGAAGCGGCAACGACAATGATATCCGACTCCTTGCCAACACCAATTTGGTTTCCGACTGAGTAGATGCTTTTCTGCTTTTGATGGGTGTTGAGCGCTAAATAATCGAGACCACCGTATGTTAATCTGTATCCGTCGTCTGTATACTCGCCCAGAACATTAGTATAAACATCTAGGTCTCATCTGCATATGCGGGGATGAATTATTAACCACGTACACTTAGCATTCTTTACTTTGGCAATGAGGTTAATCTTGGCTAGATTCGAAATGCTCTTGTGGACACCGCTGCCACCTCGAAGGCCAGATAACTGCACGATTAAAGGAGTCGGGACGACTTCATGATTGCGACTTCCTGCCTCGACCTGTACATTTGATTCACCTCTTGTTAACCGTCAAACAAATCAATCCGACGCAAAGCGATGAGCAGCGTTGCGACAAACTTACAGCAGCAAGGACTCGAAAGTCCTCTGCGGTGAGATACCGCATTGCCTTTGCGTCGAGCTTCATGGTTCTTTCTTTGGCAAGTAGGAAAAATTGAACTGGGAGGTAGAAACATGCGTTGTTTCGAAAAGATCGGGCAGTCACAACGCTCCCCGCAACATAAAAAAAAAGATACAGCCCTAAGCCCTAATTACCTAATTGGGAACAACTTCTGATTCTGATATTCAATCGCAAAGGGATCTACAAAGCATTCGACACAGCTTTTCAAGTCATAAAATTGCTTCAATTCTTTACACATACGGGCCTTAAACCTTGTGTCTATGTAACTGCATATATTTCACTGGATTAAGCCCACAGGGGCAGAGAAGCGTCCACTTTAACATGGACATGTTGTTGTTTTGACCCGTTATGTTTTCGTTTACGCCCCCCTCCAGGCACATTGAGCAGGCCATACTTCAGCGTACAGAATAATTCCAGATGGCGACTGAGAGAAATAAGTAGTGGTAGCGGAATATAATTACGAAGAACTTTCCCATTCGGGATTCTAGTGTGAAATGGTTAGACATACACAGGTGAATCAATAGATAAGAACGCGACTTACCTTGCGCAGAATGACAAGTCCTTCAAGTGTACTGCTGAGAGGGATATATTGCTCATCTTCAAGCTCAGCCCTCTCGCCGTGACTAAGAAGGACGGGTGTACTCTGTGTTTGCCAACCAGTAATAGTCTTTGGTCGACCAGCCTGACCAACAACATCCACAGCCTGACCGACGCGCACATTCACGGTGAGAGGCTGCAGGTCCTCATCAAGGGTAACAAGGAAGCGTGGATGCATTGCTGTGATGAGGAAATATAGAAGGTAGTGATGCTCCGCCAGAATGAACTGCTTCGCATCAATCATGGCGATCAGAACAGTTAGCAAGCCTGCAGCAGCCACTCGAGATAACACTTGGCGGTCTGTGTGGAATGGGTTGACAGAAACTGTTCCCTTGCCCGCATGCAGAAGACCTTGAGCAATTCTGACCATGAAGAGAGAGTTCTGATCACGGTGGTAGTAGCTGGCGAGCTGTCTAAGTAGTTGCGCTAGACGGGCATTATTGGTACCGGCACCCGTCAAACCCATGGCAAAGATGGCGTTGATAGCAACATCATTGTCGTTATCGTGACTGTATCGTGACAGGGTGTCGTAGACTTTCATCTGGGGATTGCTGGGGCTCACAAGTCCCATTGCAAGTGGCACAGCCTTCCGGATGTTGCTAGCGCCATAATGCATCAAATGTCCAAATTGTCGCAGAATCATGTCTTGACCAACATCTTCTCCCATAGCGATAAGAGACAGACCGAGGACAGCATATGACTGAACCAATTCATCACCTTTGTTCTCCTCCTTGTCTTCGATGAATTCATTACATGTGTGAAGGAGTTCCTGAAGCTTCAAGACAGTGCCAGTGCCAGCCCACGCGCAAACCGAAGCAAGAACAGCTGTGGGTTTAGCCATGGGGTGGTCAACAGCTTTGAGAATGTCCAGGATGACATCAACCTCCTCCTGTCTGCCGAAGTATAGCAAAGCCAATCCAAGTGCCATGAACCTTGTCCATTTGTCTTTAAGCTGCTTTTGCCGTTCCTCGTCCATGAGTGTGTAAGCGATAGCCTCCGAGACTTGATGATTGGAAGAGCCAACGAAGATCAATCCTAGGGCAACGGCAGCCATAGCAGAGAGCTGCATGTCCAATGATGCATCCTCGACAATCGGGAGAAGAACATCCAAAAGATCCTCCTTGTTCGACCCAGCATAGGACAAGCCGAGACCCATGATAGATGCAACTCGCATTGGAATGCTTTTGTTCTCAATGTTATCTGGATCGCTGAGAAGAGCCATTGCAGGATCAGAGTCAAGCCTGACTCCAGAATTAAGAATACCGATGGCAAGCAGCGCACCAGCCTTAATTTGATCCTCTTGGGCGTATGTGAATTTGTCGATTTTGTCTAGACCGCCTTCGACATCTCTGTGCAGCAGCATACCAAGCGAAGCAGTAGTTGATAGCATTCCGTCATCTTTCGTTTTCCACACCCAGGATCCCTTGTCACTCTCAACTAACATCATCTTGTCGCTTCCAAATCCCGCGTTGGCGAAGGCGTTAACAAACCCACTGGCTAAGTTGTGCCGAGCAGAATCCACATTCGTCAAACCTGCGCCTCTGCTGCTTTCCAAGTGTGTCTTGTAGATGTCCTCGGGCATCTTGGGGTCAAGGATGTTCAACTCCTTCGCCAAGGCCTTGAAGTGGGTGGGGATCTGAGTATTGTTAAGACATTCCGCCAATTCCTGGTCTTCCTCGTCATCGCCTGGTAGGTCTAGCCATATTTGCTGTCGAGCAACTAAGAAGGCCATCTGCTTCTTCAATGCTTTATCATCTGTAGCGGCGAAGTCACTCTTGATAAGGTCCACATCATTGAGCCGAATGGCAATAACGATCGCTTGGGTCAGCTTGTTGTATCGGACATAAATTTCATGCGCTGTGCGCAGGAATTGGTGGTCCTCTGGATATGTGAGCAAGTTGACCATGCTCACCATATACAGGCAGACTCTTTGGTATGTGTTGTCGTCCACAAATTTCGAAATCTCCTCAATCATCTCAAGTTCACTGAGTAAATCCACGGCGTCGGCTTCGGCATTGTGTGTAATGAAGTAAGGGACAAGAGACAGAGCCAACTCAGTGAGGTCACCAAAGTCCTTATCTTCGGACAATCGGTTCTGGTAGTCCTGTCCAATCTCTAGAGCAAGGTGTCTAACGTATTCGTGGCCCCAAGAACCCAAATCTTCGGAGGGAGACTTCGATAGAAGACGGTATTTAAGCGTCTCTAGCTTGTCTTCCACACCATATGTCATTCCAAGAACCGAAAGTGTGTCTGCGAGAGCATCCTACGAAGAGTCAAACAAATTCAATCAAACACTCCTAACTCTGAGACTACCTACCTTGTCAGATCCTGCTTGCCACTTCTCGTATAATTCGGTGAGCTCATCATAGTGCGGTCGGAGGAATTTCAAAGGCTTCGGAACGGCCGTCATCGATGATGTAGATGTCTTTATAAAGTTCTTGATAGCGTCTAAGGTAGGACGATACAAAGACGTGTCGGGTTCCTGTTTTTGGTTGGCAGTGAATTAGCGCTGGTGGTGACCTCTGTCTGTTGGAGAGGAAATACCTTGAGTCGCTCGACAAGCATCTCAAGCTCATTCTTGAGAGCCTGATCCTCTTCATTGAGTTCCTCTGCAAAAAAGGCGATTAGTAAGTACCACGCAGAAGAAGCCTGTGATCCCGCAATAAAGCAAAGGCTGAGTTGCCAGCTTACCCTCCTGTAGGTCATCATCCTTATCCTCCTTCTTTCCGAGCTTGGAACCCTTGTCGTCCTTTGCATCCTTCTTCTGGCCATTCAGTTCGCGAGCATCATCCACCTTGCCCTTGCCCTTGTCAGCAGCGGCTGACCGCTGACCTTCTTTCGCCATGGAGGCTCGGCGGCTGGATATAAAACGATGACACGAAAAGAAGAAAATCAAATGTCCAGGAAGACGAAACACGAGAGAAAGCTTCCGATCGTTCCACCAGGGACTTGAATATGCGTGTTTGGAGAAGCAGGGCGTGATGACGAGATGTGTTGTCTGGGTGAATGCAGGCACTCTGACGGACTGCAAGCTTGATGCCGTCGCCGCGGTGGAGCTTCTTACTTAGCAAAAGCTCCAAGCCTCACGTAATCGGAGCCCGCCAAGCCATTACTAATCTGTTTACTGCGCGTCACGTGACCCATAGCTGCGACTCAGTTTTCTGCAGCAAGAAATCCCAGAAGAACGTATAGGTACGAGTTTGAATCTTGAAGTGCGTATACCTGAGGATAACATCTGTTTTTACGTGCAGGAGATCTTAAAACGTCGGCGTTGAGCTGCTATTACTGACTATAGTTAGGTCACGGACCCACCCGTCGATCCCAGCCAATCATTTGTCGATATGAGTTGATCGCAGATGCTGAGCTTGGGACTTGACGACCTCACCCATCTCCGCGACGATGACTTGACTGGGTCCTAGGACTCTACGACTCTTCTAAGCGTGCGCTATAGACGGAACTTGCTGCTGTCATTATAGACGCTGGGATTAGCTAGCGCCAGCAGCTACGATGGACGACGACGTGATGGAAACCGGCCAAACAGAACCGCGTGGAACTAAACGGACAGCTTCTGATGCGGGCCTCTCGTCAAACGAACACCGCCGAATAAAAGTACGTATCACGAGAAATCATCCATTCTTCGACGTAAAAACGTAACGCTAACATCTAATCCTAGGCTTTAGACCCCGATGTTGTGAACAAAATTGCCGCCGGGGAGATTATTGTCGCCCCCATGCATGCCCTGAAAGAACTCATTGAGAATGCTGTAGATGCGGGATCAACGTCAATAGAAATTCTCGTCAAAGATGGTGGTCTCAAATTGCTTCAAATTACTGATAATGGCCACGGAATTAACGTGCGTTTTGTGCTCCCTCCGTGCGGTTGATTTGGACACCAGCTGACATCGCACTGCAGATGGACGATCTCCCTATCCTATGCGAGAGGTTCACAACTTCAAAATTGAGAGAATTTGAAGATCTGGCTGCTATTGGGACATACGGATTCCGGGGCGAAGCGTTAGCTAGCATCAGTCATATTTCTCACCTCACAGTAACTACGAAAACCGCCAGCTCGAGCTGCGCTTGGAGAGCACATTACAGCGATGGGAAACTCGTGCCGGCGAAGCCTGGCCAAAGTGCTAAGCCGAAACCTACAGCTGGACGTGGAGGGACTCAGATCACTGTAAGTTGTACTCTCTTCGCTGAAAACATGAGATATACTTATACTTCGTGATCAAGGTCGAAGATCTATTTTACAATGTCCCAACACGGCGTCGAGCCTTCCGGTCAGCTAGTGAAGAGTATGCAAAGATCCTTGATGTTGTTGGCCGATATGCTGTTCACTGTTCGCATGTCGCCTTTTCATGCAAAAAGCACGGCGACTCGGGTGCCAGCATCTCGACCGCTGTCACAGCTTCGACCATTGATCGAATTCGGCAGATACATGGAAGTGCTGTGGCGAACGAACTGATCACGTTCGACATTGAGGACAACAAGAGATTAGGGTTCACAGCATCCGGTCTCGTAACCAACGCTAATTATCATGTAAAAAGAACAATCATTTTATTATTTATTAACCACCGATCCGTCGAGTCGTCAGCTCTCAAGAAAGCAATTGAACAGACATATTCGACATTTCTCCCCAAAGGCGGCCATCCCTTTGTCTATCTCGACCTCGAGATTGAGCCCAACCGAGTCGATGTCAATGTTCATCCTACAAAGAGAGAAGTAAACTTCCTTAATGAAGACGAAATTATTGAATCAATATGCAGGGAAATCACTTCCCGACTGGCCCAAATGGATTCCAGCCGGACGTTCATGACTCAGACTCTTTTGCCTGGCGTACCGAAAATATCAGACTTGGATCAAAGTAACACTCCGACGCGCAAGTCTGGCACGTTACCGTCTTCCCAAAGACCCTACGAAAATAACCTCATTCGCACGGATTCCCGCATGCGAAAGATAACATCCATGCTACCATCCCTCAGCACACCTCCACACAATACTCAAAGAGAACCACAATCAACAGATCAAGCCGAAGAGACCGAGAACAGAAACGATGGTCTTCATTACGAAACCACCGAGCGGGAGCCACTTCGTATAGGCCTCTCATCCGTCAAACGACTCCGCGCCACAGTACGTGCAGAGATGCACAACGGACTCACCGAACTGTTCTCCGCGCACACGTATGTCGGTCTTGTCGACGAACGCCGGCGAATCGTCGCAGTTCAATCAGGCGTAAAGTTGTATCTGGTCGACTACGGCATGATCTGCAACGAATTCTTCTACCAAATTGGGCTGACCGACTTTGGCAACTTCGGCGTTATCAAACTAGACCCGCCTCCGAAACTGATTGACCTAATGCGACTCGGTGCTGAAATTGAGAGGAGCGAACATCAATCTACAACAGAGACAGATGAAATGGAAGTGATCCTCTCCCGAGCCCCAGAAATGGTCTCCGAAACACTCATCGAACGGCGCGACATGTTAGATGAATACTTTTCGATCAAAATATCTGACCAAGGCGAACTATTGACTATCCCCCTGCTACTCAAGGGCTATTTGCCGTCATTAACCAAACTTCCTCGCTTCCTACTCCGATTAGGTCCATACGTTACCTGGACGAGCGAGGAGGAATGTTTCCGTAGCTTCCTACGTGAGCTTGCTGCTTTTTATACGCCTGAGAACCTACCTCCAGCGCCGCCATCAAAGCTGTCTAGATCAACAATAACGCCACAGAAAAAAACGCAGAACTCATCTTTTCCGGGAACTCAAGATGATAATGAAGGGGACGAAGACGACGACAATGATGACAATGGTATTGCAGCACGACGCTTACAGCTCATACAAATGCTGGAGCATGTTCTTTTCCCGGCTATTCGTGCCAGATTGGTAGCCACCAATTCTTTGTTGAGGGGAGTGGTTGAAGTTGCGGACCTGAAGGGATTGTATCGGGTGTTTGAGCGGTGTTGAGCTCGAATGTCATGATTTGTGGTTGATTATTTAGATTTAGACATATGCGGGCTTTATGACCTAGATATATTACTGAAATAAATAAATATATATATATATAAGACTCCCAAGAACATTGGACAATGCTCTGATTACATCCTTACTTGTGTAGTTTTGTTCGACTTCTCACGGATTCAAGCTTGTAGACAAGTCATGGAGAAAGAGTCAATGTCTTAAAGAAATCAGAGACAAAGGTAGACCAAATTTATCCATTGAATTAAAATATAACACGATCCCATATAAATAATAACATGGACATAGAAATGAAAAGAAAAAGCTAAGCTCCATATGATCATCAATTCATCATCCACATTGCCATTCAACTGATACATGTAACAGTGGCATCGAGCCATAGATCCATCAAACGTTGTCATCATCATCCATTGAACGTGAAAGAAAACCAAACGCCGCGCAAGAATAACTCCTTATTAGATAGAAAGAAGAATGAAGTTTAGTCCAGTTTCCAGCTCCCAATTCCCAGTTTGTAGATCCTAGTGTTACTCAATGCAATTAAAAAGTTGTTTGTCTCGGTCGACTTGAAGTAGGGTTGAATCTCCTTTGCAGATAAACCCATCCTCCTACCGTTTTGTCGAATTAAGTATTTATATAGTGAATAACTGAATAGTATTCATCATTGCTGTCGGGAATAAGGCCTATTCATCAACGCAATTTCCCGGGCGATAGTCGCCCATTCAAGTTCACGCTTCAGCGGGCCTGAGCGTCGTTTCTGTTGTTGCAATTCGTCCCACTTGAGAAGCTCATAACTGTTATTATAATATTATTAGTGGATGGGAGAGAAATTTTAGGGAGATATGAAGAGGATGCAAGACGTACACGAATCGAAGATGTGGTTGGATGATGACGTTGAGTCTTCTTGCGCGGACGAAGCAGCTGTGCGTGGAGTGAAAATGTAAGTTCATGATGATACTTCAATTGGTCTCCATGGGCAAATAAACTTACTATGCTCGAGGGAATGATAGTCCCAAGGAGGACATTACTTCGGCTATGCAGATAGTAGCTGACCTTGAAACGCCAACGCGGCAATGTACCAAAGTGGCTGACCCATCGGCTCTGCTTTTTTCTGTACGAAAAGAAATGTTAACCATCATACATGCCATTTCAAATGAATAAACTTACCAATAAATGACAGACAATTATCGAATTCCTGCGTCAATGGATCAATTCCATTGTCCTGCACTTGGCCAATGAACATCAGATTGTCGTCTCCCCATTCGTCAAGTTCCTGGTCAGACCACGACACCGGCTCCCCAATGCTTAGCACCCGTTTAATGCCCAAGGCCCGTAGAAGGTCCGGATTATTTGCGTGAGCCAGGTTCCCGAGATACATATAAGGGAGTACGCGACTTGGAAGTGACCCATCCATCTTTTGAAGCCACGCTGGCTCTGGTAGACTTGCCAGATCCAAGCCCTTGGCCAGAGCTACTGGGCTTTCTTGAAGTATTCGGTGCTCAATTTCCCGCAAGAAAAAGACATCGGAAGGGTAGGCAAAGAAATTGCGCCCCTTCCCGCGATGAAGTCTAATCCAAGCTTCGTGCAGTGGGAGTCCTTCTGCAAACATAAAATATGCGATGGCGAGCAGTGAATTTTCAGTATACCCATCTGCGCAGTGTATTAAGATTCTGCGCGAGTCTTTGGACCCCTCAATTGAAATATCGTCTAGATCATCAAGCTCTGCTTCGCTCTCTTCTTCCTCTGGATTGACAAGATAATACATCCAACGGAGGGTGTTAATGAAATCATCCACGTCTCGGTTGCCTTCCAGTTGTGGCACGACACTCCCAGAAGAAGGAAATTGCAAGAGATGAGGTTCACCAAAAGCACTGTTCTCGATATCCTTGCGTACTTTATCCAATAACCGAGGGCAAGGAATAGAGGCAAGATCATTTGCTTCGATCAACAAGTCAAATTGATTGGCACCCTCTTGGTCTTGGTCATCCAAAGACAGAAGTACATCAGGACTCAGACCCAGCCAGACTCCTTTGGAAATCATGGAAGCCTTGGACATGTTACACATTTCAATGCGCTCCCATTGAACTGGTAATTATTATGGTTAGTCTGAATATCCTTTTCCAAACATAAAGTATGATAGAACTCACAAAAGTCCATCACTTTGCCTGTGATTTGTCCTTCAGAATCTATTGCAACCAAGTCTTCGTATCGTTGTTCAATCTGTTCAAATGATTCTAGTTGATTGGTTGTTAGACAATCCTGCTCGAAAATTCTTACACTTGCTCGAGCTTACCAGACAAGATGAACGTATTGAAAAATGGAGTTTCTTGAGCCGGATCATGCTTCATTCTCCAGTGCTGCTGTGCGAATGCCACTTTTTTAGCGGCCTCCAGCAACTGAGAAGGATTGGTATCTCTCCGCGCATAGATCACTATATCCGATAGCGGTGCCAGTTTGGCAGTTTGGATGTGGAAATTGCGAACAGAAAACCCATAGACAGGATCGGCATCAATAAACTCTGAGCCACTAGGGTCAAGGATCTCATCAAGAGCTACTGCCCCCCGCAAACGAGACTTGGTAAGGTCACCGTCTAAACTCACGAGGGTGAGAGCGCGTAAGCATCTTGGTATGCGCCTGAGAGACCTTTTTCTGTTGACAAAGAAAGCAGATTGCACCCCATTGAAGGGATGTATGCCATGCAGCCAGGGAAAGACCTGTTTAGGGTCTGGCAGGGGCTGGGTTGCCAGATGATCTAGTGCCGCAGCGAGTGTTGCGCCGTCAATAGAATATACTGGCGGGGACTTGGATAGCTTCTTGAACCGGTCTGGCGGGTACAGCAATGAGGTAAGGGAAGCACCAGCCGGCTCGACGGGCGAGATGGCCTGTGGTGCAGAGCCAGGGGGGCAGACTGGAATGTGCTTATTCGGGATAGTCGTCGGAGTGCGAGGGCGGACATTGAGACTGAGGGCTGGAGACACTGGAGGAGGCGTTCCGGGGTGTCGTACTTGATGCTGGACCACAACTGTCGCCATCACGATGTGCTGCTTGTGGTGTGATATTGGGTATTGTATGGTGCTGTAGGATAAAAGCACAGTGTAGAGATGTCAACTTCAATTGCGCATCATCTACCCAATGCAACAAAGCCGAGGGGAATTGGCCGTAGTCCTTAGCAGCTCAATTCTTAGGCACTTCTGCGAGATTCTCTGCCTGATCTGGCGAGGTAGTTCGGTCAGCGTCTATCACGTTGAACCGAGCGGGGAAGAACAGCGCTGTGCCACATTGACTACAACACTCATGCAGCGCAGGAACACGACAAAACAGCAACCCGACGGATGCACGAGGAAAAACGAATGAATGAATTGTCTTGACGTCTGTCTGTCTGTCTGTCTGTCTGCGTATGGCTGTGTGTCTCAGCAAAGGGTTAGATAGAGATACTCATCGTGCTGGCGGGGGAGGAAGTGGGTTATCTTTCAAGCAAGCTGGGCCCACGTCCCGGGCATCCTACGTCGTGTGCAGCCAATAGCAATGCATATCACGCGGGAAAGCGGGTCCACTAGTACGCATCCATCATGTCCACTGTGTGTGGCATGCTGCATGTCAACACGACCAGCACATCCCGAATCACCCAGCATCAGTGCGTCAATCCAACTAATCGTGGCGGGCGGCCAGCAAAGCGAGAGTGTTTTCACTCTGTCTGTGTGAACCTCGAAAGTGTCTATCCTACTACTCTTGTCTACCATCACTATCAACCAGACGGGTTTACGATTTCGGATTTCGGATTGTGGATTGTCTAGGCCAATCAGCGCACAGACCACCCCACCCAGGCCGGTCTGGGTCAAGCGGATATGCTGATCCGAGTATCGACTACACATGGTTGGCTGTGCCGCTCGGAGCTAGCGGGTCTGCTCCACCCCCCACCAACCGCTTTTGCTGCGTCATGGACTTTCTCTCTTCCTCTCAAACAAATAAATAAACTACCAAGTTGACCTGCACACACGTGATTGGTTGGAACCCTAATTGGACTTGGTAAATCAATACGGCCGGCCGCTTTATGTTAGAGGCTTAACTGAGCACTGCTTCTGGATTGATGTTTTCTGGAAAGGCATATTAGTATTACGATAGATTGTGCGAGAATCGTTGAATTGTTTGCATTTTGTCGATCTCTATATTTGAAGCAGTGTTCACGTAAGTTCAATGAGTACATGCGAGGCGCTGCCTACTTGTATCAAATTCCGGACCTATGTGTTCCATCCCTGACAGCCTACGGGGAAGAAATCTTCAAAAAGAAGCAGAGAGGGGAAGGGATTATTCATCACTAATATAACGAGAACACCCAAGTTTATCTTGGCTTATTCCGCTTTATCTCCCATTGCCAGATCTCAGGATCTTTCTTCTCCAGTACCCAAAACTGAGTCTCAACGCGTTGCGCGATGATTCGCAGCCAGTCAATCAAATAGCCCAAACGATTGTAGTCTGTTTGAGCTCGAATGCTGTATTCGTTTTGCCATTCTGTTCGCCCAGCTTGGCTCGACCAAGATGTGATTGTCACGGATTTATGGGTTGAAGTTTGCGTGTCTCCTTCTATCCAGCTGTTAAGACCTCCACCTGCTGGTGGTCCCCAGCCGAGTGATGCGTAGCCAAGCTGGGGCGACCTGGTTCTATTCTCAGGAATACAGGTTAAAAAAGCATCTAGTGACTGAGAACTAAAGGAACAGGCAAAGTACGCACGCAGAGTGAGTATTGTAGGCATATTCAAATGCGCGCGTGTCGTTCTCATTCGCTAGTATATAGAAAGTAGATACTTCCATGTTACTACCGCCTGTTAAATGGGAGTTGCATATCCGTGAGTATGAGAGGTCTTGTATGGCATCTCCACACTGCGTACGGAATTCTTCCACAAGGGTTATGAACTGGGTACGCATTTCTTGGTTTGCGTGGAGATCTCCAAGATCTGTGGTAGAGTAAAGTCTATCAGCATTTCCCTCTGTTTCAGGCCGGCCAGGGAGCAAAACACATACTAATGAAGAGCGAAATCCTCGCAAACCAACTAGCGTTGTCGTTGTCGGTGCCCCAGCGCATTTTCGGACAATCTCCGAGTTTCCACAGCGACAGGCGTAGGTCCTTGAATGCTCCTAACACAAATCGATTTGAACTCTCCGTGCGGAAGGTAATCATTTCGATCAAAGGTTTGAGGGGGAAAAAGGTTTGAGGGGGAACTTCGATACTGGGATTATATAATGTTGATTCATCAATCCCATAGGGTTCTGATGGCCAGCAGGGCCAGCAGTAACTCGTTGATGTGCCCTTTCTGCGGCCACGCTGGCTAGATGTACTTGGTCTCTATCATCTGGTCCAATCAGGTCACTCGCATCGTATTCACGCATTAAAGATATAAATTCAAGAGCGGGTGTCGATAATTGGACTGCTTGGAAACAGGGAGCCGAACTGGACCTTTCGGTCTGAGAGATTCTGGGGACTCGAATTGTAATTTCTGTGTGAGTAAAGAGACGACTGCAATTGTATCCGAAGAGAGCTTCTTGATATTATCCGCAATATTGTGCAGGTTGTCTCGTATCAGCCGTTGCGGACTGTCTGCGTCCATGTCTGCTTTCCAGAACAGCAAACCGGCAAAATAGCGGTTTTCAGTCCTGTCGTCGATCTGCAACCAGTCCCCAGACGCAGACAATAATTCCGTCTGATTGCTTAACAGTGGAAATAGTGTCGACTCCAATCGGAGGCTGAAATCTTTCAAAGAAGGGTCCCGCCTAGCGAGCTTATAGCTAAATTGGAAGGAAACCAATTCAAGAATGCAGGAAAAGGTGGAAGAAGAGATTTGAGCAGGCAGTGACAGCTGCACACAGCGGTTGTAAACCTCTCTTACGTAGCCTAGGAGCATTCGAAATCCTATCTAGCATTGGAAACATCTCCAAGCTAAGCCGCTACCCCATTGAATCAAAACGAGCACCTGTTGTGAGGGCGATGTTTGATCTACGAATCCCCAATGGAGTCCTTGGAAACCGGGGATGGTCGATATAAATTCTAGAGAAGCGCGCCATAGAGCGGAGGCCGGCTGCGACGCCTCTGAGAGATCCACACCAGGACTGAAAGTGAATTGCAGAATACTGAGAATTGGAGTCGTGGGAAGCTGATCGATGTTTTTTTCCGAGTCGTATGGAATGCCGTACAGACACGGCTTGATCTTCACTTGCGCATAGATCATGGCCACACAACCAGCTGCCTAGGCATTCCACGTATGTCCTCTGGCATATGAAAAAGGAGTTTAAATCTTCGCATTACTCTTGTAGTATTGTTAATAATAGGAGTCTTCTCCCTACAAAACTACCTACAACGTCGGATTACGTACGAGCGAAAGGGCAGAGATTTAAATTGAATTGTTTCTCCGTACAAGCATTTTTTTTCTGGAGCAAAACCCCCTGATGACAAGAAATATTACTAGCTCGATTAGTGTTTTCCAGTGATTGGCTAAGCTTCAAGGCTCTGCCTCCGTAGAACCGCTTCACTAAAACGTGTATGTATGAGCTAGACTTCACTAGTTAGCTGTAAGAATCAATCCGAGAGGACGACAGGCCACAGATGCATCCCAGGGTCTGTGCTAGTAGCATTTTGGAACAACTAATTTAGCATTCTGGCTCCTGAGGCTACAAAATGAATAAAGTGGCTGAACTTTCAGGCTTCTAAATTAGCTGTAATCTATTAATGCACGCACCTATGTAGTATTCGAAGAGCAGCCTGCGAGGGGCGGGGCGTGTGTCCAATACTTATAAAAGGGGCGAACTGCCATGTTGCTTCAGCTCGGTTGCGTTCTTCTACACAAGTTCCCTTCTACATTGTGAGGGAAACGAATACATCAACATGCAAGCCTCCCTACTCCTCGCCGTAGCCCTAGCGGCCTTCAGTGCTAGAGCCGACGATTCCAGCAGCACAATAGTTGGTTACTTCTCTCCACCATGGAGCGCAGGTCTGCTAGAGTACGGCGGTTGGACCAGCACTGCTGCTAGCCTCGCCCACATCAACACTGCCGCGGCCACATACCATGTCGGCTGTGTGAAGGACGCTCCCAAGACCGACTGCGACTACCCTTCGTCGTGGACGATCATCCAAGGTCCTGAAACAGTGAGCGTCACCGGCGTATATATCGCGTCAACCTCGGATAAGACCACAAGCTACGATATCACCGTCACCCAGTCGTACGAGTGCTCTCTGAAATCTTCAACAGAGTCGGCCAGCTGCACCATGAGTGCGGGCATGAGCGGTTCCATGGATGGAGGAACATATGCTTCCTCCACTTCCAGCAAGGCAACTTACACAACGGCGCCTATTGCCAACTCGTACTATCAGCTGACAGTCACTGCGGGACTGAGTTCATTTACGGGCCCTGATGCCACCAAGGCACCGGGCGCTGCTGCCACTGGGCCCGCGGGTTCAATGATTACGGCTGTCCCTGTAGTTGCTGCTGCCGTGGCTGTTTTGTTGTAAAATCAATCCAGTTGGAAAGCATGATTCTTTTGTTGGACTAGGATATCAATGGAATGCATTTGATGAATATGTAGACCTCAGCACATATTACTTGTTGTCTCTTCTCTCCCTATCACATATCATCATGTCGTCGAGTAACGTGGACACGTTCTATTCATCTGGTAGTACCAATAGTAGTATTCCGGAGGCATACCGGATAGATTTTTCACAGAGTATAATGCGTGGGAGCTTCAAGCCAACCTTTATATATCACAGATTCCGGGGCATGTCACGTCCAAGCCTTCGCTTTCAATTCATTGGCCAACCTCAAAAGGTAGAACGAAGCCATGTCCGGTGGGATACCGTCAAAAGATCGCACAATCTTATCCACATCCTGGCGACCTTTTTCATAGGCATGCAGGTCCCTATTGGCATAAACATCTCGACCCGCAGCATACCCCTTGTCTAGACTGCGGAAAAACACATTGACTGCAACACTAACCCCCTCAATGGGTGCAGCAGCATGCAACCACAACGGCGGAATGAACAAGATGTCTCCAGAGCTGAGTGTTGCTTCATGAGGTGAAGTATGTGGCACAGGCACAATTTGCCCTTCCTTGATGTCGTCGAAAATATTGAGTGTGGAGCTCGAAGCTCCAGGCGGTAATTCAAGATATTGAACATCCGTTGGTGGGTATAGAACCAGCTTCTTCTGGCCCTGAATCTGGCAGTATACATTGGCCATGACCTATTTGGACAAAGCGAATCAGTTGAACAAATGTCCGAGGAGAGGGTACGTTATGTTTTCACTTACATCATAGTGTAACCACATCGTGACAGGCCCCGAGATGCGCAAAGGCGAGCTGTGAGCATTATCCTGCACGAAACTAAGCTGTGGCGGAAGAGAAAAGTCGTTCTTGATTTCAGGGAAATCTTCCGCAAAATTTGCTGCCTTTTTGGCCGGTTGATCGGCTGATATGGATCTCAGATACTGACGGCCTCCCTGGTGAATTTCTTCCATGAATGTGCCGAAATCTTTGGTAGTGTATGAAAAGTTTTTCTTTTGAAAATTCATATGATCAGTCTGAGCCTCGTGAACCACGACTTTGCGGTCAAACCCGAGCGTCTGCACCAGATACTGTTTCGACCATAATTCAGTGCACCGTCCTACATCACTGCCTGTTATGACCACCGGTTTTGCTTGGTTCATAATATGCTCAAAGTCCGCCGCCGTTTTTATGGATAACCGGGGAATGCTCTTTATTTCGTTCAATTCACCCTTGTTAGTTGAGTATTTCGCAGAAGGGTGGTCTACTTTATTTGTGCCCGTGTTCTCCGGCACCTGTAAAGAATCCCACTCATCCGATTTCCCGACTGATGAAACACCCTGTATTTGCCATATGTATCTGTTCCAGAAGGTTCCGAATGAGAAGCAAACCGCTCCTCCAGACACCACCAGAGCCGAAGAAGAATCGACACTGCAAGAAACATGGCCGGCGAGAAGCGGTCGAAAGGCTGGAGACTCAGTACGGGCTTTGATTATTTGCACAACTGAGGATCTCCACTCGCTGCGACCTAGATCTGTAATGTCTAGACAGAGGATCTCCAATCCCTCGGAGAGAACACCTTGAACGCCAATACCGCCTATGATGACAAGCTTATTGGAGACAACGTTCACCGACGCACCAAAGCGTCCAACGTAGGTAGCAAGCTTTGAGGCATTTCGTAGTTTTCCACTTTGGTCCAAAAGGCGAATACTTTTGGATCCATCCGGTTGCTTCTCTAGGGTCCATTTCCAGAAATCACTCCTGACCACCCCATCCTGAGACATGCCTCCGAAAAGATAGCCGGAAGAAGAATCAATATTAACCATCTGAGCCCCAAATCGACTAGGTACGTCAGTTTCACCAACAAACTCGACTGTTTGCCATCCTTTGTTCTCATCCCAAAGCAGCCAATCATTTAAAGTGTCGCCTTTGTTAGATTTTCCGCCATATATCAACACGCTCTCCGCCTCGTCATCAAATTTGACCCGTGCTGCACAATGACGGAAGCGAGGATATGGAAGAGAGCATGCCGGTTTCCAAACATCGTCCTTCCGAATCCAGCAATCAGCCAGGCCTGCTGTAGGCGACGCACGACCCCCAACAAGCAGGCAACCCCCCTGACTTAGTGTGGTGGTAGTATGGCACATACGCGCAGAGATATGATGGGGTGGTAAAGTACAAGCTGGTTTGGTGAGCTTGTTCCCCCTCGTATACAGATCTGTAGACAGTAAACGAGACTGGGTTCCTAGTCCTCCATGAACACCAATCGAATCAGCACTGTCTGGAACCATAGCAGCGAATCTCCGATAGCCCTTAAAGGATGTTGGGTGGTGAGAAACCAGCCTCAATGGAGTCCGTGGCAAGTCATCGTAATCAGCGATATCAGATTCATTCACGCTGTCATGGTGTTGACGTTCTTGGCCAAAAGTAGATGCTGACAAAACAAAATAGTGAGAAGCAAATAATGCAAACTCTTCCCACTCGTCGAATGGTTCTATCGCATCCAGATTCATCCTTTGGGATTTGCTGACAAATGAGTTGTCGTTCCAGATATCCCATAGAGTCCTCGCAGAGGCATATTTCCAGCCTCGTGAAGAGAACCGCTGTTCCTGCATGCGGAGCGTTGGGTACTTGTGGATAGAATGAAGGGGAGCGTGAAGTTTGTGGAAATGGTTCATCATCGTAGATGCAAAAGGGTGATCAGGACCATCTGGGAAGAATTGCTCCAGGAGGCAGAATTGAACATCTATACAAACAACAGATCAGCTATGGCCCCAGCATGTCTCATACACATCTGCTTTGCTGATTTGCTGACCTTTATCTAGCTTCGGAATCCAAGAAATGAGGGCATCTGCGGACTGGACATCCATATAAGTGAGCGAAACCTCCGCTATGCAGAGGACCGAGGCAGGGGAAGAGCCTAGGACTTCCTTCAGAGCGTCTTCGAGCTTCTTCAAATTTTTCAAATCACAGCCCACGGCAACATAGTGCGGAGCTTGTAGGAGAACAGGGCTCGGTTCTGGAAATGTCTTTATCTCTCCCAGTATACTCCTCAAGTTGTCCGTTTGTTGGATCACCGAGGTTTTAATGCCCATCAGTTTTTCATAGTCAATATCCACGAAGGTCACGGTTTTACATATCGACTCCTCACTCTTGAGGAACTGGAAGGCTAGCGGGTCACTACGTAGAAATCCTTAGCCTACATCCGGAACCTATTCGAGGCTCTTCTACTCACTATCCACATCCAAGATTGAGGACAAACTTAGGGCGCGTATCTGAATTTTCCAAAAACTGCCGCACGGTCTCCGCAATCGCATGCATTCTGAGCCAATATCCTCTGTTGATCAAGGGAGCCCGCCTCTGAGGCTTTTTCACGAAATAACGAAAGAATTGATTTTGGGGAAAGTATCTAAGCTCGACGCTGCGTTTCGACACGATACTGCTATTGTTTGTCTATTGAATCACAACACAGAGATGATTAGTTGGTAATTCGAGTTTGGAAACAATGTAGACGAGACGCATACGGTGGTACAACAGCGCACTTACTCCCATCACCAGGTCCGCCTCTTTCTCCTTTTTGGTAGGCACCACGGGCCTGACCTGTTTTTTCTTTGACGACATCCTTGCTCTTTTCGCCTCCACACAGATCGGTAGGTTGCTCGAGGCGAGAACCGGTTTGACAAGAGCACAATTGAAGCGAAGAGAAAGAAAGGGGAAAGGGAAAAAAAAGCAAAGAAGCGAATGCCCCTCAGTGCCTTCCCCAACGCGGTGAAGAGCGGCAGAACTAAGATCGATCGCTCTGAGCGGAGACGCCCTAGTCCACAATGAGCCTAGCCTCTAGTCAACATCCTCGTCACCTGAACAGCAACTCAACTATCAATTGCCTCTGCTTGCTCTATGTCTGCAGTCACCGCTGTCCCGCCACGTCCAGAGCCTCGTTCGACTCAAGCTCAGATATATTAACCCTTCTTTTCCGTGGCCAAGTCTTGCCCAACTCATTGCAATCATCAGAGTCCGTCTCGTTTGTTGACGGGACGGCAACTCTGCGTATGATTGGTGAAGCGGGGTGGAACTGGTCAAGCAGAACTCGCGACGAGGGATACATTGCACATCAAAGTAAAGACTAGCTGCATCGCTGACACTGTGTCGCCCAGGGGCAAGATGTCGATGAATTTTGTCACATTCAACCAGGACTACAGCTATTTAGCTGTCGGTATGCATGCGCCCTTTACTGCCGTTGCAAGAGCCCCTACAATACTGACAATGACTGACTGGCTTAGGCACCTCCAAGGGATTTCGTATTTTTACAACGGATCCATTTTCCAAGAGCTATGAAACCAAGGAAGGGAACATAGCAATTCTAGAAATGTTGTTTTCAACGTCTCTGGTGGCCTTGATCTTGTCGCCCCGCCGTCTTCAGATAACAAACACCAAGGTCAGTTCACATGGGCCTTTATTAGACACCCAACACAGACACAGATACTGACAACAATGCCAGCGACAATCCACCATCTGCGAGTTGACCTTTCCAACTACCGTGTTAGCAGTGAAGTTGAACCGGAAAAGACTCGTTATAGTACTTGAGGACTATATCTACCTTTACGATATTCAGACCATGAAGCTTCTTTCGACAATTGAGACATCGCCGAATCCAAATGGTAAGTTGTACCTTTGCTTGGTGTCCCTTCCTAATCGTGAACGAACACTTAAATAAATACAACAAAACAGCAATCTGTGCGCTGTCTCCTTCTTCGGAGAATTGTTATCTAGCCTATCCTCTGCCCCAAAAAGCGCCATCTTCTTCATTCGCGCCCCCCGCGCATGCTCCTCCAAGCACGACAAATCATATATCACCGACTACTGGTGACGTATTGATCTTCGACGCCATAAAATTGGAGGCTATCAACGTTGTAGAGGCTCATCGATCTCCTCTATCATGTATTACACTAAATAGCGAAGGCACTCTACTAGCTACGGCTTCGGATAAAGGGACCATTATTCGGGTTTTTTCTGTGCCCGATGGCCAAAAGTTGTATCAGTTCCGCCGCGGGTCTATTCCATCTCGCATATACAGCATGTCATTCAACACAATGTCCACACTTCTTTGTGTTTCCTCGGCCACTGAGACTGTTCACGTCTTCAAATTGAACGGCCAAGGGAACAACCCAGACGGGAGTTCGAGATCTCCTACACTGGATCGACCGGCCAGCCCTAGTTCGGGCGACTATCGATATGAGCAACAAGACCCCGGAATGGAGGCATCTGACTTTGCCTCCAGAAAGCACAATGGCACGCTCATTGGGATGATCAGACGCACATCTCAGAATGTTGGAAATACCTTTGCCGCTACTGTTGGGGGTTATCTGCCAAAAGGTGTTAGCGAGATGTGGGAACCTGCACGGGACTTTGCCTGGATGAAGTTACCAAAGTCCAGTCAAGGAGCTGGTGGTCATGCCAATACCGGTCCAGTGAGGAGCGTTGTTGCAATGAGTAGCAATACGCCCCAAGTCATGGTTGTAACCAGCGAGGGGAACTTTTATGTGTTCAACATTGATTTATCGAAAGGTGGCGAGGGAACATTGACTAAGCAGTATTCGTAAGTGACATCTGTACTATCTTTTTGTCTGCACATTTTCAAAGCTAATTTGCATTCACTTCTTACTAGGGTGCTCGAGAGCAATGACAAGCTTGGGTCGTCAGGCCTAGACTATTGATTGATCGTTCCGATACTCTTAGAAGATACAGTGCACTCTCAACTCTACATCGAATCTATTATACCCCTTATGGAAATCGCAGTCGAATAGAATCGGGACCGATCCATATTTAATTGCATCAATATCAGTTCAACTTCATTTGACTGTGGCATAGACCCTCCCAGTTATGCTTATATTTGGATATTCCCACGTTTCTGTCCGTGTGCAGCGACATCAGAAGTTCCTATGCACTGATTGACTTCTCTCTCAATAGCCATTTGAGCTCCTCGACTTCTTCTGGTTTCAGAAGCTCATCCAATGTTTCCGATCGCATAAAGTCATGATCGGCGAACTCAAAGCCCGGAACCACAGTCTGCATTATTGTCATAATAAGCCTTCGGTTGCTCGCCTCTCTCCTTTTTTCCCCCGTCTGACGTGATCTCCCACACGAGAAAGAGGGACTTACCTCGCTGATCAACAACCCCTCAGATTGTCTGTCTCTGCTTTCAGTATCAGGAAGCAAAAAGGACGCTTTGAATTTTCCTCCCTCTACAATCCATTGTAGCCTTTCTCCGTGGGCGATATCGTGACCCACGACGAAAGTTTCGATGCGAGCTTTATTGTTTTCGGCAGCTCGGTCGCCTCGGAGAACTTCATCTGCATGGATCAGCACGTAAATACCGCGACCGCGATGCAGTGTATGAACCGTTCGTCCGCGGTTACGATGGAAACAGCCCAAAGGAGAACCGGGGGTGATATAATAGTAAATGGTAGTACTGGCAGCGCGAGTAGAATGATCTTGGCCGGCACTTAGTCGAATGGCAGAAGTCACGTCGGCCTCCGAAACAGCATAGGATGTTCCAGGGTCTTTATTGTTGATAAATGGATTGGCCACGTTCAGAGGATCGCGGTCAGTCTCGACGTAATAACCACCTTCAATGTGGGCTTGCAAGCCCAAGAAATCGATGGTTTCTTGCACCGCAGGAGGCTCGCTTCTTTTCTTCCCCTCGTTGTCAGCAAGCGGAGTCGGCGCGAAGTATGGTTTGATTTGGGACAGCGGCGCGTGCAACTGGTGTGCCATTTTGTATTACTCTTGAGAGATGAAAATGAATATTAATATACTTCTTATTGTTTGTTAATAGCGATTCAGTATATGGACCGGGCAGTCATGCGGTGTGGGACTCGAGTTGCTTTACAGCTCAGGAAGGTTTCCGGACACGATTCTCACGCAGCTCGTCGGGGACTGCAGTGCACCACATCAGGGTTAGTGGTATAATTCATCGATATCCATCGACGCGCCTCTTTGGCATAGTAACTAAGCTACTACTGTTGTCAGCCTTTCGAGCGCAAGAGCCAACATTGATATAGGCATGATTCCACTTGACACCGCACACGTAAGTTCACCAGTATAATGTCCCAGTAAGTTTGACCCCCATATATCCCCTAGTTATATATGGACGTATTCAAGCATGTACCCAGCCTGTACCGAACGATACCATTGCGAGAGGGGAAGCAGCTTCTGGCCAATCGCTTCCACTCCTGGCGCACTAACCGCACGTAATTCATCCCCCATTACGGAAGCAATACGCATGCTGGTAATATTGTTGACGTCTCTAGCGCCTTCCCTCCTCCCCACATGGCCATGCGCAACCTGAGCTCGACGGAATCCATGCCTTGATGGATGCTCGCTCCTCCCTGCTGATTGCTGTGTCGTTCTGTTAGCCCTATCAATGGCACTGCACGCTCATTCTTCATTTGTCCGTTTGTGGTGTTAATCGTTTGTTTGAGCATAGGCTGTCTCTCCGTCCCTTCACTTCCGCGGGCTTACTCCGCAACGCTGCAGCTCTAGTTAGCCCCAACGTCGATTAGACGTGCCCAGGAACGTCCATCTTTGCTAGTCGAGTATCCATCGACATTCGACCGTTTCTCTGAATGGCCCGCAAATTCACTCATCAGCGAGTGAGCTATGGTATGTGACCGATTCACCCCATCTCATTCCAGCGTCGTCTGATGTCGTCCTGCAACAGTTCTCCCTCTACCAAATGCCTCCGGTGGCCACCGCCTCGGCGTCAACGGTCTTGCTGTTGACTCGGACAATCGCATCCTGTAAGCCCTTTGCCATCCGAGATGTCATCTTGACCCCACCGCTTCTTCGAATAACTAAACCGCGTGCCTATCTAGATACTCGGCAGGCCGTGACGGAGTTATATGCTCCTGGGATTTGAACTACCACACCGCTTCGTCTTCGTCGTCTACTAAAGCCGCGCCCCCTCCGACGACTAGAAGAGACCAGGTCCAGGCTCACAGCCACTGGATCAACGACATCATCCTAACTCGAAGTAACTCCGCTATAGTCTCGGCATCATCTGATACGACCGTCCGCGTTTGGCGGCCGCGATCTCAAACGAACGAACTTCCAACCTCGATCGGCCGACATGCGGATTACGTCAAGTGCTTGGCGATCCCGGATCAGCATTCGAACTGGGTGGCATCAGGCGGTCTGGATCAGAAGGTTTTCCTCTGGGATCTCGAGGGCAAGGGTGAGATTTTGAAGATTGATACTTGCGGCGATGAGGCCACTGAGAAGGGCTCTGTGTATGCGCTGGGGACCGGTGGCTCTGTGTTGGCAAGCGGAGGACCGGAGTCTGTTGTTCGCGTGTGGGATCCCAAATCAGGAAAACTAATCACAAAGTTCGTCGGCCACACTGATAATATCAGAGACATTTTGATCAATCAAGATGGAGACACGATTATGACAGCATCTTCCGACCAAACCATCAAGGTGTGGTCGTTGACGGCCGGTCGGTGCTCGCATACCTTGACTATGCATAACGACAGCGTCTGGTCACTTTATTCAGACCACCCCCAGTTGTCGGTCTTTTACTCCAGTGACAGATCTGGCCTCGTTGCCAAGACAGACACAAGGAACGTGGCGGATATCGATCAGGGTACATCCATTGCAGCTCTCCAAGAACATGAAGGTGTGATCAAGGTCGTAGCAGCCTGCGACTCTATTTGGACAGCAACTCGAAAATCCAGTATCAACAGGTGGAGTGATGTGGATACTACAGCAGAAATAGAACTTCCAAACACCGCAGTACGACGTTTCAGTTCAGGGTTACCTGCTGAATCGCCCCAAGAGACCCCTGCTATGAACACCAACGAAACGGCAAAGAAAATTCCACGCAGTTCACTCCTACTCCTCTCGAACATGTCAATAATTCCAGGCCTGGACCCTGAACGAGCTACTATTTATTCGTCTGTTAGTGGCCGAAAACCAACGGAGATTGTCACCAATGAGGAGCTGGGGGAATTAACTCCTGTATATTCAGCGCCAGATGAAACCATTGAAGGCCAACTTGGATTGATCAAGCACTTCATGTTGAACGATAGAAAGCGTACTTTAACTCAAGATACGGCTGGTGAGGTGTTGATGTGGGATCTTTTAAAGGTATGTAAATTGATCATGCTCAACTTGTGTTTCTTGTGTCAACACTGATGTATTACATACAGTGTGTTCCAATTCAGAGTTTTGGGAAGCGTCATATAGATGATGTTGCCTCCGAGGTCAATACCGTAGAGACCATAGCTCACTGGTGTACCCTTGACATTCGTACCGGACGGCTGTCTGTTATATTAGAACCTAATAGATGTTTCGATGCAGAAGTCTACGCCGATGAGGTAGAGATTTCGAATCGCGAAGAGTATACGCCAGACCAACGGAGTAAGTGGAATTCAGCTGTCAATCACGGAGAAATAATTAACTAACGGCTGTAACTTCTAGTAAATCTTGGAAAATGGGTCCTTCGCTGGTTATTCAAGGATTTGATTGAAGAGGAGATCCGACGTGATGAAACATATCGAAAGTCGATTGCACCAAAGGCAACAGAACTGCAATCCTCGGGTGGTGTTAAGGCTCCAAACTCCATTGACTTGCCTCCACTCCAATTACCGAGAACGCCAGGGTCTCAAGGGTTTCCGGATCTTACACGCCAAGCCAATGGATTGCAAGCAAATCCTACCACGCCAGGTCTTAACATAGGTCTCGCAACTCCAGGACCTACTACTAGTGCCTTTGCCTCACCTTTTTCTCCAACCGAAGACCAAGCGTCCAACATAAGGCCTAGTCACGAATTTGCGAGGTCACCGTTATTAGACAAATCAAATGACTACTTCTCTAGCAGTCACTATATCGAAGCAGAAAAGCCACCGCAAACTGCCACCGAGGAACAGACTCCTACCGCACTCCCCCAGTCACCATCTGAGCCTGAGAAAGAGGAGAAGAAGAAAGCGTCGCTGTTTGGGAAAAAGTTTAGAATGGAATTCCCCAAAAAGCTGGGAAGGACACCCGAAATGAAAACTCCACTGCCGGAGGAAAAACAAGAAGAGTCTGATAAATCGTCTGAGAGAGAAGAAAAGGCATTTGCATCAAATCTCTATGGCGTGATTGACCGCATTCGCCATGATTACGAGATGTTTTTCATACGCCGTCCGGGGCAAGCTTTGGGCTCCGGAATAACACCCAGCTCAACAAGCGAAACTCCTGCGCTGGATATTCCTCAAGACACTAGTATCTTGATTCAAGAAGAATCGGGGGATACAGCTGTAGCGGCGGATCTTTACCGAGGTTTAGTTGGAAGCATACGCGACGATATTGATAAACTCGAGAAAACTGTTCCGCACTGGCTTGGAGAGTTGTTGCTGAAGGTAAGTGACAATCCTCCCTAGAATGATACGTGGATGAATACTAAAGCTTGGCTTACAGAACCAAGCACCGGCTAAAGAAGTGGTGAAGGTGGCTTTCATTCTAAAGCCGTACGATGATCAGTTGCCTCCGGTTACCAAACTCGAAGGGTATGCCACTGACACCCTCCATCAACAAGCGTATTCAGCTAACAGTCGTATCTACAGAACTATGGATAATAGCAGTTCGAGACTGAATGCAAATCGCATGCTTCGAGCTAAAAAGATCCTCACTTACGTAGCTGAGCGAATCGATCCACCCAACCCAGCTGATCCAGACCCAAATCCCATGCAACCGGAGGAATACCTGGAGCTATATTGCCAAAACACTGTAAGCCATATTCCGTTTCCATTCAATAAAACTCCCCACTTTCTAACATGGTGTAATGTAGCTTGTACCCATTAACATGACCTTGGCAACCATCAAGACCCATATTTGGCGAACAGGCGGAGACATGATCTTATTCTATAAGGCAAACGGTAAAAAGGCGATTCTTCCTCCAGTACCGGAGGCAAAACCAGCAGATACTTCCGAATCTCACTCGCCAAACGATGACAACAATAACCAACGTGATGACCGATCTGCTTCTGCAACCTCGAATTCAATCACAGAGGGTCCTCTCTGAATTCCGAGTAGTAAATATTGAACACCTTAAAAATTATTTCGTCGTCGTGAATGGGAGGAATCAGTGCCGAGTCGAATATCCTCTTAGTTTGTTTCTTTCCTAGTTTTACACGTGATACCTGTTGTTACTGAAATGTCTTTTATTTGTATCGTTTTGACGTTTGTATATAGGAAGTAGTTGTTATATGTGTACCTAGTCATGCGTCTCCATGGGTGTGTTCAAGCGCTATTCATAATTAGCAGCATTCTCGCACATCGAGTATAAAAAGTTTTCGTGCCATTTTGTTCACATTTCATGTTTGCCCATATATCCCGGCGCAGCTTATGTTGCGACAAGTGCCTCTTAAGCGCATACTCATCTCATACGTGATCATCTTACATGTAGAGCATAGAATCTTTCCCAAAACAGTGCAGTTGGAAGGCAGATCTAATAATCCAGCGGATCTTACGCGTGCCTCAGGCCAAACCCGCTGACCAATCAACTTTCGGCGATGCAAGCCAATACAATTCTTTCTTTCTTGTCCGTCCTCTCGATATCACAAGGACTAGCTAATCAATGCTTCAATAACAGCTTAATTCAAGACCAATTTGCCTGGTCGGAGTAAATGGCATGTCCCCTTAAACACAGCTTATCCGGCCCTGTCACCGTGCAGCAGTTTTTCCAGAGCTTCGGCGAGGCATGGAGGAACACCCCGCGGTATCAGCGCGTACCGCGCCGAATAGGTAAGAGGAATGTCCCAAATATATTGACGTGAAAGGATTAACGATATTTTTTTTGATTCCAGACTAATAATTGTGTAGGTATCGCGGTCAGCGGTGGCGCTGATTCCATGGCTTTAGCCCACCTATGCAGGCAATTACAAGTCACCAAGCCCGAGCTTGACTTGATCGTAAAAGCATTCATTATCGATCACAAAGCACGCAAAGAAAGCTCCGAAGAGGCCTTCAGGGTTGCAAGCTGGCTGTCAAATTTAGGTGAGACTTATAATTCTACTTGTCTCCAGAATCTATCTACCTGAAGTTAAGCTCTGACGAAACCACCCTTCTAGGAATTGATGCTGAGATACTGGCTTTAGACTGGTCATCAGAGAAAAATTCCACTAATATGGTGACGGCATTCGAGACCCATGCTCGAACGAAACGGTATCGAGCTTTGGGAAAGGCATGCTACGAGAATCGCCTCAGCGCGCTATTGACTGGTCACCATTTGGATGATAATGTCGAAACAGCAATACTGAGACTAACCCAACGTTCAAAGCGTGAGGGGCTCGCTGGCATAGCCCCTGTGGCTCAAATCCCTGAATGCCATGGCTTATGGGGATTATCTGAGAGTGGATCCTTTCAGAGGATCGAAGGTCGCCAACAACGCAGATTCGGCGGTGGCGTTGAATCACGAACCCTAAATGCAGACACCACTCGACATCATAATCTGCCACAGACAAAACCAAAGGCAACATCTTTCTTCAGCATGGCAACGGGTGGGATCCTGCTTTGTCGTCCGCTTCTACCCTTTCGCAAATCCAGCATATTAGATACATGTCACCAATACAATGTCCCATACGTAACGGATCCCACTAATTTTGACGCCACACTCACGACAAGGAACGCCATTAGGAGCCTTCTCGCTGCTAACAGACTACCCCGTGCCCTGCGGCCCTCTTCAATGAGTTCATTTTTGGCCAAAAACCGGGATTCGCTGCGAAATGTCAGGCTGCAGACGGATAAATTACTTCAGGAGTGCAAGCTTCTTGAATTCCATGCTGAGACGACTACAATGAAAGTCCAATTCCCATCGCAACCCGTTTTTTCAGCAATAGAAACAAATAGTGCGCCGCGGATTCAAGCGGCGACACTCCGTCGCATTACAGAGCTAGTATCTCCTCTTGAGGACAGGAAAAGCCATTCTTTTAACGAATACGAGAGATTTGCGCATATGATGTTTACCGGTCAACAGATGGAGGATTTTACAGTTGCAGGAGCTCATTACCGTCTGCTACGACCGAATAATGACGATAGAAACGACTCAGGACAAAGCTCCAGTCCCACTTACAATAATAATAACATCTGGCATATCTCAAGAGCCCCCTTTAGAGCTCGGCTTGAGCCTATACTCGCCATTGGGGAAATACATGCCGATTGGTGCACCCCTATCTTGTGGGACAATAGGTACTGGTTCCAATTCCGACTTGATCCATCATCATCATCATCATCCTCTTCTTCTTCTTCTTCTTCTTCCTCTTCCTCTTCAGGTCCTCCGTGTTCTATAAAAATTCGTCCCCTCGAAAGCAACGACATGTCACACGTCAACATGTCACTAAAAAACACAAGTCACTCGAAAAGTATTTTCAGACACATGGCACCTTTCAAATCTCGATTCACGTTACCTATCTTGACTGCTACTGCTAGCACAACTCATACGATGGATGGGAGTAGCGTTGTAAACGGCGAAGAAGAGGAAAGATATCTCGCCTTACCCACGCTGGATATGAGGTTGGGCGATATGCCGGATTCTCCAAGAATAGAATGGAAATGGGGGTACAAGAAGATCGATGTTGAGGCACTAAGATTGATGGGCTGGCTTGATAATTGAATAGAGTTAGATGAAGAGGGAGAACATAATGCCCATGCCTTGATGCAATGTTTGAATTAATGATAATGTATATCTACATTTTGGGGGGGAAAAAAGAGAAAGAGAAGGACAAGAACAAATGAAGTAATACAAGAATAAGGTGACCTAGGAACCAGTCTGGTACACTCAAAATACCCACCGAATAAACGAAAATGATGCGGCCACTGTAAATGCTGCTAGCCAAGGATAGAAAATGAAAATGGAACATGAAAGGAAATAAATAATGAGGGTTGGAAAGCCAAAAAAATAAAAATGTACAAGCTGAATTTTATGCATCAGACACCTCGACAACATCCTTGTTAGGCACATCTATATCTGCTCGCACTGCCTTGAGGCCGCCGACTTCTCGTTTTAGTCTGAGATTCTCCTTCTTCACCCGGCTTAGCTCCTCGAGAGAGTTTTTCAACTGGGCCTTTAGGGTTTCCTGACCGTTGCCTACCCGGACTTCTTTCGCGACTTTGTTTAGCTCAGAATTGAATTTGTCATAGAGTGCCTCATTCTCAGCACTGGCTTCGCGATAGAGCTCATCTAGTTTCTTGGCTCGTTTCTCGCTCACAAGCAACGAAGACTCCAGGTCTTTTTCTAGATTCATGGTCCGATTATTAATCTCAGTTTTGAAAGTCGAGAAACTTTGCTCCAAGTTGTGCAAGCGGCTAAGCAATGCCTCGGTTGAACTATTTTGATTTGACGATGCAGGTGTTGATTGATTATCCGATAGAGATGCTCTTGTAAGAGCAGATATTTCTGCCCCAATCAATTGCAATTCAGTCCGCATAGCAGTCTCCGTGTTATTTTGGACCTGCTTGGTATTCTGAAGACGATCACATAGCTGAATAATTGCATTAGCATAAGAAAACCCAACTCAACTTAGTCAATGTTACCTTCTGGGGGCTCTGCATGCGTAGCCTCTGAGGCTTCTGCGGAGATGACAAAGCACGTTCACGCCTGATAGTAAAGTCTGAACCATGGGAGCTGATAGGCCGTTCTCTGGGTTGCAGAGAATACTTAGCTGGCTGTGGAATACTTGACAGAGTATCGGATCTCTTTTTCCGTGTGTATGTTGGAGACACTGGTCGATCGGTCTTTTTATTGATAGCCCGTTCCACCAATTTCGGTCTATGCTGGATATTTTCTTTTTGCATTGGTGACTCAAATGCCACTGGCGAAAGAAGAGGGCGCATCGGTGATGTTGGCCGTCTAGGAGATGTGAGGCGGACGGGTGAAGTAGGTCGTTCCTGTGGGATTCTACTTGGCGACTTTGCAGTGGGGCTATCGTGAATTTGTGACTGATCTATGCGTGACAAGACATCCGACCGAGGACGAGGGTTTGTTGATGCTGGCGTTGAAGGCCTTGGGACATCAATCGGTGACAGCACAGCCGGTTGTGGAGGAGTAGATGGAAGCTGCAGATCAGATAGAGAACTCCGTCTTTTCCTCCGGCGCACTGGATCCTTTTGTGGCGTGGAGGGTCTTTCGTGAATAGCACCAAGAACAAAATTATCGTCATGTGCGCTTCCAGGACGGCGAATACTGTCCTCTGACAGGAAGGCCCCGTACAAAGTTGGTCGTTCACGCGTTGCTGGACCTAGGAGATCCGCTAGCCTTGAATCAGAATCGGTGGATTTCGAACGGGATAGTGTTGTTTTCCCTTCGGAATCACTAAGATTTTTGGTCTTGCTTAAAGTACGAATGAGAGAGCTGACTTTGCTCTCCCCATCAGAGCGAGACGAATTTTCTCGGTGCAAGCCAAAGCCCAGTCTTTTCCGGAATGATGAGGTGTTGGACCCTATGGATCCTGTGTGAGACCGTGGTCTATTGGGTGTCGTTTCTTGCGATTTCGATTCGCCTACTGATATTTCAAAGAGATTCTCATAGTCTTCGACGAGACGATCAAGCAGAGATATGTACTGCATGGGATCTTCATTCTCGGTTAAAATTTCAGCAAACGCCATAGTTAATGCACCTCTATCACCGTCATTACCAGAGGCATCCAAGAGATCCGCTAGAAGGCGAACCGTTGCAGCAAGTGCGCGCCTATTTTGTGGCGACAAGTCACCAACAACTCTTTTGAAGAAATCCCTGAAATCTTTTGGAAACGAAGAATCAAATTTAGCCAGGATTGCTGTCAAAATTTCTGAAGAAAGAAATGAGCCAATCTGGTCCTTCCAAGCGTGATTGATAAACGTCTCAAATGCCACAAACAGAACATCAACGGGGACTTCTGCTGCAGCCTGAAGTTTAGTGGGATCCTCCAGGAGAACATTGTACAGTTCGTTCACCATAGATTTGTCTGCACTGGCCCGGGCCCTTAAAGTGCGGCCTACGATGTTACCGCTTCGTGAACGTAGAGAGAGTATGTAAGTAGTCAATGTCTGCTCTAATTTTTGGAGTTGATCATCTTGCTTTGTATTGGGAGGTGCAATGATCGATATTTTAGGCGGAGCTTCATCGAGTGTTGCAGGAGAGGTCGTTGGTCGTCCGACAGCTGTCGCCTTTGGTGGCATTTTCGGAATATCACTAAGTGATAAATTTGGGGTAAATGTCTTTGACAACGACGGAGGATCTTTGGTTTGACTTGCGCCACCCCACAGATTTGATATTAACTTCGAAGGAGACGGCGGGCGAAATCCTCTTGGAATCTTGGTTTGGGAAAGAATGTGACTTCCAATCTGGCGAAGTATATCCAAATTTGAATACACAGATGATTCTGTCAAACTCGGATTGTGTAAACTATACACAGCAGGAAGTATAGTACAAACTACTTCTGTTAGCGATTTCGTCTCCTAAAACATTGGAAATCATAAACTTACGTCTAGCTGAAAGCGTTGGCACGAACGTATCGATACTGATTGTGTCAACAGTGCTAGAGCCACCAATGGCGTTTACCTCCATTCTGTACTGATTACTATCAGCCCAGGTCAGGGACACGATCACGTCTACTGGTGCATTCTCCAACGTTTTCATGCAAACAGCTTTCGGCGTGTCAAAAACAATCCTGATTCTTGAAAACCCAGATCGGTGCATTGATCCAGTGGCATCCTCTTCGAACACAGGAGCAAGGATCCCAAGGTTTCCGGAAGGCACATTAGGACTGCGCAAAGTCCATTTTGCACCTTCACGTTCTCGTTCAGAAAATTGACCTTCGATTTTGGCCTTTAATATTTCTTCGATCAGCCGATTCGCGCGTCCCTCGTACATTCCCGATAATTGAAGAGCATGAGGCGTCAATTGCGTGGAGTGCGAGGCTTCATTAGACATAGTACCTGCAGGCATCAAGTATAAAATATGTCCACCACTCGACTGCATACAGTAGAGATTGTTCAGATCAAAGGCTCTAATGAATCTAAACTGGGCGTTGCCTTGTGATAGGGTTTTCTCGGTGCTGGGTGTCGCCTGGTTCTCCAATTCCGACAATAACGCTCGAGCAGTCATATTGCTCCCAGGATATCGAGACAGCAAAACAAGACAATTCTTGTAAAGAAGCACGAGAGTATTCATAGTAGGAGCGTCCTGCTCTTGAATATGGTACGGGGGAAGAATCTCGGTTGAATCAAATGCGTTAATTAACCGCCCAAAGGGGGAAACAGATGGTGGCCAATACTCAACCAGTTTCATCATTCGCTGGATGCTCTGGTTGTGATCAGTGTTTGCTGGCGTATCGAGGGAACAGATATCTTTTATGATATCTCGGGCTTTGAGGAAGAGTCGAATGGAGGGATGGATCGATGGTATGTTGCTTGTCATGGCGTCAATGAGAAGGCTATATCTAGGCAACCGCTGAACAGGTTCCATCAATAGCGACCGAAGTTTTTGTTCGCCAGTCTCGTAAACTCTGCGTGAAAAACTAGATTTTTCGTCCTTCAGAAAGGAATTCAAGGTCTGCGTGAACCCAGTGTGAGCCCTCATGTAAGCTGCGTATGGCTCGGAGAACCGGGGAAACCATTCAACAAGTGCATTTGCAAACGAAATTGCTCCCATCATATCTTTGCCTTGTTCTGCGTGTAAACGGCCGGATGCCGAAGTTTGTAGTTCCGTGTCTTCTGCGAGGTTGGTGATGGCTTCTTGCTCAGTGGTGTCCAGGATCTGTCGAATCACGTCCAGAAACCCCATGTTGACCTGTAGAATTTCGTCAAGACATGGCGGAAACAGCTCTGCTAAGGCAGTATCGTCTGGACTGGAGCTGGATGCGCTCTTGACACGAGCCTTCTGCTGGAACTCCCCCACAACGTTGTGAACTAAATCATACAGCTTACTAACGTAGCGTTCTTCAGTGTCAACAACCTCACACATAGCTAGCCGCAACGCTTCTTTCTGGCTTCTTGTGAACAATGTGGATCTGCTTAGGTTTGTTGGCTGAGAAGGTGCGCGTCGAAGGCGGGAAGTCGGAAGGAAAATCGGATCACCCAACGCCTCAATCAATGCGGTATATTTTCCATATTGACCGCCATGCGCTCTGTCATCAATGGCTTCTTCTGACGGTTTCTCGCTCTTATCTCCTTGTTCCGTAGACGATGCGATTGAACCGGACGGCATCATAACATCTATGTCGATCCAGGGTACCCTTTTCTCGTCATAGGCACCTCGAAGATCTCGCACTATTTCGGCAGCGTTGTTTATTCTAACCATTCGATTGGCCAGGTCGGCAGCATGGGTCTCCTCGAACATTTTGGGGGGTCTGCCAGTTGGTTTCCCGGTCTTCGCCATGGCTATCTGTTTCAAGCACTGCTTGGCCGTCGCTGGCAAGTCATTCAAGTACCTTAGAAGACTGACAGCCAGGCCGCGGCAGATCTCGTCTCCCTGTTTTTCGCGGGGAAGGTGGTGGACTGCGACGTAGAGTGGTGCTGCGGGAGACGCGATGATGCGGGGATAGCTTCTTAGGCCGGCCGCGCTGAATATGTGCGCCTGGTTCCTGGAACTGCTTGCGCTAGAATCGGAAGTCGCAACTGATCCATAGAAAACGAGGACGGAGGACAGGTAAGGATCGCTGACATGGTAGAGCGACAACTGCTCCAGAGGCAGTTCCGCCAGGGAGCTGTTAATCATCGCCATGGCGCAACGCCCAGTCGTAGCTTCCTCTGCCACGCCAACTTGCCGGAAGGCAAAACCATTGATTGACTGAAGGACTTCAGTCGCTGAGATAGCCACCTGCTGCAATTGATATATCTGCTAGCGCAATTCCAGGTGTACTGTCATGTCAAAGCAGGGAAAGCGCATCCAACCAACACTGCGCCATCAATGAAGGCCTGGAGATAAGATAATACAACCAAAACAAAGGACGAAATAGATGGAAAGAAGTCATCCCACCAAAAAAGGGCGGTTACCAAGAACACATGCTTGTTCCTCTTCCACGGAGCAACGCGACAACAAGCCGGAAACAATGAAAAGGGAAAATGCAGGAATATTTGTCAATCTGTTGATTGTATCTTTTGGGACACAAACAACCCAACCTTATGCGCGCGACGGTCACAGACACAGCGGGGCGCGCGGCACTAACCGCATTCGGCCGGGTCAACAACGAGGCCAACGGGCATGGACGACTGCGCCGTGTCGAATGGCTGCGCACCAAGCGAAGGGAGATGGGATGGTGCTTCCAGTAGTAAGGCCGTCTTTATTCCATCTCAGCAACCAGCATTTGGACGGCTGCAAAGGATGAAGTTGCTGGTTGTTTGTTATGGCCTCAGGCGGCAACGCGCTGGCAGACGGCGGCAAACCGCGATTGCGATTGGCTGGTTTGCTCAGAACATGATCGGGCCAATCCCGTGTTGTTTTGACTCGCAAATGGACGGCGTCTTATTGGACGGCGCCTTTTTGACCGCCTCTTCTTTGCAGCACGGGGGCGACTAATTATTGTATAATTTCCGCATTATTGATCTGGCAGACTGGGTGCTCGCAAACCCCCAAAGCAGCAAAAGCTCAGAGTGCTTCCCCAGGGCAGCCCGCCAAGCCCCAACAAAGCGCGTTGTCAATTGCAACAATGCCATACTAAGCTGGTCTAAACTGGAATACATGCATGCAATGGCCGATAGTTGACTACCTAAGTTATGCTTAGTTATGCATAGAACTAAATAAGCAAGCAACGCTAAGCCAGAACGGGAGCTATGGGACTGCGGGCAGGTGCCAGGCGGAGCCAAGGAAGGAAGCTGCTTAGCGCCGGCTTGCTCGTTTGGATAGAGCGTTAGACTGAGATCCCGCCAGATGGCAGATTTGTGAAGCACTTGTCTCCGCGCCTTTGCCTCCATCCCAAACCCCGTCCATGATGCCGGAATACCCATTGCCAATATCGGTGGATCCGGTATCTTTGGTGACTACAGAATGCATCACGGTCACCTCGGCTATGCGCAAGCATGCCCGCTGGGCTCACTCCTCCGTAGCCGCCATCCTAGGTGGCAGCGGCTCAACAAAAGGCAGTGACCGCGATATATCAGCTTCTCCCATCTCGAGCACAAGAAATACCGCTGGCGGAAATAAGAAGCCCAACTCCGATAACTCAAGTCTCTCGTCTGCAGCCGAGGGAGACCATGCATTGGCCAACAGATGGGGCTTGAGGGGTAAAAAAGGGAAGAGCATCCAAGACAACCCTCTTATATCCGCCTTCACGCGTTTGCGAAGTGACTTGAAGTCATGCAGAGATGTCCGCGCGTTTGATGCTCCGTCGTTGCTTCATCCGTTTCTCCAGGTCATTCGTTCTTCATCAACCTCTGCACCGATCACCTCGCTGGCATTGGTTGCCGTCACGAAATTCCTTGCCTACGATATCGTCAACCGCCATTCGCCTCGTATCTCTGTTGCAATGCAACTCCTATCGGCCGCGATCACACACTGTCGGTTTGAAGCGAGCGATACGGTTGCTGACGAGGTGGTTTTGTTGAGGATACTCAAGCTGATGGAAGGAATGCTGTCGCGACCGGAAGGAGAACTGCTAGGAGATGAAAGCGTTTGTGAAATGATGGAGACAGGGTTGAGCATGTGCTGCCAGAACCGTCTGTCAGAATTACTCCGCCGATCGGCTGAAATGTCCATGATCAATATGTGTCAAGTGACATTCATGAGATTATCCACAATCGGAACCGAAGAGATTGATATCGATGTGCATCATCAACAGCAACATATAGAGGATGAGACTGCCAACCTCAAAATGGACCCTTCTCTCGACGGGGACACGGTTATTCCCCAACATCCGTCAACTATGGGTTCCGACACCATCCCTGCTGACAAAGAGGAAAAGGAGCCCTTAAACAATGACGACCCTACGCCTACAAGCAGCGGCGACGCATTAGTCGGCTCCGCTACGGAAAATGAGGAGTCCCAAGTGGTCGAGGTACGTCCATACGGCCTACTTTCAATTCGAGAGTTATTCCGTGTCTTGATTGATCTCTTGGACCCGCATAATCCTCAGCATACCGATGCTATGAGAGTCATGGCGTTGAGAATTATTGACGTCGCTCTTGAGGTCTCCGGACCTTCAATTGCTCGTCATCCAATGCTTGCGGCTTTAGCTGAAGACGACTTGTGTCGCCATCTCTTTCAGCTAGTGCGTTCAGAGAACATGGCAATCCTTAATGCGTCATTAAGAGTAACCGGTACTTTACTTTCAACCTGCCGGTCGGTTTTGAAATTGCAACAGGAGCTCTATTTATCCTATCTGGTTGCTTGTCTCCATCCTCGAGTGGAAATTCCCAGAGAGCCTGGCATCAATCCATCACTTTATGAGGGTGTCCCTCAGGCACCGAAACAAGCCAGCAGTGGCCGCTCAACACCTATTCCCGTCAAAGACAGACAAAAGCTAGGCTTAGAGGGAGGTGTTAGGAAGCCCGAGGCCCGAGAAGCCATGGTTGAGAGCATAGGCGTATTAGCCCGTATGCCAGGCTTTATGGTGGAACTATTCGTCAACTATGATAGCGAGGTGGATCGTGCAGATCTTTGTGAGGATATGCTTGGGTTACTTTCTCGAAACGCATTTCCAGACTCGGCCACCTGGAGCACTACGAACGTGCCACCACTCTGTCTTGATTCTCTTCTAGGTTACATACATTTCATTGCCGACAGACTCGATGATGAGCCTCGGTATGAAGGTTTACCAGATCCTGAGAAATTAAAGAGTCAACGACAAAGGAAAAAGATCATAATACAAGGTGCCACCAAGTTCAATGAAGACCCCAAGGCGGGAATTGCATACCTGGCTTCACAGGGTATCATTGAGAACCTCGAAAATCCAGAACTTGTTGCTCGTTTCCTGAAAGGCACAACCCGTATCTCAAAGAAGATACTCGGCGAGTATATTGCTAAAAAGAATAATGAAAAATTACTGGAGGCCTTTATAGACCTGTTTGAGTTTTCCGGGAAAAGTGTTATTGAGGCCCTTCGTGAGCTTCTAGGTTCATTTCGACTGCCAGGTGAATCACCATTGATCGAGAGGATCGTAACGGTATTCTCTGAAAAATACATGTCTAAAGCAGAACCCGCTGAGATAGTAGACAAGGATGCCTTGTTTGTCTTGATATATGGTATTATCATGCTGAATACCGATCTATACAATCCAAATGTCAAGTCTTCAAACCGCATGACCTACGTCGATTTTGCAAGGAATTTAAGGGGAGTTAACGGCGGTAATGATTTTGACCCGGATTATTTACAAAGCATCTATGACTCAGTCAAGCAGAATGAGATCATTCTCCCTGACGAGCATGAAAACAAGCATGCTTTCGACTTCGCCTGGAGAGAACTATTGATGAAAACCCCAGCTGCTGGAGACCTGGTAATCTGTGACACCAATATATATGATGCTGAGATGTTTGCTGCCACTTGGCGACCTATTGTTGCCACACTTTCTTATGTTTTCATGTCGGCCTCTGATGATGCGGTCTTTTCAAGAGTGGTCCAAGGCTTTGACCAATGTGCACAGATTGCGGCAAAATATGGCCTGACAGAGGTCTTTGACCGAATCATCTACTGCCTATCCTCAATTAGTACACTAGCTACGGAAACACCGCCTAGCACCTCACTTAATACGGAAGTCCAAGTGGGAAAGAAAGCAGTCATGGTCAGCGAGTTGGCTGTCAAGTTTGGCCGAGATTTCAGGGCTCAACTTGCTACCGTGGTATTATTCAGGATCTTGCTCGGAAACGAAAGCACGGTAGGGCAAAGTTGGAAATACATTATTCGCACCCTACATAACTTATTTATCAACGCCCTCATTCCGCCTTTCGCAGATGGTCTCGTCTCTAGTCTTAATATTCCGTCGATTCCGCTCCAGCCTCCATCACAAGTCGTGGAGCGTGAAACACGGGGAGAGACTGGTCTACTATCTGCTTTCACATCGTATCTTTCGAGTTATGCTGCTGATGATCCACCGGAACCGTCGGATGAAGAACTCGAGAATACGCTTTGCACAATTGACTGCGTAAATGCTTGCAACATTGGCGATATGTTAAATAACCTCATGTGTGTCTTCATTTACCATCCTCGATAGTCCTTGGGTGCTAACGTCATACAAACAGATCATTACCTCAACCGTCTCTGTCAAACTTAGTTGATGCTTTGCTATTCGAATTACCGGAAGAGAACGCTTCAGCTGTCATAGTGGTGAAAAGCGAGCGCCCATCCTCCGGCGGACCACGACCCCCCAGCGCTAAGGGTGATTTGACATCACCGGGTTATAATCCTGGTATGCTATATACATTAGAGTTGGCTACTGTTCTAGCTATTCGAGATTCGGAGACAATTGAATGCGTTGGTGAAAATCTAGCCAGCTCCTTACAAGGCATAATTCGAGATGCAAGGAATGTCCACCCTCTTATCGTCTCCAGAGTTCTATATTATCTTCTCAATCTTCTCCGACTGAGTTATGTGAGTATCATTCAGATGTTCTTGTAAACCCCACTAATTATCTTAGGATCAACCATTCATGCGCGCCCCGGTCATCTTGCATGCTATCTCTAGTTTCGATCAAGACATCCTAGAGATGTCGGCGATATCAATTCTTAACAGCTTGTCACGATGCATTGCTGAATCGGAACATTTGAGGAGGGAGACAATTGTGTCGCCTGACTTTTGGTCCATCCTGCAACGCCTTCGTCCTCACAACGCGTCTGCCCCCCTTGTTTTTGATATTCTTCAAGGAATTGTTGAAATTGTGCCACCGGCAATTTCATCCGATAACTACGAAGCTGCTGTTGCGCTCGCGAATGATTTTGCAAGTGCGGGAAGTATAGGAGCCGCTGAAGAACGTAGGAGAGATGGCAGCATTCGCAGATTAAGAGGCGCCAAAGCTGAGAAGCCAGTGTACGTGTTGCCTGTTGCCTGCTGCCAATCTGCCTTTGATATACAACTGACACACAAGGATAGTGAAAATGATACCGCGACGAGAGGAATAAACGCTATCGGTGTCATTTATCAAATGACAAATCGCACCCCTAGTTTGATTCAACAGTCTCATCTCGAAAAGAACGAAGGTGCGACTCATCACCCTTGTCTAATACCTTTCATTTATTCCATATCTATTACTAACAAGCTTGCAGCTTGGGCTGCCTACTGGTCTCCCATTTTCCAATCATTGACGATGCAATGTACCAACCCTTTTCGAGATATACGCCATCAGGCTATCTCGACTCTACAGCGCTCCTTAGTTTCCTTACAATTCGAATCCGAAAATGATGATAAATGGACATCAATTTTCGACGAGGTCCTATTTCCTCTCATCCTACGGCTATTGAAACCCGAAATATATCACTCTGATCCAGTAGGAATGGGCGAAACGCGTGTTCAGGCTGCCACTCTCGTCTGCAAGATATTCCTCCGATATCTAGATCAAATATCTAACTCCGGTGGCATGCTTGACCTATGGCTCAAAATCCTGGACATACTTGATCGGATGATGAATAGTGGCCAAGGTGATAGTCTGGTATGCAGACCTTTGATGCTTTTACCTTCCCCAAAAAAGTGATATGCTAATCAATATATACTCAACAGGAGGAAGCAATTCCTGAAAGCGTGAAGAACATCCTTTTGGTTATGGCAGACAGTGGCTACCTCACTCCTCCACCATTCAGCGATTCAAATGAAGAGAAGATTTGGACAGAAACTAGAAAACGTCTTGATCGTTTTCTTCCAAACCTGTTCAATGAACTCTTTCCGATCCCCGAACTACCACCCACTGTCTCCGATAGAAGTGGCGAGGAAAGTGCTGAAAAACCAACATCCAGCGGTAATGAGTTGAGTGAGAAGGAACATTTGGAAGAGAAACAACAGCCAACGTCATCAAGTTCAGCTGACATGAACTAAATAAATAGCCACCACATCTGCTTTTTTTTACCCGCGGCCCAAGCCTTTTTCGGGTTAACGAAACGAATTTTTTGCATCCCTTGATACACCAACTCCTAGTCTTTGTATTATGATTTGAATTTTTTCAACCGACTGGACTATGTCTTGTTCATTGTTCTCCTTCTAAGGTTCTAGATGTATTCTACAATTTCTCAACATTATTTGTTCATACACACGTTTCCCCATCATAAATATATATAGCGGGAGATCTTCGATGATGATGATATGAACAGGAAGCTTTTAACAAATATGATTTGCCACTGGCCAGTGGCTCAAAAGTTCCAGCTACTGAATATTGTCAAATCCTTTTTTCCTTTGCTCTCTGGATTTTTTCTACCACTGAACTTGAATTAGTCCGAGTTTATGAGTAGTGGCACTCATAAAGGAATGATCGAATGGACGATCGTCAAAACGATCTTGAACCCGTCGCGGGAATGTTTTCTTCTCTTATTCTTGCTTGTCTTCGAAATCTAGATGCAGACAAATGAAAATCTAATATGACAGGTAGTAAAGGAAAGAGAAAAAGGAGAGAGGAACCAGAAGGATGAAGGAATACTATGGCCTAATCATAGGAAACAACGCCAGATCCCACCATGCAAAAAAATACAAAATAATAAATAAAGCACAATTCTCGAAGGAAAGAGGCAATAATTTGATGATATATCGGTAATATCAATGATTCATGGTGATTGGAGAAAGGTTGATTTTTTTTTGCAACGTTCGGTTTCTGGAATCGAACCTACTCGTCCATGTCTTCGTCATTGAGGTCGATAGCGTCTGGATTAACGTTCGCTGGAGGTGCAGGCTGCTGGCCTGCAGGTGGATGACGATTTCCACCTTCGGGTCCAGTGCTGGCTGCAACGAATCCAACGGGGGCACGAGCCTGTCGCTCCAATGCCGCCATGGCGTCTGCCCGCTCCTGATCTTCTTCTTCCGCTGCTCCTGGCTCTCCGTCTTCCTGCGTTCGCTGCTGTTGACTGCGAGCAATGGCCTGGGATGCAATGAAATTGACGTCGGTACTGCAGGTCGAGTTAGCTAAATGTAAAAATACGAAAACATGATTTCTGGAAGTTAGGCTTACTTATACTGGGCCTGGACACTCCTCTTGATGCGTAGCATTTCTTTGAACGTATCCTCGTTGCCGTGCTGCACTTCGAATGCTTCCCATTTCTGCCAGAAGCCAGCATTCGTCCGCGGGTCGCAGAATTGCGAAGCGTGTCCATAGATAGCGCGTGCTCGATCGATTTCACCAAGTCTCCGCTCCATCTCGGCGAATTTGAGGCACATGTCCTTGGCTTCGCTATCCGGCAAAGCAGCAATGGCACGTTCGTAGATCGGTCGGGTTGATGTCAGACCGAAGTTGGATGCAGACTTGGTGATATAGAAGTTGAACATCTCAAATCGGTCTTCATCAGAGACTGCTCTTGTGGCACGCTCGTAAATACGCATGGCGTGTCTAGCAAGTCCACGCTCTTCTTCCAGGTTCCCATACATCAAATACAAGACCTTAGCGAACTTAGGAGGACACTCATCCAGCGCCTGCTCAAAAAGATCACGAAGTCTTTCGATGCTGATCTTACGGTCCACAGCTTTAGTTAGATACAAGTTCCAAAGCTCAAATGCCACAGGGTAACTGAACAAATCCAGTCCACGCTCGTAGGCCTTGAAAGACTCTTCGAAGTACTTGTTTTCTTCCAAAAGATTTGCATAATTAACAACGGTCTGAGGCGTGGCAATTCGGAGCTCGAAGATCCTGTCATAAATTTTCCTCGTTTCGTCAATAGTGCCAACGCTCTCAACAAGGTCCACGTAGAAGCTCCAAAGTTTCCAGCTCTTGTGTACTCGCTGTTGAGGTGAAAGAGTTTCGTCGAAATAATCCACCGTAGACCGCTTTGGAGCTTGGGTGGCTTTGGCCATGATATCAACAGCCCTGTCGAAGTTCTCGCTGCGCAATTCCATTTCAGCCCATTCACACCAAGTCTCTGCCAACTCTGCTACCGTCTTGAAAGGAACCTTGACAGCTTTGTCGAAAATAATTCGTGCAGTATCAAGATCCCCTCCCTGTTCATAGAATTTCGCATAATTAACCCATAATTCGTAGAATTTGCCGTGGGCCTTTTTGGGATTGATCGCAGCAATTGCAGCAGTGTAGGTGTTGACGACTTCGACTGCATTCTGACCCCATAAAGCAACTCGCTTTTCCCACTCAACGACGTTGTTCGGATTTTGTCTGAGAAGAACATCATTCACAAGGAAAGGACGCCTGTCCATCAATTGCTCGAATCTCAACATACGCAAATCGAGATCAAAGTCTGCATCTTCATCGACCTTGCCCTTCTTTGACCGCAATGCTGCTTGGTCCATGAGCGTACCAATAATAGACTCTTCAAACTCGACATAAGAATCGAATATCATCGTGAAGTCCCTGACTGTCATGACAGTAGTGATTCCTTCTTCAAAGATATCTCGGGCTTTCTCGAAGTTGCCCCTCGTAATCCAATACGTAGCAAGGCCGACCCATAACCTGCCTCTTTGATCAGAGAATCGTTGGATACCACTTCGAATGATAGAATCAACGTCGATTCCTCCATTGACTTTCGTATCAATTTGCTTAGCCTTATTCACCAGAAGCTCAACCATCTCACTCCATAGCTGGAAATGACTTTTCCCTTTCGTTGATTGAAAACTGGGGTTGTCGAGGAGTTCCATGTACTTCCTGATTGCTGATGTATAGTGGCCCAACTCCACGAGTAGTTCTATGTAATCTTCCGCATTCTCAGGATGAACTTGCATATACCTCCCCCATATTTGCACCGCAGTGTCTCCAGAAACGGAATTTGCAAACGATTTATAGAGCCGCCATATGCGATTGTGCTGAGTGATGGGCAATGCTCGAAGCGCGCGATCAAATGAGCGTCGGGTGTATGTCACTAACGGTTGTTTAAGTAGAAAAGAGAGGTACATCTCCCATATCCGAGGCATCTTGTTGAGCAATACAAGGGCTCTTTCAAAAAGGCCATTTACCTTCTGATATTCGGAGCGATGGATTGCAGGATTGCGACCGCGAAGGTGATTAATCCGGAACTCCAGATACTGACGAAAGGTTAAACAAGAGTTCATGAAGGTTTATTGTATGAACTTACCAGTTTCCAGAGTTTGTAAGAGCGCGGAAGTTGCTTGCAAGCCCGCTCCATAATCTAGGATATTCAGTCAATGAGTGGCGGAGGTTCGCGACAGCAGAATGAAACTTACAAAAGACTGCTCGTAGAGCGTCCCGCTTTGTTGCTTGTGCTCGATGTAGGATAGCCATGGCTTGATGCTGCCCTGGTCCCGGAACAAATCCTGTTCATAAATCGTATCCTCATTCGACTATGAGTCGCTAACATTAGCTTGATCTAGGTCAAAGCAGTGCCGAGATACTCACGATGAGATAAAGATCCGGCTCTGCTGCTGATGTTCGCTCCATTTGTGCGTGATGCCGTTGAGATCTAGGAGGCAGTAAGGTCCCTGGCATTTTTGCCGGGTCCACCGAGAAGACCTCCACGCGATCAATGTACCGACAGGTTGAGGAAGGTTAGCCGGAGACAATTCGCGATCCTTGAAACAGTCAACGTCTGTAACGGTTTGAAGTTCAAGATTAGAGATCACGTGGTGCCACAGCCGTTTTCAGGCAAGCGCGGCGCCACCTGGTGCCTTAATGCCTGGCACATGCAGCGAATGAGAGCAGAGGGCCCGAGCTTCCGCATATCGCTCCATCCCGTCATCGCCTACCATATGGACAGAACCAACCGACAAGGAGACTTGATATACATAGATACGCCACAATGTCTGGCGCAGTGGTGAGTGTAATGCTCTATAAGACCTACTGGACGTTGCACTGATGTTCATTTAGGGTCGTGAGGCAGTCTTTCCGACCCGCCAGTCGCTCGGGTTGATGAAGAGCAAGCTTAAGGGCGCGGAGATAGGTCACAGTTTACTGAAGAGGAAGAGCGAGGCATTAACTAAGTATTATCTACCCCAGGATTATATAATCAGACATTTATTAATTATTTCATATTATAGGCGCTTTCGCGGTATGCTTTAATCAAGCTAAAGTCCACAACGAACTCCCCGCATACGCCTGCTAATTGCACACACAGAGATCACGAGACGAATCGATGAAGCAAAGAGGAAAATGGGCCGCGTGATGCAAATTGCGGCTTTCTCTCTAGCCGAAGTTACATATGCTGTTGGCGGAGATATTGGGTTTCAGATTCAAGAGTCGGCCAAACAAGCTCGATTCCGAGTCCGAACAAAGCAAGAGAACGTATCGGGAGTTTTGCTCCCACAGTTTGAGAGCATTATTTCAGAAAGTACAAACGACTTTGGATTGACCGGTCTCGGAAAGGGAGGACAGCAAGTGCAGCGGTCTCGAGAGACATATGCTCGAGCCGTGGAGACTCTTGTCGAACTTGCTAGCTTGCAGGTTAGTTTTCTGAGACAGAGCTAGAGTCACGCTGGTGGCTAACGAAGAGAAACAGACTGCGTTCGTCATTCTAGATGAAGTCATCAAAGTCGTAAACAGAAGAGGTACGTCCCTGGTCTATGTTATACAATGCGGGCTCAATGCTGATTCTCTTTACAGTAAACGCAATGTAAGACTTTGTGACAAACACTTTTGAGCGCCGGTGGCTAACATACAATAGCGAGCATGTTATTATTCCTCGCACTGAGAACACCATTAAATGTTGGTCTAAAACTCCTTCAATATGAGTTAACATGTAACTGACAACATTTCAGATATCAATTCAGAATTAGACGAACTCGACAGAGAAGAATTCTACCGACTGAAAAAGGTGTCTAACAAGAAGCAGAGGGATACGGCCGCCCAAGATGCCGAAATTCATGCACAACGGCAGAAAGAAGCTAAGGAGGCAAATGGCGATGTCGCTTCTGTCGCAACAGAAGAGCAAGATACAGCTGATATGCTCGGAGAGGAAGGAGAAGAAGATGTCATCTTTTGATGGTGTTTTGTTAAGCTTATTGATGTGTATACGTTTTCCTTGAAGGTGCTCATATGGCGCTTCGCTAGGCTGTTTCTGTCTTTGGCCATTCACCAAAATTTGTATTTCAATCTATTCAGGGCACATATTCAACCCAGACCGGACCTTTCTTTTAAAAGTAAAAAGTATGCTTTCCTTATTAACGGACCAGAAAACGCCACGCAAAGTATGAAATTGAGAAAAAAAAAGCCCCCCCCCATCTTCATTGACGCTGATACGTCACGCGAATAGGCTTGCCATTGGGTCCCATAGGCATGCCAGATGTCGCTTCTTTTGCGCTAATGGCTCCCGTTTCATTTTCATATTCAACAAAGGCAATACCCTTGCGGCCTGGCACCAGACGTACTTCGCGAAAACCTTCAAAACGGCCGAATATTTCACTAAGCGTATCGGAATTGGCATCTTCTGGCAATTCCCGTAAGAAGAGAATTTTGTTCGGAGGTAGGTATTCGTCTGGGACTACTGTAGCGGTGGCAACATTGGAAGGCTTCAGACCAGTGCCGCGAGCTGCCTTCGCAGGTCTCCCAGCCTCGGCCGATATAGGCACCACTGCACCGGGTCGCTTCAACTTCTTCTGCGCTTCGAGAGCTTCTTGGGCTTGCTTTCGTTCTAAGGGAGCAACGGAGTGTTAGCAACAACTACTAACCCAGAAATGCGCTTCGAATAACCCACCCTTTTCGGCCAACCTTCGTCGCTTATGAACTTCTAACTCATCCGAGCCACCTTCCCTCAACACTGTCGCATCACTTTTGGTCTTAGCAAAGTCAAGAGACATAGGCTTTCCGAGAAGGTCGAATCCATTGACTTCCTCTATTGCTCGTTGAGCGGACTCAATATTGTCGAAGACTATGAAGGCCTGTCCCTTTGCTTTCAGATTCTTCTTTGCGACGATCTCTATAATAGTACCATATTCGGAGAAGATTTCTGAAAGCGCTTCTTTTAAATCATCTATTTTGACGCGCTCCTCCAAGTTTCGTACCTAGACAAATAATGTTAAATTCTGGCACCGTGGTCGTCGCAAAGCTGGAGAACTCACATAAACCCTATATCGCAGACAAATTAGTGGAATATATTTCAAGATAGGAAAGAACTGAGTCATACGTAGAGTTTGGGGAAATCCCGGAGCTTGATGCAGCTAGTGCTGCCATGTTATCAGTTGTGTACCGGGATTCTCTCGACAGATTGAAGTGTGAAAGCACTCGTTATACGATAGAGGAATCCGAGAGCAAAGAGATTGCGGAGCTTCAAAAATGCGGGTCCTTTCTCAGGATTATTGTAAGTCAAAAGAAGCTGCTCCTCCACAACAAAGCATTATTGGTCTAGTGGTAGAATTCGTCGTTGCCATCGACGAGGCCCGTGTTCGATTCACGGATGATGCACTCAATCATTTATTTTTTGGTTTTTTTTTGGTTTTCGTCCTACCAAGAATTTTTTTTTGGCATATGCTACCAAAGTATAAGGCAAAGTAGTATCGTCGAAGTCGCACTGCTTTGTTGAATCTACATGTTTTTTTGGCGTATCGATCACGTGGAGAATATGAAGTTATTCCATATCTGGCTTAGGTTGTTTACAGTTCGATCCATATATATATAAAGCGGCCAGTCGATGTGCACACAATTGGAAACCTATCCCAAGCATCGTCATATAAGCACCGTCGACGCAAATGGATGCTCCTGATGACAGAGATATCAAATTCCAGCGCGCATCTGGGTCGCTGCTGAAGGAGTTTGAGGACAAGTTAATACCGCTCTTGTGGAAGCAAAGTACTGGCCATAAAAAGGTTGTCCACAGATGGTCGCAAGCACCAAAAGAAAACCGGCTCGTTGAGGTGGTAAGTAGAATCTTTGATGGAGACCGTGTACATGGCAAATAATGAAACTTGTTGACTCTCGAATATAGCTTGAGAGATTCCAAGAATGGCCTCAGCTGCTAGATTCCAAGTTGGAAACCTTCCTGACTCAGCTGGTTGATGCATTTCTGTCCTATTTGACCAAACAGCGTCATATGTATGGTTCAACCGAAGGAAAGGCTCCTGCTTTGACGCAAATCGTCCCTCTCCCGAGGTCGATTTGTACAATTCTGTATACCTTTTGTAAGGTACGCGGGGTCAAGGTGATCAGTCGCTTCTTGAACAATGAGCCAAAGTATTTGGACCTGATGCTTCGGGTATTTATCGAATGGGATTCCATAGCATCGGATAAAACATCGATACCTGCAAAGTCCGGAATCAATGTACAACCACTCACATGGGAGGAACGTTATGTCATGCTACTTTGGCTTTCTCATTTACTGCTCGCTCCTTTCGACTTGGCAACTATTTCCTCGGACGATATCCCAGTCCCGCATAACGATCAGAAAATCTTGGAATTGATCCCACAAGATGCCCCCAGAATCGCTCGTTCTATCATTTCCATTGCTGTCCGTTACATTGTGACAGCTGGGAAAGAAAGGGAAGCAGCAACGCTGCTTCTTGCTAGGTTAGCCTTACGCCCAGATATGCAGCGATTCGGTCTTCTGAATATATTCACGGAATGGGCTTTTTCTTTCATTCAACCACCTGCTGGAAGTGAAGCACTGCCCCCCGTATACACCTGCATAGGTGTTTTGTCGTTCCTCGCCAGATTGGGTACTTCCGGTCAGGCGGAGGACCTGGCCCCATTAATTGGCCAACTATTTGACAAGACACTTCTCATGGCTCAGGAGGATTCACCTGTTTATGCAAACATTAGATCTTCAGCTTCAGCGCGAAAAATGATCATCAAGATCCTTCGTACCTCGGCAACTACGGCGTTGACTTTGGCGGAAAAGGGCAATTTGCGTGTACCGCAACACAAAGTGTCATTCATATTGGAAGAATCAATTGATTTCTTCCTAGTGGCTTTAGCTGACAAAGACATGCCGGTCAGATTTGCTGCAAGCAAAGCTCTGGCCATAGTGACTCTGAAACTAGATGCAGAAATGAGTGCAGACGTTGTAGATGCAGTGACCGGTTCACTTAATGAAGACATCCTCTACCAGAAGAACGATGGTAGTCTTCTAACATCATTTGAGGCCCGACATTTGGACATGAAGAGCCTAAAACGCAACTTGAGTGCCGTTGACCCACAGCGTTGGCAGGGGTTGATCCTAACACTCGCTCACCTCTTATTCAGGAGAGCTCCTCCCCCTCGCCAACTGTCTGATATTCTACAAGCGCTTGTTTCTGGGCTAGATTTTGAACAAAGATCTGCCACTGGTAGCTCTCTCGGGACCGGTGTGCGAGATGCATCCTGCTTCGGCATATGGGCAGTGTCACGCAAGTACACCACTATTGAATTATTATCACTGAGTGCTGGTACAGTCAAAGTACCCACGGAACAAGAAGAGCGAACCATTCTACAAATGCTAGCTGTAGAGTTGGTATGTGCTGCTTGTGTAGACCCGTCGGGAAATATTCGTCGCGGTGCCTCTGCTGCTTTACAAGAGTTGATAGGCCGTCACCCAGATACTATTCTCAAGGGAATCCCACTGATACAAGTTGTCGACTACCATGCTGTGGCAAGACGCTCAAAAGCAATGATCGAAGTCGCTCAGGGTGCAGCGCTTATTGATAGTGCCTATTGGAGCCCTCTTGTCAACTCTTTGCTTTTCTGGAGAGGAATAGGGTCTTCGGATGCAGAGTCTCGTCGAACTGCGGCTTCAGCACTCGGCGAGTTGTGCAAGCAGAACTCATACAAGTCCATCTACACCGTACTTCAGCGTCTAAACTCACGGCTAGTAACCATTGCCCCGTCTGACAATGAAACTCGCCACGGATGCTTCTTAGCCTTCGCAAGTGTTGTAGACGCTTTTACTTCTGAATATCAAGTGAATCCAGACCATGGCGATGCAGACATGGTGACCGAGGCAGTCTTGCAAATATGGGAGATATTCACCTCATCGTACGGCCCTACTAGAGATGATCTCACGCAAGTATCTGCACGCCCCGAACTCACCGCTGAAGCAGTATCTCGTCTCATTGCGTCACTTGCATGCGCTGTGGGGACGTTTTCCCTTGAAAAAGGCGTACCCGAATCACTTATTGAGAAGGCGCTAGATGTTCTACTGCTTTGTGTATCCCGTGGTGAAGATGTCGCGATCAAGGCTTCATCCAAAGCCGCGTCGCAGCTGTTCAGGATACTTCCATTACGAAAACAGGAAGAGACAATACACGGTTGGTTCGCAAATATTCATGCCAGCTGGAAGTCTACAACTGGACGCGGTCAAATTTCCGCTTTGGGTGCCGTGTTTCACCGACTCTCATCGGACAGCAGTGTCCGCGAGTATATCATCAAGGAGTTAATTCACTGTACAAAGGACGAAGAATTCATTGAGAAGAGGGTTTCTGCGGTACAGTGTCTAGCAAGTGGTGTTTTACCGAACATCAGTACGTCTACCGTACAACTTGATGTGCTATGAAATGAGAAGCTAATACATTAACACAGGCATATCGGATGATATCACTGACCATATTGTCGTGTTTTTGACGGACTATACCACAGATCGGCGTGGGGACATTGGATCATTTATAAGAATAGAAGCCATTCAAGCTGTAAGTATCATTTTACAACGTCACACGGAAATCAACGGCGGGCTCCGACCAGCGTTCATCGATCGATTCCTCGAATGTCTTTGCCGGTTAGCTGCAGAGAAGCTGGATAAAGTGAGGTTCCAGGCATGGATGTGTCTGCAACAGTACTGGGAGAACACATCTCACTTGCCACCTATCGAAAGGTAAGAGAGAACGATCATATCAATCCATCCTTAGACTAACAAGAGCATAGAAAATTTGAACACTTCAGTCAGGTGTCGTCGTTTAACTATTTCCATCAACTTCTAAAGCTTTTACAGTTAGAGAATATGCGAACAGCACTCGTGCAGGGCCTTATCACCTCAGCCACCGCGGGAACCGACGGCCTAATCCAGTCATCTCGCTTCGCTCTCATTGACTTTATTGAATCTCAAACTGAAGACAGGTTTCAGTGGGTCAATAAGCTGATCGGGGACTTGGTAACCATCCTCGAGGCCAATCTAGTGGACGATCGTTATGCAATCCCGGCCATGGAAATGTCTGCCTTTTTAGTGGACACCTATATATCAGAGCCTACTGTGAGCTCGAACAATGCTAGGTTTGTCATCGCCATGTCCTTTTGACTTTTATCACTTACCCTTCTACTATGGAGTTGGCGATAGGCCGTTCGTGCTCAATCTAACTGTTGTAAACGATATAGTCTGAGAAAGTTATTCATCCTCACCCAGAAAGCCCATTTCAAATCGTCCAATATACCTCGGCTAGAAGCAGCTATTAAGGTATACGCAGCGCTCTCACGATCACCAGCGTTACAGGTAGATACCTTGAAGAAGCTCACTACAATGCTATTGCATCCATATCCAAAGGTAAAAAATCAAGAATCTTCTATACCACAACCAAACGCTGATCAATTCATTGTATTTTCAAATATAGATACGCATGGCGGTGTCTGACTCCTTGTACATGACGACAAAGTCTGATATTGTCAAGATTGAGGACTGGACGGCGCCACCAAAGCAATTAAAAGGTGCAGTTGAGAAGTTGCGAGTCGAATTGCAGGCTGTCTAGCATGACCAACAAGTTACCTATACGTACTGGGTTTTGAGTTACCTGGGTACGATTGGAACCCAGACAATGTGATTATCCAAGCGTATTTCTGGGAACACAGCTCTGGAAAAAGACTAAAAGCATCTAAACGCTAATTCCTATTTTCAGTCATAAAAGCCATATATCTTGATATCAAGTAGTATAGAAGATCCTGATATACAAATCCCAAACGTTCCAGGTTGGTCAAAGAGAAGCCTTCAAACTCCGTCCGTATTCAGGCAATGTCCACTTGACCATCCACTCTGACTGAGGCACTTCGTCAGCACTTGGTCTTTTTTCCGGCTCGAATACTAGCATCTGGCGCATCAAATCTAGAAATGCCACTTATTCTTCTTCCCCAAGCGCTCCCCTTTTTGCATCTCCACTTCTGTACACCATTCTCAAATGTATCTTCAAGCGGAGGCCATTTGTTTCTCTGGTGAAATTCAGTTGATTGCCCATCTTCAGAGAAAAGACTGACCTCGTCCCTCCCAATGCGTCCACCAGTTTGATGGCATCGGCCCTAGTACATCAATATGCTGACAAGCTACTTCATCCTCAATCACAAACTCGGAGCTGAAAATTGATTTCATTCCAATTATGTCCCATATTGCTGTAGCTAGGCTCCAGATATCAGATGAATAAGAAAGTGGAGCATTTGGTTCAAATTTTGCTTCTCGGGCCCACAAAGCTGGTGGTGCATGACAATCTCGTCCAAGTCGAACTTCTGTTGCTGGAGCAAAAGCTTCACCGAAGTCACCAAGAAGTAGGAGCGCCTCGGGTAATGTGAGCTTACCTGAGGGTTCTCCGAGGAATAAAGGTGCAATCACAACTGCTTTAGCTGGGACATTTACAGGAAGCGGTTCTCCATTGCATCGTGTAATAGGGACTGTCTCCGGTTTGCCGTATTTCTTATATAACTCATCAATAGAAAGATCATTAAAACTCGAGCAACTTCCAAGGGAAAAAGACAGTTGAAAGAGACGTCTCTTAGACTGCATGCAGCCAATTGTAACAGCGTAACAAGTATGCGTTCCGTTAGGACCTTGCACCTCGAATTCATCCAATAGATCAGATCGCATCTAGGTGTGGATAGAGCTTTGAGAATCTTCGTCTCACGCGAAAGCAGGGATGCTATGTTGACATTCAGCGCAACATATTGCTTTAGATGAGCCTCATGGGCCAGCCAAACGGTTGAGTAGCCCCAGGCTCATATCCTTCCAGCGTCTCCACGCCTCTAATCCAGTTGTATTCAATGCGACGCTTTTGAGTCGTCGTAAAGCCCGCCCGTGTGAAAGAATTAGGGTTGAACTTTGGAAAATGAAAAGAGGACCATAGATGTGACAGTGAGCATCCAGATAGCCGGAGGAAATGCGCGACTATCTTGGCGGAGTGTGGCACGACCGCCTGCCTCGTACATGAGCTCAGTAGCTAGCTGACTGGTGAGATGGCTCGCTAGTATATATATGTATCCTGGCTTGTTTAGCGGCTGGAGAAATGAAGTTGTTGAAAAAATAATGTACCGCTGGCGGGAACGAGTTCAAATGCACGAACTGCAAATCCATCCAATCAGCTTCGAGGTTCTTTTCTTTCAGATGTTGATAGTCGATTCTTGAATCACCGGGAAAGCCATTGCAGTTCATCCAGTTAGCTTAAGGCAGAGATGAACCAACTCAATGATGAGTATGAATGGAATAAATTGATATATTGGAAACAACATCTAGATATCTCTTTTCAAGGAAAACCCGGAAAAGCATACATGCAAGCATCAAAATATGGAGTATATTTCAATTGGAAACCATCAATTGATAGAAAGAGGGCTTAGCATCGTTCTTACAGGCTAACAAAATATGAAAAAAAGACAAAAGACATAGAAGGACATTAAAAACAGCATTGCACCATCCCTACCACGCGTCAATCGTTATTAAGTGAAGCATCCTACACGAAGTCTGCGGTATATGAGAAGCCCCGGAATTCTTCTTGCATAGCTTGAGAAAGAACTTCAACGCACCAAAGTCAGTAAAATACATTTGTACCAATCTTTGAAAGGTGGTTAATGCGCCAACCCTAGAAGTGGAAGAACTTACCGGACTGTACTGGAGTAAGAACAGGAGTGACACTTGTAAATTCCTGATCAAAGTTGCTGGTATCGGTGGCGTTGCTAATTGTCGGCAAGAAAGGTGGAGCGATACGTTTGTGATAGACATCATCCCAATTGATGTTTCGGAAGAATGCGTGAGACATAATCTCTTGTGCATCAGTAGGGCCTGATCCGAGACGCAACTCAGGTTCGCGAGTAAGTAGTTTTTGCAAAATAGAAACTGAATCGCGTGGCATATGAATAGGATAAAGGGGCTCATCTGCGAGAATGGCGTCGTAGATTTCGTCTTCGTCTTCTCCACGGAAAGGAGATTGCTGAAGTAACATTTGATAGATGAGCACACCAAATGCCCACCAATCGACTGCTCGTCCATACTTTTTGTCGAGTAGGATCTACAAAACACTGTTAGTTGTTGAATCAAATTATCCTTTTTCTGTCGTAAAGCTGACTTACCTCTGGAGCCATGAATTCCGGTGTGCCACAAAATGTACTTGTAGTGGATCCATAATACATTCCATCCTTACACAAGCCATAATCACCAATCTTGATATGACCATCTAAAGTCAAAAGAATATTATCAAGCTTCAAGTCACGGTAGATGATGCCGTTCTCGTGGAAATATTTCAGACCTAAACAAACCTCAGCGGCGTAAAACTGCGCACGCTTAAGGCCGAATTGACCCCGTTGAATGTGCAACATTAGATCACCTCCGCTGATGTATTCCATAACGAAATAGACGCGTGTTTCTGTTTGGAAGCAAGCATGTAGGTTTGTTAAAAAGGGATGGCGTTCCCTGTTAGCAATGAGGAAAACCCGCTTCTCGGATTTCGTACTCTCAACTTCGTCATTCTCAATGATGAATTCTTTCTTCAATACTTTGATGGCATAGAGCTTCTTTGTCGCCTTGGTCTCGGCAAGCATGACCTTTCCAAAGTTGCCCTTTCCGAGAACTGCAAGGAAATTGAAATGATCGAGTCCAATCCTGGGCCCTCTAGCAGCTGGGGGCTCCTTTGGAGGAGGCGGCTGAACAGCTGGGACCGTAGGAGGCTGAGATTGAACAATAGGGAGCGGAGGTGCCGCCGGATAAGGTCTATGAGCAGGTACAGGTTGCTCTTGTTTCATGACGTCGCTATAGACTCTTGGATCATAGCCGGGGAGAGGAGGTTGTTGCGGTTGCCCAAGTCGGGGATCTGTCTCATGTTAGTACACATATGAGTTTTACAAAGAATGCCAGATCTAACCTTGGGTCGTTTGAGGGATGGGACGTGTGCCGCCGATAGCGACCTCAGCTGCCTTCTTAGCATCTTCAAATGATGACACTCTTGGAGGAAGTTCCTGTTTAGGTGAGCCGGTTGGTTGAGTCGGCGGGTAAGATGTGGTTGCAGCGTTCACGGCATCCATTGATGGTTTTGGATAACCTGGCGGTTTCATTGAACCAGGGGCTGCAGGAACGGTGTCCCTCATGGTGCGAGTAGCCGGTTGGGGTGGTTTAAGAGGGTTGGGATTCTTCAAAGCCTTTAAAATCTGATTTGCAGCCTCCATAGACATACCGCAGAAATCAGGTACCAGATGGGCACAGTTCGTGTGGCAGGTAATACCGCATTCTGTAATTCTAGATGAGCGAAAAGAGATCCTCAAAATGCCGGTAAGGACAAACAAAAACTTACCAGAACATTTTTTCGCATTTTTCCGACCAAACGGCAAGAGAGAGCCACAGTGACAGCACCAATTCGCAGAGATGTTGGCAAAGTTTTCGAAACGATGCGGGATGCGATGGTTGATTTTTTCTTCATCAGGATCCGTCTCGTAGTTCGCTTTACTGATGCACTTCGTGACGACGTCCACATAGCATTTGCGATGACAAGTGTATTTGCAATCTTCACATTGCATACCAGTACCATACTTCAGAAACTCGCCACATAGCGCACAGCGCATGATATTGTAAAACTGTTGGGCAACAAATTTGTGTCCCTGTTTCTCGTGAACTTCTTCTTTTCTTTGACGAACCGCACCTTGTCGATTCAATCCAATGTCGAACGGTCGGCGGTCCTTCATTTGTTTGGCTGGAAAAATTGGATTAGACAAAATTCTGCAAAGATAGTACGACATGGGTGACGTTACTTACCAAAGCTCATTGTAAGATGTATCCTGCCTACTGGTTCCAGCGCAAACCATGAATCTATCATGATATTATTACCCCCGCCCGCAGCGCTGGGTTGCTGGAACTGAGAGCGTTGTTCACCAGTCGGGCTCGTCGGCATATTTGCATCTGGCCGCCCCGGTCCTCCTTGAGCCATTTTATCTGCAGAAACCCAACCGTTCGAGGCCAGATCAGACTCGATCTTCTTCCGTCGCATTTCTTCAGCAATATCTGATATGCGAATCCAAAGCATGCCTATGGGGGTCTGCCTGTCTCCAGGCTTGTCGTAAACCGTAAGCTCAAGTTCATTGGCCTTGTCGATGTCAATATTGAATGTTTCATCTGTCCACCTATCGTTCCTGGTGGCTCTTGTCCGTGCCTTGAGGGTATCTTCAACTTTTAGTATCACGCTAGTCTCTGGGCCACGAGAAAATCGGGATGTTGCAGCGTGGTCAACATCTTGAACAGCATGCACTCGTAAAGTTAGGTGGCCAGTGAGGGGCTTTCGCATATTGGGGGCGTTGATACTGTCATCTAACTTGAAAGTCAGCACCGCGGCCTAATATCTAGGGATTTGACCATCTATACACATACCGTCCGCGTGATCTGTCGAACTCTCGATATCGACATGCAAATCTTCGTACCTCTTTAAAGCCTGTTTTAGCAACTGGATTTTCTGGTTACTTTCAATGCGACGGCCTTCGGCATCTGCACGACTCTTCCGATCGCCTTCATCTTGGTAAAGACGACTCATCTTCTCAATCCCCGCTTTGTACTGTTTCTCCACGCTCAGCTTGAATTCGAGCTGCGAAAGCATGAGTTGGATCTTTGGACCGAGGTAAGGCGTGTCATACTTGATGAGATCTGAAGCAATGGCCCGGTTAGTATTGTCATCATAGTAGCACCAATGCACGTCAAGACTGCATACCAAGTTTGCTATAGTTTGGCCGGGCTTTTGGGATAGCAGCATTGGGCCGAGGGTCGGCAAATGGGGCGCGAGAGGGCATCTGGCCAGTTCCTCCTTGGCTATATCCTCCAGGACCAGGATCTCCATAATCGCCTGTGTCGCGATGCATTAAATCCTTAGGGGGCGGCGGAGGGGCATCATATCCTCCAGCGCTGGAATCCCCCAGCGGTGGCAATTGCGGCGCTCCGGATGCCTCTGCACCGCCTTTACGCAACTGCAGTTCTCTAAGCCTTCCTTCCAAGTAAGCGATGTTTTTGCGGCCGTCGCGAATATTTGCATCGACTTGTTGCTGCACGAGAGGGTTGTCTGTCGACTGTCTCATATTGGTTGCGGCAGTTATAAGGGCCTTTTCCCGCTCGATCTTGCGGTGGACCGAAGCAATGATCTCGTCGCCATCCATATTGACGGTGATGCCGGGGGAGCCCTTTGATTGATCCTGCACAGGGTCCGGTTGCTGGTATCAAGATATGAAATTCCCACGCGCTCTGGAGGGAGGTGAGGGAGGATTTTTGCAGGCTGCACAGCCACCCACCACACGACGACTCGTTGCGTCAGAACCCGCAAACTACCATCAAGCCAGACGTTAAAACTTGTTCTCTCTGTGAAAGTTGAGTATTATTTATTTTTTTGCTCCTTCTCCTGATGTCTCCTCGTCTTCCTTCCAGCGGCGGGTGGGAAGAGAGGGTCAAAAGTTTTTGAGTTAGGCAATAGGAAAGGAGAGCAAAGCAAACAACATACTGAGATTGTGATGCGATATTGATAGACGTACTGACAAGTGAGCACTCGGTCCTCGGTAGTCGAGAGACTGTTTAGTGGACGTGGGCGCACGGGAGGACGAAGGCGAGAAAGTCGGAGAGACGCCCAGGAGGCTTGCCCAGGGAGCAGACGCGGCCTTTTGCTGCTCAGACAAGAAGCATTAGCCTGGACAGATCCGAGTCGAAGGCGTGGATGGAATATATGTAGCCAACAGAGTCAGTCCACTGGGGGAAAGGCAGGCAAAGGTCAAAGAAAGAAGGTGGGTAGGCACAAAAGAGTGGGGAAGCGACTCTCAGTGAACTTCGCTCGCTCACGTCAGGCCATCCCAACTAAGTAAGCAACTAGTTAACTAACTTACCACACGACACCCACTACGCCACACGTTCGACTGGGCCAGGCATCGCTCAGGGTGGCTGGAGCCGCGGTGCGACGCGTTCTGGATATGTTCCGGCGATGCACATTCTTGCTGCTGCACCCACTGCAAGGTGTGATAGACGAGAGTGCGTAATCGCCATTATCATAAGATTCCGTAGTCATGTACAGACATATATACCTAGTTACATGCAGCCACTGGCCGTGATATGCTTTACGGGTTGCCTGATTTGAATACTGGTGTAAAGATGCCGAGATATGCCCTTCCAGCCCTCCTGTGCTTTGCATACCTGAGGACCGTTTGCCGGGAAAATCCATCCCATCCGAGTAGGACTGGTAATGCTACTCTATCTATTCCTCACGCCTCAAGCTCCGAGGCAAGCAGTACCACGCGAGGATCATCACGCCATACAGCACCAGGCAGACCGGGTGCAGAACGACAGTCCCAAGGCTTTGCGCAAGCATACCAGTAACGAACGGCGCCACGGCGCCACCGCTGCTCCCCATGGCACTGACAAACCCCAGACTCGTTGTCTGGATGTCTCTGGGCAGGAGCCTGTTCAAAACGACAGTTGCGCAGGGGTAGATCGGACCCAAAAGCAAACCGATGACTGCAACAGCAACGGCCTCCCCGATAATATTCGGGATGAGCCAGCACATAATCTGAAAAAGAATAGCACCTGCTACAAGGACGAACACAGCCATCTTCTCCCCGAGTCGCCGCGCTGGATAAGACAAGACAAACCGGCCCATGGTGATGCCCGCCCAGAATCCAGCGCTGACATATCCCACATGAGCCGGGTCTCCGTTTCGGTAATTGATCAGGAAAGACACGATCCATCCAGAGATCGAAACTTCTGCTCCTTGATATGCGAAAATGAATAGTGCACCGAGCAGGGTGGTTTTGGTCTTGAGTGCCCTCCCAATCAAATTTCTCTTTGCCGGTTGCTGCTCGGCTTCTTGCGGCGAGGCTCCGGTTCGTTGCTGTTCGGCCAGCAGTGGCTGCGCAGGCATATCTTTTTCGTAGCCCCGGAACGCCCAGCCTGCAAAGAAAAAGTTGAAGACAGCTAGCGTCAAATTGATGATGTAGAAGTATGTCCAATGCACGCCTTGTGAGACCAAGGCTGTTGCGATCAGAGGGGCCAAAGTTCCCCCTATTCCATAGAACCCATGATTGATTCCCAGCAGCTCAGTGGCATTGGCCAGATTAGCCAGAAAGACATTGTTCAAAGCGAGATTGACCGCGATACCGAGACCAATGAGGAAGAAACCACACACGACGGCCGGAAAGGGTGGTTTGCAGACAATTATCAAATAGCCCGCAGCCAAGGGCACTTGAGAGGACACGGCAGCCCGCGCACGACCAAAGCGGCTTTCGAGCCAATGGGTCATTGGTGCGGCAGTTATGAAGCCCATGGCGTTGGCAACGAACACCAGCGACACTATGGCATAGCCGATGTGGAAGTCATCTTCGATGTACGGGATCAGAGCACCAGGGGCACTGTCGCTAAAACCGTTGGATAAGGCCATACAACATGCGCACATAAAGCGCCATTTGTTCCTTTGCGGACTGGAGAGGCTTGCAACGACTTCGGATGCAATGGGCTGCGGAGGCACCGGCGCATCACGTTCACTCAAGGGCGCGTCGGGTGTTGCAGGGAGCCTTTCTATATCCAGCTGCGTGGATATCTTGTTGGCGGCTGAATAAGATGCAGAAGCTCCCGGTCTCTGGGTAACGAAGCCGCTGGTTTGCAAATCCGTCAATTCATGGTTGCTCGACGTAGCTGTTGTGATGATGTCTTGCTCGTTGCGGCGAAGCACAGTGGCTGGGCTGGTAACTTCGAGTAGCGCGCTCAAATGTGCTGCCATGGCGGCAGATATAAGTTATATAAGTTATATAGGTTATATTCTGATCTTGGTGAGACCAGGGAGGTGGATGAATGAACAATCTTGGGGAAGGTGGAGAGAAGATCTGAGAGCGAGGGCCTGAATCTAGGCTAATTATGCTGCAAACCTCAAATTATTTAGGCGAAATAGCTAAACCGATGAGCCATTTTACCTCCATAACCAATTAACTGCCTTTATTAGCTAGTTATATATACTTTGATATTAATGTTTGTTACCACCAAAATGCTGGGTTTGTGGATCTACGGAAGTATACCTGAGGCATCCAGGCACCCAGGCACCCCCGGCGGTCCACAGGGTCCACGCGGGGCTCCCAAGCAGGAAATTTTAAGCTTCAATTTGTTTCCCTCTCAGCTCTCGTTAGCAATTGACGCCAACGACCAAAAGCTCACATCCCCCAATCCGTCAACATGGGCCCTCCCAAACGCAGGGTGCTCGCGACAGCAGAGGAAACTCTCTACCCTCCCGAAACGCTATCCGAGGGACATCAGATCGCCCGGGTCATCAAAGCAACGGGCAACAACCTGTACTCGGTCGAATTTCCGTCCAAAAAGACAGCTCTCGTAGAGCTACCAGCAAAGTTTAGATCGACCATCTGGATGAAGAGGGGTTCATTTGTGGTTGTTGATACCAATGCGCTCGAGGACCGAGAGAACAAGCTCGCGGGAGAAATTGTCAATGTGGTGCGGGACGAGAAAGCCTGGCGCAAAGCTGCTTTCTGGTTGGTGATTTGTTTGCAAGGAATATTCTAACATTGAGCTGACCTATTCTCTACGTGCAGGCCAAAGGAATTTGTCAAGCAATCATTTCTTCCCTCGGATTCGGAGGATGAAAACTCTAGAGTAGGCAAGATGCCTCCTTCTGACGACGACGACGACGACGAGCAATGAAGTATTCAATCTATATTTTACAACATTAACTAGGAATATACAACTATACCATCACTTGCCAAGCATATATCGAGTTCAGCAAACACCGTGCGCTACTTTGTTTTTAGGGTTTCTTCCGCCTCATCTTGCGGTCCATGCAAACTATTATCGTTCACCAAAAGCATCACAACTGGAGCAGCTAAACAAGCCACAACCGCAACCGAACTGGTAATGGTGCTGGGGAAAACATTCCAGGCCCCCTCTTGCACCGCCCAAATTGCGTATATCAACCCTGGGTGGAGGTTCGCTTGCCACAGCAAGAATGGAGTAGCCCAGGCGAGGTATGCGAAGAATTGATAGTGCAGCGATCTTGCGCAGAGCATGCCGATGACGATTGATGTGAGGAGCGTTGTAGTGACATAGGCGCTGGACAGAGTGAATCTTGGTGCACGGCCCCGGATGAATTGCTGAGAAAAGGAATCAAGTTCTTGACCGGATGGGCGAATCCAACGAGTCGCAAGGAAGGCAAGGACAAGGATGGCATGTATACCGAGAAGATTGACGGAGAAAAAATATGATTCAAAGACCTCCTCCGTAACAAAGCGCCAGTTCACAGTCCATTCAAAGAGGAATTGCCTTGTTAGCTCAAATGCTCGTGACAAGTAACCAATGGCATTTTCCTGCAGAAAAGGTAGACCAAGCAACACCTTGTATCTAGTTAGCGGAGCTCCAGAAAGTATATCACAAGAGACTGCGACGCTCACCTGTACGAGAATCGCGTTTAAAGCAAGCGGTATAGCCAACCCAAGTCCACCCGCCAATGCCACAATGATTGCAACTGCCGGAGCAAGCAGCAACAGAGACATCTTGATGCCAACCCCAAACGACCAGACCGTAACGGCCGGCGTCAACGATCCTCCCTGGAAGAGCAATATCGACAGCCACATGAAAAATGCGGCAACACCATCATTGAAAAGCCTCAGCATATAGACGCTATGCAGTCGTTTGGACAGCACAAGAAGCGGGAGTAGATATGGCGGTGCACCGGCTCTTAGGTAGCAAGTCATGACGACGATCAAGGTGGCAATGTAGATTCCAGCGAAGATGATTTGGCCAAGGGCAATGTCTTGTCCTTGGTTCGTTAATTCGTACAAAAACGAGTAGACGTAAACGTGCGCGGCGGGGTAGACGAGAGGACCGGTGTCGCCCTTGATGGCGGTATAATCGCGTTCACCGGCTTGGTAGAGGGCTATCTGCTGCATGTATGTTTTCCAATCAATCTCTGTATCTGCATTGAATCAGTTCAGACTTGCAAATATCAGAATGCAGGATCACAATGGACAAAAGCAAAGCGCATCGTTGTGCCAACGTACACGGTACTTTCGAGATAATAAGGCCGGAGAGCAATGCATCTGCCAGGACTAGCAATGGTGCGATCCTTAGTGAATGCTTTGGGTTGGTTAGTATGCTAGTGATTGCTGATTTCAAGGTCGCCATGTTTTGATAACGCCAGCTGCTGTTTGTTTCGTTGCTCAACGTCTACCTATTTTGAAAATCTTAACTTTGTCTTCAACAATCCGTACCCGCCAAATATTACATAGTGAGTACTCCGGCCAATAGGAATGCACCGATCAGTCCCTATACTGTAGTTAGTACTTCCAAGGTTACTATAGCTCCAAACAATCATCTACCAACTCTAGACGTTCATGAGTAGAGCAGTCGCAACTTCGGAAAACATTTGCCTCCTTATGTATCCCGAACCGCGTCGGTAACTAAGTTCGCGCGAATGGGATGGGATGCTTGCAAAAGCTGTGGTCAATTATGAGGCATGGCAAGGAAAACGTGAACAATTTATATGTGTGTTTATTTTTACCAGCTGTATGACTATTGGACAAGACAATTAAATTGTTCAAATCTGGTGTTGACTGTACAAATATTCCAATATGGGGGTATACACAAATATACATTACAATGTTCCTTCACCAGACCAGTGATCCAACGACAGGCAAACCTTGTACAAATGTTCTCTCATAGTTTTTCGTCGAAAATGTTTTTTTTCTGTTCAATTGATCATTGACGTCTTTCCGGTCCTTTCTCCTAAGTTTGAGACAACTCTCAGCTGCCATTTTCGTGAACTGTTATTGTAGGCTTCGATGTTTGTTGTTGGCCATCTATCGTATTGTTGCTATTATTCGAGAACCCGAGAAGCTGGCCAACTATGCCTCGGGGCTTCGGAACTGGGCATTCACGTCCAATCCGGGCCAATGACTCTGCCTCCGCTTCCATCTGATAAAAGGTCGAGGCTTCTTCGGTTGCTGATTCTGTGAATTGTGTTGCTCCGTTTGGAATTGTTTCTCTGGAGTGCTGCATCACATCGGGCGAGTCAGACGTTTTCCTTCTCCTTCTCGGTCTCAAAATCTGTTGGCCATCGGCCGTCATCTCCATCTGTGAATCGGCTAGTGTTCGGCGAGGAGCGGGACAGGGGAAGAGGTGAGGAAGGCCGACAATGACGAAGGACGCTACCATAGTGGCAGCAAAGAGGGAGCTCGTTGACCGCGAGCGCGGATGTAGAATTGGTGGCATGTCGGAGTTCGAGAAGTAAAACGAAAGTCACGTATTCATCGGCAAGACGGCAGAATATGGAGTGATGCGAATTGTGCTGGCGGCCGTCAGCATTGTCATTGGATTAGCAGAGGGCTTGAATTGAGTAGCACGAACCAATCACTCGAAGCTGGCGCTGGGCTGCACAATGAAGAGCATGGCGCTCAATTGCTTGATTGGTGATGATGCTGTCTGTTCGCTGGCTTGGGGAACTGCCGGAAACCGCGAAGGGCCTGAGATCACATGACCGGGCAGCGGACTGAAGCTGTGGGGTTGCAATTTAGGCTTATCGGCGGCTGATTTCCCATTATGGAAGCAACACACGCCTAAATAGTCCCGCGCCACCTGCAAATCATCGTTTCTTTCTTAGCTGATCGCCAGTCTTCGCTCCTTTCGCCTCAATCTGCTGGTCCAGACAGGGATGAAGTGCTGCAGGGTGCGGCAATAACAGGGGACTCGCGCGTTTCTGTGAGCAGCACCTTTTCCTGGGTTGTCCAGCAGTTATCCACGCAGCCTGTTGGACAACAACGGCCCGCGGCAAAAATCAGGGCATCATGAGTGACCTAGACAAGTACGCAGACTTTGTATCCTTTTGCTAGTCTACAGGCGCAATCGCTGACTCGATAATAACTACCAGAGCCATTGCACAGCTGAGAGCTTGTCGACCGATCCCCGAAGCCCAGGTCCGTGAGCTCTGCTACAAGGCGCGTGAGCTGCTTATTGAGGAGGGAAACGTTGTGTCGGTGGATGCACCTGTGACAATATGTGGTGATATTCATGGACAATTCCATGACCTGATGGAATTATTCAGAGTGGGCGGCGACGTACCAGATACAAACTATCTATTCATGGGTGACTTCGTGGACCGAGGCTTTTATTCGCTTGAATCGTTCCTCCTATTGCTGTGCCTGAAGGTCCGATATCCCGATCGCATTACGTTGATACGAGGAAACCACGAGTCAAGACAGATTACGACCGTGTACGGCTTTTACGACGAGTGCATTCGCAAATATGGAAGCGCAAATGTGTGGCGCTATTGCTGTGAGGTGTTTGATTACCTGGCACTAGGGGCATTGGTTCTCGGTGCAAGCTCGGAGCTGGAACCGACAAGCCGGACTGAAAATTCACAATTAGAAGGTGAATTGGAGACAGAGGTGCTTAACGCCAATGGCGAGGTTACAGCCATGTCGTACCGACCCAGATATAGATCTTCATCAGATGCATCAACGGATACAAGAGATATCTCACCTCCTAGAGATATATCTGCTGCGCCTGGCAACACACCTTCCAGAACCGGGCCTGCCGGCACAGGAGCCTCCGGCCACAGCTCCGGGAGCTCTGGCACTACGGCAGGCGCAGTGCTATGTGTCCACGGCGGTCTGTCGCCATTAGTGGACAGCGTTGATAAGATCCGACTTATTGATCGAAAGCAGGAAGTGCCTCATGAAGGTGCTATGTGCGACCTTCTTTGGTCTGACCCGGACGAGATCGAAGGATGGGGATTGAGTCCTCGAGGAGCTGGCTTTCTTTTCGGCGGCGATATTGTCAAACATTTCAACCACAAAAACGACCTGTCTCTTATTGCTCGAGCACATCAACTTGTCATGGAAGGCTACAAGGAAATGTTTGACGGAGGCATTGTCACAGTCTGGTCAGCACCGAATTATTGCTATCGATGCGGCAATGTAGCGGCTATACTAGAACTGGGTGAAGATGCCAGCAATGGAGGCACAATCGCTCGTAGCAACGGCGACCTTGGACGGAGTAATGGTGTTTTGCGCAGTGATATGGGAAAATATATTTTGGGTCCCGGTAGACGATACAGAGTGTTTGAAGCAGCTGCGCAAGATACCAGAGGCATGCCAGCGAAGAAACCGGTTGCCGATTATTTTCTGGTAAGCCCTTTCTCCCCGCTCCTTACTGCATGCTTTCTGTTTCTCCTTATTCCTACGATTATAGTACGATATGCTGACGTTGACGGTAGTGATATCATGTAATGACGCTCCCCTTTTTCATCCTTTGTCTCACTGACATCTGGCCAGTTCTTTGTCTCCTTTGTGCACATGTGTGATGAAAATTCAGCATTATCTAATGACTACTCTATTGCTCCCCCTTTCCTTCTCGATTGTTCTAGAGACGATTCGATATATAGTATATGTATTCTTACACAACCCAGAGATTCAAAAAGAAATTGAGACACATGATGATTCTCTCCTAATCAATCTAAATTCGATGTAAAGAATAGAGTAAAATTCATAAAATATCGCGAGCACCCTGGTATATATACCTCCTATCAAATTTCCAATTTCCCCACTCCCATCTGACTCCATCATATAAAACCCAGAATTCATCCGAAACTATAAATAGCATATATACATTTCCATAAAAACAAAGCGAAAGAAAGAAAGCACCCGTTCAATAACCTGACGGGGGCATATTCGCATATCCATAACCCTGTTTAGCTCCTTGAACGTTTCCCGTAAGATGTTGCTGCAGGTTGGCCGTAGCATGAGCATGTTGTTGTTGCTGTTGGGAGGGATGCATATCGGGAGGAGGAACGTTAAGAGTCACGAATTGGTTGCCAGCCCATCCTTCGCCCCAATTCTCAAGTCCTAATGCCAAGGCACTTTGGTCGCGCATCCACCAGTCTTGGTTCTCTTCCATGAGGCTGTCGGCTAGTCCGTTGAAGACGGGCATTGGTGGTGTGCCGCTCAGGGCTGCCGGGCTGTTGCTGCTGTTCGAGTTGTCGCAGGATGTGTCCTGATGACTCTGACTCATTTTGTTCATCATGTCTTGTTGTTGATGTTGGTTCTGATAGTGGTGATGATGTGATTGGAATCCGCTGTCGGCCCGAGGGTAATTCGTGTTTTGATTGGGGTGAAGATGGTTCATGTTGGTGGGCGGCGAGGAGTGGGCTGAGGTTGGGGGGTAATTTTCATACGGAAGACTATCCATCCGTTCAGGATAGTGTGCATGAGTGATGCTTGCATTTGCGGCCATTTGGTGTTGTATTGTTGGTGCTGTCGGATAGGTTGTTTGTCTCTTGGGGAGGAATGTAGTCGGCTGCAGCGGCGGTTGTTGTTGTTGTTGTGACTGTTGTGGCTGTTGTGGGTGCATATTTGACGATGCTGACGGAGAGACACCGTCTGGGTTTTGACTTGCTGCTACAGGCAAAGGTATAGCAGCTTTGGCTATTGTCGGCGAGTCATCCGACACACTAGGAGAAGTAACTTGGTCCCAAGACCCCCAAGAGCCCCATTTGTTGCGAGTTCGGTCGAAAACCGACGTGACTTCGTTGGGCACTTCAATATTCCACTTAATGGCAGACAGGTCCAGAATCCGCAAGGTGCGACGAGCGCAAAGCCAACCTTCTGCTATTTCCTCGAGATTTCGAACGCCATGAATGAGATCTCTCCTGGCATTTCGCTCCGGCAGATTCAACAAATGAATTGTGCAGGCTGAATGCGCGATATACACCGCAATATTGCAAATCTGACGCAAGCCGTATGACTTTTTGTATATCCGTAGAAGTTTAGATATGGCAGCTGCAGCCTGTGAACATAATTTGCGTGGCGAGACATGTTGTGGTAGCGGCGATGTTGACTTGGTGTATTTCAGGAATGGACGGTAGAGATGGATGAACAAAAGCTGATAAAACATGCTGTACGCATTAGGGTTAATATATTAGACCACACATAAGCTTTCAAAAAGACCGAGACATACTGCATGAGGAGGATTGGTGGAAGTTGTCCGTCTTTGGGTTCCATCTCCGCTGGGAGGCTTTTTTTCCACGCTTCGAGTCTGGTATGAAGATCACTTAGCTTCGATAGTTCGGCTTGCCGTGAAGGCTGCTTCTCGGTAGGAACGGGATGATAGAAGAAGGTGAGAAGGTCATTGCTGATCTCGCAGAGTTTCGAAATCTGCAGTGCCACGGCTCTAGTCCGCGCAGGTTGTGCACGCTCTCGCCCGAGGCCGGAATCCGTGTACGGTATCCATGGCTCCGCTTCTTCAGCAGGAAACACATCGAATTTAGGAACGGTAGCATCGGATATTGTTAATTGTGGCTGTCGCCCCAGATAATTGGACCAGCATCTATCAAAGAAAACAAAGTGTTAGAAAGCTCAAGAGGGAAAGACAGTGCTAGCATGTACTACATACTTATCAAAGAGAAAGCAGCCCCAGAATGTGACTCTTCTCGCGTCAATGTCTTCCTCCATTAGCTTGTTGGAGCCTAGAGATGCAGCATCGACATTAAGGCCCAAGTCATAAGCCATCCGAAAGCTCATGCCGCTGTACACCCAACCTTTGCCTTCGCGACCACAGCCAGCCTCTCTAACAGACATCAATGCTAGTGCTTGCACAGTGCAGAGTCTAGCCCTTTCATGTTCGTCATGTTCTAACATTAATCGTTTGGCTTCTTTGAAAAAGTGATCACCAGCTGTTGCAGAGTCTTGCGGGTTTGCAAAAGCGCCTGACCACGAGCTAAAGTGACAACCCAATGCAAGCATCGCATTAACCAACAAAGACGAGCAGTATTGACTTGAATGGCCTCGTATAAAGTCTCGGTAAAAGAGGCTTTTCGACAATGTAGTGAAGTATGCATAATGCCAAGTGAAGTACATGGTCAGCAAGTGCTTCACCAATGCCTCGTCATTAGTGACCCTTGTCCACTGGGCGACAGAAAATCGCGATCCATCTTCCGTATTCAGGATGCCTAGCGACGAGCTCTCTTCATTTAGTTGCATATCCGGTGGGAGAAACATCAGGTTGGATGTGCCGCCGATGAACTTGACGGAGCCATCAAGCATCAATTCACTCATCTTTCCTGACAGTTCGGACTCAAACTGGTTTGCCTCTGGGTCATCTTCGATAAGTGGTTCGCGTTGTTGAAGATATGTAGGGAGAGATGCCAACCCTCTTTCTCGGTTGACTATGGAATCTGCTACATCCTCTAGACTATCGCACAGGCGAATTTGGCGGACAAGTTCGATCGCATTCTCCTCGTCATAGTTTAAGATCGCATGGATAAGCGTCTGAAGCGTGGTGTTGCGTGTCCGGAGGTTGTCAATGTCTTTCTTGTAAACCCCTTTCCTGCGATGATCTGAATTCGGATCGTAGATACCTGTCCCCGATGTAAGCAGTCTGATTCCAGAGAAGCAAAGTGAAGACCAGCTTACATGGGGTATGATATACTGATAAACAGGCGGCGCAACTGGGGAGGTTTCCGTCGCACTAAACCAAGCATTCAGTATACGAGCTGTAGAAATGTTGACAATATATCATTACCTTTGATTTCCTCCGACGGCAGGCGATGCAGGCCGAACTCACGCAGCGGCGTTTGGCAGCTTGGCTATCATCGTTCCCTTGGACCTTGACTCTGGCCCGAGAGGACGATGTCGTTTGCGCCGCCTCCTCCGTGCCGTCTTGATCAATATTGGATTTGTCATTCATCTTCCGGGTTTCGACGGTGGCACTCGGCTTCTGGTTCTAAGCAGATTATGCCCATAGTTGATGCAGACACGCAAGTCCGCTACGATGTTGGTGCAAGCATAGTACGTATGCTGTATCTCGCCTGGGCAGCAATGGTTGGTCACTGTATGTCGTTGGTAGAAGAAAGTAATCGAGAGGCAACGGAGTTTCAATTCCGAAGCCCCCGCCGGCACAATCGACTATGCACAGCCCCGCGCTGAGAATAAATTCGCTCCCCGGGCGGCACTCCAGAGTCCCCTTGAGCAATTCTCCAAGGCGCGCGGTAGGCGAGGTGGGAGGTCGTTATCTCTGTGCAAAACGGATGATTGGTTGGTGGGCTGTCTGCAGCTTCGCCCGCGGTGATAAGAACTCTGCGGCGGGCCGCACGCACCACTACCGCCGTTTCGGGAGAGCGTTTTGCCGACTAGCTTTGCTGTGATGATGACTGAGTATATCGCAACTTCGCAACTTATAGCATTCTTTCAAACAGCTCTCTGAAGCGTCGTTGGGTGGAAAGTGACTAGATAGCTGTGCGCATGATGGAGATTGCTTTCTCAATGACACTGACTCCCTTGCTTTTTATGTCTGCAACCATTCTTCGCGAGTCAAATGGCCAGTTATCTGGAATCAATTGATGTTTGTAGCAGATGCTTCGGGCGATACATGAAGGGTGCGGTGATCGGGCTGAGCAACAGGCAGCACAAATAGTATCAACATTCTTGTCATTCGCAAGTGACGGAATCCCATTCTGTCATGGGTATAAAACCTGCTCCTTCCTCACATCTTCCCCAGCCCAACTCAACATCAGGAAATAACGGTGAGTGGTTTTGGCGAGTTTCCGTATTATCCTCACACTCACTGCCTGACAGTGTCCTGTTTTCTCTGATCTATCTTCCTGAATGAGTTTTGGGGATCTAGTTTGGCGGACGTGGAATGCTAGGGGAACCGTGGCTATCAACGGATTTTTTACCATTACACCACAAAAAAGAGACACCCTGACGAAAATCCATCCAGCAAATCAGCGTTCTCATCAGATTTATCTGAAGCCCAGTTGGGCTCGTTGACTGTAAGCCCTCGGCGCACAAGATCAAATTGGAATTGCCCGGGTTGCGGCTCTCAAACCACCATCGCTCTGAAACTCTCCACTAAAGAGGAGGATGTCAGCCCAGACAGCTCCAGATCCATTCGCTGATTGTGGCTATATAATATCAAGAATCTTCCGCAAATTGTTCATGATTTGGAAGCAGGGCATGACCAAAAAGACCGAATCAACGCCGGGTTTTTTGCCTTGGAATTTCATTGAATTGTCTGCCGATCAAGTGCCATAAAACTCCATCTCTTCTGGTCGAAATACCTAGTTTAGAGCTGTTGATATTATGGTGGTATATTAATGTTGGTGCCGAACCCTACAATGATGATAAAGAGGACGACATTGAGGACGATGCTGGTCTTGGCCCATCAATGTGTGAGTCTGTGAAATGGCGGTATAGACAGCAAACCTCTTCCCAGCCCAAGCTTAACGAGTATCAAACCTGGTATTCTTCTTCTTGAACCGCTTTCGAGGAGGGGATATGGGCCAGGAATTATTGTGCTCTGTCCCGAAAACCAGTATGCTCCGTCAAAAGACAAGACAACTGCCAAAGACAATGTTCTATCCACATTGATGAAGTGGGCAGAAGAAGGATACACAGTCGTTGAGATTACAGAGAGTGCTTTTTCTGCCAGCGCAAAGGAGGTCATTGATATAGCCGTTGAGGCACTGCGGTCCTGCGACAAGTGTAAGCCTCAGGAGACGTTCGGGGTCGCAGGTACGTATGCGGCAACATGATTGGAGAAACGAAAATGAGAACGGTGGTTGATCAGATAATAAACAGCATACGACCCCCAGCTCTGGAATCGGATTGCTCCCGCAACCATCTTGCGTACAGACATTGCCGGGGTTATTGTCTACAGTGAGATCAGGCACTACGAAAGCATCGCGCCCACTGGCACAATCCCAGGCATATACCATCTAGCAGGGAAAGCATCCTTCAAGCCACCACGGCCGGAAGCCCATACGGCTTACGTCTACCCCGCTGTAACGACACATCTATTCGCAAGCCCCCATCAGCCTGAGTTTCACTACTCCTCCGAGTCAGTTTCCCACACGCGAAATCTTACTTTCTTGAAAAGGCGCATGAACGGTCCATATTTTGATCTTGAGGCCATATGGGATGAGCACACGTATTACGAGTTTGAAAATAGATCCTTGGAAAACACTATGGCTCCAATGGTCCAGGAACCATACGTTAACCACATTCCGACGGTGTGCTTATACAATAACCTTGCATTATTATCTCTAAGTATGGAAGAAGCTAACATATTCTCATATTACAGATGATTGGCGGTATTGGTCGCCTCACCTACTTTTACGCCAACCATTTCATATTTGCAAACCCCGACAATACCGAATTGGAGCTCATCAGTCAAACAATTGGAATCGATAGAGTGGTGGATGAGTTTATTTACAAATTCACCCATGAAAAACGCGTTGATTGGCTGTAAGTCTCTTCTTTCTTCGTCATCTTTCAGTAACAGCATGACCAATAGATGCTCTTAGCCTCCCCGGAGTCCCTCCCACTGGGAAATACGTCCAGATTCCCATGACGGCCGTTGTCAACATCCGCGGAGACCGTCTGTATCATGAACATATTGCGTGGGATCAAGGATCCGTCCTTGTGCAGTGCAGGCTTATGCCGGAATATCTCCCCTTCTCGCAACCGGGAGCAAACGGGGAGCAGATGGAATATAGAGTGCCTGTAGCGGGTGTGGAGACCGCGGAGAAAATGAGAGTGAAGGACAGCGTGGAAAGCAATGGCATGTTTGATTTTAGAAGCAGAGCAATGCAGGAGAATAATATATGATCATAGTGTGGGTCCATGCGGCACAACAGCCTGAGGCTCTCATAACCCTAAGTAGGTACGGTACATACATAACCCTGGCGGGACTAGTCTAATCGAGTTTATATGCAAACTTCGATACGAGCGCAACAAACCTCAACCATGCCGTTCCAACTTTTATCTCGTCAGATATAAGATCTAGTACATATTTCCTCACTTTCTGCCACTCGTTTATTTTCAACAATATACAGCTGGCCAGCCATGGCTCCCACACTCTTTTCCATTTTCGCTCTTTCATGCACCGCCGCAGCTACGCTCAACCTCAACATTTCCGGTCCCAGCTGGGACTACACAGCCAACGATCTCGCGGATACAACCTCGTTGGTCTGCAAGAATGCATATAGCGCAAGCATCGACTGCGACGACACCCTCCTCAAAATTGTCGCGTCTCTGGACCCCGATTTTGACCCGCAGTCCGCAGACTTAGAGGCTATGTGCACCACCGCGTGCAGCGACTCGCTGGCGCAGTATGTCAAAGACGTGAATGCTGCATGCAATCAGCCTGGCGATCTGGCAAACGTCGCCAGCGGTAACAAAGGTATTCCACAAGCGTCTGTGGCCACTGTCGGCGAAGTATTTCAGTACAAGTACGGTGAGGCTTGTGCTATGAATGGGTATGTTTGGAACTCCGTATAGAAATGCAAGACATAGCTGACTTATCTCGGTCTTAGCTCCGACTACTGCTTCCTGACCTATCCCGACAGTAGCGACTGGGCCCGAATCGGCTTCCCATGCAACGATACATGCGCGGTGCAGTTCTACCAGAACGCACATGACCAGCCCGGCTCGGCGTATTGGTTCGACTACTTTTACCTTTCCAACCAGAGTTCATATTGGGAGAACACCTTTGCCGGCGGCTGGCAGACCGTGGTTCAATGTGGCGATGGTGGGAGCGATGTCAGCGTCAGCTCTGCGAGTGTGAGCGCAACCGCAGCTGCGTCGGATCGTAGTGCTCTTTCAACAGACGCAGAGGTTTCTCTTAGTGCTACAACAGCGATATGGACTGCTGCTGCTGCCGCAACGACGAGTGCAGAAACCACGGCCTTGACAGCGGGGTCCACGATAGGAAGCAGTGCGATTGCAGCAACAGCCAGTAGAGCAACGAGCGGGGCTGCGAGGCTCATGCTGCCATTTGTAGGTTTTTTCTGAGTACATAGCGGATTTTCTAGGAATGGCTCTAGGAATGCGTATCTGTAATTAGTAGTTAGTATATCACATTGGACACTATACCAGACATAGTATTACACAGTGTATTTAGGAGTATTTAAGATGTAGTCACAGTCCATCGCAGGGACACTTAGTAAGTTAATATACATAACCGTTGGCACTATTTTCTGACACCAACATCTGAGCTATGCGGCACGCGAGTAGCTCATACTTGCCTATTTGGAAGACAATTAGGGCTAGTGTCACGAGTTACGCTCCATGCCCAAAGAAGGAGGTGGTATCAACAGTATTCTTGTTCCCTTCGCTGGGCCTTTGCACACCGCTGAATTTTTTTTTGTTTTGTTTTTTCCCCCTTCTTTTTCCCGTTTATTTATTTACCAGCCACACGCGACAAACGATTATTAATATTAGGGCCAAACTTCCCATTGCGGATTCTTCCACGTAAGGCGGTTGGCCGTGGATCCATGGTTGATCATGACACACAGATATCCATTACTAGACAGAAACAGTCTCGAGATCAAGCGAGTGTAAATCTGTAAAATGCAGAAAAAGTGTGCAGGTTATTCTGTGCGTGTGAAGCGACCCAGCTGAGGCGTGCAAGCCGAAAGCTTGTTAGATTTAACAATTAAAGCAGAGCGCTAGTGCCGCCGTAGAACATTCTGCCGCCAGCCGTGCTATCCGCGCGATCGCACTATGCAATCCCCGGTAAATACAGCCACTCACGATGAACGGCATTAATAATCCCACTAAGACATTGCTGCGAGTCTGCGTACTACGTAACCGTACCGATGAAGCCGCCCCAAGCGGTTTAGAGTGCATAAGCGGAAATCAATTGGCAGACAGCCTGCCAACGCATGTCTATCTAAAGCGTGCACCGTGCCTGATATGCTGCCTGATCTGGTATATCCCAGTATGCAATCCTGCCGGATAGACGAAAAATTACACACTGTAACAGGCAAACGAAAAATACACACGGCAGGCGCCCCTCATTGGCCAGGTCGGGGTTCGTCAGTCCCAATACCGGGCGGGTCCGATTAGTGGACGGGCCGATTCGAACAAAGTAAGCATGCGGTCACGCTTATCTCCCGCCTGCTCCCTAAACACTTTCGTCCTCTCTCTCTCTCTTCTTCCCTCCCTCTTGTAAACCTCACGCCTCACAAGCCTTTGCTGTCAACACCTCGATTTTTATCATTATTGCAATCGACCCCGGCCATCGCCATCGCCATCGCCGTCTTTCCACGCTTGTCCGTGTCAACTCTCTCAACGTCATCTCCGAGTCGCGTGCTGTCGCCTTCGCTATCGGAAGCATCTGCTGATAACGCTCCCTCTCCGTTTCCACCACGACAAAGGTGACCTGGGAAGTCTCCGATCATCCCGGGTCTCCTTTTCCGCCTTTTCATCTATGTTCCTCGCACAGACCCTTGATCAGAGCGCCTCCTCGGGAGATAATATGATACCAACCCTCTCTGGGGAGTATGCAACATGATGGTACCCAGAGCTTTCCTGTTTTCTTCGGTACGGCTTCAGGAAGATGCCATACAGAACGAGAAGAATAACGTGAAGACTGCGACGTCTTCGCGACAAGCGAAGGAGAATAGACCGCCGCTAGCCTCGGGCGCAGTCATCTCCCAACCTGTCGCTACAGACTCGGCCACGGTTTCTCATACAAGCCCTGTTATTATACCCCCAAAAGCTAAGACGGAACGCAATGGGAATTTTTACCAAAGCAACAGAGCCGGGGGAACTGCACGTAGGGATTCGGCCTCATCGCGGCAGTCAACCTCCGCCCAGACCTTAGATCGCAATCTTCCCTCGTCTTTGGCTACGCTGCTCGAGACCACGGCGATCCCTCGTCGAAGTAGAAGCATAAGGGGACCTCGCAAATTACCGCGTGGGAACCATGTCGAAGCTTTTAGTCGATTACTCATGGATGGTGTCAAAGTACGAGATGACTATATTAATCTTGACGGGACACCAAACTCGCCATTAGACTATCTGCTCAGTCCTCCGGACGAGCATTACGATAATAGTCTCCCATCTACGAGCCACACGGACGTGGAGACGCCTCAGTTTAACCGCACTTTTTCGACGGATTCCGTGCCCTCCTTAGATAATGACTTGAACTCTTATACTACTTCAGGACCGGTTACTCCGTCATCATCCTCAGTGTTTCCAAGACGAGCCACCTTTGAAAGACGAAAACAACTGTTTCCGCCACAAGAATGCGCCACCGACCATCCACTTCTGGACCCCGATGTTGATTCGCTGGATTCGTCCTACCTCGTTCAAGAAAACACACCTGTTCCCTCCCCAGAGAGTCGTTCACTGCGAAATTTGCCCCGGCTTGGTTTTACCTTCAAGTCCAATCTCACCGCTTCCCTCAGGGCCATCAAGTCCGCAGCGCAGACAGTGTCTAATTTTGCAACTCCCTCTGTCCGGCCGGATGATTTTCTCACACGCTCTTTATTCTCTATCACCCCAGAACTGACGGACGACCGCCGACCTCTTCCTTTGAGTGGGCCGCCGTCACCCGCTCTTCGCCGTTACCTAAACCCAATTACATTGTCTCCCGCCGAGATGCACGTATACCACGATTACCCACAGGATCCGTCGGGAGATATCAACAGTTGCCCTGTTTCGATTCAAATGCAAACATATAACCGGTCTAAATCAGCGGACAACAAGGGACCATTCAGTACGGGGAATGGGAACAACCAGCAAACGTCCTTATTTGACCCTGAAGTTCCTTCTTCCCGACAGCGAGAGCCAAGAGAAAACAGTGACTTTCTCCGTATGGTGGTTCTTGAAATGAACATGCGTCGAAAGGGGAAATTGCGCGATGACATTCCTACACGCGCGAGGATATGGCTCCCACCACGCAAAACCATACGGCTAGTTTCGGGAAATTATGACGAGGACGAGCCGGCCATTCCACAACGATGGATTGGGGTCTCCATTGAGCGAATCGAGAACTAATCCTTCCCACCTTCCCTTTTCGTTTTGCTCTCCAAATTCTCATTTCTTAGCATGCATGTACATAGCATAGCATTATATACATTGCGGTCGTCTATATTGCGGTATGGAGCAGACATTAATGGTTGGACATCAGCGCGGCGTTTGTTATTCCACTGATTGGTTACTACTAGAGCATACTTTGGCGTTATTTTCCAGTCCATACTTTGCATGGTTGTTATTTATTTTATCATTATGAAATAATTCAATTTAACTTTGCCGTGATCATACTGTTATCTCTTCAGAACTCTTTTATTTTCCCCTCGGGTCTCGCGCTATCAGTTTACCAGTACCCGCTGTTCCCGCCCTAATATAAGCCAATACTAAATAATCATACTTCACTGACCACACCATGTAACTGAGTCCCTCAATCCTTCCACTAACGAATGGGACATAATTATTCACCGTTACAAGTGCTTATTATTTGATGCGCATATGCATATGCTCAGGTGTTCTATCTCCGTATTCTCAGCCTCGCGTAAATTACTGCGTAATGTATATATAGATCTTGAACTTTGAAGCGCGGATTTCACTGAAACCGTTTTGAAAACACATCGTCATCACGTATAATAAAGACTGATATCGAGAAAAGCCCCCACCCTGCAGCATGTTGGCTCAGAGGAAGCGCGCCGGGCTCATAACCCGGAGGTGTAAGTTTATTGAGTCTTGATCTTCTCAGTAGATTAAAATACTAATATTGTTGTTAGCCCTGGATCGAAACCAGGACATGCTAGGATGGTCTATATTGTTATTATTTTTTTTTTCTTTTTCTTTTTTTTGGTTCTCCTCATCTTGCAGAAAATGGGAGGTGCACCCCGGAGAATTTAACAAGTTTATTCACGCCCATTCCAGTAGTTAGTGGATTTATTTCCTCAAATCTAACAGAAATTGCATCCTACCTCTCGACATATTTTTGCAGACGCTACAGCAGTGCTCATCCATTTCAGGTGCGTGATTGCAGTTAGGATTAGGGCTAATATAGTTGGGCTGGGCATGGTGACATGGGAAGATGGCGCATAATCCTTGTATGTTTGGCGAAGTGATTAAGTAGCATCTTGGTGGGCGGCTAATTGAGATTGATAAGGTGGTGAGCATTCCTAGTGTGAGCTTATAAACGAGTCTAAATCTTTAAGTGATGTTCTTTCTAGTTAACTAACTTAGAATGCTTTCTCTGAAGCTTAGTAAGCACCTGCCGCACTTGGCATGGAAAATAAGAAAATCCGGTTCCGGCACGTTCGCACTTGGTCTGTGCGTAGTGCCTCCGCAAAGCAATCCCGTCAGCGAATCAGAGAGCTTGCACGCTGAGGCTTCCTTTATGTCAATCAACAACATGTAGTTGCGTCTTCTTACATTCAGCCATAAAATATAGCTCTTCACCATGGATGATCGTGACGAGGACACGCAGATTCCCGACGCTAGTCCACTGAATGAAGAGCAGGACTTGGATGAGAAGTAAGAGTTAACATGCAACACGACTCAAGCGCGCCTTGAATCTGATCTCTTTTGCATGTAGATACCCAAACAGGCCTCGCAACCATGCGCCTACTCTTCCATTTCATGACCTCTTCATTGATATTTTCAACCCGTTAAATGACAACAAGAAGAAGCCCGGTGGTCACATGGCCACGGTCCGCAGAAAAGCTGCATCCAGTTTCACTCCTCAGGAGCGCCGGCGAGATATCATGCAGCGTTTCATCTCGCGTTGGCGAAAAGAAGTTGGCGATGACATCTATCCCGCGTTTCGACTTATTGTGCCTGACAAGGATCGGGACCGTGCCATGTACGGGATAAAGGAAAAGGTAATTGGCAAGCTTCTCGTCAGGATTATGAAAATCGACAAAAACTCCGAGGATGGCTTTAGTCTACTGAATTGGAAACTGCCTGGCCAGAGTGCTGCTAGTCGCATGGCAGGCGATTTCGCAGGTCGATGCTATGAAGTTCTATCGAAAAGACCGATGCGAACAGACGTTGGTGGCATGACCATCGAAGAGGTCAATGAGCGTTTAGACCAGCTATCATCGGCTTCCAAGGAGGACCAGCAGCTTCCAATACTGGCCGAGTTCTACCGACGCATGAACCCGGAAGAACTCATGTGGCTAATCCGCATAATCCTGCGACAAATGAAAGTTGGGGCCACAGAGCGAACGCTATTTAACGTGTGGCATCCGGATGCCGAAAGACTCTTTAGCATATCTAGCAGTTTGAGGCGGGTCTGCTGGGAGCTTCATGACCAAAATATTCGGCTGGAAGGTGATGATCGCGGCGTCTCTCTCATGCAATGTTTTCAACCACAGTTGGCACAGTTTCAGATGCATTCATTTGAAAAGATGGTGCAGCGAATGCGGCCTACGGAAGATGATCGAACATTTTGGATCGAGGAAAAGCTTGATGGCGAGCGGCTACAGCTGCACATGGCAACGGATGATTCTGTCCAGGGAGGCAAGAAATTTTCCTTTTGGTCACGTAAGGCCAAAGATTATACATATCTCTATGGAAACGGGTTTTATGACCCTAATGGCTCTCTGACTCGCCATTTAAAAGATGCCTTTGTCGATGGCGTGGATAATATCATCCTGGACGGCGAAATGATCACATGGGACCCCGAACAAGACGCACCGGTGCCGTTCGGTACTTTGAAGACAGCAGCTTTGGCGGAACAACGAGATCAGAATGCTAAAAAGCCACGCCCATTACTTCGGGTTTTTGACATTCTGTACCTGAATGACCGTGAACTGACACGATACACGCTGAGAGATCGTCGTAATGCCATTGAAAAGGCTATACGGCCTGTGCATCGGAGATTTGAAATACATCCTTATACGGAAGCCACCACGGCTGCCGAGATCGAGCCCATTCTTAGAAAAGTTGTCGAAGAAGCCTCTGAAGGTCTTGTCCTGAAGAATCCTCGGTCCCCGTATAGATTGAATGAACGCAATGATGATTGGATGAAGGTGAAACCAGAATACATGACGGAGTTTGGAGAGTCGCTAGACCTTGTGGTTATTGGAGGGTATTACGGTTCCGGAAAACGAGGAGGCGCTATTTCAAGTTATCTATGTGGTCTACGTGTGGATGACCCCAGCACTCAAGACGGATCGAGCGGGATGAAGTGCTATTCGTTTTGTAAAGTCGGTGGTGGTTTTACTGCCGCTGACTATGCGAACATTCGTCATCACACAGATGGCAAATGGAAACCCTGGAACCCCAAGAATCCCCCTTCTGAATTCATTGAACTTGCAGGTGGAGAGGCAGCTCAAAAGGAAAGACCAGATACATGGATTCGCCCAGATGAATCAGTTGTGATTTGTGTCAAAGCCGCATCCGTATCAGTCAGTGATGAATTTCGCATGGGGTTAACACTGCGATTTCCGCGTTTCAAAAAGCTGCGAATGGATAAAGACTGGAAAAGCTCATTGTCAGTGCAAGAGTTCTTGGATTTGAAATCGAATGTCGAAAAGGAGCAGAAAGAGAAAGAGTTCACCGTTGACAATTCCCGTCGAAAGCGCATTAAAAGAGCTACGAAGAAGCCCTTGGTTATTGCTGGCTATGACGAAGGTCCGAAAGTGGAATTTGCAGGTCTAGTTGGGAGTATATTCAATGAAATGAACTTTTGTATATTCCTCCCCCCCCTTCTTTCCTTCTCATTTGCATGGACAAGGACTGATAGTAACTAGTTATCATGAGCGATACAACCGCGCCGGAGAAAAAGAGCAAAGCCCAACTCGAGCAATTAATCAAATCCAATGGGGGCAAGATTTATCAGACTAATACAGCAGCGCCAGATACAGTATGTATAGCGGACCGAAGTAAGTTTCTCATTCTCGGACATAACGTGTTGAAACTGTGAATACCATGTCTAACAGCATTACCAGGAACTGTCAAAGTTGCATCGTTGCAAAAGAGTGCGCGTGACAATATTGTTCGACCTATCTGGCTATTTGACTGCATCAAGCAGAATGAAATTGACAAGAATCTGCCTTCATATTTACTCCCGCTGGAACCTAGGTAAGCGCGCATGAATATGCGAGGATTATATAGCATAGTCAGGTTGATCTAATCTGCCTTCTTTTAGACACATGTTCTTCACCAAAGAGGACCGACAAGATGAAATTGCCAGAAATGTCGACGACTACAACGATAGTTATACTCGGGACCTCACTCCCGAAGAACTCAGAGTCATTTTGGAAGGTGCAAAGTTCAAGAACGTATCTATCGACGATACGGAGGTAGCCCAACTATCTGAAAGTCTCGTCGCGGAAGCTCAGGGGCTAGCATCATCGACTGGAGGGAAAGAAGAGTTCCCACCCGGCTGGCTCTTCAAGGGCTTGACAATATATTTCCATAATCTCCTGTCATCTGAAAACCATCGACTTTGGCTCGCCCAAGAATTCACCGAATTCGGAGGCGCCGATATCGCCAATAGTCTGGATGATGATGATGATGACAATACCCCCACTCACGTTGTTATTGATATCAACAACAATGAAATCTCTACCAACCCAAATACCTCGGCACAAATATCGTCCATCCGCAAGATCCTTTCAGAAAGACGAATCTGTAGCAGCGATGGCTTGAGAATCCCGCATTTAGTCTCGGTGGAATGGATTGAGCAAAGCTGGAAGGAGAAGACGTTGCTAGATGAGGAGAGTATGTTTTTATAACCTTTCTTTTTCTTTCCCATCTGTCCTTTATCTACATTGAGAGTAGCTGGCTGACGTGGGTTAAATTGGCAGGGTTCTCTCTGGGTCGAGCTAGGTGAAGTGGCCGATGTAAGATGACTGAATGTTTGGTTTTGTATATGTAATTGACATGTACTGTGGAATATCTCTGCCGAGCGGTAGCAGCTATATACCTACATTTGCCTAATGAACGGAATCTTAGGAGAAAAGGCTCAGATTAACTTTTAAGGGAGAATTCTATTCCTGCATAGGCAATGAAACACGATCTCCTAGCCTCGACAAAATATCAATATACTCATGAGTTCCCCCCCACGTAGAAGCCAAGCTCGACAGAATCCGGATGCCTTCCTTTAGGATCCTCGACGGACCATGCAGACTACATATATCTCCTACTCCCGTGACGTTACCACTCATTGTCTGGCCTTCGCGTACAAACAGTTGCACAATTTCGTCGTCACATGGTCGATCGAGATGTATGAATGTTGGGGCAAGATCCGGCTCGCATATACTCGGCCGTTGCTGTGGCTGCAAGCCTTCCAACTCTACATCTGCCGTTGGTGACTTTCGCTGCGTACCGCATGGGTCATAGATGCACAAGCCGTACGCCCAGAGAGTGAGAGTGGCTAGGAATACAGCTATAGGTTCGTGAAAAGCATTCGTGGAGTAGCGACGGACGTACCATAGCACGGAGCCCGCGTGGACTATGGCGAGACGGGCTTTATATTGATCATGTCTCACCCATCGCCGCGCATGTTGCCAGGCGGGAGATCGCTCCAGTCCATTATCCCACGGGACTGTCCCATCTGCTAATGATGTAGCTAAGTTCCGAATTTCTTGAAACGGAACAAGGAGCACGATGCGCGCTGTATGTAGATGTAGTACGGTTGAATGCTCTAGACCTGCTGCCTTGGCGATAGTCCCATTCGCAAACCAGTGAAGTGTGTCTAGGCAGTCGCAGGCACTGTTGCGCCATTTGGAGTACATCGGAATACCCGGTAGCCAGACAGCATCTGAAGAAGGAATCGCTGCTTCTCGTGACTGTCTTGCTGCATTGGGATTCCAACATGTGAGTGGACTTTGGAAATAGTCGCTCACCTCCCACAGTCTTTGATAGAGTGCGTGGAGAAGCAGAGTGTGGCCAAACTCGCCAATATTAGAAACAAGCCTCTTCTCAATAAACAGAACTTCGGTAGCTGAGTAGAGTGATAGATTTTCTTCATGATTTAGCGCTTCCCAGGCCTTCTCTGACCCTGCATCCCACAAAATTTCGTGTGAAGGAATCGGTGCTTGCGCATCTTTCAGTGTGAACAAAGGCCGGAAATCGGTCTCAGTATAAACAAGAGTGCTATCAAGAAGCCAAATAAGGTAGCCAGTTCTTCGTGCCATCTCTAGCTCAACCCACTGTTTCCATGTAGTGCTACTATTAATATTTGGGTCTATATTTGAAAGGAGCTTTTCTTGATGAGCAAACCGCACAAGGTCACTCAATGAACTGAGGCCTAAGCTCTTGGCTTGATCATCACCGCCGTAGATGAGCCCAATGCAATTAAGTAGCATCGCCTGAATCAACCAGATGGGTACTGATGCAGGCTTATATGTTTCTTTCTCAACGAGAATGGCCCGTCGTGCGAATTCCTGGAGGGGATATGCATAGCGTGCAGTATCCGGCGAATTTATGAGACAGGAGCCGATTCCTGAGATTGTAAGAATCAGGATCCAGTGAGCTTCGTTTAAATCGAATGTTGGCATGTGAAATACCGGGTAAACAGATTGAAATTCGTCGAGGTAATGACACAGGAAATACGATAACAGATCTGCTCCCGGGAATTCACTGGATTCGAAAGGCGTGAATAGAGTCTGAGCACAACATAGCTTGTTGAACATATTGAGGATGGTTCCGTAAGTGCTGGGCGGAATTTGCCTTACAGTCGAGGTATTCAGGCATATTTCATGGGCGAGTTTCTCATGTATTGCGGGAAATGCCAATTTTGTCTGTGGTACAGTCCCCGCTACGTGTACTTTGAATGACGAAATCAGATTTTCTGAAGGTGCCCAACAAGTCTTTCGTTTTCGTTTCTGTTTCGTATGGCGGGATCCTTCGCCATCTACATAATGGTCACCGAAACCCAATTTTTCATCATTTGATGCGGAGAGCGAAGACCCATCTGGTGATAGGCTACTAAGTAATTGGGAGCTTTTTGTGGTAGTAAAAGGCAAGGAACAGGACTGCTCTGTGAGACCAAGCATAGCTATATGACCCATATCTGTTGTGGGCTCTAGCCATTCGTCTTTCGCGTTCAGACTTTCTAGCCACCATTCATGAGCAGTGTCGTATGAGAAATCCGGGTCCATAGGCTGTAAGGAGTCGAGATCCTTCGAGAAATCAATTGGAAGCCAATTCATGCTTAGATCATCTACTGGCTGGAACAGCTCTGGATCTAAAGGTAACTCCAACCCTGAAGACTGGGCAATGTCGAGAGACATGTCATTCCTATGGGCCTGTGGGGGATTTGGACATTCTCCTTCTGTCAAGATAGTGTTTTGTATAGCTATTTGAAGGGCATCTGTGTTATCCTGAGAACACGCCCGGGGTGAATCGAAAGCATACGGAGAATAGGATTTATCCAAAGTCTGCTCATGAAGGTTTTGATGTTGAGGCTCGGAAGTAGGGGAAGTTGCATCTGGTCGACTAAACAGCCTATCACTTCGTACATCGGACGATGAATTAGGGCTTGCCCTATCTGACGGAGTTCTTGAATCATAAGTTATAAACCGAAACTGAAATTGTTGAGACCTTTGCTGAAGTGATGGGCTTCTATTAGGATCCAACGAGGTTTGCTGCCTTGTTGTATTCAAGACAGACTGCTGTCCAACAGATTCCTTCTGAGAGGAGATCTTAGCTGTTGTACCGGTGGCAGTATCTTTAAGTTTTGAGCGCCTCTCCGTAGGGTACTGGCAGCTGATTGTACGAGTTTGGCATCGATGACAAGGTTCGCCGCCGCTACATCTGACGCGAGCAGATGCGCATTGAAAACATGCCCGGAAAGTCTTAACCGTGATTCTGTGCATCCGATCCAATCGTCCTTCCACCCCTGGAGCGTGGTGACTTTGATCATGCCGATGAAGAGTATCACTGCTCACGAATCAATGGCTGGCCAAGCGACACAAAGGCACATGCCACACATACCTCCTTGAGAAACGACGGTTGCATTGGACACATTCAAAAGGTTTCTCCTTTGTATGGCTCCGAAGATGCCTTTTGAGATGCTCTGGCCTCCTGAATGAAGTGTTGCAGACAGAACATTTCGAAGTCGGAGCCTTCCGGTGTTCTCGGCTCGCTTGACCCTCCATCGACCGCCAGTGTTTGTCAAATTAACGGCCAGCGTGTTCGTAGCAAATGTGCTTTGCAGGTTGCCAATAGCCTCTGACGTGCAATAATATGCACCAGAACTCGATAGTCATGGATTTGGACCGTCCCCGAACAGTAGTTGGCGAGGGGAAGGAAGAGGTTGGGGGTGAACAACGCGGGGAAGGAATCCGGGGTAGCGGCTTCTACATTAATGAAGTGGCCGCTGCTCCTTCCTCCTTCCACCTTCCAAGCCCCGTTTCGTTCCCGCATCCTCGTCGAGTGAGAACCTCCAACGCCCCGAGGCACAGCGAGCCCAACCATGCCAGCATCGCCTCTGCTGCGTGTTTCCTGTGCTGCGAATGGTGGAACAGCGTGCGTATGCCTCCTCCGCTTCTCCACATCGGCTAATTTCTTTTTGCCGAACGATTGCTCGATTGATGCATGGCTCGTCGTCTGTCAATCTAATCCATGCATGCGTAACACGACATCGGATGCATGCCAACCTACTGCACTGAAGCATGTCAATTATCCTACGGCCATCCGCCAAGCTCTGCGACGCATACCAACGCAGAAATAGACTTGGTATGTATGCATAAGCTATGTTGACAACGGGCGAGCTTCGGAGCTTCTTTATATCACGAACACCCTCTCTATCTCTCCTATGTTCTCATGGACTCAGAATTCATTGATTTATAACTAACTAGCTGTATTATTGCTTCCAAGTTCCCACACTCCATGACTAAGGCAAGAACGTGCAGCCATTTGCAGAAAATGGCACTAGCTCCCGGAAACTCCGCCCTTTCGAAACCAGCCAACAACCATCCACAATTTCCACATCGCTGACCCTGTCGCACATTCCAGCATCAGGAAACCACAAAAAAATTATCACCTTATGGCATCCTGCAAGTAAAGTTTATATGCTGCCATGAGCGGCGGCGGTATCCAGACTGCCGTTCGTGACGGTCGGCGCACTTCTCGACAATCTACTGGCAATGGCATGAATACCACCGCCCTCCAGGGTGCGAACATCGCATTCAATGCCTACTCTGCACAACGAGGATTTCAACCGAATACGCCCAACAGAAGCGAGATAACTCGAATGGCCCCGAAATCCGATTCACTCCGTTCAGCCCAGCATCGTGCTGAATCCGATGCCGATGATGCCGAATCCGTGTCCGAGTTGCCAGAAGCTGGTCTTGTCATGGATAGGATAAAAGCATTCTCCGCATCTAGGAACAACGCTGTGCTGCCGAGTATTCAGAGCAGAAAACACGGCGATGTTCTACAATCAGAGCCCCCGCAAATACAAGCTGCAGCACTGGCAGCTATAAGATCTGCGAGTCGCACTCCTCAATCTACACCTTCCTCCCGGTCGATCTCACCGATCACGAGAACGACGACCGGAACTAGTCCTTCCCGGAGAAAGGCTATTTCGCCAGCGCCGAAGCCCGATTTTCTGTCCGCTGCTCGAAGCCCTAGGCCCCTGCACGCCCCAGCCCCAGTTCGAAAGGTCCCAGTTACTGCACATTCGCTGGCGAATATCACAGACGAGGGAAAAGCTAGAGCGAACAGTGAACGACCGCAATCTAGGAAACCTGATTCTATTAAGAACCCGGCTACAAAAGAGGCGGCGAGGAACCGGCCAAAAGCAGAGAATATTATCAATCCATCGTCCGATAGAGAGCGAAGAATTTCGCCTCTCAGACAGCCATTGGGGTCTCAATTGGATAAAGATGAACAACCTAAGCTGACACCGCCAACCTCTAAGCCTAAACCAGCTGCAACAAACATTGAAGAGAAAAACTTGCAACCCGAACCACCCAAAAGAAATGTGCCCCGTCTACGTGATGATACCTACACAAGCGCACCTCAGTCCCCTCGAAGCAGTACTACAAGAATTCCTGACACAAGTCAGCCAGATACTCCCACTAGACGCTTTTCATATGCACCGTCAACTTTTGACGAGGCGACAACCCCCGGTAATTTCCATAATACCATCAGTCGTCAAGATACTGGGGATACGGAAAGTACCACGGGCATGACAAAAGAATCTTTAGCAAATGCGATAATTGCTTCTTCCTTGGCTTCATCTCGCGCACCGTCACCGTACACCCCTCTTCCCCCGCTTCCTCCACCTCGTCGTTCGCGATCTCGTTCTCTACTGCATCCAGGAGATATTTTAAAGAAGGATGTTCGCAAGACTCCTAGTCCTCCAAAAGGAATGCGGCAAACTCTTAGGGAGCCCCACAAATCTGATGATGAGGTCAATAAGAACTCGAATCGGCGCCATTTGATCAAACATCACCCTCATAAGCACCATGAAGGCAACCGCAGACGCTGGCGTCAAGAGGTTACAGAACCTGCCCGCAAAAGATACGAAGGAGTATGGGCGGCAAACAAGGGGCTGTGGGTACCCCCGGATAGTATGCTGTATCGAATTTTCCCTGATCTGCCACGCGCCCTGGTAGTTTCAGACCTCGTGGTGCATCTCGTGGTGCGTGATATCTGGACACGCAGCCGTTTACCCGATCACACTCTCGAACAAATATGGAATCTAGTCGACCGCAAGGGAATCGGCATGCTAGCGCGGGAAGAGTTTGTGGTCGGCTTGTGGCTTATCGACGAGACCCTCCGAGGACATAAGATTCCCGTGAAGGTGCCGGACAGCGTATGGGACTCCGTTCGTCACTCGCCGGGCATTAAGGTGCCGCAAGAGTTTTGATAATGAATCGATAGACGAATAGAGCTCGCGCGCATATATAAGTAATGAAGTATATACACATACACATGCGTTTCTTTTCTACAGGATGTATCACCGCCTAGGTGGCGTCTATGCCACATGGCATGGCATATACACCCAGCTGGCTAGAGCCAATAATGTCAACGTCCCACTGTGACCCATCTTTCATCTCGAGGCTTAAACCTTTGCACACTTTGCCTGGTGTAATAAGCACCGTAGAACCTGGCTATCTCCGAATTATCAATTCTTAGCTCGCTAGGCATATTGACCTTCCGTTCGTTATAGCCAGGTTCTATCCCGTAGCAGACAATAAGATTTTTTTGCTAATGCGCTCAGACCGCGTAAACCATTAACCAGCATGGTCCATGAAGAACGTCTCGTCAAAGCGCGCGAATGAGAGCGCACGGCGGAGGGCGCAATTAAATAACAGCGCGGGTCTGGCTCTTTTTGGCGTCCGGAATCTCGCCTGGACCTCGCCGAGCGGGCCCTACGTCGACCCCTTCTGCGCCAACACGCCAACTCCACTATCGCGTTTGCTCCATGCCTGAACGCTCTAATATAATCCATGCTGTCTGTTGGTCGTCTAGGACTGCTTCCAGGAGCCTGGTCTTGGAGGACGAGTGTACTTCTGGCTGAGTTCGTGTGGCTAGACTCGTACGAAGCGCAGAATCACAGAGCTTCAGAACTACAGATCTAACAGTGACACCCTCGCAGGACAAATATCCAATGCGTCCAGATATGCTGGTTCCGATCAAATTGACATGCTGCCGGGCCTAGAATACACTGGATCTCTCTCAGCCTCCCCACTGGCCAGGCCATTTTTTGTCTGACTCTGGAATGACACAGCGAAAGTTTCTTCCGCCTCGTTGCCGTATGATGTGCATCATCGAGAAAGCTAAATGTCCTGCTGCTAAGAGGCGATACAGCACTGAGCAGGCTGTGGCTGAAGAGTGGCGGCTTAGTATTCATGCATCTACGGAAGTCAGGAATAGAAACGTTGAGAAGAACCGGGTCGTCAAATGTCCGGCTGTTACGCTATGTACGCCCTCAGGTCTCCACTACCATGGCAGCCAGGACCCAGGAGTGGCAGGAGTCAAGAGAATTTCAATCATCATTGCCCGAAACAACCCTGGAACTCGCGGAAGACAGGATCGTGGATCATGGCGCGAAATTTCGTCCACTAATCCTTTTCGGTCCTGCAAGCAAATCCCGATATATGACAACAAACCCATACATCGGGATTTGCTTTTCTCTCGACGCCTACTATGGCGGGTTCAGTAGTCCTGCTAGCAAATACCACCCATGATTAACTTTTGTAACTGGTCCTTTCCCAACTTGGACGAAAAGAGGTACTTTTCTTCTTTCCCCTGACCAAAAAAGGCATCAGTCCTTTGTTTTGGGACTGCAAGAAGAGTTGATTATGCCCACTCTCTTCTCTTTTCTCAGCCCGACTCGGAGTCAATAGAATCAATGAATGATTTGATTGAGGCGTTTGATCGGTAGTCCACCTTCTTGACTTGGGCGGGCTCAGAATATACGTATATACATCATAAAGTCAGAAAGCTCCGGATTCTCCGCAGTTGGGAATCCAATATCTAGGTTTCACCGCCATTTAAGGCAGCTCTATGCCATCGAAATGGTGTTAGGGCATAGTCAATACCAGCCAGACCTCCAGGAGCATCAGTTTCTCGAAGAGCACTACCAACAGCAAACAGAGACTTCTCAGCCCTCCGGTCAAGCTGTTGCTCGAAGGAAATTTGCCAAACCTCCCGTCAAAGTAGCCTGTCTGGCATGGTGAGATCAGCCATGCCTTGATGAGAAAAAGCAATACTGACCTGCCTTCTTGATAGCCGAGCCTCCCGCACGCGATGTGATGGGCAAGAGCCCTGCTCAAGCGTATGTTCTCTCCCCTCGTTTTATTCTCCTTTTCCTGTATCGGAAAAAGATTTCGAGTAACTGCTAAATTGTCACTCCGTTGCCAACCCCCCCAAAAGTGCGCAAACAAAGGAAAAACGTGCTCATATCTTCCCAGCAAACGTGGAGGACCTAGAAAGAAGAGAGCCACTGCTCCAACGTCTGCTCCTGATGACCTCGTTCAAGATAGCTCATGGGAACCCCCCGCCGTTCAACGTACTCATTATGACGAAGGTGAGCAGAGGCCGGTCCTGTCTCTGATCCGATTACACATTGACTTTGGAAAATCAGCCGATGGAGTTTTTAGTCAAATTGATCCTCTGTCCTTGCCCGGGGCTGGCTTGAGACATCTCGACTTTGCCCCGGAGGTGCAAGGTATGTTCGCTGGAATGTTTGCTCCTCCTAGTGAAGGAAATCCCCCGGCTGTACCGCAAGTATCCCCGACCACAAGTGGTAAGCAGCCCACGGTAAGAGCCTACGGAAGCGAACAAGAGATGTAAGTCTTACGAGTAACTGGGTCATTGACGTAACTGACATGGTGTAGATTGAATGCGTACTACGAGTTCATTCACCAATACTTGCCGATATTGCCCCCAAGAATATCTCAACCTGGTCCAGATCTGCCGTTAGAAGATGCAGGCTCTCATTCAAACTCACCGTCTGACGAAGTCAGCCTTGTGTACCAGCCAATCTCTCCACTTAGCTGCGCAATCTCCGCGATCCTTGCCCTTGTTCCGCTACAAAACGTCCCAGATTCGGCCAGTGTTATGTTACGACGGTCATATGCTCAAACTTATGCTCGGTTAGCAACAACGAGGATTGAAGCTGATGGGGAGATCATTGATTCGGTAACCGATCCTTCTCAGGCGTTAAATTACGCTCAGCCAACGATCAATAGACAGCCATTCCATCCTCGAGCTCCTGTCGAATTAGAAAGCATCCTGGCCCTATTGATACTATCTATATATGAGTACGCTCAACGTGGCAACATGATGAAGATGAGGTATCGTGCCGGCCAGGCATGGGTTATAGCCATGAATTTATCCATCTACGCACTCGGGCCGGAGCAAGACGAGTTTACCGAAGCAAAAAGAAGAGCGTGGTGGATGACTGTAAGCAAGTTCATATCGTGTTAACTTGCGTAAACAAATGTTGACTGGGATATCACAGTACTATTGTGTTCTTCAGGGCTCTATTGTTAGCGTTACGGTATACTCTTTTACGAATTGGTCCATGGTGGTAGCAAAGCTGACTTACTATAGCCTTCACCCGTGATGATCAACGACCCTCGTTTCACGACACCTTATCCTCAGTTTGCCTCAGATCCGGAGGTATCTCATCTCCTAACTTGGATCAAAATGTTTCCTTACTGATAATTTATGTATATATATAGGGCTGGTCGATCTTGATTCAGGCACAACAACTGCTTATAGCCTCCAACCAGTTCACCGTGGACCTAAACAGGTGCTTGAAGTCTCGGTCCAATATGCAGTGGGTATATGAACAAATGAAGCAACTCGATGTGTGGGCATCGTCATTAATGACGCAAGCAAATGCTCCAATTGGCGTTTCCCGGTCTGGCGTTGCGGAGATCGACACAGCTGAAAGTATTCGGGCCATCTCAAGAATCAAGCTCTCTAGGTAAGGAGATGTCTCTCACAGAGTTTAGTTCTGGAACGATAGTTCTGACATGATTTTCAACATTTCCAGCGCCCAGATAAAAACACATCAGTTTCGAGCTTTCTCAGACCTTCCCGTCTTCATCAAGAAGCACTATGATTTGTCACCTGCAAGTTCCAGGATCAATGAGCCATTTCATTTGGCGAGCAACGAAAGAGACGCCAATCCGCTAGAATGCCAATGCCATCAATTTCAGACATTAGACAATATTTTGCCCGGAGAATTGAGCGGTCCAAGCCCAGACTCATCGGCGGTGGCAGCTTCTGCGCCCATTATTCATGCACACTATTGCTGGCTAGGAGCCGGTTTTCCATTCAGTACTCAGCATTCCTCAGATGTGTGTCTACGAGCAGCTTTGATTATCTCCCACATGCTTGGTAGACTGCCATACCCTCTCTGCAACAGCGGCCGTCGCGACTCCAGTTCCAGGCATCATCAACAAGGATTTGCAGATGCTGCATTACTAGACCCCCGCCAACAGCTGCCACGCACAATGCCCTACTTTGCTAGCTGCGCTATGGAGGGAAGTTATGCGCTGCTTATGCTTGTCTACAAGACACGCGTTGCTAAGGATCGAGCGTCAAATATAATGTACGACGCTGGGCATGATCCCTCAGCTGAACGACTCATTGAAGAATTAAGTCATGGCTTAGAACACATTGTTGGCGCGGTCTCTAATTATTCGCAGGCTTTTGAGGCATTAGAAGGAATGAGAGGTACTTTTTACATATACTATTCTTACCAAATTTCCCTTTTTTACTAATCTTTGTGCAACAATCTCTCTCTATCAGATAACATCGAAAATGCAATTCGGACGGCGTTCTCACAACCTTGATTTGGTATGCATAGTGGGCGGCTCTTTGGATCTTTTTCGATATCCCGTTTGTACAGAGGAATTTTTTTTAACGGCCGGATGTCTTGCATAAGGTGGTGGTTTTGGAGTCTTTTAGATCTTTTGATCTCTCTCTCTCTCTCTCTTTCTCTATCAGTATCCATATTTCGAGGCGGTTCAATTTGTTTCTTTATAACATATGGCGTGGACTTTTACTTAACTATGTAGTTACTATGTATTTGATAGATAGTTCAGGTGTCTTTCGAAAAATACCCAGTAGATACCAGAAAATGCGATCCCATCTATACCTAGGTAGTCTACTATGAACAAGGTCCGGGATGACATTTCAACCTACATATTACATCAGTATGTAAAATGACTGCCAACCTTGAAAACATAGAGAGCGAGCAATTGAAATTTCAGTTGACACCTCAGTAGAATTCGGATATGATTTAATGTCGCTTGCCAATTCATGTTTACCAAAATGTCGAATGTAAAAGGCACCCTCATACAAAAGCCACTTTGACACCCAGAATGAAGAAAGAAACATAAGTCTCGGTGATTTCAGCAACAAAGAGAAAGGGTGCCTGGCAGGTTGTTTCTTTCTATAGCTTTAGTTACCCAAATCAGAGTTTTGATCGTATGCCTTCTAATCGAAACTTGACATCTCTAAGAACCTTGGTTGCTGGCTTCCACTCGTCAAACTGTTTCAGCAATTCAAGACTTTCATCATGTAGTTCGTGGCGTACGTAGTCTTCTTCAAGGAGGCCCCGTAATGCGAATGGGAGTATGTAGGGATTTGGCGATGATGAAGGATAGTGTCGTTGAATGTGAAGTGAGGCGCCATTAACGTTGGATGTTTCCAATGCAAATTCAACAGCAACGCTAGAAAAACATTGTTTAATATATGATATCGACATCATAACAAAGAAGATGTTTTGAGGTATACAAAATGACTTACTAGTATATATTTTCTTCGTCGTGGAGGCGAGAATGACCCTCACCACCCACAAGACTTCCAACAAGCGGTGCACTTAGTTCTCGTATGAGACCGTGATCATGAATTCCAAGGTTTCGTAGCTTCAAAGTAAAGCCAACGAGATGAGAAAGACTTTAACAAAGCGTTATCAGTTCGGTGATATTTTAATAATCTGTCTAGAAGCAGCCTTCGCTGCAGGTGAGCTTGTACTTACAAACTTGGCGCATGGACCCTTCCATCCACAAAAACAGCTCGATAGATATACGGGTGAGATATCGGAACAAATAGCGAGGACTGGGGAAACGATAAGCTTGATGTGAAAGTTTTATCAAAGTAAATCGGATCACATACCTCTAATGAGACCAGTTGATCGTCTATACTGCCAACATAAGATATACGCACCCCGAACTCCAAGGCGTCTTTCAGTGCCATTTCATACTCCCGTGAAACTTTAGTCGTGGGAAGCGCGAAGTCAAAAAGCTCTCCAGCAGAACCGCCTATCCATCTTGATTTGTAGTCTGGGATGGGTCCAAGGTTTACACCAGCCATGGCACATATTCCCACTCGGGTTGACTCCAGACATCCAAATGCGATCAACTTAGCGACCAACATGATCGTAACCGGGACGCCTTGGCTGTGACAGGCAAACATGATAAATTCAGCCTTGCGAATTTCCTCTATCCATCTTAAGAGAAGCTTCCAAAGCAAATCAACCCTTTCTGCGATGCGGCCTTCTCCCTCCAATGCAATCTTTTCTACGTCGCAATGATATCCATGGTTTTCGGTCCACTTATGAATAGCCTTTGCTGCCATAGTAGAGAACTTAAGAGATGTTCCAGTAGGTTGGCCAAGCACTGTGCGCAAGTAGGGAGCAGGGAAATAGCCATGAACTCCTATAGCCAAAGCCTTCTTAGGCCGAGGCGGGTCACGAAGGACAGAGACATGTCGATTATCTGATTCTTTGCGGGTATATATCATACGCCCCAGGGTTTGTAACCACGACGGCGATTCTTGCAATGCGAATGTGTCTCTAAAAGATGGCAGTAATTGGTTTGTGAGAACAGTTTCCAGCTTTGTTGAAGCTGACAATTCTGTTATTTGAGGTTTTGTTGGTATCTGCGCGGTGGAGGTTTGAGTCGTGGACGTGGATGTCACAGAATCTTCAGGCACATCGACAGGCTGAATATCCTTGACAGTAATTGATGTCGCTCTTTTCTTCTGACTTCTGACTTTTGATTTTAGTGCCGATACAGAGCTCGGAGAGCTTCCAAACTGAGCAGCTATGTCTTCAGGATTGGATTTCACTTTTGGTTGCTCTGGTAATACTAACTCGCCTGTCTCCGCTTGACTTTCAGAGCCTGGCGTTTGCTCTGTATTTGAAACATCTTTGGACCAAAATGACCATCCGCTTGATTTCCCAGACGCTAATGTTCGCTTTTGCGAATTGTTTGTTTGAAGCTGATCAACTGGAGGTATCCGGTCAGTTTCTGTGCTAGGTCTTTCTTGCTCAAGATCGCGATTCGGCACTGAATCTTCTTTTTGTGAATCTTCTTTGGGACTCGTAGCACTAGTGACATTGGTCGATCCCCAGATTTGCAACCAAGAACGCTTTTGTGGTACCGAGTTCCGCGTTTCTTCGATTTGTTGGATAGTATTTTGCGTGTTTCCACTCGTATATTCTTCATCTGCCTCATGAAATTTTGTACCAGCCTCCAATGGTTGAGGCTCTTCGATCGAAGCTGGCGTCGGCTCAGCTATTTCGGACGTCTTTCCCATTTCGCTTTCCTTCAGGTCCGATTTATCTGTTGATGTTTTACCAAAGCCAAGCCAACCAAACCAGGTACTTGCAGGTTGTTCATTGGTAACTAGTTCCGTCTCGACTTTCGTTGCTCTCGTAGTATTCTCTGTATTTTCAGGGGCTTGCACTTTCGAGTCGTCCCCGGGGCCCGTAGAATCAGCATCTGCGCTTAAGTTGGTATTATTTTCATATTCGCCCGAGCCAGCCTGTGAAATAAGTAGGTCTGGAGATGATTTTGTACCGGGTTGACTAGAGGTAGACCCGTTCGAATCGATATTGATACGTGTGGTTGTAACATCTGCCGGAAGAGACCGATTTGACGACGCGCCGGCTTTTCTGATTAACTGGATTGAACCAGATCTGTTGGGGCTCCTAAATTGGGGACGACCAGTTGTTGAAGTACTTGATTCCGAGGCTATATTGCCAGAGACTGAAATACTCTCACGGGCAACCTCGGTCACAGCAGCGGCTTTCCGGCCGTGCGGCCAGGTCTTCGACGTCCAAGGCTGGATTGTACAGTCGACGGTTAGCAAAATGCTGTTGCTTTCCAAGACCTTGACTTAGAAGTATACTCACCAATCGACTGTCTTGCTTGCGTAACGGTGAGCCGTTATCCGGAGTCGACTGGGTTGGGCCCGAGCTGCCGTCGTTGGATGCTCTGTTCACAGGCGAGTTGTCGGCCAAATGGGGGGACTTCAGCTCCTTTCGAGATCCCATGGAGCTGGCGAGCGAGGTGACAGAAGCATTACCGGTATGTCAATTTGTAACGGATGTAGTGTACGGGATATATAGAACAAGACAAGATAGAGAGACGAAAGGAAGTGCCAGCCAGGCTCCCGCCGTCCAATCACGCCTGGGCCCGTCCTCCCGCACAGCTGATGTCACCGATACCGACCCACGTGATTGGGCAGATAACGGGACGTGGATGACAGGGCTAGCACCGATGCCTTAAGGTTCAGGCACCCGCCCGAAGCTGCGAGTCAGGCCACGTGACTCTGGGCCTAGCTCTGCCAAGCCTGAAAATTGGAGATAGGCTAGCGATAAGGACTTTTTTTTTCGACGCCGTCCAACCTCTACCGGACAACATCAAAAGGCGTGTGTTGAGAATACACCCTTGTTGTTGCTTTTCTTGTTAAAAAACTGGCGATTTGCCCTATACTGGATCATTGAATTGATCAGATATGGCTATCCAGAAAAAGGTTGGCATTTCCGCTAGCAATCAAGTGAAAAACCCAGTCTTGCAAATATCTCACTAACCAATCTTCTCCTTGCAGCATGGCAAAGGCCGTTTAGATAAATGGTATAAACTCGCCAAAGAAAAAGGATACCGAGCGCGTGCTGCCTTCAAGTTAATTCAACTGAATAAAAAGTACGGCTTTCTTGAGAAGAGCAGAGTTCTTCTTGATCTGTGTGCAGCTCCGGGAGTACGTTCCATCAGTTTTCATTTTCACCATTGCTGGCTGTGCTAACAAACCTCGAACTAGTCATGGTGTCAAGTTGCCGCTGAATGTATGCCAGCTGGCAGTCTCATCGTTGGTGTCGATCTCGCCCCAATCAAGCCTATTCCTCGCGTCATCAGTTTCCAGAGCGACATTACCACGGACAAATGTCGTGCGACCCTACGTTCCCATGTCAAGCATTTGAAAGCAGATACAGTTCTTCACGATGGTGCACCAAACGTTGGTACAGCATGGGTGCAGGATGCTTTCTCCCAAGCTGAATTGGTCTTACAATCAATGAAATTGGCCACTGAATTCCTAAAAGAAGGGGGTACCTTTGTTACCAAAGTCTTCCGTTCCAAGGATTACAATCCTTTACTGTGGGTTTTCAAGCAGCTCTTCACCTCTGTTGAAGCCACGAAACCTCCGTCTTCTAGAAATGTTTCTGCCGAAATCTTCGTCGTTTGCCGCGGCTTCAAGGCACCTAAACGCCTAGATCCTAAATTTTTGGATCCTCGACATGTGTTTGCGGAACTGGCTGACCCAACCCCTAATAATGAGGCAAAGGTATTCAATCCTGAAAAGAAGAAGCGCAAGAGAGAAGGTTATGAGGAAGGCGATTACACCCAGCACAAAGAGATATCCGTCACAGAATTCATCAATACCACCGATCCGATTGCGATTTTGGGCACCTATCATACCTTGAGTTTTCAGCAGTCTCCCAGTGGAGACTTGGCCTTGGCCACTCTAGAGAGACTGGATGAGACTACTGATGAAATTCGCAAATGCTGTGAGGATTTGCGAGTTCTTGGTAAAAAGGAATTTCGAAACTTGTTGAAGTGGCGATTGAAGGTTCGGGAGAAGTTTGGTCTTCTCGTCAAGAAAAGAAAGCCCCAGGAAGAGAGCGAAGAAGTCGCAGAAGTTGCACCCATGGATGATGAATTGGCTATTCAGGAGGAGCTGCAACGTCTTCGCGACAATGAAAGTGCGCAAAGGAAGAAAGAGAGGCGTAAAGAGAATGAGAGGAAACGCAAAGAGATAGTACGAATGCAGATGCATATGATCACACCTACAGATATCGGAATGGAACAGGTAGGCATCGGCGGGACAGATGCCATGTTTGGAATAAAAGCCGTGAATCGTGAAAATGCTGCGGATCGAATTGCCTCGGGCAAAATGGTTGATGTACAAAGTGAAGAAGAGTCCGAAAGTTCCTCGGACGAGGAGGAGTCTGACGAAGAAGAAGACCGGCTAGAACGCGAGCTTGACTCATGGTACGAGACATATCAGGACCAAAAGCAAGCTCGAGATTCAAAATTGCGTGCAAAGAAAGCACGTAAAGACTACGAAGCTGAGGAGTGGGAAGGCTTTTCAGATAAAAGCGATAAGGACGACTCCGATGATGAGGATACGAATCTCGATGTCCCGTCTACAAATCTACCGCAGGCAAGTAATTTGTCCAACAAGGCGGCTTTGTTCTTTGATCAGGACGTGTTTGAAGGACTGGAAGATCTCGATGATATTGAAGATGAAGATAGTGCTATTGATCTAGAAGAGAAAACGGCGCATTCTTCGAATGAGGTCTCTGCCAAGAAGTCTGTTGCGGATTCGAGGTCTATTGAAGTATCGGCAACTGAAGACCAGCAGGCCGACGGTTGGGAATCTTCAGATGAAGAAACAGCCAAGCCAGACGATCCCCGGACAAAGGATGGCCATCTAGGTTAGTCCAACTAATCATAATCTAACTTCTACTGAAATAATGCTAACTTTAATGTACAGACATTGATATCATTACTGCGGAGGCGATGGCTCTTGCGCAACAGTTGGCTACGGGAGAGAAGACAACGCAAGATGTAGCTGACGATGGATTCAACAAATTTGCTTTCCGAGATACCGACGGCCTCCCGGATTGGTTTTTGGATGACGAATCCAAACATAGCCGCCCACATCGCCCTATTACGAAAGCCGCAGCTGCAGCTATCCAAGAGAAGCTGCGAGCGATCAATGCTCGCCCTATCAAGAAAGTTCGCGAGGCCAAGGCACGAAAGAAGTTCAAGGCTGCCCAGAAACTCGAGAAGCTGCGCAAGAAATCTGCTCTACTTGCCGAGGATGAAAGCGTGAGTGAGAAGGACAAGGCAGAAGCTATCTCGAAACTCATGAGCAAGGCAGCGAAGAAGAAGCCCAAGCAGAAAGTCAAGCTTGTCGTCGCTAAAGGTGCCAATAGAGGTATCTCTGGCCGTCCTCGCGGGGTCAAGGGCAAGTACAAGATTGTGGACTCGCGAATGAAGAAGGATATTCGGGCTCAAAAGAGAGTGGCCAAACAGCAGAAGGGACGCTGAATCGATACTTCGCATATTATACCTCCATAGTCCATACCATAGATATATATTCAATGACAACGGGCACTTCTGCAACACAAAGCCATCTCGGGTGACAAAATAAAGTCTTACAAGCTAGTTTCTCTGGAAGACTCGTCTTGCATAGCTGCCCTAACGAAGCTATAACTATCTAAACAATCAAATGCTGAATTTATATCTCCGAAGACTTCCGCCAATCAGAGCTCTATTCAAAGTGGGTAATATTTCCGGTGCGTTGATTGGCCGACTCGATCAGCCTTGTTGCTCCCCGCCGAACCGCCACCGACGGAGGCTCCTTGGCCGAATTATTTTTTTGTTGTCCGGCAGTCAATATTCAGCACAGTTTCTGTCCTCTCTCCTACTCGGCTGGGCCCATGTTTATGTTTTTTTTTTTTTGTACAGTTCTAGTATATCATTTTGCACATTCTCTACGCGCCACCTGTCGCCATATCCATAGTACAAAATTTATTCATTCTTTTTAAACCTCGCCGGCGCTCCGATTTTCCAGATCAACCGATCTCGGCCGACCCTCGAGGCGCGTCTGATTTGTTGCGTCTTCGCGCAATGGGGTTTTTTGACCATTTGCAAAAGGGAGGCGCGTTTTCGCTGCAAGCAAAGAAACCTCAGATTCGCAAGGTTGTCACCCAGAAAAAACCAGCACCGCAGTCGCAGTCGCGATCCTCATCTGCAGGCACCACGGACACCCAAGCATCTCGGAGGACACCTAGCATTAAAAGCAAACATGTTGTCTCTCAGCACCGTGAGACTCATGCATCTTCGAAGCAACGCCTGAAAGCAACAATCTCTAGAGGAAATCTCAAGAGACCGTCACCCATTCAGCGACTGTCGAGCGACGATGACGACGAAAGCGATACAGATGCCTCTTTCGAAGTTCGCAAACGTACGAAGCTGAGTAACAGCGTTGAGCCAGACCTTTCTCGCCACATTCGATCAGCGGAAGCTTTCTCAGAGGATGGACCCAAAGAGCTTACGATGGTCCATGCGGCCGAGATCACAATTAAGAAAGCGCCAGGAAAATATAAACCGGCTTTTGAAAAGGGGACAAAGAGTACTTTCACAGAGATTACATTACGGTATCCGAGTATATACAAGGGCGAAAGATATCAACTGGCGGTGCCTAAGGAGAATGACGATTTCAAGCCTCTAGATGATATCGTACAGGTTGTGGAAATGGTATCTCAAAATTATATTCCTGAGGATGCGCTTGAGGAATTCGACCACGAGACTACAGGGATCAAGAGAAGGATTCGCCGAGCGTTTGCGCATGCCTCCGAGGAAGAATTCCGAGACGTAATAGCGGACTACAATCGTGCCGTCCAAAGATCTGTATCCGATGGGTCTATTGCGAAACATCTAGACAAGACACATGCCTTGCGGTTGCCTCTTGTAGAGCGCATACTGACGCAGATATATTCTCGAACGGTCTCCCCTCGAGTCGAGTCACTTCGTCAATACGAGAACGGCACCGATAATGTATATGGCGAACTCCTACCTCGGTTTATCAGCACAATCTTTAGGGAGACCCAATTGAAATCAGGCCAAGTATTTGTTGACTTGGGCTCTGGAGTCGGGAATGTTGTCCTGCAGGCCGCGCTGGAGATTGGATGTGAAAGTTGGGGCTGTGAAATGATGCCCAACGCCTGCACGTTGGCGGACTTGCAAAGGGCGGAGTTCAAGGCGCGATGTCGCCTATGGGGAATCACACCCGGGGAGACTCGTCTTGTTCAGGGCGATTTCCTCGCAGAACAGAGCATACTCGAAGTCCTCAAACGAGCTGACGTGGTGCTCATCAATAACCAAGCCTTCACCCCTCAGTTGAACAATGAGTTGATTAATCACTTTTTGGATATGAAAGAAGGCTGCAAGATCGTCTCATTAAAATCTTTCGTGCCGGCCGGCCATAAGATAACGTCTCGCAATTTGAATTCGCCAATCAATCTGTTAGATGTCCGGCGACTGAATTACTGGTCCGACTCTGTGAGCTGGACAGACGTCGGCGGAACTTACTTTATCGCCACTAAAGACAGTTCTCGGTTGAAGGCCTTTGCTGATAGCCAGGCATTTTGATCAGGCTTTTGAATAGACCACCTGACATTTCTTAGAAACGTCCATTTTTTTTGTTGACAAAGCTCCATTCGTCGAATTTTGATGAAACTATTCTTTTGAAGACTGGACTTCTACGCCGGAACTCTTCTTTTTGAGAACTTTGATGCTCTCTGATATGCTTATTATATCGTGATTTGTTATACCTTCTGCTTGCAGCACGCTGAGTGTCCTTCATGTCCATATTTCAGCCACTGCCTCTTGTACACTAGCTAGAAATGTAAAAACCTCTATAGATGACATATTTTGATATATTTTGATATATTTTATTGAATCGGGGGTTTTCTCGGCTCGAGAAGGGGGTATTGCCGCCCAATATAAAAAGGAGGAGAAATAGAACAAATCATTGACTGATTTTTTTTAGAATCGCGAAGCCTCGTTCATTGCATCTGCCTCCTTTCCCATGCGAGCCATCCACCGGTCGATTAATTCCTGGTTATCCCTCTGTAATTTTGTGGATCGATCCTCCGCCATATTCAACTGGAGGTTTAATGAGGCTAGTTCATCTTGAACGTTCTATTAGAGTAGAAGTTCTCCCAGGTCAGCAACAGTACTTTATACCCATTTTTAAAGTATCAAATGATATAGGTAAAGGTCACACGAACATCCAATAGTTTTGCCTTTCCCCTCAACTCTTCATCTCGATCTCGCAAACGGAGCGTTAGATGAGTGCGCTCTCCTTCCAAGGAAGCAATCCGGCGAGCATCCTGCTGGGTCTTGGATTTCAACTTCTCCAACTCCGAGGTCGTGCGAGTCAGTTGATCTTGAAGTTCGGAGCGGGATCGCTGAGCAGCGGCTAATTCTGACAAAAGAACACTCTGCGATGCAGCCCCAGCACCCGATATCACATTCGTGCCTTGTTGTTTCTGCTGCTGTTGCAAAACGGGGGCTGGTACTCCTCTTTTAGGAGACGAGTTTTTGTCTGTAGGGCTAGCTGAGGTAGTTGCTGTTCGATCGGCGAGTCGAGTGTCTAGCAGATACGATTGTTATTAAACACGTTTGTCTTTCAAATGGGAGTATATTCCGTACAAGCATCGTACAGGCTGCTGTTTGCTTGCTCTCGGTCGTCGCGCGCCGCTAAGGCGGCATAGTAGTCCTCTCGCCAATTGGCCATGGCTGGTGACGTTGGGACAGCAATACAGGCCACCTATTTACGACAAGAGGCATGGCTGGACCGAGGACATCTTGCAAGGAGCACTCAACAACGCTTCCTTCCCATCGTAGTGCGAGGTCGTAGCACGAAGGCATCATTTAGGGCGGAAATCGCCAGAGGGGCTCTTGCCTAGTTCGTTGCGGGTAGGTGCCTGGGGCCATATGATTGGCTGCTCAGCTCTTACCGCCGCATCCACCGCCCTCGTGCTTCAACGTCACGAGGTTCTCCTAATCTCGTCTCTCTGTCGCTCTTGCGCCTCTCCCTGTCAACTTCGACTTGTCACGAAACGTTTCCTGTCACTACCTATCTCTGAACCGTCAATCTTTTGTTGAAAGCCGCTCAATATACTCGCTGCAGCCATGGCATCCCGCAAGAAGGTGTTGTTGAAGGTACGGGAAGCGTCGCCCTCTACAAGCCGTGAGGTGCTCAAACGATTTGTGGATGTTACTGACCACCATGTATCTAGGTGATCATTCTTGGAGATAGCGGTGTGGGAAAGACGAGTTTGATGAATCAATATGTGCGTATTTTCAAACAGACACGCGGTTCCGACATACAATTTCGTCACCGTACTTGCTCATGTTTGCCCACTCCAGGTCAACAAGAAGTTCAGCGCCAGTTATAAAGCGACGATTGGAGCGGACTTTCTTACAAAGGAGGTTCTTGTGGATGACCGGCTGGTGACAATGCAGGCATGTTCTTGTTCCATTTCCTGCTGCAAATATAGTGGTTGCTGACTGGGGATAGCTTTGGGATACCGCCGGGCAAGAGCGTTTTCAGTCATTGGGTGTCGCATTCTACCGAGGAGCCGACTGCTGTGTTCTGGTCTACGATGTGAACAATTCCAAGAGTTTTGAAGCTCTTGACAGCTGGCGAGACGAATTTCTCATCCAAGCGAGCCCTCGGGACCCCGAGAGCTTCCCTTTTGTGAGTGCATCAGTCAGTGTTGTCATGCGTTTGTTTTCTGACAGTGAACAGGTCGTGATCGGTAATAAAATCGACGTTGAAGAAAACAAGAGAATGATATCATCAAAGCGAGCCATGACCTTTTGCCAGTCCAAAGGCAATCTCCCATATTTTGAGACTAGCGCCAAGGAGGCACTGAATGTCGAGCAAGCATTTGAGGGTAAGGCTGATTTTCGTGTGCTACCAAGCTACAATGCTAACATCGTTCAAAACCAGTGATTGCCCGTAGCGCACTTGCACAAGAAGAGTCAGAGGAATATGGCGGGGGAGATTTCGGCGATCCGATAGACATTCGACTTGATGACCGTGACAGTTGCGCTTGCTAAATAGAGAGCATTTGACACATGGGCTATTCGCCTATGTCTCGTTTCCCACATGATATCGACTGGATGTTAATTTGTTCCCTCTATCGGTGTTGTGAACCCCGTGACTTCTGCCATTCTGGCAATCTACATCCCCTACATCCACCCTTGTGACAGCCGTATAGTTTTATGACGTGACCCTTTTTTGTTTCCGTGGCCACGCTACTTAATGCGTAGGCTCCTGTTTCTCGTTCATGTTCATGTCCATGTGCCTGGCTTGCATTCTCTCTCTTTTTTTTTCCCTGTCTGACATTCGTGCTTTCTGGTTCAAGACTTGCTTTTTTTATTTGGGAGTCTGGGATATTCCCTTTTTCATGTACCCTACTTCTGCTGCTTATATGCTGCTATTTTCTCTGCCATTCAATATATAATATATACCTCCGCGTGCTATAAAGTCTGGCTGATCAGCAACTATTCCGTGCCTTTTCCTACAAAATATCTTCATAAAATGCAGGGGTTAGAGCCATGCCTCACATATATTGCAAAACTCCTTGCAGAATAAGCACAATTTCGTTTTGTAAGTTTGTAGGTGAGTCATGCTAATATCGCACTTTATCTACGTTATTGCAGCAGCTAGCCCAAAGCGACCTAGCGCCGGTTCGCCGCCGAATGATAACGGCGGGACAAGCCACGACGTTTTAGCACATGACTCGGAGGAATGTGGCTTCTTTAACGTCCTGTTGACCGGGATACCTTCTTTTCCTCTTCCCTCTGCTCTCTCCAGCACCAGAAGGCGGACCCGGTTGTCCTGTCACAGTTCCCCGAACACTGTCGGTAATTAATCGCAAGCGAAAAGCCCAAGCAGGGGCAAGTAAACGTCAAGCCTTCATGGGAATGAGAGCGGAGATCTAAGGTCACTGCTGACCATCTAGTACTAGCTAATCATAAGAGCAGGGCATCTCTATGAATATTGTCTTCTCAGAATGGAATCTGCTGGCAGTGGGAACCATGTCGTTAGGCGATCGAAGACCGCCAAAACGTATGGGATGGCACGGCACACAACGGGTATAATTCTCCTTATGTGCGTGGTCTTTCTATGGACAGCCTCGAATTTTCTAGCAAGTGTTTGTGTGCCCCTTCTTATCAGCTGATATACCAGACTTTGAGTAGTTCCATGCTGATGAAAATTACTCGAGCAGAATATACTCGCAGATGACAGCTATTCGCACCCATTTTTCATCACGTACATCAACACATCGTGCTTTGTGGTATTTCTGCTATATGTGATTGCACAGCGCGTTTTCCGCATGTGGCGTAGAGGCAAGCTGTCACAAGTCAAGTCTGTTAGGTCGTTCTTTGTTTATCTCGATTTGCACGGAATGAAGGAGCCGCCATCGTATGCGAGAGAGACGTCTTCGCTAAACGATGAAGACGCTGAAGAGGATGGTGATTATGAAGAGGCAAATCTGCAGCAGCGCCGGAGATTGTTAGACAGCTATGGGAATGACTCAGAGCTGACCGAAGCAGCATCTTCGGCGGAAAAGTTGGGACTCAGGGAGACTGCGCGATTGGCTGCTCAGTTCTGCATGCTATGGTTTCTGGCAAATTACCTTGCAATAGCATGTCTGCAGTACACCACTGTTGGCAGCACGACTATTTTGACCTCGACAAGCGGTGTCTGGACACTGATTTTTGGGGTTTTGATTCGTGTAGAGAGATTCTCTCTGCGTAAAGCTCTGGGTGTATTGGCTTCATTAATTGGGGTCATTCTCATTTCACGCGTGGATTTGTCGACATCCTCCAGCCCCGATGGTCCCGTCAACGACGATCCGTTTTCGAATAAGTCACCAGCAGAAGTTGCTCTTGGCGACGCCATGGCGGCACTGAGCGCTATTGTGTATGGGGTGTACACGATAGTCATGAAAAAGCAAGTTGGCAACGAGTCGCGTGTCAATATGCAGCTGTTTTTTGGACTGGTTGGTTTCTTCAACGTCTTTCTCCTATGGCCTGGATTTGTCATCCTCCATTTCTGGGGTGTCGAGAGGTTTTCTTTTCCCACTGAAAATAGGATCTGGGTCATTATTCTGGTACGTATATATCATACCACTGACAACTTACGTTTTTGTTATTTGCAGCCAAAACTAATCGACATCTGAAACAGATAAATTCAGTATCCTCCCTAGTATCAGATATATGCTGGGCCTATGCAATGCTGCTCACGACACCATTGGTTGTCACCGTCGGTCTGAGTTTGACTATTCCTCTGTCACTTGTTGGGCAGATCATTCTTCAGGGCCAGTACGCCAGCGTTTTATATTGGATTGGAGCGGCGATTGTGTTTGCATCGTTTCTTATCGTAAATCGCGAGAGCAAAGAGGACGAGGAGCAACAGGAAGAACAAGAAGTGGAGCAAGAATAAGGCAATGCATAGTTTTTAAAGACAGTGAGCTGGAGCACATAAAGAGAGAAGAGGATGCGATCTTGTCCATTCAATGTCGAAGAGCGATTTAGCATGAACAAATTCATTTTCACTATTGAACCACTGTATTAGACAATAAGCAGCGAATAGATATAGTAGGAGTACAGAACTTCATCAGATAGATATCTTATCTAGGTAACTGAACATAGGGCTTTTTATGCAAAGTGATCAAAGAAACCGAGCAGTGGTTAATTATAGATTATACTAATGAGTATTTCAATGATTGATTGAGTCACGTCCAATGTATTTGAAGTGAAAAAAGGAATATACACAAAGGGATATCATAGTTAAAGAGTCCGCTAACACCCCACAAAATGCCGACTGGTTCGAAGGACGAGGAGAAGAAAGGAAAGAAAGAGAAAGATGAAAAGAAAGTATATAAAGAAATAATGAAATGAAAAGTAACCTCACCGCAAAGGCTGAAACGGTTCAGGAGACGTGATTATCGTAGGTGCCGGAGGTGCAGATGAAGCATTGCCACCAAAAGTTGCCTTTTTCATCTCAATTGCTTTCTTTCGCCCGATAACAACACTCTTCAGCGCACCGAGCCATTTCGCAAGAGACTCTTCGTCTGGCGCACAAAATCTATATGTTGGTCTGTCTTCTGTGATGATTTGGAGACAGAAGTTTTTCGATCGTGAGATGGGATCTATTTCTCCAGCGTTGATTACTTGGGACATTGGGATGATTCGGCTGGCGCAGTATTCCTGGAAACCATTCATTAGTACCTATATATTCAAAGAAGAAAAAAAAAAAAAAAAAAAAAAAAAAAAAAAAAGGGAGAAAGGGCAAAACGAACTCTTTCATCTTTGTAGAATGCGAGGCTGACTGGCCGTAGTACAACCCAAAGCTTTTTCCACTGTCTAACTCCTCCTTTGCTGCGTAGACATTGTAGATAGCCATCACAGATGACACGGTCAGGGTCGCCAAGTGGCCCTGACACAGTATGCTCGCGGGCAAAAGAGGGACGCTTGGGCTGTTGGTGGTCATATCCGCCGCTGGGTATACGGCCTTGATGTCGCTGCGGTCGTGAGCTGCTACCTGGTCCATCAGAAAAATCCGAGTATTCCGTCAATTCGTTACCGGAATATTCTTGTGCAAAAGGCAAATTTCGGCCACGGGATGCCGTTGACAATGATTGTGAGGGTTCAGGCGAGCTCGACATGACTGTATGTTCATTTTCGCCAATATCCGAGTGTTCGCTCGCTATTATGATTGCATTATGGTCCTCGCCGTCGCTAGTATAGACGGTAGCGGACCAGGGCTTCGTCCTCGATTCCGCGACTATAGCCTCTTCTTCCTCGTCGGTGTGCACCTCCGAGCGAATACGGTCAATCCAACTCTTTGCATCTTGCTCGGATGCGGACTGAAAACGATAGTTCTGCGACGGCGAGAAGATGCCCCAGACATGTTCACGTGTCGATCGCGCAGAATGGACTGGGGCAACGGCAGCAACATCCGAGAGGCTGACGGACAGCAGCAGACTCGCTTCGTCTTCATCCTTGTAGACGGAAAGAAGGTTCGGCCGGAGAACTAGGTAGCAGGGTTTCCACGACGCTTTGAAGGCCTGTTTGTCCCGACACGCAATGTATGTGTAAGTACGAATAGCTACTCCCCAGGCCAGCTGCAACGGCGGATCAGACAGGAAGACTCACATGCCGGCTTTTGATCTTGCCGAATACCTTTCCTCGTTTCAGGACGCGGTCAAACTCAAAACTTCCATATTCATTGACTGGTGAAAAGGTGTTAAGGTTCAAATGACCAGTGCGAAAGCTTGTCGAACAATGTGATGGGCCTGCCAGACTCTGTGACCTCGCTTTCGAATTGGGCGTATCAATTGGTTTCGGTTCGGACTTGACTGGGACTTGCGGTGGAGATGCGATGTAGAGGCTTTGCGCCATGGTATGAAGCACGAATGGTGAGGAAGGGCAACAAAAAGAAAGGCAAGAGAAAGACGACGTGGCAGAAGGAGTGTATATCAGCGCGAGGGTTTTGTGACTGGAGTTATGATGCTCCCAACAAATCGATGATCCGCTATATCACCAACGCTGGGAACGACGAGTCCATGACACGCTCGAACAATGAACACGCAGAGCCTCAGAATAAGATGCGTCTCTGATCGATCGGCGAGTTTCGCGTGACTGGGGAAAAGGGGATCTATTATCAAGCTTATCGATTGCACCGTGATTTGGGCACGCGACGCAACGACGAGACGGGACGAGACGAAACAGGTGAATAGGGAGACGAACGAGTGTCGAGGTTGTTGGAGCCAGTCCAAGGCAGCAGCTTTAAGTACATGGCCATGCACTGCGATGTTGAGGGCGCAAAGTGGCGATGCATTCAGTCAGTGAGTGATCTGCTGCGGAGGCTCACCACGCAATCTTACTGGCTCGACCGGGCGCGCCTCAGGCTGCCATCCTTAATTTAAACCGTTCCACGGGACCGTTTGACGTTTTGATATATCATATGTGTTCATGGATAGAGGAGTATATACTACGTATGTATTTATATATATATATGTAGATATGTATAAATGTACATATTCCTGCTTCTATAGAGAGGCCTAGGTATATTCAGAAACTGAAAGCCACTGTTGAGTGCTCGAATTCACTGAGATGCACCGCCTCAGTGCATCTGTCGTTGCAATGTGCCAATGTATGCTGCTATAATCTCACTGCACCAAGGACAGTGCACACAGCCATAGAACAACTGTGGCTCAAGAATAAAAACCGGCACGGACTCGAGACGGAGCGCTGACTTACTCCGACAGACTGATCCAGGCCCTGTCGCATTAATGATTATCCACGTTATGCGTGCAAAAAATACCATAATGAAACTCGGTTTCACTATCGTATTGACATGTCGATAACGTCGGTTACCCGCATGCTTGGCACTCACAAGTAACTTACCGTCGCGTCATGACGCGCGAAAACGCCTGTAACGTACAGCCCCCTTGGGGTCTTGGCTTCTGCCAGCCCTTACCGCTCTGCCCATCCCATCGATCTTGAAAGTGGCCATCGCACCTTTTCCTACCAAGCCCCGTCCATGTTGTCAGTCACCCATCACGCTCTCTCCCATCGTGTTCTTTCCTGGATTTGACTGTACGGGTCGAGCACCGACTTCTCTCTGTTGGCCTACTGCCTCCACCAGGCTTGGCCGATCGCTGCTCGCTGCTCGTGGTCGGCCACGCAGGACCTCGCTCGGGGAGAAAGGAGGTTCTTCCTCCAGCCGCTCGTTTACGAAAACCACCTCTCAAGATCTCCCTGCAGACAGTCATCGAAATTACCACGCTTGTGAATATTCGTCGTCGTGTCGCTGTTTACTGCCCCTTGTCAGGGATATCAGGGCAAGGACAAGGAACAAAGAGGCCGGCAGCTCGCGGCACGGAGCAGGACCGCTTGCTGGGAAAAAAAAAAGGATCCCATCCTAGCGAGACAAGAGCTGTCTCGCAACTTCCCCTTGGCTGACTGAGGTTTTCTCATTCAGCACTCGGGGCTCGATTAGCCACCATGCAGATTGTTCGTCGCATTGTCAAGCGCCTGCCGTCTGCGCCGGCGCTAGCTTCTCTCGAAGATGCTTCACGTGAGAAGGGCCAGCTCGCACAGCGCTTTGCTTTCCTGCGAAGACGGATTAGACTACGCGGCAATTCGTCTATTTCAATACCGCTGGGTTTTGTGTTACTATTTCCGTGTGTTATAATCATTTTAATCGTACTTATTTTCGTGAGGCATCCGTCCTCCTCGGGCGGGATTCTCATCCCAGCCGGTGCGCCGCCGTCCATCAGGTTTGTCTATGTTCCTCCCCTCACATCCATGGTATTTCTGCTGACATCCCCCATCACAACAGGCGAATAAGCGAAGAACACGATAAAGTCTTTGCGACAGGATGCTTGAATGTTGAAGCAGAAGTGTCCGGACCCCGGGCCAACGCCGCGTTCGTCGTACTTGCACGAAACAAAGAACTCGAAGGTGTTATTCAATCCATCAAGTCCATTGAGCGCCATTTCAATCGGTGGTTCCATTATCCTTATGTCTTTTTGAATGATGGTGATTTCGACCAGGAATTCAAAGACACCGTCCAAAATTACACCAGCGCTCCCGTTGAGTTTGGTAAAATTGACAATAGCATGTGGGGTTATCCGGACTGGGTGGACCATGAAGTTGCCAAAGAGGGAATCAGGAAGCAAGGCGATGCTGCTATTATGTATGGTGGCATGGAAAGTTACCACCACATGTGCAGATTCTACTCCGGGTATGTTTTTTTTCAGGCATATCTTAATCCTGATATTTCTTCCAAGACGCTGACGGGTACTCTAGATTCTTCTATAAGCATCCCTTGCTCTTGAAGTACGAGTGGTACTGGCGTTTGGAGCCCGAGATCAAGTATTTCTGCGACATTACATAGTGAGTCTCATACTCCAATCTCTTTCTAATCCGACACCCCGTAACTAATTGCATGGTTGCAGTGATCCATTCATCAAGATGGCAGAGGCAAACAAAACATACGGCTTTACCATCGCTGTCAAGGAGCTTCGAGAAACTGTACCGAATATCTTCCGTTATGCCTCTGCGTACAAACGTACCAAGGGACTCGAGTCAAAAGGCCTGTGGGAGATGTTCCTCGAACGACCTGCGGAGGAAGAGTCAAAATCAGAGGACGCAGCCAAGCAAAAGACAATTCCCGAGGAACTTGATGACGTGAAGCTTCCTGAGGTAGACCGGGAAGCCATGGAGGGGGAGAAGTATAATATGTGTCACTTCTGGAGTAATTTCGAAATCGCCCGATTGGATTTCTTCCGCAGTAGAGAATACGAAGAGTTCTTTGAGATGATGGACCGCAGCGGTGGCTTTTGGATGGAACGGGTATGCTTACTTCTTGGTGATATTCTCCCTTTTCTGATGTTTGCTAATCTCTTTTTTTCCAGTGGGGTGATGCACCCATCCATTCCCTAGCCGCAGGTGCGCTACTTGCTCCTCGCGATATTCATTATTTCCGAGATTTTGGCTACCGTCACACCACCATTCAACACTGCCCAGCGAACGCACCAGCTCGACAACTTCCTCGCATTCCGTTCCTAGAAAAAACAACCGAAGACGAAAAGAAACGATTTGAAGAGGATGATTACTGGGCCACACCTGACCCTGTCAAGGAGAACGGCGTGGGTTGCCGATGCAAATGTGACACGGACATTGTCGACGTTGAAGGAAAGCAAGGAAGTTGTCTCGTGGAATGGGTTGAAGTCGCTGGCGGCTGGGCTTCGCCATGATTATAGCCGCTCTTTCACCGTTGTATAGATCAATTCGACACCTTATACATGACGGATTCTCTTTTCTTTTATTTACACACTAACACATTAATTAACATTGAGCATCGCTTGGGACTTTCAGTGGAGTTCTTTTGTGTTTAGGCATACGTAGCCTCCGATTGTGCAGTTGTGTTTCACTATTTCCTCTTCGTGTTCTCCCCCCCCTCAATAATATTCCAGGTTTCCTATCTCGTTTGATATTTTTTTTTTCCCCGTACAGGCGGTGTTTCTGGAATGTCCAACTTCCGGTATGAACGGGAGGTTTGCCTCGAATAACCTGGCACCAGAAACTTTTTTTTATTTATTTCAAGTGTTTTCATCATTCAGTTTCTAACATTATTCTTGCATTTTCAACACAATGAGTCTACGAGTTCGGTTGCGTTATTTGTAATCATCGTCCTTGAAACTTGTATGTATCTTTTCCCACCATCGAGATATTATGTTCCTGAGATATATACTCTATGTTTATGACCTTGAAGGATCCAATCCCATGTCTTAAGTATGTAGGAACGGGGCACATTCCAAGACTTGGCTCAAGTGGTTCTTATCAGTTGGAGACACCGGCACTCAGACGCGTCTAACTTCTGTATACAGGTAGTACTACTTAGTTTAGGTCTACGCAGGCATGCCAAGGTGGTCTAATGCAGTCCGAGAGCTATAGAATGATACTGCGCGGGGTCTGATCTCCGCCTGCTTATCTCCAAACATTCACTGCAGTCAGGCTCCAAATGATCTGATCAAGCTTCATCGCCAAGAAAAGCTATGATACACACCTGCTAGACCTGCCTCTTTTCGGCGTACAAAGAATCACAATGGACATATGTACCTAGCACCAAGGTGGTAGTAACTAGGTACATCCTACCCGCCTTGTCACGGACCTAGTTATCACTGGCTGTGTCGAGGTACAATACATTGATTGAACCATACAGAGGTTCTCTAAGAGTTAACTAGACCATACGATATGTATTGACCACGCCAATCACGGTGGTTGCACGATATATAAGCTTGCGCGCATGTGTTGCCTGAGGCACCCACTCACATGCGCCTCTTTCTGATGTCTCTCAATAAGTAACTTTATGCCCTTAAGACTTTTAAGTTAGCCAGACTTAGGTTAGCTAACTATCATCTAACTAGTTATATGCTTAACTAACTATGGAAATAAGCTAAGCACCTTTCCTAAGTAGTACTAGTTTCTGCTAGTGTCATGACTCATGCTAACAATTTCCCCACGGGGACTAGGTTGACCAAAACATGCTTATATTTCTCTCCACTTCCTAGTAGATTCAGATCACTCAGAGCGTACACAGAGGCTTCCTGGGGAAAACGAGGTTAATGTTAAGCGAACCTTTGCCCATGGTTACGGTGAGATGACTTATTGCCTAGCATGTCATAATTAGGGTGTACACATCAAGTCGACCCAAACTAGCACTTCGCTTATTATTTTGTATGTTTTTGTCTCATGCGTTAAGAAGCCGACACTCAATAGGTGGTAGAATCTTCCGCCCTTTTCCGGCATACGAAGACGGGAGTTTCTCTTTGTACTATGTAGGCTCGTGTTCGATTTTGTGGATTTGTTACCATGTAATCCAGCTTTGCGATATGAGAGGAGTACAATGTTTTCTGTAGCTTGTTCAAATCTATGTGACAAGATGGGCGCTCATAGTGGACGGAGCACGTCACATCTGACATTTCGCGAAATATGACAGTCACCGAGTCCCGTTGAGATCGCTGGCGCTTGAGGGCTTATATAATAATGGCTATACCAGTTGCTATAACGAATAGAGAAGTTTTATACAGTTGCGCTGTACGGAATGGTCCCGGAGACATCCGGATCATCTGAATATAAGAGTATCTGCAGTCGTAGTTCAAAGCTATCCAGCAGCCAGTCCTTTTATTCTTTCCTTTTCTTGACTCGCGAAACCCACCGTCTGTTTCTTTGTAAATCAGAGCCGCAAGGCTGAATCAATGGATCCTATCGAGAAGGTGGACGTTCTAATCTGTGGAAGTGGCTCCGCTGGTCTCTCTCTCTGCAGCAACCTGGCTTGCCCGATATGGGATTCGCTGCAAGGTGCTCGAACGTCGCGAGGGTCCTTTGACCTTGGGCCAGGCCGATGGTGTGCAATGCCGGACCGTCGAGATCTTCGAGAGCTTTGGCATTGGTGATGAGCTTCTTCGTGCATCTTACCATGTTCTGGAGGTTGTTTTCTGGACCGAGGATAGCCCGGGTGTTATCAAGCGCACAGGCAGGACGCCAGATACTCAACCGGGGTTTTCACATCAACCGCATGGCATACTAAACCAGGCACGTGTCAATAAGCTCCTGCTTGATGCTATGCATCGTTTCAACAAGCAAGAAGTAGACTACGGTTATGACATTAAACATTTAGAGGTTGATAGTCAACAGGCCAAAGATCCTTCAGCATACCCGGTTAAAGTCATCACTAGGAAAGATGGGAGAATAGTGCAGTTTGAAGCCAAGTATGCACTTGTAAGTTGTCTTGTTATCAATGTTATTCCCACGTACATTCCTGGTTCCTGAGAGATGTTACAGGCATGTGATGGCGCGCATAGCATTGTTCGCCACGCTCTGGACTTTTATATGATTGGCGATGGCAGTGACGCAGTCTGGGGCGTGATGGATGTTGTACCTCGGACAAGTTTTTCCAGATATTCGGAAAAAAGCCACCATCCGCTCCAAAGCCGGTAGCCTATTGATTATTCCCCGTGAGGGCGAGGCCTACAATTTGGTGAGGTTTTACATAGAACTTCCCAATGGAACGAAGGCCAGGGAAGTGAAATTGGAGGATCTACAGCATACAGCTAAGAACATCCTCAGTCAGTATGATGTGGATTTTACGGATACCATTTGGTGGTCTGCCTATCCCATTGGCCAGCGTCACGCCGACAGCTTTCATGAGGATTACCGGGTTTTCTTGGCTGGTGATGCATGCCACACGCACTCTCCCAAGGCTGGTCAGGGGATGAATGTTAGGCTTCAAGATGGATACAATATTGGATGGAAACTAGCCTCGGTATTGAAAGGATTGACCCCTCCATCTCTGCTGAAAACCTATGTTCTCGAGCGTAGGAAGACAGCTATCGACTTGATCAACTTTGATCGCTATTTCTCGAAGCTCTTCTCATCAACCGCCAAAACGTCGCCCCAGGAATTCCAGAAAGGATTCATTCAGGCTGGAAAATACACGGCTGGCTTAACAGCCAAGTATGACAGATCACCAATCGTGTCTGATATGGATGAGACACAAGGACTTGCGACCAATGTTGTGGTCGGAATGAGGCTACCCAGTGCCCAAGTCGTGCGCTTCTGCGACTCGAAGCCCCTGCAGCTAATGACTGTGCTAAAGTCCGATGGCCGGTGGCGTCTTATAGCTTTTGCTGGCGACATTACTTTGACTGTCAATCAGGACCGTTTACGTGCTGTGAGTGTCGAAGGCAGTCTTAATTTTCTTGCTAATGGAGTGTTCTCAGCTTGGAAACTATCTCATGTCGGTGGAAAGTCCCATGCGCCGTTTTGCCCCTGGTGGTGGTGGTGACATCGACAGCCTGATCGAACCGATTCTAGTGGCATATGGTAATCGCCACGAGATAGAGCTTGACCAGGTTCCAGAATCCTTCTACCCAATATCCGGGAAGCATAAAGTTCACGACCTCCATAAAATCCTCTTTGATGACGAGAGCTACAGCAAAAGCCATGGCCACCTCTATGAATATCTCGGCATGAGCCCTCAGAACAGTTCTATTGTCATCGTTCGACCGGATCAGTGTAAGCAAGGTGTCCTCTCCTCCTCACTAGGAGAAAACGAATGCGAATCGGAGCCAAGGGTCAATGATCTTCCCACTTTCACATTGAGTAGGCACCTCTTTTAGCAACGATTTCGAATATAAAGACCATACACGGACACGCTCGAACCGGATACCATTGGATTCCGTGGGTTAAAACTACAGGAGATGCTTGCTGATCATGTTGTTTCACGGGTCTGCTCCGGACCTGAGGGGATCGCCATTCTCGGAACGAGATTGACCGCGGCAGTTTTCTGAGACGAACGTCTTGTGAGTGCCGGAACCAATCCGCTCGAGTGTGTCCTAAACAGTATGAAGAACTCGAAAGGAACCAGTCGTGCACACCGCTAGAAAAAACAACCATGGATTTCCATGCACAGTTACAGGCCGAAGGTGAAGGTGGCGAAGGATTTGGATTGAAACCGAATCCCTTCTTTTCGTCCCCTGAGTTATCTCGGCAATCCAGACCCTCTACTTAGCCGGACGGAGAATTTAGCATGTGGATGGGTGCTTCTAGGGGACTTGAGCGTTAGGTTTTCATGGACGAGACCTGATCATCATAGAATGCTCATCAAATGTATGACGAGGATTGTGAACTTCTGGACTTGATTTTCTCCCTATTCGCTACTTATGTAGATAGCTTCGACGAAAACTACTGCAGCATTTATGAACTACATAGCTATCAGGAAAATCAAGCTTCGTCAAGGAATCCCAAATCATCCAGCTCCAGTCCTATGTTCGCCATGTAGTCGTTCCAATTGAAGAAAGGGTCTTGTGCTGTATTATTATCTAGGTGAGAATATATAGAGACTTAACTTTGGATCAATTCAATTCAGATGTATAACCATAAACTCCAAGACCAAGCTATGCACAGATAGTTAAAGCGCCTCGACACCAGAAGGGCAATAATTTTATCAGTTAATCAATTGGGTATGAGGAATTCGGTGGCCCAGCCAAAATGGTCTATAGCCTCCAAGAGAGAAAGAAACAGCCACAGTTATTCCTCGCTTTGCCGTTGCTTCTCTTCCTGCTCTTTTGCTTTGATATCGTTGTACGCAGCTTCGCGTGCTTCTTTCATCGCGATCTGACGAATTTGTTCGTCCTTGGGCAAGGCGTCGAAGGTCTTGACATTTTCATCCCATTCTCGTATGCAGTCACTGTTCCAGTTGCATTGCTCGACCTCGCCATACATGGGATGGTTGTACCGTGGGTGATTGACCGGCCACCTCGAGGCGTGAAAATGATGCTTGACTAACGCGGCGCGCGCGTTGTGATTTCCTGAATCCGAATGACCTTGGCCGGCAGCAAAGGCTTCCACGGTAAGTACCAGAATGCTTCCGACGAGCTTTGATTCTGCTAGATTGTGAAAAGCATCCCACTTTACAGTTTGGCCACTTTCCGCGCTCATCTCAGCGAGGATGGCTTCTGTGAAGGCCGACGGCCCCGTGCCGCTGATGACCTCGTCAAAGTCCAATTGGATGTCGGAAATCGAAACGCCCTGCTTATATGCGACTCCTTCAAGCCATTTGATGATGCCGTTGATCAGTCGCATCATGACTGGTAACCCAGGCTTCGCCATGAACGTCCACTGACAGAACGAGCGCGACTTGGGTCCAAGGATTGGGTGATCGTACCATTCGGGTTCGTCGATCTCGACGCCAACCACCAGATTGAGGTCTTTCGGATCATAGCGGTCAGGGATAAATCGGTCAATGGGCCTCAAGGCTTCAACGTCAATATCTGTGTAGACGCCACCCTCGACGTACATAACCAGATAGCGCAACAAATCGGCTTTGACAATCTTTGCCGTGAGCGATTGGTACACGTCAACAATGTCTGGGCGATTGAGGCCTGTTGGTCCAAAGTGTGTCTCGACGTAGTAAAGATCATTTCCATCCGTCAACACCTCGTACCGGTGCCCCGGGTTTTTCTGAATCCAGGTCCGGGCTACTGAGAGATCACGCTCTTCAAAGGCGAGAGGATCAACCTTCCATGTCTGCCAAACTTTACGCGGGAACTGCCCTGTTGCTGCAATTGTCTGATAGGAGAGGTTGTATTCGTATCCGCTCAACGATCCAGACCCGGATACATAAAAGATGAACAGCAGGCATACGATACACAGAAGATATAGCTTTCTGATGTGTTTCGTCCTTGTATCACTGCCAAGGACCACAGACATACTTGCGGTGTCTACAATGAGACAACAGACCTAGCTGAAAGAAGCACTTGTTCCACCAAGAAGCATGGCAAGAAAGGAAGCCGGAAGTCTTCGTCAAGAAGCTATCAACAGCTGCGCTGATGAAGGATACTGCGCGGGGGTGTTCAGACGAAAGAACGCTTAGCAGGTTCGACAATAAGCCTCGGCGATTTGGCCATAGAATCCGTACGGAATCATGATACAGGAGATCGAGCATCTGCATGCCTTCTGGGAACAAGCTGAGACTAGCAAATTAGCAGCCAGTTGTAACCTTGGAAACCGAGGCAAGTCTTTTTTTTCCTTTTTTATAAATGGCTAGAACGTCGTGCAACCCATTTGGCTATTCCTGATCCTGTCATTAAGCCGACAACCTAAGCTATTGCAGCTCTCCCGGTGCCTTGACGGACCGTGGTATCCAATACATCTTCTCCCCAGGTTTCCCAGCCTACGGAATGGACCGGAGCGACGAAGGAACAGCACTCTGCAGTTCGCTTGACTATGAGTCTCTAAATATTACAAGTACTTACCCCGCCTCTCTCCGGGGCGCAGTTTGACGATCCATTCGAGCATCCACCAGAGGCCAGATCCCGAACAGCCATCTTACCCTCGCTTTCATGTGACGCGCGACGACCCCCCCGCGAGACCTTGGATGACTAGTGAAGGCCGGGCTGATTGAGCAGTTGCAGTACAATGTATATGAGTTTTCTTTCATTTTACCTTTTGTCCCCTCATGCTGAGATCTTTTTGGTCACAATGCCGGCAGATGTCAAGGGGATTCTGGACGATGAACAGCTGTGGAAGAGCACGTCCACACAAGGCCACCATCTGAAGATCGCCCTTTCGTCTAGAGTAGTTCGCACGCTGGCCAACCTTGGCCGACCAACTTACTGGGCCAGTACTGGTAACAATGGCAAACAGCTCAGGCGAACCGCGTATCTGGACGGTCTACGTGGCTTTGCCGCTTTCATGGTCTACTGGCTACACCATCAGTTATGGGCTCACGACGACGTCCAGATGAACCACGCTTTTGAGAATGTCTTTGGTTGGAACGGGCGACACTACTTTGCTGCCCTGCCCGGTATTCGAATCTTCTTCTCAGGCGGCCATTTTGCCGTTACCGTGTTTTTTGTCATTTCGGGCTACGTATTATCTGCAAAGCCGCTGTCGCTAATCCACGCGGGCGAGTTTGTCAAGCTGGGAGAGAATGTCGGATCAGCATTGTTTCGTCGATGGTTGCGACTTTTTCTACCGGTCATTGGTACGACTTTCGTCTTCATGTCTGTGTTGCACTTGTTCAAGGTTCGGACATCCATCGTGGACCTTGCTCCCACGTACCGGGAAGAAGTTTGGAAATGGTATAAGGAATTTAACAGCTTCGCCTTTGTGTTTCGGTCTGGCGGCGAGCCCTGGTTTACCTACAATTTCCATGCGTGGTCCATCCCTGTCGAGTTCCGCGGCTCTATCCTGATCTACGCCTCCGTCATGACATTTTCACGATGCACGCGAAACGCACGGCTGTTGTGCCAACTTGGGTTGATTTCATACTTTATCTGGATTGCGGATGGCTGGTTCTGCGCCCTGTTCTCGTCGGGCATGCTCTTGTGCGATTTGGACCTGCTTGCTGCTAACGACAATCTGCCGCGCTGCTTCTACGTCCTGCGACCTTACAAGCGAACCATCTTCTACGCCTTATTTGCGGTATCTATGTATCTTGGCGGCGTACCCAGTCGCAACGCCGACCTCGATAATCTTCGCAACTCATATGGCTGGCGCTATTTATCCTATCTCAAACCGCAAGCCATGTGGGACTACAAATGGTTCTTTCTAATCTGGGCTTCCACGTTTCTTGTCTCTTCGGTGCCGCACATTCCGTGGTTGAAGGCCTTTTTTGAAACCCATTTCTGTCAGTACCTTGGACGTATATCATTCGCCTTCTATCTTGTGCATGGGCCTGTTCTGTGGCTCGTGGGCGACAGGTTGTATGCCGCGGTTGGCTGGCCGCGCGAATGGCACGCAAGCAATACACCTACTTGGATTAATCGATTCCCACTGCCCAAGGGTGGCCCATTGGGATTGGAACCCAGTTTCTTGGTGTTGCATCTCATCTTACTACCGCTGACGCTGTGGCTCGCAGAGATTGTAACAACAGTATTTGACGACCCCAGCATCCGGTTATCACAATGGCTGTACAAGAAAACGCTCGCCCCGAGCGAAAAGTAGTGTTAAACCACAGCGTTGAATATCGCATTTGAGGAATTGCCTCGGATAGATTAGTTAACCATCTAAAGGATGGCAAGTAACATAATGCATGTTGCACTATTACTTCTGAAAACAGTAACCAATGAAGTATGCAGTCCACTACATAATGTACACACTCATCATAATTGCCCGGCTAGCAAAGCAGCGCTCAGGGACGCCTTCGAGGGGTTTCTGCGGGGCTCCGGTTGTTAACAATGGGGGGTTGGCTGTTACATTGACAAGTCTGGCTTATACCAATTTGCTTTTACATGTGACGCATTCTTTCTCGCGCGTCGTTGATTGTGATAGAAGGCCATTACCGGAGGAAAGGTCATACAACCGATCATGCGAATGCGGTGATCATCTAGTTATCAACACATTTCACAAGCAGCAACATGCTAATCAGAGGAGTTACGCGACTGTTCTTTCCAATTGCACTGCTCGTCTTCTTCACTCTTGCACAGTTGAAGCGCAATTTGTTCCCGGGTTCGTGGTCAGTTGGATACGGCAGATGGGCAAAAGCAATCGTGGTTCCTCTGAAATTATCGCCAGATCTATCACATTCAAAGTCCGGTCCGGATCTGGATTTGAGCAAAAGTCTTGACGCAGACGATGATGATATTCATCTAGATCTTGAGGAAGTCCCGTTTTCGGATGGGAACTTGGTGCAACCATCAGGACAACAACAACAACAACAACAAGAAGAAGAAGAAGAAGAAGAAGAAGAAGAAGCAGCAGCTGAAATTCTTGGACAGCCACCAGACTCAGAAACAACAGCACAGGAAAAGCCCGGCTATACACACAACACCATTTTCTCTCTCTCAACAGCTTCTGGAACGTACTTCGATATCTCGTTCGGCAACCACAAAACCCTCAACCCGAACATCATCCCACATCCCTCATCTAGCGACAAATGGATCATTGTTGCACAACAGAAGGCCGGAGATGATCAAGAAGGCCGGCATTCAGCTGTTAGTGTCCAGCTAGTTTGCGATGCCTCATTTGGTTCGTCAGATGGTAGTGCGGCAAATGATCGTGATAGCCATTCCTTACCCACGAGCCGTAGCGGCAGCAATAGCGAGACTTTATCGTGTATAACTCCGCCCGCTGTTCTACCCATCGAGGCTACGAGCTCTGGGAACCGTTGCCAGGGTCGTTGGTCTCCGCTAAGTCTGAATATTGGGCCTCACGATGCCCGCCTCTTTTACGGGCCCGAGCTTCCTTATATTATCTACGGATCAAATTCTCACTTCACGTGTTTCGGCCAATGGATGCATGACTTCCGCAAGCTCGTCAGCTGGCTATCATCATCGTCATTCAACGAAGATCCAAGTTCGCAGTCGACGCAGACTGAGAAGAACACCGAAATGTTCAGTGCCGCCGCAGAGTTATACCGCCCGCCTCCCTATGGACAGATTGAAAAGAACTGGTTTATCTTTTGGAATCCGGCCGGTGATGCCTATGTACATTATGATGTGTGGCCACAACGATCATTCGCGAAGATTGAGACAATTCAAGGGAATAAGTTGCTTGTCGACGAATCTTCTGTCAGCCTCACTGTTGGACCAGATCTGGCATTTCTGGCTAGCACAAGTGATATGACATGCATGGATAGATATATGCCTCAAGTACGGGATAAATCTGAGGAGTTCATTCACCAAGCCACCAACTCTCTCTCCATAACTCTATGCAAACGCTCAGAGCCAGACTGCCAGCCCACCGACATGAATACTTTTATTTTCACCATCTTTCAGAAAAAGGCGCATGTCGGGTTTGGTGCGAGCTCGTATGAGCCGTACGTCATGCTCTTCCGTCGTACGGCTCCATTTGAGATACATAGTATATCAACAAAGCCATTCTGGATACATGGCCGAAAGTCGTCGCTTCAGGAAGAAGGCACACACGAGATGATATATATCACCTCGATGAGTTGGAAGAGCCATAGACAAAAGTACCATGGTTATAGTGACGATGTGCTCTTTCTCGCTTTCGGTATCGATGATTCCCGAACAGCAGGAATTGACTTTACGGCGAGTGAGCTGTTAAAGGACATGGGCCTCTGTATGAACAGTTTATTAGATCCTGGCAAGTCATATATAGGGTTGGCGTAAAGAATGACAGTAAGATTTGTATATATTTGGTTTTCGTGGCACTCCACTATGGTCATGTTTTTTGTAAGGTTATATACTATCCACACGGAGTTACTCTAGGTACAATTGATACACACCAACTTCGTCATTTGCATGGGCGGTGAAAAGTATGGCGAACGGACTGAAAGGAGTGATGGCAAGTAAATATTTCGCTAACTGCTTGCTTACAATAGGGTGTTAATCCTATCGTTCGCCCTGAAGTGCAAGACCTATTCGATGATAGACGTGGTTAAGCTATCAGTATTACGGAGAGAAGATCATGAACACCAAGTAACACCAAAGAATTCTTTGACAAATACTATACTTAAGTTCCTATGGGCTCTTCGAAAGTCAGATCAGACCAAGACAGGCAGAATAATGCCTTCTGAATATTGCATTCCGTGCCTTCAACTATAATGGGAAGCAGTGGTGGAATTTGTTCACCCGGTCAGTGGATGGCTCATTCTGGGAACGGAAATGAGGAGCTAATCGGATTGGTCAGTGGTGGGAAGCCTGAGGAGAGAAGCCACCGTTGTGGAAGCCTTTAGTGGGAGATAAACAGATCTCTAATGAGAAGAAGAAAGAATCAGACCTGGCAAAGCTTCAGTTAATGGATTGCGTAGTAGATCCTAAAGGAGGTGGATACTAGGTTCAACACGATGCAGGTAAGTTTCCAGGACTCAATCGATAATCTGACCAGACGACAAGTATCGCCAATATCGACATAGCGTAGCCAAGTCCCATAACTGCTCAGACTGGCCAGCCGGGTTCTTTCCCAGATAGTTTAGATAGCACTCAATGGAAATCGTTCCCCTCATTACGAAGAAAATACAAAGACGAAGCAGTACACCGTGCATACTAGCAATTATAGTAGATTGTTTTTGCTAATAATCCAAAGGACGTAAGCTAGTCTGTAAACCCATTCATTCGGAATGAGCTATGCTAAGGCTAGAACATTGCAAAAGAGTTGGAAGGAAATAACATTACTCAGTCTTGGAGTATAAAACAAGAATCAAACCCGAAATTAGCGAGATAGATCAAGGAGAAAACTTCAACTTTAAATCAAATTGCATCAATCCTTTCGTCACTCAACTAAAGAGGCCAGCATGACGTCTCAGGCTGGGAAGAAAATTCCGGTTCAGGCTCATCGAAGAAAGCTTGGAAAGAAGGTGCTTCTCTAAAGGCATCCGTCGATTCATAGTCCTCAAAGGGATCTGGGAAGTATTCGTTGGAGGAAGCTCGTTCGCTCTTCATGTATTCCCTTGCTGCATTAATCAGAAGGCTGACCCAGGGTTTTACATCTTCGTAACGAAGATCCTTCCAAAAATCCCAGAATCCATTGCTCGGCGAGGGATTCGAAGAGGAATCATCATTTCCAGTTGCCTGCCGTGCGTGCTGATTCTGGTCTTGTGTCTGATCACTAGAAGGGGAATCATCACTAGGCGGAGTTGTGTTCCCTTCGTCATCTTCATCATGGTGAGAGTCGGCGGGGCCGTTGTCAGCCATGTGTCCATGCCTCAACCACCTGCCGGCGTGCGTTTGATCAACGGTGGCCCCGGAAGCGATTTCGATGTAAGCCTGAAGCTTCAGATTTGTAGGATTTTGGTAGCGGGCCATGATCTCATGCTGTGCCCGGGAAGCTCGATCTTCCCGGTCGTTGATAAGATGCAATGTTTCATACCGACCTGCAGATTTCTGGACCAGTCCATGGTGATAAATCTTTGCTCCGCCGGAGAACAAACAAACGCACAAACAACTCATCTTCACACCACTTTTCAACTAGGGATAGCTTATCTTGAATTCCATATTCATTCAACCCGTCCCGTTTTGTAGTGACTACCGTGACGTTGGGCATGTAGTCTCGACCGCAGAAAAGGAAAAGCCAAGTGAGAATCTTGCAGGCTTGTGGTGTGATACGGGTTTCCTTTACTTCGTCTACGTATATCACACTACGGAATACAGTATAGGTATGAACTATGGACAGGGCTGTCATGAGCCTGTAGAAAATATCCCAATCGTCAAAGTCAACCGTGTTGAAGCCAGGCATGTCGAGGAATAAGTATCGCTTGCCTCCAATGACTACCGGGACAAGACTGGTGGTCTTTGTGCCTATTTTTCCTTAGTATAACGAATTTTGAAGTAAACGCAATAAGAACACACTTACCAGACTCGAGAGTCGAGCCCACATTCACATTTTCTCCTGTAATTGACTTGATATATGATGATTTCCCAACCCCTCCAGGACCAGTGACAATGATCAGATCTGCTCCAGCACTAAGGTGACTTTAAGTATAAAACCATGCATGTCAAATTTATCTGTGAAAGCTTACTGTTGGTTCAAGAATTTTTGAACTTTGTCAGTGAGTTTGTTACACACTTGGTTTGAGAAGCGTTTCCATCCGTTGCCAATGGACTGTAGAGAGGTTGCAGATAAGCTTGACATTGTGAATAAAGATATTGATCAAGTGAAAATAACAAAGTAACAAGACGGCGTTGTGAAGTTGGGTTGAAGGTCACAAATCAATGCCGGAATTCTTTTGCCTGCTGGTCTTTGAACACAAGAATATTTCAGAAAGATCAAAACATGGAACTTCGGGTGGGAGACCACAGGTCTTTTACAGACAGAATCTCCTATTAGGAATATGCTGTTCTTGCTGGTGACTCTCGCTGATAGACCTGTGTGCCATACTGCAAAGCGTATATTGCTTCTATAGAACCTACCTAGCAAGAGTGCGCAGTAGCTTGGTAGTATTTTAGCTACTGCCAATAAAATGCCACCGGGGTCCACGCGAACGCTCCGAGTCAAGAGCCAAGTTTGAGTCTTCGTGCAGCAACAGGGGTATGCATTTGCCACGTCAGCACTGTTGTCTCGATAGGCTGTGTCAATTCAGAGATTCAATGTCTTACATCATCCAAGATACCAGCTAGTTAGTTAGTCTATTGGCTAAAACCTGCCCTTACTCCCGAAGGAATAAAGATGACAGAAGCCCCTATTTCAGAATGACTTCTGATCATTGAATTTATTAAATTTAACAGTTGCCTTCGCATTACGAATGGAATTAATTGAATCATTCTTCTAAGCATACGCTATTCAACCAGATTCAAGGGGGAAAAAAAAGAAAAGAAAAAAGGAAAAATGGTTGATTTTAGATCAACGCAAAGTACCAAGGTGAATCTCTCCGAGATTGTGCGACTTTACGTTATCGAAAATTGGACACTTGATGAGGTTATGTTTGAGATGGAGCAAAGATTCTCGCAATCTAAATCCAAGCTATCGTAAGTAGCAGCCATTTATGTAGTGAGGAAACAATCACTCATGACATATTTAGAAAAGACGGCTGGAAAAGATTTCTGAATACCCAAGGTATCTTTAAGAACTTTTCAGAACCGGAATTGTTATTTATAAGGGCAAAGCTTCGCCAAACACAAGATACTTGGAGCTGCCCAGTTTTTGCAGATGATGTTCTCCAAGACAACAACAAAGTTAGGCAGAACTACGAGAGAAAGAGGCAACAAACATCCAAGAACATAGCAGAAGCTCACAGACGAATCACATTCTTTCATCTACCCTTTGATTTGAAAAACACTATGCGCGACCCAAAAATCTTCAGAAACTTTCGACGACTTTTATTTTACGTGTGCGTCCGAATGGGCTCCAGACGAGCGAGGGTTGTATGCAAGAAGTGACAAGCTCCGGACTGAGCTGACCTGTCTCAGTAACCTACACAACTTGTCTGTACGTGCTTTGAACCAATTCAAAGAGGGAAAAGAAGACATGGGCTGGGCCATGATGCAGCCTGTATACCAAACTCAGGAAAAAGTCGTGGACATTCGTCACCATCGTCAAATTGTGGATATCTTTGCAATAATACGCTTGTTCTACAAGGACAATTTCGGTGAAATTTGCAAGAAGATGATAAACAAGTTTTCTGAGTTAGCAAGCCCTCTGGCGGACAATGATCTACGAAAGCTCATTTTTGAATCCTGAGAAGACTTGGCATTTGATTCAACGGGTCATCAGTATGTGGCACTTGATCTCTATTGTCGGTACCTGTGGATGTCAAGAGCGAGCCATGGCCAGATCAAAGCCTACTATTCCTACTATCAAGCGAGTTTCCCCAGAGCTGATATAGGTGGATTCTATGATTTATATAGGGGGAAGAGACATTGGATGAGCTTAAAACTATCCTCCGAGAAGTGGATGGAGAGCTGGGATATTACAATCACGAGACCTTCTGTATATGGCATACCGCAATGAGATTTCTTGAACACGAAAGGAGATATGAAGAAATGGAAAGTCATCAGTCGAAGTTTGTGTGAGCGCTTGGTGGGTCTTGAAAGCGAACTGGATGATCCGAGACAATTGAATCTCGATGCTTCACTATCCTTCTACTTGCTAGGTAAGGCGTATGATGGTCAAGAAAATTGGGCCAAATTATATACATTGTTTTCTGCGACGAGAAAGGGTTGTCGTCAAGGGTAAATGGGACTCAACTCAAGCAGCTGCACTCCACAAGTTGGTGCCTGTTTCACAAAAAGTTGGGTCTTCTGGCTATACCCAATCATTGCATAAAATGCTACATGAATTGCAGTTCATCGTGGAATCATAGAAACTTTAGCACCAAGAACTTTGTCATGAACATGAATTTTTAAGGACATCATAATTTAGAACTATGATGAAATTGATTTGTATAAAAATAGTAGTAGAGGAGCAATAGCACTTCTTCTTTCGACATATAAAACAAGGCTACTATCCTAAATAAACACTCGCGACAGCCACAAATGGAAGTTATCAACACCCAAAACTACGCTCAACAACGACTAGATAGACAAGTTCTTTGCAACTCAGGCTTGTATCTCAATCCAATCGAATTTGCACCATCGCTCGATTTGTTTTAGCGCGTATAAAGTCCGACATGAATCTACATGCTTTGGTGCTGAGAGAGAAATTTTGGGCATTGTGATACACTTTCCTATTCGGGTAATATTTCCTTTTCTAGTTTTAGGGTTAGGTTTCAACAAAACCCTAAGAAGCCCCCGAACCGGGCAGAAAGCACGCGCTTGCTGATGACTGGATTCTCAGGTATTCTCATATTTCAGTCAGCTTAATGCAGGCCTTCCCAACAAGCTATCTAAAAAATAAAATTCAAAGGGGCTGACACGGATCTCCAGTAAGCTGTTTTTGGGAGGGAGATTGCATGACGGCATCGTAGTCAGTGAAATGCCTCTTATGATATGCCTGATGGGGTTGAAATATATGTGCAGCATGTCGGGAAACTGACTGTGATTATGGACATAGTTATCCGAATTCAAGAACTTGATTCTTCTAAATAGCCAAAATCTGCATTTCATCACGGTTGCATTTCATCACGGTTATGAAGCCTACATAGATAGACAGCAACATCCAGTTATCCCTCATAATGAATTGATCATCTCATTCAACTTCGCATAATCAAGTGTCATTTCAAACGAATGAGCCATTCTTCCTTGTGCAAGTCCGTCTCGATTAACGTTTATATTCAGTGATAGGCCATGCCACTGTTGATGGGCATCGCCCAAGATTACTACCATGACGCAAACATAGAAACTGAAACAAAAGCCAAGTTTCCCTGATCCAGCACCTCCAGCTCCTAGCAGGGGCTCGGGAGCCGCAGCGCTGTCCTACATTATGAAAATAGACTAACGTCGCCTAAACTCCAGCAATGGCCCTTCCTTCTCTGAAGCAAAAACGTCATATAACTGATACTCATTTTCTCTTCTTCGCATTGGTTCTTTATCACCCCTATCCCCACCACCTATCCTGGCCAGCTTCGGCTGTGATGGAATCCGGAGATCAGCCAACCACAACAGCCTCGCGAGGGCTAGACTAATTTCAAGATACGCCAGATTGATCCCCGCACAATTTCTGGTACCGTGAGAGAAAGTGAAAAAGGCTGTTTTGGCCTCTGATGATACTGATATAGACCCCTTTTCAGATTTGTATGAAGGCATCCATCGTTCCGGGAGGTAGGAGAAAGAGTCCGGGTAGTATTTCTCATTGTGATGGAGAGCATAGGCTTCGGAAGCAGCCACGTAGCCCTCTGGTACATATATCCCGCACACTATAGCGCCGCCTGGGCCTGCCTCTCGGTATAGAGGGGTTATTACGGGAGCAGACATGCGTAGAGCCTCTTCAATGCAAGCTCGCAGATATTGGCACCCATTCAGGATAGGTCCCATGTGGACATCCTCCAGAGATGAAAACCGAGACCTGATCTCCGCGACAACCCGTTCACATGTACTCGGGTTACGGGATAGATAGAAAAGCGTTGCCGAAATGGCGGTTGCAGTGGTGTCTGATCCAGCGGTGATAAGAGTGAACGCTTCAGCAACAATCTCCTGCGTGCTCAATTTCTCGCCCGTATCAGGATCTGTGGCATTTATAATAGTGGACATCATATCCCGGCGCTCGGGCTCTTGGATACGAGTTTTTTCCGTTTCGATGCGTTCCATGGCCCACCCTCGAAGCAATCCGGCCCATTGTGCTCGCTGGTTGTCCATGTTGCTCAGCGTCCAAGTGCCCAAGTCGAGCCACTGCCCGGATTTACCAGTTCGAAACGCTTCGGGCATCTGGTTTGCCATTCCCATTCGATATCCGGTCGATACTAACATGGGTCGGTACTGTCTGTTGTCGGGCTTGACTAAAGCGTCGGTAGATTGACCAAAAACCAGGTCTGTGATGATATCTAGAGCTAGATAGTTTGCTATCAAACGCATCCATCAGTTATTTATACCACATAAGGAAAAAGCCATTTAACATACCATGAACAGAGAGATCCTTGGGAGTCACCCAGTTCCCATCCTTAGTAGAGACTGTATCCTCACTCAGAAGACCGTCAACAAACCTATCTACATGCTTCAAAATGCACCCCTCGCTAGCCCTCAAAGCGGCCTCTGAGAACCCCTGCGCGACGAGCCTTCTTTTTCTCCGATGCATATTCTTATCTGTCGCATTGAAGACGCTGTGCACTGGATTGAATCTCAGTGCTTCGTAGACCTTGCCTTTGGCGAAATTGGCATTATAGCCATATATTTCCTTCATTCCATAGACATCATTGACGAGAATCCGGTCGGGTCCGTAGCGCACAATCGGCCCATATTGAAGATGTAAGCGGTGGATGGCCAGGTGGGTATCCTGGAGCCAGGCGTGGTACAAACCATATACATCAGTCAGTCGTGCAAGCAGCGGACCAGGAACATGCGCGAATGGGTGTAGAAAGAGCCGATAGATGCATATTGTCGCCACATAAATACAACCACTTGTAGACAGCAGTAATAGCAGCGTCAGTAGATTGTGAGGCTTGATAAAGCTAGACGAGGCTGCAGAGACGCTGCTGGCGCTTTTGTCCATGGTGTTCAAGGTTCACTTGACGAATATGTGTCAGTGGCGAGGTGGTACCTATGGCTGAAGATAGATATAGGTAAAGTATATGAATTATAACATGCCCAATTCTCCAAAAATCCAATCTACCATCATTCTGTGGTTGCAGTGCTAAATGCACTTAATTCTGACGTGCGCTCGCCGTTTCCTCGTCTTCATAGAAGGATTTGGCCCCCTGTCCGAGCGGGGCTAATATCGTGAGAAGTGCCTGGAAATAGGCAAATATTATAGGCTAGGGTCATGTTTAGGCGCAGCTCGGTAAATAGGCCGTTCCGAGTGGAAGTAATATCATGTCGAGCTCGCTATATGAAACTTGCGAAATCCGGAAGTGAATTGAGGTCTCATATTTAATCATCTTTTTTGTTTGGTGGTGCGCTTGAACAATTGATCAAGAAGAACACAAAATAGAGAAGAAAATATTTCAATATATACATAGAGTGTGCTAATCCCTGAAACAGAACGGATGTACAATGCAAGTCATCATGATGAACCATAACTCATTTCAGAACTTATTCAAAAACCGGGGTATCCCATAAACCAAAGCGCCTGACGTATCTTTGTTCATTTTCATTTTCATTTTCATTTTCATTTTCATTTTCATTTTCATTTTCATTTTCATTTTCATTTTCATTTTCATGTTCATTCTCATTCTTTTTGGAAACGACGTTCCTTTTATCACCATTTATATGCTCCTCGATGCATTATTTCCCTTGAATCAGAACAGTGAACTCCGCTTTTTATTCAACTTGCTCGAATCGCCGTCTTCGGAAGGCTTGAGAAAACCAAAGATACTCTTTTTCGCCTTTAGTCGTGGAATATCTGGTGCAGACGCGGTGGGCCGTTGAGCACCGGCAGCCGCATGAAAGGACATAGATGATTGGGGCCGTAACTGCTGCTGGGATTGATGAAAGTTGACAGAAGAATAATTCCCGCCTGGTGGTTGCATATATGGTCCCAGACTTTGCTGTCGCTGTTGCTGCTGAGTCGGCATGTAGTGGGAATATCGCGCTTGATGACTCGGACTGACTGTAATGGAGGGATTAGCAGAGTGATTCGACTTACGTCGCTGTTGGCGAGTTCTCTGATCTTCCATTCCAAAGACTTTCTTCAGCCTTTCGGTTTCTTTGTCGATCTCCGCTTGCTTTTTGCGTTGCGCCTTCTGCTCGGCTTCGATTAACTTCCTGGTTTTGCGTTCCTCTTCCTCGGCCTTCCGACGTCGCTCTCTTTGCATGACTTCCTCTTGATGCTTTAGTCGGGCATTCTCTGCATCAATTTCCCACTGCATGCGCGGATCGAGGGGTTGACTGCTTGGAGTGGGTCTGGAATCCCGAGTCTGGTGTGACTGGGTTGAAGCGGCATTGCCGTTCGCAAGTGTGGCTGCCGTTGGGTTACTGCCTGGAGCTATAGATGCCGCTGTTGTTACATTCGTTCTTGAAGATGTAGGAGAGCTGACAACATTGAACGCATCCTTCACTGGAGTAAAGTACACATCCCGAATCACAACGGCTCCTAGCATCAACACAAGCTCTAGACCCTTGAAGTCTTCCATTTCTACTCGATAGAGATTGGGTTCATAGAGGGTAATTTCTCGAAGTGATTTGAATATTGAAACAGTAATATCTGGCTCCTTGTTTTTCTTCCGACCATCTGGAGTAGTGGTCTTTCCCGACAGATAGCAAGCAAAATCTTTAGACAGCGAGCCGTCCTTCCGCCATACAAATTTGAGCTTGGGTGTCACGTCCGACATCGCAGGGCCCGTTTGTATTTGATCCAGCGTGGAACTAGATGGCTGTTTGAATGACTGCTGCGGCATTTCGAATTCCCACGACGGTTGCGAATTCCAAGTTTTGGGCTTGTGGCGCACTACGACGTCTTGATCGGGATTGTATAAATGGATGATGAACTGGGACGGTAGAATCGGTTCAGGCGGAGGAGCTACGCCGCCATTCTGGCGAATTGCCTCCGCCGATAAGCTTGGCTGAGTCCATTCCGGGATAATGAGAACCTCGCCGTATAGCACGTCGGGGATGTAGGGGTCGTAGAGAGCGACGGCATAGCGATTTCGGGAACTGGGTTGGGCGGGATCAAGGCAACGCAGTGAGTATGCAGGCTCAGGCTCGTTGCCATACTGTGTGAATAGGACGTTGACGTTGTTGTTGGATTTATCTTTTTTGTTGCTGCTTAAGTAGAAGGCTAAGAGGCACGGGCATTAGACTGCGAACATTATAGACTAGGGTGACGTGAACGTACTTGGGAGATTTTCGTCCAGCATGATGAGCGTGAAGCGGCGGCGTCATTAGGAATACAATGTCGATCAAGGAGGATCTGAAGACGAGAACGATGATGGGACGTCGTCGTGGGAAATTACAGCCTTATGTTTGAGGCCTCAGAAATGCGGAGAGCAAATCTTGGCGATCCCTGCGCCACAGTCCCCACCGGGCTATTTATAGTATCTATTCTATCTGCAGTGGGCTCGTTTATTATACTATGAGTATACAAGTTATATAGTAAAGAAAAGATTCTAAAGATAAGCTTGTTTGACAAAACCTCTACTGCACGTGCCTATGACAGCAACGACAACCCTCCCGCGGACTCTTTGATACCAAGTACGACAGGAGAAAACACAACGGACACCTCATGCATACCATAGCCTAGGCATTTAGATTCAGGCATAATGGGGCATTGCAAAGGTTAGCTAGGCAGGGACATACACATTGAAATGCTGCTGCCTGTACGGTATCATGCCATTTATGGGCATTGAACAACAGACATGGTGGATAGCAGCGCCATCTCTCTTGGCTCAAGAGAGGTAAATCGCTATTGCCTGCACACCAGCCTGCTTAAACCCATCAATCTCTGTTGCACAACAATAAACTGCTGCCTTGGTCTATCTAGTCAGTCTAAGTATCCAAAAAAAAACACATCTATCTGGATGCATGTTTAGTCGTAAATCACAAACTCAGAAACGGCAAAGAAATATGGAGTCGAGAGAATGAATGGTGTAGGAACAAAGTGAAAGATATCTATACGCGACTGCCGTCGACTTCCTGACCCTCGGGAACTTTAGCATTCTCGCGTTCTTTTGAACTGGGCTGCAATCCTTGTTTTTCCCAGCCGTCGAGTCCCTGTTGGTAATACACTTTTTGGTCTTCGCGGGATGGCGCCTCGGCGCTCTTTCCGCGACGCTTTCGGGATTCTGGAGTTTCGATAATTGTGGCATCATCACCATCGTCTAGTTTCTTGCCTTCAATGTCCTCGGTGTCAATGGTATCGGAGAAAGTGTACGAGCGATACTCCGTGTTGAGCCAGCCGGTGCCTAGTATCGAAACCCGTGTCAATGACATCGTCCATACTTTATTTCTCATTGGGTGGGGGGGGGGACACTTTAGACGACATACCTTGGTAAAGACTGCTATCTTCCCAGTCTTCGGTCAAATAATGAAGCAGTCCACCGTGCGTGACCAGGATGATTTGCTTCTCCGGACGAGCTTTGAGCCATTGCCGAACCTCACGGGCGCGATTTCTAAGAGCTCCAATCTGGGGGGCCCATTTGCCTTGCTGTAATGCAAGAATTGAGTCAGATGATCTGCTAGTTCTAGTTTCCTCCCAAAGGAAAGAAAAGACGGAATAGGGATGATACCTTGCTATTCCATCCTTCATGCACCAGGGAGATATCAACCGGCAGACCACGATCAACAAACTCTTTCTGCAGCACGGCAGGGTCACTTCCAGTATCACAGGGAACGTCGCTTGTCTCCTGTGCCTCGGGGATGCAAATGAGCTTTAAATCCTTATGGCCAGAAAAGACAGGCTGGAAGCTGAGCAGAGCAGTATGAATGGTTCGGCGCAGGGGAGAGGCAGCGACCAATTCGATCTGAGAATGGTATGGAAAGCTCTCTTGGAGTTGCGCGCATTGCTGCTCTCCTAGTTGCGTGAGTTCTGGGTCGGGAAGAGTGTGGTTTGCGGTTGTGAGGTTGTGGTAGCCCTGCAGAGCAAGAAAGATTAGTTAGTAAAGGCGTTCTCGGAGAATAGTAAGATGGTGCAATTGGAGGCCTACTTGAGCGTGTCGCACTAGATGCACGATCGGAGGCATGGCGGATAGCTAATCGATAAGTCGGCGCGGGGTATGGACTATGGCGTGGCGGGGTCAACAACTATGAATTGATTGTTTGACACGAGAACGTTGACTGAAGGAAAGGATGACAGAGAACGGATGGAGGAGAATCCAAACTTTGCTTATGGTTCCTGAGAAAAAAGGCAGCGGCATGACGATGATGAGTCAGGAACACGTGCCAAGTTAGTTAGATTACTAACTACGGAATCAATTATCAACCTCCCTCGTTTCTCTGGAGAATCACGCATTGTTTAGTCGTCGATTTTGGTACTTGATGTACCAGATGAACCGCCTAGAGCTTCCATGAAGCGCCACATCGATTGTTCCTGGCCATCCATGGCCATAATGGTATCGTTCATATCAGCGATTTGCTCAGCTAGCCTGTCGTCATTGAAAGTGTCGGGAGTTATATACCTAGGTACGGATGGGTTTTCTCTATCCAGCTCAGTGGAATTGGTAAACGTGTACCTGGTAGTATTGATGCAGCCTTGTTGGTGAGAACTAGCGCAAGTTCCATTCATGGCAATTTATCAATATTGAACACAGTAATCTGGCAAGCCCGAATCTTCTGGAAGTGCACACAAGCAGTTTTATTTCTGGAGTCTATTCAATAATGATCGACGTGTATGTTCTTCTCGTCTCTCGGTGCTCGAATTGCCTCGTCAACAGCAGTGGCCAGATTCAATAGGCGCTCCTCGCCAAGTGGCTGACCGACTAGTTGCAGACATACAGGCATGTATTTCTCGTCTCGAATGTCAATCGTTGTGTCAGCAGTGGTGATTGGGAGAGTAGTCGAGTAGCTTGTACACAGACGTCCTCTGAACTGCATCGAGGTAATACCTCTGCGCCGCTGCTTGCCACTTCTCTGTCAATTCCCACAGAAGTTCATGGCGCATGCGGCCACCGCGTTTCGCAGAAGAAAGAAGTCTAGACACATCGCTATCAAATACGACAGGTCTGTGATTAGCACAAAATTGGGCTGGTGGAACTGGACGGGCAGGAAGTATTTGAAGTAATACTGAAAGAGAAAAGCTGGGTCAACGTCTAAATCTCCGTTAGAGCAAGTAGCGATCAAGCTTGCAGTGTGGAGAAACGTTGGGCTCAGCGTAGGTTCTGGGAAAGGACTGCTGCCACCATCGCGTCGACGCCGGGCGATGCGATTAGGAGAAGGCCACGTGCACTGTAGGTTGCGGCGACTACATGCACGGCAGACGGGTTTCAGCTCGTCACATTTCTTGCGACGTTGACGACCTACAGCGCGATCAATTTATCTGTGATAAGAATACGTTTAATATATCAATATTGAATACAGTAAGCCCGAGTCTATGAATATAGTCACTTAGTTACATGTGCCTGTCGCACGCAAGGGACTTTATATACCCAGTATACCCGAAAGATAATGAGAAAGAATAGTATCTCATCTAGAAATTTCCAAATCCGCGCGAGTTCTTCAATGCCATGTCGAGATTCTTTCGTAGAGCTGTTTGACCAGTATACTCTGGTAAGAGGAGCCGGCCGTAGCACGTGTAACTTGTTGGGAGACGCTATAGGAAAAAATGGTATATCAGCATCCACCGTAGTTTCAAATATATAATAATGGCAATGAAAAAAGGACGGGAAGAGCAACTTACATCGTCCCCAGTCCCATTTCTCTGAATGACGAAGTTGATACTGGAGATTCCGCTCACAGGAATGCGATCACTGGCAGTGACAAACTCGAGCAGCCGGGCCTTTTGCTCTCGCGAATAGTTCTTAACAATCTTCCAAAATTGCACAATGAGAGGGTGGCCCGCGTCCCAGCCTCCGTCATAGGTCGCATGGCGCTGGAGTTCATACATGTCAATCTCCTGTGTGCCTTCGATCATGGTTTGGAGTGTCTCTGGCGTGAACATTGAAAGGGATGAACGGTCAATGCAAGTAAAGAAACCCCGGGCAAATGCTTCGTATTGCGGACGAATTGATTTATCAGTTAGCCAAAAAAGGTAGTCTTTGACGTATCGCTCGCGGTTTTCATTGGTAACGAGACTGGATCCTTCTGCATCTTTCAGTGCGGACGCGTTCAGAGAAGTATTGTAGTCGGTACCTTTGAGAACGCCGGTTTGAAAGGATCTGATATTACCGTGGACTTCTGGTTGTTCTGAAAGCTTCAGTTCACCATTAGGGACAATTTCTTGAGCGCTAGTTGAGTATTCAGAGAAACTGCTGCGTCTTCGCTGCCGACTTTGAATTCGCTCCACCACCGGCCAGTCTGCGTCTCTACCGACGCGTTCCATATCAACCGTCTGCACACAACCGAGGGCCTCGAAGCTGAACTCGTAACTTCTCATAAAAACATCTTCAACATCCCCTTCACTCCAAGTTAATAAACTCTCCAATCCTTTAGCAAGGTCCGGCCAACCATCGCGGATATCATTCGTGTGCTTGATTTTAAGATTAAGGAGTTTCAGATAAAAGGCAATTGGGAACGTGACTGGAAGCGTAAGGCCGTTGTATACCGCCAACGACATCAATATTCCCACGAGTTCGAAATGCTCTAGGCTTTCAAGCGAGCATGGCTGAAACCATGTCATACGAGTGACCGGGTCCACGGTGAACATTCCATGCTCGGGGTCAAGCGCCTGCGCAAAAGCCAAGGTCATAAATTCTTGCTGGACACCACCGATGTCAACTCCTTCTTCGCCTAGATCCATTCCCATCTTGACTTTGAGGGGCCGTAGAAGCTCTCGTCTTTCTCGACGCCATATTTGATTGAAAGCATCTAGGAGCACGAAATCGCGTCGCACAGAAATGACAAAGTACTGGTTCATAGATGTATGCAGTCGGGCTAGCAGATTGATTTCGTCTGCAATCTGGATGGTTCGGTTGAAAGCCGTCCGGCTTGCCTGCCTTTGCACAATCATACCCGCCTCATATGCCTTTGACATGGCTGCGTAATTGATAGCACGAAAGTATTTCACAAGCGCAGCAGGAGGGAAAAGAAATGCGAAGGACAAGAGATGCAATGTTTTGTTGTTTGAAACTCTAGTAAGCCACTCAACAGGCATGTCCATCGCGTCAAGTCTCTCTGACAGGAAATTCGTATAGAAAGCATCAGCTTCAAGACCTAGCCGTTTTCGATTCTTATACATTGACGAGAGGATTTGAACCGCGCCCCCTGTTGCCTCAGACCTTGCAATTTCCGGCTTGCCATCCCATTCCTTGAGGAACAGAGTACGAAGCCATTCGATGATCACGGCTGCGGCGACTGGTGTATCCATGGCCACGGGCCCGGTCTCTTGTCCAATATCTTTCTTCAAGATTTCAGTATGCTGGCGCAAATTTTCAAAGAGAAGCTCTAAGACGCTTTGATCGCGTCGTTGTTTGGTCTCTACGCTTGAAAGTGTTTTGGCTTTTGATATCTCGTAAAACGCTAGGCGAGCAGTAAGAGCGCGCACCAGGCGGTGAACGAGTCGCAAAGCTAGATCATGTTCAAGCTTATCGGTGACATTCACGAGCAATCCTGTGTTTTGAGCAGGCAATTTCTGTATTTGCGAGTCGGGCAATACCGTTCCCGCCTCACGTATTTGCTGGATGCCTCGCCAGGTTTGCGAATCAACTTTGGGTAGGAACGTTATCAACGTAAAAAAGACGACGGTAAGCATATGGGCTGCATCAGCATCGGAAAGGGGCTCGTCTGACGTTGACGACTGTATTGCATTGGGTGAAGAACATTCTATCGCGTACTGCGACATGCGTCGACTATATTTGAACACGGTCGGCAGATCTCTAGGGGGTACAAATAATTGCTCCAAGGAGTTCCATAGACTGTTTAAAACCAAGTCCCAAGGGCAAATCTCCTGAAGTTTCCGAAGAGTGTATTCTAATGTTCGTAAATCAACAGTGGTTTCGTCCTCACTGAGATGGTGTGAATTTGGTGACAGCGGCAATTCGCGTCGGAACGATTTGAGCAAATGTTGGCTGTTGCCTAATCCGTAATATACAGATTGTGCGATAAATGGGAATACTTCACGCTGGCGATGTGTCGCATAGCGCCACTTGTAGTTTTCGTGTCTTCCTTGTATATTCATATTATCAACCTCCTCTTTCCATCTCTGGGCATCTTCTTCATTCTCAGCTAAAAGCTGGGACAGCCCATCCACTATGTCAGCACTTAGATGACTGACTGTATCAGCTGATGATGGTGGATTGGAAACATTATGCATAATGGGTGGCTTTTGGTTTGACTCTTCCAGAGCAGGAAAATATGTGGTTTGTTTGCTTGGTTCTCGAGCATCATCGGCAAATTCCGAGATTTCAGACGCTTCTTTAAGGACTTTTGATCCGTCCCAAGAAACACGTCTATTTTGCCTTGGTTTTGATGCGGGCTCAGTCGTCTTTTTGTGACCTTTCTCCGCTCGGTGTTTTAGCACTGGAGGTGGTGTAGGAATATTAGTCTGAGGAAGGGGTTTGGAAGGCGTAGACTTCGAGGATGTAAGACGGCCACTTTTCGACTTGTTTTCGGTGCAAGACCGTGGTGTTTGCCTCCATGTTTCCGTTTCTTCTAATGCAACGCGCTTCACGGACTGGACCGTGGACTTCAAGTCTGATGTGGTGTTTTGAAGGCGTTTCGGAAGACCCGAGGGCGTTGGCGCTTCATTTGCCGCATTATTGCTAACAGAATGAATTTGCGCTTTCTCCGTCTTGTTTATATTCTCATCGTTTGAGCCAAACTTGTTATGTTCTTTGCTACCCTCCGAAAGTAAGTGGCTTCTATACGGGCGAGCGGACGTGGGACTGGCACAATCAGGGATGTCGGCAGTGGACTGGCGTAATGGTAGCCACTCAACCATTCTTAAGGATAATGTATCAAAGAGGTTCTGAGTGAAGGACTTTGGATCTTTTGTCCTCGGGAGTCCAGACGGCAGTGATTCTCGAGAAGATTGTCCAGCCCTCTCGCCCGGGGAGGTACAGGGCGCGGGCGAATGCCGGGGGGATTCCGTACGTCCTCCATGGTGTGGGGATGCTGGCTGCTGTTGTTGCCTTCTCTCTGGACCATATGCACGATAATCAATGTGCGGAGGGTGGCGAGTCGGCGAGAAATCAGCAGCCGGCCGAGATGGGCTGCGGCAGAGCGCCTTTTCTGGGTTATCCTGGCTGGCTAAATAGCATGCCAGTGTACGTGCGCTGAGGTCCGTGTACGACCGGAAGGGTCCTTCCGCGACTCTTTTCTGATAGTTCAGACAAGTCGGGGTTCGGCAGTTAGGATTCTCGCAACCGTGGAGGATCTGGTGTTTGTATCTATGTAGCAGAAGTCATTAGCGCGGGCTTCGATTGAGTCAACTTAAAACACATGCACCGACCTGCGGACTAAGCTATTGAAGTTCCTGCGACGATCATCTTTGTGATGGATGAGAATCTGGGCAGGATCTTCCACAGTGATGGTGTGCTTGACAATTACGTCTGGAGAGCGCGGCGGTAGCTTGGAGCGGCGAGAGATTCGCCGAGTATCCCTAGAATCGAGAGAACCTCCCCTCATATTGGTCATTTTATGCGATCGGTTTCATCATGGGAGTGCCTGGAAAAGCCGGTTACGAGAGATGAGGGAAAATTATCGCTAGAGACTGCAATGTTGACAATCAAGTCGACATTCAAATGCTGAACGTGACTTCGGAGTCCGGACAGCCACTGACGAATACGGCAAGGCGCCACGGCCGCGGACCCACACTGCTCCTTTCAGGTTTCAGCGTTCCTCCGGACTAAATCAGACCAGCTACTTTGCCAGGGTCATGTCAGACGGTATGACTTAAGGGCATTTATATTACATACATGTGTGTAGCTATTGGGGATAGAAGCAACAGCCTCAGACACGGTTTCTAAAGCCCTGAAATTACCCGTGTACAACGATAAGCCTTGTACGCGCTCAACAAACAATCAAGCTCGGCAGATATAGCGGTGTCATCCTCAACATACCGCTTCTGCTCCGACATGTATTGGATAGCTGTTTGGAGGTTGTAATAGCAGCAAACCGGGATGTTGTCGCCAGGGCTTTTATCAGAGTTGCGTATAGCGTCAATTACCATCTTGCAGGCCGAGTTAAGGGCAACTTGGGACAAGGATCTCGCGTGGCGTTCATCTTCGTTCTGAGGGCTAGAAAGGGCATCAAGTACAGCCTGGTGAAGTAAGAAAAGCGCCCTAGCAGTTCACCATTAGCCTAGAGTCACCTAATTATGTAGTAGAGATGCTTGCCTGATAGATAGAGCCACCGATGTGCACAGAGGTGTTATATTCCTGCGACTCTCGTCCATTACCACTGCCAGAAAATCACGGACCTGGCTGTCTGCTTCAATAAGTTTGGAGACCATGTTTTGGCTACGCTTGAACGCAGCGCGCAATATACATAACACTCGGTCTAGTAGAGCGACTGCCTGTGCCTGGCGCCCGAACATACTAATATTCGTAGCATATAGACATGACAAAGTGGCTGGGTTTGGGGCGGTGCTCTCGAGTGGCTGCACAAGTCGAATATCTGAAGGGAGTCGAGAAAGTTGATCGGGAAGTTCTGTCAGGGGCGACAAAGGTCTTTGATCCAGTTCAGCCAGTATAATTCTGGGCACTGCGTCAGTAACACTTCATAAACGCATCCCCATTGCGCTTTAAGCGTTGCGCATACCTCTCTGTCATCGCGATTGCCCACACCACATTTTCTTTCTCTATCTGTACTAGATCAGTACCGCCATCTTCGCGAGCGCCTTCAGGCGTGCTCAAGATCCACTTTCCGATGCCCAGAACTTGGGCTAGTCCGGAACATGTACTCGTTGAAATATATGCAGCTTCTGGGCGCAGACAGATATATTCACAGGTAGCAATGAGCAGTAGAGCCTGTATTAGGGACAGAGACGTGCAAATTGTAGTCTGAGCTTGGGAAAAGAGCGACTTGGTTTTGGCATAGAGTTGCTTTCGGCTCAAGCCAGACAGATGCGAGGGATGGTATGGATTTGATAGCACAGTTGCAAGGTGCATAGTTAATAGTAGGATAGCGAAGTCGGCGGGTAGACTGTCACCTCTGAGTTTATACCTTGACATCCTCTGGTTGAAGAGCTTGGGTGCAATAATAGGACATCGTTCATGGAAGGTCCGGAAATAGCGCTCGCCGACATCCTCTGGGACGAGATTTGCAATACCAATGATATCAAGCACTTGTTGGCTGAGTGATTTGTGATGGACAGTGGACGGAATCTTGTGTTGGAGCGACTGGTCCAAGGAGCTTAAGACATCAATAGCTACGAAATGCCTACCAGGATTGTATGCGCGATGGGCTTTTCTCGAACGTGCCTTTAGATCGTAGCGACATGACAAATTGCGTTTGGCACAGAAGCCACAGGATGGTAATGCTTTGTCACAAGCCTTCTTCCGCACGTTGCACGCATTGCAGACGAAGGCCGCGCGTCTGGATTCGGGAATGCTGGAGCTGGGCATGGTACGAAGTTGTAGTTTCAATATGGTTCGAGTCTTGGAAGTTTCGGCAGGCGGCCGCGGCTTACCCTTTATGTATAGACACGAGGTGCTGCCTGAGGATCCACCGCAATGCACTGTCGGCCGGCGCTTACTCAATACGGTAAATTATTTCTTTACGCAAAAGAGTCCGGCATCAACGATGAAACCACAACACAACGTGGAAGGCGAGTGATTACAAATGGCTCTCGGGGTTTTGCATTATAAATAAAGGGGCTGCTGTCCTCAGGATTCCCAGTCCATCTCATTGCATCTACAAGCTCGTCATATATCCTTCTGAACACCAGTCAATCAATCCTATCGCGACAATGACTTCTGGACCAGAGACCACCGCTCAACTGCAGTGCTTGCAGAAAGGCGGCCCCTTCCAGATCGTACGCGTCCCCAAGCACACCATCGCAACCGATGAGGTACTCGTCCGCCAGCGTGTAATTGCTCTCAATGGCCTAGACTACAAACAGCGTGATCTAGGATTATTCATCGAGCGCTGGCCGCACGTGCTTGGCATCGAAGGTGCCGGCGTTGTTGAGGCTGTCGGATCAGAGGTCAGGGGCCTGCAGCCAGGGGATGAAGTCACAGGATTTATGGCTGGAAGAGCACACGGCAAGAGCTGGGGTGGTGCGTACCAGGAACATGTCGTAATGCCAGAACGCTATCTGGCTAAGAAGCCGAAAAACATCAGCCTTGAAGAAGCTGCGTCTTTGCCGTAGGTCTGCCTTATGTGGAAACAGAAGTCGAGACTTGCTAACTGTGCCCAAGAATCTGCTACAACGTCGCTTTCTGTGCGCTTTACCTCACGGGGGTTGACATTGCGATTCCGAAATTCCATTCATCATTGGCAGAGGTACAGCGCACACCAAAGTCCATTCTGATCCTCGGCGGTAGCTCAGCCATTGGTGCTAGTGCAATTCAGCTGCTCCGGTTGACATATCCTACGCTACCCATCTTTGCGACAAGCTCGCAACAACATCACTCTCATCTTCTGTCCATCGGTGCAACAGCAATCTTCGATTACCACTCTTCGACTGTCGCATCGGACATCAAAGCTGCGTCACCAGAGTCTCGGGGGGTTGACATGATCATTGATTGCGTGGCCTCGGGCGCGACCCAACTGGACATCTGCGATGCGCTCGACCCCGCTGGACTCATGAAATATGGTTTGATAGTAACGGGCGTCGATGTGCCGGTGCCAGAGGGAGTCAACAAGATCATGTGCGGTGGATGGGCGCTAACGGAGATGCCGAGCCGAGACGTCGTCATCCCAGCACTCACAGAGTTGATAGAAAGTGGCAAATATCAGGTGCCACTGCCAGTGACGGTGGTTGGGCACGGCTTAGAGCAGGTAAATGAGGGTTTGGAGAAGGTCAAGAGCGGTGTGAGTGGGACGAAGCTGGTGGTGACTTTGTAGAGTTATCTCACCCACATTGCAATTAGGAAGACGGATAGATAGAAAATGATGTCCACAACTAGTCACCATTGGGAATAGTGGCAGTCTTCAGCAAACTCTTGCGTCTTTCGATATTGCGATTCCCATTGATCTTTGAACGCAATCCCGGTATGTTTCTCAGTGTCATTTTTGCATTCTCCACACCACACCGCCTTTTATAATTTAACCGGCAAAATAACTGTAAAGTCTTTTATATCTTATCTTATCTTATCTCTCGTGCCTTCCGCCACTCGTGATCTCCCCCCACAACGCGCCAGAAAAATAAAATCGCTGTAGCCGATGCTTACCTAACGTAGAACTCGCAGGAATTTCCTAATTTCAAAGCAAGCACGCACGCCTCTCGATCTCGCTTTTGTCCAGATAATCCAAAATTCGGCGCTGTGCTGTTAAACAGATACTGTCCTTTTTCTTTGCTCTCGTGAGCGCCGCCTGCCGCCAGTTATCACCGCCAGCCTCGACTACCCCTCCTCCGTCATACAAAAGTTTCATCTCATACAATGGCTTCAGTGGGAGACTCTCTTCCCTACACCTGCAACGCATGCTTGGTAGCGTTTCGCACCAGTGATGCGCAAAGGGAGCATATGCGCAGAGATTGGCAGTAAGTTTCGCCCTTCACTTCAGCGCTTATCGTCATGGGCTTATTACCAATGCATTTGGTTGCTACTAGTTTGTACAATGTCAAGAGACGTGTTGCCTCTCTCCCGCCAGTCTCCCAAGAAGTCTTCACAGAGAAGGTCTTGACAGCCAGAGCCTCCTCCTCGGCCGCCGCCGCTAAAGCCTCATTCGAAAAAACATGTGACGCCTGCCAAAAGACGTTCTACAGCGAGAACTCGTATCAGAATCACATCAAGAGCTCCAAACACAAGCTCCGTCAAAGTACTTTGAAGAAAAAGGGACTTGCTGATGACTCCTCGTCCGTTATAAGCTCGGCATTCTCTCTTGGTGATCCTATCAGCAAGTCCGTGTCGGGCGAGACCGCATCGACCGTTTCTCATGTTACAAATAAGTTGAAGAATACTGCCATTCAGGAAGAGGAGAATGAAGATGAGAATATGGAAGAGGGTGGAGAAGAAGACAGTGCGAAGTATTCTGTGTCAAGCTGCTTGTTCTGCTCTGAAAATTCAGCCGATCTGCAATCAAATGTCGATCACATGTTCAAAGTCCATGGCATGTTCATCCCAGAGAAGGAATACCTCGCAGATCTTGAAGGGCTTGTTCGCTATCTTCATGCAAAGGTTAACGAAAATCACGAATGTCTCCATTGCCACGCTATTAGAACTACGGCCGCTGGTGTCCGCACGCATATGCGCGATAAGGGTCATTGCATGATTGCATTTGAGACCGAAGAGGAACAGATTGAGATTGGCCAGTTTTACGACTTTAGAAGCACGTATTCTGATGGCGAGGATGAAGATGAAGACATGATAGATGACGAGGGCGGTGTGCCAGTGACAAGCTCAGACGCTGATGAAGAGGGATGGGAGACCGACGACAGTTCAGCAACTTCAGTGGAATCCGACAGAGAACAGAAGCCCTACCGTGGATCTCAGCCTGTTTATGAAACGGACTATGAGTTACATTTACCCTCCGGCCGCAGTGTTGGCCATCGATCCCTGGCCAAATATTATCGTCAGAACCTACACAGCTACCCTACAGCTGACGAGCGAGCGGCTCGCCAGCTTGCGATCGAGAACGGTGATGCCGAGGGAGACGCTGAGACTTCAATGATCAAGCGCAATAATCATACGGCTATAGTATCTCGAGCAAATGGGGGATTGGGCATGGTTGGCGCTACGGCTCAACAAAAGTCGGAGGCTCTGGCATCCGAAAGGAGGGAACGCACTCGTGCTCAACGTTCGGAGCGGAAGTATACTGCCAAGGTGAATCGCCAGGCCAACAGCCAGAAACATTTCAGAGTAAGTCCATTTAAATATATTCCCGAACGTTCAGCTTCTTGTGTTCGGGGCTTCGCTAACTTAGGATTTAGGACCCTCTCCTCCAATAATTGCAACCTACTTATTGCATCGGACGCGTGCTTCTTGCCTTTTTTCATCTCTCGATTTGCATATGATAAATGACATCCTTTTCATACAACCAGTTCTCACGATATCTGATCCATTTGCCTGCTTTTGCTAGTAATTGACGAAGTATAGTCATTAGCCAGATTTCTATATACTATCACTGTTTCAAGGAATTGAAATAATTAAAAGTAACTGTCTTCAAATCCATCGGAACATAAATGGAAGGCTGGAAGGCAGACAAACTATTGTAAATTTATAAGAGTTCCCCCCATATTGTACCCGGTTGATTCCGTAACATTCGAAACCATAGTCAAGTGATTTATAAACGCCCTGTATCCATAAAGATCTTACAAAATATATTGTATCAAAGGCCGCAGCTTGTTTGATATAGCTTATTTGCTACATGTTTTCCCTTCCATTTTCAATCACCGCGGTAACAGAGGAGCATTCTCAGGATCGTCACCATGCTTCTTCTTCTTCTTGCGTCGACGGCGTTTCTTCTTCGACGTGCTGACGGTTTCCTCATCGTCCTGCTCGGATTCAACAACATGCTCGTTCGACTCAAGAGATTTCTGGTGCAGTGTCTCATGGGGTGACCCGCTTGTACCTCGCTCACTTTCTGACGAGCAACTGCTGGTTGTCTGAAGAATGACCTTTCGGATCCCATTGAGATCGATCACTTGTTCGGTAATACTTCCACTTCTTGTGGGACCAGGTTTGAAAGTTTCATTTCGTCGTACGTCTGAAGAGCGGGTCTGGAAGGAATGGACGCTGCTCGCATGGCTCCGGTTTGTTGTTTCGTAAGGCAAGGACAGATTGGTTTGATTTTCATATTGGGACTCGGCAATGACATCATTGTCTCTCCTGGCCCGTTCGTGATCGTCATCCAGCGGTCTAATCATCGAATGTGCTGCTCCATCAATGGTTCCATATCCTTGCATTACTGCTTGAACGCCGTCTTTGGCACTGAACGAGGGCGAACTCAACAGCTTGGAACCTATTGCACTCCCCGTACTTGCAACTTCCGAAGGCAATCTGTGCTGCTCGTTAGAAAGCCTTGTTGATTCGGAGTCTGTCATTCCTGACCGACTGGGGGACGATCCAGGAGCTTTAATTTTGACATTTTGGTATCGTGTCTGTCGAGGTCTACTAGCCAAATTTGAAGGCCCTAAATGTTTTAGATGTTCTCGGATCTCGTCTGTTCCCCGCTTGACAATATATTGTTCTGGCGCGTCTGGATTATTTCGCAGGGTGAATCGAGGACCAAGGGGCGGCTGAAATAAGCCGGAACTAAGTTTGCGAGGTTCACTATTGGCGCTTTGAACTTTCGATAAATCCGGTGTTGTGCTGTCATCAATTAGGTCATTTGATAAGGCTGGGGGCTCTTCAACAATGCGACCTTTCGGAACCCTGGACTTCGGTGCAGGAGTCATGCGCCTGATTGCCTTGTGCACATCAATAAATACGTCGGATTCGTCAATGATCTCCCTACATATAATCAATTAGTATGTGAGCAAATGGAAAGAAATAATAGAATTGCACAACTTACTCTCCAATCAGCTCTTCAATGACATCTTCAAGGGTGACAACCCCCAGAGCTCCGTGGTCTTCACCGGGATAGTCAGACACCAGAACCATGTGAGACTTCCCTTCCTGGAAGAAATTCACGATATCTAAGCAACTTGTCTCTGGACGTGTCTCGGGCAGTGTAGCAAGGGCGAAGTCGCGAACCATCTTTCCGTCTTCTGGATCGTAGGTAATCAGCATCTTGACGAGCAACATGCCTACAAAGTTCTGGTCGTTGTCAGTTGTATGTATAGGGATGCGAGAATATCCTTGGGATAGGATTAGATCCATCATTCCCTCGTCCAGAACAGTATCCGCAGACATGGTAAAAACATCGTCCATTGGCGTCATGATATTTCCCACGGATTTCTCTTTCAAATCCAAGCAGGCACTGATAATAGTAACTTCGTCTGAGTTCAGTTGTTCACCAGCAGCGCCTATAGTTTTGTGCAGGGTCACCAATGTCTTCAAACCAGCTTTCTTGTATACCGTGCCATGGTCTTCACCCAAGAGCTTGTCCAGGAGTTTGGCAACAGGCCACGCCACCGGTGACATGAGGTACATGAGAACTAGGACGAACGGTGCCATCCATGCCCCGATTGGTAGGCCGTAGCGAACACATATAGATTGTGGAACAACTTCTCCGAAGATGACTAGTTATATGCAATTAGTAAAATCGTGCGGCAGAGTATTTTTTTTCTTTCGATCGTACCAATTAACACAGTACTCCCCACGACTGCGGGCCAGCCGCCTCCGAGTGAGCGATCTAGCACGATAGGCAGTGTCTCATTAGTGATGACATTGCTTAACAGCAGCGTCACAAGAACCCAATGTTTCCCTCTCTGCAATAGTCTCAGTACGGCGGCGGCGTTTTTTCTCTCCGAAGCTTCGCCCGAGGATTTTATCACTTGCAGGTAAATTTCGTCCTAAAGCGAGCAACGAATTAGCAACCAATCAATTTTGTTGATGCAAAATGATGGAAGACGAAATCCCAAACTAACCTGGCCCATCAGTGCAATGGTCAATCCTGCAAACGCCCCGCCCCCAAGAACCAGAACAACCGAAATGCCTAGATACAACCATAGTGCCGGATCTTCCGGATCCTTTCCCAGATCCTCATGCTTCGCGCGAATGCCATGCAGCGCAGTGGGAGATGCGGTGGTGATCGCGGGCAATTGAGCGATGAGCAGGACCAGCAGCTTCGCGAGACCCAGAGCTACTGGCCGACCAGCCATATACGGATTCGTGAAAGCAGCGGCTCGCATCATAGGCGTTCCATCGCGGGCTGCGTGTTTAGTACTTTTTGTGCAACAGCTGTCAAGGAATTTGCGGAAGGTTCAAAAGCAACTGGGGTGATGAGCGCCGATGATCGTCAAAAGGGGAAAAAGAAAGCTTTCGGTTTCGGATTCTTGCCGTAATTGAATCACGCGGCCACGTGATTAGGTACGCCCCTCAAGGTTCTCATTTCGCGGGGATTTACACGCAGGAGGATTGTCTACGGGCTGTCTACCATCGAAAAATTGACAAATGCTCCATGCAATGGACAAAGAATTTGATTATGATTATGGATCATAGGCATGCTAACTATGCCACCGCCTCTTTCTGATACTAGCTACAGTGGTCTGCGTTGTCATAGTTGGCCAACGAAGAAACGGGTTCAAACTCAATTCTGCCTTGGACGGTGGAAACAGACATACAATTACATAGGCATGTAACTATGTCCTCGGCTTCATTATGTGTTATCGACTTATCGTGAATGGACGGACCTGGGGGAGAATCTCGCCCCGCCAGCGCAACTGGGTGCAATGCCTGAATTCTCAGGTGTCGAGAAAGCATCTCGGTTATCCGCGGACTTCCCCAGCTGCTTCTCAGTTGAACTGTTTCTTTTTCTTCCTCTCTCTCCAACTCCATGCTTGTACCTGTTTCAAGGCCACCACTTCTATCAGCCATGAGCATCCCCCGCGCTGCTGGCCGGCGTCTCGCGCGCTCGTGGAACCAGAGCCATAGCCATAGCCATGGCTATCGCCCTTACTCGGCCGCCGCATCTCCAGCAGCTCGTTTGAACCTGCCTGTCGACTACAAGACAACCCCTCTTCTACACCATGCGCCGTCGTCGCTTGCTAGCTCCCAGGAGCTCCCTCAGTCTGCCACCACCAAGCGCATAAACTTATACCAAGCAATCAACTCGGCTCTCAGAACGGCCATGTCCGCCTCGGACAAGGTCATTCTGTTCGGCGAAGACGTGGCTTTCGGAGGTGTATTTCGCTGTTCTATGGATCTCCAGATGGAGTTTGGATCACACAGGGTCTTCAACACTCCACTGACAGAACAAGGAATTGCCGGGTTTGCAATCGGTGCTGCCGCTCAAGGCTTGAAGCCCGTCGCGGAAATCCAATTCGCCGATTATGTTTTTCCTGCCTTTGATCAAATTGTCAATGAAGCGGCCAAGTTTAGATACCGTGAGGGAACCACGGGGGCTAGTGCTGGAGGCCTGGTCTTTAGGATGCCGTGTGGAGCTGTAGGACATGGTGCTCTGTATGTAAGCGGTAATCCCCGTTTCTTTTCCCTTGCTAACTAGGGTGTAGTTATCACACTCAATCTCCCGAATCCTTATTTGCCCATATTCCCGGTGTTCGCGTGGTGATTCCACGATCTCCATCACAGGCAAAGGGACTGCTATTGTCGTCGATTCTAGAGTGCAATGATCCAGTGATCTTTATGGAGCCTAAGATCTTATATCGGGCAGCTGTTGAACATGTCCCCACAGAGTCATACACCATTCCTCTTAGCAAAGCGGAAATTATTAAGCCAGGCTCGGATCTGACAATCATATCTTATGGGCAACCACTGTATCTATGCTCGCAAGCAATATCCGCCGTTGAGAAAGCAAGGAAGGGTGTGAACATAGAACTTATCGACTTGCGGACAATATATCCTTGGGATCGACAGACGGTTCTTGACAGCGTTCGCCGAACGGGCAGGGCTATCGTAGTCCACGAAAGCATGGTTAATTATGGAGTTGGCGCAGAGGTCGCCGCTACGATCCAAGAAGGCGCCTTTTTACGGCTAGAAGCACCAGTCAAGCGTGTGGCTGGATTAACCACGCATAGTGGCCTGGCATTTGAGAGTTTCATCATGCCAGATGTTGCAAGTAAGTTATTAACTCCCGATGTCTTTGATTTATTACGCTTGGTGACATCTATACTGATCATATATAGAAATACACGATGCAATTACCCAGACACTGGATTACTGATCCCTATTTTTCCCTTATGAACGTCGCATATCTGGGCTTTACATACTGATGTTTCATCAAACGACTTGTAACTTTTGGCGCTTTGTGCATGAATAAGTATTGGTTGCCTAAGCGAGATATTTTATGATAGATACATACCCATTAATGCCGATTAGACACCTACAACAGGTCATAATTGCTTATTCGCCACTGCTGCGTCTACCTTATAAGATTCTACATGTATTAGTATGTAGAAGGGATAAAGTGGAGGGAGAATTTCTGTAAAAAAATCCCTATCCTCTGTTCCCAATGAACTCTTCGAATGAGTTCATGTGACAGACATTAAAGCTTACGGATTTCCCATAAGAACCGATGAGGAATACTTTTCGCTTGCAAAAGGGAAATTAATCTTGCATTCTTTCTTCAGGTTTCTTCATCTTTTACGTCCTCCTATGCTTGCCCCAGTCGTTGGTCGCTGTTTCTAGGCTTATTTCCAAACTAGGAAATAATGCCCTTTCACAATGGGAACAACAATGCCCATGTGTGTATTTCCTTTATTATTCTGTACCAGTGAATGACATTACATTATTCATACTGACTGAAGAGTGTCTCACAACAGTCTTTGACAATATGTGTGAATGGCCGCCCTTTGATATTTATCTGACAACTGTTCTTCCTTCCTTTCCTTCCCTCCATCATTTCTGGTTTACTCTTCCTACCTAGATATCTACTCAAGGTTTTCCAACAGCCATATCCCAAGATATCAACTTGACTATCATTACCACATCTTGAACTTACCTATCTTCACCTTCAAGAGCGAAACATACACAAGCAACAACTTCCGTCCTTGGAAGGCGAAGTGCATAATGGAGCGCTTCCTCGAGCTCCTCACATCCTTTCTCCGCGAGGCTGCCCTCTGTGCAGTGATTGAGCTTTTCATATCCATATCCTACGAAACTCCCATGGTCTCTGTTGGGGAACTTATCATATATCCGGTCCTCCCCAAGCTCACAACATGCCGTCACGAAGCCGTGGTATACTCCATGTACGGACTCAGTTTGTATTGGATGTACGAGTTTTTCTGCGCATTTTCCAAGCTGCCGCTCAGTAGTAGGCGGGAATCCATCTTGCGATCTCTCTCTTACGGCTTCATCTCTGCGAACGACTACAACCAGGGCTTCTATGACGATTGGTGGGACATCAAATATCTCTTCGTTATATCTATGCATTATCTCTCGATGGTGGCTTTGTGCTGTTTCATCGCTTTATCGACGCTTTGCGGTTTGATGATTCAGTCTCACTTGCCCACATGGAAGATATTGTTTCGACCTGCTAGCATCTGCTCTGCTTGGGTTTGTGATGTGCTCGGCTTAATAGGGCAAGCCATGCGTATTGGTCAGTCGGCACTCCTATGCTTTTTGGATTGGTTTTTATATGAGGATCCAATATCCTTGATTGTCTCCTCGACAGGGTTGATAATTTCTGACATATTGTCTGCCATTTGGGCTACCAGTGCCCTGGTTCCAACCCAATTCAGCACTCGACTCGGTGCATCTACAATAATATCTGGATCGCCCGACGACAGTGTCGCTTTGGCATGGTACTGGAAAGATGTCATACCTAGTCATAGCTGGAAGTCGTACATAGTGGAATGGCTCGGAGTCACCTTGCAGCCCTACCGTATAGGCTTCTCAAAATGGTACAGCAATAGATTCGAGGATGACAAATTGCACCACTTCCCATTGCTTACGATTCCCGTGGCAATGGGCCTTGTGTTCTACGCCTGTAAATTACTCTGGGAGGACAAGCCAAGAAGGCTTGTGAAGATTGAGCGCATTGTTGAGGAAACACTATTGAACCACGCGGTTATTCACGATTATGAGTCCCATTTGAGTAGGTCCATGAATAAGACGGATGAGTTTATGCAAATTCTAGCTGCTCAGTCTCAGTCACTTGCCGATGCACTCACTCAACGCAAGAAGATGCTCAATCAGTATAAAACTTTAGAAGTCGCGGTGGAGAAATCATGCTCCAATGTAAGTGCTCAAGGGCAGCGATTTCAGCAGTTCGTGAAAGAAAACATGGCACTCCATCGAGAGAATGAAGACTTGCAAAGGAGATATTTGCGCCTCGCAAACGACTTGGAGGGTCAAAAGGAGAAGATCCAACTTCTGAATACTCAATTGGCCGCCTCAAATGACGAGAACTCCAATCTCCACCAGCAGAAGATTGAATTAAAACACAAATTGGATTACATGCGTGAAGCCAAATTAGCTGCTGATTCCATGGTAACTGCAGCAGAGAAAAAGGCTGCCCTTGAAGTATCCATGCTTCGTCAGCAGAAAGCTGAGTTGAAAGAACAGTTCAACAACATAAATAAAGCCAAATCAGCCGCTGATGCCACAACAACTGAAGTCGAGAAAAAAGCTGCTAGTGAGATATCCAAACTCAACGAAGACATGGAAATGTTGCGCCAAGAAAACGCCACCATTCAGCAGACGTATCAGGAGCTTCTCAGAGAGCGTCAAGTTCTGGTTGAAGCCAAATCTGTTGCTGAAGACACCGTAAGAAGCTATGCGAGTGAGATCGAATCACTCAGAATAAGTAGCCAGACCTCCCAAGAAGAGTCACAGTTCCTCCAAGTCAAGATAGCCGAGTTTGAGGCAGAACTAATGGCGAGAAGTCAAATTGCTGAGGAAGCTGTTCGCCATCTACATACTGAGACAGCCAATTTGAATGATCAGTACAACGCGAAGGCCAAGGAGCTTGAGTCTATGAAAACTCGCGAAGACTATACGAAAAAGGTGAACAGAAACAGGGACATTCAGATGAGAAAACTCCACCGTCTCAGACAGAAGAAGGTTCTAATCATGAAGCATACATTCATGACACACCAGCAAAGACTATCCATGGATATCGAAAGTGTGCGAAAGGACAACCAGCGGCTAGAGCATCGACTTGTTCAATTGGATCCTACATTGATCGGCCATACACAAGTAATCCACGACCAGCGTAAGGACAACGAGGTACAGCAATTGAGGCAGCAGCTCCAACAGCAGCGAGCGCGGAATCTCGTACTGGACGGTGAAGTCAAGCGACTAGAGGATGAGAACGTGCAATTTCGTACACGAGCTGCAGCGACCGGCCCAAGTATGGCTATTGATCCCCAGCTTGAGTCTGCTTTTTCAACGTCGACGTCCTCAGCCACGCGTGAAATCTCGGATTCTGATCATGTGGTAACACTGAGAAATGAGCTTAGAAGTAAAGACGAGGAGATCCAGCGCCTCCAGATCCAGCTGTCTAATGCTAAACTGGCGAGAAAGGGCACCGGATCAAATCCTTTCATGCCATCCTCGCACGGACGCGGGCGCGGACAAGGAACGTGAGTAATAACACCTAGATGGGGTGTCTCTGTGTCAAACGACAGTACGATGGTGAGAAGTGAAAGGGTGTGAAACGAGATGGAATTTGCCAAAGCTCACATTGCGATCGCACCCGAGCTGAGGCGAACAATGCATAATCTTTTGTGTGTACATAATATTTTGCCTATGCAGGCAGACGTTGAAATCATAATTGAGACAGCCGCTTAATCATGCTGGTCGAGCAACATTTAGAGCAGGGTCAGGTAACCACTTAGGTCTCAAAGGGTGCACATGTTATTGAACTCGCAAGCAGCTTGCAGGATCTATTTCCAGATGCCATCGACCGTCTATTTTCCGTCACGTCAATCAATCCTCAGCGCCTTGGAAAGAGGCTTCCTGTGCAGTCAGTGTGATATGACAAGTTGCATTTGAAACGGCTCCATGCTTATCAAACGCATGTATGCATGAAAGGCGCGACCAATCATCCGGCCTGGCTTCCTCGTGGCTCTAGCGCCAGCCAAGAGGTTGTGTGAGATTGGTGGCTAGCAGAATTCGCTGCTAGCCATGAAGCTAGTGATGCTAGTGATTGTTTGACTTTCCTGGCGCCAAACTTTCCTCGTATAAATTGAGGTCCGATTTTAATCCATCATCCTTTCGAGTGTAACCTACAGGCTGACCGTGACGATCTCGAAGATCATGCGTAGGTATTCAGTACCTAGGTAACTATGTCGATCTACAGAGTAGTAATGCGTATCGCCGTCTGTATTGTATCAAGTGATACGCGTATTGTATCAGATTGGAATGTACTCCGTACTCCGCTGGTTGGCCGATAAGCTGTGGGACCGGCCCGCTTCCGAGTACGGTAAGATTCAGTCTCAGGCACCGACCAATCACAGCCCCCATCCAGATCTCTGCCCTTTCTCGGGTGCGGGTCCCTTCCTTTCCCCCTTCTTTGAGTCTGATGTTGACGTTGAACGCTTGATTATTTTCGACGCCCACCCACTGACTGCCCTTCGCCCTTTTGTGCAGTTCACTCGCTCGCTTCTCAATATCTCCGCCGTCGCTCTTTACTCCGTACTTGTTGCCGTTGTTGTTGATCGACTGTACATACTCGCACGTGCGTGATTGGCTTCAATCGTTTGCTACCCGCACTCTGAAACCCGCCAACCCTCCCTCTCCAAACGCCGCTGTCAGATACCAACCAAGAAGCCACCAGCACTTTCTCTAAAAGCCTCGGTTGTATCATCTCGTCAGCAGCTACTGATCTATTCATTCGATCTCCATGTGTTATTGTTCTCCGACCCTTCGCAGTTAAGACGAAAAGAAAAAGGGATCAAAAGCCCAGTTGTCGACCCTGGGAAGAGACAATTAGAAAGTTTGAATGGAAAACAACAAAGAAAAGTACATACAATGAAAATCTGACTTGACAATACGCCTTGGTTCGATTTATTTTTAGCGCACCTGGACAAAGACCGTTCACTCTTTCGCATACTCGATCTTTCTTGACTGCTGTTCAATAACGACGTTGCTTGTTCGCGGCAGGTCCGAAGAGCAAGCTACGTCATTTCCAGAAGAAAGAAAACACGCATTTTCTCCTCGTCGCTCACCATCTTTCTTTTGGCTATATAGCCTCGTCTGGCTGGTCCAGACACCGTCAAAATGCCTTGCTGTGGAGACCGCGAGAAGTTGGGTGATCTGAAGTTGGAGCAGACATGGGATTACATTGTGAGTGTAAAGAAAACGCTTACTCATCCGATTAATACTTACAACCACATCAACAGAATCTCGACGACTTCAAAAGCAGCTCCTGTTTCACCGGCTTCTCCTACTTCTTGGTTTGGGTCTTCCTCGGCGTTTCAATCGCTGTCTACGGCGTTGACACATTCACAGCCGTCAACCTGCTTGTTTTCAATAAATGGTCCAGTCAGATCCAGCCGAAGATTCCCTTCAGTATTTCGCGCTGGATTTTTGCGGGATGTATTATTGCCTCATTCGTGTTGCTCGCATACCGATGGATTCGAGCGGTTCGCGTCATGCGAACTGGCAGCGTTGCTGAAAGTTACTTGGATCCCCTTGCTGTTCGTGTACAAAGTATCCGAATCGGCAAATCTAAAGGCTACCGACGATTTCTGGTTTTCGCCGAGTTGACGAAGAGTAAGAAAGGCGCCGACTATGTCGCTCTCTTCACCTACTTCTCTTTTGAATGTGAGTTTGTAGTACACCTCAACTTATCCGTACTCTTTCTCACAAGATAAAACATAGCCTGGTTACGTGTCATTTTTGCCGATGGGCCCCGTCAGGTTATCAATGCGATCACACTATACTCCGTAATGGAGCTTGATCTCATTCCAACGGGGTCGAATGCAGCGCCTGCAGGTACCTCGTCGGTCGCACAGTTTTTTATCAACGTCGAGGCATTAGCAGAAAAGAACTATCAGCAAGCGGTTATTTTATTTGGTATGCTGTTTACACTCATTATCTGGGTGATTGCTGCCCTGAGCTTGATATCCTCCGTCATCCTCTATCTTATTTTCCTGTGGCACCATATCCCTACCATGGACGGGTCACTCAAACGATACTGTCGACGGAAGATCAATACTCGACTGGAACGTATTGTCAGGAAGAAGACTGCTGCTGCATTGGCCAAGGGTGGTTTGCAGTTGAAGGATAGGGCGCCGACAATGCCTATGGCTGAAGGTGAAGAGTTGAAACCTGTCAAAGTGGCCCCGACGCTGCCATCGGTTGCCGAATATTCGGAGGACAAGAAGCCTGTCGTGACTGTTACGCCCTTATCACGACAGCCAACTCAAAGTACTTTGCCTCCATACAGCTCGGAGCCGGAGCCGTTTGAAGAGGAGTCCTACCGCCAGCCAAGGCTACCGGATCTGGACGACGATGGCTCATGGCTCACGAAGACAAACACACAGAACTCGGCGTATGAAGAGTCTGCCTCGCTTACTGCAGGGGCAGCTCCCATGGGATACAGTCCTCTGGACACTCATTATGGACGGCCAAATCTGCCTCCTGTGCCTCCTGTGCCTCCTGTGCCCTCTTACGGACCAGACCAAGGAAGGCCATACACACCGTCAATGAATCGACCGCCGATTGGGCCTGGCCGACAAGGTCCAACAGGTCCAATACCAATGGAAGGCTTTGGTCGGCGTCCCTTTGGTCCTGCTTACTCTCAAACTCCACCGCCTCCGATGATGGGCCGTCAGACGCCTGGCTTTCCCCGAGGCGGTCCATCAGACCGATCATATTCTCCTGCAGCTAGGATGCCTTATGATCGTCTGTACTCTCCGGCCATCAACCCAGCTTTCGACCAACAACCACCACCTCAAAGCAACATGTATGACATGCGCTCAAACTCGCCAGCAAACTATCTCCCCCCGGGTCGTTCTCTCACATCGCCCAGTCCAAACTTCTTGCCTTGCGCAGCGGATCCTGTCAACCGCAGCAACACCCCAGGCGATCGTATCGCTTCGCCCCGTCCGCCCAACCAAGGCGGCTATGTGGCATTCAATCCTTTTTCGTCTTCTATGAACACCAACTCCAACACGGACGCTCGCAGTGAATCACCGATCCCATCAAATCCTGAGCTTACCATACGGCCTCCAACGACAGAACCTTATCCGGACTCTAGTTTCCAGCCTCGCTATTCCATTGGATCATATTCTTCAGCTTCTTCTCAGTCGATTATACGGCATCCCACTACAGAACTGTCACATAACCCTAACACTCAGGCGTACCCACCGCTTGCTTCGGATTTAGATCCAATTATAAGACCGGCGACCGCGGAGCCGGCTCATACATCTACCTTTCAGTCCTATCCACCGATTGTGCGGGCAGCAACAACCTCCCCTTCCAATGGGTATAGGCGCCATGAGCTGCCCTCCGAGTCACATCTATCACATACCGCGGCTGAGGAGGACGATGACGATGAAGAATATGACCCTTTGTCATACTACGGCAGCGCCGCATAGGTCGTTCTCACATGACCTTTGACTCGTGTGATTTGAACAGTCTCGCAGGTCGGACATGTTACTCGAAGAGAATCCATTCAAGCATGATATGGATTTGATCTTTAATCATGCGATTACTTAAATACTCTGTCTATTTTCTGGTATATGCACAAATCGGCGCACAGTGTTCTTTCTAGATATGCTTTTTACTTTTATTCCCCTTTTCTCATTTGATGACGACTTTGGACAGCAAGAGCTGGAATCTTATTGCTGCGATGACTGGCATTGATGAAAAGCTTCTGCGCGTATCGATACCACTTTTACCTTTTTTGCTCTTTCATATACCCATCTTTCTTTTTTTAAGAAAACATTCATTATTTTCTGTTCTGGGCGGATGTTAAGTCGGGCCATACATACACCTCTTACTTCATTATGGTTTATGTTAGATCTTTAAGTATGAAAAATGTACCGGTATTAGATCCGATGTAACATTTGCAATTGGCCTCGGTTCCTTGCATTATAGTACTATCATCACACAGAAAACAATGTGAGATACCTAGGTAATCGGTATCCTTTATTAGACAAGGTTTCCTCTCAGCGCTTGCTCGCGCTCAATGGCTTCAAACAGAGATCTGAAATTGCCAGCACCGAATCCGGAGAAGTTATTGCGTTGAATGATTTCAATGAAGACAGTGGGACGGTCCATAAGGTGCTGTATCATGTCAGTATTAGTTTACCTCTTCAGCAACAAACAGCACTGAATTGGAGAGCGAAGAAAGTGGATACCTTTGTAAAGAGCTGCAATAAATAACCCCCTTCATCAAAATCAATCAGGATATCCAGACTCTTGATATCCTCCCAAGCTTCCTTGGGCATCATACCGGCTTTCTTAAGGCGCGCCCACATGTTGTCGTAGTATGTTTCGGGGACTTTGATAAACTCGACTCCGCGAGCGCGCAGGTTGGTGATTGCACTAATAATGTCATCGGTCAATAAGGCTATGTGTTGCACGCCTGCCCCATCGTAGAAATCAACGTATTCTTCGATCTGGGACTGCTTCTTGGCGGTGGCGGGTTCGTTGATGGGCATTTTGACGATTTCGTTGGGAGAGGACATTACTATGGATTTGAGGGCAGAGTAGTCTCTATATAGCCCATGTTAGATTTTGGTGGTTTGGTCTGAGAAGAATGGTCCTTTGCTTACGTGCAAATATCTTTATCATCGACGGACCAGAATCGGTGGAATCCGAGAACTTTTTCGTAGCTATCCCGGTATCAGTATTGGCCTGGCCGATTTCAAACATAAACTAAAAAGAGTTGACAGCTTACTACGCGCAAACCCTCTCCATCTCATCCCAATCCTGATTTCCAACACAGTGGTCAATTCTCTTCAAATCCACCTTCGGCAAGAGCGCAGTAATCGGATCCTTTGCGGCATTGCTGTCTGATCTCTCATCACGATACCCCGGCAAGAATGCACCTGTATAATCAGTATGCTGCTCCGGGCCCACTCTTCGCTGAATCAGAGTATGCGTGGTCTCTCCATAAGTACGAATCGTAGCAACTCGCACCGAACCGTGCTCATCCTTCAAAGTCTCAGGCTGCGAAACGGACACGGCACCATTCTGCACCGCGGCGTTGAATACGGCATCGACGGAATCAACCTCAAAGGCGACATCCTTTACGGCATCTCCATGTTTGGCGAGATGGTCGTGGATCTCTTTGAGGAGTTCCTGCTCTTGGGAAGAGAGATGTCGGTTCAATTTTTCGGGGTTGTAGGGTGAGCGTAGTGGCGAGGTAAGGACAAATGTTATGTCGCCGTTGCGTACAACGTGAGAGCACAAGCTGCGACAGCCTGTTTCAAGCCCGCGATATGCTACACGCTCAAAGCCCATACGCGTGATATAGAAGCTGGCTGCTTGTTTGGCATTGCCCACGTACCAGTGTACGTGGTCATAGCCACGATAGGACGTGATGGAATTGCTATCTGTTGGGAGGGATGATTGTTGGTGGTCGGAGATGGCGGAAGGAGCCATTTCTTTTAGGTATTGCTTGCCTTGTGTTGGGATAACCAAAACCTAGGTTCAACGCCAACTCAATGACGATGTTTTGTATTCGCTGTCTTTGATTCCGTACTTGGCAATAAAGGAATCACAACTAGTTAAAGGAATATATAAACTGTTTGACGGCCATGAGACACACTTGTGTCACGGATATTTCAGCTCTTGCTCTAACGACGTAACTCCCCTGCTCTATCCGCCACCATCCTTCTCAAACTGTGGTCCTCTCGACGCATCCATCTCCCACAGACATATTGTATATTTTCTTGCGGATATTTCAGGCGGCCCGGTTGCAAGCGGACAGTGGGTCCATAGTTTTAGCCGTGTGGTGCGGTTGACACCGGGTAATCCTGGCTTTTTGGAGTGGGGCGGCTCCGCGTACGTGCGGGGCCCGTTCCGCGCTTTTTGATCCGACGGGAAATCCGGGGTAACTAGATCTGATGTCAGTGCCACAATCTGTGCTCTTGACTACATTTTTGTCTGAAAATCTCTTTTTCAAAATAAGAAACGGCAAGATCAAGCAGCTTCCCAATCATATAGGTCGTCCAACATGCCCGTCACAAACTTTTCCACGCCCGATCCATATACCTACTTGAATGGCTTCAATTCCTACCACGAGTAATCATCCCACTGCAATATATTAGATTTGAACCAGAAAATTGACTCATACCAGAACCGAAGCCATAAGCGGCGCTCTGCCTGTTGCTCAGAACTCGCCGCAGAAACCATCCTACGGACTCTACGCCGAGAAGCTATCAGGAACAGCTTTCACCGCACCACGACACGAGAATAAACAATCATGGCTCTACCGTATCCTTCCATCAGCCGCCCATTCCAACTACCAGCCCGTTGCTGAAGACACATACCACACTTCTCTGAGTAACAGCAATAACAATGTTCAACATCAACTGCACTATATCCCTAATCAACTACGCTGGAATCCCTTTGATTTCGACGAAAGCGTCGACTGGGTCCATGGCTTGCACCTTGTCGCTGGCGCAGGTAATCCTACTACAAAATCGGGACTGGGGATTCTGTTATATGCTGCGGGAAAGGATATGGGCAACGAAGCATTTTACTCGGCCGACGGTGATTTTCTGATCGTGCCTCAACATGGAGTTTTGGATATCCAGACGGAGTTAGGTAAGATACTAGTTCGGCCGAATGAGATATGTGTCGTGCCGAGAGGTATGAAGTATGTATTCCCTTAATCTGAGAACAGCAACAACCGATAATTATAGAAGTGGCTGACTGGGTTCAAAACTTGCTAGATATCGGGTGAAGCTTCCCTCCGGCCCTGTGCGAGGGTACATATGTGAACTCTACCAAGGCCATTTCGAGCTGCCGGAGCTAGGTCCTATTGGTTCCAACTGTCTAGCTAATGCACGCGACTTTCAAGCCCCCGTAGCATCCTTCGACGATGACGAAGGGCAACCAACCGAATACACAGTAACCAGCAAATTCAACAACAATCTATTCTCAGCCCACCTATCCCATACACCGTTCGACGTGGTGGCCTGGCACGGAAATTACTATCCCTTCAAATATGATCTAGGTAGATTCAACACCATCGGCTCAATTTCCTACGACCATCCTGATCCTTCCATTTTCACCGTTCTTACAGGCCAATCTGATCATCCTGGCACCGCTATTGCGGATTTTGTCATCTTCCCATCCCGCTGGCTTGTCACCGAAAACACTTTTAGACCCCCATGGTATCACCGAAATGTGATGTCGGAGTTTATGGGCCTGATATCGGGAGACTACGATGCTAAGATAGGCGGCGGATTCAGACCTGCAGGTGCCAGTTTGCACAATATTATGAGCGCGCATGGACCGGACGCCAATGCGCACGAAAAGGCGAGTAATGTAGAGCTGAAGCCGCAGAAGGTCGGCGAAGGAAGCATGGCGTTCATGTTTGAAAGGTTAGTAATTTCATTGAAAAATGCTGAGTACACAAATACCAAGACTGACCCTTGTGGCAATAGTGCTCTCATGGTTGGTGTTTCGGAATGGGGGTTGAAGACATGCGAGAAGGTGCAGGAAGATTACAATGCAGAGAGCTGGGAGCCTTTGAAAAGGCATTTTGTCAATCCCAACAAAAAGAAGTAGTATGTTAGTACACTTGGATATGTTTCCTATGCCAATGGCTGTGCAGAACCTGGGTGTACAAATTAATTCCGATGTTTCCAAGGTTCAAGGTCTATGTAGCAGCCTGCGATCAAATAATACCCTAACACTTTGGATGTTTTACTTTATAGACTATCAAAGCAGTATGGGTCTTTTCGAGCGTACTAATGTACCAAAAGAAGAATGTTGGTATAGATGCGCTTCTTTGTCAACCTACCTAAGGTAGGTGGTTCAACTAGCTACGACACAGGTAGGAAACTACCGTCAACTTCTCAAATAGACCCCACACTAATATGATTCATAAATCTGTCTTTCTCCTATTGAATACTAAAATTGACATACTTGCTATTGAGTGACATTGATTCATTTGCATCCGAAAAATCCTAGAAGCCGAATCAATAGAAAAGGAAAAAAAAAAAAGAGAGAGAGAACGACTATGGGCCATCGCCGTCCTCAACTCACAATTCCATTAGGAAGGTTTCAGCTGAATGTCCACTCGCAACTTCAATCACCTCTGTTTGCTCGTGTGCCAGCAGAAATCCGGTTGATAATCTACTCGTACGCCATTATTGACTACGAGCTCACACGCATGGACCCTCCTCGTTACCTGTCGACTTGCCCTTGCTACAGTCTCCAAAGACATACAGACACAGGGCTCTTACGCACCTGCAAACGCATTCTTCAAGAGACATGGTTCATGCCATTCGAAGTCGCTGAGCACCGTGTATGCAACACGCACACGTCGCCCGTACCAGCTGGGTTTGGCTATTCCACCATCCTGCAACAATGTGTCAACGCTCAAAATGGACTATCTATACCGCGCATCCAAAAGCTTCGCTACCTATTGCGGAAACCAGATGGCTTTGAAATGCTACAAAAATTACTCAAAAGTACCAATATATTTGGGCCGAAGTGCGTGGTCATTGAAGTGAGCTTTTTTGCTACCCTTTCTACTAATTCTACTCGGTATGACCCCAACGTGCGCCTTTGCACTGAATGGGCCAACGAGTTGGTGTTTCCAGTATCGGTCACCACCATCAAAGCAGAGATGTACGGGAGTAAGAATGATATGGACGGAATCGTCACCTCAGTCCTTAGGAAATGGCGCTTTCGCCGGGTTGACGGAGCTATTTTCAAAATTTCCAACGTTGAACGAGTAGCCAGAGAGTGGGAGACGTTAGCAACGCGGGACTATGACATATGTCCGCCAACTGCGTTTGCCTGGTTTATCAAGACGGTGACTTGGGAGCCTGTTGTGCGATTTGGGTCCTTGCGTAAAGGGCTTGGAAATGCTAACTTGACACATCCTCAACAGTCTGGATAGACTTGCCCTGGACTAGTTGGCAATTTCTTGCAATAGAATTTCGGAATATATGATCAATTACCATGATAGTTTTGTACCTTTCCTGCATGAGAGTGACACATACTGTACAAGAATGCTTTGTGATGACAAAAAAGAAGAAAGAAAGAAAGAAAGAAAGAAAGAAATCTAGAATATAGAGTTACCTCGGTACACAAAAATATCTACTCACGGCTCCAGCAAAAAAACATGTATATCTAGACTAGTACCTAGATACACTAGCATCATGTCTAGGTGTTAATGTAGCTCATAGGTGAGAAGACAAAAGCATATCATTCATGATTGAAACTCCTCAATTTCCTTCTTCAATGCCTCTTTCACAATGGCTCCGCACATCTTCGCATACGGATTTGTTTGCACACTCAACTGCTTCCCTACCTCATTCCCATATCGGCCTGCCTGAAAGAAATCTTGACTGGCCATTTCCTCGAGTTCGTCTCTGCTAGTTATGCGGAGAAGTTGCTCTGGTCCTCCTCTAGGTTTCTTTTCTTCATTTCCTTCACCTTCTTCCTCCTCTTTGCGAATCTTCCCAGCTTTGAGTAGAATGTACCCCCTATGCGTGTACGTATTGGAAAGCAAGCGGGCTTGAGCGGGTGAGACGCTAGTATTGCTTGTGTTGTCGCCAGTGGATGGGGGGCTAGCCAGTGCTATAGCTTTACTAAGGTCTGAGAGGAGCTGGGTTGCCATGTTGATGTTTTCGGGATAGAATATGGCGATATCTTTGTCCGAGTTTTTAGTGCTACTTGACAATGTCGACGATGATTGCATGAGTATTCGCAGTGCTTGCGCTCTGTTGGCGTATAGAGGGGGATAGTCCGGGCGCTCCGTGATCAAAGACGAGAGATCATCAATAGCTTGCCTCAAAACATGGGAAACTGCTTCTTCATCGCAATGTGGATTGCTTGAAGTGCGTGTATGTGCATGTGATTGAATCTGGCGAACGATGGCTAGTTCACGGTCCTTGAGAGACTGAAGCGCCGTCTCCTCCCTAATAGAACACTGGGGAAACGATGGCAGTGACGCATCGATTCTAGCATTTTGACCGGAATGAGCAGCGACTGTTGACGAAGAGTTTGGATATGGGTTCACATCATGTGCAGAAGACGAAAATGATCCCTCGCCATTGTCGAAAAGAGCTTGTAGAACGGCAGCGTCGTTGGAGCTGAGATTGAGGTTGATCCTTGGGGTATTGATTGTCGTTGCCGATGCCATGATGGATATAAGATATTTTTCTCTGTATATCTCTCTTTTTTAATTCTTCGGGGTTGCCATTCAATAAAGCGCAAAATTCACAATGCAATGGGTCATATATCAACTCATTACGAATCAATCTGTAGATCAAAAGACCTCGTACATTCCATGTTGTACTCCTCGAGAAATATGCAAGCATTGCATATTTTGTCGATGGCATACCGGCGGCTTGCTACGGCTGCGTGTGAATTCGCCCCGGGGGGGAGAGTAAACTACCCGTGAGTATCCGTTGGCAGAGGCGTTCCGTCGCAACCAATGTTGAATGCAGGACTCCACCCCCACTTTCTGCTTGTCCATAGTCGGTCGAGTCGATGAACAAAATCCGATGGAATGGCTCTAGCCGGCGCTCTATATTTGTCTTGCTGGAGTCAATCTTTGCCAGTAAACCTCCTTGCCCTTCCACTGCATATTCAACCATAGCAACAACGAAAGCCATGGCATCTTGGCTCTCAATCCCCGTAGACTCGCATTTCTCTCTTGCGAACATCCCATTTGGGATTATTTCTACCTCCAAGTCAAGCGTCCCTGTGCCTGCAATTGCCATAGGTAACTATGCACTTGATCTCTCTACGTTTACCAAGGCACAGGGCTTTTCAAGTCTACCCAGCTTCCATCCCCATTTAGATGTGTTTCATCAGTCAACCTTGAATGGGTTTGCGGCTCTCGGCCGACCGGTCCACAGACAGGTCAGGGAATATCTTCAAGCGGTGTTCAAGAACGACACGCCGTTCCCCTCCGTACTCAAGGAAAACGCAGCTCTTCAGAGGGAAGCCCTTATCCCATTGAGCGAAGTGACAAACCATCTCCCACTTCAAATTGGGGACTATACCGACTTTTACGCCGGAAGGAATCATGCATTCAATCTTGGTTGCCTTTTTCGTGGTCCCGAGAATGCCCTGCAGCCAAACTACAATAGCCTGCCCGTTGGGTATCACGGTCGTGCGTCGAGTGTTGTCGTTTCCGGAACGCCCATCGTCCGACCCACGGGGCAAATCCTAACAAATCCAACTGCCACACCCAAGATACCCGTCTTCATGCCATGTAAGAGGCTAGATATCGAGCTGGAGTTAGCTGCTTTTGTCAGCACGGGCAACAAGCTCGGCCAGCCGGTGCCTATTGACAAAGCAGAAGACCATATCTTTGGCTTGGTGCTGATGAATGACTGGTCTGCGCGGGACATTCAGGCATGGGAATACGTGCCCCTGGGACCATTCAATGCTAAGAATTTTGCGACAACAATCACTCCATGGGTCGTTCTCATCGATGCACTGGAGCCCTTTAGAGCACAAGGTCTTGAGCCGGGAAATCGCGATTCTCTCCTCCCCTATCTTCGGGAGAAAAGACCAGACAATGTCTTTGATATCAAATTGGAGTTCGAGCTTAGACATAGCAAGGAAGATGCCCCAACTCGTATCTCAACTACAAATGCCACAAATCTGCTCTATTCATTCTCGCAGATGCTGGCCCACCACACCATTACGGGCTGCAATCTGCGCACGGGTGACTTGTTGGGCAGTGGCACAATCTCGGGCAAAGAGCCAAAAACACAGGGTAGTCTACTGGAGCATACTAATGGTGGAAAGGAACCAATTACCTTGTCTGACGGCACGACCAAGAGGATATTTCTCGAGGACGGGGATGAAGTGATTTTGCGAGCTGTTGCCGGGGATGTCGACGGTGCATACGTTGGATTTGGCGAGTGTATCGGCAGCATCGCCCCTGCTGTTAATTTTACTTTTTGAATTTAGTCGTGGTTTTGTGAGAAGAATCTGTAAGTATAATAGTCTGCGGTAACATGGCCGAGTTGGCTAAGGCGATGCATTCGGGCTTCGAAAGACGCAAGAGTTCGCCATCAAATCTTTTAATGTATTCCCCGGGAGTGAACCCGAAACTCCGCTCCGCAAATAGCCGGCTTTATCCAGATTTGTTTTTGGGTCATCTGAATTTCTGGGGTAAATCCAATCGATTAGATGTAGAGGCATGGTTAGTATAAAACCGTCGTTTTGAGTAATTCAATGTCCCAAGAAACCGGAAATAAATAACACCTGCTATGGCTTCTGACTCACCGATCTTTGATCTTTACACTTATTTTCGCTCATCATGCTCGGCGAGATTGCGCATTGCATTGAATTTGCGGGGTATACGCTATAACCCGATCTTTGTCCATCTGCTCAAGAACGAGCAGTTAACTGAACAACATCGAGCCCTCAATCCATCCTTGAGTGTACCGGTATTGGTCGTGCATCAAGCGTCACAAGAGGATCTGGTCATTCCCCAGTCACTTGCCGCGTTGCAATATCTAGAGGAAACAATCCCTCCCACAAGTCCGAGCTATCGACCTTTGCTCCCCAAAGACCCAGGGCTGCGGGCCATCACCCAGAGTCTAGTCTCAATTATCGCATCAGATATCCAGCCCGTTGTCAATTTACGGACCCAGAAATGGGTCAAGGAGCTCGGAGTTGACCCGACCCCTCTATGTCGCAAGACAACAGATGCCGGGTTTACTGCCTACGAAGCGTTGTCTTCGAAAGTAGCCGGTAATTTCAGTGTTGGGGATGAGATCACTTTGGCAGATGTCTGTCTTGTTCCCGCTGCATGGAGTGCTGCACGATTCGGCGTTGATATTCAGGTTTATCCCACTATCGCACGGGTTGTTGCAAGGATGGAAGAGGAGGATGCAGTCAAAACAGCCCACTGGAGGAACCAGCCGGATACACCGGAGGAGTTTAGGCAGGCATAATATGATTACTTTGAGTCTAATGGAATAGTATCAGTTAATAGATATCAGCAGATGCTTCCCTGGCGTTGGCCGTTATCTTAACCGGGGCTCTCACATGCATTAATCGCTCAGTAAAGTAGAGTCGAGACATATCAGCGTGCTTGCCATCAGCACGCATCATAAGAGTAAACTAACTGCGAATGCTAGTCTCCTCATGCAGCAAAATGTCACCTTGAACCAGGCCAACATGTACATCGCTGCAGATGCGACGTTGTCATCGTGGTTGAAATGTGGTCGGAGTTTTTCCGTGATGTTTTTGCAGAATCTGTTCCATAGACGGAAGGAGCGGCCCTTCCTTCCCTCCGTCGCTCCTTCTCTTTCTGCTCCGTCCACGATCCAAATCACCTGATTCATTCATTCCTTCGTTGTGCGCGTAACAACGTCCGACCAACTAACTCCCCCTCCTTCATGAATCAACTCAGGAACCGGGCCTTGATAAGATGCAATATAGCGGGCGGCAATGCAACGCTGAGAGCGTCTCGGTCTACATACTCACCAATCTTAGCCCTGCATCTGCAAGGATCGACAGGCACCATGCCCTTTCACCGTGCCCATCACGACGCCACCTCCTCTCCCCGCTATCTTGCCCGTCTGGTGTCCGAAGCACGTTCCATTATACCTAAAATGGGGGTTGATCAAATCAAGGAAAGCGTGCATACCTTGACTACCCCTCTCGCAATGGACATGTGTGACACGGGGGCTCTATTTAACTCCTCTTCCTTCTGCGTGTTTACTTTGATCAGAGAGGGTCGTGTTCCATGCCTTGACGCGTCGCCTTTTGCTATCGACTCCCATCACGATGGCTCGAGCGCTCACGCTCTGGTCCCTGGGCTCTCTTCTGGGTCACGTTGTCTCTGCCAGCAACACTACCAACAGCACTTTCGACTATGATGTACTACAGTATATCGATCCTTTAATCGGAACTGCGAATGGAGGTAAATATATATCTTATGTTATTATATCCGGCGGTATATAAATAGATATTGTCTCTTGAGGCTAACGGTCACGCGATCTTTCAGGAGACGTCTTTCCCGGTGCAACGCTGCCTAATGGCATGGCCAAGGCTGTTGCTGATACCAATTCTGGAAGTAATCAGGGTGGTTTTACTCTAGACGGCTCGCCTATCACCGGATTTTCTTCAATGCATGATTCCGGCACTGGTGGTGATCCTTCTCTTGGGAACTTTGCCCTTTTCCCTTACACAAGCTGCGTTAACGATACGATTGACGGGTGCACTTACCCAAAGCTATCAAGACCTGTCGCTTTCGATAATACATCCCTCGTCGCAACTCCCGGTTACTTTGCTGTCACTCTCGGCACCGGTATCAAGGTTGACATGACTACCGCTCAGCATACATCTTTGTTCCGATTCCAGTTTCCGACCACCGATTCTCCTGAGAGTCCCCTCATCCTGATGGATTTGACCGATCTGTCTAATTCGCGACAGGACAACGCTACGATCGATGTAGATGAATCGTCCGGGCGCATGACTGGCTCGGGTCGATTCCTGCCTAGCTTTGGTTCTGGCGACTACACTTCTTACTTCTGCGCTGATTTCCAAAGTGCATCTTCAATTCGTGATAATGGTATTTTCGTTAACTCGCGCGCTACCTCTGAAGCCAAGTCTCTTAGAATCTCTCGTAGTATCAACGGTTATCCTTTGCCCGTACGTATTAAAAAAAATTGCTTTTCTGCTTGTTTAGAGGCGCTGACAAAACATGTACTGTGAAGGGTGGCGCATGGATTCGGTTCAACGCCTCAACAAATTCCTCAGTTATTGCACGCGTTGGTATAAGCTTGATTAGCGAAAACCAAGCTTGTTCCAATGCTGAGAAAGAAATCCCGAGTTTTGACTTCAACTCCACTTACTCTGCAGCAGTAAGCATATGGAGAGAGAAATTGAGTCCTATCCGAGTGTCTCGCAGTGCCGTCAATGAATCATTCCTCACCAACTTCTACAGTGGAATTTACCGAACAATGATTCAACCCCAGGACTACACAGGAGAGAACCCGCTGTGGGAAAGTTCGGAACCATATTTCGACTCTTTGTATTGGTAAGGCTATGGTGTCTCTTGTAGTTTCTCTCAGGAATATGTGTATTTGCATGACTGACACATCATAACAGTATCTGGGATCTCTTCCGCTCACAGATGCCATTCATGACCTTGATAGACCCGGCCACAGTAACTAGAGTCATTCGGTCACTGATTGATACCCAAAAACACTTAGGCTGGCTTCCTGATTGCCGCATGTCGCTTTGCAAAGGCTACACTCAGGGTGGCTCGAATGCTGACAACATCATAGCCGATGCCTACGTTAAGGGCCTTCTGGACGACATTGACTGGGACGCTGCGTATGCCGCAGTACAAAAAGACGCCGAGGTTGAGCCCTATGACTGGTCGAATGAAGGGCGTGGTGGGCTTGCAAGCTGGAAGTCATTAAATTACATTCCAGTTCAGGATCTGGACTACGTGGGTTTTGGCACAATGACTCGCAGTATTTCACGTACATTAGAATACAGCTACAACGACTTTGCCATATCACAGATTGCGCGAGGTATGAACAAAACGGCAGATGCTGAGAAGTACAAACAAAATTCGGCCTTCTGGCAGAACCTTTTCAAGCCGGATCAAACATCATATTACACAAACGGCACCGACACTGGGTTCGTGGGCTTTTTCCAGCCCAAATATCTGAATCAAACTTGGGGTTACCAGGTGTGTTTTAGATTTCCATGATCATATGTTAATCTTTACTTATATTCGAATAGGATCCTCTTATGTGTTCCAACATTGACACCAGCGGAAGTATTTGCTCTCTCCAGAATGATGCTGCAGAGACGTTCGAATCTAGCATCTGGGAATATCAATTGTGAGATTATGCCAGACAATAAATGATAATTGGGTCCAATGCTAATATTATGACAGCTTTGTCCCTCATGACATGGCGAGTCTGATAACTCTACTTGGTGGTCCATCTACATTTGTTAAACGTCTTGACTACTTGCATGATGAACAAATTACCTATATCGGCAATGAGCCCGCGTTTCTAACTGTCTTCCAGTACCATTATGCTGGCAGACCAGGCAAGTCAGCCAGCCGTGCTCACTACTATATTCCTGGGTACTTCCAAGTGTCCCCCGATGGATTACCCGGTAACGACGATTCAGGAACCATGGGCGCATTTGTGGCCATGTCAATGATGGGACTATTCCCAAATCCCGCTCAGAACGTATACTTCATTATTCCTCCATTTCTTGAGTCCGTTCAATATAAATCACCCTTGACTAATCGAACATCGACCATTAAAACGGTCAACTTCGATGCGGATTACAAGAATATCTACATCCAATCTGCTACGCTCAACGGCCAGCCATATACCAAGAATTGGATTGATCATAGCTTCTTCACCGACGGAATGGAGCTTGTGCTTACCTTGGGTCGCAATGAGAGTACTTGGGGTACTCGGGATGCCGATCTGCCTCCGTCAGTGTCTACTCAGAGCACGTCGGGTCTTGAGCAGAGAAGCGCTGGATCGGGATTGGTGCATCCGTACAATGTTGTGTTCTAGAAGGAATAGTAATCTTGTATCTAGAGACTCTTAGTGTGTGTATAATTGCACTGCGCCTTGTGTGGCGAAGGGTGACCAGGGCGATTTTTTCTTGTTCTTATGCAAGATTTGATTCTAGGGCTTACCCTGAAACATGACGTCTTTTTAGGAACGATGGTAAATTTGACAATGCGTTATATGTCCAATTAGATATGTCTTGAATACTTATACGTAGATAGGTAATCCAGTTGTATTTTCCAATGGTGAGCATACAAATATGTAAAAATATGCATACATAGGTATCCTTCATATACCCTCTCTATTCAGGTAGATTCCACAGAAAGTCCAATGTCCCTCCATCAAAGCCTGACAGTTGCCCACCACCGGGTCCAAAGGGCGCCATTGACGGATCAAATGGAAGCGAGAATAACCAGTCGTTATCATTGACAACAGGAAGTGAGTCTTCATTGACTATCGAAGAAGACGATGAGGCTGCTATCACAGCATCCTCTGACATATTGTCATTACTATTGTTATTGATGCCATAGTTCCGAAGACCCTCAACGCCCATGTCCCCACCCCTGAACAATAGAGGTTGTGTAGAAGATTGCCGCGTGCTATTACGACCTGACAAAGATGCCCCGCCTCCTCCTGCGGCAGCAGTAATGGGGCCACCAATGCCACCGACGACCTTGGGGGCCATCGTTGAAGAAGACGATGACGAGGCAACCATATTTCGGCGCAATCTCGAAAGATGAACTTCAAGCAAAATGGCGTATCTCGAAGCGAGATGCACGTCATCCAGGATGTTGGATCTAAGCGCCTGTATGCTCCTCTCGAGGATGTCGAAGGATTCTTGTAATTTTGTATGTCGTACACCCAAACTTAATGCTTTGAGGAGGAAGATTGAGGAGCTTGTAACGCGGAGGAAGATGCGAACGGGCGAAAAACGCAGTTTGTCTGCTTGGGCTAGTTCTATTACCTTTTTCAGGATTTGACAGGATCCATCTATGACTTCTTCGATGAACTCGTGGTCAATCGGGTCTAGATTGATTTCCGTGGTGGTGGCTTGTGCTGTTGATGTCGGGTCGACAGTGTTGTTGTTGTTGCTGGACACGGGGTTTGTTGAGGAATCTGCTAGAATGCGCTCAACAACGGCTTGCATTCCGAATGAATGTGTGTATACTCGCACGTAATGATACTCAATATGGAGAATGTTGACAAAATTTGCGCTTAGTCCAACAGGAGAATCAAGATGGCGAGCACGCCACTGTGTCAGCAACGGGCGGAAATGGTCGAGTAGTCCTATATAGCGCCCGCTGTGAATTTGCTGTTTTGCGAAGGATGCAGATGGAAATAGCATGTCATTGACGGATCTGGTGAGCTTCGTAAGATCCATCCATGAATCCATGAATGTTGACCACTCAGAGTTGTCATCAAACACGTGCTGTAAATTGCCGATGACGCGGCTGAGGTTCTGCGGCATCAAGGACATACATCCTATTCGTGAAGAAAGCTGATTGATATAGACGTAGAGTAGTTGTTGAACACGTTGCTTGCGTACTTTATTATGAGAAACTAAATTTGGAATGGGCTGATGTGAGGGATGCGGAATGCGTTCTTCCGGCTCAAAGATACAGAGTTCATGAGCAAGAGAGAATGCAGATCCGAGAAGCATCCAGGACATTTGATCTGAGCGTCTAGCAGGCTCAATCACATCTTGTAGCCATTGATTCGAAGATGACTCGGGCTGGCTCGGGGTTGTCGTTCCACCGACATCTATATCTGAATCCCATGCATCGCTCTCAGGTGGGAAATGAAGTGATCTCGGATGCCATTCAGAGATTAGCAGAAGAGCTTCTATTGTGCCTAATGTTCGAATACTGCCTTTCGAGGATCGCTCTTGGCCAAGCATCAGACGCATGATTAAGCTCTGACAATGCATCCATAGTCTGTTATGGATGAAAAAGCTTCTCGAGGCTCCGCCAATTCCAGGCAGGACATGATAGCGAGAGGAAATCATCAGAATTGTGCAACAGAGAAAATACTCATGTGCTACAAGAGTATGATGATTCTCATGTCTACGGTAGAAGTCCGTCAAAATTGGAGATAGGGGGGATAAGTTTTCGAAAAATCTGCCATTGTCAACTCCGCCCACTTTTTCTTATATTACTGGTCAATGTTCGTATGCATACGTACCTGTCAACAAAAGTGACCGCTTCCTTAGCCGTAAACCAACCTAATTTGACTAGTCGGAACGATTCCCATACCCCAAACAGACTTGGGTCACTTCTCGATATCTCTACAGGAGGAGGCGCTGCTGGACTAGTGCCAGTAGCGATGGCCTGTGGAAGAGGCTGATGAACCTTTGACATGCCATTATCTGAATCGATGCCAGGTTGTCTTGTTGGGGTCATTTCATTACTTTTTGAGTTTGTGTGAGCTGCAGCCTCGAACAGGAGATTGAGTGCATCATTCCCGCTCGAAACTACATTGCGCATTAAAGAACTCGTCAAACGATTAGAACCAGACGAAGCTTGAAAGTCCGCGGCTTCTTGAGGGTCCGGATGTTGTTGATGTAAAGATAAACCTGGCGAAACCACCGACTCTCTAGATTGAGATGACGGAGAGTGCAATGCCGGATTGTGAGTGGAATCTACATTGGCCTCAGTACATGAATCTCAAGTAACATGTAACACATGATACTAGTTACCTGTCTTTGGTTTCCTGGCCCACGACCTCTTCTCACTGAAGACGCAGCTTCTTTGCTCTCGTCGACAGCGGGCGCATGGTGGGCCAGAGATTCCCAGATCACATTTGGCCTTCTTTTGCCGGCATGACAAGCAGGCTTTGTACGCGCGCTGAAAATCCCGGTTACCAGATGCTCGCCTCTCGGGCGGTCTGACTATGTCGTCCATCAGCTAGTGCGCAGCTGGAATAGGACTCGGCGGCGTTTTGGCAATAGCTTTGTTTGTCGAGGACAACGCCAGAAAATTGCCGTGGATATCCTATCGCGTGCCGCACGGGCCAACGGATCGCTTACTGTCACAAATCCTGCCTAACGGGACGCGCTCCTTACGGAGGGAAACAAAGGCTGTACCGGTTGACAATCTAGTGTTGTCTCGAAGGGTCAGCCAGAATATTGTATGCATAAGTGAGTGGAATTATATCTGAGATACGCGGATAATGCGACATAAACTACCCCAGACTCTCGGCTTTGGAGCTAGGCCAGGAAGGGACTAGTCTCGGTTAACCGGTTCCGGTGCAATGCCTGCGACGCAAGTGGCAGAAAACATTGACCTCACATCGTATGTCGGCTTTATCGCTAACCCATTTCGCAACATCTACGTTCGATTCTTAGCATATTCGTAGTCGTTTAGCGATCTGAGTCATTTTCTACAGCATATATTTGGCGAAATACTCCCCACCCGCGGCCCGTCGACCCTACGTTACTCGGTACGCGCCCGACTTCATATTTGAAGGAGCAAGCGCCATGCTCTCTAGCTCGTCGTTCTTCATGAACTAAGACACGATGGCGCCTATGGCAGAGGCAGATATACGCTTGGAATCAACCAAAGGCTCCTTAGCAGGCACCGTTGCATCTAGAACAGCGTTGGCCGATTTAGGTTCTGGTCACAACGGCTCTTCAACATCTTACGAGAGTCTTTCAACTAAAAATGTCCATGACGCTGAAGCACAACACGAGTGGGAGAAAGTGGCTTTAAATCTTCGACCGCATGGTGTGAGTCAGAGGGTTGATACACCACTGAAGAGCCAAGATGCGGCCGAGGAAAGCAATGGACCGGCGCCGGAAGTATATCGAGAAAAAGTACGGGGGCCTTCATCTTTCGGTCTTGGGATAAAGTTAGATGGAACTAGGGAAGATGGAGTAGAGGAAGCGGGTTGTTCTAGCGCCGAAACTGTTCAAACACCGTCATCCCAGCTCCGGAAAACCAATCAAGAAAAAGGCTCCAAATTGTCCCCGTCTCAAATCAAGGAGCTCATTTCGTCTCCAGAGTCAGTCCCGATATCAAAGGTATCGCACAATTTTGATAAGGAAGATGCCGCCACTGCTTTTACGTACAAGCATCCCTTGTCCTCAAGTGAAAACACGGATGAAAACATGACTAAGGCCAGATACAAGGCCGAGTTCTTAAGGTCAATCAGTGGAAGCTTTTACCAGAAACGAGGATCAAAAGGACCAAGTCATTTGGACGATCCCCCTAGCTTTCTCATTTCAACTGAAGACGGGCCTATGACTGCTCCTATTGGCCAACGATCACACGCTTCCCGCATGGTGACCAGTCCAGCTGTTTTTCCGAGGCGGAACTCAGTAAGCGATGAACAGCGATTGACATCCAATCCGTCTGTCCGATCAAAGCATAAGGAGACTCCTAACCATATTGAAGTGCCGGAGCATAAATTACTCGCGGAGGATCCCAACCCTTCTCCAATGCCTCAGTCAATACCTCTACCGCCCTTGTCTATTCCCACATATTTAGAGCTAGAGCTTTCTTCCCAACCACCACCCGGATACATATATCGCTCCGTGGCAAGTCAATATACATATGAATCTTCGCGTGTGAAGATCGAGCGACTCCTAAATTTCCTCCTGCTTCCTCCTGCTCTAGAACAAGTTTTATGGTTTGGAGCGCTAGCGTGCCTTGACTCGTGGTTGTATGCCTTCACAATTCTGCCACTACGGTTTGCCAAGGCACTTTACATTCTTGTGTCTTCCTGGGCTATTAATATATCTGGAGAAACTCGATCCATCAGTGCCTTTATCGTCAAAGGGGTTGGTCGAGTGTGGCGAAGACGATTTCGGAATGCCAACAACGCGCACTCTGGTTCGGCGCACGATTCACATCATGGGAGTGTAGCAGGATCTAACGGCTCGACGATTGTGAATGGAAATGCGGACACGAATCTGCAAGCTCGACAGAATGGTGGCAAGCGACGTAAAGCGTCAGCGCAGCCAAAACATCGAAGACAGAAATCAATTCCATCCGCGTTGTCGGAGCACGACAAAGCGGACATTTTGAAAGGGTTTCTTATTATTTGCACTTGCCTCGTCCTAAATTCATTTGATGCCAGTAGAATGTATCATTGGATCCGAGGGCAAAATGCTATAAAGCTCTACGTCATCTATAATGTGCTGGAAGTTGGTGATCGTCTCCTTTCTGCCATTGGGCAAGACGTTCTCGAATGTTTATTTTCCAGCGAAGCGCTCTCGAGGGGACATGACGGTCGAAGCAAAGTCGTCCGCCCGTTCTGGCTCTTCGTGCTTGCTCTTGCATATACCACATCGCATGCGACTGCGCTTTTCTATCAGGTGATCACACTGAACGTTGCTGTGAACTCCTACTCAAATGCCTTGATAACACTATTGTTATCCAACCAGTTCGTTGAGATCAAATCGACGGTATTCAAAAAGTTTGAGAAGGAGAATCTGTTCCAGATGACGTGCGCAGATGTCGTGGAACGCTTCCAACTCTGGCTCATGCTTACCATAATTGCGTCCCGGAATATTGTGGAAACTGGGGCATTCACCTCCTGGTTTACTGTGGGGTCTGGTATGAAAGATCATGTAGGAACGTCGATCACTAATAGCACTCCGTTAACTACCTCTCCGCGCTCATCAACATCGATTCTTCCTCAATCCTTCACCTTCTTACCATCTACAATATTCACTTCCTTGACAGGTGGTGCCAACTCGTTCGTCGCTCAGTTTGCTCAAGTGCTTGGTCCATTTCTGATTGTTCTGGGATCAGAGATGTTTGTGGATTGGCTGAAGCATGCATATATTAATAAATTCAACAATACTCGGCCGGCGATTTACGGGCGATTTCTCGATGTTTTAGCCAAAGACTACTATACAAATGCATTTGCGGACCAGAATCTTGCCAAAAGACTTGGCCTTGCGGTTATTCCAATGGCTTGTCTGTTTTTCCGCGTCTCTGTGCAGACATATCAAATGTTTTTGCAGGCACTACTACCGATGCAAGCGTCTTCAACTGAGTACAGTGCATCGTTGACAGCTATGCACGAACATTATTCGAATTTACCACAACCGTCGTCTCCCCCTATGCCTTTGACCGTTCAAACGGTCGTGTCGAGCTCAATTGAACGACTCTCGTGGATCTTTAACACTATTGTTGAGAATGCCATCCCCTCGCCGATTCAGTCCGTGACGTTCTTCACCATCGTTCTTGTGCTCACCGGTTACCTCATCCTTCTTATCTTCAAACTAACACTGGGAATACTCCTTCTATCCTACTCCCGTTCCCGCTACAAATCGATGAAGGAACGCGAACAGAAACATTTTTTCGGCAGGCGGAGAGGATCATCAGTTTCTCAGAATACACAGCAATACCAGCAGCAGCAACAACAAAACGAACCATCTCATGTCCCCAGTGGCCGGGATTACAATGTCGAAGGCGGTCGACGAGTTGGCGGTTGGGGTGTGGTCGAAGTTGATGAGGACAAGAGACGCTGGATCTACGCCGACGACCCGAACGCACTGCGAAAGCTAAAAGAGCGCGAGCTAAAGGACAAGAATTCTTCAGCCAAGGACAGTGGGTTCATGTTGGGTCTTGACAAGGTGAACCGATATGATATGGTTGCCAAACGAATTTGGTAGTTTTTCTATTATTTAAATCCATGAAGATATATCGCATGTATATAGATAGAGTCGAGCATTTGCATTCATTCAGACTATCCAACTTAATGTAATATACAACCTTTCAAAAGTAGGAAAGGATCAGAATACCCAGTTTCATGAACATTCAATGTGTCGTCTTATCTTTTCTTTGTGTTGAACATACAATCAATATATCTCGAAGAAAATGACTCTCTATCTATGTATTATGGCTAACTTTTCTGACCTGAAATTAACACACATAAGACAGACCATTAGAATGACCGGAACAAAAATGAACAGCACCAACAACGAAACAAGCCTTTAATCAACCCGCTGAGGTAACTTTTCAAACACCCATCCGAAAATTTCCCGACTCTTATATAAATTCATCACACGAAGTCGCTCATTATCCAAATGAGCATTGTCACTAGCCTGCCCACATGGCAAATTAGCTGCCGGTGCCGAAAACTCCTTTTCCAAAAATCGGATCGTAGGAATTGAGCCCCCCTCACGAATGTAGATTGGCTTCACAGGCGTTACATTTGGTCCCTGCGCAGCCCGCGCTGCGGTGGCTGTTTGATGTTGAAAACCTGCGCGCAACTGGTGGTTTGAGGATAGCCCAGCTGGCAGTGAAGAAGAGGTAGATGAGAAAAACAGATCATCTCCATGTTCGCTTTCGTCAGCGCTGCTCGATCCGTTGGTTCTGGCTTGTTTCCCAGTTAGGGTTGATGAGGTTGGCACCGTGGTCGCGTTGGTGGTGTTTTGTTTCCTTGTGGACTTCCTTTTATGCGAGGTGGTCGAGGATGAGATAATTCGGTCAATGTGAGATGCGACGCTGTCGTTTGACTCGCTGCGAATGAGTTCCGATCCAAACGGGCGTGTGACTGTTTTCGATTGGAGTTGGGGATAGTTATGTCGTTTGTCATCCGAGTCTGGTGTCCATGCTACGGTAATAGCTTCGGCCAATGTGCCGAATATCTCGTTATCAGGATCGCCTAACCATGGATCCGATTTACCTGTGATCTCAACTGTGAGCTCATTTTGGGATTCTAACAGATCAAACTGCTCCTGCGCAAAAGCCGTCAGTGCAGACGCAATCTCATCCGCGGATTGATTAGGTACGATTCGCACGGACAAAGTTGCCTTTGCTCGCCGAGATATCGTGGTTCCAGTATTTTTGTTGCTGGGCACCTCGATCGAGTGGACGGTAAAAGACGGCTCTCTCCATCTATACATCAGAGACCTGGCGAACTCCTCGCTATCTTCGATTTGAGGGTGCAATGGAAGCAGCGCCTCCGTGATAGCATTATATCGGTCTTCCTCTGCCTTGCTTAGTCCTGCTACTTTGTCGTAGAAGTTAGGGAAGTTTATATGGCCCTTGCGCCCAATAAATGTCGCAAGAAGAAGGGAAAGATCTTTCAACGGCTCATCAAGCAGCGAACTTCCGTCAATGCCGCTATGCAGATCGGGATGATCGCTCGTCACAATCAAATTGGCGTGGACTACACCGCGAAGTCCGTAGGTGAGACAGGGGATATGGTCGTCCAGCCAGTAGCTGTTCGCGAGTAGAATCCAGTCGACTTTCCCGATCAGGTCTTTATTTTCACGGATTGCCTTTTTAAATCCTTGTGAGCCCGATTCTTCCTCGCCCTCAATCACAAATACGACATCGCAACCGAGAGTCTTGCGCCGAACTAAATCTGCTGCTGCGTACACAGCTGCCAAGATTGGACCTTTGTTGTCGGAAACACCACGGCCATACAAAAATCCATCTACAGAAGCCAGCTGAAAGGGGTCTGTTCGCCACTTGGGCCGATTAACATCCGCGCCTACGATGTCATAGTGGCCGTAAAATAGTATAGTCTTGACATCTGAGCGAGGAGAAGACGCCGAAAATCTTGCATAGACCACTGGGTTGGTATCCGCACCGGTCTGCAACAACTTAGTGGTTGCTCCCAAATAAGCACAGTGGCGTCGCAGAAATGTAGCTCCTTGGTTGCATTCGACGGAAAATTTTGGGCTGGATGAGATGGTCTTGTAGGAGACAAATTTGAACAGAGTATTAACCATGTCATCATTTCCAATGGGTTGACTCTCTTTCTGTTCTGGGTGTCCCGTCAAGTCCCAGATTGCGACAGTATTATCGTTTCCGCCAGTGGCATAAATGCCCCTGTTGTTGAACAAACCTGTTGCGGAAGCGAGAATAGTGCCCTCGTGAGCTGTCCAGGTTCCTATCTCCTCAAAGTTTGAATTGAATTTCTGTACCGTTGAAGTTCATTAGTTGACAGGCAGACAGACATCTCAACGAGAAAATAGAATAGACAAAAGTCTATACGCTTCAGTGAATCCTTACCTTAACAACTCCTTCGGCGTCTCCAGCAATTGCTATACCGTTGATAATATCAAGGGCCCACAGGTCACCCTGGTGTTCAGTAATCTGTTTGACAAGTTGCCGTGAATCGAGGTTCCAAATATTAAGGGCACCGCCAGCCAGGCCACAAAACAGGAGGGAACCGTCAATAGCCAGGGACAAGACAGCGTCGTCTCCATTGTCCAGTTCATACCATGGAACTAGAGTGCCTTTGCTCTCATCTGTCAGCCGCCATAACTTGACAGACCCATCTCCAGACCCTGTTAATAGCACTTCTTCAGATGGGGCAGACTCAATCAGCCCATGAACAAGAATCATAGAATAGACATATCCATGATGGGAGAATAGCCTATGCTGGTCGCGATTGAATGTGAGCGTTTTGCCCCTGTGATCAGCCAAGCCATGGGCATCGTGATCCTCTGATCGCGGATTGATACTGCCGCCAGGACCTCGCGAGTCAAAGAATCGATGTCTCCGTTGGGAGGGATGCCGTGCAACTACGCCAGCTTCATTCGTAGACAAATTGCACCACTAGAAATGTCAACCAAAAGTGCAATATACAAAAAAAGAAAGAAAGAAAAGAAAAAAACAGAGGAAAAACTTGTTATAAGTACCTGGAGACTTGTATTTTGACCACCACAGAACACAGTATTCAAATTATGAGAGTAAACAACAGCGAAAATATCACCAACATCATGATGCGAGTAGATGGAGTAGAGCCTCTCAAAAGTAACAGTCGACCATACCTAAGATTCTTAATTAATATATGATCCTTGTTCACTGCGCAAAGCGCAATGCAAATAGGGTGACAAAAAGCTAACAACAACATACGTTCACGACCGAGTCTCCGCCGCTGGAAAAAAGGAGCTGCCTATCACTGGAAAGGAACAAGGCCAGGACACTCTCTTCATGGGCGGGAACAGATAGCACTAGCTCGTAGGTGTCCAGAGACCAAGCCTATGATGTTGTCAGCCGTTTCAACCAATGATTCTTGTCCGCGACATACCAATATGTCGCCTCCCTGCAAGCCAGCAAAGACACAGTCTTCGTCTAGAGCCACGGCCAGCACAGATCTAGAAGCCTGAACACGATGGCCAACGGCACAGTCATTCTGCATTGGTAGCTTGCTTGACAGAATGCGGGTGTTCTGGTTCAGGATGTCATTGCTGGAGACAGAGGCCGGTGACTCATTATCGGAGTGATCGTCGAAATCGGCTGAATAGCGATGCATGGCGAGGCTAGTCTTCAAGGATGAGCAATTGAGTATGCTATTTTCTCTTTCTCTTTTCTTTTGATTTCTTTTATCTCACATTGGTTTGTGAAGATGTGCGTCGGTCAATGGCTAGGCCACGGCAGGCTCGAGCGCACTAGCATGGACCGACCCGCGTATGTATACTTTGGTTAAAGGACAGCCGTCAACCGCCAGGGACCATATGGCATACGCAGATATCGACGGGATATCAGTTGATGTTGTTTTGGGGGGCGTGGCACAAGGAGGCAGGGCGTAGATGATGTGATCGAGAGCAACAATTAGTGCAAGAAAATCGGTGGAGTTCGTCGGTGGCAGCGGGATCTCCACTTCCAGATCTGCCCGTGCGGTGTCCAGCAATGGAACGATGTCTAATTGTGTATAGTTCGCATTTGATGTTGTCTTGTATTCGCTGGGTCGGGCTTGGTCTTCGGGCTTTGCTATTCGAATTTGCAGAAAGATATACAGTCCACTCCGTACACAAGCAGACAGACAGACCGGCGTACGCTAAGTGCCAACCCTAACCCTGATCTGGGGTTGATCTGCCCGAAGCTGCCAGCCTTGGCGTTCAGGCTTCACTTCAGGCATTCCACAGAAACAGACCGCCGCTTCTCGTCCAATTAGCCGGAGTGGCTCAGCAATAGTAATATGCTGATAGAAGTGATCGAGCATGGTCGGTTTGCCTCCAAGCTGCAAGCTGACATCGCCTGAGCGTCCATTGTCACTAATATATGTATGTCTACCTGACAATGACACCACTGCTCTCAAGCTTGTTGTTGGCATTGCTAATCCTGCTTGCTGCTCAATTTCTTTTCGATTACTTCTCCCCTTTTCGCAGACTTGCATACTATACATATGCGTTGAGGGCATCTTTTGCAGAAGAACAACATGTGGCGCAGCAGCAAGCACCAGCCACAGCCCAAGCGGAGACCTTGGGCCAATAGCGTGCGAGGGGACACCGCCAGTTCACGACTTTCTCTCGAAAAAGTTGGAAGAAAACCACAACTCTTTCACGCCCGACACGTCGACTGTGATGGCGAGCCAATTGCCGACTCGATTCGGTGTGGCCGCTGTACGATCCGTCGAGCCCCCTGCAATCATATTGTGACAACGCAGGTCCCCCTCTCCACCAGTAACCACTAATCGACAGCCGGCGCTTCCTGGTGTGTCGGGCCGCCTCTCAACGTGGGCGCTTCGTCTCAAGCATCCAGTGCCTGACCTGCCTTGCTGAAACCGTTTGCCGTTATGTCTGCGCGCCTTACTAGTGCATGGCTCTTATATGATCAACCCCAGCCACCACATGTCTTCCATCTGCTCTAAACAAGCTGGAAGCGCTTCTTTTGCCAACTACCACTGGCTTTCAACCATCAACCAAGCAACATATATGCGAACCATCATGATATATGCTTGAGCACTTGCAACGCGTGAAACTATCCCTCGCACTTCCCTCCGAGCCTGCGGAGGAGACCAAGAACAATGGCGGCAGTAAAGGAAACGATCGCGGTTATAGACAAATCGGGGAAGATGGTGTCGACAGTAAGCTGTCACCTTTTCTATCGAACCAACCTGATACTGACTTATGTCTCAATAGAGCAAGCACCTTTTCGGTGTATTTAAAGAGGCTCGCAATGCCTACCGCGAACGCAAGGCAGAAATCCAGGCAGCCAAGTTCGCCGAGAAGCAGGCACAAATCGCAGAGCGAGAAGCTCGTCATGCAATGGCCAATCTGGCTATTGATGATCGGCGGTCCGTGGCCTCATCTAGAAGATCGGGGAATAGCAGAAGTTCTCGACAGCGATATCCACCAAGCCGTGTCCAGCGAGTCGACGAACCCTCAGGCCCGTATTACGAACAAGATTTGCACAATGGGTATTTTTCTTACCAGGAGCCAAAATCTATACGGGAAGTTGGACGTCGACACACCGACTTTGAGCTCATTGCCAAAGAGCCGGCTCCTGTCGTTCCCGTGTCGCCGCCCGCGGCACATGTCGATATGGACTTGGCGTATGGAGAGGCGCATCCCTCGGCTTTAGAACATTATCAGCCAAGGCCTGCAGACGAAGAGGAACTCAATGGTCTCGTTGCCAGAGCCCAGGGTTTGCTGGAAGAGGCCGACTGCATGAAGCATACCGCAACAGCGACTATGGCCCATCTAGAAAAAAACCCCGAGGCCATGGCCGCAGTTGCCTTGACGCTGGCTGAAATCAGCACACTTACATCGAAGATGGCGCCCGGCATTTTAGCGGGCCTCAAAGCCACCGCTCCATCCATCTTTGCCCTTTTGGCAAGCCCACAGTTCCTCATTGCGGCTGGTGTTGGTGTCGGTGTGACAATTGTGATGTTTGGTGGCTACAAGATCATCAAAAAGCTCACAGAAGCACCTTCGACTCCGCAAATTGCGGCCCCTCAAGTTCAAGTCGAACCCCCAACTCAGCCCAAGGAGCAACCATCCGCCAGCGACGAAGAGCTGCTTGAGCTACAGAGCGAGCATCTCAGTCGAGTGGAAGTATGGCGACGGGGTGTGGCTGACTACGAGGCGAGTAGCGTTGGGTCGACCGTCGACGGCGAGTTCATCACGCCAACGGCGGCCATGATGTCTGGCCTTGATTTGTCAGATCCAACTATTTTTCGCAATCGGGGTCTCGACGTTGATGAAGGGTCAACAACGTCTTCTAGACGGTCAAAACATTCACGACATACGCGATACTCACACCACACACAACATTCGCAACATTCGCAACATTCACGGCGCTCTGGAAGGGGCGGTAGTAGTAGTCGGTCAACAGCAGAGGAGTCGAAGAAGAAAAAAACGACGGAACCCAAGAAGTCCAGCAAGTTACGATTGATTTTCACTGCATAGCGTTTTGGTTGATTTCTCTCTCCTTTCCACTCATCTCGCTTTTTACATTGCATTAGAGGATGTTTCTCTTGATTTAGCGATACATACGAACATACCCTACTTTTGTAACTACTCCTATGGGCGCAGGTATGGTTTCGCTTTTTAATATCTTGATAATACACATATTTTATGTATACATTTCATATCCAGTTATACAAGCATATAGTTATATGGACTAGCCCTAAAAACCCGAAACAGGAAATAAACGGGACGACTACCTAAGCACCTACAACGCGAGAGAGACAGACATGGCCACGTTAGACCAAGCCATACTTGTTATTTATTATACAGGCTTAGGTATTAGAAATCGGTCCACTCTCGACCGAAAAACGGATAAGCATGGCCCGACAAGAACGATATTGCGGCAAGGATATCAATATGGGTGAGTAAATGCGCAACACATGGAAATCCCAGAGGGGAAAAGTCCGCATGGCCGTCGTGGTTGATAAAGTCAAGAAACGACAAGAACCAAGCGAATAATATACAACGTACCCGCGAATAAACAATTCTATCGCTTCTGCTAGTGCATTCACGGTCCAATGAGAGCTGACTTGTTGATAGAATAAGGTACATCAGGATTTATAATCATGCCAGATTATTAATGCTCACTCGCGAAGTATTTAGATAGATACTTTATAAAGAGGGGCGGCGGAGGTGTGACATGATGTAATCGCGGGTTCCAGCTTTTTATATAGAGCCCTGTTGGCATTCAACTTTTCTCTCCTTTCTCTCTCGCAAGCACTCGATCATGACTGACTTTGAAAACACGCCCGCCAAGAGCGTCTCGTACTTCACCCCCGCGCAACATCCTCCCGCGGGCACTGCAGCAATCCCGCAGTCCGATGGCACCGCGGTCCCCAAACTCTTCCAGCCGCTGACCATCCGGGGCGTGACTTTTCCAAATCGCATTGGTGTAGGCTCTTCCTGACTCCTTCCTTCTGGCACTTCAATCGTACTGACCATGCACGCGCAACATAGCTTTCGCCCCTCTGCCAGTACTCGGCGCAAGATGGCCACATGACGGACTGGCATCTTGCGCACTTGGGCAGCATTGCGCAGCGTGGTGCTGGCTTCCTCATGGTCGAGGCGACCGCTGTGACTCCCGAGGGCCGCATTTCGCCCGAAGACGTGGGTCTGTGGCAGGATTCGCAAATCGAGCCTCTCCGCAGGGTTGTCGAGTTCGTTCACAGCCAGAACCAATTGATCGGAATCCAGCTTGGCCACGCAGGTCGCAAGGCCAGCACCGTTGCTCCCTGGTTATCGTTCAAGGCGAATGCCAGCGAGAAGAACAACGGATGGAACAACAACCTCAAGGCGCCTAGCGACATCCCCTTTGCAGACCTCGCCGTTCCCAAGGCGATGACAAAGCAGGATATCGAGGAATTCAAACAGGCCTGGGTTGATGCAGTCAAGCGTTCGCTTAAGGCCGGGGTTGATTTCGTGGAAATCCATAACGCGCACGGGTATCTTCTGTGCTCGTTCCTGTCACCCATGTCCAACAAGAGAACAGACGAGTATGGCGGCAGCTTCGAAAATCGCATTCGCTTGACCCTTGAGGTGGCCCAGCTCACTCGAGAGGTTGTCGGACCCAACTTCCCTGTCTTCCTGCGTTTCTCGGCGACTGAATGGTTGGAAGAGGTTAGGCCCAATGAACCTAGTTGGACACTGTCAGATTCGGTACAGCTGGCCAAGGCTCTTGCCGAGCAGGGTGCTGTTGACTTTTTAGACGTGAGCACCGGAGGCAATCACCCAGACCAGAAGATCAACGGCGGCCCTGCGTTCCAAGCACCCTTTGCAATTGAAGTCAAGAAGGCTGTCGGTGACAAGCTGCTCGTCAGCTCCGTCGGTACAATCAATTCCGGCAAGCTGGCCAACAAATTGCTGGAGGAGGACGGGTTGGACTTCGCGATCGTCGGCCGTCTCTTCCAGAAGAACCCTGGTCTGGTGTGGGCCTGGGCTGAGGAGCTGGATTTGGAGATCTCCATGGCGAATCAGATCCGATGGCCGTTTTCCCAGCGTGGAGGCGGCAAGTACCTCGCGAAGCCATCCACCAGGAAGCGATAGACTGGCTGGTCTAATGATTTGATGATACTACGCGTGATGCATAATAGCGGAGTGATGCAGTTGTATCCGGTAGACATGCATGTTGGCCCTGCAGATGACACGTTTGTCTTGTGCTGTCCTCTGTCTAGAAAGTAGATAAAAAAAAAAAAAAAAAAAAAAAAAAAAAAAAAACAAGCCAAACTCGTAATCTCGCCCACTTAACATATCGCATCTCCTTCCGAATGGGGCTAGTGTGCAGCATCAAACATCAAATCTTTCGATGTTGAGCCCATTATGCGGTTCCCCTTTAGGTTTAGCGCCTCCTGAGGAGAGGCATCTTGCAAGCCCTGCTTCCTCCTCTTGCGTTCATCAAACCATCAAGAGCCCTCCTCCTCTTCTCTTCATTATAAACAAAAGCATACACAATGGTATCGTGGACGGCAGTGGCCGCGCTAGCTGCAGTCTTGGTTGTCAAATTCACGCCGGAGTATTCCCTGCACTCCTCCTATTCTCTCACGGCAACTGCTTTTGTCTCGACAGCCTGGGTGGCCAGCTTTATCTATACTAGCATACTGTATCCGACATACCTGTCGCCGCTCAGACACATTCCTACTCCTCCCGTAAGTCTTCCTGCCCGGTTGTTTGTTATGATAAACTAACGCGCATTCAAAAAAAAAGAACCGTTCCTGGCTTTTCGGACACACCGCTTCTCTGGCGCTCCGATTTCCAGTCGAGCCGATCCGAGAGTGGGTGAAAACCGTGCCCAACAATGGCTTGATCAGATACTATGTCATTGGTAATCGCGAGAGGGTATTTCTCACCTCGCCCAAGGCAATTTCCGATCTTTTAGTGGCCAAAAGTTATGACTTTGTGCGCCCTGAGATTGCGCGTATTCAGCTGGAAACGGTGACCGGGGAGGGCTTACTGCTCGCCGAGGGAGATGTGCATAAAGTAAATATATATATTCAATATTCTATTTTCGTATGTCTACGCAATCTGCTTCTAACGGCGAATAATAGGCCCAGCGCAAAAGTCTCATGCCCCCTTTCTCCTACCGGCATATCAAAGACTTGTACCCAGTCTTCTGGAGCAAGGCTGTACAGATGACCAACGAGATCGAGAAAGGGGTGAAGCAGAAAAACGGAGAAGACACAATCCAAATCCGCGATTGGGCGAGCAGAGCGATGCTCGACATCATCGGCTTGGCCGGAATCAACAATGACTTCAACTCTGTCAAGGACCCTAACAACGAGCTCGCCCGTCGCTATCGAAGCCTCGCTGGTGAGACAACGGTCTTGCAGCTTCTTGCTGTGCTAGTATGTTTCTTCTTTATTGGGTTTAAATGGTTTTTTTATATCCCAACCAAACAAAACAGGACTATTCTGGATGCAGTGAAGTATATTCGCGAAGTTGCTCATAAGCACGTGAATGATAAAAGGACTCTCACACAACAGCACCAGCAGGGAGAAGCCGAAGGTGCCGCTGTAGATATTCTATCCGTGGCCATGCGCAGCGGTGGTTTTACCGATAGCAACCTCGTCGACCAGATGATGACCTTTCTCGCTGCTGGGCATGAAACGACGTCGTCAGCTTTTCAATGGTCTATATATGCGCTATCGAAGCATTCAGAGGCGCAGACTCGACTTCGAAAGGAGATTCGAGAAACCCTGCCATCTATTCCGTTTGACGACCTAGACGACATTAAAGACATCAATGATATCAAGAAGAGATTTTCAAGCCTGTTCTCCTCGATAGACAGCAACAACCACCACAGTCTCCCCTTTCTATGGGCCTTTATCAATGAAGTCCTCCGCTTCTACCCCTCTGTGCCATTCACATCGCGTCAAGCCCTTCGCGATACAACACTGGCTGGCCAATATATCCCCAAGGGCACAAATGTCCTCATCTCACCGGACGTGACCAATCGAGACGAAGACTTCTGGGGCAAGGATGCAGGGACATTCAAGCCCGAACGGTGGCTCGACTATGAAGACGGTGCCATCACTCACAACAACCACGGCGGTGCAAAAAGCAACTACGCCAACCTTACGTTTGTTCACGGCCCCCGCAGCTGTATAGGGCAGGGATTTGCCAGGGCCGAACTCGCGATTTTTGTCGCCGTGTTTGTGTATCGCTTCGAGTTTGAGCTTAGACATCCGGACAAGGAGCTGGAAATTAAACGAGAGATCACTCAGACGCCGGCTGATGGTGTTGTTGTTAGGGTTAGGACGTACATATCGGATTAGTGTTGAAGCTACGATATATATATCTACTACGACCTTAATTGAACTGCACAAATAACTTAGCAGGCCATGCATCAATCTTTTCATTAGCTACAATAATGCTATATTGCTTTTCCTGCAGAAATGCGAATGCGGATTGGAGCACGAGCAACAATCCCTGTCTGCACTAGTGACAGTAGAGCACGCTTCAGGTGGTATGTGCGTATCTATTTCCCCAGCCTTGCCTCGCCTTCAAAAACTTTTTCTTCGTTATTTTTTTTGTCCTTTTCTTTTTTGTACACCTGTATTTTATTGTGCGCGTTTCGCGTGTTGATTGACAGACCAATTCTCTGAAACGATGTCGGCAAAAAGGAAGACATCCCATGTGGAAGACCACACAAATTCTCTGTCTCAGGAGTCATCGACAGGAAGCAAAATCCGGCGCGTCACTAAGGAGGCTCAGTCAAACATTATCGTTGGACAACGAAGTGGTGGTAATGATGCTAGCGCTATCGCCACTGCTCCTACTGTTCCTCAGCCTGTACGAGAGATTTATGCCGTGATTCGATATCAAAGTTCGCTCCAATGCTAACACATCGAAGACATCGAAAACACAGGACCAAGTTTTTCCGCGGGCGCCGGATTTCGTTTCGCCTAGCTATCCTCGTGGCGACCATCCTAATAGCCTACAGAATCATGAAGATATTCAGCCACCGCAGCCACCGCAAAGGCAGCCTGTACAGTCATCTCAGGCCACTGAATCAGAGCGTGGGGTGATGATTACAAATGCCTCCTTTTCGAGATTTTATAGAACACATGAGAGTTGTCCTCTGGATTATATTTTCGGATATACTATGGACGTGTCGGTAGCTTTTATTTCAACTTTCAGGCCGTCGCCGTTACATCTGGTTCTTTATAGATACTGGATAGCCCGAGCCATTGAAATGATGTCTTTCCCAAATATGCAAAAGTGCAGGCTTTTCATTTCTCTGTCCTCTTGGTGCGAACTCGATGTCTCAGACCCCATATTACCCATACCAAGGAGAGTCGCATGGCCCAACAAGGTAGACGTACCACAGGCACGAATTGGCCATCTCTTTTCGACCAGCGTGTTCGGAAACGACTATGACATCCCTTTGTATTACATCCAGATTGTGCGCGGACTATCCGACGCTGTCAAAGTTGTCATTTGCGCCTCCAAACGCGAACTGGTGAGCTCGGTGTACTACGAGTTATTTCGCGGATATTCGACTGTTTTGATATGCGGCATATGCCAGAGTGTGTCTCGTATGCTGTGCTCATCAGATTTTGGTCAGGATGGAATAGAGCCGTTTATAATATATGAAGGGCACACGGCTGGTCAGGCGCAGGAGCTCTTGGGGCGGGTTGACAAGAAGATTGCTATCGTCTGCTAATTTCTCGTCTCGATGGAAACGGAGCCTAATAAGTGTGGCCAATATGGATATATTAATGGTGAATGAGAGAAGTATGGGAATGGTAGTAAAAGACAGGCAATGTAGGTTTTATTTTGATGGTACCTGTAACTTCGATAGGGTTAGGGCTAGGACATGTTATCGATCTTGAAGCTGATGCGGGCTATGATATCTACCATAAAAGTAGTGGCAATATTTAGATAATACCATAATTTAAACACTTCCCAATCTCTTCTCCTTCCCTTCAATGCATTCATTATATCTTACACCCGTGAATCATCAGTCGTAACCATAACCACTCTCAGCTGAATATGTACACATAATCATTCCATATTCTTTGCACAAGAAGAAAGAAAGATCACGCCCGTTTATACTTCCTCGGATCCTTCCTGCTCATCTTCACTTTGTCTCTCGTCCCTTTCCCGCCTTCCCAGAATCCACTACCGGCTTTACCGACGAGGACATTTTTACATATTCCGCATGTCTCGGGGCGGTAGTGTTGTTCGCGGGAGCAGAAGCCACTAGACATGAAAAAGCGTGTTAGTTGATATTCTCGACCGAAAGATAGAAAGAAGTTGTGGACAGATGTACCATATCATTCGGTTCGCGTGCTCGTTTGGATGATCTGTGGCTGCGTCGTGGCATCTATAATCGATTTGTCAGGAAAGCAACTAGAGTAACAGGCCGGTATACGTACTTGTCGCACGGAAAGACTTTGGCGCAGCAGCTGAATCTGTTTGAATGGCGAATACGATTAATGATGAATCATCCATGAACAATACCAAGAAGCATAAAGATAGACTCACCTGAACCACCGATAACTCTTCCCATAATGCCCACATCGACCTCGACGAGGTAGTTCTTGGCCGCTGGTAATGCCCAGGTTCTCTCGGATCTGTGACGAGAGTTCAAGTTAGAATCATGCCCGGTACATGACAACAGGAACGAACAACTGAGGTACGTACCTTTTTCCGTGGCGCAGCAAGTCGGTGGTGTGACACTAAGCAAGATTAATTTAATATGTCAATCTTATATTCCGATTCCCTCGTTTGTAGTGGCATGTGATAATCAGAGAAGAAAAGATAGATGCAGATGGAGCTTACGTGCAGATAGCCCGACGACCATAAACTTGACCTCGGAGATCTTGAAATCTACAATAAGAGATATCAATATTGACCGGTTCTATCCGTGATAGGGTAACATACTCATTTTCCGGTGACATTCGCGACAGCTTGCAATAGCGCTTGTGCCACGTACAGTGACAACACCGGGAGCTGGAAACGGGGCTGAGCATTCCGAGCACGTCGGTTGGAAAGTACTGCATAAGATATTGTGGTTAGTGTTGATCACAAACACGGAGTCAGCGTGCAACGCTGACTGACGTGTCATTTGTCACGATAGAACTGGGTTTAATGCTCTTGCTGAGATACGAGAAGATATGACATTTGTGCTACCTTACCTCGGTAATAAATCAAATGCTGTGCAGCCTTCGAGATCTAGGTATCCAGCTCGTTGGGAGGTGTGATGCATGAGTTCTCGGCGGAATGCTACGTTCGTCAGACGTACAATAGTATATGATTGGGAGGGAAACAGTGAAATACCAATATTGAAAGAATTGGCGCACTTCCTGCACGAATCAACCTTCACTGGAAATGGCTGACTGGGGTCATCCGTCGCCTTGATGTTTTTGATATCAGTGTGCTCTTTACATCGATTACACTTGACTGTAATTGACAGCGATTTGACCTCAAGTAGCTCAATTCCGTAGAGTTCTAGACCGGGTAGATTGAGAGCAGTCCCGCGTGCGGGCGCATTCGTATTCGCTGACGATGACAAAGTAGTCGTTTCAGGGATTAGCGCACCGCCATCGTGCTCTCCGTCTTCGTCTTCGTCTTCTTCATAGGAATCGCTGCTGTGGTCAGGTGTGGTATCACTATCAGCGTCCTGTCCTGTTGTCGGCATCGACCATTCAGGAGGCCGCGGGATGACTTTAATATGGGGGCGGTCAATGTCGATGCTGCTGTCTATTTGATTTTTCGTTGCTTCAATATCAACTTCTGCCACGACTTGAGAAGATGGTGTCTGATGAATATTCTCCGTGGTTTCTGTTTTTGTCGGAGTATAATTGAGAAGATGCATATTGTGTGCGAGATAGTTGACCTGCGCCATCAACGTAGTATGGGGCCCATCTAGAACCCACTTACGAAAGCCAGCCTCAACTGCGCGGGCGTCATTGGCATCCACGGCTTGGAGCTCGATGGAACTCTTTTCGAGGGGGTATAATGAAGGTACTGATAATTTCACCGTCTTCACCGCTCGTAGACTGGCAGCAAGGCGCTCGGGCTTTGCGGGGGTGACAGGCACAATGTAGGAAAATCCATCTCCGAGCTTTTTGTACAGAGGTAAACGGTTCAGACGAGCTTCTAGCTGTCTCGTCTCAGAGTCTCTGGTCTTCTTAGCTTCCGCCCGGTCTTCAGCTGAGTACAGCACCCGCGGTGACACGGGAACAATGCGAGTTGTGTACTGTGGTTGTACATTCCCTTGTTTCTGCGGCACTGAAATAGGAGGTACATCCGGCTGCGGGCTACGGGCATTGGCAACTAACTTGATCGTGGGTGCCTTTTCAGCAGTCAGAAAGCGCTCTAGGTTTCTATCGAGGCTATTCATCAAGCCAAGTAGTGTAAGCGGCCGCCGATCTTTGATGGCAGCATCAACCAACCCGTCGAAGCCCCTTTCGACATTGAGTTGGAACCCCTTGGGCATGTCCGCGTTGGTAGCCCTAAGTTTGACCCTCGCGGCCCCCGATGGCCAGTCATGTGGAACTTGTAACGAGCAGAGGAGCTCTGTCATGTCAAAGGGGAAATCTGGATCAGTAGGGGCCATGCCGAATGCAAAAGTGGTGTTCCCAGCGGCATCTTGCTCCTCCTTGGGGTGGAATCGGCGTCTGAGTTGCCCGATTTGGAAATTCCTGGGCGATTCTTTCTGTGCCTTGGAGACTGGTTTGGGTACTGTTGTTCGGGAGCCATTCTCCGGCCTATTGTCCTTCTTGGTGGGCACTGTTGCTTCAGAATTGACTGACCCTGAGACATCAGCTTGCACCGGAGCTGGGGCGGCTGAACCGGGGGCTACATGTAGGTAGGCACAAGCATCACCGCTTCGACAACCTTGCGGAATGTCAGTCCATCGTCACACCGCAGATAGAAAAGAGCAAAAGGAAAAAAAAAAAAGGAAATGCAAAATTTCAAACAATACCGTCTCCTCGGTATCGGTGAAAACCGCGTAACCAAAAAACCAAATGGTGACTACGCCAGCGTACCCTTTTTGGAGGCGAAAAAGCGACACAGCACCGGATTTCCATGTGGATGGGTGGGCTGCATTGGGACTGCAGGACTTTTGAAGCTGGGCGCTTGCCAACTCAGCAAGCGCGGCAGGGTGGTACAGGGCTGGCTATATTGGTGTTAGCCCAGGCGTGTGATCGCAGATGAACTACGGTGGTTGAGATGACAGATGCATTGATAACTGCCAGGCCTGATACGAGCCATTTGGTCTGAGCAATTGGCGGTGACAGGCCGTACAGCGCATCGGTCAGAAGAGCAGGGCACAAGAGTACCTGCAGAGGAATAGGCGCCGATGAAGGACTCACCGTTGTCAGTTGACTGCACGAGATATCGAGAGAATCTGGATATAATTAGCATCAGTCAATGACAAGGCACTTTGGAGGACGATCAACCTGGAAGTATGCAGCAAGCCGAGTCTTTTTTTTTTTTTTTAGCGATGCCAGCGAAGCAATCCGGTGACCTGCGCGCGGCCACGTGAGAAGCGATAATTACTTATCTGCTGTATGATGGAGATTTGGCAGCAAGCCGGGGATTTATTTACTGTGTAGACAGGGCATTTCATTTGATGACCGCAGATGACTCAGGATGCTTCTTCATGATGCTGTCCGTCTCTACGCATGACTTTTTTGGTGGTGAGAATGCACGGCTGGCGCTGATTGGCCGGCGAGCATTACTCACGATGAGTCGGCGGGAGCTGATTGGCTGGCAGTCTTGATAGAGGAATCACTACATGTTTTTGTACTAGATAAACTCAATCAATCATCAAGTATACGTACATCATGCTACAACTCTGAACCCGGTGGCAACATGACACATGATTGCGCTGCCATGGATGAATGGCCCTCTTCAAACTGCAAACAGAGGCGCGGGCATATCACGTGACGCCACACCGACAAAGCTATTGTGCCCGTGGAGCGGCGCAGAAGGCAAGGCCGGGGTACAGTGCACCGCGCGACGAAAAGATTTAGGAACGCCCTGTCCCCACGTGAGCGCGTAATACCGGGACGCCCCACTGCAGTGCCCAATCGACGCCAGTTTGGCTGCCATTGTGAAATTTCCGATTGGCCAGAGCTCTCCTGCGTATTGTGTCTGTACGGCGTATTGTGCGTATTTCTGCGTACACCTGGATACATCGTGGTATACTGGAGGCTGAGTACACGTCGAACCCCCGCATGAGACTGGTCACAAGACAAGACGATGCAGCTAGCAATTGGCCAATTGCTTGCTGCTTCGAGCTGTAGATATATATATATATATATATGTATGTATGTATTTATATTGTATACTCGTTGCATGTGTAACACTCACCGAGTACCTAGGTAAGCACGTGGCTATACTGTCTACTGAGCTCTGGGTTGTATGTATGTCCTACAAATTCGTATTCCAACAACCTGGTACAGAGCAGACTGAAGAGTCGCGGTGGGGTCCTCCGTACTCCATGGTTCCGATATTTAATCCCTACCACAGTGGAGTAGATGAAAATTTCCCAATCGAGTTGCGGTGGGTGAACTGGTACTAGTCCTACTTTGTATAGAGTACGGAGGCCTCCGTACTCTGTATCGAAATGGAATAGCGCCTCCATGAAGAAGAGGGGGGGAAAAAAAACTTCACCCGGAATACCGAGTGGAGACCAGGTCTGGGCTTAGTCTTGGTTGCCAGGCAAAATTTTCTCGGGCAGCCGATGGATTGATACCCAAGTTAATTGCTCGGGATGCCGTGATTTTTTTTTATTGGCCTTTGGTTCAGGTACTACCTCTACCCAGGTACATTGTACGTTAACTACTACGTATCGTCGTATCAACAGCAGTCCTTGGGCTTGCTAAGACGAAGGGATCGGAGGGATCGGAGAAAGTCACCTGTCCTCCAAGCCCTACCGGGAATTTCCTTTTTAGGGAATTCTTTCTTGCAGCTTATTACACTACAACTAAGGACATAGTTGAATAAGGCGAAATTTCCTTATTGCCATATACTATACCCCTTACATAGAAACCTAGTCCAGTCTGAGATTATTTTGCATGATTATTCAGCCCATATGTATATAGCATTATCTACGTACGTACAGGCCTAGGCCTTTCCCCCCATCAAAGATTAGTTGGAAGAAAAAATAGTCCTGAGGCTCAAGGAATGAGATTCTCACATTAAAAAAAAAAAAAAAAAAAAAAGGCACATCTGGGTAACTAGAGGAGCGGCAAACTCCAAAGGCAATCAAAAAGAAATCGCCCACTTCGCCGAAGCGCGTGATGTACATACAAAAAAAGAAAAGAGAAAGAGAGAAAAAGCAACGAAAAATAAATGTCACATTCTATCAGACCAATCCCAGATCAATCCTACATCCTAATAACCCTTGATTTTCCAAGAGGCAAAAAAAGCAAATAGAATAACGGCAGTTGCCGCGTTTCATACCTGTTCATATGATCCATCTCACCTCCCTGTATAGGCTAAAGCTAGCTACATGCCTAGTACTTTTAGTATTTAGCTGTTCGCGAATAGAATAATAGGTTGGTAAATATAAACGGCGCATACCCTGCCTAGGCTGGATACACACCGAGGCTGTACAGTGAATAAGCATACATGTACGTACAATTATCTCATTTCTAGGGTGCGTGCCTCTACTAAATGGGAAGTTCCGCGGTAAGCGCTTGTGATTGTGGTCACATACCTAGGTACCTATGTATGTGCCTAGGTGTTGAGGTGAGCCATGGCAGACATCTGAAAATATTCGACTTACCACGAGACTGATATTCTAGACGTGTCTATCCTAGCAAGTTTCCAATCTCATATGGAACGGAATTCAATTCCAGAATATGCATATGATGTAAGCATTAACTTATTATATAGTTGCCTAGACAGGTACACAGGTAGTAATGAATCACTTTTATTCTGAATACAACCAACCCCGTAAATAAAATAAAAGTATAAAAAGTAGACAAACGTAGTGGTATCAGAATCGACAAGCAGACAAAGCACAAAAACTGGACATACCACATATTTTTGGAACTATGCCATCATGATCATAGTCATTCGGTCATAAACAAACAGTCGGGTCTAGTCATGGTCAAAAACATGATGAATACAAAAAAAAAAAAAAAAAAGAAAAAGACAAAAACGTACAAGCCTTGTTTTTAAAACAGGGGATCAAAAGTAATGCAAACAGCCGACCCTCGCAATGCATAAAGAGGGATGCGAAAGGAAGAAAGAAAAAGAAAGAAAAAGAAAAACGCCGCCAAAAATGCTTGCTCTATCTCGTACACTGGATATAAATCACCACCCCTTAACGTGGTATTCCCACGGGCCGTATTCGTTATAGTTGTTCCATGAGCTGTTCTTCGATGTATCCTTTGCGCTGCCGTCGCCAGTCCCACGCTGTCCTCCGCCTGCGGCCTTAGGACCAGGATATTCTTTGAGATTCGCCATGTCGTGCGTAGTATGACGTCGCTTGAACACTGCAGTTGCGGTCGTGTTTTTTTGTTGTCGCTCCCACAACAAATGTCGTCGTAGTGATTCCGTCAGTTCCGTCGCGAGCATGTTGCGTCGAGTTGTGCGCGGCGAATGTGCTCCGGATCCTTGTGCGGTCGGCTTCACAATAATCGGTTTCGAACGTGGCACATCGCGACCCTTCATTGTCAGGTTCTCGCCGTCATCCGGAGAGCCTCCCGTCTCTGGTCCATTTGGTGGCGTTACACGCGATGATCGCTGCAAAGTAGGCGTCGACCTCGTCGGCATCCCCATTTTAGTTGGCTGGTGCATCATCATAGTCAAAAGGGACGGTCTCGATACTAGATTCGGTCGTGAATCAACACGTTGGAACAGCTCCTTGTCATCCACACTTGAATGTCCGCTTTCCGTCACCGAGTCCTCCCAGTCTTCCTCGTCTTCATCTTCGATCGCGCTTTCTGACGGCTCCTCCTCGGTATCATCTGTCTCGATCGCGTCCTCATCCTCATAGATCCGCTCCTTGATAGGCTTGATCGTATGAGGGTCGACCTCGTTCGGGACGGAGGTAACCTTCTTCGCAGAACTGAGTCCGTTGGGCGTGGTTTCTGACGCAGGTCGGCGGCTCAGTTCTTCAGATAACGAGCTGCGGTGAGGATTAGGCATCATGCGCTCCTCGAACGAGCTTTCGTCATCCCCAGAAGATCCACCGAGAGTGAACATGCCACCCTTGCGTTTGCTGGGGGCAAGCTTCTGCTGGAATGTCATCTTGTTGGCGGCAGCAGTCTGCTCGGCAGCAGCGAGACGAGAACTGGAGCGGTAAGACGACGAGATCTGCGACGGAGAAAATCCGCGAACGATACTTGGTGTTTTGGTCAAAATAGGCTTGGCAGGTAGAACGCCAGACGAGGAGACACTCGTATCAGAGGCCACAGCAGCCGCACCGTCACTGTCATTGCCTTCGGGGGCGGTTACTGTCGAACAGGACTCGGCGGATTGAAGGACTGCAGGGCGCGTAGGGTAGGACTGTGTAGTAGTTTGGGTCCTTTCAGTCTGCTGAGGAGTCGTGGCTGGTGGGGAGGAAGCGCGAGGAGTGACATCAACCAGTGGCATGACAGCAGCCGGAGGCGGAAGAGGCTCTAGAGCTTTTCGCTCCTTGATGTTCAGCACCATTCGCTCCAGGTCCAACGAAGTGATATGCTTCTCCTTGCCCATTAAAGCATCCTCGCCAACAACCGCGGGCTTCAGCTCCTCCGGGCCCGGCTTAATGTGGGATTCGATGCGGTCTTCGTCCACAGTGGCAACGGACTCGACGCTGGCAGACAAAGGAGGCATCTCAGCCGATTCGGCGCGCAGCAGAGGAATAGCGGAGGTGTCACTCGAGCTGGCGGGAGCAACGCAGAAGGTCTCGCGCGTCCATAGACGCCAGGTGAGATTCTCCAACCGGCGTCCTTCTTCCATGTAATCTGCGCATTTAGAAAAGACTATAGACAGAGTCAGTCAGCTTGATTATTGCCCCGGCTTGGCTTCCTTGCGGAGGGCACTCACCAAGCCACATGCCGTGAAGACTTTGGGTGTTGGCCGTGTCGACCTTGTGGATTTTGGCCGCGTCCACAGTCAGGACGGGGGTGGATAATTTCGGCATGTTCGGGGCGACACGGTTGAATCTATCTGGAAAACTCGACATGAAGTTTGGGGTCGCCGTGGTCCCCAAGCGTGTTCGAACGGCGTGACGGGCGGGATCTGAAGAGGTCACTGTGCCGGTTTTCCTGATGTTCTCTCGGGAGGTGAGCAGAATTAAGCCGGATTGCAGACGGCGCAGAATTTGGGCGATTTAACGGTGGCCCGAGTGCGAGCGCGATCGGCAAGGAATGCGAGATGATTCCAGGTCGGCGGAAAGGAAAGCCGTTATTCAGAAAGATCTGGCTGGAATGTGAGATTGCAAGTCGAGGGGGGCCCAGGCGAGAGGAAATAGTTTGATTGATACTTGGAGAGTTGGAGAAAGTGTGAGCTGACCGGGGGGGGGGGGGGGAAGGAAGGTGGCACACCCGCTAAAAGGCAAGCGTCCCGAGGGAGCGGGAGAAAAGGAGATGGACGCTTCTGGCCTTTTTGCCGTTTGGTCCAGTGACCTCCGGCGCTGGTCCCGCCCGTACGTTACATGCCAATACCTGTTCCGGTATTACGTATCTTACGCGCACATTGGCACGTATTCACAGATCATCCCATACATGGATTAGACGCTCTACGGAGTTCTCCATGCTATAATAGATGCTGCACGAAATATATGTATATATAAATATATATATATATATATATTTCGTATGTCTGAATCTGTCCATGCGTCATTATTGTGTATGTGTACGTAGTGATTATACTATAGTTTATGTGTGCGGAGTACATAAAACCGTGTCGGTCCCGTGACCGATAGGGAGACTCGGTTGCCACCAGACTAGGCCACTTCACGCGTACTAAGCCACTATAGTTTATGCTAACTCTCTACTACCGTGGTAACCAGAGAGACCTCTGCTCTAGTTGAGTGACTTACTGATTGTGAAGTCTGACTCTGCAGAGTGGACTCCGTCTTGCATTTCAGGACTACTTTTGGACTCTAGCCGAAAGCAGGCGGTTCGCCACTGCGTACGTATCCGACACAAGGCGAGCTGACTGAGTATGCGGAGATTGTTTGTGGAGATGGCCCTACTAGGCAATAACGCAGTCAATCGTCCGTCCCCAGATATCCAAGGTACGGAGTACTGTGTGTTGACAGACTCTGCTGAAGCACATGATCGCCTGACTTGGCAAGGCTTGTTAGGGCTTCTCCTCGGCGGCTGCGCTAGTCGCCTTCCCCGGCATACTAAGCCTTAACCATTGCGCTTTTGCATTGAGAATTGCTATGCGTGCGGACAAACAGAAGGCCGAAAAAGACAGACAGACAGACAGACAGCTGACCCTGTGCCTATTCTTTGCTTTTCCCCTAGATCCTCCAGTGCAGTGCCAGAAGAAGTCGGGTTTCGCCGACGCGCAGAGAGCTTCATCCCGTGACAGCGGCAGATACGTGGCAGGCTCTAGCGCGGGCTGTGGCAAGTCACGTTTTGGTCTGCATCAATTGTCTCTTTTCTTTTCTTTTTTTTTTTTCATGTCCGACCACGCGGCCATTAGTGACTGACCAATGCTTGATACAAGTTTGCTGTTCAAGGTCCTACAGGCTAGGTAGGTACTTGTCTGCCTTGGTAGGCTGGAATGTGATGCCTGAGGCATGCGTCCCGTTCAGTTACTAACCTACTAACCACATAGTAAAACACATGCTTTTAATATCACGCAACATTCTAGGCTTTAGCTTGAATGAATCATGCAACATCGTTGAATGAGCTACCAAAGCCGACGCAAGACAGCTGCGAGCCAGAGCATCGATCAATCAATTACATTCCAGCTATTCCTGCAGATATATAAAACAAAAATCATGCATCTTGAATCTCCCAAAAATAAGACTTGCCTACGTCCTCCATTCTTTGTTTTCTTGTACAATCGACAGCCAGCCATGGCTACAGAACAAAGAGCTACGTAGACGCTTCCTTGTTGGTCGTTCACGGAATGCCAATTTTGGAAGGCTGTGTTCCATTGATGATTGTACATGGGGTATTAACTACATGCTGAGTACCCGGATTCCTGGGAAGCAGTCTCGTACTGTTCATTACATTACTTACTGCATACATACACACATATTTGCTTTAACGATCGAAGAAACCGAGATGATGCTAGCTATGTTATGTATATCATAACTGATATGAGGCGGATCCCGGATTATGGGGCTGGCATGCAAGGGGCTGCATGGGGAAAGCGGGAAGGCTTCCGTGGATAACTCTGTATACACATCGATTCCAGGGAGAAGTAGTCAGAAGGACAACCTGCTAGAAAAGTACACGGCCGTTGTTTTGTTTGAGGGTTGTGTATATTCATTCTGGTCATCCCGTGGCTGGATGATTGGGTGTTTGCGAGGAATATCAAATATTAGTGCAATCAGGGGCTGGCCAGACGCTGCATACTCCGGTCGAGTTCGGAGATATTTTTGTTGCTATCAGAGATAGATGCAGTATCTGGTAGTACGTACTACGTAGTATGCACATAGTTCCCAGCTACGTAGTCCTCCCTGCGCCATCGACATCTATGGATGTAGTTGTAGGTGCCATCCCTAGATTCAAAGGCAACAACCCGGTTCTCTGGTCACGGCCCACTTTCTAGATGTACATACTGCAAGTCTATTTATTTATTATTTGCTACTAGCACATATATCTTATAGCCAGGCCTGCTGGTTCCCGTCGTTACTATAACCCCTGGCTTTTTTTTTTGGCCGTTCATTTCACCCGCTAACCCTAGCTCACTCACACTCCACCTCTGCAGCTGCCAAACTGAGATAGGCGCAGTCTCTATCTGTCTATTTATCTATCGCATTGCCAATGCGACTGGTCGCGTTGCATATACTATCCTACATCTGTAGATCAGGTCCAGTATATCCCTAATTGAGTAGACTGAGCAAACGAGCAGAGGTCCTTGCTGTCCGATTGGCAGCCGAGCTGTGCAACAGATAGATAGTTCTCACTATTTGCCAGGGTGTTTATTGATGTTGTCCGAGGCAATTCGGATTTGCTGTATGACATGCTTGATCATGTGATAGTATAAGTTAACTACTACGGAGTAGAGGAAATAGTAGTTATCTACTAGCTAAGAGCTAACTAGATAGGTACTTTGTACTAAAGGCCAGAATATTGTGACAGCGCGGATGATATCATCGTGCATGCTGATCCATTATAAAACTCCGATACTATAGAGTACGTAGATTTGTTGTCTCCAGCCTGAAGAACAGCCGATTACTTCAGTATTATATACTTGCTTGCGTTCAAAACACCGTCCAATTAGAAAACGGATGCAAGTAGCATGTCAGAACTGCGACAAGTTGAAGGCGGAGCGCGTTAGGGCTAGTGCCAGCCTCCGCAATCCATCCTTCGCGGCTTGCTAGTTACCACTTGATCAGTGTTCAGTCTTACAATCTACGCAAACCTGACATCATGTCGTGCCTAGGTTGGCCTGTACAGATTCCATGTGTTCGAGATAGTAAATACTGACCGCCATTCAAGTGGAATACATGTGATCTGATATGTATATGTATGCCGTATGTTTGTTCCAGGTACGGGGTAGACTGTGCCGGAAATATGATCAAGGATACAAGTAGCACAGAGCCCACGTCAGCGATAAGCAATGTCTATGCGTCGTTATTACGACCCCAGAATCAATCACAGGACCATCCATGTGGACAAGCGTTGCACGTTGTGGCTGCCACGATGTGATGTTACATTGGACCGCTTGCCGCGGTAGTAGATGATAAATACCTACTACCTAGGGGGATATCCTAGCCATAGCCATGGCAATGATATATGGCAGGTTAAATTACTTGTAGGACACAGACTGGTGTGTACAGCTAATTTAACGAGTCATTATGTCCATAGAATATTATCAACTGTATAGTAGAGAGAGAGAATCATGGCTTTTGTCTGGCCCTTGCGCCCGTATAATGAACAACACTCTTTTAATCCCCTAGTATACCTGCCAATACATCAGACATCCACCTAGAATTCGTTTTCATCATCGCCGGAGATGATGACATTATTGATCTGTTTGCGTCAGTATACTAATTCCCTTGCTGCCAGAAAGTGAAGAGCATACCTTCAAAACCATCCGGCATAGTTGCGTGGCAAGCAGGAGTTGCTGGCGCTTTCCGATCAGAGGGTCGATGGCAAAGTGTTCTCTCATATCTGTTCAGGTTAGTTAAAGGATTCTCTTAGCCTTTGTCCTTTGGAAGAGACAAACCGTTGTTGCCAGTCAGCATGCAATCAACGCCAAGCCGACTGTTCTTCTCCTTGACTTGTCGTGACTTAATAGATGCTAGAGTCTCGATAGGGTTCAATCCTGAGTTCTCGGCTAACGTTAAGGGAACCGCGTCAAGGGCATCAGCGAACGCGCGCATGGCGTATTGTTCAATACCCGGGCTCTGTCAACACCAAAGCAAAGTCAGCCCAGAAGATCTACGAGTAACACAGAATCCAACCGACAGACCTTAACAGCAGCATCTTCGACAGCAATAGAGCACGCAATTTCAGCTGCACCACCGCCGTAGACCACGCGGTTGTCTCTGACCAGATTGCGCACCACGCAGAGCGCATCGTGGAGTGAACGTTTCGCTTCATCAATGATCTGTGTTTGCACCATTAGACAACAATAATGCACTGATAGAAAGAGAGACAACATGACATACCATCTTGTTACTGCCCCGTACAAACACAGTCACAGCACGGCTATTCGCACACTCTTCAATGACAAGCATCTTCTCTCGAGTCGTACCGAACGTCAACTCCCTGACTAATCCAGCAGTTCCGAGCTTCTCGCTGTTAAGGTCCTCGAATCGAGGAACAATTCGTCCATTGGTCGCGATAGCAATCAATTCAATTTCAGGACCACCAACCCATCGCACAGCCGGTAGCTTGTTTTGTAGAAGTAAATGGTTGGCCTCGTCGTCAAACCCCCATTGGCAGATCACAAGATTAGCGCCCGAGTCTTTCAATTGCGCAATCATCTCTGTGAACTTGTCCTTTTCGTATGCTTGTAGGCGTTTGAACTCCTCCACCGATGTGATGTCAAGCTTGTGTTTTGTCTTGGGCTTGGGGGGTTCGAAGGGACATGTGAGAATAGCCAACTTAGCGTCCCGAACCTCTGAGGGCATCTGGGGATGCGAGAAATCCTTGTCGACGATTACGCCCTTAACCAGTATGGAATCTTCCAGTGCACCGCCAACTTTACCATCCACCTTAATCAGTTCGAAATCCACATCTTTGCGTTCCAAATCGGCGACTGAGAGGACTGCATCAACGGCGATTTTGGCGAATTGATCGTGAGACTTGGACACACTATGGTATAGTCAGTAAACGGGAAAAAGTCTTCAGTGTTGTATATAGCCACAAACGTACATCTTGCTGCCCAAGCTGGTTTTCGCAACTTTCATCAGGTTCTCTGTGTCTTCTGTAGAGAAAGAGATCTCATCGCTAATCTTGTCAAGTTCAGCAATAGCAATCTCGCAAGCTTGATCGTAGCCGTCGGCAATTCGAATGGGATGGATTCCTTTGTCAATCAATTCAGACGCCTGTTCTAGAAGCGAAGCAGCCAAGACAACAACACCAGTTGTTCCGTCTCCGATTTCGTCGTCTTGTGATTTAGATAGCTCGACAAGTAGTTTGGCGACGTTGTTTGAAATTTCCATCTATCAGCCTAGTTAGCAGCTCGTTTCCGGGGGAGAGAAAAATATCCGGTCCGACCTGTGATAGAATTGTAGCACCATCGTTCGTCACTGTGATATCGCCGTCCGGTGAGATAAGAATCTTATCGAGGCCTCGTGGCCCCTGGTAACGTGCTGGTCAGACTCCATTCCTACATAGATGCATGCGCCCCTGAGCGAAATGGCAAATCGTACCAAAGATGTCTTCACAATGTTTGCAACTGTCTTTGCAGCAACGATATGTGACTTGACGGCATCGGTACCGTGCTGTCTCCTCTTTTTCCCCTGGCTAGAAACGTCCGTCAATATTTGCTCGAGTGGTGTTTGGTCGACTATTCGGAGGAAACGTACTCTCGCACAACGATAAACGGCCGTCCCTGTTCATCCTTCATCACCGCAGCTATCCCACGTAGTGAGCGACAGTCCGAAACAAGAGAGCCCGTCGAAGTATCTGAACGGGGGCTTACCTTGCGACAAATCAAGCTCTGAGAGCAAATGGTCAGTCAGCGATTTTTACTAATGAGGGGTATATGTATGTTGCGGGACATACGCATAGCCATTTTGACGGAAGTCAGCGATGGGCAGAATCCTGAGCTGCAGATAAATCAAGAAGAAGACCGAGATCGAGAAACAGAATGTCGACTTTGAATGCCACCGAGCCTTGAGCGACTTCTCGGTGCGTGCTGCTCTTGCTAACAGTGCGGGCGGTCTCGATAATGAATTAGCATTTTTGCTGAGGGTAAATCGGGCTAGTGAGCTGCTTGCCCGAAAAGGCTTGGCGCAACCGCCGCTCGTCCCTGCCGCCGCAACTCCACGCGACTCGGCGCGACAAAAGAGAGCTTTCAAAAGTTTTGTCTTTCGCATTGCCTATCACAGCCTTTCGAGTCCTCTGCTCAGTTTTGACGGCGCGAGGTCCTGCTGGAGAAAGCCTGCCCCACGCCAAGTTGGATTTCCTACGTCGTGCCGCCGGCCTCTTTCAACAGCCTGATTGCGGAATGGCCCCTCGTAGTAAGTGCGATCGCTGTTAGCTCTTTTGCGCTTCACATTACCTCAATGGAAAACTAGACTGCCTGTATCCGCTCCTTACTGACCTCCAAATCTCATTTTAGCAAGCGAAGAAGTCTCGGACGACGAGTCTGCTGGCGAGGCCATTCCTTTTAAGAGCGTCAACAGGGCCTCGTCCGACGACGACGACGATAATAGCGAAGATGAGGGTGATGTGTATGTGGAAGTTTTGACCATAGAAATTGGAAACATGACTGAATTATAGTCCAGCTACGTTGTCGAGTCAATCGTGGGCCATGAGTTCCAGAAGAATGTTTGTCAGCGCCAATCCAATGAAGCAGTCTTAGTATAGCCTACTGACTGTCGTCCACCAGGGCAAACTCATGTTGAATGTTAAATGGAAAGGATATGACGACCCGGCAGATCAAACGCTAGAGCCAGAAGATAGTTTATTGTACGGCGAATCACCTCATCTTACACGTGCGACAATTCTGCCTAATTGCCTAGCTGACTAGATCAATGCAGGGAAGGTGCAGGCGAGGCAGTTCAAGAATACTATAAAAAAATTGGCGGTCGACCGCAACAACCTGGAGGAGCGAAGCCAGGCAGGGGGAAGCGAAAATCCATGACAAGCGCAAAGGCGACACCCGACAAGCCGAGCACCAAGAAACAGAAGTTATCATCAAAGGACGAAACAAACGGCACAGATCTTTCAGACGCAGATATCGGTCAAGGGATCCCCGATTGGGTTCATGATAAAGAGCATTGGGGGCGTGATGTTGTTAAGGTTCAGACAATCGAGAACGACGAGACACATGGGCTGGTCGCCTATCTGAACTGGACGAACGGCAAAACAACAAAGGTGTCAATTAATCTATGCTATGAAAGCATACCCATGCTGGTAAGCCGTATCATACATACTCCCCGCGTCATGATCCTGGGTGTTGACTTGACAACTACTTAGATGCTCAAGTTCTATGAAGCACATCTGTAAGTGAAAAGGCTTCAAATTATGAATGATTGAATTGTTGCTGACATTCTCAAAGTGTGTTCAAAGATGGCCAAGAAGAAGGAGCCGGGGAAGGGGCAGAGGAATAAAAAACCCCCCCAGAAACAATACACAAGTTTTCCATACAATTTGAGGCTGCTTATGCAAAATCACACGTAATACCTGCAATATACAAATATTGACGACGATTATTTCTTTTCTGAACTTGGCAATAGCTCATTTGCGCAGCCGATCTTTTCTTTTATCTATTATTCAGCGTTGCGAATGGTGTCTCGACATGGTTTTTGTCGTTGCCTACTACCGTACCATATGCAGAAGCTCGGTTTTTCATGGAGTCTAATCTTTTCTTTTGAGTACTAAAATGTTTCTATACCTTGGTCACTGTAATTTTAAGGAGTTTTTGAGATTTTCATTTTTGGGGCCTTTATTATCATTCATTACACAAAGTAGTTGAGTTAACACTGGCACTATAGCGGAGAAAATATGCTCAGGTTGCTCTTTGAGACGACAATATCTAAGAAACTGGTATTTATTACAAAGAATAATGAGAGGCTTGTAGCCTATAGGTATGTTCAAACAGAGTTGCGGAGTTGTGATAGCGTTATAACCCTTCCTGCATAATCCGCCGTGTCGCTTCCGCAGCGTCTCTAAGGTGATCATGTCGTTTTTGGAAAAGCTCGGGGCCATGCTTATCATTCAGACGAGTAATGGCCCTTCCATCGCCACCTAGGAGATCCTTGTCGTCTTGTTCTGTCCAGACACCGGGTATATCGCTTGGAATGTTTTGTCCTGAGCCTAGAAAGACGAGAACTTGATCGGCGAGCTCGGCATCCATCGAAGTGCAACTGAGAGCGAGAAGCACATGGTCACCACTTTGACCTTTCTCTATGCGTTTCTGGATCCACTCCTCGATCCCTTCGCCGTCTTTGGCAGCGGTCGTTGTCGTATCTTGAGGCCGGGTGACTGATGTTCCTACGGGAAAAGGAAGCTGCATCAAGGCTTTGAAGTTTTCGTCTTCTTCTTCTAGCTCCTCTTCCTCTTCTGGCTGAGATTGTATCGATGACTGTGCCGCTTCAGTAGGGAGAGGAAATTGTAGCGCTGTCTCGAATGTGTCTGTTTGAGACACACCACTGATCGCATTCTGTGAACTGCCTTGAACTTTGTTGTCAGGGACATAATTGTTCTGAACTGGCGTGGAAGGATCATTTCGCGGTAAAATGTCAGTAGCACGTCTCCGCCGCTTGGCCTCATGGTCTACCTCATAACTCGGGACAGTTGACGAGCCCTCTTTCGATAGTCGTTTCCGTTTGCTGGCTGTTGTGTCTTGTGAAGTTCTTACGAAGCTTGTACAGTGATGATTGCCTGGAGTATTCACATGTGAGCCTGCTTTCGACAAATGAGTATACATAGTGCTCCGCTTAGAAAAGTTCAGCGTGCGCGCACCGTCAGATCGGCAGACAGGTGTTGTTTGTTTGATGGATACCTAGGATCTCTTACCTTGAGATGATGAGTCTGCATCCACCTGGCTGGAAACTTGTTCTGGTGAATCTGGTTTGGCGTCCTGCGTCGGACCTCCTGGTCGAGGCCTCCCTCGAATTCTTTTCAGGTAGCGATCCCGCCATGACTGGAATGTGTGCCGAGGATGCTGAATTGTAATTAGTGATAAGAGAACGCTCTCTTGTTTTGAAATGCACATACTTGATGAGCCAATTCTTGGTATATAAGGTTACCCGCAATCTGGTCCTTACGCTTCTCATATGGCTGAAGCCAGTCCCACAGAATTTGATCATCCTGGAGAGTATACGGAACTCTTGAACCTCGAGCAGGCACCGTAGGCGCGCCAACTGGGCGTGTATACTGGCCGGCTCTATGGTCTTCAAGGTCTTCTAGCCGACCATTTTGGATAGACTTTTCGACAAATCTATACGAATAGCTTTATAATGGTCAAGTCTTAGAGAGAAGAAGAAAAAGAAAATGCACCAAAGACGTGGTTAACATACGAATGCAGTGGGAGATCTCGCTTTGCATGATCGACAAGCTTGATATCGGCATCTTTTTCGAGAACTTCGACAATGCCGCCATTGATCTGATCGACGTGTTAGACAGGGGGATGGAATTAATGCGAACTGAGAGATCCCACCTCGATAAGTTCTCTGAATCTGTGCCGCTGAGGCACTTGTGCAGACAGCCAGAAGGAATACCCTGCAAAGAGCGTCCCCGTATAGCCGTCTGGGTGAGGCGTCTTATACACGGTGGTCGCCATGAAGGTCTATCGCGAAGACAAAATTTGATCGTAACCAGCACAGCTCGATCCAGCGGAGGTGAGACACGGCTTTTTTTTTTTTATTTTTATTGTTTTTAGTACAAGGCGCGCACTTTCACATTGCAAGTCTTAGCATATTGCACTTGCAGGGTTGCAGGGTCGCAGATTGAACTTTAGTAACTTTGTAACTTAAGTAGTTAACTATTTAAAATGTCAGGGGCCAGTCAGCTTAGTCACGCCGCTGCAACACATCGCGCAGGGTCACGTGAGCTGTTGGCTAAACAGATTGCAAGGCTGACAATTTTCGAATACCATTTCGTGGAGAAATACATTTGTTCTACTGGCCGCATTGCTAAAGTAGGTGCTGAACTACTAAGTACCATGGCCCAGTCTACTACTAATCTTCTGACCGACACTTGACGTGAAGTTATTCACACAACCTGCCTTGCTCTCTGGTCCTAACCTTGGGAGCTAAGATATTTCCTCAATAACGATACCGGAAGGTCTTCTTGGATTGCCAGTCCGTGCGCTGAGCATCTTCAGACTCTTCCGTGATGTCCTCAGATGGGGGGCCAAACTCATCATCACGCTTCCTGTTTCTACGTGTCAACACGACTCGGAGCGTAGCCATGACGATTGCTGCACCACCGACAGTGACGATCATGGTAGCAAATGCTGTTGGGTAGCTCGGTGCCTCACTAGCGATGAAGACCTGCGGACCTGCAATATTGCCGACACAGTAGGCAATAAAGAACATGGCGCTCGCAAACGTCTTCTTGGTCTGACCACCGATGTTCGAGGCGTTCAAGGACAGAACCAGCGGGAAAGCGCAGGTGAATTTCGAGAAGAGGAGCATGCCAAAAAAGCGAGCTCCCTTTTGGGGTGCCTCGACCTGGCGGACCATGATTGCCCCTACCATGCCAGTCACCAAAAGAGCAATGATCACGTAGATCCTGATATTTTTTGAATCTTCCCGCAACCCAGCCGGACGCAAGAACAACCAGCGTGGTGCTCACGGCATCTGGAAGTTGTAGTAACAAAGTATCAAACGTGTTGAAGCCGAAGCCCTAGATGACAAGGTTGCCAAACTGTAGGTAGGCAGGCTTTGGTCAGTAGACAGACAGGCCGCTATAGTAGGTGAGGAAACAGACTTACAGCAGTGAGCGCACTGTTTCCAAAACAAGTGAGCAGTGCCCAAGATGCGATGATCCATGTCTGGACGTCGCAAAGAGCCTCCTTGATCTCGGCAATGTCGTATTTGCGCGCCCTGTCTAGCCGGAAGGAAGACACACGGTTGACAGCAAGCTCCCGCTGCTCAGGAGTGAGGAACCTTGCCTTGGATGGGCCATCGGGGCGCAAAAATAGGAGCACAAGGCCCCAGAGAAAGCCGAGTCCGCCGTAGAGGATGAAAAGAGCCTTCCAAGCTGGGAATCCCGTGATGTGGGCGATACCAAAACTAACAAACGAGCCAACGATGGAGCCTCCGACATTGCCGGCGGACCAGATGCTGTGTCGGGATGCGTGCTCTTCCTGTCTATACCAGATGGAGACAATCAGACTGAAGGCAGGGCTGATGACACTTTCAAATACGCCCAAAAAGAATCTCAAAACCATCAAGCCGGCAAAGTTGTGCGGGACGGCATGAAGTGCTAGCAGGACTCCCCAGGTGATGCTAGAAAGAAGACTGGCGTCAGTGCGACCCTGGATCAATCGAGCACTAATGGCCTCCTTACATGGAACAGCTAACGAATTTGCCGAGGGGAAGCTTAGCCAAACCGATCGAAGCAGGGTAGGCGGCAACGAGGTAGCCAAAGTAGAAGATACTACTGGCCCAGGAGTATTCCGATCCGGTGAGATGCTGTGCTCTTTTGGTTAGGGCGGTGTTTCATGCATGATACCAAGCTGGCTTGACGTACGAGATCTTGCTTGATGCCCATGATGGAGGCATTATTCAGAGTAATTTTATCGAGGAACTGAAGCATGTAGGCGACTGTCATCGGCGGCATCAAACTGCACGCGCAAAGAAAGGCTTAGCCACGCCGTGTTTCCAAGGCATAAACAGGAGGAATATGATTCTTACTGCCAGTCGATCTTGCGTACCACCTTCGTCTCGTCCTCCACCGTCCACGTCTCCCCAAGCCGCTCCGAGGCAACATCATTGATGTTCTGCTTGGCCAGAGACTCGGGCGTGGTAGGTCTGGGTATGTCGGCCATTGTGCAAGTGTATGGTGAATGTCGAGGCTTGCTTATAGATCACGATCATTATGAGGCATGTCGGTGCGAGGCGAACAGCGACAAGCTTAATTTATACCATCTTGACCCCTTTGTTTGCAAGGCTATAGAGGCTTGCTTGCTATCGACTATCATGATAAGCTTTTCTGGTTATAATCAAAAAGTGGATATATACATACACAACCGATAGGAATTTCCGACCAATCACCGAGGCACATCTATATTCTGGAAATTCCGCGCCAAATCCATCGTGTATCGGAATTTGGCAGAACATCGTGCGATATCTACTTCTAGCTAGAGTTGATAAGAGTACTTGTCCTTCTCTTCGCTCCCTGTTCCGCAATTTCTGCCTACCGCTCCTTTCCTTTTCAACGGCTTTCCCCTCACAGCCTGTCACAATGTCGGACGTGAGTCTTGTCATGCAAGCTGCCATCGACGAGGCAGAGGCTAAGCTAAGTGAACTCAACCTCGATGTAGGAAGACCTCCCGAGCTATGCACTTTTCGTAGCCAAAAGGCTTGAGCTAAAAAACAGACCAAAAGATCCATAGCCATCCAGAACTCGGATATCAAGAGCATCATGCGCACGACGCCATCGTGAGGGCACTTAGGAGCTTGGGATTTACGGTCACGCCTCATGCATACGATATTCCAACCTCTTTTCTAGCAGATTATGGAAGCGGCGGCCGCCTGGTCGTCTTCAACGCCGAATATGATGCGCTGCCAAAGATTGGACATGCTTGTGGACATAATCTCATCATGACGGCCTCCTTCTCTGGATTCATCGCCGCCACCGCTGCCTTGAAGCACTCTGGAAAGCCGGGCCGGGTTCGTCTACTGGGGACGCCGGCCGAGGAGGGAGGTGGTGGTAAGGCCCTGCTCATCTCACGAGGAGCCTATGAGGGCGTTGATGCCTGCGTCATGGCACACCCAACCAACATGACTGCAATGGGCAAAACCTCCCTCGAACGGCATCACATTCAACCCCCACGTCGGGGTTGCTTCGTTTACAGTCACCGTCAAGGGGAAGGAATCCCACGCTGCGGCGTCGCCATGGAACGGCCAAAACGCGCTGGACGCAGTCGTGGGAGGATACGTCCATGTTAGCATGATCAGACACGCGCTTTACCCCGCTGAACGAGTCCATGGAATCATCACTCAGAGTGGAGTGAAGAACAACATTATCCCCGATATAGCTAGTGTCAACTACGGCGTGCGAGCGCCGACTATGGATATCGGATCAAGGTTCTACGCGATAAAGTAATCAACTGTTACAGGGCGGGTGCTTCGGCTGCCGGCTGAGAGATTGAGGTCCAGCACCATACATCGTATGTACCCATGGTGCCCAACGAACAGCTAGCAGGCGTCTTTGCCTCTGCCATGGCTGACATGGACGTCCCCATGGAGTTCGACCCCGGCACTACCGAGGTCAAGCCTGGCGCAACAGACCAGGGAAATGTCGCCTTTGTAGTGCCCTCTATCCATCCCAACTATGACATTGGCGCACCGCTGGGCGCGACGAACCACACCGAGGGTTTCACAGCCGCAGCTGGCACGCCCTTCGCCTTCAAACGTACGCTTGTGGTTGGCCAAGGACTAGCGAAGACGGCGTGGGCCATGTTGACAGATGACGAGCTTGCGTTAACGGTCAAGAAGGGGTAGCATGCTTCCTAAAAGGCTACGCAGCAAGGTGTTGGCAGCCGTGGCACTGGCAGCATAAGTGGGAAATGCATTCACCAAGTACGTGTTGATGGGCATGGAAACACAGATGCTACCCAGGCCAAAGATGAAGAGACCGACCTCCGGGACCATCCAGTGGACGTTAAACTCCAGCGTCCATCCGTAGATGAGGAGGCCGGCCGGTATAAGCAGGCTACCTGGTATGATCAGAGGAAGTCTATATTCCGGTTTCATCTCGCCACCGCAGGCCATATTCTTCATCAGTCGATCCGAGGCGAATCCGAGCGACAGATTGCCGACGATGTTCCCAACGCCGAAGCCCAGGTATAGCAGGCCCACCTCAGGCTGTTTCATTCCGTACGTATGTATGAATGCAGACGTCAAGCTCGTGAAGAGCAGATATATCAATCCGTAACTGACAGCCGAGTACAATGATAGCCGTAGAACGATGGGGGAGAAGAGCAACATCTGAATTGGACGGATCAGACTAGCCCGTCGAGGAGCATTTCTGACGGCGGGTTTATCGTAACCACGCTGCTGCGTTCGACGGGCTTTGCGCTTGAGCAATGTCGGAGCATGCGACTCTTTGAGCAGAAAGAGAGCTACAACTACCAGTACTCCCATCTTTTGTTTTTAAGCCACCCGAGTGATGGGGAAGTAGACGGTGTGCAACGTACCACAATGACCAAAAACCAACAATTCCAACGCCAGCCCTTGCTTTGCGTTATATAACTTCCAATCAGGGGCCCGATGGCCGGGCCCAACAGAACTGGTAGATTCCATGCCGACATTGCCTTGCCGCAATGCTGCGGCACAAACATATCTGCGATACTTGCTGGCCCTAGGGCTAGAGAACTCGAGCCCTTAAGACCGGTGAGGAAGCGGAACACAATAAGCATAGGTAGGTTGACCGACACGGCGCAGATGATGCTCATGATAACGAACATTGCTGAGCTGGCGAGGAGCGGCACCCGCCTCCCATGAATTTCACTGAGCGGTGCGAAGACGAGCGGCCCAAAAGCATAGCCCAGAACATATATGGAGACCGTGAGAGACTCGGGCTCGGTGTTAGTAGAGCCAAACTCGGCCATGACTTTGTCCATACTGGGGGCCAGCATGGAAGAGCCAAAGGGGCTGGAGAGAAGTTAGACTCTTAGGGTTAATTACAATAAATGAACAAGCTTCGACCTACGAGACAAATGTCAATAGAGCAATGAGCAGAACATTGCGCCACTTCCTGGAACCTGGCCAGCTCTTGGGCTTCTCGGAGTCATCGGGGCTGTCAATCTCTCCAAGGCAGATATCGTCGGCTTTCTCTGTCATTGTGGGAATTTTTGTGTGAAGACAGCAATGTTCTTCTTCTTCTTTCTGCTTTGTATCCGTTCTTTTCTCTTGCCTTTTGTATTGGTCTTTTTCCCAATAATTTTTTCCTTGGCTGAAATACTTGTAGATTAGATAGGGCTTCTCACAAGATGCTAGCCGCTGATTGGTCGGAAATTCCGCGGCATCAATGTTTATAGATATGCATCACGAAAAAGGAAAAGAATATAGAAGAAGGGTCTGCCTACGACGGAAATTTGAAATCCTTACCTTGTCACTAGAATCTTTCTTTTCTCCTATGAGCATCTCCCCCAGCGAGTCAAGCATCATGGCAGACTTCAACGTGGAACAGGTTCTGGAACAGCTCACGCTCGATGTGAAGATCAGCCTGCTTTCGGGTATGCTTACTTTGCTTCTCTTCTCTGCTTGCAATCTAGCCCACACTGACTTCCGACAGGCAAGGACTTTTGGCACACACAGCCGATTCCGCGGCTGTCTATCCCCTCACTTCGAATGTGCGATGGGCCCAATGGCATTCGTGGAGTCCGCCACTTCGACCCTGTGCCAGCCTCATGCCTGCCGTGTGGGACTGCTCTCGGTGCCCTATGGGACCCCGAGTTGCTCGAGATCGGTGGCCAGCTGATGGGCGAGGAAGCTCGCGCAAAGGGCATACATATCCTTCTTGGGCCGACGGTTAACATACAGCGCTCGCCGCTGGGTGGCCGAGGATTTGAGAGCTACAGCGAGGACCCCGTGCTCTCTGGCACGTTAGCAGCGGCTCACATCCATGGTATGCAGTCTAAGGGCGTTGCGACCACGATCAAGCATTTTGTCTGCAATGACCAGGAACATGAGCGGAAGGCCGTCAACGTTATTGTCTCGGACCGCGCGTTAAGGGAGATCTATCTGATGCCGTTCCAGGTTGCGCTGCAGCAATGTGATCCTTGGGGCCTGATGACCTCCTACAACAAGGTCAACGGCACTCATGTCAGTGAGAATCCCGGCTTATTGCAAAAGATTCTACGCGAGGAATGGGGGTTCAAAGGCTTTTTATTGAGTGACTGGTAGCGCGCACCCCCTCTTTCTGTTCCTTGTCGGCGTATGTGATCAGGAAGGAAACATCTAACCAACAATGCGCAGATTTGGCACGTATTCCACGAGTGAAGCGATAACTTCTGGGCTAGATCTGGAGATGCCTGGCCCCTCCACCTGGCGCGGATTTGCGCTCAAGCAGGCATCCCGGAGCAACAAAGTCGCGCCCTGGGATATTGACGCTCGTGCACGCAATATGCTGAAGCTTCTCAAGCGCGCGCTTGAGAGTGGCATTCCTGAGGACGGACCAGACTGCGTCGGCGATGTCGAGGCAGCCAAACCGGTGCTCAGGCAGTTGGCTTCGTCGTCGATAGTGTTGCTTAAGAACGAGGGGAACTTGCTCCCATACAAAAGAGACAGAAGGGTAAAGCTTGCCTCTACAAATTTACTTGGGCCATCTCTCTAATGCATTCTCTTTCTGGAAACAGATCGCCATCATAAGAAATTACCGCTCATGAACGGCCTTCTCCAGGCGCCAAGTGGGAAGTCCGGATATTTGATGAGGTTCTACGCTGAGCCTCCATCATGTACGAAACTACGCCAGCCCATCTCAGAAGTAGAAACCACGGATACGATGGTTTACCTCACGGACTATCGACACAAAGGTATCAAGGGCTATCTATACTACACCGAACTAGAAGCCTACTTCGAACCAGAGTATACAGGCGAGTATACATTTGGATTGACAGTCTATGGAACGGGCAAGCTATACATCGATGGCAAGCTAGTAGTCGACAATTCTTGCAATCAGACGCCCGGGGATAGTTTCTGGGGTGCCGGCCCAGGAAGAAACTGGAATAATCAAGCTTACTGCAGGTACCAAGCACAAGATCCTAGTGGACTTCGGCACAGCGCCCACCCAGACGACTTCGACATTGGGCTCGACAAACATGGGAGCAGGCGGCTTTAGACTCGGTTGCATTAGAAACGTTGATCCTGAGGAAGAGATAGCGGCCGCGGTTGAGATAGCTAGGGCCGCGGACAATGTCATAATCTGTGCAGGGTTAAATGTGAGTTGAAATCCAAACACGGGGAATTGGTTCTATACCTGACACATAAATAGGAGGACTGGGAATCAGAAGGATTTGACCGGGTCGTACCAAGCCTCTCAGATGAACTCATCCGCCGAGTCGCTGCAGCAAACCCGAACACCACAGTGGTGATTCAATCTGGCACCCCTGTCACGATGCCTTGGCTTGAACAGGTTCCTGCCATCGTCCAAGCTTGGTATGGAGGTAACGAAGCCGGAAATGCTATCGCTGAGGTCCTCTTTGGCGACGTCAACCCAAGCGGCAAACTGCCTCTTTCTTTCCCCCTGGTCAAGGAAGACAACCCGGCTTTCCTAAACTCAAGATCAGAAGCCTGCCGCATGTGGTACGGTGAAGATATTTATGTCGGATACCGCTTCTATGAAAAGACTCGCAGGGCCCTCGCATTTCCCTTCGGGCACGGGTTGTCCTTTTCAGATTTCTCTATCAAGGACCTATGCTTGAGCGAGAGTGAAGACACAGAGGAAGACGTCGCCTTGACGGTCACGGCATGCGTTGAGAATAGAAGTGCTGTTGATGGCCATGAGGTTGTGCAGGTCGATATCCGCCAGCTAAACCCTTCCCTTGGGCGCCCCGTAAAGAAGCTTGAAGGATTCAAGAAGGTCTTTGTGCGTGCCAACAGCACCCAGGAAGTCAAAATCTCGATTAGCAAGAAGCGAGCTACGAGCTTTTGGGATGAACGCAGAGATAGTTGGGTTTCCCAAAAGGATACGTACGAGGTGCTTGTAGGCTCAAGCAGTGACAAGATTGCACAGACGGCGGAGTTTGAGGTGTCGAAGACGCAATACTGGCGAGGATTATGAGTAAGAATATAATCAACCAAAAAATAAAGGAAAAAAAAAAAAAAAGGAAAAGAAGCAGAAGAAGAAGAAAAATAAGGCTAAAATAAAAGGTGTTTTGTTCAAGAAAGTGCCTCTGTAACTAATGATTTCAGATTCCGAGTATTCCGCAAGATAAGAATGATAATAGTAGTGATAGTTGCTCAACTGCTTGCCCTTTTTTCTTGAAGAAGCGCGACATATTTGCTGTTACCCAGCTTTTGTAACAGCCAGTCGGCGTGTATGTCGTCTCCTGCCCACGTCAGCGCTACGAACGCCAGCCACTGAGCTCTCCATGCAAGCCTAGAACTGCTCGACTTCACCACCTCGAAGACGCAGCGCCGAAGATCCCGATGTGCGTCTGTGAACTGCTGGTGGATGGTTTCGTCATGTACTAAGGAACTTAAGTTGCCTAGGACATCCACCAGGACTGCATTGAGGATTCCCGCAGCGCTCAACGTGGACTTGAGGAATCTTGTGTTGGAAATGCAGGGAGCCTCTACAACCCTAAACAAGGCTGAATATCGCTGTTCAAGGGAGTCAAAATAGAATAAAATTAAATAAAATAGGGACTAGGGTAGCTATACAACTCACGTGCTTGATTCCTTGCACCGAATCTAAAACCGCCGTTAGCTCTGCCACGGTCTGGCTGCCACGCTTGCGAATCCCGTTCATCTTCTGCAGGGCTATGTGTGCGTGAAGATTTAGCTGGAGAGGTTTTGAACGCTGCATATCATCTACTAGTTCTGCGGGAGGGTAATCGGAGCCGAAGATTTGTTCATGACAAGTGCGCGACAAATTAAAAATCGTCATTGACAGATCTTCATCTGAGAGGACAAAGCCCGAAAGCTCACCACCAGCGATGCCAAACTCCGGTGTGACTTCTTCGTATATAGCGAATAACAAGAAAAAGCTGAATAGGCTTCTCTAGGCCGGCGGCATGGACGAGGGATTCGGGTCAACGAGTTGATCGAGCAAGCCATAAGTTTTGAGGTAAGTCAGCACTGAGGCGCTGAGCTTTTTCATATTGGAACGAGCCTTGCTGTTCCAAGATGCGCGGTAACAGAGCTGCAGTAGCCAAAAAGCCATTGCTGAGGCACAATGGTCTGGCGGCTGGTCTGTTTGTAGGCTCGCAACAAAGGCCCTCGTGCCTTGCTGGAAATGAGCACTGGCCGACTGGAGCGCAGGCGGGTAATTATGGTTGTGGGCCACATCGAAGAGACTCCAGGCCAGTATTAGATGCATGATATCATGACGACTGGTTGCCGTTGCACGTAGCATGCCAAAGGCTGATCAGCGAAACTCCTTGCCAGGGTGGTTCAAAGCCAGGGTCTTCTCATAGTGGTAGAGCCCGTCCTTCTCCATGTTCCCAACAAGCACAGATGAGACGCACAATCTCGTCATGGAGGGAAAGCGAGGTATCTCAGCCGTGGTCTGGGGAGACAACAAGACCTCGGATGGTATCTGATGGGGACTTGCAGTAGCAGGGGCAAGTTGGCGAGGCGTGAAAGAGGGTCTGCTCTTCAAGGGGCCCTGGCCGCGGCGCCTTTCACGAAGCGGAATGCGCGGGCCCGGCCATGTGCAGTGCTTGTCTAGGCGAGTACATCGATGGCAGCGGGGATGGTCCTCCGTGCACTTCACCTTCGACGTGGAGCAGGCGAGGCATCCGTTTCGCGAATATTTAGTCCTGGTCCTGCGTTTGCCGGTATCAGACAGCATGTCAACAACTGCAGATTGACACGAGCATAGAAGAAGCGATGGATGCGAGGAACGGGCGATGGCTTGAGTTTATACTGGCTCGTCCGATAAGAGTAGAGCTTTGACCGGACTCTTATCAATGGACATGGTCTACCGGAATTGGGACCGTAAGAGAAGCAGCCATAACATGCAAAATTTCCTGGGAGAGGACCTGTTGCTCTTCTAGTCAAGAAGGATGCCCCTGTGGCCGTCCTAGCAAAAATTGTTAAATGCCGTAGGAGATGAGTGACATCCATAATGGGTGGTCGACACTGGCAGGCTTCTATTGGCCCATAACGCTTACTAATCGCATGCGCATGCTCGCCGCAGTCGGAAGTAAAGTTTGAAAATTTCAATACAGCCCTAATACACGTAAGCTTGTTCCTAATTAGATTAGCTTCACCTAAGCCCTATTCTTAGATCATTTTCTCACTTCCACGTTCAATCCTAAGCCGTATCTAGTAGTGGATTTCGATCAAATCCGACAGAGACATGCATGCTTCTGATTGGCTAAGGCATACTGAGATGTATCAAGGCTTACCAAGGCCTACCACAAAAGGTAATAGCCAGTAATATTGCTTCCTGTAGGCGGTGAGAATCTGATTGGCCGTTGAAATTTAGTATGCTTGTAACAACGGATTCGGAACGCTGTATTAGCTAGTATTGAGAATACTATATAATCTGCATATCTAACTAAAGAGAATATTCAGGGGTTACTTGAGGCCATATTTATGATCAGAATAGGGGTCAACTAAGACACGTATCCGATGCCTATTCTGGCCAATTAGGTGCACCTCTGTGAAATACGGTGTTGGTTGTGGATTACATGCTGTATTCGGAATAGCGGTCATAATCCGCTGTCAGCTTGATAGTGTGCCTTGCCTAAGGCAGCGAAACCGCAGGGTCCGAGTCTGAGATCAAATCAGTCCTTATATGCTGAGTATTTATTTGCCTAATAAGTTAAGATTCTAGGCTTAATCCAGAATAGCGGTCATAATCCGCTGTCAAAAATACATGCTGACCAACATTAACCCTAACCCTTATAAGGTCTGTGCGTAGTGCCTCCGAGCTACGACCTTCACCGTCGCGTGTCAGCTTTCAGCCTTGAATGTTGTCCACGATCATTCTGAGTGACGCGCGCAAGATACTGTATAGCTTGTATCTTGACTGATTTTGCACAACCACCCCACATGGGGTTCTTGAGCCTACGAACAGCGGCGCTGGGGGTGCTGACCATCTCTTTTGTCGTATTTGTTGCTCTCTTTGGTCGGCTGCCGATTTTTAGGTATGTGGATTGCCGCTTGATGTATCTAGACTTAGGCGCTGAAAAATGACGCAGGAAAACTCCCATTGGTTTCTTACACCGACTCCTCTGGATCTACATTCCACATGGCATAAGCCGTCTAGACATGCTTCTGCTGGGCGGACGATTGGTGCCTTGCTGTAAGGCTTTTGGCAGGTACTTGGCTCACGACAATCACCCTTTAGTCTTGGTCAGTGATTCTTGACAATGGAGATGCTCGTTGTTGGTTTCCTAATCGTAATTATAGATATTTTTTGTAGCACTTCAGTCGATATCACAGTTGATGTTTGTGCCGAGAGCCTGGCCTAGACTAGGAGCTATTCATCGAGTGTTCGTTCCGATAGCAATCGCTGTGCCATATGCTCTTCTATATGCGAGTATAACGACTAAATGTTTCATCACGCCTGAAAATGTCAAAACAGAGTTGGCCCATTATCCGTACGACAGGATTCTCTTCCATCCAGGCAACGAGTGCTCTACATGCCGCACCTTGAAACCAGCACGTAGCAAGCACTGCAGCATTTGCAATGCCTGTGTTTCCAGACATGACCACCATTGCATCTGGTTAACCAACTGCGTCGGCCGTGAAAACTATCGTTACTTTTTAGGATTGCTGGTGACACTCTCGGCGATGCTCATATATGGCATGTGTCTTGGATACAAGCTGCTTGAAGAGAACTTGCAAAAAGTCTTTGGACGAGGAGACGTCCGTTGGAGCAAATCGGTATCCTGGACCACTTTTATTAACTATTGGGCTGGCGCGGTCGCCGACGATATTCGGATCGGGGCGATATTCCTCTTAGCGGCCATGACAGTGCCGCTGGCACTTGGCTTTTTGGCATATCATGTTTACCTCATATGGGCGGGGATGACGACTAATGAGACGGCAAAATGGGACGAATGGAAAGAAGACATTGCGGACGGCCTTATTTACAAGGCTAAAAGAAGCGAAATCTATAGAACACCAAGGCCGCGAGACGAGTCTATTGAGCCGACATCACAATGGCCAGCCACAACTGACCAGGTGCTTATTATGACAGATGGCGCCCCCCCGAGGATAGGATTTTCTATTTCTACACAATCAAACACGATCTTACAAGCGGAGGACGAACACGCCCCGGCTGACCCGCGGTTTCATCGTGTCGAGACTCTACAAGCTATTGAAAATATATATGATCTAGGCTTCTGGGGTAATTTGCGAGATGCTGTGAATCTGTGAATGTTGATATCTAAATATATGAACCATAATAAATTAAGAAAGTTTTCTAAGCTCCAAGGCACAGTGAAGTATAAGCACGTAGTACCTTGATAGCGAACTAATGATGGCATCCGATAAGATAACGTCGGAGCGGAAAAACCGCAAACCCACCACTGCCCGCCGCGGACAGATAATTCTTTCTCCGCATTTGCTCGTACAATTCTCACCCCTTCGCCCTACGCTCGGGTTCTCTGACAGCTTATTTCAATTCGGGAGCTATGGCGTCAGAAAGGCCATCTGGTGAAAGCGAGCAAAAATGCTCTCCCGCAGAGCTCTTGTTCAAGGTGGTCCTTGCTGGCACATTGAGCCACTATGAGACTCGGGGCATGATTGAGGAGAAACAGCTGGAATCAATGTTGGCTGCGGGAAAGAAGATTGTGTCCAAAACCCGGAATGAGATGGATGTCAGGTATGTTATTTAGAACAGATAGAGAGACGTTCATATCTGTCTCTAACGAGTGTGTTTTTAAAGACAGAGCCTAGCGCTTTCGCCAGACATTTGGCAAGGGCTCACCGATGTTTTCACCAAAGCTATCCCGATCCTCGAGGCACAATCATTTTCCTGGAAAACCCCGCCGGTTTCTGCTTACGAGCAATCATCTGCGAATATAATAGCATACAACTACTTTAGTTTGGTCAAAGATATTGAACGATTGCGCGATTTATGTACCATTGCTCGAAACCTACTTGCAACGACCAACAGAGCACAAAACCTCGCGGCAGAGAAAGGATTTGATCATCGAATGCTAGTCTTGATCGATACCTGTGTGAGGGTCACCGCACGGGGCTTTGATGGAGAGGCCAATGCGAGAAACGAGGAACGGTGGCAAAAAGTGGTCAACCTCTATAAGAACTTATTGATCATTTGCCTACAATTCTTAAATAATTTTATGATGCAAAATGAACAACGCAAGCTTGTGCTCTGGTTGGATCTGTTTGGATACCACTCAAATGGCGATTACAAGGCTATCGTGCCCATGGGACCGCTAGACCCGGCAAGCCCTGCACCGCAGGGCCTTGCTCCGATTGTGCGGACTGGTGAGCGAATAATAGGGTCGCTAAGGGGCGAACAGACGGCGGAAGATCTGTTAATTGAAACCATTTCAAGTTTCCCCAGGGAGCCCGCCAATATAAAGGAAGAGGCGGCCATGCTGTTGCTCGCGCAAATCAAGGATCACATGGAGAAGTTGCTTGGACGAGATTTAAGAGAGATTCAAGAAATGGGCAAGGATCCCGAGCAGGTCAAGGAGATACGGACCGCTCTGACGGCTATTCTCGGCCATAAGGCGGATGAGATGAAAAACCTGAAGGGACGAACGCAAGATGCCGCCGAGTCTGATGAAGAGACGAGAAGACAACCGATTTTGTTGATCGACCGAAGTCCCTGTGTAGGCTACACGCGCTTAGCTTGGGCAGACTTTCCAGATTTCGAAAGATTCAAGTCAATCACATCTGATGCACCTTTGACTGAGGAAGAAACTAGCATGCCACGGTCCTATCAATCGGGAGCCGATGCGTTGCAGATAGCAAAGGAGGAATTGATGGCACGTGCACAGGAAGCTTCACAAGGCCTCGGAGAATGTGACGAGCATTATGATCATGACCATGACCATGATCATCACCACCATCACCATCATCACCACCATCACCATCATCATCACCATCACCACCACCACGATCATGATCACGACCATGATCACGACCATCACGACCATGATCATGATCATGACCATGATGATGGTTACGCCGATGACGATGACCACAGTTTCGACGATGGTGCTGAAGGTAGTCTCGATGAGGATGAGGATGAGGACGATGACGACGATGACTACCGTGGTAGACCCGGGGACCAACAGCGAGGATTGTTAACAGATATTCCACTTGTGTTAGGACCAGCGGAGATAGAAGCGCTCCCGATGATAATCAAAGCTGGAATTATCGATACCCCAGCGGTGAAAGGCGCAGAGCGAGATGTGATCAACAATATGCAAGCGATACGCTGTCACATACTGCTAACACAAGACCTGGGTCGCAATTTACTTCGAGAACTGCTTATTTTTATCGCTGCTTGGGACTTGCCAGATGACGAAGTGTATTTTCAATTCATGGTGCAGATCATGGAGGCAATCCTCAAGAACGGATTGATGTCTCACGCATATGCAGATTTTGGCCAGCAAAAGGATATTATCTCGCCGGCACAGGCTGTAGTGATCAAAATCTTGACTCACATCTTCCGGAATAAATACTCGCCGGCCTCTTCCAATGACGGCCAGTCTAATGAGACAAAACAACCCCCGCCACTAGCACGAGTGGACGTGCTCACAGTGCGGTATATCTTTTCCATATTCCGAGGCACCATTATACCAGAGACGTGCGGTCTCATTTACCTCCAAGGTCAGATACGCGCAAACAAAGCGCTTCCTGAAGATTTCCCTCTAAACCTATGGGATATGGAACGAGTTTACGAGGGGGTTTATCAATTCCTTGAATTTTTCGCAGTATTAACAGAGAATAATTATTGGAAGAACTTGATTGTTAAATGGGAGATCGTTTATGATCTCGTCACATTGATCAAAGAATTGGACGCAAACATCCCCAAGGGACCTCTAAGCGCGATGGTCACCACACATCCAACAGGGTCGACAAGTGGAACGACAGCGACGGGCAATAACCACAGTTCCTCCTCTCCTCAAGATCAGCCAGCGCAACCCGTGGCCGTGGAACGTCCATACGACCCGACAGATGTCGACCCCGTGGACGAGAATATCGACGACACTGGCTCTCGAGCCGAATCGCCACCCATCACGGAAGATCCATGTGAATTTGAATGGCGCAATCTCAAGAAACTCATCGTCCTGGTTCTGTCGTCTCTCGTATGGCGATGTCCCGAAGTCCAGAACCAGATTCGTAAACACGGCGGTGTCGAAGCTATCCTGTCTTGCACCAGCTTTGATGCACACAACCCTTACATGAAGGAGCATGCTGTTATGTGTCTAAAGTTCCTGCTCGAGAACAATAAAGAGAACCAGAAAATAGTCGAAGAACTTGAGGCAAGAGAGGTTGTTCGAGATGAGAGTGGTGTTCTGTCCAAGACGGGACATGAAGCCATTATTGATAGCGTGGGAAAGCTATCTATCCAGAAAAAAGCCAACGGCTCTTCTTCGGATTTGCCAACGACCGCAAATCGAGTGGAGGAAGTATTGGATGAGTGAATGAAATTAATGTTTATTTAAGAGAGGGAACATGAACATGAAATGATAGAAATGCTGCATGATTCTGGATGGAGTTATTGGATTTAAATGCTGATGTACATAGCCAAAGCCCTATTCACATTTCATGTGATATATCAAGCGTCAAAAAGTACTTTCTTTAGGTATCTTAGACTCAAACCGCATTATGAGGGGAAAAAAAAAAGGTACTACCGTAGGTACTTCATGATTTATATACGTATGCTTATCGTTTCAAGCATACATGCCATCCCAATCCTCGTCATCGTCCGCTTCCAGCGCCGCGCGGCGTTTTTCCGCCTCTTTCCTTCGCTCAGCTTCCTTTTCGCGCTGCTTTTTGCCGAAATCTGTACGGTCCAACGGACATGTACCCCTTAGACGAAGCCAGGGTCGTACGCATTCAAGATCGAATAGATGGGTAGCGTGGCAGGGTAAGCGAACAACAAGAGGGTATGGATCGTCTAAAAATGGATTGCTGCATATGGGGCACGACTGGGACGAGTTCAAAGATGCGCGCGGGATGCGGTCAAGGGCTTTTGTTTTTTTTTTGCCATGAATCAGCTTATTGCTCAATATTATGAGACAGTAGATAAGGACATGAGCTCACTGTCACAAAACTCCTCGTCTACGCCTTCAACCTCCCTCGGCGGCATATCCGCTCCTTGGAGCAAAGTCTCTATCATCTGGTCAATCAGAGCGGCGTCAGGATGCTGGTGCTCGCCAGTATCACCACCGCTGCCAATATCGTGTTCTCGTCTCATGAAATCAAAGGCTTCGGCGAGCGAACGGAAGGCAGCGCTGACATCGCCTGGTACAGGCACGGCATGTTCCCTCGTGCGCGTCTCGGACGGGTTGGGAGTTATCTCGGACAGAGTTGCGAAGAATGTTGATAGATCTGGACGGCGGGGTCGGGATTGTGTGTTTGTACTGAGGTCTTCTGTATTATGCTCGACTGGTGATGATGATGCGCGTTAGAGAGCATGCCTTGACAAATTCAAAAAGAAGTTGGGAGCTGATGTACTTTCGTATGATGCCATATTGTCTGTCTCGCAGTTGGATGTTGGTGCGGGGTGAATGCGACGACAGATGGAATGGAGAATTTAGATAGCTCTGTTTCTTAGATCTATTCAACAATGGCTTGTTCTGTTCATTTGGAAGAATTTGGCAGGATGGGAATCGAAGTCAAGAGGAGAAGTGTCGCATAGGGGGGTTTGGAGTTTGGAGTTTGGTCGTAGGCAGAAACGGTCAACGGCGGATTTAAAATCGGAGCAGAGCCTGAGGCCTCCAGCCCCGATTTCTCCGTGTACAACTACACCATGCCACACAACATTGCAGAGCAACTCAATACGTTATATTGCACATTATGGTCGTTGAATGAATGCACTTCTTCTGCCCAATGCTCACATCATTTCTCTCGATGCCCGCCTGCGACTTCTCTTCAAGTCGAGACATGATGGCATAACCTAGGTATATTAATGGATCGAAGTCTACTTGGGAGTACATATCAAGACAAAAAAGAGTTAACTTTCAAATCTCAGGTTCTCATTCCGAACTGATTGTCTTTTACCGATGGCCGACCACCTGCTTTGGTACATACAAGTCATCAATGCTTTTCACTTCCTCTGCGCTCAGCTTGAATTCAGTCGCCTGGATCGCCTCATCGACTCTCTCCTTCTTACTCATCCCCAGAATAGGTGCTGTGATGAAAGGCTTCGATAGAGACCAAGCAATAGCAATGACTGCCATGGACACGCCGTGCTTTTTAGCAATATCCTCAATTTTCTCATTGATAGCCTTGTCTACCTCCGTGTATGGGCGTCCTAGAAATGTCAACCCTTGAGTATTGCCGCGTGTGGTAGTTAAGAAAGATTTCCAAGGCCGAGTCAAAAATCCCATAGAGACAGGGCTCCAGGGGATACCGGCCATGCCAAACTTCTGGCACGCAGGATACATTTCCCTCTCTTCCTCCCGGTAGACGGCATTATGAAGATTCTGCATAGAGATGAACTCCGTCCACCCATTCATTCGCGCCGTATACTGGTATTCAAGCAGCTGATGAGCCCGCATGGATGAGGCACCGATGTAGCGAACTTTGCCCGACTTCACAACGTCATGCAATGCCTCCATGGTCTCCTTTGCAGACGTGTTCGGGTCAAAGCGGTGGATTTGAAGCAGGTCGACATAAGGAAGACCCAGCCTCTCTAGGCTTGCATCGATGCTGTCAAAGATATGTTTCCGGCTCAGTCCGTACTGGTTTATGTAGCCATTCTGGTCCCTTTCGTCTTCGCTCATGGCCAGCGGGTCTTCTAACCCCCTGCCCACGGGAGCCCAGAGTTTGGTGGCAATGACAATATTTTCCCGGCGCCATTTGTACTTCTTGATTGCCTTGCCGAGAATTTCCTCGGACTGGCCATTGGAGTATGCGTTGGCGGTATCAAAGAAGTTGATGCCGGACTGATAGCAATGGTCGAGGATGGGCAGTGCGTCTTCTTCTGGGATTGCCCACGGAAAACGACCCTTAGGGTTGCCAAAGCTCATGCATCCCACGGCAATTGGAGAGACGCGGAGGCCAGTACTGCCGAGTTGGACGTATTTCATTGTGAGTATCAGATTTATGCCTGCTTCTTCGAAGGATAGTGAGGAAGACTAAGGGATGGATGATAGGGGCACATACGTTCACACCGAGTGAGACCTGAGCTTTATATACGATATCCATAGCTGCATCACACGTTGATACACACAATGCGGTCGTCGGCGTTAAGCGTTGATTCCATAAAACCCGATGAGTTACTAAGTAGTTACTACTGTTCTCTGATCCATAATGAGTTATACTGCTGCTTTTGTATGCCGAACAGTGACCCACCCTTAGCGCGTAAGCAGGCCATCTCCGCTAATTCACGACTGCATAGCATGTATGTACCCTGTTCTGGCAACAGCACACATCTATTGTAAAAAGATGAGATGAGCGCGGATTATTCTTCGTAATTACGGGTGGATCGCTTTCGCCCGTAATTCAGTGCAAATCTCGCCACTGGAAAGTGAGCCATCACACCTGGGCGGACGGAGGAGGTAAACTATGATGTTTTCTGAAGCTAGGATGTCAAATGTAATAGATAAGTCATTAGACTATAAGGCTGCTGCCTACTACCTTAATACTACTGGGGATATGGAGGAACCATTCTTGATCAATTCAAGAGTCAACGGCCGTGCTCAGAGCAAGCTCCCTCATCTCCTCCAACTCTGCCTTCAAAGAGTCGACCTTGGCCACCACACGTGGGAAGCAATCCGTTCCAAGGGGCAGGCGAAGGAGATGCTCCTTGCCTTGCCCTAGTCCCTGCGACTGAATCACCTCCAGAATCCGCTGCACAGCCTTTGCAGGATCGCCCGGCTGCTTGCCAGCAAACCCATTAAAAAATCCCAGGGCGGCAGCCAAGGGCGTCCCCTCGTAATCCTTGGTCATTCCTGCAGCAGGGGTCCGGTGGGATCCGATGAAACTGGTACGGAAGGCACCGGGCTCGACCAGTAGGACACGGATATTGAATGGTTTGAGCTCAGCAGAGAGACTTTCCGAGAGGCCTAGGGGACGAGAGCAGTTAGAAGAACATGAACGGGAACAAGACATCCTGCTACGCACCTTCAACAGCAAACTTGGACATGGAGTAAGCGCCACCAGCAGGCCCGCCAACAAAGCCAGCGACACTACCTATGTTGACTATGATACCGCTTCGCTGCGCTCTCATGAAAGGGAGGACGGCCTTGGTGACCCGGACTAATCCGTAGACGTTGGTTTGGAACTGCGTGTCGAGTTCGTCTTCACTATTTTCATCCCAGTTGGTACCACACATTGCGCATGCCAGTAGCTCAGCCATACCTTATATCCTCGATACTTCCGAGTAGCCCGTATCCTGCATTATTGATCACAACATCGACCTTCCCGCCATTGTCCTTGATGGATTCCTCGACTCGGTGCTTTGCCTGTTGGCTTGTCACGTCTAACTGAAGCCACTTCCCGCCCAGTGCTGCAACTTGAGGGTAATCCTGTGCAGCCTTGGTGGGATTGCGGGCTGTAGCCAGAACTCGATGGCCAGCTTTCAGAGCAACTTCGGCCATGAGTGCCCCGAATCCGGAGGACGCTCCTGTAATTAGCCAAAGTTGGGATGCCATTGTGGACGTGTATGTTGGTGATCGGTATGAGTTGGGAAATTACGGGAGCAAGACTTGACTTTATAAATTTATATAGACTGCCAGATCCTATCTGGATAGCCCAAAACCTGTCTCGCTCAAAGGTGAAATTGCTTCCATCTCATATCTACTTACGTACGTACCCACCGCTAGACCGTAATCAACGCTTTATCCCCGCTGGACGTCCAGCCGGAGTAAAGTTGCCGGCCAATAAATAAGGTACAAGTGAGGTGCCATCGATCATCCTCTGTATCGAGCCGTAGTTAAATATCGGAGTGAATGGAGGTCATGGTATCGTCGATTTATTCCTCCATCTCAACTTCTTCTCTCCTCTCACACCCCGCCAATAATCTGTTGACCACATAATTTCCCGACATCCTTTTACCAGCCACCCCCACTTCTGCAGAAATGCTTCTGTGATCTCCCAGTTCATCGGATCCCATGGATCTCCCCATACAAGCATGAAGTTGTCATGCTCAGCCATGTTCCAAAACCCCATCAGATCCCGGCAGAGCTGCGAGTCGTCCATCTCATCCTCATGCGCGACCAAATTGTCCCTCATTTGTGCAAATGGAAAGAAATCTAGCCAGGGGTGGTGGGCTTTGGTCTGCTGGAGAGCAGTCGGCTGCAGGCTAGCTGGTATCGAGCCTTCTAGCGGAGCGTGTGGGCCATGGATGTTGAAGCGCGAGATGGAATCGTCCGTCATTCCCTCGCGCTTGTATCCAAGAGCCGTGATATTACATACATATGCACGAAACACGTTCAATTTTACTAGCGTCAGACGGTGATCTGCACGTGGGTTTCCTATATAACTTTGATATGCGGCCGCCTCAAACAGGGTTTGCAGCTCGTAGGTTTCGAGGCGAGTTAGCCGACATTCTGTGCTCTGCGGACTATTCTGAGCCTCGTTGTGTGCTAACTGAATCAGAGTGCTAAAATCCGCCAGAGGAACTTGCAGGAGGGCAGCCGCCTGTGTCGAGATCTCCGTGTGCCGTTGCAGTTCCTCCAGCTCTTTTTGAGCTTTCCGTCTCTGTCCTATTGTGAACTGTCAGAGGAGAAGAATGCAGTGCAGCATGCTGTACAGTACTCACTCCACGCTTGTTGGTTAAGCCGATTCTGATGCCTTCGTCGCTCCGCTCTGTCGCCCGTTCTAGCAATGGCGCTAGACATTCTCAATTTCAAAGAGTATGGGCTGCTGGCAGGATTCTACAATTCCGCATACAAACAAGGAGGTAGGTGGCAGAGAAGACCGCGGAGTTTCGCCACCACCAGAAAGAAGTCAACCATGCCCCACAGCCCTGGCGGAGATAGGACACAACACGGAAATAAGAACAGGGCGAATAAAACAGAGTGTAGAATTGGGAAAATTGCATTCAATTCTGTAAGTTATATGGGAACTACGCAGAGCCTAGTAGCTGAAATCTTCATTAACAACGTTCTTCCCTTGCAGCCATTCAAGAACGGAACTCTGCAGAGCATGGCCTGAGCAAAGATAGAAAGTATCTGCTGGAACGCTCTCAAGGTCACTCGCTTGCATTCGGCGATATCTGATTACTGCTTCAGTGTTCTCAAGAGCTTCCGTATCTCTCACCTTCTCTGACTGGCTAATGAACAATGTCGTCGAAGGCGGCAGGTCAGGAAACCGTCGAAATATATCATGAACAAGACCGGTGTCACGGCTCGATATCGACCAAAACAAGCGAAGGCGAGAAACATCCAAGCCCGGCAATTGACCTAGAACGGGCGTTATGCCAATTCCGCCGGCTATGAAGGGGATGATACCTTGACTATCTTGGTCGTTCCCGATCTTAAACGTTCCTCCAAACCCTAACATGGGCACCTCAAATTGTTCTATGCGAGGATCCCGTTGGAACATATAAGAAGTCACATTGCGATTCTTTCGAATTGTGATCTCGAATTCGTCATCTGGTAAATTGTGTCTCGGAAAAGAGGAGACGGTGAAAGTCCGAATATAGTCGTCATTGAGACTCAATGGATCATCATCCCGCATGTGACTATAGCCCTTGTCAAGCTGGTCTTTGAACGAGAAAACAGCATACTGCCCAGGTTTATACCTAGGGAGTTTGCCACCCGCATTCCACAACTTGAAGCGAAAGCGGGCAATAGATGGAGTCAACATTTGCTTCGATACGAGTCTGGCGCAGGAGGGGTCTCTATCTGTTATGCCTGCCATGGTATGTTCCTTTTCTGTCCGAAGATAGCGAACGGGAGGCGTATATGGCGACTTGTCGATCGGGACTCCACGAAATGCCAATGCCTTTTCGACGTAGCGTGCCTCGACAACAGTCATTTTAACTGCGAGGTTGCATCTTGGTAGCAGTGCATCGGCATCTGCCCCAAGGAGTATCTCCGTCATGACCGTCATATACAGCGCGTCCCCAGTCTCAAAAGATGGGAAAACGAGACCGGCCTGATGGTTCATCATCAGGTTTCCCAACGACTGGTATAGCCGGTTCCCAGAGTACTCCGGATATACGAGCACCGCTCCTTTAGAGTCAGCTGAAATTACTCGTACGAAGCCTGGAGGGCCGCCCCGATAGTTTGTATCCATGTCAGTGTCTTGGTGGTAAGAGGATATAAAAAAGCAGTCTGCATCATTGACTAGCTTCAACGCTTGGGGAGGAAGCCTTGGGGAAGCAGAAATTAGTCTTGGTTCCGGTACGGCAGGAACGATATGCGTCTTATGGAGATATTTCGGACAGTTGCCTAGCACACAAGTGTCAAGATATGTTGCTTCAAAAATTACAGAAATTAACGGTTGACATACCTAGAGACTCTTCAATTTTGACGACTAATTGGGCCTGACCGCGCTTTCCTGAGAGCTTCGATATTCCTTCAGGACTGTTGCCTTCGGGGTCTTCCAATGTGCCCAGAATTACTTTACCGTACAGCTTTACTCTTTTTCTCTTTTCCAAATCAATTATGACTCCCGAAATCATCTTGTTTCCACCCTCTGCCCTGATACTAGAACCATCAGCCACGTTCGATTGATCAAACAAAGCGTCGACAACAGGATCATAAATCCTGTCCACAAGAGCCCTCATGCCCACAATGTCTGTATCAATCACCGAGGCAAAGCCTGGTTCTCCGCCCCATACTGTTGACCAAGGACGGCCATCTGCATCCAACGCCCCTAAAGCTAGCAAGGGTGCATGTGATATCATAAATTGCCCGTTTGGTGTGAGGAACAAACTCGTAGGGTTGAGTGTGCTCGGCACCTTGAGACTTATCTGCAAAGCTATCTCCCCATCGTTGAAGGGGAGAATAGGTCCTTCCAGTGAGGCTGGCATTGAGTTTATGTGCTTGGGTAATTCGGCGGTGGACCTTGGTATATCGAAGACAGATCAGGATAGGCACAGGACCGGCGACGTGAGCTGAATACAGAGAACAGCACCCGAAGCGATTATGGCTCGATGCATTTCATGTGTATGATCTTGTGCTGGCAGACAACAGACACACTCAACTTAGTTAGATGCGAGATATTAGTAATCATTATTACAAATCAAGGTCTTGGCAAGCATTCGTCATCGTCATGCTCTGCTCGTAACACAATAACTATCGTGATAGAGTTAAGCAACACATATCAAAGAACGAAAAACAGAAAGCTTGATGATATCGTTGATTATGAGTTGTCATGCGTAGTTTATAGTCTAATTCATATACCTACAGAGCATGACTGGACACATGAGATGGTCAGTCAAAATGACAGCTAAGAATTGCCTAGTGCTAGTATCATTTAGTATCCCCTGGAGGCGAAGCCTACGTTTCGTTTCCAAGTCTCGACGCATTTGGACGGGATGTGCCATGATCGGAGAGTTTCCGACTACGCTGGCGAAATGGAGATGATATGTAAGTTTCCTCTGTCGACCAAAGATAAAACTGCGAGGGGTATCAAAGTGAGTCTGGTTTGTGTTTCAATCAGAAGACCGAGTCCGCGACTAGCGAGGCTTAACTACTCGGACACCTGGCCTAGTAAGAATCTTTTCCCAAAGGTTATCGGCTTGGGATATGAGGCTAGACTCGGTAGTAGGTCCTGGTCCAAAAGGTCCATGAACAGTTTTTGTGGGCTTTGAAAACCACGCGGCGACGTACAACTATCATAATACGGCAATGGCCATGCCTAGGTACGCAGTCCAAGATGCATAGGCAACACAAATCTGCAGTGTAGGCGACGGAATCCTTAATATCACATAGGCCAGTGAGAGGTTTGCCAATGCAAGTCCCAAAGAATCGACCTGCTTCGGGGAGCAGGCGAGAGCTGGTGTAAATTGTGTATCCATTGAAGGATTCCCACTATCCACAGGACAGCTAAGCTCGGGAAGAGTGGCATTACAGTAATTTCCAGACCAACATCCCGGTAAGGTATCTATGGCTCTGTAGGATTCCAAAACTCGGATTTTAAGTAGCAGTGAAGAACCATCGTCGACGGGCACATCTTGCTCAGGCCGACAGCGGCTTGCAACAGTTCTGGCTGGACTGTTGCGGACGCAGGCTGCATGGCTGTTCCTTCTGACACCAACGTGAACTGAAACCTTAATGATGTCGAAAACTGCAGACAAACAAATTTGAGAAGGTGTTCCTACCGAAACTGGAATAGTGATAATATCCTCGTGATCTTCACGGTTAGGTGCGGCTCAGGGCCGACTAGACCCAAAAAAGGCATGGCTCTCGGCCAGGAAGTTGTCTCAGACTCTCAGCTGAATAAATATCACCACCGCCGCTGGGATGTTCTGACTATTTGCGCGCGACTGTAAAAATACGCCCTAGACAGAGACAGAAAACTCTCCGCGCAGTAATTTCCAGCTCCCGCATCGTAATTCTTGAACCTGGGTCGGACCAAATCGTCGTGATTCAGCTGCAACAGCCACGATCTTGGAAAAGCCGAAAACATGGCGCCTACCCCTGAAGAGATCGTCAGAGAATGTTACGACGACCCCGCCCTGGTAGAGCGCGTCGCGCATCGGACCACCCCGAGCAAGATGGAAATAGTCGAACCTGATCCCGCCTGGCCGCAGACCTTCGCGGCGCTCAAGGCGCTCATCGTCGACGCCCTTGGCCCCACCGCCGTTGTCGTCGAGCACACAGGGTCCACGAGCGTCCCCGGCCTGCCAGCCAAGGACATCATCGACATCGACCTCACGGTCCCGGACCCAACCGACGAGGCCGCATATGTTGCCCGCCTTGAGGCTGCGGGCTTCCACTTCCTCCTGCGTGAGCCTGCCTGGCACCAGCACCGCTTCTTCTGCCGCTACGAGCCCACCGCTAACCTGCACGTCTTTGGCCCGGATGCTACCGAGCCGGTCCGCCATAGAATCTTTCGCGACTGGCTACGGAGCCATCCGGAGGACAAGGAGCTGTATGCCGAGACTAAGAGGGAGGCCATGAGGGCGTCGAGCCAGTCGGGCGAGGATATGATGCAGTACACCGACAGGAAGGACGCTGTCGTCCGCGGGATCCTGCAGAAGGCGTTTCGCAGCTTGGGGTACATTGATTGAGCTAGGCGACGAGTCTTCTATGTGCAGCGGAGTATGACTTGGTCTGATGGTGATCCGGGACAACGCTTCTCCCAATATACGTCCGGCCACGCTGATCCGTGGCCGGAACATTGCTCAGCGTCAATCTTAGCTTCCCGTTCGGCAAACATAGTATTTTTCTCCAACTCCTTGACACGTATGCTTCGCTGCCATTCGCCAAATAGATAATGCAAATATCAAGTGCGAGAAAGAATCCGTCCTATGTTAGGACCTGCTTCTCATAAACGTCTAGGCAATGCCCATAACCTCAAATTCCTGGAGAAGACCGTTCCGTGAACAAACGTTCAACATTGACGCCATAACCGCGATATCACATAACCGAACCGTGGTTTATGAAAAGGGATTTGTGGAGGATGGAGGAGGATCCCGTGTGAATCGCTCGCAAAAGGAAACTGTTTGTAGCCTGAGGCTGCAAAGAGGCCAAACAGGGGCTAGCGCCTCTCCACTACGTCACTTATGTACAGGGCGGTCAGAGGCGGTTTTAGTGCGGCCCTAACCCGGCCGAATGACAGCCGCTGATTGGCTGCCTTGGCTAGTTTCCGCCTCGAGAGACAAACGGCGTGCGACTAGCGACTTCCCTGATTTATGAATATACCATTTGCATTACCTCCATCCTCACACTCATTCAGAGCATTTCCATGCCTGTCCCGTGCATCAAACCGCCGCAAATTTTTTCCTCGCGATTTCTGCATTGTTAGACCATTTTTGGCCCCCTTGTGTGTTCCGTTTGTCGTTGACTTTTGGCGTGCTTTGCTGCTTTCAACCTGGACATCGCATCTCAAGGTGCCTCGGAACTACTCTGATCTGCATTCAATACTCCTTGGATTACCAATGGCTGAACTACAGAACGGCCTTGAGTAGGTGTTCGAGATTGGTACCTGAGCTGATATGGAAATTTGCCTCTCTCCTTGTTCATTCTCTTTTTCACCTCGGCGATTTACGGATGATTACTTTTGCTACTATTTCACTAGCCAATAGCAGTACCACCGTCCCTCCCGCTGCGCGGTCGATATACGGCATGACCCTATAGACTATACGGACGACACCCTTATAACGCTAGAAGTCTCAAGATATGCTTTCCTCATCTCTCAAATCAGACAGCTTTAAAGGCCAAAGCCTTGATAGCAGCAGTTTTACCACCAGCTTTGATCATGCTGCTGCAGGACAGTAAGTCTAGCTTGGACCCCTAGTCTCGCATGCCAGGCATGAGTCACCCCTCTGCTGGGTCCTTACAGCTTTATGATACTGATTTGGTTCCTCGAAAAATTAGTGATGGACTCCGATGTCATCTATCCGGTTCATTGATAGCGAAGCCCTGTACTCCTGGAGAAATTGCGTTCTATGAATCGAGTGTCCATCACCACAACTTCCAGGCTTTTATGCCACAGTGGTATGGAACTTTAACGTCCGCAGACCAGCAATCATCACTTTCGATAATTCCCGGTGCACAGAATCAGGCGCAAGCAGTCCTATCATCGTTGGCAACTCCATCCGCGACTAACGGTCTCTCCAATCCCCCAAACCAGACAACATCGCAAGAGCGAACGTGGACCCCATCTGGAGGGCGCAAGTTGGACACTGGTATTTCGATCGTACTGGAGAACATTGCCGATGGATTTAAGCGACCAAATGTTTTGGATGTCAAACTTGGTTGCCGTCTATGGGCAGACGATGCTCCTCCAGCAAAGCGTGCCAAACTCGAGGCAGTCTCGAAAGAGACAACAAGTTCTACTTTGGGATTTCGAATTGCAGGCATGAAGGTCTGGGTTGGGCACAACGACGACCAATCAGCAGCGAAAAATATTGAAACAGCGGAGTTCACTGACCCATACATGACGAAATATGAAGGCTCGGAAGCTCCAAAAGGCCAGGTTGTCGAGAAAAATGGCTACAAGCGGTACGACAAATGGTACGGACGGGCTTTTACCGCCGATAATGTGAAGGAAGGATTTGAGACCTTTCTGACGGGAGCCAAAGCTGGCAAAATCGACCGGTCAAGGCTGATTGCTTCTCGAATCCTTAACGAACTGCGAGCCGTGAAATATGCGCTGGAGTCAGAGGAAAGTAGAATGTACTCGTCTAGCATTTTGGTGATTTACGAGGGCGACCCAGACGCTCTAGAAGAGGCATTGAAGTACGAAGAAAACCGGAGGCAATTGGAAGAGACTAAATCATCTTCTGACTCTTCAGACGGGGCGGAGAGCTTGGATATCGCTAATGGATTTGACATTACTGAACTCGGCACACTCCAACCTGTGGGTATTGCTTGTGAAGGAAACGGAGAAGAGGCTTGCACTATTTCTCGGTCATTGAATATTGAAGTAGACCCCGAGTCCCTCGCAAATATTGACGAAGACGACAGTTTCGATGACGAGGATGAAATTCCTATAAAAGTGCATGATTTTCGCTTAATTGACTTTGCGCATGCAGCCTGGACTCCGGGACAAGGTCCTGACAACAATGCTTTGATGGGGATCAATAGTTTGATCACAATCATGGAAGAACTTGCAGTGGCGGAAGAGACACCGGAAAGCGCGACATAAATGACAACGTCGTACTATATAAAATAACGAACAAGATATTTGTTTTCTTGGAAGGGAGGAAATTTTGCTGTTGATTTCGTGCACTGGTCATTGCGTGGCATAACATTCTATATTCTACATTCTATGTTCTACGGGGATTGCTGGCAATCTCACACGGGGGGTTTTTTTTGTATTGTATCTTTATCCTTCATCAAAGCATCCATTCATTTTTTCACAATTCTTTTTCCTTCAGCTCTGTAGACGTTTTTGAATATGGGCACGCTAGTTTAAACATGATTGGCCAATCTCCGATTATGTAATCTAAGCGTCCCGACTCGCAACCATCGCGATTTTGTCTCTCTCGACTGTCCAGTCAGTCGTCAAATGCAATCACGATGATTCCAACAAGGTGCCTTTTAGCACGCTCAGTGTGGAAAGGTAAGCGCACACTCACTAATTGTACTCTCGCCAAAGGAACTTTTTTTTCTGACTCTGAATCATTTCCAGGTCCAAATCTCGTTCCGTATGTTTTCGCATTCCCCTTCTAGTGCCCTTTTTGTCGAGCAGCGCAACAAAATTCATCTAGCATTGCTATAGCCGGAACGAAGACAAAGGAAAATAGAAACAGATTCTCTAATGTTTCTTGATGCAAATAAACAGTCTCCCTCTTCCCCGCCAAATCCCTCCTCCACCCGGTACACCACCGATCCGAACACAGGCTCGCTCCGCAACAATTCTACCAAACTTTGTGGGTTTGAGGTTCTCAGTACACAATGGAAAAATATACCAGGACGTTATGATCACTGAGGATATGGTTGGACGGAAATTGGGAGAGTTTGTCCCGTCAGTTTTTCTTTCTTGGATTCTCCCTGCGCTGACTGACCGACTGATGATGTGTGTGAATGGTTAGAACTCGCAAACGATTCACCTACAAGCAATCGAAGAACAAATAAATGATTGATCGCAATACGAGTCACTATTCTATCTACCATCTACTCGGTTCCTGGACCTGGTGTATTCGGCTTCGTTTTTCAAATCGGTTCCTTGGGAGTCACCAAAACGCTTTCCTCCCTCTTTTTTCATTTTTCATAACGGATGTGTGTTGAACTATTAGCGCGACTATGTTTCTAAATATCTGGCTAGGCCAGACTGTACAATAAATTGTATATTTTTCGTTGATGGAATACAAAATAAGAAATGCTGCTGCGTATCTCGCAGACACAAAATTGGCCCAAAAATGTTTGTCACCACAGATCCCATGTGGGCTGAATTGATATGATAAACAATATTGTAGATTTTGAATAAACTCGGAAAAATCCCACCCAGTGCCTCAATAGACTAATAAGTAAAACCGTGCCAATGCCAAAGTTTATCCCCAACCAAAACGCCAACCCATTCCCATGAAAAGAACCCAACGAAATGAAATAATTACCATCTTTTCTTTCCCCCCCAACCCTCAGGTGAAGTTTTATGAAAACAGGAATATACGTCTTCAAGAAAGATTCATATCTTTCCCACGACTGGGCGGAGATTATCGGTAGAATTCACCCCTCTTAACACTAACACCATATTCAGACACAGCCATTCCCAAGTCCTCCATAGTGAGAACAGTGCGTCCCTGTCCAGAACCTCCCTGGCCACCACCACCAAAGCCAGGCCGTTGAATACCAAGATGTGTATTTGCCGCGCCACCCTTCTTACCAGCATCTGCCCCAGCACCGGCCCCTGCTGCCCCTCCTGCTGCACCGGCGCCAGCCATGTTGAGGCCAGCAGCTGCGTTCAGACCGCCCATGGGATTGCTTGCGCTCGAGCTATTTGAGGCACGGATTCGCGAGTATTGATAAGCGTCGGCGGCAATGTCGGCGACGAATTTTTGCGTCGCCAGGGCTAACAGACGTGCAAGATGTGGTGGGGTTTGGTTGGGTCCATTGCCTGGTGGTGGTAGGCCGGCGACTGTCAAATAGTGCGCTGTTACAGCATCCGGTATCTGTGGCAGGCGAGGTTAGTCGTAATTATCCTAATTCAGATATGGTACATCGTGTAAGGAATAGAAGTGAGAAGAAAGTGAAAGGAAAACGACAGCGTGGAAGTAAAGGTAAAAATTTCAATATCAAACATACGATCGGTGCATATTCATCCATCTTCCCCAGAAAATCACGTAGACTACTCTCTTTCTTTGTCGGCGCCGCAGCACTGGGAAGCGCTGCCACAGGGTTTTCGGGCGCAGCAGACCCTGTCGTATCAGCTGTACCATTCACTGCAGGCATATCTTCAGCGGTGTTCATATCAACGTCGTTATCGACGGCGTCATCGGTCGGGTCGCCTCCAAGTTGGGTATTATCGGCATCCGCGGAGGGGACTGGGTTATTTGTCGTCTGTTGATTTGTCGCATCTGACAAGGAATAAGAACCCTCCTTGGGTTGTGTTTGTTGTGTGGAGGGAGGAAGTTGTGAGCCTGCTGCTGCTGAAGGCTGCGTCGTGGAAGGTGAAGCTGAATCAGCCATGCTTGGCGAATGAAAAGGATAAAGCGGTCGCACAATGAACTCGACTCGCGTCTGCCGCTTTGTCACCCAACCTAGTCTTCAAAGGTACTTTGGGCTGAGGCAAATGTACCAAGAGGCGTGTAACTGGCGGTGGTAACGCTGTACGCAAGTTGTATGTATCTGGACTAATTCGGCTTGACGGAGAAGTGGCGCTCTGGAGGTCTTGGCATCTCTTCTCGCCAGCCCTAAAGCTTACTACCAGCGGTATACTTTCTCTCTATCACAGTATGGTCTTTGGCATTTGGAATTTGAGAATGGCAAAAATAACAAATAACGAATAACGATTAAGATTAACTAGGAGAGCCATTGCTCCGCCCAAGGCACACGACGACCAACCCAATTCCAGGACCGTCCCAATAACGCCAGCCAGAACTAGAAACATGCATAGAATATACAATACCAATTCGGAGTATAGCAAAAATTTTCGTTTGAGTATGGTGGAACATCGGGCCTACTACAACAGCAACAGCCAGGGAAAGAAAAGTCCATCTACTGACCGGGAGTTTGCATATCTGCTGCGGTGCTCAGAGGTTCGTTGTGTTGGGCAGCATGAAGCAATTCTTCAGGCACTTCTTGGCCCAGGCTCTGAATCAGCTTCTGCTCCTCAGTCTGGCTCATCATATTTTGATTTTCAGGTTCTTGGTGGATCGCCGGGGACGCTGACATGCTATCTGGGCCTTGACCAGGAGACATGTGAGCTCCAGCAAGGGCCATCATGCCTTCAATGCCTTCGACATGAGCCTTATCTTCTTCGCCGCGTTTCTTCTCTCGCTCTCGTGCCTCATTCTTCGCAGCCTGTGCAGGTGCGCGTGTCTTGAGCTCGCCAGTGACGAACTTGAGGTAGTATGGTACCTCTATTCCGCTTTTGAGGAAGAATAGTTTCAGATTTCGAGCTTTATCTTTAAGCTGCACCTGGTTTCGGTCCTTCAGTGCCTCGTTGATTGTGCCTCCAGGCCCAAACATTGCTAATATCTGACTCCAATGAGGTCCCTTGACACGATCTAACCCAGCCATCAAAGCGTTTTCTTCTTCGGTAGTCCAGGGACGCCGTTGACTGGGCAAACCAGCCCGACGACTGTTAGATGAAGACTTTGCCGTCGCTGCCATACGTGCTCGTTCGTAAAGAACCTGGGTAGGCTGAGACTGGGAGTAATGGGGAACACCGGGCATATATCCATAATTGGCTACCGCATCGTTTGCTCGTACGTTGCTAGTGGCATTCTGTGGGGGAGTATATTGTTGAAAATTCTGAAGGGGAATTGTGTTGTGCTGGAATGTTAGCTGCTGTGGATATCCAGGTGGCGTAGGGCTTTGCTGGTAAGCTTGGTTTATATTTTGCTGAGTCGACTGGTTGATGGCCTGAGGCGCGGGAGTGCTGTGAGCTGATTGTGGGGCTTGCTGGGGTGTTTGTTGTTGTTGTTGTTGTTGTTGCTGTGTTTGCTGCTGCGGCTGTTGCTGAGATTGTTGTGATTTTCTAAGTCCATGACCCTGCAAGGCAATCTGTGCTGCTCGTGCTGCACGCGCGACAAGATCTCCGTGGAGGTTGCGATCCGCGGTAGCTTCCGCAGGCTGTGTAGCCACAGTGAATTGGCTCTCAAGAGGTGCACCACTCGGAGCTTCCTGGCTCTCCCCTGATATCGACTGGCGGCCTTTGATGACCTTGCGAGACTTCGAATTGTATTAGTAAATTGGAATCTAAGGGATGAAATATGCGGTCGGCTTACCTGTTGGCTGTTGATTGCTTCGAAATTCTTGCTTATGTAGGAGCTGAGATCCCTTAAAAAGTCTTCCCAATGATATTTATCCGGCAATGCCTTCATTGCTTCTTCATTATTAATGTCAGCGAATATGATGTCGCGTCTGGAGCGAGCTCGTTTAACAAAATCCGCTTCGCTCGGAGCAAGCTGGCGGGTACCCAATCGCTTTGAAAGCAGGACGTGCTCTAAGTCGTCGGGAAATAATTCGAATAAAACCTCCGTTCTGGTGCGTTCCTCATTGTTGAGTGAGGCAATAAATGCTTGCGTCTTGAGCTCGAGGAAAAGTGCGCCTTGAACCTTCAGCAGGCGGCTGCCTTCAGGTACAAACACATCTAAAAAATGGTCATTGAGCTCAGCAAAACTTATTTCCTGTGATCCAAATATGCTAGAAACGAAAGAAGCTAGATTTGCTTTGCGTATTATGTCAATCTGTGAGGGTTCTGTCAAATCCAGTTCAGTTGGCGACAGGAATGCCTGTTTTGTAGAATATACTCGCTTCGTGTGGTCGAACAACGAGCGCATAGTCGCATATGCCTGACCATTCTCTGAATCAGGTTCGGAAACAAACGATGTGATGTCTTGATACGAAGATTTGGCAAGAAGTGACAGAATTTGGGTTGACTAGATGCCCATTGTAAGCAGGGTACGACGACAAGATACCAGAAACATTTACGTACGAGATTATCAAGAATAGGTAAACTTTGTATCTTTAGCGACAAGCTAGCCTTAACGAAGGTCACGCTCTTATTGGGGGACTCTTCAGAGCCACCTGTAGGCAATTGGTCCAATGCATATTGTTCTTCGATGCGCTCGGCACGATCAATGATACTACCGAAAACCGCCGCCACCTCGGGGTCCGGCGCATCAGTTGACTCGAGACTAGTGTTCTCGGTACTTTGAACTTCTTTTTCTGCTTCTACACTGGTAGGATTGAGTGCAGCAGCGAGCTCCTCTTCGATCCGGTCTTCGGGGGCGATGTCTGTCTCTTCTTTGACATGGGGCGAGTCACCGAACGCGGACTCCGTGCGACGTTTCTTATGTGCAGGAGGCGAGGATGGATCATTTTCTAGGTCATGGGTGACTTTCTCAGAAGGCGCTGTTATACGTTAGTGGAATTGGCTTTATTAAAAACAAAACAGGAACTAGGTTGGCCAATCCGGGGCAGCGAAGGATGGCAACAGCGATGCGACAGCGAACCATCGACAGGGAAAGGACACGACACGTACCATTACTTCCCGTTTCAGGGAGAGCTGAAGAGGACTCTAATTCCATTGACACTTTGGGTTGATCACCGTGCTGACCATAATAGAGTTGTAAGGCAGCGTCGAGGATGGGCAAGGATGCAGCGACTGTCCAGGAGAAGAAATGAGGGCTTAGGGATAGGGCGCAGGAGTAGGGCTTGAGGCAAAGAGAGAATTTTCTGACTTGGCTGGAACATCCCGGCGCCCGGCGCGGCGCTAGTACGAACACGGCCATAGTGCAGCCTTGGCATGATTCGGGAGGATGGTCATGTGACTTGTTGCTAAGACCTGAAAGGCTCAATTTAGGGTTCCGAGCACTAGCCCTAACTAAAATGGGGCTGGCTTTCAAGAAACAAGGCGTTACAGATGCTCCGTTTTCCATGGCAAATGTTTGTTCCATTAGACAAGAAGTGTGTACCCTAATCATGCCGACGCAGGTCGCCATCAGACAGACCCCTCCCCAACTACAACATCGTAGGCAGGTGCCTACAGTGAGGAAAGCCTGATCAAGACCAAGCAGCAGTGTAGTCTAAGCTGTTACTAGATTACCAACAAAGCAGTTATTCTAATCTGGGGCGTTTCGACCGCCGTCACAATTCGTCATCTACGGGGGGAACAGTCACTAAAATGGCTGCGCATGAATACTTGGATTCAAGCGTGGCTTCATTTCCGTATGCGATGTGATTGAAAGCAGTCTCCCAATGTTTGGGTGATGATAGCCATACGATGCCTGCGAAGCCTTCGTACGGCCAGTTTTTATTGTATCTGTACGTTTTGGTTGGTTATGCGTGAGATTAGAAAGAATTGAAAAATGAACAGAAAAAACCCCGATAACAATCTCACTATTTGTTTTTCTTCCTCAAAAACCAAATGCATATCCATATCAGGTACATTTTTGTGAGGATGTAGTTTGGTCCCGACCAAATCTTGAGTACCTGTCGGCTCTTCTCCTTCTTCTCGCCAATCCTCATCGAATGGATTCTGAAGCACGGGGCGAACTTCATCCTGATAGCCAAGATGTTTAAATATGCTGTAAATCACAAGATCTGAGCCTTTTAGATGTCTCGGAAGTGACTGGGCTGCGTTATTGGAGGCATGCGCATATGCGTGGGAGTAGTAGATACCGAGTGTGCCACCTTGGAACTATCAGTAAGGACTCTGTACACAGTAGCATATAAGGCAGCAGATATCCGACCTTCAGGCATATAGTTTGGTTGCTCCATGAGCGACTTGATCATCTCCTATGGTGGCAGTGACTCGGGGTCAACACTCTGCTTCGGCAGTCTGATTGCACCACCTATCACGTCCACAAGATGAAGATTATAGCTGAGGGTAATCCTGTTTCCTGTTGTTACCGTTTTGATTTCATGCTCACAGTCACTATAAAACGCTGCTCACTGAATGGTCGATTTAGCAGCCAAAGACCAGTCAAAATTGATTTCTTTCTCGCGATGGCGCACTAAAAGATTCCCTCCCTCAAACTCCGAAGGAAGGCAAACAACAAGTGATCCTATCTGACTAGTGTCCCTCGGAGTATCTTCATGGCTTCGAAAATGGCCAGATGGTCCGGAATAAACCTAAACACATTTAGCTGATTAGCGTCCACTAGAAATACAGAGGAATAACGAGCACACACATTGTGCTTATATAAATCGGCAACAACTTTTCTCGAGTAGGTCGGATTCTTCTGGCCTGTCGCTGATATTTGGAAGTAGGATCTGTTCGATATTTTTCACAATGCCAAAGTCGGCCGGATGGAAAGTACTTGCAAATTGTGTGTTGTCCAATTTTCCAGCTCGACGGTATTCTGGATCAACAACATCTTCACCATCCTTACCAAATGAAGCCACAGCACAGTCGCTTGCGAGTTGCGCGATAGATGAGGGAGTTCCCTCTGATATGGGAAGGGCGATATTGTGGACATCTCCGTCTTTGGATGATATCCAGAACAAGCCGACTGAATCTGAGGATTGAGTGTGGGCTTTGCGAGCGGTATCAAAGCCTTTTTCAATAGTGATAGAGCCACCACATGTGAATGAGATCTTTGAGCATTGCTTTTCGATCAAGTGCTGAAGGTGACTGGAGGTTTCATTTGGACCCCCAGTATTGGGCGGCATCCTATTGCTATTAGACTAGAAAGTAAATCTGATATAACGGACCGAGAGTCGTGACAGACACCAAAGATGTGACTGATTCAAACCCGAAATTAGAATGGAGATGATAGCCCTGTAAATGTTCCTAGGTACCTAGGTAGATGCAACGAGCACGGGCTGAACAAAAGTTAGTCTCGACACGATGACGCGCACATAATGTGTTGTTGTGACCATTATGTAGGGCAGAACCGCCTACGGTTCCCGTTTAGGTATGTATAGGTAGCGCCTCACGAGGAAATATCTCCTCCTCGTGAGGCACCTTCCCATAGACAATCAAGCATCTTTCAAGCCCTGCTTGATCGTCTTGATCCCATTATAATGCATTAGACTATAACCAGTGGAAATGAATATCCTAAAAGCCAAACCACAGAAAAATCCTTTCAATACACCACGGGAGAACCTAAAACCGTGCCCTCGACGTTATTGCAGAGCCGTGCATTTAGGGGGAGCGGAGGGTAAGACGATGAGAGGAAGGTAAAAATATCATATGGTAATTGTGCTTTGAAACAAAGAGTATGTGGAATTAAATATCTATTAACACTCTGTAAAAGGTGCACACGTGAGGCGGAGGCTGCATATCTTCATTATTTCATATTGGCTTCGTTACAAGACATGTCTCGTCAAATCTCACTCTCATCATGTTTTGTACGCGATCTTCAACACCCAACAATAAGTTTCGTTCTCCCAAGCTGACTCCGGAACGTGGAAGGTGAAACCAGAGTCGGAACTCTCCCAACTTATAAACGATGGGGGTTGGTTTTCATCGGCGACTACAGTGACCACATCCCCTCTCAGCAAAGGCAATGGGGCATTAATGTGGATGTCTGATGATGGTGCTGGCTTCTCTAGGAAGAGAATGTAAAAGGCATCGTTGGTCTGTGTAAACCTCACTCCTTGGTCTGCAATCTCGGTCATGACAAACCAGTACGTTGTATTGAAGATTGCCTCGCCATGGGAATGAATCCATTTGCCGGCCATTCGCAGATTTTGCATCTCTGCCTCTACGATCGTGCCATCTGCGCGCGGGCCAAAGTCGAGCAAAAAGTTTCCATTTTTACTCACCATATCGACCAAGTCCTGCACAATGGTGGTTGCATTCATAAACAAACTACTGGCCGTTGCACGGTTGTAGCCATAGCTGTACGGATCCATCCCCTCATTGGATTCCCACTTGCGTAACTGTGCCGACGAGAAAGTCGCGTATTCGGGTGTATCAAAGTCAGAGGCCTCGGGAATACCACAGCGTGAGTTGATGGTCACCTGTCGGTTCTGTTCACGCGCGTGATTCCACCATCGAGCAGCAAATCCAGCTGTTCCATTAGCAGCACCGCAGTCGCACCATAGGATGTCAGTGGAGTAGTTATACGCGAGGATATCCATCTGCGGTACCATGAGGTCAGTTATGAAATCGTCGACGGGAAGTAACCCCGTATATGGCTCATCAAGACCAGTGTAAGGGTTCCGCGCGATGATACCCGGCCAACTAGTGGAAGCATTCCCAGAAAGCTGAGCAAAGCCGTAAGGCCCGAATTCTGGGTTGAACCACTCTGGAAGAGAGAAGTAAGTGCCTCGTCGAAGGCTTGGCTGATATGTCTCCGCAGCATCGAAGAGTTCCTTGACTATATCACGCCGGGGCCCATAGTGAAGTGCGTTCCGGTTCGACGTGGTGGAGGTGTTGAACAAGGCGAAGCCGTCATGGTGCTTTGTGGTCAAGACAAAGTACTTGGCACCCGAGTCGTAGATGAGATCAACCCATTCCTTGGGGTCCCAGTAAGCAGCGGTGAAGTTAACAAAGCCGTCGTCATAATTCCAGTCAGGACCAAAGGTGCGTAACCGGTAATCGTAAAAGTCAGACTTATCTGCGGCTTGGTGATTGGAATACCACCTGTGCAGCGTTAGTTCTTTTACATCGCTGATATCTAAGAGAACGAGAACGCTTACCAAAACCATTCGGCATAACTTTCATAGGGAGTGGAATTTCCCCAACCAGGGACCGAATAGGGGCCCCAGTGGATGAGGATTCCAAATTTAGCTTCGTCGTACCACTGCGGGGCTTCATGGCGTGCAAGATTCGACAAGTCAGACGTCCACTCGGTCAATCCATCGATGGAGACATTGGCAACTTGCTGTTGCACAGCCCAGCGGTCATGGCTCAGGAGTATCTCTGCTGGGCCCACTGCTGTGCCGTTAACGCCGACATCCACGCGCTTCTGATCGCCTGGACACAGCCGCTTGATATGACCTGGCTCCAAGGTCTCAACTCCTGGCATCGAGATGAAGATGTCGAAACCATCTCCAGCAATGCAATCGAGGCCGGAGTTGTTGATGGTGACTTCAATCACCTGGTTTCCTTCCTCTGTCCATTTCTGCGTTGGCCGCACAAACTGCACCTGCGCAGAGGAGGACGCGGCATTCCACAAGGATACGGAGAAGACGTGCAGCCTGCCCGTGGTGGCATTGGTGGTGTCTGGCAGCGTGATAGAGGTCAGAGTCTTGGCTGGGTCTAGGGCAGCAGTGTACTCGAAGATGTGTGAGGTGTTGAAGTTGGTGCTGTTTGCAGTATAGCGGAACGGGAAAATGATTTCACCGCGGTTGATGGTCAGGAACGCCCACCACGGCAAGCTTCGCAGTTCAGACACCAGCGTCGAGTTGTCAGAATACGTGTAGGTCACGTTCCCAGAGACAGTGTCCAGCTCGACGTCGGACGAGACCAGCATCGAGGCTGAGAAATACTGAGAGTTGGGCACGGAAATCGTTTGCCCTTCGCAGATGACATTGTCAGGTTTAGATGCCTGTCTGAGACCAGGAAAGTCGTACACAACCCCGGTGCTCTGGGAGGTGTATGTGCCATTGATGCCGATGATACTGGGATCCGGATAGGACTCGTTCAGGGCATCAAATGCAGCGTATCCGGGATACGAGCCAAAGGCCTTGTTGTTGAAGTAGGAATCGAGGGAAATCGATGTTGACTGTTGAGGTTAGTCTCTTCCCCTCTTTCTGTCTTGAGATATATATGTGACGGAGATCATACCAGGCTATCAACACTTTGGGCTCCTCGGACTGCCGTTGCAGAGACAAGTCCCAGGACCGAGAATGACTGTGCATCTAGCTTCATTGTCCCAATCCTTGAAGCGTGTATATGACCGTCATGCCAAGAGAAGACCGACAAGGGGGGTACTACTTATGCTTGTCGACGGACTAAAGGATGGACTATGAGGTGAGGGATATTCTGGCATTTCCTATCAGCCATCTCCACCGCAGTAATGATACAGTGACATTGCAAAAGTGGGCAAGATGCTTCCTTAAACAGAAGGTTACTAACTAGCTATCTGCATTTTTCTTCGTCGCGGGGACTGAAGAGGATATTTCCGAGACGATAAGCTAAGATAACTCTAAAACTTAGTCCGCCGTTATCTTTCGGACCTTAGGCCGACATCCCAGCGGGCTATACCGACATCACGAACTAAAGAAGTAGCGCACGGAGCTGCGCTACAAGAGCCAACTTTCCTATGTGGACTAATACACGACTTATACGATAGGTGCATGATTAGCACATCGTTATCCAGCACCAGCGGTGTATGGACGCGCGGTTTTCACGGCCACTAGATCATACCAACACGGCTCAGCATTCGATCCAAGCACCGGGATTTGCTTAGGGGGAAACATGGCACATCCGCATCTAATGCATAATATATTGCAATCGTACCCAGGAGATACCCATGGCAAGATCAACAAAGTATCGACGTTACATTGCCTAGGCTCCCTCCATGTACAGTAGGACGATCAGAAGATGAATGCTACTCGCGGAAAAGATATGTAGTACATGGTTGCACTGATAAAAACCAGCGAACTCACCCTCCCCCATGGAACTTCCCAACTGCGCGTACCGTTTCAATGTTGGCAAAATCATCCTTTTCGGCATTAGCTGTGCTGGCTAGCGTGCCACTGGTCTATTCGTTCAACAACCCTGCTGGAGTGGACATATGGTGTGGAAAGGCATACAGGGCAAGGTATTCATTCCATTCATGAAAAATTGAAGAGATAAAGGAGTGAAATGAAAGTTAACGTTCAACAGCAACGACTCCTTCAACCCGGGAGGTTGGTTTGAGGAACCACCAAAATCATCAGTACCACTTTTAAATCTGAATGTGAAACCGCGAATGAGCATCTACCTTGAGAGTGATTATGAAGGAAGCCTTCTTATAGACGCAACTGTGTCATATTTGACCGGAGACCCGTTGCCGGACACTTTTTCCTCATCCTCTAGTAAAGGATCTATATTATCCATCGAAATCATATCAGATGGAGCTTCCATTGCTCCCAAACAACAATCAGTGGTTGTAGGCTCAAGTGATAATGAGATTCTCATGAGCTTTGACAAGTTCCCCCCCAGATCAACGCCGTACAATATCACCGTCCGTGCATCTTTGTCCCATGGGAACAGCAAATCCATTTCATTTGAGGCTAGCACAGAACTATACCGACTTCCTCAGCGAACGGATGGCGGAAGTGCCACTCATCTCGATCATCTATACGGTGGTCTTGCGGTAGTGAAAGGAGATCAAACGGCATGGACGCCGATTTTTCCGTATACATACTATGGTAAGTTGATAACTTCGACCCATCACTATCAAACCAAGATGCAAAGAGTCTAGAGCTTAAAATGCATCAGTACAATGGTCGCTCTACTGGTACGCCAACGTCTCGACGCTGGACGAGTTCGCTGCCAGAGGGTACAATGTAATTCACATTGTTCCTACTGGAGACTTGGGTGACACTCCATTCCCCTGGGACGAATTTGAGCCCTACCTGCAGCGAGCGGACGAACTGGGTCTTTTCTTTCAGTATGACGTGCGCTGGGACTACACCAACCTGACCACCATGGTTGACCAAGTCACACGACTGCGATCACATCCATCAATTCTCCTATGGTATACCGGTGACGAGCCCGATGGCAAGAGTGATCCTACCAACTCAACAGCGATTGCTTATGAGACCATCCATGAGTTAGATATGTACCATCCGGTATCACTAGCACTGAATTGCTATGACTTTTACTACGAGGACTATGCCTCGGGCGCCGACATTATTCTCTCCGACGTGTATCCCATTTCAACTAACACCAGTTGGTCGACTGTTTATGATACGCCTTGCAATGCAACATATGGATGCTGCGGCTGCGATGACTGCCATGGACACTTCGAGGATATCTCTGACCGGTTGGATAACTTCGCCTACTACGATGAAGTAATTGGCTGGCCAAAAACGCACTGGGGTGCCCCCCAGGCCTTTGGCAACGAAACCTTTTGGACTCGATATCCCACTGCTAATGAGGAAGTAATCATGACCATGTTGAGTATCAATCATGCGGCCAAGGGAATTGTCATGTGGGATTTCCCCACATCTACTGAGATTTTGGGCGTGACTGACCAACTTGCCACGGTACTCACGAGCGAAACTGTTGCTAGGTTCTTGATTGGCGCTCCGATTACCCAGAAGTTAGAAGTGAATGGAGGCGACCGGGTGGATGCAGCTGCTTGGGTGCAGAACAGTCAATTGTTGATTAGTATTTTAAATCTGAACTACGGAGACCTCACTGGCGAAATCATGGTTAAACTCCCGGAGAACACTAGGGCACGATCTATTGCCCGTACTCTATGGGGAGACTCGAAGTGGAGGGTGGACGGTCAACAATTGTTGTCCCAGGGGCTAAATGGGCTTGCTGTATCCATCCTTATCGTAGACCTTGCTTAAGATACATTTCTGATATCACGGAACTGGACTTAATACGCAGAAATACTGAGGTCAGAAGTAAATTATGGTTTACTGTTCTCCTGAATGCATTTCTGAAAGCTGCCTATATATCTACACGGCCAAAGACCTGATACTTAGACAATGGGCCGGACTCCACTGACCCGATCATGATATCCTCAACCTTTTTATCATATTCATCCTCATCATCGTCACCGTCGCTGCGTGATTCTGGCCCATAGCTCTTGGGCGGGCTAGAGAAAACTGTAGATGAGACACTATGCCTAAGGCATCTTATTTATATCTTGCTCTTGGTGTACCCATTCTCTTCAGATGATGAGGTCATAATTAATATTGGTTGACTTTCTGTGTCAGTCAAAAGCTCGCAACAGGAAGAAGAAGGATCTTATATAGATACAGAAAAGAATAGGTACAATTAACCTATTGTTCGTATTATTGTATTCTCAACGCCTATTGTGTGTCTGCTTTTAGTGTTGTTGATATCTAAGACCGATATTATTTTAGTGAGGCCTTTTGGGACTAGATCAAAGGTCAAAAACCAGATGCATAGGCATTGGAACTTACCGCTTTTTCTTACACAACAATGCCGGTAACGAAGGCATCAACTTAACATCACTCCAAGCGAAACTGACTCGAGATTTGGTTCTAAGAAACGATATGTCTAGGTCTAGGAACGCGAATTTAAATTGCCCATGCCTTACCAACGTATCTAGGTAGCAAATAGAAATATCAAGATAATGTTGGCTCACGTTTTTGAAGGAGGGAAAAAGGATGGAGAGAAGGAGAAGTTAGAGAAATTAAACATATACGTCAGCAACACCCCTATAGTTGTAGAGAATGAACTGAGCCCGAGCCCCCAGTACATTGAGAACAACATTGATTAAGCGACAGCAATGTAATTGATTTTAAAGTCGCCTGATACCGAGCATTGACCTCTGTGAGGACGTGGTCATTGGCTGCTGTCCACCGAAGTGAATATTGTGCAAGCCAGGCGTGAATAGTCTGCTTGGGAACCTGTGTGGCATTATTTGCTGCTAAGTATCGATGAAGATACTGTACAGCATCGTCTAAATCGTACGTTCGTGCCTGACATGATCCACCACCAGCTATGCGGTCTAATTTGCAACAAAAGGCATATTCCCAGGGTGCTGTCAAGAGAGAGGCCAGGTTCCGTGAACATGATCTCGCGCTGACGCAGAGCCTGCTCCGTCAGTACTGCCCGTTGGTCCTTCGGGATGAAGAAGATAGTGCGATTGTTGAACCAATGCTCGTCAAGTTTCTTGTCGTGTTTGACTGCCTCTTTGGCTGCTCTAAGAGGGACCTCAAGATCTGTGGTCGCTAGGTTGTCATTGAAAAAGTCAAGGTCATGTGTAGCTAGGCAGCTTTGCAAGTAAACAGTGTTAACAGCACAACCAAAAGCGGTGATTATCACATCGCGGTTTTTCTTGCTAAGAGATGAAGCAACATTCTGTAAGGCTTGGATGAGTATATCACGAGTTAGTATCGGCAAAGGCTGGTCATGACCAGGGTCTTTTTGCGGTGCTAGTTCGCGTAGAGCTTGTGCATCCTGCCATTGTTGCAACCGGGTTAAAGATTGGCCCATTTCCAGGTTGGATATTGTTGAGATAGACAAATTAAACGAATTCGAAAAGTTGACAGTTTCGACAGTGCAGTAATCAAATGAAAATTGAAAAACGAGCACTCGCAAAGAAAATGTAATCACAGTATATCAAGTATCCGCTGGGGATCTCGGCGCCTTTAAAGCCAGTAGTTATATATGCATCTCCTGCTACGAACCCAATCGGCAATTTTTCCTGTTCTTGCCTGCAACAAGTCATACGTATGCGGTGGCCCGACGTTAATCAGCGTTCATTTCCAAGGAAAGTTGGTTCCATATATTGCGGCTCTCAGCAGCTCACAGTCACATCAAAACCCGTGATGAGTTGCTCGGTGAGCTTTGAATGGTTTCCCCGCCCCGGCTAGTTGTGTAACAACTGTCATCCCTATATCAAGACCAGCTCTTTCCTGCGTGTATGATTAGTGTTTAATAGCTGGTGCGATCAAATCTCAAATCAAGCGAGAGCAAATCTAGAATCGAAGAGATGATATAGTGCTTTGCAGAGATCAGTCGTCAAGTCACACGAACATCCTGTGATATATATATATATATATATATAGTATTTTTCGCAATGCGATCCCCCAGCGATTTTCTTTCTAAGATTAGCCAACTTCTGTAACACAAGGCGACCAGCTCTCACCGTTCCCCAACTGTGTTGTGGCTACTGGAGCACCGGACGGTGTACCTTCGAAATTTGCCCACCAGAAAGGGTCTACACCAACAGAGTCCATATACCTTGTGTACGAGTGTGTGGTTACTGGATTCACAATTGGCTTGCGAAATGAAATCGAGCATTTTTTTTAACCAACCATCGTGGGCGGTCTCGGAAACTCCTGATACTAAAGACCTAGACCCGGAGCGGTACGCCATTCTCGCTGTCTTGCCCTATTACCTAACAGTGTCATTCAACCGGCTAATCGAGCGTGGTATGCCACGAGATTGCCCGGCCATAATCACTTCTAACGAAATGGAGGATGAATTGAGAGCCCGACCAAAAGTGTTGGAAGAGGAACCAGCCTGGGTTGAGCAAGTGCCAGCCCTAGAGAAGATATTGATCATATCAGATGAAGATGGACAAGTGCCAGTAGGAGAGTAGGAGTGGGCCATTCTTGAGAAAAAACATTATTGTGAAGGAACCCCATGTCTTGTTTGTTTAGTGAACAACGAAAGGACCATTTTCAGATAATGTTGAGATATCACGGCTATGCCCTGTCATTTCAAATAATAACTTCTACGGGCTGCCGACGCTGATCATCCCTCAGGCCGCCCACCATGGCTGCATTCACAAGTAGGCATTTGGCTTCAGTGGAAGAGTTGAAGAATGATCGCAAGAATTCTCTAGCCATCTGTATAACATTGAAGATCCCGCCCCCCGAGATGATTGTTTGCTCGTAAAGTTTCTGTAACAAATCGAACTGCAGCCATTCAGTTCCCGCACCATCGTGGACATGTCCAAATATATGTAAATGCGGTCGAACACGCCAGATTTCTTGTAATAGATGTACACAGCCGAGGTTCAAGAGATCCAGATGTGTTCGCGGGGGGCCATGTGTTACCAATATATCGATATTATCTGGTATCTCACCTTTCCAGATGTCCTCGGTGCGAGGGTACTGGAAGGCCCAGTTGCCATGGCGGGGCGAGTATGGACTACCGTAAACACGGAGCGAGCGCCCATTCTGGCATGTAATAGTTGTTTCTGTGTTTTGGAGATATATTATGTCCCCCCAGTCAACGGCCTCGGCAGAAGACGTATGACCGGCGGTATGTTGAAAATTGGCGTCAAGACAAAGGTCATGGTTGCCAGCGATAACTATCTTGATCGGATGCGGCTGGACACGTAGCCAAGCCACGGCTGCTTGCAGCTCCTTCAAGGACCCTGACTGGGTCAAATCCCCAGCGTGAATTAAGATATCTCCATCTGGGAGAGCGAGTTGCGCGTTATGAGTGTCAGCGATGCAAATGACAGAGACAAGCTTGGTTAGCGGCTGGGCTGGGAGTCTTGGTAGCCAAGTGTAAAGCTTGCGCGCAAGAAAGACGCAAGGCTGGCTCAGAAACTGCTGCCAGCTAGATGGACGTGGCCGTTTGATGAGCACGTAGAGCGGAGACGTGTTCTTCATGGTCGGTCGGTCGTTGATGACGCTAGTAAAGTCGGACCCACCAGATCAAGAATTAAAGTACCGCACAGACCAGGCACCATCGGATTTACATTTCTTCCGGCCGAATGTGATTAGGGCTAGGGCTAGGGCTGTTCTCGGTGATGCGTACTCCCTATGGACTATTTAGCTTTATGGGAAGATATTTGAATGGATGCACCTAATCACCAAAGTTGCCTCTGAGACTGGTTAGACTATAGCTTGTCTACTGGCAAGGTTCCCAGTGTAAGGTGCGAACTACCCCAGATGGAACCCTCTTCCGCATCCGGGACGGATATCATCATGTTGTCATGACTTCTACCAGTGCAACGGTAGATAGACATTACTCATAAGGCCTTTCTATGTTGACAGCTCCAACTAAGAGTTGAAAGAAAAACTGTTATGATTCATTTTTCTCGCATAGCCGATTTCTAATACTATGCATAGCCCCATGGAATGACGCTGAGGTTTAGTACATATAGCGGAATTTCCGAACCGGTTTCCCCTCTCAAGGTTAATCAAAGCTTCAACCATACAAGTATTGAAAGTCTGAATTGAGCCATTACGGCACAATGCCAGCGCCCTGAAAGTAAACAGCATCTATGACTGCATCAAAGTGTCTTGTCCGCTTCCGGCCATGGGGGTTTATATGCATGGCTTTGCAGCCAAGTTCCTTGTATAGTCTCACAGACAGGCGTCTGTAGATACGACATCGGATCACGACGGATGGACTTTACGGTTGGTCCATGGTTGTTTCCTGCACAACAAGTGACCTCTCTCTGACACACACGATTCATTAGAGTTCCGAGTATCAATTATATATACCTATGAACCTCCAAGGCTTTCCTAGAGAGGTCGTTTCGAATGTGTCATCTTGCCCATCACTAGACATTATTACCTAGGTAGTCTACGTGGGTCATCATGCGCGCTCTTCAGCTATCTATCTTCCTGCTGCTGCAGGTGTCTATCCAAGCCTCCGCCCAAACTGTGTGGGCAGTCTTTGGATTCAACGTGCACGGAGATACCACGCCTACCCTTCTAGGACAGCCAAGAACATTGACCCCTCTAGGGGCAAAAGATGTATACAATGTGGGGGGTAAATTTCGAGATCGCTATATACTTGGTGGCTCTACGAATGTTTCAAGGGGTACCTGGGTAAATGGCCTCAACCAGCATAGACTGGACTCTGAGCAGGTCAGAATATATACCACTTCAGATCAGTTCAATGAAGCATCTAGCCTTGCTTTTATGCAAGGCTTTTACCCGCCCTTGGGAACGGCAAACCAGAGCTACACGTACATTGACGACACCTATCTCTTGTCTAATGGCTCTATCGCCGGCGCACCTTTGGACGATTATCAATACCCACGCATTTATGCTGCAGGGTTGGCGGATCCCACTTCAATATTGGTTGCAGGTCAGGCGGACTGTGATAATTATCAGGAGCTGCAAGTGAAATATCGCATCACTCCCGAGTTCCAACAAATCGAGTCAGATAATGCACAATTCTACTCTGATTTATACAACATTGCACTCGATGGCATATTGAGCAGAAGCATGGCGAGCTATGCCCAGGCGACAGAGATATTTCAGTATTTGCAATACGGATATCTGCACAACAGGAGTCTGGAATCAACATTGTCATTAAGTGACTTACAAAGGGCAAGAGTATTGGCGAATCAGTACGCTTTTGCGACCAATGGGAACTTGACGTCTTCGAGTAATGGTGGCAGTGAGCGGATCAGAGCTATTGCCGGGCGTACGCTGTCTCGACTCATCCTTCAGGCTCTTGAAACCAATATACAGACCCAGGGATTTTCATCCAAAATGACCTTGGTGTTTGGTAGTATGGAGCCTGTCATCGCTTTCGCCTCTCTAAGCCAACTCGCGTCGCCAATGAACAGTGAATTCTACGGAATGCCGGTCGATGGGGCGTCCTTAGTGCTGGAGCTATTCAGTATGAATACGACTACTTCGGATATCGGATACCCCCAGATATCAGATCTATACGTTCGATTACTCTTCCGCAACAGCTCCTCCACCAACGAAGCTTTTACTCAATACCCTCTTTTTGGTTATAGCCCGAGTCAGGTCGATCTTCCGTTCACCGAATTTGCGGCGAGACTTAGCACATTTCTGCTTCCATCGACAGAATCATGGTGCGACGCTTGTAGCAGTTCTCCAATGTTTTGCTTCGGAGCAGCCAATGCAGGCAAGAGGTCCGCAAAAAGCCGGTTGAGCTTGGCTGGAGCTGGTGCTATAGGAGCTGGTGTCACGCTGGCTGTCTTAGCAGCGGTAGTAGGTATTGCATGGCTCTGTGGCATCGGACTGCACCGTCGACGCAAGCCAGCAAGTTTTGGGGGTTTCAAGGGCAACAAGAAAATGGCTAGCGACCAAGACGTCAGTTTTTCAACCTCGAAGAATGGCATATTCCATAAAATTGCAGATCCAGGTCGTGCTTCCACGAACGTCAAGAGCCATGAGCGTACAGGCAGCTGGGAAATGAGAAACAAAAACCGGACATCGGCCGACAACGCTTTGCGGCTGGATGACGATAGAGACATAGCCGATATCAGTGCCAATTCAGAGCCTGTCAAATGCCATCAGATTGTGTGAGATGGAAAGAGTGAGACAGATGGTTTTGTTCATTATTTAGATACTAGCTAGATACTAGCCACAATTAATCCAATATGAAGACAAAACATTAAAAGAGAAGACGTGATGTGCCCTCTCTACCGCGTCACGGGTTCCTTGGTCCCGAATATGGAAAGAGCCCCTGTGGCCTTGCCATTGGGCAAGAGCATCGCTCATTCCTTCCAATGTCCAGCACCGGCTCACTGCCTCCCAAGGAGCAGCTCTTGTCGCTTCTTGTTCTGGCACCAAGAGCAAACTTCATTCATAGACTTCCTCTCTTCGCATTTCACGTTGCTGCAAGCCCCAGCAGATATCATCGTTCTCTGCCTCTTCAAACCTTTCTACTTGGAGCCTTCGAGTACTCGTCAGACATGAAGACGACGTATAGCATTACTGAACTGCTGGCCTTGCGAGGCAACGCCGCGGTTGATATAGGCCAATTCACTATATATGCACTTGAAAGTGAGTCTTACAGGGTCATGGTCTATAAACAGCAGCTTATGAGCTTTCTTAGATAACTTGCTATGGCGCGGCAAGTCTGTTCCAAATACAACATCAAGCGAACCGAGACGCAACGAACGTTCGACAACAACGTCTGAAGATCACAAGTCAACCTCCCAGCCCAACAGTGGCTCCCAGGAAAATATTACAGAGAATGATTCTGGCTTTGTCAAATTCTTAAAACAGCACACTTCGCCGAAACATCAGCGAGTCACGCCAGGCGGCAAGGTTGTTGATGTTAACAGCAGCGTTTCGATTCCGGAGTTCAAGCCACCATCAACCAAGACAAGCGACGAGTGTCCCCAAAAGAATGGAAAGGAAACAGGAAAGGTGATCAGCTTGCAGGGTGCTGGAACAGGAAAGAAAACGGTTCAAATTTCTGGCGCGTCTTCCAACTCAAATGGGTTTAAGCTTGACCCTCCATACCCAGGACCTTACGAGAAGATCACAACAGGACCAGTAGGCGTCACCACAGCCACCGTCAGCGAGGAGGTTGGTCCACAGATTGCGAATTTGTATCCATCCTTACAATCATTACAACAATTACAGCTTTCACTGATGGCACCTGACGTTTACCGCCAACAACCATTGCCATGGGCTCCGAGCTTTTACCCTATTGTACAAGTGACACAGGCAGGGCAGGAGACAATAGCAACACCGTATCATAATTACCCTCAATTGTTTCTGCCTGATGCGGCAGCGTGGCATCAGACTGCTCCCCAATCATACGCGAATCAGAATCCAATTCTTCACAATTTGTCGCAGCAGCAAACTGCTCCTTTACTGGCAACCGTGTGGCCAACTGTCGGAAAGCAAGGTGCAGCAGTTCCTACCGCTGACTCTCAAGTTCCTATACCTGCTTCACATTCTTTTACTAGTCTAAGTACTGTCACGGGCCAGTTGACGCCTTACTCAGGATCCCTCCCAACTTACATCACAGATCAAAGCACGCAGCGATCGCTCCAAGACTTGACCAAAGAATATCAAAGCCTGTCATCTCAACTAGTGGACCTTGATCGCTACATGGCGATTCACACCTTTGAGATGGATGCAGAAACAAAGAAAAGCCTCGTAGAGCAAAGGAGAGGTCTAGTCAAGGATCTAGACATGGCAAGGCGATACAAGGAACACCTGGAGTCTAACATCAAGCGCCCATCCGCCAGCCTTGAGCCAGTATCAGCGGCTGGATTTCAGCAAGAGTCAGCCAGCAATTTGGGATTCGTTTCACATCCCACTCTGTCTCGCTTGGTTGCAGTGGAACAATCAGCAGAGCTCCCTACGTCTTCCTTGCCAATAGCATTGAGTTCTATCAACGCAGTGCCGTTGCAGTTCTCTCAGGCAGGATACGTGCCAGTGATTCCCAACCTGGGCAACTGGAGTGAATATGCATACAACGCTCATCTGCCTCAAGACCCACAATTCACCTCGCAGACTCATTTGTTCAGCAACCAATCCAATGAATTGAACGCATCCCAATTGAAAAATATACTTAGCCAACAAAACCACGCCGATACCTCTACGTGTTCCCCTTTTATTAATATCAATCAGCTACATCGCCAGATCGAAGAAGCAGCCAGACGAGGAGAGAGTGTTGATGGACTCTTTGAAGAGTTAGCCAGAATTACAGAACAGTCGGTTGCGCAACGAAATGCACAAAGACTGGGTTCCTTCACAGGTGCTCAGCCCAATGGTGTAGCCAGTGACAAGACGAGCGGTAACTTGCACCAGAGTTTCCCTACAGCACAAAAGGAAGCCCAGAGAGGGGAAGGTTCTAACACTGAAACATCCTCTTCTAGCTGGATGATCATAGACGGGCAAGTGTAAGTTCATCTATCACCTGCTTAAGCCTCTCAACATCCGGCCTGATGAGTTCCAAAACAGTAGCACAAATTCTGGCGGTCACATAAGTCCTCGTAAGGACCCGAGTCAAAGCAAACCAAGTTCGCGTCTCGAGAAAGATCCAGCCGCCATGAGTAAGCAAGCTTTCAAGTCACTCCGACACAGTCGTGATGAAAGAGGAATTGGTATCCAAGCCGGGGACAGAAAAGCATTGAGGAAACCACAGAGCAGTCGATCCGTGATGCTTACACCCTGGGCTGGTCGGGAGCAAGACGTCACAGCATCCAAGGCATGCGCCCCCGTCATCTCGCGCGTTAACGCACATGGATTTCTTCCGTCATTTGACGGAGCGAACGACGCTTACGACACACGTTCGCAGCGCTCCATGATATTGATTGACTTGGAGAGCGATGATAATGGCCCAACAAGAAGTGGGGAGAATCAACCGTGGTATCTAAGGGAGCCCCGCCCGAAACCCATTCAGTCTGAGGTCCGTCGATTCTTCCTCGATATCGAGGAGGAAGAATACCAGATGATCCATAAATACCGGATGCAAACCTTGGGAGATGCTGAAATGCTCAGGAAGTAGGCTGGCAAAGCGAGGACGCGGCGGAACGGTCCAATCAGACATGGAATTACTCCACAGCGACAGCATGTATGGGAATATTCAAAGCACACTTACTATTGCTTCGCAATTTCGACTTCCCGAGTCATTGTTAGGCCATAGAGGCGCACAATACAGTCAGTCAGTTAGCAGATGAATAGCTTTAGTTAACTAATTAATCAATCAAATCGGCAATGCATCTAAAGAACAAGCCCGATGTCGGGCTGTGCAAGTTATCACAACGTATGCCAAGGTCACCCACGGCTTATCGCCTGCCATCTTGGGGTGACAATGAGGGTAGCGCCATTTTGAGCGTCCATAGATTGATAATAGTTATACATGGCGTCTAAGCAGGGAAACAGCGCCCGCCCTATCAGAAGCGTGGCGGCTCAACAAGCCTAAGTCAACCCAAGTCGTGAATTGCCATTCGGGGAGTCCGAGCGCGATGCAGTTCTCTAGTTTTGTGCAGTGCACCTCTCTCCGCTTCGTTTCATGGCCCTACATTTTCTTTTTCGTTTTTTCTTTTCTATGTATGATAACAGATGTCGTAAGCATTAGTGGCTGGCAATGGCAAAGAGAGACACACACCGTCCGGTCTGGACCGCCCTAGTCCGTACTCGGTAAGTTGGTATGCTATCAATACACGTAATTACACAAGTGCTGCGCGTTGATATGCTTGATATGCGCCTAATCATATGCGATAATACGCTGCGGTACAAGTTCGTACGCAATACGCGGAATGCCACCTCGAGGTCTCAGAACCCCCGACGGGAGGATTTCTTATTTTTTTTTTTCCTTCTCTCGTTTCTTACTGTCAGGCATCTACAGAATCCGGAAATAGGGATTTCTGAATGGTCAAACACGGTACTCTAGACTCGATCGTAAAACTATCGAAATTGCTGTGAACTTTGTACCTTGGTCCTGCACAGACCCACCCTTCCTTACTTACGTCGGCCATTCTCCACCGCAGCCGTGCTTTCCCAACTGCCAGCAACAAGTCAACTCCTCCCCTCACATCAACCTCAACCTCAACCTCAACTCCAACATCAACGTCGACCTGCGACTACCCTCATCTTGGCCAGCGCACTCGCTTTCTTCGTTTCCGCTGCTTCGCTTCATGTTCGTCTCCTCTACCTTCGCTTCCATGCCTGCTCGCCGTCGCCTGTAACTCGTCGTTCGCTGGGGGGGGCGCGCTAGGACTCCGTGTTGCATCAGTCAATCACTCATCCCATACTCATTTGTATTACTGTCTTCAACTGCTTATCAATCAACTTGGTCCTACATCTCTACGCTGAATCGATATATAATAACTCGCTGGCGGGTCGCTATCTGAACAACGGCCTGTGACATCCTCATTCCTCACCACAATGACGCAGTTATTTACCACCTCGCATCCGTCTCCCGTGCCGTCAGAGAAACGCAATTTCCATGGCCTTTCCCTCTCCTCCAAGAAACACAACGCTAACAGCAATGAATCATCAACAAACCATCTTCCTTCTAAGATCAAGAATTTCTTCCGTATCAACACTTCGAGCTCGAATAATAATGTGGCCGCAAACGGCAGTGGCCACAGCTCAGAACAAGAGTCGAAGGAAAACATTGCTTCCGGCAGCCATCACCAAAAGTCGGATTCGAAATCCAATAACAGACAATCCCGATTCTTGCCTGTCATCGGTCGCAATCGATCGACCACCGTCGCAAGCGAAGGTAACCCTCTGGATGACAGCGTTTCGCCAACGGCTCATGCCAACCCCTACTTCGCTCACCAGGGTCATCCTGCTCTGCGCCATCGCAATGAAGGGTCTCTCCCCTCGACACCGCCAGATGTGCCTGAATTACAGGTCCAAGGAATCCCTGCCGTGGACCAGGCGACTACTGCCGGAAAAGAGGAACTAGCACGAAAGCTTCGCCGAGTGGCATCCGCCCCCAATGCCCAAGGACTCTTCGCTGATGGGCAGTCTGGCGAGCGGCCAAGGACAGCAGAGTTGGGTAAAGAACCGTTGGTGGAGCAAGGAGGGAACGACCCCAAAGTCGGTCTTCCAGACTCACCGGAGGTCCTCGCCGTACCTGGTATTGGACCAGATGGGAAGATTCCTTCTCCCGGTCAGATTAGAGCAGCATCCTCTGGTGCTTTCCGCAGAACTTACAGTTCGAATTCGATCAAAGTGCGCAACGTGGAAGTTGGCCCAGGGAGCTTTGACAAGATCAAATTGATTGGCAAAGGAGACGTCGGCAAGGTTTATCTTGTCAGGGAGAAGAAATCAAATCGACTCTACGCTATGAAAGGTGGGTTTATAATAAGATCTGAGAGCTCAAATGACAAACACGCTGACTTCATCTGGTAGTATTGAGCAAAAAGGAGATGATCAAACGTAACAAGATTAAGCGGGCACTGGCGGAACAAGAGATCTTGGCCACGAGTAATCATCCTTTCATTGTGACGCTATATCACTCGTTTCAGTCAGAGGACTTTCTGTATCTCTGTATGGAGTATTGTAGCGGTGGGGAGTTCTTCAGAGCCCTGCAGACTCGTCCAGGAAAATGCATCCCCGAGGATGATGCCCGATTCTATGCGGCAGAGGTCACAGCCGCTTTGGAGTATCTTCACTTGATGGGTTTTATATATCGTGATTTAAAGCCCGAAAGTGAGTCATGCTCTATACGAAGCAATGTTGAAAAGATACCCTGGAACTGATTGTCTATTGCAGATATTCTTCTACACCAGTCCGGTCATATTATGTTGTCTGACTTTGATCTCTCGAAGCAATCGGGTCCTGGTGGAGCTCCTACAATGATCCTAGGACGCAATGGAAACGGACCATCGTCACTGCCTACCATTGATACAAAATCATGTATCGCCGACTTTCGAACGAACTCGTTCGTGGGGACAGAGGAATACATTGCTCCTGAAGTGATTCAAGGTTGTGGTCACACGAGTGCCGTCGACTGGTGGACTTTGGGAATCTTGATTTACGAAATGTTGTATGGTACCACGCCATTTAAGGGCAAAAACCGAACCACCACGTTCTCCAACATTCTTCGAAACGAAGTGCCATTCCCTGAACACGGTGGAGCCCAACAGATTTCTAAGTATGTTTTTGTCATCCCGGTAGTACTTTATCTACGTGACTAACACGGATACTTTGAAGTTTGTGCAAAGGTATTATCAGAAAACTGCTCATCAAGGATGAAACGAAACGCCTGGGAGCAAGAGCAGGTGCCTCTGATGTTAAGACACATCCTTTCTTCCGGCAAACATCGTGGGCTCTGATCCGTCATATGAAACCACCGATGATACCTCACCAAGGACGAGGTATCGACACTATCAATTTCCGCAATGTCAAAGAAAGTGCTAGCGTTGATATTGGAGGGCCAGCAAAAGAGATGAAAGGCGTCCCATTGGACTCTGGTCTTGCCACTCCTAGTGGAGAAGTCTCTGATCCATTTGAAGAATTCAACAGCGTTACCTTGCATCACGAGGGTGACGAATAACGGAGGTGGGCAGGCTTCACTTGCACACTAATTTCCTTCGATCTTGCTCGATATTTGTGTTCAATTCAATTCACAAGGAAAAGTTTTCTTTCTGACGACTACACATGTAACGATTAAATGCGAAGCTGATCTATGCTTTTTTGAATCTGTTTGGGGTTTTATGGTGTTTGGAGTTTGATCGTGGGGTGTCTTATTTTCATTTATGGAATCGTTTGCGGAAATTACGATATCTGTCCCCTTCCTTTCCCGTGCTTTTTCCGTGCATTGGATTTGCTTGTCAATGCTTCCACGAAGAGAATTGGTCTGTCTGTCTTTCACTTTCGGTCATGGTTTACAAGGAGAGGCTTCTGCGTGTTTTTTGGGACTTGCATTTGTATTGTATTATGTTGGTGATTCTACACGAGCGTTGCAAAATATACGACGAATTGTGACGACGGTCTGTCTAGTTCAGGGAGCATCGGGCAATGATGATTGCTTTCCAAGGATACATGTATTCTAGACTTTCTCGTGCATATTTAGCTTACTTCGGCGCATGCTAATTATATATATTGCTCATGATCTGGTGTCAACTTGTCAATTTGCTATCAACGAAGTCGGGCAGTTGAGTTGGCTTTGTTCCCCACCAGTTAAGAGCCGAGCGCGGGGACTCGCGTTCAACACCAAACAACAAACAGCTAAACGCAAACAGTGTAGCACACGCCTTCGTCCTTTTCCACTGTTCATTGCAAGCAAACAAAAGCCATCGATAGACCGACCCATTGACAGAATATACGGCCAATTCAGCATCCAATAGCAGAAATCAGCGTCCTGGTCAGCATGAACGACCCGTTTCTCCGCAGCACAACCCCCTCCGGAGACCCCAACAACAGCAGCAATGACAATAATAACAATCGTCTGCTTGGATCGCCGGAAGGCAGGGTCAGCGATCTCGAGCAGGAAGTTCTCGATGAGTATACACGGTTACTCGAGAACGTCAACAAGGTAATCAACACCCCGTGCCTTCGTTTTCCAGATTCTTCTTTTCCAGATTCTTCTCCACAGGCTTTTTATCCCACAGAACAAAAAACTAATCAATCATGATATAGTTATCAGACGCTCTCGCCACTCTCTCTGACTCCCCAGCATCCCCAACCCTCGACGGCCTACGACACCTCGAACGCAAAACGGCGACGGTGTACACGCTCCTCAAAGCGAGTGTCTACAGTATCGTTTTGCAACAGCAGATTATCAACGATGACGAGGTTGCCGCTGCTGCGACATCATCCTCAAACACCGGGCATGATGATGGCTATCATCCGAATATGGAGGATGCTTCGGTCATGTCAAGTGATCATCATATTATGCATGGGCATGGACATGGGGTTTAAAGGGGAATGAATACATACATACCATTACGAGATGAACCGATGTGATATGGACCGCTAAAATAGGGTTCCCGTATGCGAAAGGGAATGCTGAAAGATCGCGGTGCGAGATAGCTGACTCGAGCTCTACAACATCCCCATATCGACAAGTAGATGCGCTCAAAGTGTAAGCTGATGTGAGGCCTATACCGCCCACCCATCACAGCTGCACTTCCTGCCAGTGAACGGTCACCGAACAACGACTTACTGACTCTGTGTGAAAACATCTTATTTGACCATGATGTTGAAATTGACTTTTTTTTTTGGCATATTAGCATGGAAGCTGTGAGACGTATTGTGCCAAGTTTGAAATGTGTATACAGTTGATTAGCTGTGGCCTGTCTATCAGTGTATTATCTCCCTGATATCATGCAAAATCCAAAGAATGTTTGAGTTGGAATTCATGTATTGTCTTTTTGTATGATACAGTATATAAATGGCCGGATTCTGCCATCCTTCAGACGCAACAATACTTCTGAGGTCATATAATACATGTTCCTTTTCACTCCTTCATGATCGGTCGACTTTAAAAAACAGACGAATAAAAAGACAATTAGATAGAATAGAAAACAGAGAGGAAAATCTTCGGCGCAAAAATAGTACAACAATGATGAGAGAATGCAAAGTAATCGAATTTAGACTCGTCCAGCATAATAAACCTTGCGCACATCGACAAGCTTCTTGCCTCGTGCACGAGCTATGTCTTCCGGGTCTTTCTGCGCAGTTAATGCTTCGTAGGTTGCTTTGACAGTGTTCATTGGATTGCGAGATCGGTCTACTCGGGCTGCTAAGTCGTGGATACCAGCTGCACGAGCCATCTCGTAGATCAAGTGTTGGCAGCGAAGACCGAATCCTATTATTAAGGAAAAATTAGTGTCTGCTTATGAGAAATAGAATATAATGAATAACATATACGCACCTGGAGGCCGATTCATAAGCTTCAATTCAACGGCTCCAACTTTGCCCTTGACATCTCCATAAATGGTGCGATTCTCGTAACGGAGAATAGGCTGCATGTTGCGAATAGCTCGGTACTTGGACTGCGTCATGGCATCACTCGCTTCTTCAGATTTGGCCTCTCCAATGCCCAGCAATCCGTCACCGTTGCCCGCGACAGAAAGACAATACTGTCGGCGGACTTTTCCAAGACGAGTCTGGTTAACGACTGCGTGCGAGACCAGTGTCTTCACTTTGAGCGATCGGATCTTGTCCAGAGTATACCCAGTAGACTGCATCAGCCTCTTCAAGGCATCCGTGATTTCTTCGTTACTCTTATCACCGCCCTTCTTCTTCTTTTCAGTAGTAGCTTGCTCTTCCTTGCGGCCTTTGGTGAGAGTCTCGCCTTCCTCGAAGATATCTGGCACGAGAGCACTGCTGGGATTCCGCTCATTCTCCTCCTTTCCCTTTGTCAATCGCAAGTTTTCCGTGAATCGAACCCAGTCTGCTGCCGTGGCATTCTCCGGCATTTCAGCAAAGAACTTGGCAAAGTCTTCTGCGAAATCATCTTCCGACTTCAACGTGGCGTTCCAATCGGAGTTCGACTCGGGTGCGCGCGAGTGCCTGTCAACTACTGGCTCGACCGTTGAGAAATCATCGAGGTATTGCAGTTTCATCGGGTCTCTGCGGATGGCGAATTGCTCGGCCAAGTCATTGGGATCGATGGCCTTTTCGCCAGCCAGGATGGCAGCAACCTGGTCTTCCGAGTACTCCTCGGACAGAGACTCGATTTGCTTCTTGGTGTACTCTTGAAAATCAGAAGATTTGACGCTCTTCTCGATTTCGTCGAGAGTCTTCTTGTCAGTGTCCTCTACAACGGGAGTTGGCTTGGGGAGTGGTGGCTGGCGAGAGAAAAGCGCAGTTGCAGTATGAAACTGTCGCCTCACAGGCACGCGAGCGCCAAAGCCAGCTGCTCGCGAGAAGCTGCAGAACAGGCATCTGACAGGCTGTGCAGCGCTCATTTTGAGCCAACCCCTTTTGCTATCCAATTTCTGGATGGCTGGATGGAATTGGGAGCAGAGCAGAGAGCAGAAAGTCGAGAGATGTTGGTTTGGCGGAGCTCGGAAGAAGAAAGAAACAAATTCTCCTGACTTGCGGGAGGCCCGATTAGCCAATCACAAGCGCCCGTTTTCTGCTTAGTCGGCGGTTGGCCGCAACCGCGACCCAAAGTTTTCTTCCCTAAATTTCAAGCAATTTCAAGTTGCGATTCTTTTTACTCTTCACTTTTGTTTGCTCATTTAGTCATTCTTGACTCGCGTGTCTAGATCAAGTGGTGATACCCACCAAATGTTCAGGACTTCTCTCAGCATCCTGAATCGATCATTTCGCTCGCAATCTTCGCACATCGTCCTCCGCGCTGTCAGCAGCACTGCAGAACACGCAGCGGCTCCAGAGTCAATTGAGCAGCAACTACCGTCCTATCTAAGAAGTGTTATTGAAAAAAGCAGAATGAAACAGTTGATCTCCCACGGCAAAGATTATCAGGCGCAGCGAAAGAAGAAGCTAAAGTTAGAGCAAAATCTATGGAATGCCGGCGAGGATACAAACCAAATTTTACAAAATGATATCGATGAATTGATAAAGCGCCGGGCAAAGGAGACGAACGACGACGAGAAAACGAGCGATGATGCTGCTACGAAACCCACACTACCAGAGCTGTTCTCCGAACTCGAGGTCACGGTATCCGACATCTCTTCCACGGGCGACGGCCTAGCTTTGTCGGAAGACGGGAATCATGTCTACGTTGTCCCATTTACAGTTCCAGGCGATAGGGCCCATGTCAAGATTGGCAGGCGCAATAAGAATGCGAACCACTCTATCACGGACCTGTTGAAAGTTGTTGAGCCTGGTCCTCAGCGAGACGATACCCAGATTAAATGCCAGTACTTTGGCACTTGCTCAGGGTGCCAGTTACAGATGCTAACGTATGAAGACCAATTGCAGCACAAGAAGAAGGTCGTGGAAAAGGCATATGCCACTTATTCGGGCTTGATTCCTGAACTTGTGCCAGCAGTAGGCGACACATTTCCTTCGCCGCTTCAATATGGGTACCGCACGAAATTGACGCCGCATTTTGGTATATCCGGACGGAGACGAAAAGCATCGCCGAGGAGAGACATGTCTGAAGTTCCGCCCATTGGTTTCAACATCAAGAATAGACGTATCAATGTGGACATCGAAGATTGCCCTCTGGGTACCGATATTGTTCGCAGAGGCTTCAAGAAAGAAAGACGAAGGGTGGCAGAAAACATTGCAGAGTATAAACAAGGCGCCACAATTCTGTTGCGCGAAACGACTAAACGCATACCCAAATCCGAATTCAACCAAGCCGACTCTGCTGAATCAGGGGATGCCATTTACATCACCGACCATCCAGATTACGTTGTAGAAAAGCAATATGTAATGGATCACAACGGGTATGCGGTCGAATACGTGGACGACTACGTATTAGGAAATAAAGCTGGTGCTTTTTTCCAGAACAACAACTCCATCCTCTCGGGCTTTACGGAGTTTATGCGCCAACAAGTTCAACCGAAGGATCTAAAGGAAGGTGAAAAGCCGATCAAATATCTAATTGACGCCTATTCCGGCTGTGGACTTTTCACTGTGACACTATCCACAATGTTCAAGTCATCTCTCGGTATCGACATCGACCAGAACTCAATCCTCAATGCACGAGAAAACGTTAAGAGGAACAACCTTTCCAACACAGGCTTCGCAGCTGCCGACGCTGCTCTCCTTTTCGAGAAGGTCCCCTATCCAGCAGACGAGACATTACTTGTCATCGACCCACCCCGAAAGGGCTGCAGTGAAGATTTCCTGCGTCAACTACTAGAATTTGGGCCTCGACGCGTCGCCTATGTAAGCTGCAACGTGCACACCCAGGCTCGTGATGTCGGTTATTTAGTACAAGGCCGTTCTGGCAACGGCGTTCGATATGAAATTGAAAGTCTTCGCGGCTTTGATTTCTTCCCCCAAACCGGCCATGTAGAAGGGTTGGCAGTTTTGAACAAGGCGACATCGTCGCCGTCCCTGGGTCAATTATCAGCAGCAACCACTGAAGCTGGACCTGTTGTCGAAACTGAGGCATAAAAACAACATTCTTCTTCTTACCTGTACTTTTAGGGGAGTTCTTCGCTATTATTTATTTTCTCATCTATTTATATTTTCTCCTCTTTGTCGGTTTATTCTAGACACATTTATGTTAGGCTTAGCACACACCGGGAATCAGTCTCTACCTTGATGCTGATGGAGACAAAAAGTTGATTTTACTTTACAGTACTTATTTTACAGTACATATATACATTGCCACTTTGATGTGAAGTATTCGAACAAAGAAATTTCATTCATCAAGAACTGCTATATACAGCGTCTACCTATCGAATGCCACTATTGATAAGATTGAAGAAAAGAAAAGAAAAAGACACACCATCCGCTCTAGCACCTCATATACCCACTTTTTAGAGTCACACCAAGATTTCGATGAGAGCTTTCCCATTCTCACTTCATAACAATCAAATAGGAAGTATTAATTAGCTGCTTCCTGGTCCACCAAGTAGAGCGAATCTTCGGACAATACTTGGGCCAATCTCATCGTATTCGGCTTTTGTGTGACAGTAGCTGCGGAACTCCGGTGTTTGACCAAGCAAGCTTCCTCCAAACCAGGGACCATGTCTTTGACGTTTATGTGTAACGACCTGGACTTCCAATCCTCCACTTCTGGCACCACCACTGCGAGCCTCGGATGCGCGAATGCGAGCGTCTACGAGATGACGGATATCACGTTGCAGGCGGCGGCCAAAGTCCTTGTACAAAGTGGAACCTCCTGAGAGGACAATGTTCTTGTACAGGCCCCTCCTAACATCAATGGGAGAGGATTGAATGACACCATCAACGACAGTTGGGAGTGGGGTAAGGAAGTCCGAAGAGTAAATTTCTGGGTTGAAGAAGATCTCAGGGGCTAAGAAACGCTCATAGCCGACATCGATCGAAATTGAGCGTCCATTTGGCGAGGTGACGGTGTGCTTGAGGAAACGGTCCGGCTCCCGATCGTAACGGGCAAATTCCTTGACAATATCAGGAGAAACGTAGCAATACTCCTCTTTCACCTTCTCCGCTGTCTTCAAGCTGCTGTCTGGCTCACCACGGTCTCGAAGCAAGCTCTGGACAAAATACGTAATATCCCTACCAGCTATCGGAATGCTTTTGATCGAAGAGCCGATAACGTAGCCTTCGGCGACAGGAATAACGTGAGTAACACCGTCACCAGAATCAATGACAGTACCGGTAAGGGATCTATCGGTCACTTTCGACGATGTCCAGGAGGCTGCCAATGCTAAGACGGCCTGTACGGCAATATAAAGACCTGCGCAATTGAAAGATTCGAACATAATTTCGGCAGTATTCTCTCGATTTTCAGGCGGGTTTAGAGGCTAGATACCATGAAACGTAGAATGGATTAGTAAGCTAAACGGTTGTCTTTGGTGAGCGAGGAAGATATGATACCGGCTCAGTAAGCAAGAAGTAGTGGTCTTCAGGCTCAACCCGAAGGTACTTGAATATCGAATTTGACCAAAAACGTTCCATGTGGTCCCAATTCTCGATTTGACCGTGTCTGATGGGGTAGTGAATACCATAACCAGGTCCACTGGCGGCGGAAAGTGCCTCATCGCCAATAAAGAAGTCCAAGTCTTCAGTACCGCGCTTTCCAGACAGATGGCCACCAGAGCTACCTCCACCCAAAAAAGCAGGCTTATTCGCAACCGCAGGCCGCCCAGCGCCCGCCGCACCTCCGCCAGCGGCAGCCTTTGTTGCAATTGCAGTTGGGAAAACAAACGAGGGAGAATCGTTGCCGGCGAAACCTAAAGGGTAGTGTCAGCCAGCGATCGCCGCGCCAATGGCTTAGATCTCTGCGCTCACCAATCTTGGAATATCCAGTTCCGCTAAAGATCACAAGAGGTCAGAATCAGTCATGCAGCAGAATAGGAAACACGGAGCTGACGTACTTGTCCATGACAACGGCTGGTGTCTGGGAGGTCATGTTGAGGAGAGGTCCCGCGAGGCCGGGAGGAACTTCAGTGTACGGCAGAGGTGGAGAGACTATCGCGAGGCTCACTATCGGTTTAAGGAAGAGGGCAATCAATGTTTCTATGATAGAATGATGAAGCCCGGCTCGTTGTTGAGATAGGACGCGGGGTCAACAAGCAGCCAGCCTGCGGAAGCACGCAGTGGTCCGCGCTTAGGCGGCAGCGTAGCCGGCCAACAAGCGGAAGGCGGTCTGACCTGTCGTGCCAAGCCATTGATATCATCTAAACTTAGCATCGTCTCTCGTTTCTTTCCTAGCAGCAGTGGACGTGTTGATTGTACCTGCGAGTGGTTTTGCTGAGGAAATGAGGAGGAGAGTCGCCGTAGAACTGGCTGCACATAAAGATCAATAAGCAAACGATGGTTGTTGCTCTGTTTGCACGTGGTTTGCTGCTAAGCGGCGAATGAGCGCAGCCGGGGAAGGAGCTCCCCCCCCAGCACCTACCTAATTAGGAACTTGCCTGCCTTCATTCTTTCTGCTTCGTCTTCCTCTCTCTCTCTCTCTGCCTCTTTCTCCTGTTTGCTTTCTCGAACACATAACACACCGTCTTCCTGGCAGTGTTTCACCGAGACACAGCGAGCTACCTAGTCTTATCGGATATTCTTAACTCTCTTCCATATTGTTTTTTGTCTCTTACTGAATGGTCTTGGGGGCTTTCATCCACCCCCACGCCATATTCAAGACTGACTGATACAACACTTGGCCTACCTTGAACAGCACCGAATACATCCCTCGGAAGCTGCGTTATATCGTCATTGGTAGGTTCGAATTGCCTATTTTACTCTCGAATGTTTATGCGCACTGTGGTTGACATTCAGCCTTCTTCGATTTCCAGTGCTCGTCTCGTCTCGCTTTTAGAGGATTTTCTTGGTCTGCCTTTGCAGCTAATAAGCCTCCATAGATCCTCCCGCTCATACACATCAGGCATTAAGCTTCCAGCAAATAAATATGTCTCCCCGTTCAAGAGAAGGTGGTGATATTTGTGCCATCTATGTTCACGCAGGCGCCGGGTTTCACAGCTATCAGAACGAGCAGGTACACTTAGAGGCCTGTAATGAGTGAGCGCATCCTTTGAGTCAGCTTGGTGGTTTATTTTTCTTTCGAATTTACAATCATCGAACTCTGCTGACTTGAAACAGCGCCGCGAAAGTTGCTATGTCACTCCTGAAAAATGGTGGTTCTGCTCTTGACGCGGTTGAAATTGCTTTGAGGTTGATGGAAGATCGGGAAATCACCAACGCTGGATATGGCAGTAACCTCACAGCTGACGGTACTGTCGAGTGCGATGCAACCATAGTCGACCATCTGGGGCGTAGCGGGGCTGTCGGTGCTTGTTCTCGTAAGTTCACTACAGGGCTTCTACTACATCAGACCGCTGAATGTCATACATCAGACGTCAAAAATCCGATTTCTGCAGCTCGCCTTATTCTCGACTATCAAGATAAACCACTCTCTCTGCAACGCGTGCCACCCAACTTTCTCGTCGGCCAGGGGGCTACTGAGTTCGCCTTTGATCATGGTATGCCTATAGTAACAGATGACTTGTTGATATCTTCGACTGCCAAGTCCCGATGGCTACGATGGCAGCACGATGTGGAATCCGCCAGGTTAGAACAAGAGACCCAGAGCGGAAAACAGACTACAGGGGAAACCCGGAGCTCTGAAGCTTCAACGCACTCTACTAACTCCTTAACAACGGTCAATCCTGCAGTGCTTATGACACCACCCTCTAGTCTTCACGAGAATACAGGCTCAAAGGAACAAGAGGTTTCTTCCATCAATATAGCACAACGTGAATCGTCCCTCGTCACGGCAGATGGCACTGATAATATGTTCGACAGCAGATCAGCACAGCCAGCGGGCTATGAAAATACAGTAGGAGAGACTAGCTCAGCGGATGGACGTATAAAAGAAAACGAGGATAGCATTACCGACACCGTGGGAGCCATTGCCGTTGATTGTTACGGTAGGATTGCCGCAGGCTCGTCTTCTGGCGGGATTGGATTGAAACATCGTGGAAGGGTAGGCCCTGCAGCCTTGATAGGTATCGGTACGGCCGTTATCCCCGAAGATTCACGAGACCCCGAGCACACAAGTGTCGCTGCAGTCACGTCTGGAACCGGTGAACATATCGCAACAACTCTGGCTGCTAGCGCCTGTGCTAGTCGGATTTACTTCAGCGATCGCAAGGACGAGACTGGAATGACGGAAAACGTCACCGAAGAGGAGGCGATAAAGTCTATGATTGACGTCGACTTCATGGGTGAGTCCGACCGATTACTTGTCAACTGGAGTCCACGCGCTCTGGAACTATCCTGACCTTTTGCAGACCACCCAAGCGTAAAGCACAGTCATTGTGAAGCTGCAATTGGCGTTATGGCGGTTAAGAAGACAAGAGACGGCATCTATCTGTTCTTCTGCCACAATACAGATTCATTTGTGAGTTATTACTTTAGGCTCACACTCATGGATTTGTTTTGGATAATTCTTAACGTCAGTTTAAATTTTAGGCCCTTGCTTCGATGACCTCGGAGGATAGGGCGCCTCACTGTGTTATGTCTCGACGCTCTAGACAGGGAACCACTGCGCAAGGCGGGCGATTTTCAAGGTTCCGCCGATAACCTTTGAATAACTTTCGTTTGAACTATGTAACCGATCAGGATGAAGAGGCCCCACTAGAAAAATTTAGATCGTGCTCAAAGTTGGCAAGGCGTTTGGTATGAATAACCGCAAGAGAGGTCTGGTCTGGGAATGCGCGAATGTCCTTGTGCGTTACGAAGTGCATGATTGAAGGGACTGGATCTTTACTGGACTGTCTTTTTGTGCCTTCCCAATAAAAAAACGAAGACTAGTTCTGTTTAACAGTTCCATTGATCTTGATTAATCTAGCTATTACTATGGGGTTCATTTCAGTTTGGTCTGATGGGGGCCCAAAATGGCAGCTCCTCCCAGGAGATGTGGAAATCTGTGAGGTTTCGCGACACATAAGCCAAAACAAAACAAGCAGGAGGAAAACTGGTCCGTCAATTGGGAAATGTATGACTTTGGTATATTTTGAAGATTTGCGACGCCCGAGCTTGCGGCTCTGCACAGGGATCTTAAAGTACCGCCGGGACCCCAGAACAAGGCCCAACAAAATGGCCAATATTCCACTGAAGAGAAATGTGCCACCATAGATGGGTGGTAATTCAGAAAGTCACCAGGTCAGGATACCATAACGCCATATCTCTCAATGATATCGTCTTTTCCACGGATGGATCATCAGCAGATGGAATGTTAGTTGCAACTGCAAGGCTGACCATTTTGCATCCCTACACTCTCTGTTACAGGAATATTTTTGAAAGGGAAACAAAAATAACAGCGAGTAGAATTCACTTACATCAGATCCCGCTTTTACAGCTTTGATGGGTTTAGAAACTGCGAGACACTGCGTTGTGAAATAATATGTGGAATAAATAATAGCAGTCTTTGATATTGTTCGAAGAAACCGACCTCGGCGAAACTTGATTCCGAAGCCAGCTAGCTACATGTACCTAAAGAAAACAGGAGCCTGAAGGAGTTCAGAGCCGTACCCTACAGATGATCAGTCGGGAAACCATCATAATCACCACCATATGCGTTGTTCTGTGGTTGTTGGAGGTGCTCCATTGTTCGTGCCTTTGGATGATTAGGCGGGTCTAGACCTTGAGCCCAATGACATCTTCTATTCTATCCGGGGCTTTATAAAGAATACTGTTTGAATACTGCGGAGGACTTCCGACCATGGCACGGGATAGCACCGACAACAAGCAGATAAATAAGAAATAAGCTACAGTAGATCCATTCTATTCAGTGTCACTGGTCCTATATTCAATAGTGAATAAAATTCTCAGTGCCGCCATGACTCTTGTCCATATCGGTCAGTTTGAACCAAGTTCCAACAGGCGCCTCTCCTAACATAGGGCGCAGTTCTCTTCAAATTCCGCTCCGATGTCAGCGACGAGCATAAAAAGACCTTTGTTACCGAGCTTAAAAAGCTGAAGAAACTCCCCTGCGTTAAGGATGGACGACTCCTCGTTGGAGGCCCTAGTGTGTCCGATCCTATCGAACGCAGCAAAGGGTTCCAAATCGCCCTGGTGAGCTACCATGAGAATTTGGCGGCTTTGACGGAATACCAAGCAAGTCAAGAGCATCACTGGTATGCGCCTCTACCCTTTGCGTCTTGCAAATCGTTCCTATTTATATGCTGTCGATGCTAATCGAAGGACTCCATCTCAGGGTGACGTCTACTTATATGTTTCCGTACAAGGAGGATTTGGTGCGGTTCGATTTCGAAGTCGACCCAGAGGATGAGCCCATGTGCCAGTTTCTTCCACTGTCTTAGATTATATCTGCGTATCTAAGTCATTATTTCTATTAACTAACTATCGAAAAGCGCAAATGAATGAATCTTCCCCTGTCTCTGCCAATTTGGGCTTAGCGGATGTTCTCCGCTCTCGACCGGTTTTCAGCGTAGCTCTTTCCTCTTCTCTCCTTCTCTTCCTCGGCCAACGCTTCCTGCCACTGCTTCCACGACGTGTATCAAAAGGATCATTGGCTTGAACACATTGTATATCCTGATGCGAGTTTAGTTCCAACATCATGGATTCTCCAAGGCGAGTTCGGAACCGAGCCGCATGCAGGCGTTGTCAGCGACGGAAAATCCGTGTAGGTGATCGATCCATTGCGTTGCGTTAACCGCTGAACCAATCCAACTGATTTCTTCATCGACAGTGTGATGGCAATACGCCTTCGTGCGGCGCTTGCCAAAAGGCTGGCGTAGACTGTGTCAACGATGGAAAGCAAGAAGTCCATCGCTCGTGAGTAACCGCATTACGCCGTGCAGCATCTGTGATATTGATTAGAGCACACAGATATCTTGTCAATATGGAAAATCGAATAAAATGGCTGGAATCTATCATTCGAGAGAGATGCTCCAACATTGACTTGAATAATGGCATGGAGCAACCCTTAGAGGCTCTAGATGAGCTGCCGACCGGAAACAGTACCCAACATAGCGTACCCCAAACACGTTCTTCTGCTCGAGCTACAGCGCACGACTTAACGCAAGAAGTATCTCACGGGGATAGGCCTCATGAGCAACCTGCATTGCAACTTCCTATTACCCAGGAAGAACCGCAGCAGGCGCACGAGATTGGGTTAGTATCGCTGTTCCGCGGAGAAGATCCCCGGTACATCGGTCCGTCTAGCGGATACTCTTTCGCCAAACGGATATTCTCAAATCCTGGTAGGCATGGGAGACCGGAATCTGCTATGAGAGCAGATGGAATTGCCTCACGTTTTCCGGCCGAATTATTGAACCCCCCAGCATCACTACCAGCACAGAAAGAGGTCGCTGTGGAGTTGTCGATCAAGTACTTCGAGACAATTCATCTTCTTTACCCGTTTCTACATCAACAGACCCACATGGAGATGCTTGGTAATGTTTATGGGCGACAGGAAGAAGACCCAATAAGTAGCTTCCAGGTCTATATGGTTTTGGCCATTGCTTCCCTGAATCTGTCAAGAAAGTGCAAGCTGCAACTCCCCGCGGAAGGATATTATGCGTCCGCAATGAAGAATGCGGACTATGTCTGCCAACATGGCTCAATGGCGGCACTACAATGCCTGCTGTTGCTGATGGTATATGCTTTGTACAATCCATCCTGCAATATCAATATCTGGAATCTCAACTATCAATGTCTAGCAAGTGTGATTGACCTTGGTCTACAGCGTGATGTTCGGGCTTCTTCAACTTATCCAATGCCTTTGTTCAAGCAAGAAATGAGAACTCGAGTTTTTTGGGTGGTTTATACTTTTGATCGGACCTTGTGCACTATGATGGGTCGGCCAATAGGTATCAGGGACGAAGCATGTGAAATAAGAGCAAGTCAAACTACAAATGCCGACATACTATGAGCTTCACTGACATAAAACACATAGTTCCCGCTGGATATTTCGGATGCCGATCTTATTAGCGCTACACCAGGAGAGTCTGCAGTTAACAGGACGCCCTCGCATATGTCACTATCAATCCGCCTTTTCAGATTGGCACAACTAAATTCTGAGATTAAATACATCATGCATAGTATCAATCGTGATGTACCGCACTATGCATACCCCCCTGTCAAGGATATCTTTGCCTGGCAACGAGATATGATGAAGACGCTTGAGGACTGGTATTTTGAGGTGCCACAGCAGACCAGAAACTGGACGACGCAGTACTGTAACATCAAATACCATGAGATTATGATACTGCTATTGCGGCCAAGTCCAGCGATTCCCAGTCCAGCAGACGACATTTTTGAACTTTGCTCTGAGCATGCTTATACTCTCCTCGCATGTTTCGGTAATCTGTATGAGTCGGGAAATCTTCTATACAGCCGATTTGTGGTACATTCCATTTTCCTTGGAACCTTAGTTGTGTTGCATTGTATCTGGAAGTTTCCTAGGACAGCTACCAAGTTTTCAGTCGACGAACTCATAATCAAATTCAATATTTCGCAAAACATTCTGAGCAGCATTGGTGAGCACTGGGCCGAAGCCCTAGGTGCGCGCGATTGTATTGCGGAACTTTCAACAATTACAGTTCAACGACTTCTGAAAAACCAATCCTCAGCGGCGTCGACCTCTTTGCCAAGCCAACCCAGCATGACAATGATGTGTTTGCAACATCGTAGTGCCAGAGAACCTGCCTATCGACACCTGGAGCAGTTCCCAGCAACTCCCAGGAGTAGCAATGCACAGGGCCAAACGTTCTCGGAGGCAAACATTAACCACCCGGCAGAGCCGTGGCCTACAACATCCGAGTACCCGAATTTGTTTGACGATCTTTTACGGACAGATTTGGAGGGATGGAATGGAACGTCCGATATTGACGGCTTGATTAGCGAAGTGTTGAATATTCCGCACTTCTAATATGTTCAACACTTGTTATATGGGGTCGCGGCATAGTCCCGATTCGCAGCCCCGCATGGACGGATAATATCCGCTCGGCAACTCCGTCCATAAAAGTACCATGAATATAATTTCAGCATTTATACATCCATAACTCATTTACCAGTTGTCTTGCAGTCGCCATTAAAATAGCTATAGCTGATCTATACAATATGGCGGAACCTACACAGCAAGTGCACTACATTCAACCTGCTGTACTCCAGCAATTCGTTCACCGGATATTAACGGGGAACGGCGTATCTGACGAACATGCCAAAGTCATTACCCAATGTCTCGTCCAAGCAGACCTTCGTGGTGTTGATACGCATGGCTCAAACCGTATCCCCTCTTATATGAAACGGATTCGTCAAAAAGTGCTCAATCCATCCGCAACTCCACAATTGCAACAGGTCACACCCGCAGCTGCCATAGTGGATGCACAGAATGGCTTCGGGTTCGTCGCGGCTCACATGGGCATGCAGAAAGCCATTGAGATGGCGCAGGTTTTTGGAATAGGACTGGTCTCAGTTAAGCATTCAAATCACTTTGGTATGTCTGCCTGGCTTGTTCAGCAGGCGATAGATGCAGGCATGATGTCACTCGTTTTCACAAACTCTTCACCAGCCTTGCCCGTCTGGGGAGGCAAGTCGAAACTTATGGGTGTGTCACCTATTGCGTGTGGTGCACCGGCAGGAAAAGAACGGCCATTCATATTAGACATGGCCCCTTCAGTAGCCGCCAGAGGCAAGATCTATAAGGCGCTTCGAAGAGGAGAGAAAATACCTACTGAATGGGCATTGGATGCCGAAGGCAACATGACGGATGACCCAGCCAAGGCCATTGAAGGCGTTATGCTTCCTATGGGCGGACCAAAGGGTTCTGCTCTCGCAATCATGATGGATGTTTTCTCCGGTGTGTTCTCTGGATCGGCCTTTGCGGGGAATGTGACGGGGCCGTATGATCCATCTAAAGCGGCAGATGTCGGCCATTTCTTGGTTGCTATCAAGCCAGACTTGTTTATGGGTTTGGATGACTTCAAATCCCGTATGGACTATCTGTATCAACGGGTCGTGGGATCTGATAAGATGGCTGGTGTCGAGCGGGTTTACTATCCCGGCGAGATTGAGCAGATTACACATGAAAAGAGGTTAGTGGAGGGTATTCCATTCACAGAGGCGGAGATCAAGGGCTTGAATGAGGAAGCAGAGCTGGCAGGGGTTAAAAAGTTGAATTATGTTTAACTTGCGTTATCTGAGTTGCTTACATCTTGACAAGAAACTTGGCAACCTGCTTATAGCATTCAATATTTGCTAAGAGAAAAAAAATAAAAAAATAAAAACTCTAGGACACAAAACTCTCAGACTCTCCCCGTAGACGAAGTAATCCCGCCATCTACAACCAACTCTTGTCCAGTGATATACTTTGCCTCATCACTCGCAAGAAATAGCACTGCGTTTGCCACATCCCAAGCATCCCCCATCTTCCCCATGGGTACTTGCCCATCCCTCTTCCGCATATACTCTTCCTCATCCCCACCAGGCGCAAACCTCTTCGCCATCTCTTTCGTATACGGTGTGTAAATCAAACCGGGAACAACAGTATTCAGTCTCACCCCTTTAGCCGCATACATCACCGCCGTGGCTCTTGTGAACTGCATAATAGCCGCCTTTGTAGCAGAATACGCTATCTGGGGCTTTCCTATATAACGCATCCCGGCAATACTAGACACATTCACGATTGATCCGCCGGTGTCTTGCTTCTGCATGATTGGAAGCACATAGTGGCTAGTCAGATACACGCTTTTCAGATTCAAATCGACCTGTGCATCCCACGTGCTTTCGGACATGGTTGCTGGACACCCCGGCTCGGATTTGCCCACGTTGTTGATGAGGATGTCGATTCGCCCATGCCGCTGCATGCATGCATCTACCAATGCCTTTACGGATGCGGAATCTGTGACGTCTGTCTTCTGAACATGGCACTGGCCTCCGACATCTTCAATGCGTGATTTTGTGCGTTCGCCAGATGCTAAAGACCGGTTTCCGCCGAAGATGGTTGCGCCTTGTTTGGCGAGGAGGGCGGCGATGGCGGCACCAATGCCCCAGCCTGAGTCGGTGGTTTGGCCGAGGCCGGTTATGAGGACAACTTTGTTGTTGAGCTTGAGCATTGTGAGTGTCGACTGCATGAAGTAGTTGCAAGTATTGTCGTTTTTTCCTTTTCTCACCTAGGTAGGTTATATATCTAGATCAGTCACGACGGGCGGGCCCTGATGGCCCGAATGGCTCGGAAGCGCTCCGCTCCAACCTCTACCTGTCTAGACTCTATACAATCTAAACTAAATCTCACTTTTTCGTGCTACTTTCACATGCAGTAATCAATCAAAAACTATACTATGCGCGGTTTCCGTCTAGAGCTTTGTATTTTATGTCTTCAAAGTGAGCAGGAAATTGATAAGTCGCGACGAATACGCCGGACTTGACGCCAACTGGTCACGATACCATGATGACAAATGAGGCACCGAAAATACATGCAATAGCACCCCATCGACTGTTACTATTCCACCTTGCGATATCCACGTCTTGTATTTGGGCGTGTCCACGAGCTTCGATTGCGCCAGTTCCATAGTCTTACCCGGAGGAACGTCAGCGTCGTCGCTGTCTGCAACGCCTGATATCTTGGCACTGTAGGCGCAGAGAACCATGGCGCTAGCCAGCAGGCCTGCGGCTCCGAGCATGTTTGACAGTCGGTGGTCACTCAGCTTGTGCAAGGTGCTCTGGTGCTCATAAATCCGTTTCGGCTGCACAGCATAGTAGACGGCTTCGCGGCCGTCGGCAGACTGGGCCCAGGCACCAATGACATTTTCCACGTCGGTGTCATGACAGTTCGCGCAACACCGCTTGTACTCCAGCAGCTTCAAGTTGGCATACACCTTCAGGGAGATGAGATGGTACAGAGTGAAATTGAGGCCGAGAAAGGGGCTGCCGTCACTAGAAGAGTCCGTGAAATGTACGCACGCGATTCACAGTGCGGTTTAGCTCGGGAGACCGATAGTTTAGATGGTGCTCCTCGTGAGTTTCGCGGCAAATCCCCCATACTCGGCGGTTGGTCAAGTAAAAGAAGAGGACGGAGAATTTATCTCTGCAGCATTTTGCGGCGCAGTCACTCCTCTTTCGAGAGGGGCGTGTAGAACTAAGTAAATTAGCTCGACATATCTTAAACAACTCTACATTTAGTTTGATGACAAGTGTACGTAGACCCCAGTTCAAACTTGCTTGAATGATAGAAAGAAAATAAACGTGTCTTAGCTTCACCAGGACAGTGAAGAGGCAAAAAGTTGATTGTCCTCAACGATGAAAATAATCAAGGCAGTAAGTATGTTATTTTCATTAGAGCCCCTCGATGCTCTTTGGCATCTGTTCAACAACGCCACGTTGGCACCTGCAAGGGTCCTTAGCAAGTCGAATAGCGATAAGGCAATGAGTCCACGGTCAAGGCTCCCAGTATCAGCGATCACATTTCTTTCGGAGTCGCAGTCCACAGGCCTTTATGGGACTGGGCAAACAATTCGGCGATAAAAGCTTATAGTAGCGGAATGCCCTAAACACCATCACAGTCGAGAATTGCGCATTTTGTTTGATTTCCGCGTCTCGCCCTTGCCCGTCACTAGCAACAGCCGAATTCAGTAGTAAGATAGCTCGCGTGCCGAGGTCTGATGATGATTTATAGAGAATTCACTTCCTATTGTAGTAAAATTAGCTTGTCTGATAAAGAATATGTATACAGATATATCATTAAATAAGGATGCGCAATTTGATACTTTTATTGTATTTGCTCAACGGAGTGGCTTTTTTAAGCAGTCCTTGCCCTAACGCTAGGCCTGAACCGGCAATCCCAATCAACGTCTATCTTCTCAACTCAAGTTGTTTTTCTTTTCTTTGTTTTACTTTTGGAATAATAAGCAGTTCTTCTTATCATTATGCAGTCTATTACTTATTGGAGTATTTTATATATGAATCTTATTCTAACAAATCTTATTACATAACGCATAGAAGGCGCGATCTAAGTGGAATTCTTTCTTACTGTACAAGATGCTAAATAAATGCATCGGACTTGTACTGTGGCAAGCACCGACTCCGACGCCTTCGGACAGGGGCAAGGGCATTTTGTGCTTAACTGAGATACTTCTATTTATAAGAGTGCACACTGGCCCCAGGACACATTTCTCTCTATGATGATGAGCTTGGGCACCCCTATGGTACTACCTAAACGACGAATATACAATGTCCAACGATCCCATCTACACCTAGTCATTATTGAGTCATACTCATCTTGGATGATTCCATGAATGATAGTGCTGGGAGTTTTTGACGATAAGGTAAAATAGTACTATTGAATGTGAATTGCATCGGCTTCATGTGGGATCCGGCGGGATGACACATTATATAAATAAGAAAATCAAACGTATAGTCGTCTATAAAATTTTCAGTGTAATCATAAATTCAAATATACTGTAAATCTCTTATTCTTTCCATCAGAGCGTTGTATCTCCTTTTTTGCATCCTACATACTCCCGTCATGCAGCGCTCAAAGCAACGGACACCTGTATCTCGATTTCTTCGCAGAAACGGACAGCAATCCTCATGTGAGAACTGTCGAAAATCAAAAATAGCATGCGACCATGCCATTCCACATTACAGTCGCTGCGTGCGACTTAAACGAACAGATTCCTGTATATACGTACTATTCCTGCTCGCAAAGTCATCATCGCCGGGCATTCTGAAAAGTGCGGCTGTGGGAAAGCGAACAAACACAAGCGACAAACACAAGCGCAAACACGGCCACTGACCAAGGCCATATCGACAGCAGAATCTCTGCTCTCAGGGGCCTCGCTTGCTACACAGCAAGACTGGACAAGAAGAAGTGTGGGGCCTGAGACTCTACCTAGAGACCGACTTGATAACCCCAACAAGACGATGAGCTGGGGGTCAATCTTTAGTGAATTCAATATCGAGGTCAAGCCAAAAAAAAAAAAAAAAAAAAAAGGCAAGCTTCAGAGCTCTCCCTGTGAATCGACCATTCTGTCATGGAATGACCCGGAATTACTAAAACATGCCATGACAGCTCTGACTCAGATACCTGCGCGAGAAATGTGCAATGGTCTACTCGAACGCGCTATCAAGTACCCTGATTCTGGATGCCATGGACCCTACCTGCATCTGCTGCATGAAAATCCACACGTCTGGGTCGCTCGATTGGGTTCCAGATCGTCTGTGGTGTGGGCATTGGCCTTGGATTCGACGGTCCTCAACTCGCGGCGCAAACGGTCTTTGAGCAGGCCGATGTTCCCATCGCACTGACAGTGGTAACAACGCTGATGAACTTTGGTGGTGCTGTCTTTGTCTCGGTGGGAAGCAGTTATCTTCAACAACCAAGAATCCTAAAATGGCTGATGAGGAGTCAGCCTCTAGTGTTTCTGGTGCAGAAGAGAGCGAGAAAGAGGGGAGAAAGATGAGGTGAATGTCTCGGTATTTCTAGGAGAATATATTCATTATTACCTAACTAGGTAGGTAGGTATGATCCGCAGACTTAGGTATATATATTAACTTTTGCATTTCCTACAAACATGTCCCATGAGTACTTCTTCTAGCAGCTAGAGAAAAAAAAAATCGGCATAGGTCACTGAGGATTTGTGAGGAATAATCGAGTCCCCAGCCGAGGGGATAGACCAAAGACAGACCATATGTATTTAGTATAGTTAACCTATCATACATAGATCAGTACGCGACGGCCCTGTCTAGATTCAGGCACACAATCTACAACAAGACGACCCCCTATCAGACATGGCGACCTACATCACTTTGCCTATTCTCAACGAGTCTATTCGACTAGTTGAGGACGACCCCGCAAGCGGGAATTCCGTGAAAGCAATGGCTTCCGGAATTCTTAACTACTACTTTCCCACCACCGACGGGTATGCAATTGTACCTGAGCACAGAGGTTTTCGTCGACTTCATGGTCCTGCGCGTTAAACGTCAGTTCCCCGGAAACAGGGGCTTCACTGATCATACGGTTGTTCAAGCTTCAAGCACTGGCGTTAGTGCATTGCCCGACTCCTCTTTGGACCGACTGCAAGATGCTCTTGAGAATGCCAACACCGAATTTGAAAGACGTTGGGCATTGATCATTCATGGCCCTATTTTCTACTTCTACAAGTATCATCCAAGCTTACCTGTGCACTCGCGCCTGGTTCCTTAATCTTTATATAAAGAATTGTCTGTGCTTTATTTATTTCACCCGGACGTTGAACAGTGTAGTAGGAGCTGCTGGAACATGGCCGATATCAATGCCGTCGATAGCACTGGCCAAATGCCATTGCCAGGAGAATACCTAATTAGGTATTTGTAAGGTTAAAGACAAAGTTAAGGGTCTACCTCAGTACTTATTCCTGTGGGTTGCTAGCGAGTCATCTCGTTCATTCTTCATTCCCAGAATCGGAAATTCTAGGAGGTCTGCTTCAAGTTTCGACTGCAGCAGCATGGCAAGAAGCCCACCTTTGGGCAGTTTCGGAAGGTATTTTCGGCACGCTAGTCTAGCTTGATTAATTAATCCTTGACACAAAACTTGATGGGCCCAGGGCGATACGTACTCGGTTGGGTATTTATGATTCGCCGCTGTTGATTGGCGGATGTATGTGATGCGTCTGATTTTTACCGAAAGAGGCAATGCGAGGAGTTCTACACTGAATTCACTTCGTAGCCTCGGGTGGCAGTCAGTCAGGAGCACTCCGGGAATCTGAAAGTTGTTTCAGTCAGCACGCCTCAGGTACCACAACTAGTAACTAATTTCGCGTACTTTGTAGATGTGGATGTTCGCTGTGGTCGGGGGTTTACCCTAAGCACAAAAGGCTGACTCGACTCGGGAGAAATCGGAAGGCCGACGATAGTTAGAACTTTGATACCAGAAATGCATGAACGAGGACGAATCAGTAATATTTCTGATCTTTTGTTCCCTGAGTCGTGAGTGACTGATGTGTGATGTGTCGGATAGTCCTCGACTGCCTCCTAGGATAGCCGATGCCTTTGATCTTTAAAACTCGATAGCAATAACCAATGCTATTCGCCAAGTAGGAACAACATGGTCCAATAGGATAGTTAGTAGGCGACTCCATCCGAAAAAAAGAAAAAGGTGGGGGAGGATATCCTCGGCTAGCTTCTTTTGCTCCCCACGACATCATGGCTTGCTTCTCCGCAATGCAGCTAGCCCGTTCGTCGGATCGAGGCCCTTTCGCTGCCAGAACGGAATGCTCCGTGGGAACGTTGCCACTATGTGTGCGGGTGACCTCATCGCACATCGTGTGTGGCCACAAATGCCCGAGTGCTGAGATCATCACTCTGGATGAAGACGATGATGTTCTTGTATGGGGAGAAAAACGCAGTGAAAAAGGCGTCGAGGCACGTGCTCTCCGGGGGATACAAGTCAAGTGACTGCCCTGCCTCCCTTCTCCGTCTGAGCTCGCAACTTTACTTACCTTACAGCACGAAAAGCAAAACTCGCTCTGCACGACCCGCCCTGGCTAAAACGGTTCATGGTCGTTCTGGATCAGAGTCGAAATCTAGTGCGATAACTGGAACGCTCCCGTATCCGCATCTCGGGTCATTTCGGGCATCCTCGTCGACGGCCACGATTTGCAGCTGCGATCCAGAGCCTGGCCGCAGTGAAGTCATCCTTGCTCGGCCATTCAGGTTGGTCATCTCGCCCCCGGTATTCTCCGTCAAAACTGTGGGGATCCGCGTGTGATATGGTAAACTAGACAAGCTTCAGTCACGATGAATCCCGCAGCACAGGTCGCTGCAACGACTACTAATATACCCCCTCAGCGCCCAAGTTCTCCTGGTCCTTTCCATTCAGATTTCATCCGACAACAAGTCGCAAAGCAGCAGTTGAGCAACTATCACTCTACTTCCCTCAAAATGATCACTCAATCCGTCAACCGAACCGCTCTGCACCCTGGTGGTGTTCAGTACGTTCTTCCTTGACTGCTTGCCATGAGTGCTCTTTACTGACTTGGGCTCTGTCCAGACCAGGCAAGAGCCACACCGAGCTTGAAGAAGAACTCCATGAAACTGCCCACATTGACTACGATCGCGTTGCTATTGTAGGTCACCGCGCATCGTGTCCTGGATTTCGCGTGAGCTAACAATTCCCCAACCCCGCAGGTTGCGAACCCTTCTGTTGCGGCTCTCTATGAAGATGCTCTAGTCTACGAAACCGGCACTGCCATCACATCGTCTGGTGCGCTGACCGCATACTCTGGTGCCAAAACCGGCCGCTCGCCCTCAGACAAGCGTATTGTCAAGGAGCCAACATCGGAAAACAATGTGTGGTGGGGACCAGTCAATAAGCCTATGAGCACAGAGGTATGTTTTTCTTTTTTTTGTTGTTGTTGCTCAAATGCGCCATTTATTCTTTGCTTTTTGTGTTCCCATACTGTCGCGTGGCTCTTCTTACCCTTGCAGGGTCTTATCCTTGCAGGGGGTTCCACCTGTGCCTTGCATATCAGCATATGCCGTTATCCGAGGCTTGTTTTGTTGCTTGTGTCACCCATCTGCTCCTACAGCATACATAGCATGGCATGGGAATGCGCGATTTTCCATCTCCATTCCCACTCACTTTGGACAGCGGGACACTGGTGATTGTAACTTTCAAAATAGTTTTGGCTGTTCTTTTCCCTGTCGCGCCAAGCCTCAGCTGCATCTCCCCCCCGCAAAATCGCCTCGCCCATGACATCATACTCGGTCTAGTACTAATCGGGCATCTTCTAGGTCTGGCGAATCAACCGCGAGCGTGCTGTCGACTACCTCAACACTCGCAACCGCATCTACGTTGTCGATGGATTCGCCGGCTGGGATGAGCGCTACCGCATCAACGTCCGCGTTGTCTGCGCCCGTGCCTACCATGCCCTGTTCATGCGCAACATGTTGATCCGCCCCTCCGCCAAGGAGTTGGAGCACTTCCACCCCGACTATGTCATTTACAATGCCGGCTCTTTCCCCGCCAACCGCTTCACAGAGGGTATGACCTCGGCCACTTCAGTGGCTATCAACTTTGCCGAGAAGGAGATGGTCATCCTTGGTACCGAGTACGCTGGTGAAATGAAGAAGGGCGTCTTCACTGTTTTGTTCTACGAGATGCCCATTAAGCACAATGTCTTGACTCTCCACTCCTCTGCCAATGAGGGCGAGAATGGCGATGTCACTGTTTTCTTCGGTCTTTCTGGCACCGGCAAGACTACTCTTTCCGCTGACCCTAAGCGCGCCCTTATTGGCGACGATGAGCACTGCTGGACAGACAAGGGTGTTTTCAACATCGAGGGTGGATGCTATGCCAAGTGCATCGGTCTATCGGCCGAGAAGGAACCTGATATTTTCAATGCTATCAAGTTCGGCTCCGTTTTGGAGAACGTTGTCTTTGACCCAGCCACCCGTGTTGTCGACTACGAAGATACTACCTTGACCGAGAACACTCGCTGCGCGTACCCCATCGAGTACATTGACAACGCCAAGATTCCTTGCCTCACTGAAAAGCACCCCACAAACATCATCTTGTTGACATGCGACGCTCGCGGTGTGCTGCCACCAATCTCCAAACTTACCACCGAACAAACCATGTTCCACTTTATCTCTGGTTACACCTCTAAGATGGCTGGTACCGAGGACGGCGTCACCGAGCCCCAAGCCACTTTCTCTTCCTGCTTCGCTCAACCTTTCCTTGCTCTCCACCCCATGCGTTACGCCCAGATGCTTGCAGACAAGATCTCGGAGCACAAGGCCAACGCCTGGTTGCTTAACACCGGCTGGGTCGGCGCTGGCGCTACCACTGGTGGTAAGCGATGCCCATTGAAGTATACTCGCGCTATATTGGACGCCATCCACAGTGGTGAACTCGCCAAAGCCGAGTATGAGGTCTACCCAGTCTTCAACCTCCATGTGCCCAAGGCCTGCCCTGGCGTCCCGAGCGAGCTCCTCAACCCAGAGACTAGCTGGACTGCCACGACCGCGTTTTCGGATGAGGTCAACAAACTTGCTAAGTTGTTCAACGAGAACTTTAACAAGTACGCTGACCAGGCCACTAAGGAGGTTATTGCTGCTGGACCTGTTGTTCTGTAAGCAAACAGGATATAATATAAAAAATTTTATTTCGGTTTTGTCAGCATGATATCTCGGTGTTTTTCTTTTCTTTTCTTTTCTTTTTTTTTTTTTTTTTTTCCGACCTAGGTTTTCAAAAGTGTTACAAAGCACTTGTTTTTCTTTTGTTTCACCTTTCCGTATGCGTTTATCGATTCCCTGCGCTGCATTTGTTATGTGTGATGATTTCAGTTTTATCTTCTCCATCGGTTACGTATGGATATATATCCCAGAACTTACTTCTGATAGTGGTTAGATACATCAATAAGAATGAATGATTATAAGAATCGGTGCTAGTAGTTAACTAGCTAACTGTCGTAGTTGTCCGGAGCACTGGCTCTGCACTCCGGGCAGGACGAAAGAAATCTGCGTGCAAAATACATCAATGTCCCCGTCGAGAGGTGGGTGCTTTTAGATTTCCTAGCACCGGACGAGTGTGACCCCGAAAGGAATGGGCTGAGGGTTTGCTAATGTCCGGTAGTTAATGGCTAGTCCGGAATAGGAACTGTTGAGTCCATACTGAGGAATACACGTAAATACATGCAAAGAACACTAGTGTGTACGTACGGAGTAGGAAAGCTGCTTCCAAGACTTGTCAACACCGTCTACGACCAATGGGGATCGACTACTTGCGGCCAGTATTATACCATGGCTATATGGGTATATGGCAACCGCACTTTGTAGTTTGTAGTTTGTCAGATATGGCGTTGTACTAGATTAATGCAGTGCACGTGGGGGCGCAGCCCAACACAGATAGTTACAATCCCTGTGGACCGCTGGTCATGATTGACTAAGTCGATCGGATAATGGTTCAGCATCAGGCCGATGCTGGTTGTTGGGCAATGCGAAAGAAGTAGCGATATCGCCGGTTTCGACGCTGTGAACTGCCGATGCACGACTAGAGCCTAGCAGTACGCCGTACGTATGTGTAGAAAGGTGATACAGCCGATCGTTAGCCGAAGGCAGGAGGCAATCCCCGGGGTCACCACATAGCCAACGCGGGCCAGGAGCCGAGCGTGTCCTGATATCTATTATCGCTTGCAGCAGGGCCTGAGGCCATCGCGAAGAGCAATAAATAATAGCTTGTAATTGATAGTACAGCCAGACGGGCAGACTCGGAGCGCCGGAGCCAGCAACCCGGCTGACCGGCCCCTAGGCCGCAACAGGAAAGGCGCCAGGCTACTGTCGAGATCGTGGGGCGCGCAGACGTCCAAGACTTTAGACTCACTCTTGCTTTGACGTCTCTCTTGAATACACTCTGCAGTCTGTGCTGTGCGAAGACGGGCTTTTGCGGAACGTCTGGCTCTGGCGGACCAAGGTCTCTGGGCTGGTTGGGCCAAGCATCATGCATAGCATACCCCGCATTATTCGTTCGGATATGGCCATGGCCTGTCCGGTGCCGTAGTTGTCGTAGCCATCGAAACAAGAGATAGAGCGTTGGGATATAAGCGTGCTAACTAGCTGGCAAGGTAGGTCCTGCCGGGACAGCAAGACGTTGCTCCTTCCCTTTCCCGCGGCGTGGCTCCTTCCTCCTGTGGCTCCTTCCTCCCGTGTACCTCGGATCGCTCTACGTCACCCATATCATCCATCCATCTTCGTCTCCTCCTTTTCTCTCTCTCTCTCTCTCTCTCTCTCCTCTTCTCTCCTCACCGTGCTGTGTAACAACCCCCACCCATCGAATCCCATCAAGTGATCATCCATCCGGCTTCCAGCTATATCTTATCTAGTAAGTGCGCCTCTTGAGCAGAGCCCTGTCTCCATGCGTGTTGTTCTAATTAACAGCTAGAGACGCAATGGCATCCAGACCCTTGACCGAGTCCGCTACCAGCGCCACCAAGACGGCCAGAGAAACCACCAAGGCCGCCATGGAGAATCCATCGGCCGCAGCAAATACCTTTCTACACCAGCCTTACGTGCGAGCCGCCCTCCCCTTCATCAACGGCGGACTGGCTGGCATGACTGCCACCGTCGTGGTCCAACCCGTCGACATGATCAAGGTGCGCCTGCAGCTGGCCGGAGAGGGCCAAAAAACTGGCCCAAAGCCCACGGCATTAGGGATCACAAGAAACATAATTGCTTCTGGCAAAGTCCTCGATTTGTACACCGGGCTGAGTGCGGGACTATTGAGGCAAGCAGTGTACACTACTGCTCGGCTCGGAATTTTTGATACGTTCATGACCATCGCAAAATCCCGCGCCGAACAGCAGGGGCGGAATGTCAGCTTCGGTGAGCGCGCCCTGTCCGGACTAACTGCGGGAGGCCTGGCTGCCATGGTTGGCAACCCGGCAGATCTTGCTCTAATTCGCATGCAATCGGACGGACTGAAACCAGCCGAAGCACGTGCCAACTACCGCTCTGTCATCGATGCTCTTTCTCGCATTTCTAGAGCGGAAGGTATTGGCGCGCTATGGGCTGGCGCAACTCCCACTGTTGTTCGCGCCATGGCGCTGAACCTTGGCCAGCTCGCCTTTTTCTCCGAATCCAAATCTCAGCTAAAAGCTCACACCGGCTTGTCGCCCCAGACCCAGACGTTTGCAGCTTCCGCTATTGCTGGTTTCTTCGCTAGTTTCTTGTCGTTGCCTTTTGACTTTGTCAAGACTCGTCTGCAGAAGCAACAGAAGAATCCTCAAACTGGCGAGCTTCCTTACAAGGGACTCTTGCACTGTGCCCGCAAGGTCGTCCAAGAGGAGGGCTGGCTCAGATTCTACCGAGGATTCGGAACATACTATGTCCGCATTGCGCCTCATGCGATGGTGACTCTAATCGTGGCCGATTACCTGAATCTCATCACCAAATAAAAGCTGCCGATATAAAGGTTTTATTTTCTTTCGAACTTCGAGCGGGCTTTTGTTAAAACGATGAAAATCACGGCGAAGAAGACCGTTGACGCTTGACGACGCTGCTGGCGGTATTGCGTCTAGCAGGGATCGTCTTCAGCACGACTGAAAACAAATAACCTATATCCTCGTCGATATTACCGATTACGATATATATCACATGCTAGGAGCACTCCGTACAAACTTCCTTGACTGGCTAGACCGGCTCTACGTCAAGGCCGGTTTTCACAACCACGGGATACATTATACAACCCTTTATTCGGCATTGTGGCCTTTGTGTGCGTACATTACCCAAACTACTATATATTAACTATCAATCGGGGGTACCTTATTGCTACCAACCGATCAAAGACACATGACTCGATGGCCCTGGAGAAAAGGGGGAGCGAGTCATCATATTGAATTAATTTCTCAGGACGTTCGTTTGTTTGCGCGTGTGTATTACGTATAGTGCCTATATAATTATCTTAGTCTTCGTTACAGTACCAGATATCAGCTATTAAAGAAAAGTGTTTCGCCAATTGAACTATGATATTTGCTTTTATAGTGTTGTGCTAAGCAATACATGGAATATGTCGAGTTTAGAGTAATGCATTGAATTAATATGACATCGAAAATAATAGGATAGAGACTAATCGTTACTGTCTTCACTTTCATCGTCCGCAGCCGTCGGCGCTCTGGATGAGCGCTCCCTCTTGATTCGAATCCTCTCTTGCTCCTGCACTTGACGAGCTTCCCGATCCTCCTCGCTCTCGCTGTCATCGTCGTCATCATCGTCATCAGAATCATCAGAGTCAATCGTAACCCCACTCGACCGTCCATGCAGCCCCTTTCTCCGTCCACCACCAAACTCCGCCTCTTCCTGCTCTCTCAATTCCGCCGCTCGTGCACGCCGCACGCGCCGCAACAAAACCAGATCCGGCTCGAGATCATTCAACGTCAACGCCTCCGAACAAACGGGGCAAGGGGCGGCGCGCACACGACGAGCACGAGCATTCCTGCCAGCTGCTCCTCCTCCCTGGAAATCGTTGGGTCCCGCGGGGATGGTCATCGGGCTTGCCTTGATCATGTCTTGAATTGCCATGCGCTCAAAGCTGTGTACGCACTTGCTGTTTTTCACTGGATCTTCGAATGTGCGTAGTGTCAGCGGGCATTTGAGGGAGATGCGTTCGCGCTCGATTTCTACGTCGTCGCGGTCTTGGTGCCGCGCTTGATTGTTGAATGCTGCAGTGGTACGAGATGATGATGATGATGCGGGGGGGATTTGTCGTTGTTCAAGATGGTTGAACCATGTTGACGGATGTGGTACTGGCGGTGTCTCGTTGCCGGGATGTTTGGCATCGTGGACAATCCGGTAGAAGCCAACGTAGGTGTTGTTGGAAGAATATCTTGGAAGCACATAATTTGTCAGCTAATACATCCCCAAACCGAGTCACAAGAGGGACCTACCTTTCCGTCAATGATTGGCTCTCCCATTGAGCTTTATGTGTTTCGAGTTTCTCGGCCAAAACTTGACTCGGCACCAGTGTCGGCGCCATGTCCTCGTCCTCGTCCTCGTCCTCGTCCTCCTCGTCTTCCGCGGCATCCATTTCTTCATCCCCATCAGCATCCCGCCGGCCTACTCTCTCTCGCAATCTGGCTCGCCTGCGTGTCGCATTCAACGCGGCCCCGGCCGCCTGAGCGTTTTGGGTCAGTTCCTGCACCGCTGCATGTAATCCACCGAGTTTGTACTCTGCATCCACGAGACCGCGCATGCGCTCCTCCAGTTGCGCCGTGGTTGCTTTCACTTTTTGCTCGAGACTTTCCAATTTCCGAGCTTCCTCGTGTCGTTCTTCATTTTCTTCGTCCTCGTCCTCATCTTCGTCATCTTCGTTATCTTCCTCCTCGTCGTCTACTTCTTCATCTTCTATCTCCTCATCCCCATCAACATCCCTCTTCACCTTCGTCCGTCTTTTCCTACTTTCAGCCTTCGTCGCCTTCTTCCCCCTACTCGAGCTAGCATTAAACCGATGTCTCGCATCAGTGGCGCGCTCATTCGCCTCGCCCGCAATCTCCGTCAGTTTATCCGTGGCTTGTTGGATGTGGCCCTTGACCATGCGGAACTGTTTCGACAAGAGAAGCGATTCCAACGCGCGTTGGGCCGTCGCAGTCAGCGGCATGGAGAGCGGTTCGTATTCTGGCGTTGCGGGGCGATTGCTTGCGCGCGACGAAGACGCTGTTGGTTGTGCGTTTAAGGAGCGCATGCGAGGCTGGCGAGAGGAGGTTGATGCTATGGATGATGCCATTTTGCATGTCACCCTCCCTCTGTTTTTTTTTTCCCTTCTTGTGATTGTTCCTTTTTGGTGACGGATGATTTGATATTCAATGCGTATTTGGGAAGGTAGGATGCGCTCTCCTTGTTCAATATGGATGTATCTGAGGGAGAGCTATTTGACAGTCAAGATGATATAGAACTAGAAAAGATATGGCTGATAAGATCAACGCGTCGCGTGTTGTCTGCGCTAGTCCTGATCGGGTTAAATAAACTGTTTAGCCAATCAAATAAAATTACTGCTAGCAGCATATGCCATGAACGAGGATAAAAAAAAAAAAAAGAATGATTGACTGACTTTGATATAAAATGATAATTTACTTCCTTTTTTTTCTTTTTTCTTTTTTTTCTCGCATGATTAACATATTTACACATTGCAGAACGCAAGAGAAGCCAAAATCATCAAGAATAGAATACAGAATGCCGAATCTAGATTTTCTGGAAGACGAAAGCATGGTAGAAACCTGCATGATCATAAAACATATTAGTGATAAGTTGATTGACGAGGGTAGGAAGGAAGATAGAATGCCATACTAGCTGCCTCGAGTTCTTCGTCGCTGACAAGAAGTTGTCCGCCTCCGCGACCACGTACGCCCATACGTTCACTTAACGGCCCGAGTTCTGGATCATCTTTTTCTTCGTCCCAGATCTCTAGGAATGGCCGACGGTATATGAGTTCGAGGTTGTACTCTGTAGTGAGGCTGTATAAAAAGTTAGCCAAAGATAAGCCTCACGGGGCATGGAATATATGGCGGGCGGAAAGGGAGGAAAAGAAAAAAAGCTACTCACTATCGGAAGGCCTCCCATGGCACGACGTATTCAGGAATCTCTTCAACTGCCTCCTGCATAAAATAGCTATACTTCCAGCCAAATGGTGGACGGAATACCCCATCATCAGGAGTCTTGCCAGGAAATCGTACACGATAGATGCCATTGCCCCATTCTGGACTCTGGTCATCTTCCACCTCCCCATCCTCTGGGGCATCCCCATTTCCTTTGGAAATGTTTTCCTTTTGTGCTTTGCGATTTTTATGGAACTCAGCCACTTTCGCACTAATCACGTCTGAGTTCGGCCCAACGCCTATGAATCGTCCACCCTTTTTGAGGGCACCGGATACATTGTGCAGCATCTGTCGCGCCTTTTCCTCAGACTCAAAGGCGTAATGCATCGTAAACATGCTGACAACGACGTCGAACCCACCACCACCCCATCGTGCATTCATAAGGTTGGAGTTAGGGCCGACATTGGCGTCAATGCCCACTTCTTGTATGATACGCAAATCACCTAGCCATTCGCCAAAGCAGTCCTTGGGATAGAACTCCGCATGAAAGAGAGGATTGCCGCGTCGGTTTCTCTGGTTGCGATTATTTCTCATATCATTGTAGCGGCCTCGGGCCTGGTCAATAGATATTTCGGCGGGGTCCAATCCAACGTAGAGGTCGACTGGCTGAGGGGCCTGCTGCCACTTGCCGAGATCGCCTCCTTTACCACAGCCCAAATCGACTACCAGGAGCTTCTTTCTTTCAGTAGGAGGACCCCCGGCTTCAGGAGCCCACTCTTTGCTCCCCGTCTTGCTGGCTAAAAATTCTTCATCGGGTGAAAATTTTTGTATCACAGTGCTTTTGATCCAGTTATTGAAACTTCGAAGCCCCTTTATCTTGCTATCCGTCTTTCTCCATTCTCGTCCGCGCTCAGGAACGGCATTGTAGTGTTGACGAACAACATCGGAAACACCGCGGTCTCGTAGATCTCGTTCGACTTCTCGTTGTTGAGCGAGTTCTCGCTCTTCCTGCCGTCGCCGTAGCACATCTTTCCCAGTAGTTCCAAGTCGTGCTCCGCCACCGGGTCGTTTTCTCTGGCGAGCTTCGGCTTCGGGCGTCACTGATCGTTCGCGAGGCAACGGTGAGCGAGATCTCCGGAGGTCGGCTGCTCTTCTTCCTGGAGATGCGGAGCGAGAATCTCGCGAATCCCTATGCTGATGAGATTTTGGGGAACGATCTCTTCGGGAATAGGCTGAGGGAGCTTCACGCTTCGGCGCCCTCTGAGGTCGCTCTTCACGGCGTCTGCGTTTCGAAGGCTGCTGCTGCCTAGCATTCCGGCTCGTCGCATCTACGCCCGGCTCATCTTCCGCGATTTTTCTTTTTGCAGCCGGCGAGGATTGCCCTGGCTCCGCTGCAGCCGAACCGTTATGACCGCGTGTCTCATTTTGAACTGACTGGGGCGGGTGCGTCTGATCAGCCATTGAGACAGTCTTTTGTAAAGGTCGGTTTGAGGAATGAGGAGAAATGGAAAGCGAGGGGTCTTGGGTACGTTTCGAAGCGGAAGAATTCTCAGTGACAGAAGAATGCTGTTCTTCGAGAAAAGCTTCGTTTTGCTTGGGAGCCACTGCAGTCTTGCTTTCGACTACTAGTGCCGTTGGGAGTGGAGCGTTGCTGGTCGTCTGCAGGTATTTAATAGTTTAGTTAGTTCTAGGTCAGTAAGGTCTTATGGAGCCCTTGGGGAGAACAAGGAGCCCTGCCGGGGATCCACCCAAAGTAAACCACCTCGATTTGATCAGTGATCACCTTGTCGGGTTGTCTACGTACCGTGGAACGAGCAGGATGCGAGCTTTCGGTGGTTTGTGCAGCAGTAATGTCCAGGCCGGTAGAGTTGTCGCGTTCTGCCGAGCCGTCATGTTCCTGCTCCTTTGCAAAAATGTCCCGGGCTGGATCGTACATGGACGCACGCCGGGCGTCGCCAGTTGGCCCCTCGGCCATGATGCGCGCTTGTGAGCTCAGAGTCTACAGCAACAGCATTCAAACCAATGTTTCTTTTGCGGCCGACGATCTCGCGAGTTGCAACTGCCAGCTGCGCTCTGAGGCTCGCTCGATTGGGCCTAGCGCCGGCTGGTGGTCCCGACGTCCCGTCCGCATTAGGAACGGCTTCTCTATCTATACAAGCATTATTGATTGATCCTATTGTACACGAATATATCATGGTATCTGCTCAAGGAGACTCTGTAATATGCAAATTTTTGCTAACCGCCAGCCCAGAAGAGCTCAGAACCTAACGCCTCGCTCAAAGAAACAAAAAAAAAAAAAAAAAAAAAAAAAAAAAAAAAGTAGAAGAAAGAAGAACGATCAAAATGTCATTATTTTATCATTTGCTCTGCGACGAGGCCTTCTTCGGACCCTTGACATGCAAAGCTTCTCGCACCCGGCGAAGCTTCGACCACCATTCCCTGTCTTTGGCTCGTTGAGAAGCTTCGTCTGTCGCTGTTGAATCCAAGGACAGTGTGTCGGCTTCTGTAGGAACGCTTTCAGTGGGGGTCGCTGATGCGGATGTTTTCACTCGTCGGCGATGTTTCGTCCGTAGACCTTGAGCTAGAACTTGCCAGCCGCTGGAAAGGCTTTCAGGTCTGTCAGTCGCACGGCCAGTACCGCTCTGTGCCGGTCCATTGATCCAGGGACAATAATCCATATGTTCACTATGAACCGGTAGCTTTTCGTAAACGGCCTCTTTTCCCTCTTCCTTCGATTTGTATAACCATAAGCCTAGGCGTCTAAAGCAAGCACGGCATTCGAGCAATCCGCTAGAGCCATCCTTAACGACGTCCCAGCCAAAGAAAGCAAAGGCAAACGACCTTTCGTCAATTGTATTTTCTTTGCCATCACTTTGCTGAGAGGTGTCGTCATTTAGGCTGTTGTTGGGCGAGTCTCCTGGGAAACCGGGGGGCAGTATGTCTATCATCTCTTTCAAAGATAGCTGTTCAGGTAACTCGATTGTCTCCCGAGCCGGCAACTGGTCTTGAAGCTTCGAGATTTTCAAATATCGGTCACGCAACGCATTGATGGCATTATCGGGGTTTGTCACTTGTAAACGATGGATGGTTGCTGCCAATTCAAATGTTACATTTCCCAGCCCAGCCGAGTAGTAGAAAGGAACATACGCACCGTCACATGCCTTGCTCCTCCACAGACAGTTCTCCTTATGACCATCGGATAGCAGCTTTCGATATTCCTCAACCACTTTCTGTCCTAGATCGTGATATGTGAGCCTAAAAAGCTCGCCAAGGAAAGGTATGGGCGCCACTTACGAACTTCTTTCCTTTCCTGAACCTTGTCGCTATCCAGATCTTCAAAGTCATCCACTTCTTCCGGGAGTTTCACCACCAACGACGCGCCACATCCACCAACACATGCCACACGCATATAGTCGGTGCACGACCATCCACGCTTCGCCCATTCGACCTCATTTATCGGAGACGGTTGCGACAACCATCGGGTCACAGGCCGGAAAGTCTCCAGCCGCTCTAGAAAACGTTCGCGGTCCCAAGGAACGAAATTGGGGCGAAGATTTGCGGAGCTCGAGGTAGTCCTGAGGATCCGGGAGACCGTTGTCTTGGTCGATACTTTGTCGAGAACGCCCTCCCCAACGCGGACTTTCTTGATCGAAGGCGGCTCAGCTAAACGCTCTCGGGCAGCCATCAGCGGATCCGTGGGGGGTTTTGCTCCGCCATCACCACTGGCCAGGGGTTTGGATATTGACTCAAGGACCCGGGTGAACTTGCGCTTTTTCGTCTCCAGGGCGTAAGACATGCTGTGGCCAAGGTTGCATGCAACGCTTGAGTGATTAATTCACGGGGGAGCTGCTTAAGTTTAGTTAAGTTTGAAGCTGGTCCGTGCTGCCACTTGCAATGCTGCTTCCGTGATTGGTCAGCGAGAGACTTCCCGCGTTCTCAACTATCGTACGTTCGCTTCGCCCGCCTCGATTTTCTTCTGCAGGTTTATCAGCTTAACCAGGGGAACTGCTGTACAGCGACATGGCGACTCTCAGCATGTCGGCTTTCCCTCTCAGAAGGCTCGGAGTGCGTGTCGCGTCCTCGGAGTTATTCACCTGCCGTCAATGCCTACGACATCGCTCCCATGCGACGAGACTTTTCAGTAGCCGGACGACACCACGTACTCCGTCTCAGAAGTCGCCTCGACTCAATGCCTACCTCAGTGCCTTGAAAGTAAATCTCAAGCCCTTGACGAACCTCCGCGCGGCTACGTTGTCCACGGCGACTGCGGCACAGACCGCGGAACAAGGGGCTGCAGCTGCGAAATCCCACTTTCCAGACGTCAGCAGCAAAGCTGTCGCATACTGGCTTTTGGGAAGTGCAGCAAGTGTTTTCGGAATCGTGATATTTGGGGGCTTGACCAGATTGACTGAGTCGGGGTAAACTTGTCTCAAGTGACTTTTTTTTTTTTTTTTTCCCCAACTTCTTTTTCACTAACCCATGATTACCAGTCTGAGCATCACAGAATGGAAACCCGTGACTGGCTCGCTGCCGCCGATGAACGATGAGGATTGGGAATCAGAATTTGCGAAATACCGTTCGTCTCCGGAATACAAGATTCTCAACCCCAACATGAACCTCTCCGAATTCAAGTCAATCTACTATATGGAATGGATACACCGACTCTGGGGTAGATTTGTAGGCCTGTCCTTCGTCGTCCCTGCTATCTACTTCGTCGCCAGAAGAAAGGTCTCCAAGCCAATGGCTTTGCGTTTAGCCGGTATCTCGGGGCTCATTGGGTTCCAAGGATTCATTGGCTGGTGGATGGTCAAGTCCGGCTTGAAAGATGACCTCTTTGCTCCCGGAAGTCACCCAAGAGTCAGCCAGTACCGTCTAACTGCCCACTTAGCAGCTGCATTTACCTGTTACGTGGCCATGCTGTGGAATGGCCTTGCAATACTACGATCTCACCGACTACTCGCGGACCCTGCCACAGGTACGAAAACTCTCAATGCTCTGCGCAACCCCAAACTCGCCTTATTCCGCCGTTCTGTTGCTGGTCTAGCTCTTCTGGTTTTCACTACGGCTATGTCCGGAGCCCTTGTTGCGGGCCTCGACGCTGGTCTGATTTACAACGAATTTCCATATATGGGCAACGGCTTAGCACCCCCCAAATCTGAATTGTTTGACGATAAATACTCGCGCCAGTCAGACCAGTCCGATCTCTGGTGGCGAAACATGCTCGAGAACCCATCACTCGTCCAGCTTGACCACCGCATCCTAGCCACAACTACCTTTACCGCTGTAATGGCGCTATGGGCATACTCCAAGTCCCCGGCCATGAAAAAGCTACTCCCACGTAACGTTTCCAAGGGTGTCCATGGCGTTGTCGCCTTCACTTTGATGCAGGTGACCCTCGGCATTTCAACATTGCTTTACCTAGTCCCTACCCACCTCGCCTCGACCCATCAGGCAGGTAGTCTGTTCCTGTTGACCTGGGTGCTTGTTCTCGGTAATAGGATTTGGCATCCTTCCAGGACAGCCAAGTTACTCCAGATGGCTGCAAAAGCTCGAAGCAAGCCGGTATCCACCACATTGGCTGCAGATGTGTTGAAGAAATAATGCTTCTCTTCTATCTGTTCATCATTGAAACTTGAGCGTCCTCTCTTCTATAGACTCCACTTTTTTTTCTTTTCTTTTTTTCGTGTACAATAATACTCCTCTCTTGTATATTAGTTATCTTTTTGGAAGGCAATCATTCGGTGTCATTTTAGACGACATACGTATTGAGACCGGACGGAAAGAGAGTAAAAAAAAAAGATAATAGTCTTATCATAAGTGGAATTACTTATGTATGCAGTCAAAGCAGGAGGTAATATAATTTCATCAAACAAAAACAAAATGGGAGATTTGCACACCGTTATCTTTTTTTATTTTGAACCTATCTTCTCTTGTCGTTTTTCCTCTAATGAACGTCCCTTTTTTCCCCTCTTGTCTTTTCTTTGCAAAATCTGACAGGAACGAAAATCTATTTGTGTGGAATGCCTTCTTCCGGCTGTGGTTCAATACCAACAACCTCAGCAGCAGTGGGCTTCTTCTCATTAGCCTCCTCCCGCATGAAAGGGAAGGTGAGAACCTCCTTAATGCTGTAGTTATTCGACAGGAACATAACAAGACGATCAATACCCATGCCCCAGCCACCGGTGGGCGGGAGACCGTATTCCAGACTCGTACAGAAGTTCTCGTCGATAAGCTGAGCTTCGTCGTCACCTTGGGATTTCTGGCGGGCTTGTTCCTCGAAACGCAGACGCTGGTCGAATGGGTCGTTCAACTCGGTGTAGGCGTTGACAATCTCCTTCTTGCAAACAAAGGCTTCGAATCGCTCACAGAGACCGACGTCTGAGCGGTGGTATTTGGCAAGAGGGGACATCATTTGGGGGTGGCCGCTGATGAAGGTTGGGTTGATGCAGGTTTCTTCGATGAATTCGCCGACGAGCTTGTCGAGCATTCTGGCGTTTGTTTGAGGCGGGCTGCATTCGACGCCGGTCTTGGCCAGGATTTTCTTCAAGAAGGCGTTGGTCTCTTCGGTGTGTAGCTGGTCGCCAGGAGGGAATTTCTCGCCGGTAGCCTCTTCGAGCGCGGGGATCATCTCCACGCGCCTCCAGGGAGCCTTCCAGTTGACGTTGTAGGTCTCGCCATGTTGTGTGACGAACTTAGTCTCGTAACCGCCGGTAACGTGCTTGACGAGTCCCGAAACAAGCTCTTCGGTCAGGTTCATGACATCGTGAACGTCAGCATAGGCCCAGTAGAATTCACAAGTGGTGAATTCCGGGTTGTGGGTAAGATCAGCATCTTCGTTACGGAACTGACGACCAAGCTCGTAGACCCGCTCCAAACCACCAACAATCAGCATCTTCAAGTACAGCTCAGGGGCAATACGCATGAAGAGGTTCATGTCGAGATCGTTGTGGTGGGTGATAAAGGGCTTTGCGGTGGCACCGCCGGCAATAGCGTTCATCATGGGTGTCTCGACTTCGATAAAATCGCGAGTATCGAAGAAATTGCGGATGTATCTAACAATCTTGTGGCGGGTAACAAAGACGTTGCGCGAGGACTGGTTCATGATCAAATCGAGATATCGCTGACGGTGACGCAGTTCCTGGTCGTGCAGGGCGCGTGGAAGGGCATGAAGACATGGGGCGAGAAGTTTGACTTGTGTCGCAAAGATGGACAGCTCACCATCGTCGCGGTTCTTGGGGTTGCTGCGACCAGGGAAACCGATGATTCCAATTATGTCTCCTCGGCGGAGTTGTTCGTGTTGCTCCTCGAAAGGGACATTGCCCTGGGCGTGCTGAGCCTGAGCCAGGACTTGAATCTTGATACCTTCAGTACGGATATCGTAGAAGAAGAGCTTGTTGCCCGATGATCGCTTGTTCTCAACACGACCCGCGACCTGCACGGTAATGTCGGTCTTCTGCTCGCCCTTTGCCAGCGATTCGTACTGGGTCAGGAACTGTCGAGGATCAATGGTGACCTGGAATTTGTGTGGGTAGGGGTCGGGGTTCTTGGTTTGGCGAAGCTTATTGATCTTTGCACTGCGGATTTCGAAGTATTGCTACCTCAGAGTTAGTAAATCAGACTTCTAGTATAAGGGACACACACACAGAGAGAGAGAGAGCGGTCTTACGTGGGGACTCAGATTGGATTCTTCCTCCTCAGCAGACTTCTGCTTCTCCTGCTTGGGCTTGGGAGGAGCAGCAGCCTCCTTCTCCTTCTTCTTGGCCTCCTTCTCTCTGGTCTTCTGGCGTCTCTTCAACTCCGACTTGGACACCTTCTCGCCAGTGACCTCGTCCAGAAACAAATTGGCGACACCGGCCTCGGCTTCCTGAACCGCGGAGTCCGCCATGATGGGTGATTGCTGGCGGGGCGAACGTAAGAACAGCGATTATGCACTGGCTGGATGAGAAGACCTCGAGTAGGATCGCGTCTCTCCCTGATTTATGCAAGAGGTTTCTTCTTGTTGTCGGATTGCTTTGAGCAAAACGAAGGAGAGAAAGGGTCAGAGGGAAAAAAAAAAAAAAAAGAAAGAGAGAAGGTGCGGGGAGCGGGCGGGCGTGAGTCAGGCCGAAGTTTGGAACGACGAATGACATTTGCCATTTGCGGTTATCGCAGCAACCAAGCGGTGCTTCATGGACAGAAGTCGTCTTGTTGAGACTGTTCTGAACTCCATGCCCTGATACTCAGCATTTCATCAATGAACTCGTCGCTCTGTTGTGTCGCTACGTCATTCTCAGAGCTGTACCCCTCCGTAGCCCGATCGGGCTAGGGCTTAGGGTTTAGGGCTCGGCCAGGCTGCTTGATTTACGACTTGCATTCACCGCAAGCTTCAACCCTCAGTAGTTATGGTTAGTTACACACCGGCTTTGACTCATTGCGGGATCATAAATCGACAGCTTTCTAGAACGGTTTGCTGGCTCTGAAACAGACTGCGTGATCGCCCCTGGCTGTGCTGGCTGTGCCACGGCGCTGACGAGGCCCGACAGGCTGTGGAGACGGGCCGCGCTATGCTTCAGCCTCTGCCTGTGTTTCACCTCGGACAATGAGTCTCTGTTATTTATTTAACTACGTATTGAAGAAGGATGACTGTGATTATTTGATGGATCAATCCTGCCACTTTTTGCACGTCGTTAGTCTAGCAGTGTTGCCTTTAGCAAAGCCCTATACACACGGTATAGTTGGGTGTTGGCGCATTCCGCATGGCAACACGAGGTAAACATTGACGATCTCTGAGAAGTTCCATCTGTTCTTTTTTTTTTTTTTTTTTTTCCTACTGTGATTTCCATATCGCAACTCATCCCAGCAAAATGAGGAGCCGGCAAAATCACTACGCGCCCGGCTCATTCCACGGCGTGAGGGCATTTCTCTGGGTCTCAACGTTGATCGTGACAGCCATCATGATCGATTTTGCCGTCAATCTACATTCGGGCGGATTTAAACTGCCCTATGCATTTTTGCTGGTGCGAGACCATCTCTTCTTTGCTTCGCCTCGAGTTGATGGCAAAGGGCTAGAAAGCTAACATGAAAATCAATTAATACAGATCCTAATCACCTGCCTCCTCACCCTTCTCGGCCTCATGTTTACCACCCTCTTCTACTGCCGCAACGGCCTGCGACCCATGCTCTCGCTCACTACGAACATCATCCTCTTCATTCTATGGGCGCTCTCCGTCGGTTTCCTAGGGTACAGCATGCGAGGCACCCTGAACACAACCTGCAACACCAGCTTATGGGGCACATCGACCGGCGTGATGGTCTGCAGAGTGTACAAAGTGCTCTTCTCATTCATGGTGGTGGCGCTGGCATTCACATTCTTCCACATCATCCTCGACATCGTTGCGCGTCGAGATCGGGCGAACATGGGTCCTCTGCCATACGACTCGATGCATTACCGCGAGGATTATAAATTGCATGCTCGCGGCGAGAGCGGCAGTCCACTTGCGCTTGGCGCTGGTGCTGAAGATGAATTCCATCGTTCTGCTGGCGCTGATACTCGCTCTGATGCATATAATGCTTTGGGCACGACACGGCAGGAGAATACCGTGGCGTTTCCGGACCATCACCTCCCTCAGCAGCAGCAGTATGAAGATGCTGAATACTATGATGGAATCCCCGATATTCCTCCCGTGTCTGGGGTGAGGTGGGCACCCTCAGCCACCGGTAGACCATCTCCGTACTCGCCGTTGCAGACACGCTTCGATGAGCAGCAAGCCGGGTATGAGTCTTATCGACCGCATCAAACGCCTTACGATGAAGGGGGGTATGGCTATCGTCAATGATCTATTCTTTTCGTTGTCACGGATATTAGTCAAGTCGCACTTTCAAAAAATGGTCAATATTTGCAATGTTATATATATATACAAAGCGGGCGTTTGGTGGATTGGTCTTTTGGATATAATTGGTGTATCGTTCGTTCATTTGGAATGCAACACGACTGAGATAAAAGTTAGCCACACACACACACCCAAAAAAAATATGCCCACCAGCAAGATTATGTGGAACAAATTATTGATTGCGCTAGTGGTTTTGATTAAGAGTAAATTGCCTGACTTGGAATACGTCAAGATTTTCAGGATCAGTGGTCAATATATAATAGACATATCCGCCCAATGCATTACATAATAACCTCATTTGAAACGTCCTGTGCGAAGGGGAAAAAAACCGGGTCAGTGATGGAATGGCTTATAATAGACAAGAATAAACATACCCGTTTCAACTCCTTATATGGTAGGCAGACACAGTTCTGTACGCGCACTTCATCTCCCACGCCGCACTCCTTACCCAATATCGTGATGCTTTGCACCTTGACGCCGTTCTTGATGATGCTTGTCGAGTGGCTGCCTGCTGGTGTCGGTGTGCCTTCAACACGCGCCCAGGCACCCACGCGGCTACCCCAGCCGATGATCGAGTACAAGACGCAGGCATCATGCTTAATCTCGGCGTCTTCCAAGATGATGGACTCCTTCACACGTGCACCAGCACCAATCACAGCCCGCGGCCCAACGGACACGTTAGGACCTAGCTTCGCCGTAGGATCAACCTGCGCGGTGGGGTGGATATAGACAGGCGGCACAATGAAAGCAGAAGGAGGAGTGAGTTCGTCGGACTGCGTCTGGAATGCCTTTTGCAAGTACAATGCATTTGCTGGCACTGCAGAGCCCGCAGTCTTGATCTGGCGCCAAAAGTCCTTTGTTTCATGCACGAAGAACCGGTTGCTATCAGCGAGGTCGGATAGGATGTCCTGCTCGAGGCGCAAAACCTCTGGTTTCTCGGCATCCTCGTCATCGGCAATGAAGGAGGAATCAAGATTTTCGGAAGACGGGTAGGAGAGTAGGCGTGGACGGGTTGCACGGCGCTTGATGACACTGCGGATGGAAGGGAAGATACATTCGGTAGCAAATAAGTAGACGCCGCAATTAATCAGGTTTGAAATATGAGATTCCGGCTTCTCAACGTAATGCAAAACACGCTTGGTATGCGAATCAGACACGATACAACCAAAATTTGTGGCAGCGTCATTGCCGACTCGGGTTCCCAGGATAACAGCCTCGGCATCTTTCTCTTCAAACAGTTTCAACATTTCGCCCAGCGGGAAGGAGCAGCAGACGTCCGAGTTTAGGACGAAAAATCGCTCTGGCTTGTTCTTGAGGATAGCGTCGCGGAAATGGTAGAGGCCGCCGGCGGTACCCAAGGCCTGGTATTCTCGCAAATATTGGATGCGCAAGTGTGGGAATTCTTTACTGGCATCCTTGATGAAGTCTCGGAAGACCGACTCGTCGTAGTACCCGACCAAGATGACTTCACGGAGGCCGGGGACTTTGGCGACCGCTTTAAGGGAGTGAGAGATGATCGGATGACCGGCGACTTCGAACAGTGGCTAGACAACCGTCAGAAAAAGCCAATTCTTCATTGGAGCAGGGATCGATTCACATAGGACGCACCTTGGGGACATCCAGCGAAAGGGGCCTGAAGCGAGTTCCTCTCGAAGGGCCTCCGACCTGTCAAACCACGACGTGAGAAGGTAAGCCGAGCTCTACCGGAGATTCTTGCTTACGAGAATCACAGCTTTTGTCGAAGCCATATTGTTGCTGGGGTGTTCCCGAAGCGGAACTTGGAGCATTGACGCGGGGGGCGATGTGCTCTGTAGCTGCGGGACTGTTCTAATGGCAGTTGACGTTTGACAGGTAGATGGTAGTAGCTGAAGAAAATTAAAATAAAATTAAAAGCAAAAAAAAAAAAGGGGGCGAGTAAAGTGCCAGCTATCTCTCAAGCAGCGGGAAACGAAGAGGTGAGAGGGGAAGATGTCAAGTTGTGTTGCTATGGGCCGCGATGCCACCTCAACCGCAACGTTGACACTAGTCCAGATTAGGAAATACAGTCTGGTGGCCGATTATATTGACCAGATTTTGCTTGATTGAGTCATTTGGTCCTGGTTCAAAGCCTTTACCAGGGCGAAAATGCTGATACGTATAGTTGAGAGAAGGAGGGCCTCGTCGGCATGATCGAAAGCGAGAACAGCCCGGTAGAGCGTATCAGCGATGGCCTCACGCTCCGTGCAGCTCTGCGGGTAGGGCAAGAGACATCATGGGGGCCTGCCTTGCAATGGCTTTATCCAGACATGCAGACATCTCCTTATGCCTACATACTTACTCAATCCGGCCGCAGGAAATCCCACTTCCTGGACATCTGCTTCATGGCCAGCTTGAATAGAAGAGTGTACGACGCTGCTGTTGGGCACATGGCTGACTCGAAGCATTCGATATAAACGCACAGGAGGACACCTCAGGCATCCAGGCACCTCCATGTCTTTGTTCAACTTCCCCTCTCCTGCCCCTCTCGTCCTCGTCCCTCTTTCTCCCTCTATTCTGCTGTTACGCATTCCAGGTGTGAGAACGAGCATCCAGCCTGTTTTGGACTGCGAGATGCCATCCCAAACGGACTTTTCAGTCAACTTCTCGCACAACAACGACCACATTCCTATGGATTTCCAAGAAACGGATGTCTTCGTTCCGCTGCAGGGCAACGTTTGGGAGTCTGCAGGCATGTATTCAACACATGTTCGGTGGCTAGCTGGCTAACCTGACATAGCTCTTCTTCAAGATGGGATTGCAGGCACCGGGTTTGAGTTCCCTCCGCGATTTGGGTCTCGTTCGCCAGCGACCACAAACGCCGACCTAGTGCCAAATGACGAGTCGATCAACTTTATGACTAAAGATATGAGAGCCCTGGTCAAGCAGATACAGGACTTGCGTCATCTGGGCATTGAAGACAGCAAAATTGCATTGCCTAAAATCTGTGTGGTTGGTGACCAGTCGACCGGCAAATCCTCTCTCATCGAGGGCATGTCTGAAATCAAAGTTCCTCGTAGCGCAGGAACCTGTACGCGCTGCCCCATGGAAATCAATCTCTCAGACAGCGAGCAGCCATGGAAGTGCTCGATATCTTTGACCAGCTCTCACACGTTTTCCACCAAGCAAGGCTTTCGAAAAGCGACCAAGGCTAAACCACTAGGTCCTTGGAACCCTCTTGATGAACCTCAAGACGAGCCGTTTATGACCATATTCTCGAAGGATCAGGTCCAGGACGCCATAAAACGTGCGCAATTAGCGACACTGAATCCACACCACAACCCAGTCGACTACCTGCCAGGCTCCTCCATCAATATCGAGAATGCTTCTACTTTGGTCAAATTCTCACCAAACGTGGTCCGTCTTGATATCACAGCACCTAGATTCCCCAATCTGTCATTCTATGATCTACCGGGAGTCATCAGCCAAACCGAAGTTGACGACGAAGCCTACCTCGTCACGATAGTAGAGAACCTGGTTAAGCATTACGTTTCACAGGAAAACTGCATTATTCTTCTGACACTGCCGATGACGGACGATGCCACGAATTCCAGTGCAGCGCGCATCGTCCGAGAAATCAAGGCCACCCACCGCACATTAGGTGTTCTGACCAAGCCAGATCGCGTGGAAGATGTTTCTCAGTGGACGGACCTCTTGACAGGTCAAAAGTTCCGCTTCGGCCATGGTTATTATGTTGTCAGGAATAACCCCGATCCCAAAGTTGAGCACAGACTGGCCCGTCGCGAAGAAGAGCAATTCTTTGCCGGCAGTCCATGGACCGAAGACAGCCTTGCCGTCTTCAAACCCAGACTGGGTACGCGGAATCTACAAAATGCGCTATCCAAGTTACTCCTAGACCAAATCAAAGAATGCCTTCCTCATGTAACAACACAGATACGTGAAAAGGCTCGGCGAATCAATGAGCAACTTAGCTTTCTTCCCGAACCAGTTAATCAAAATACCTTGTACATCCTGTGCGCCAAACTCCAAGAACTAAAGTCGGCCATATCCGCAAGTCTGGACGGCGGCTCAAAGGAAATGTCAATATTGAAGATTTGGAACCATATTGCGGACGACTTTTTCACAGCAATGCAGTGCACAAAGCCTGTGGTACAACTATTGAGCGCCCAGGAGGTTTTCGTAAGAGCCTCAAGGGACACCGCTGGCGACAATTCCGATTGTGAAGAAATCGAGAGCATTCCAAGCGCGAAACAGACTCCGAAACGGAAATTGGCTTCGGATTCAGAAAGGGAACCGGCTGAAAATCCTACATCTACTAAGCAAGCTCTTACCAACCCTTTTCAGAAATACCGCACAGAACATTTCCTGCGCTTTCAAGGTATGCTGCTAGATTTTCTTTAAATACGGGATGAAAGAAAGCTATTAACAGTTCTATTTCCTTAGAACCTGGAAAGACTTTTGACCTCCTGGAGATCCGCGGCTATAATGAGGATTGGTCATGCGGTGGTCTACACAACCAGATACACCCCAAGGCTATTGAGCTAATGAACAAACTTAGCATCTCGCACTGGGAGGCGCCAATGAGGGTATTTCTCAAAAATACCTACAGGCTTGTCAAAAGCAAAATCCTAGAGCAGGTTAACAACGTGTTGACCGAGTATCAAGAGACAGATTTGCAACGTGAAGTATTGAAGATTGTCATTGAATACCTGGGTGAGCTGAAGAAGGACACTGAGTCTCATGCTAACCAGCTGTACAATTTCGAAATGAATCAACCTACCGCACGGGATCGCGAGACTATGCAAAAGTACGGAGAGGCTTATTACAAGGAATTGAAAAAGGCTCGCAAGCACAAAAAGGTACAGTTGATTCTGAAAAGTCAAGGTCGAGAGCTCCCACCAGATGCAGCAAAGGCAGAGAAATTTGTTGAATCAACAAATCTGGGTCCTGATCCTTTTGAGAATGAAATCAAAATGATGGCGGTAGGTTTGGCGGTGCAACTCTGGGCAAAAGGCCTGATCGATGGAACTAACACTTCGCCATAGACCACTGGTGCTTACTACAAAGTGGCATTCGCACGTTTCGTGGACAATCTCTGCATGAGCATACAGTTGAGGCTATTTGCAAAATGCAAAGAGAATATCTACAATGAAATCGAGACAAACCTCGGTATCAAAGAGGACAGCGGTAGGCGTTTCTCGTTGCAAGCACTTTCTTCAAATGATTTATCTTGCATGCTGACAGACGGTCTTTGAATTCAAGCCCTATCTCGCTGTGCACAGTTGCTGGCCGACGATCCGGATCGCCAGCGTCGTCGGGAATTTCTAGTCAAAGAACGAGAAAAATTAGCTACTGCATTGAAATGGCTCAATGACGCTGAAAAAAGCGATAGTAGCACTGGTGACGATGACGATGACCATGTCGACAATAAACAGTCCGTTTTTGCGTAGGTCCGTTTACTACACATGCGTATAACATCACAACTCTGTGCGCCAATCGATGGGAAGTTCTAGGGGTATGAGGTCTGGGGAATGAGTGAGGAGCAGAAAATAGAAATACAAGAAAAAAAAAGAACAAAAGGAAAAACAAAAAGAAGGGAAGAGAGAAGATAGGGGTAAAAGTTTTGATTTTTTGTATTCTTCCGTATATTCTGGTAATAATAAACTGTCAAAATAGGTTGACTGCCATCTCCCATTGAATTTAGGACAGGAAAAAACATTGTCAATTGTAGATTTCCAGGCAGACACTGGCGGAGCTGTTGGGCAACATGACAAACAAAGAGTTCATTCGACAAACAGACGTTGCGATCATCCACAGAAAACCTCCCAGCCAGAGTGAAAATTCGTTTCAGTTTCTCTTTCTTCTTGCTCTTGCTATCTCCCCTCTGCTCAAATCTTTTGTCATTCTGTCTTCTTTCTTTTGTCCTTCATTCTTCTCAAACCTCAGCCAAAGCCTCATCTTTTCTTCATTCCATCAATCAACTTGAGTCATGGAGTCTCCTGAGAATACAGCGGTCTCTGAACGTACGATCCTCGACGACGACGATGACTTGTCTCATCATGAGGCAGACAAGGAAGCACAAATCTTGTCACTGGAGGAAGAATGGGCACCACCGTCTTCAAATTCTCACACCTCAGATGCCAACCAGGGCAGCCAGGAACTTCAGTCGCCAAAGTTAACAGCCAAACAAAAACAGAAACTTGAGAGGAAAGCAAAGTACAAGAAGTCCTCAAAGAGTAAGAGTTCTGGACAGGTTCGTTTTGCTTGACCTCGAATCTGTCCAAGTCATTATATTCTAACGCTTGGGTCTCTTGCCACAATAGCCAAAGCCTACTGGATTCGAAGACTTCTATTGCGAACCTGTTTTAACTCCTGAGGGATACAACGTTGAGAGAAGTATTTATGACAGGTGAGTAGTAGACAGTGATCACCTTTTCCTACCCAATTGACATACAAGCTGACTTTGATTGCAGTGACCGTCCCGCGATTTTGTAAGTGTTTGGCTGGCTTACGCTATAATTCACAAATACTGATGACTCCTCAGTCGGATCCAGGAAGCACTGAACAGATACCAACAAAAGCGTCGACTGCTCACTGAGCGCATGCAAGTGTTTTCCCAGTATCTCAGATATGGCGGCGTTGACGTCTGTGCCAAAATGTTTGGAGGGGTTTCTGAGCAAGAGTTAAAAGCAATGGATAAAGAGGGGATCATCACTGCTCGCTCCCAGACGGATATCAGCGTTGACAAGATGAAACTGGACGTGGACTTTGAGCTCGTCGCCAAAAGTTTTCTGTGAGTGGAAGAACATAGACAATCTTCCGTGTGTGTACATGATCCAAGCTAACCTTGCTCTTATATAGTTCCTTCTATTTTCCCGATTACACCTCCCCGGCCAGCCTTGAAATGATCAAGATGGGTACGAATACGATCAGAAATTGGCTCAACTATCTTCTCTACCATGAAGTACTCCCCGAATACGCAGATAACATCAGGGCAGCCCGAAAGTACTGCGACCTTGCCGAAAAGCAGCTATGGGACAATATACGTTTACTATCAGTAGCCCCAGGCGACTTCAATAAGGCTAGCTCAGTCCTTTTCGGGGGCTATTACCACGGCTTACCTACAACAGCTCAAGGAGAGCAACCGGGAGCGTGGGGAGGTGAGAAATTTGAAAATATGCCCATGACAGCAGACATTGCAAAGAAAGTAGTCCTCTTTGCACTGGCCTGCAGCGGCTCCGACGAACAGGCTAGTAGGTACGTCGAGCTTTCGAATGCCGGCCAACTCTCTGCGAACCCCATTCGAGACATCGACGGCTTTGAAGTAATCGACATCCTCCTACCCAACGCCGGAGTCCGTGAGTTCTACAACCGTGAAGCACCTGACCTCAACCCCGTGGGCAAAGTGCGCGGAAAGGCATGGCGGAATCCGAGTGAGCCCGCAATCGACTTGGCGCCTGGGGAGACATTGCCGAATATTGACAAGCTTGAATTCGAGTTTTTCGTTGAAGAGCGTCTTCTTCAGTATATCTACTTGGGGATGAAAATTGTCACGACAGTGTGGGAGCTCAACTGCGGGATTTTCTTTTACGACGAGATCATGACGGCGTACTGCTCTTTCTACACTACGTTGCTGAACGATTTGATGCTGGGTTGGAAGAATCCACGAGAGCTGAAGAGGGTAAAAGACGATCAAGGCAGAGATGAGTCAGTTGGTGAAGAAAGCGCTTTGGAAAAGGGTGAGTAGGCTTCAGCACTCAAGCTGCGTTGCGAAATGGGGAATGCAGCGAATAAACATATTGATTCAGGGGGTGGAAATGTTATTTTGAAGTCAGTAGAACGCTAAACATAGACATATGTACAAAAAGGGGATGGGATTAATCTAACCAGACGAAGGCTTTATTTATCCCTAGTTATGTACCTTGTTGATTCCAGCAATGGATCTCCTACTCTGTGCTAATTTACATGACGTATATACTAGAGTCTATACCCTCGAAAGGACTAGTAGCCTGCCGCACCACTCCGTATAGTTTATATAGATAGCTATTCATGGTCTCAGGAGAGTTTTCCCAGTGGTCTTTCTGCCCTCGAGGTCCTATCCACTTGTATTAGTCTACAGAATAGAGTGGTTATTGATGTGCTCACCTTATGTGCCTGTTGCACCTCTGCCAATGGGAAGATTTTGTGGATTTTAACCTTCAACTCGCCGGATTTCAGTAGGTCAAAGAGCTGGTTGGAATAAAACTCATATTCTTCCCTTGTCTCGAGGTAGCCGTTGAGCATGGGACGAGCAATGGTGATACATTTCGCTGCAAGACGCCTGTATATATGATGAGCTAGCTGCCTTGCCGGATGACTAGAATCTCTTTGTTTGCATGCGATGCACTTACTGGATGGGAAAAGGTGGAACTGGGCCACTAGCATTGCCAAACCAAGTAATAAAGCCCTTTCTTTTCACAACCTCTAGACTGCCTTCCCAGGTATCCTTGCCAACCGAATCATAGACAACGTCAACACCGCGGCCATTGGTTATCTCCTTGACCAATTTGACCCAGTCCTTGCCCTCTTCGCTACGGTAGTCAATGACGTGGTCAGCACCTAGACCCTTCACCAACGCGACCTTTTCAGGTCCTCCGGCCGTACCAATGACAATAGCACCGAGCGTTTTGAGGATTTGGACCATCAAAAATCCCGCTCCACCGGCAGCAGCGTGCACGAGAACTATGTCGCCCTTTTGAACAGCATAAGTCTCCTTGACTAAAGTCAAGACGGTAAGTCCGCTCAAGAAAGAGGCAACAATATCTTCCTCTGAGACTCCATCGGGAAGCTTGACAGCACTTTTCGCCGGAACAGCAGTGTACTCGGCATATCCAGAGTTCGACATCCACACCACGCGATCGCCCACTTTCAGGCCATAGGGGTTTGGCGAGCCTGGTCCCACGGCAACGACTGTGCCTGCTGCCTCACGACCCAGAACCTCCGGCTTGGGTGAGGGATAGAGACCAGTACGGAAATAGGTGTCGATGTAGTTGATACCGCAGACGCTGTTTTTAACCAGCAACTGGCCTTCGGCCAGTTGGGGCACCGGGTAGTCAGTTCGGTATTGCAGGACCTCTGGACCACCGGTTGTCTCAATGACAACGGCCTTCTGCGTTGTTGGGAGGCTGCTCATATTGCGTTTTATATATTATGGATAATGGAATGGCGAGGGGTTTCGGAAAGTGTGCGAAATGCGGGGTATGTGTAGTGCCAAATTGACAAGTCTCGACTGTGTCGCAGTTGCTGGATTGAGAGACCTACAATTGAAATGTTGATGTGTATATGCTATACGCTATATGCTGTATGCCAAAAATTGAACGTTGAAGTTGAAGTTGACAAGGTGGGATACATTGCGTCATCGGAGACGCGAGATCACATGATTGGAGAGATATTATTGGTTGATGGAAGGACTATATATCTGAATAAGTGAAGTGAGAAATATTCGGCATAAAAGAGGGAGGAAAGGGCCTTTGAATATACTCTCTCCTCAGTAGCCGCCTATCTATAGACTGTACCTATGCAGAGCATGTACCGGGTTCTTCTTTTGATCTACCCCCGACTGGGATATTTCCTCTTACGTGTACGTAACTGGGATATCAATTCTTCATCTGCCCTATTTCGAATTCTAACCAAGTGCGCCAAAGACTTTTTATCATACCATTACGATCAATAACACCACCATATAAAAATGTTATCTTTGAGATGTTAATCTCTTGGTTTAATGAGAAGGTTGCTGATTGGACTAAAAAAGGCTTGAATTTGAAGGTATATGTGATCTAGAGGAGTGAGAAACCTTTTAGTGAAGAAGATTTGAGGGATCTTATGTCTACTAGTTAGAATTAATTGAAAGGGAATAGGAGTAATAGAAAGAGTAATTAGAAAGGCAACTGATCTTGCTTGTGTACTCTTTTTAGAAATCTTTATTCTAGATGGGAAGATTGCTTGTATTGTAATGAATAGATTTGAGAAAAAGGCTGGGTTCCTGATTTAGAGAAGGCTAGAGCAGTAGTTGAGAATGTTGCTAGATATCGAAACTAGAGAGTGACATTAAATCGTATTAGACAGCATAAGTGTAGTAGCAGGAAACAAGTCGACAGTCAGTCTGATGAGAGTTACATAAGTAAACATAGAAGTACTTGCACATAGTAAAAGAAGGATTGCTTAAATCAGTGCCCCCCCAGTTCAAAGTGGAGATATCAATCTGTCCCCTCTCGAATCACAACAGTGTATAATGTCTTCTTTGTCGATGGAAATGGTTAACTTGGGATGCATGTCCTTTGGACGGCAGATAATAGGACAGAAATCAAACATAATATCGTCCAGCTTTGTCTGAATCCTTTGTGTGCAAACTAAGAACGTCGTGACTGAAGTAAGCTCCCCGAAAATATAAAACACCAGGGGCCCATTCGACTCGGTAAAGAGGCCTTCTTCGTTCCTCTTTTGGGCAATTGCCTTTAAAATCATATCCAAGTTCTGTGTACAGCATCGAGCACAATCTTTCGGTGCAAAGCGCGCAGCAAGTATAGCTTTACTGCAATAAGCAACTGCGAAAAGATCGTGTGTGTGATGAAGAAAGTCGATAGCGGCAAATTAACAGCTTTCTGAATCATAGTTCCCGCTTTTAGGAAAACATGTCAATTTGCATGGCTCCACAAAGGGTATGCTCCAGTCATAGTTTTCTTCCTCGTAGTCTAGTAAACTGCCATCACCATCGCATCGACCTGTGTGCGGGAGATCCTGGCATTGTTTATAAGCTCCTGAATCTTTTTATAGTAGCCATAATATCTATGATTCAGAATAATAGGCGACTCACCGCATAGTTTCTTGAAGACATCTTGAAAGGTAATGTTCTGACTGAGCATGTAGGTGTTTAAAAGGCCAAACAGAAGCTGATGGCTCAAACTACGCTCTGACAATCATTAGTGTGCGTGTAACCCTATACGAGAGGCAAAATCAAAGCAAGTCCTCACCTGGGCAAAGCTTTTGCTAATTTGAATGAACCAAACAATCCGCAATCCTCGTAGTTGGCTTACTATGTGTTGATGACCGGAGCCTTAGATTGAAATACAGGCTATGGAAATGAATGGGAGCCCTCGTCGAAGCTGGAAAGAAAGTATAGAAATTTTGGTCTTTGTGAGCAACTGGATAGCAAATTCGAAACTTTGTAGGCAGGTAAACCCTATTTATGACATTCCAAGGCACGAAAAATGGCAGCTCAGTCACAGTATTTCAGCCATGGAATGACTCAAAGTCATGTACTCACACAGAAAATCCATACATTTCATATCCAATATGACAACTCATCCCTACCTATTTGCCTCTCGTGAGTCCAAGTGACTACTAAGTGTGATTGGATTATCAAGAGACAACAGAAGGAAGTCATGACCGTGGGTATATGATATATTGGAAAAGATAATTCAATTGTCACCTTGAATTTCAAGTGAGCTAATCTGGATCAAATGTTTCAGTAATTTTCCACACACGCATATTGAGCCAATAAGAATTTTCGAAGGATTCAAAGGTTATAGATGAGTAACCACAGCAAGCATGTGTCATGTTCGATTTGCAAAAGAGGTTGAGACGAAAGGTCGTTCATTCGTGCATAGGACACCGGGCAACAAGCTATGACATGTAAAACTCGATCTTCTAGATGCTCATTCTAGGTAGATTACGCCTAAAACCTTAGGACATCATTAGCCACAGAAAAGCCTCTAATAAACCTCATATTATATGACGCTACATAGTCACTCCATAACCACTTATTTCTCGTGGCGACGTCTTTGTCGAATGATGTACACAACTATGTATACGAGCCTTTGACCCCTGTGAGACATCTTTTTAGACTGAATCGTTGTAGTAAAAACTGAAAGATGGCGCTGTAGTTCCAATTTTATCCCATAGTTTGTACTCCTGCTTCTTCTGGGGATTAACCGGTCATACGGTGCAATATATCAGTGGGCATCTTTATTAGAGGACACTTTGATACCACGTTGAGAATCAAGACAAAGTGCAAGCTACATCGCCGTTCATATCATAGGGTTATAGTGGTCTCCCTGTCGAAAGAGGAATGAATAGCAACTTCTTAGCAGCAAAGTGATATAATCCTACATGCTACATTGACAGTAGTCTGTCTTCTTCTCTAAGCGCCTTTGGACTGTCAATAATGATAAACTGGCTAACTCAATGCTTACGGTGCAAATTAGAATCCTGAAATCTCTTCGTCGACTTCAACGCCCTGACCACGCACGTAACTAGTTATATCCTCCATAGCACGCAGTTATACCTACGTATTCATCTTGTCATCTTTCCTGTTGATAATCTATGTATCTAGGTATAGTGGCATAATCCAGGGATCCTGATATATTAAACCTATCACTGCCTAGGTGGGAAAGATATATATGTCCGTGGACCCAGATACCTAGTAGATTATGGGCTACATCAGTTGCGTCTACTCGAATATTCACAGCGTCTATATGTATAAGAGAGGATGAGAAGTGACCGCAGAAGAAGATCCTCTCGTTCTTCTTGGACAAGGATATGACAGGACGTCCCACGGATTATGTATATGCATGGCATCGTCGAGGGAACTTTCGTAGTCTCCTCGCTGCTTGCACTTATTACATTTCCTCTTTTTCCTTCTTCGTCCGGTAATAACTAATCGACCAGATGTTTCAAACCGCTGTTGACGAGCTCTTCAAGCTCGCTGTACTAGTTGGAAAGAAAAACACTTGAAGGTGAAGTTGACGTGCAGGTCACATGATCCACCCCGTTTTGTTCATATTCATATTTTCGTGTTACGCATTTCACCCGCGGCGAAACAACTGAGAACATTCTACCCAACGAGTATCGGCTTTCATCATGGCTACTCTTTATACATAAATAGTCAGTGGTCAGGCACGGCAGCAGCCCATAACGATGCCCAATCAGCCGGAATCACTTCGCCGATCGGGATAGCTTCATGGTCTTTTGCTGTTCCGATTTGCTGTCTGCCAGGAAACACGCCATCGTGTATGCTCAACTAGAATCCCGTCACAGTCCCGCCTTGGGAACATCATGATACATGCTAGTTGCGCTTTCAAACGCTCAAGCCCGAATTCAAATCCTGGAGTCCTACATTAGTTGCGACGTGGACAAACAATCACGCGCTCTTCTCTTCCAGCACTGCCTACTGGGGCCTTTGGAAAGACGGTGAGGGAGTGAGCACACAAGGCTTACAGCGATCCTCCAGGCATCGCAGTTTCTGAAACGCCCGTTGAAAACGGTTGTTCAGAGAGGACGAATACAGCACACACTCATGCCACATCGTGGTGGATAAGCTTCGCTAAGGCTTCTCTCTGTTGTACATGTACAACCAGAAGTGATGCTGCTCTTAGGAGAACCCCAAACACAGCATATTGAACAGTTACATTTGTCCTACAGCCTCATTCGAGGGATTGACTTGACGCCATTCGGTATGGCTTCATTCATCGCCTAATGTCGGGCCGCTTGCCCGCAGCTTACAGTCGGCGGTGGCAAAGAAGTGGGTAACTGAGCATAAGCGAGGCGATTGATTAATCTACCATGAGCTATATGATCAGGTAGTATAAGCATGTTTGTTTAGTTTTGCCCTCCGGACTGGGCAGCTCGCCTTCTCCGGACCATTCCGCTGCTCCTGACGGCTGCACGATGATCTCAGACAGCCGAAGCCATGCATTGATTGCATATGCTTTTGATCTAGTTGAGCTTTGATCTTAATAGAGATCCATATGCTGGCGCCATCGTAGGCCTGCACTTCTGATTGACGCACTGGAGGGAGGCTAGTTTGAATAGCTTGTATGCTACTTTATTTGTTTATTTTTGTTTTATATTTTGTGCATTGTGTTCATTTTATCCCGCCACGCCCATTTTGAAACATTTAGCCTTGTTTCAAATCGCATCTTCTTGGAGTTCGCTGGCTTGTGTATTTTCTTTTCTTGGTTCTTATGTAGCTAGGGTTGAAGCCCAACCACCTGCCCGACTGTCCGCCGAGCTTTCTTTCCTCTTTAAATATCTCCCTCCCTCTCAACTCCTCCACCTTCTACCCTCACTGCTACACAAATATATAACAATCCCAATTTCATATCCCAAAAGAAAAAAAGAAAAACAACAGTATCGTCTCGTCCGCTCCGTGTGTCCATACACCTCGCCCGCGAATCAGTGTCAAGACTGCTTGATATGTTTACTTCGGCAGAAAAACGACTGTTTGAAATTTGTTCCTCGATTGCAATAGGCTAACGGCTTTGAATGAAGACAAAGAGTGCTTCTTTGTCAGTTTGTGTTTTGGTCTGCTTAATTCTACCAGTTCATCTTTCCACCGTATTCCACGATGCCACGGATTTGGCGACCTTGGCCAACGCGGCCGCCTCCAAGGCCGTTTGTGGAGGATGAAATCGAGTCTCTTTCGCACGAGCTGGGAGGCCTGTCACTATTAGGAGAGAAGCCTGGAGTAGAGGGTGCCTGCCAGCGAGGGGCTATCGATCAACTTCCCATCCTGCTGGACAGCGAACATCTTCCTCGATCAGCCACTGCAGACACCGATACTTCAACTTCACAGCCACCTTCTCTTGTCAGCGCGTCTTCTAATGAAAGCTTCTCTGGTCCTCGCACACCATCCCCGGTGCAAGCGCTTCCACTATCTGGAAAGGACCAAACCCCGAGATTCGCTGGCCACTCTTCGCAGGCTCAGTCATCCATAAAATCGTCGAACTTTGAATGTCCTATTAGCCATGGGACTGTCCAGCCAGTGACTCCACAACCACGCTCAAGAAGCTCTAATTCAAGCGACCGCACGCCTCGACCACATAATTCGAGTCCTTCTCCAAGTCGATATTCAGTGACGCCATCTAAAAATGTGACGCAAAACACCACCAGACTTCGGGATACTTCAACAGACCACCCTACCTTCCAAGTGGCTGCATTGCCTAGACGACCTACCATAGCGGAACTATTGGAGGAGAAACTCAGACTCCGTAGAGAGCTCAAAGCGCTTCAAGAGTACAGAGACAGTCAATATCAACAGAACCTTCAGGGGCAGAACACAATACCTGCATCTGCGCCCATTTCGCCAACAGGCGATGTGCATATGGATATTGACGCCGTGGAATATATTTCACAGCCTAGCTGTTCGCATAACTCTTACATGCCTCCATCCGCAAACAATTCTCAAAACTGGGAAGAGCATGATTGGTCATTTCATACGCCAAAACGTCATAGTCAAGACTTTTCTGATTTCCAAGCAACTCCTGCTCAAAACCGAGCTTCGTCTCCCCGGATGCCTGTATACCAAAGAACCACGCCCACAAGACCACAGCGATCGGTATCGTTTGCAGACAGACTGCATTATTCACCAGCACAAACCTCCGAAACCTTAGTCTCCTACCGTCAGAATGCAAATGTCTCGCCGTCAAGATCGCCTCTCGCAGTTGCTCCTTCGAACCGTGTGGTTTCCTGTTCATCTGACACAACCACAGGTCTTGCCCTGCGTCCATGCCCTCGGTCTTACCCGGTTGCAGGGTATCAAGATTGGTACACAATATCTGGCCTGGAGCATTTGAATATATGTCCCTCTTGTATGACTCAAATTGGCAATTCAAGATTCCGAGACCATTTCATACCCAACATCAAAAATGCGCGGGCACGCATCCAATGTTCATTCAGCGAGGTCTGGACTAGACTGGCATGGATACAGACAATCAAGAAGGGCTATGAAAGCTTGCAGTTATTGTATGAAATCACTCGGCCAACGGGCTTGACTTGTCCGGGGCGCAGGTTGTCTACTCAAGTATGGCATCGCATTATCGACCACGAAACGGGTTTGAATATTCCCAAGTTTGCTGCGTGCTCGGCATGCGTACGCAATCTACGACTCCTGATGCCTCCACTACAGAAAACCTTTAGGCGTCAAACGGTCCTCCAGGAGAAAATATGTGATCTCGCAGTCGACAGCCCGCGATTTGTACAATATGTCGACCTCCTCGACGCCGCGGCCAATGAATGCGAGTACAGACAATATGATTACCCTGACAATACCAAGTTCATCGATTACTTCCAGCGAAAATGCAACTTGCGTGATTGCCGGCGCCAACGACCAATACTCGGGACATGGCATTACATTCCTGGACTTCCCGAATTCACAGTTTGCGAAGACTGCTACGACGATGTGGTACGACCACTAGCTGTAGCACAAAAGCCGATTGCACGAAAATTAGCAAGCCCTCCAAGACTGGTCCCTGGGTCTGGTCCGAACAGATGTCGCGAGGCAAGCTGTCAATTGTATTCCCCTCGAATGCGAGCAAAGTTCAGGGACGCCGTACTGGACAACGACTATCGGATGCTCGAGACTGCGGCTTTGAAAAGATTCAATGCCGAACAAAGGTACCGTGATAGAGAAGAGGAGCTCTTTGTCATACCTGAAGCGGATAGAGGATATCATTGGGAGGAAGAATGGCGGCATAACCTCGAACAATGGAGAATGTACGAATGAAGATGGATCTTTTTTTCTTTCACCTGTCAAATACATGGGATTCATACGATAGGACGGAGTTATTATTTAGAGAAGGGGAGTTGGTTTATACCCAGCATGGAGGAATTGTCTGGACGTTTAAAAGTGCACTGGTTGCACGGGATTTCATTTGTGAATGCATTGTTTTCTGTTTTCTACATATTGTTGTTTTTTTGCCTGTTATTGTCTATTTTGTTTTTGAGTCCATTTGAATTGATGCCGCGTTTTTTATCTTTCAATTCCTGCTTTCGAGACATAGAGTCACATACCCTGTACAAAACCCAAATGAAGGAATATATTTCATGACTCAGTTAATCTACGTAAGAAGCCATAGTTATCATAGGTGATCTGATCAAATCAACCAACCAACCCAACAACTTCACCAGGCCATTTCTTCCCCCAAACCAGCGCTCTACCAGGCATTCTGCCACCCACAGGCGCAAGGATTCTCAACTTCTTCTTTTCGGCATCCACATCAGCGACATACACGAACCCCATTATGCTGGAATCTCGTATGTCGGCTAGCGTAGCATTAGGTGCTGCGTGCGTTATTGCAATGAGGGTGTTGGCAAGAGCTAGGGTTGGGGGTTGTGTGAATTTCTTTAGGGGCAGGGCTTGGGTATCGGTTGTGAGTGTTGATGTTGAGAAGGAGGAAGAGGAGGCAGCGGCTGGGTCGTAAGGGATGGTATTGTTACTGCTGGCATGTTGCGTTGATTGTAAAGACGCAGAGGCGGCGCCGCCGGGGAGAAAGGAGGAATCTCCCCCTCCGCCGCTGGCATTGAAACTAGACGGGTCGTATTCGTCTTCATCCCCATCTGTCAGGGAGGATGTGGTTAGATAGTTGTATAAGGCTAAAAGATCAAAATCGAGTTGTTGAGTGTGAGGAGATAGCGTGATTTTATTGCTGTTGCTGCCGCCTCCACCAGCAACACCAGTAGAAGAAAGTGAGGAGGCTGCTGTTGCTGCTCCGCCGGCAGACACTGTAGACGTCGCTGCGTTGCCGAAGAAATATGACCGGATTTGGTTCTCGTTCACGGCTTTCATGAATGCGTCATCTCTGTCAACACATCCGCCGGATTTTGAGAGCTTTAGAACGGTGATCCGTTCATCGGAATGAGTCGTTGCTGCGCTAGACGTGGGTTTTTGGTCGTAGGTTCGGACCATGGTGCTGTAAAGGCGTTCGGAGCCAATGACCAGAATGGTTGAGACTGTTTCAGAAATTAGATATGGCAATGATTTGCAAAAGAAAGGCGCTGGGGAAACTACTAACTGGAGAACTCGGTGACAATATGGTTTATCAACTCTAAAGCCTTAGGCGTCCCTTGACCCAGCATCCCGTCAGTGTCGACAATAATGCCCGCCTCGCGCGCATCATCATCCTCAGCCATGCGAGCAGTCACCGAAAGCGCCAGTCTTGAAACAATCGGCTTGAAGACGTTCCCATCTGCTTCCAAAGGACTCTTCATCGGATAGAAATAAACCAAAGGCAGCTTCACGGGGATTGCACTTGGCCCAGACATTGGACTATTTCCCCAACCCTCTTCAACATCAATCATCGAGCGGAAAGCCGTCGCCGTCAAGGTACCGGGAACGCTCAGCATGCCCTCTGTTGGATCCAAGTTGACAACAATAGGCTGGCGGTCAACTTTGGTCGCATAACCCGTAAGAATCTTGGTCAAGGTAGTTTTGCCCGCATTTTCCGGTCCCAGTATCAAAACCCGAGGTCCATCCTTATCGCCTTCAGTCTGTGCCTCATGCCTCATTGTCTCTAGTGCGAAATGGACATTGCTATATTCAACCATGGGCGTTTCTTCGGCGATATATTCGCTTTGACAACCCCCTGCGCCATATCCGCCACCACCTCCTGCGTTCGGAGCGGTAGTGCTGCTGCTGCCACCTGGTGCAAATCCGTTTGGAAGGTTGACCGCCTCGCCGGCTGCGATCTCTAGCGCGCAGCCATGCCAGGTATAAATTGCACCTTTCGTGCCGGTAAATGTGTACGTTTGTAACGGCGCAAGTTCAGTTCCGAAGAATTCTGCGGTTCCAGTGAGTAGCTACAAGCAAAGGAGCCAAAGAAAAGCACTCATGTTAGCCAACAATCTTCTTTCTTGTCATTACTGGCTAGCAAACCACAACTCGGCATAAAGAAATTAGACGGACAAACCTTGACTCGGACTGTAGCGCCGAATGCAATTTCAAACCTCCATTCAGACCCAGCGCGTAGATTGATCTGTGTAGGCGGAGGAGGGGCGTACTGGGATTCGATTGAAGCTTCAGCAAGCTCTAATCCAGGAAGAGACATGGCATTGCCGAACGTTGAGAGCCCGTTGTCAAAAGGGATAAGGATGGGACAAATAGGAAATTATATTAGTTTATTCGTTTTCTTTCTTAAATGTACAAAATAGAGTACATCCGATCTCAAAGCTCAAGCAAAACCGATGCAGGGAAAGAAATACAGAAACAAGCGCGATGGGGATGGATTCCGCGGAGGACGTCCGTGTTTGCACCGTTTGCACCTGTATTTCATTTGACTAGACATCGATCGATGGCTTGAGAGAATGATGCAGAATAAAGAGTCAAACTTGGTATGTTTAAAACTACCTACAGGCCACAACTTCTTCTCATTCAACTCTGGAAGAGAATGTATGGATTAGTTTAGAAAGGAAATCACCTAGTAACTCCAATCAAGACAAGACGCCTAATCGAAAACCATGGAAAGTTCGTTGGGAAGAAAGAGAAAATGAAAAAGAAAATCGAAAGGAAAGAAAGAAAGGGGTAATGTGAGAACAAAAAGGGGGTATTTTTACATCTTAGGCCAAACTAGGTTGGGGATTAACACACACACTTCGTGCACAAGGGGTCAAAAGGATTATTAAAATAGACTGTGCTTGCGTCTTGCAGTCTAGACTATGGTGAAAAGAGGGTTTGGATATCAAAAGAAATAGGGAATCGCGGCCCTGACCGATTTTACAAGTCAGCTTCTGTCCTCTCGCATGTGTAAATAGACACGGGGATAAACCAATAAACTTACGCAAGTGCCAATGATGCAGTAACACCAACCAGAGCCCGATTGCGGACTCGCTCCTTTCGCAGCTTGTCTTCTAACACTCTAGCTTTCTTCGTTGGTTGCGCTGGTGTTGCAGATTTCTCCTCCTCGTCCTCCTCGACTTCGTCCGACTTGCGCTTCTTGGTAGCTTTGGAGGAAGACGAAGGTTCAGCCGTCGCATCCTCGTCTTGCAGTTTGGTTGCTGCCTCTACCATCTGCTTGGCCTGCGCAAGCATCTGCTCCGTATCCTCGGCGGGTGGAAGATCAGGTAGACTGACAGGCATCTCCACAGAGACATTGGTCTGAGTCGTTTCAACCTCATCCTTAACTTCCGTTGTAGACTCAACGCTCACAGTGACCTTCTCGTCGGCCGTGTCCTTCTCGTCACTCGTCGGTGCTAAGACTTGCTTTTTGGATCTGCTCTTCTTAGGTTTTGCTTCCGTGGGTTCGGTGACGTCGACGTCATTGGACTCGGCTACGTCGCTGGGCTCCTCCTTCTCTGCAGCACCGTTCAAAGCGGCCTGTAGGGAATCACTGGCAGCTGTAGTTGCAGCTGCCGAACTCTCCTTCACAGATCGAGGAGCTCTCGACTTCCGCGGAGACATTGTCTTTTTAGGAGATGTTTTGGCAGGCGAATCTGACCGCCTGCTTCTGGTGCGGGTGGGAGGAAGCTCGGTGAGGTTCTCTAGCGGAGGCATATCAAACTTTGGAGGCGGTGTTATTGGCTTCTTTGAACTTATGGGATTTTGCGCAATGTCGGTGGAATCCAACAAGGCACGAACCCAGTCTAGCATCTGGTATTCTTTCGCGAGTTCCAAGGCTGTGAAGGTATTAAAATTATAATTATTTCCCTTCACACACTGCTTAGTACGTACCTAGAATAGGCGAAATCCACAGATTTCCAGCAGTCTCGTCCACACTGGTTTCGGTTCTCGATTTCACATACTCGCGCTCAGATTTCTCTTCGTCTGCTTTCGCCCAAGGAAATGCGATCTTAAACATCCCAGTAGCACTGATATAACCGTCCTTGCTCCGTCGCTGAGAAAAAATAAAAATAAAAAGTCAGGCAAAGGCCGAATGCAAGCCAGCAGAATCGGATGTGCGCGGCTGAGTGGGCTTACCATCAAGAAATAGGTATCTTGCTTCGGAGTTTGCGAGGGAAAGATTTCCGAGCCGGATAGATCTTTGGGTAGGGGGGCGCGCAGGTGCGCATATTCGAAGGGCCCTAGGTTCTCTGGTTTGGTCGCATTCGAGGTGCCAACCTGGGTAGGCTTCACGGCCAAATTCGTCTTTCCCAAGCGGCGAAGCGCAAGCAGCTCCTGATCTGAGGGGTGGGTCACAAAGGCGTTAGTAGGTAATCGTGGTAGTAGGGTATTGTCTTTTGCAGGCGCAACAAAGGAACTTCGCGATCATCGACGGACGCGACACGGAAGACGGCGCGAACTTGCGCGGACGGACGGACAGAAGCGACAACGGTGCAACTTACAAGAAGGGGATGCGTCAGGGAGGATAAGAGGATTGTTCTGCTTGGGAAGGGATCGCATGATGTCTGACTGAGGGCGATAACTGGATATGGATGCCGGGGGGGGAAGAGGGGAGGAGGATAAGACAAGACAATTTTTGAGAAGAAGATTAGATCAGTCGAAAAGCGCAAGAGCGGCTGCCACGTTGCAAGCGCGTCTCTGTAGGTCGCCGTATACTATGCTGGCTTCCCAAAGAGGGCTAGGGCGGAGAGCCTGAGAAGTGAGGCCGCGGTCACAGTTACGTAGCACTAATGAAGTTAGCCTGGTGGAGCCTCACACGAGCAAGTTCTCTAGGTCTAAGCTCAGTATGGCAGGAATAACTAGCTGTGTCCAGAGCTAAACCGCTGACCAAGTAAGTGAAGGCTGAATGCGCAGGCAGAACGAAGTGAGAGTGAGAGAGAAGGAAAAGGGGGAGAGAGTAAGGGACCCGGCTGTGTTTGGCGCCTAAGGCTCGAATAATACGGGCTTACGACCACTTACAATACACAGTTACTAGTGTTATTTGCAGTCATCCCGAGAGTCAGCCAATAGTCATGGTGGAAACTGTCGGCGGAACTGCCGTCCCGGTTTTGCTTTCGTATTGCTGGTAACGCCCAAAATTACGCACCCGCAGAATGTCTTGATAGGGCAACAAAAGGGAGGGTTAAATGCACTCGACGGTCCTTGACAAGCAGAAGCCGACAAAGAAAACTCCCAATCAAAGGAAATGTGCTAATCAGGACAACGCACGCATGTGCACCTCGTTATGCCAGCCAGCTGCATGCCGTTATCGCCAATCACATTGGATCTAGTGAGGGGCATCATCCCGACAATGGCGAACTCGAATAGTTTCAGAAGGTAGAGCAATAAAAAAAAAAGACAGTAGATACGAGATGGATATCTAACGTAAGATTGCACGTTCTAGGCAAAATGCATCAGACAGTATCCATGGGGATCCGCAGAGTTTCCCCCCTCTTCCCACCGCCTTTCCTACCCCACTGTCAACAACGCTTAAGTTAAGATTTCAGGAGTAACTATCGCTATCAACAAACATTTCACTACTATTGAACCTGGCGGAAGAAAGAGACAACAATCGCCATGCCTGAACACGAAGACGAGCTGTCTACGAGCAAGACGGAAGGATTCAAGGTCGGCGAGAAGAAGACCCTCGAAGAGTACAAGACCTTGGGTAAGACATCAGTTCACTCCTATACGCATAACATTGCCAACTAAGATCTTGCTCGTTCTTCACAGATCAGAACGACGAGTCTCTCAACAGATGGAAAGCTTCCCTGGGTCTGAATACTGGCGACCCCATTGGCGACCCCAAAGATCCACGCAAATGCATCATCAAGTCTCTCGCCATTGAGACGCCCGGGAAATCAGACATCACGCTCGATCTGAGCGGCCCCAAGGCCCTCGAGGAGCTGAAAGATAAGCCCTTTACAATCAAGGAAGGCGCCAAATTCTACACCAAGGTTGTTTTCCAGGTCCACCATGAGGTGTTGAGTGGATTGAAATACGTCCATGTTGTCAAACGCAAGGGAATTCAGTTGACTAAAGACGAAGAGATGCTGGTACGTCTGGCCCATCGATTCTAAGCTCGATGGTTTGGTTCAGTATTAACGGCTCTTGGTGAAAACAATAGGGAAGCTATGCACCAAATACTACCGATAAGCCTGTGTATGAGAAGCGATGTAGGTTCTGATTTTCTTGTTTTATTTCTCTCTTAGACTTCCCAGCAAACTAATCGTTATCGTTTCACTCTCTAGTCCATGAGGAGGAAGCTCCTTCCGGCATGCTTGCCCGCGGAAGTTACAGCGTACGATCCAGGTTTGTGGACGACGATGGCCATATTCACCTGGAATTCACCTGGGCTTTCCAAATTGCCAAGGACTGGGCACATTAGACTCGTTATCAAGGATTCGACACGACCCACGTTCAGAATCAAACTTTCTTCTTCCTGTCACTTTTCTTTCTGTCCAAGTATTCCAACTTCTTTGGCTCCGAGTTACATACGTACATACATACATCATTAGCCAGCATACATCAACAAAGCTGCCTTGCCAGCATATCTGTCATTGTTATCAGACCGTTCTGAGCGTCTTTTCTTTTCCTTTTTTTTTTGGTGGTTTTTTTGGTCCTATCACAGCTTCAATATACATGTCTCACCAATTGTAGATATGAATGTTTTGTATGCCAGAAATTTCTACATAACTGAAGAGAAAAGTGACATAACAAGGGCATTGAAAACAGCAAGAAAAATCTGAAGGGAAAACTCCAAGTCATTTTAACTCTATCTATTGGGTTCCTGTCGCGCAATGTACAAACATAATGAAGAAAAAATAAAATCCATATATTTTGCAAAACTGAGGGTATCATATCATATCATTTATCAAATCACAAAAAGTACTCAATAACCGGAGCTTGGTTATCTTTGTTCGGTTGTGTCTGTTGCTCGTTTCGGTGCTCATCATTTTCTGGTGCAGCGCCAAAGATATTGAAGAACCTCTCTCCGGAGTCGCTCACTTCTAACACACTTGCTAGATTCCCGCATCGGTAGCAATAGTTTGGCGCACTCCATACCGTACTGAGTCGATCATCGTATAGAACCTGATAGCCTTCTTGACACAACTGATGAGCGCGCAAGATATGCGACATGTTATTGACCTCGAGAAACTTGCGCACCACCTGTGCGCCAAATGTATATCCAGCGCCGCGTGGCGACAAGGAGAATTCGTCATGTTCAATATCTGGGTCAGACCAAACTAGGTCAGCCATGGGGCCTTCGTGCGGTATTTCGCGAAATCGGTCGATGATTTTTATCTGATCAATGGAATGGATGGAAGGCGACAGTCCGCCGTGAACGCAGAAGATCTGGTCGTTGATGACAACGCTGAGAGTGAGGAAGTCAAACATGTCGGTAAAATAATGCCAAACATTAGCATTGCCATATTTCCTTGCGCACTCTGTATAGAATCCGTACGACTGTGTAACACCGCGGGACTCGTGGTTTCCTCGAATGAGATGAACGCGGGATGGGTATCGTAGCTTTAAGCACACTAAAAGGGAGATTGTCTCAACACTGAAAAGACCGCGGTCCACATAGTCTCCTGGAAGAACGTTAACAGGCCAGACCACCCATGGTTTATTTTGTCCAGCAGATTTTCCATCAGGTGCCGCACCTAGAAACAAATAATTTGTATTGGGACAAAACCCTCCAATCTTGAATATCTCAATCATGTCGAAGAATTGGCCATGGATGTCTCCAACCACTGTGACCGGAGCAGCAATGTGCACCACATTGCTCTCTTTCATAAGAAGCTCTTTTGCCTTTGCGCATATTGCTTCAATAACAGAGTCTGCTAAGAGTTCCTTTTTATATAAACGTTCTATGCATTCGTCCAAGTCGATACTAGCTAGATTGAGGGAATAAAGCGAGTTTGTCAGCAGCTCGCCCATCTGCGATGGCGTGATGTAGCAGCAGAATGCAAACTTACAAGGAAGACCCGGCATAATGAAGAGAACTGCCACCAGAAGAAAGCGCTGTCGAGGAGAATAATCAACTTCCAATGACGAGGGCCGAGCTGGGAACAATAAGCTGTCGTGTGAGCACTTCAACCGAGAAGCGGAGAGAAATGGTGATTTGACTGATTTCTTCCCACAACAACTAGCATCATGGCCCTGTGAGACGGCGGAGTAACAGAGCAATCGAATCGCTCGTGCGCGTATACGTTGAGTTATAATAACCCTTTGCGACTCGAATATACAAGCAGGACGTCGGAGAGTCGAGTTACATTAGTTAGCTAGTTAAGCGCCGAACCGAACATGACTAAGCTATTTTCCGCGGCTACACTTTGAAGCCTGAGGCGTCACGCGGCGTGATTGAGATTCATGCCCAAGGCAGTTAGCATGGACCAAGACGCCTTCCCCAATCAGGTAACGCCGCCTTCGTGCCTGCCAAGCCAGATAAATTTCTGACCCGGCTGACCGCCTTCCCCGACGCTAGTCCTAACATTGCCTAGCCTGAGAGAGAGCTCGGCTTTCCACCTGAAGCTCATCGTTCGTTCTTCCTCTTGGGCCCAAAAGCCTAGACGCGCAGGAATCTCGTTCTTCGCGCTGGCATCTCACCAATAAACTGGCCTGGATGCCTGAAAACAGTTCATGGGTGCTAAGCTTTGGTCTCCCATCAGTGATGTGATATATCACTAATATCTATCTGCCGGCAGATAGTTACCGAGGCCCTGCTTCACTAATCTGACATTCAACGGCAAGACTTTACAAAATCCTGATGCCCAGAGAAATGGAAAAGTCTGCAGGTCAAGTCATCGCGAAGCTCAGCCAATCTTCGCAGATGTTACACTGTCACGTGATATGCAGGCTAGACAATGGTCTTGTGTATGGCAACAACATTGGGCTGCAACACCTCCCATAGTACAGTTTCTTGCTATTAATGAATGTTGCCCCCCCGGCATCATGCAACCCCTAAGTTTCACCCAAACTCTTCTGGCCCGGGTCACGAGAACCATTATTCGGACTCTGCCCTGATGAGGTCCTTTGCTGTCTCTCGAAGTTCGAACAATACTTTTTCTTGAATGATACTTCTCGTTATTTGCATGGTGTACTTCGTTTTAGATCATCAAATCAGTCTCTTTCATACGGTGGATGGCAGGTTCCATACTCACCTGGGTCGTCAACGAGCATTCCTGAATATCTTTTTCTTTTCTTTTCTTTTTTTTTTTTCTCTCAAACTCGAGCCACATGTGTCTCAGTGAAAGTTTGCATCGAAATACCTCAGTCTACCCTTCTAACGGACGTCCCATGGCCATTTTAGGATTTGAATCCCGGAACTTGAGTGCTTCTGTTTTCTCCATGATATATATATTTGGTTTAGGTCATTCTTTGCGTCCCACGTTCGAAACCCTTTGATCATGAGTCAATCCTTAATACTGGAATAAAGGAACCATTCCTATTGATTAAACACACTTGGAAGCCCCCTCTCCAAAGGCTACCTAGGTAACCTAGCCTACTTTTTGAAAATAACGACAAAGAAAACCAATAAGCGACATTCAATGACAATTATCTTCAGATGGAAACATTCCCTTCATATCAGAGCCATCAAGCCCCATATCAGAGCTCTCCCTACGCTTCGGAGTCCAGGAATGATATCTTACCAGACCCCAATTACACTAACGAGACAGACTATACCAATGTTCTTTCCAGCAATCGGTTCAATCATTCGTTATCATATCCGCCAGCCTCTGGAAGGTTTCCACGAAATCACGAGTTTCAGGCAGCGCGGGCTCGAAGCCATCTACAGACTAGAACGAGTCCGCCGTGAGTGAAACCTGCTTCCATGAGTGCTATTAAATTCTTTCTCATATCTCGGTTTTAGACCTGCTGTCGAAATACTTTCGCGTTCCCCTGTGCGACAAAATGAACCTGGGCCTGTGTCAAATTTGAGCGCCTTTCCGTTACCCTTTAGACCCCAACCAACGCCTCACCATTTGCCCCTCTCGACTGAGAATCCTTCGCCTATAATTTCACTGACATCCCGACACGTTCGTTCCTACTATTCACCACCGTTCCAGGCTTCATCAGGAAGATTATTTGGGTTTGATAATGATTCACATGCCCCGATAGGCTCTGCCAGTCTTCCTGACACGCAGATTTCGGGCTCAAACATAGATACTGGGTACTCCATATCCCGTGGTTGGCAGATTAAAGATACCAAGTGGCCACAGTTGCGACCACAAACCAGGAGAAAATATACATTCAAAGGCCGCAGATATGATTCTCCAGTCAATCAGCGTCGTTTGGGCCCGGGCCATTTCAATCTTCATTCAGCTAAAAACCCCTCTTGGTTTTCTACCCAAGCCAATGGTAAAAGAGCACAGAATTCCCAAAAGAATAAACATTCCGGGTTGCTGTATGATAAGGATACGCAAAAGATTAGCAACCAAGCTGCTCAAAGTCCTCGTCTAGCACGCCACCCTTTTCGTTCAGACTCTCTAGATGATGATTACGATGATGATGATGCTTCCGTATCTAACAGACTGAATTCTACATGCGTGTCTCAATATATCTCATCAGAAACTGCAGACAACTCCGTGCAACCTATCAGAGAATCCAAGTACTGGGTACAAATGAAAGACGATCCTATATTCTCCAATCTTTCCGGTCAAACCAAACTTATATCCATTGAAGAACTGGTGAAACGTCGAGCTCAGATATTACAAGATCATGTTCATGTCCCTCGCCAGACCATCATGAAAGAGCAGGGCACCCAAACCTACATTGAGAGTTCTGCATTTTTGCACCCAAAATACAACTCAAATACTACTGGGGGCAAAGACAGAATGGCATTGGATTCTATTCAGGTTAAGCGCGAACAAACCACTCCGCCTCTTCCTCCCCCTTTTCAACACCCACAATCACCAAGAGAGAAATCACACGGAAAACAGGGAAAACGTCACTATCGAACGGCTTCTCTTACTGATCCTGACACCCCACGCTTTCACACCCAGCAACCTACTAGAGTGAACAGCCTTAAAAGGTCGAGAAGTGACACGGAAGATGAATCTAAGAGGGACAGTTATCACCGGCGAAGAAGGTCGGGTATAGACTCTACTCCATTGTCTCCCTCAAGCGATTTTAGCCGGCGGCCCCGAACTTCCTTCTACAGGTAGGCCTTACACTTGAAATCCACTTATGAAAGCGTGACGTAGCTAATAGACTGTCTGGCAGAAGACGATAACTATGGATTGATTGGTTTAATGATGAAACTCCTTGGCCGCTATCGATTGCAAGCAAGGCAACTTTTTTCTGCTATTTCTTATTCCCTTTTTCTTCTCAGTTACTTCTTCATTTGAGGTTCATGAAGGCGCTAGTGCTTGATCCATGGAGTAACAGGCGAGGGACTCATGCCAGGTGAATAGGTTGCATGGTGTTTCATGGTTTCTAGATGGACTTCATTTGACTTGTTTTGTTGTTTGTATTTGGATGTTTTGTTTGGTATATATTCATATTTGATTAGCAACGCGTCCTTGTGATATGGAATTCTGTTCCCGACGACCTAGCATAACATCAAGCAGTACACCTAGGTACATTCCTGAAACCTAAATATAAGTAGATAACTAGATACTGGGATTTTCATATATATTCACTGGTATTTAGGTATGTGCCGCCATGACTTTGCATGTACTATGGTGATCACTTCGAAATCTTATTTACACCAATTTACGCTACATCATCTATGTAGTAATTCGGTTCTTTGATCAGCTTCTGAATCCGATTCCTCCTCTTCTTCTTCTTCGTCGTCGTCGTCATCATCATCATCATCGGATTCCGTCTCTTCTTCTTCCGAATCTGTTTCGTACTCCGTCGAACCGGATTCTTCTTCCGACGTCTCCTCTGCGTCGTCGTCTTCTTCTTCCTCCTCATCTAACCAATCGTCCAAAGTCTTCTTTCCTCGACTGCTGCTCGCAGCTGATGCTAGCGGAATAGCTCCGCCCTTTCGTGCAGCTCCACTTGTCTCATGTTCTTTCAATGCTTTATCGAGACGCTGCCCAGCAGTCAACGTTGTAGCACCTCGATCAGCCGATGTATCAGTAGCCAGACCGTCCTCACGCAGTGCCCTGCTAGGTTCTTGTCCAGCGGGTACCCAATCTGGTAGGGGCTCATAGCCTGTAAGCCCCAGGGGGCCAGAATCAGGTCCAACGACAAGAGTGGACGTGCCCACAAGAAGGCCTTTCCGCGTTTCTGATGGACTCGGGGCATGCGGAACAGACTTCGGGGCCAAGAGGAGCAGACTTGCTAGCTGGGTATTTTTGGGATCGGATAAAAGGCTTCTGTACATTCGTGCACGGTCTCGAAGATCATATGAGGTGTCGTATCTCGTGAGAAGAAGGATATATTTCCATAGAAGTGTGATTCGATCATCTCCCGACTGTTCATTGCTGCTTGAACGTGAGTCATCGGCATCTGTCTGCTGGCTTTCGCCGTTCTCATTTTGGGCCTCTGTGGCCCAAGCGTTACTATCAACGTCCTGTGAGTGATTAAAATCATGGTTTTCATTCTCAGCATGTCCCTGTGATTGATCAAGAAGAGGAGGGGGGTTTCTGAGTAAATAATGAAGATAAACTTTGGCAGCTAGCAGTACAATTTGCTGCTTGACTTCTTCGGATTCACCAGCAAATCCTTTAGCAAGAATACGCAGCACATCAGGAGCGATATTATTCTCCAGATCAGCGGCGGCATACTCTCCCACAAGCCAGATAATAGAGGCCCTGGCTCCTGAATTAACAGTCGTGTCAAGGTAACTGGCTAGTCGGACCACGGTCTGTTTGTGGGCATCTGGATTCTGCTGGATAAGATGACGGATGATTGTTAGAGACTCTGACACAACATTTTCGTCGATACTGGATATTCGGGACAAAAGAAGCCGCAAGCAATAACTCGAGGTCTGCGAATCAGTTTGTGCACAGCGACCAATTGCACGTACACTTTCCCGAACAAGGTCGGGATCTGTCCCTTGCGAAAAGTGTTCCAGTTCACTGAGTATTATGCCTCTGAAATGCATTCCAAGATGGGGAAAGAGTATTGTAAGCACTTCAAGTTTTAGTCGCCAAATATGTAGTGGATCCACCGCGCGGACGAGAAAATGAGATGCATATTGGACAAATAGTTGTGGTGCCTGAAAAGCGACGGCAACAATATTATAAAGCGCAACATACTGGATATCCTGCGGGCAGCGAACAAGTGCCACGAGCGGCCCAATTGCACTTTGGAGATATTCCTCTGTGCCTAAACAAAGATAGCAGCGAACGACGCTGACTATGATAGCAGATGTGCGACTTTGAAGCAGAGGCTTGCAAGCACGCAAAAAAAGCTCCAGGTCAGGATCTATGACTGGAACCTCTTTCTCTATAGCATCGGCATTCGTGGTTTCATAACCTGGTTCATCGCCACCGTCATCGTAGAATCCTTTGACCTCATTTCTCTTCACTGTCTGTGTCTTTCGGGGGAAACATTTCCTTGCGTATATTGTCAAAAGACTCAGCGTAGCGAGCTGACTCCATTCATCCATGTCCACCAGCTTCCTCACGAGGCTCCGATAATGTTTGTGTATCAAATCCAGTCGATCAGGGCATACATCCAAGAATGCCGACACAGCGGGCCCAGCAACAAAGTATTGATTATCGCCTAGCAAGGTAGCGAGGCATTCGGTAAGTTGCGGGAGCGTATTCGGATCAAGTCGATAGCATTTCGGAATAGCCAATGCGGCGGCTCTGCGGACGTGAGGGCTCATGTCTCCCACGCCACGTTTGATAGCGAGAGAAACGATTTGGCTGATGACTGGGACTCTAATTCCGGACATAGTTCGCAATGCCATAACCCGTACCTGCGGATTGGTGTCGGTGAGCGATTTCTGAATCGCATTAACCGAAAGCAACGCGAGATCCGGCTCGGCTTCTGCATGGTGGAGGAGATAGATGTAGACAAGCTTTTTGACTTCGATACTGGGGCTGGCGGCATTTTTGACGACGGCGGAGAAATATTGTAGGCACGTATCGGACTCGTACATCAACTAAGTTTCGTAGTCAATAAAATGGTCGATGGTCGCCCTGTCTGATCATAAAATGATTTGCCTACCGAAATCACCTTACGGAGCCCGTCCAATATATCCCTATCATTGCGACTATCTAGCAGCTTCTTGATTTGCGCCGATGAGGGTGTCCGCGACGTTTCGGTGGAACGAAGGCTTCTACTGCTGCCCGCGGATTGAGCTGCTTCAATCGTGAGGTCGCGGGCTGTTTGAAGTTAGCATCGCATGTATTAATTGTAAATGGGAATGTGAAGACGAACCGGCCTCCAACATGGACGATATCCTCGATATGGTCTCCATGCTTGCCAACAAAGGCGTCTCCAACCTTGACCTCGACCTTTGGTGTGTCGTATTGGGAAGTGTTGGTTGTGGAGATGACGCCCGCCACTTTGCTGCTGTACGGCAGCTGCGGATTGGCTGGATTAAGATTTGCAGACTAAGCCGAAAAAGTACACCTCAACCCTAACCCTACGCCATTTGGCAAGACATGAATCTAAACGTAGAAGACTTTCATGACATAATGACAGAATAACTCCGGACTTTCTAAGTTCAGACAGTCTCTTTTTTTGCCGTCTTACTTAGGTATAAATAGTACATGAGCACGGTTGGTTTTGTATATCCAAAACAGCAAAACAGTGGTTCATATCCACGAGGCAGTATATGGGCGGAATCAATATATATACATATATAGATACATATAGATACATGTATATACAGAGTTACTCATCTATATTTGAATAGTTAGCTTTTGACCTAGGTACCTCGCTGGTCTCCAAATAGGGCCCGTTTTTTATCTACTGATATTGAAATTCCTCAATGATGCCATGAGCACTCCCGCCAGTAAGATATTCATACGTCCTAGGAAGCATGGTGAGGGAATGAAACGTATCGATCCGCTGCAAAGAGATATTGCTCAAACGAAACAAGTACACATCCAATCAGGTGGATTTCGCCTCGAACGAGTTAGGCTCGCAAGGACGTCCCATACTGGGACTAAAAAGACAACATGCAATGAAGCCCGCAAAGTCTTGTGTCCTCTGCATGATGTCACCACCATGATATGAAGTCGTTATTTATACTACCTCGAATCTGATAATTAAGGTATGTTCTACAGAGTAGATATGGATCGATATCACATGATGGGCTTAACCCTAACTTTTGCTATTCACGGATGCGGCTTAATTGGGGCTCGGTCGGTTTGCCGAGTGCCGAAAAGCCGTTTCTGAGTCACCAAACGAGCCCTAACTAACTTAAGTAAATTGCTGCGATAATTATGTAGCATACGCTAACACCATCCTGTAAATCTAATTCAAGATCCGGAATTATCTTCTTTTTGTCTTCTTGTTTTTCTGCTACAATATCAATATTGACTGCATGTCCGCGACGATGCTTCATCTCCCCGCAGAGATCCTAGCGGAAATTATCCGCGCTGCGGTTGACATCATACCAGTCCGAGACTTGCTCAAGTTAAGATTTTTAAATGGTTTGTCTAGATCTTTAGGCGTATCTCACCTTCGAGAAAAAAGCAATAAAGAGAAAAGAAGCTGATATGAACACGTATACTAGCCTTCTGTGCAAAGGAGGTCATGGCGGTGCTGATAGAAAGCCAGCGTCTTGAAGACGACGGCTTCGGTTTTGCATACGAAGATCGACATGAATACGACCCTTGCCGACGAGACTACAACGAAAAATGGTGGTTGAGATTTCCCGCACGCTATAAGAGACAGTATCTTCATCGAAAGATGCAGGAGCACCCAGCTAGGCGGTGTGTGTTTAGCACTTTCGTCCAAGGAGTACTCGATGTACCACATGAGCCACGTACAGTTGAGCAGGAGACGCTGCTAACTGACAAATTGATCGATGCGTGGCTATGCGGGAAATTTGTTCGTGTCCGTGATGTCCTGGATCCTAGCCGCTATGAATCGTATCAGGAGTGGTACTACGAGATGCATCATGATAGACCTGGGTTTATTACTGCGCACTGGGAAGACTTTGATAAAACCTTGCCTATTGCTCTGGCGGCCAGTGCAATCCGAAATGGTAACTGTGTTGAGCTACAGGCGGTAATTGATCGCTACTCAGAGGAACTAAGAAAGGAACCGCATAGCATCAATTTCTTGGAACGACAGAGTGATCGACTTGGCGGAGTCTGCCCGCTAGATGTTGCTGCTAAATATGGTTCTGGGGATATCATTAAAGTCTTGCTTAGGAATCAATGTGGGATTAGTTATTTCTCTTACGCTTTCTACACCAGTGCTTTATCAGTTGCTGCGCGAAGTGGGAATAAAGAGGCGCTGAAGGTTTGGATTGATCACATGAAAAACATCAATAACGACATTACCATTGAGCTACGCAGAGCTGTTAATAACGCGACCAAGATTGGAAAATTCGATATGGTCAAATTCATTGAAGAGGAGTGCGGATTCCAGTTTGACAACAGGGAGGTACTTTACGATAGTTTCGTCGATGCTATCCAGTCAAGGAAGCTAGATGTTGTGCAAAAGTTTCTTGATCGAGGCGGTTTCGATATCAACATGAAAACTCGGCGCAGACCTAATGGGGCACTATTTGCAGCCATTTCAAGGACAAGGAGCCCAAATTTATCGATTGTATCGCTTCTTCTGGCTAACGGGGTCGATTTAAATGATGTCCACGGGAGAACACATCTTACACCACTTCAAACTGCTGTGAAGATGCAGCATTTTGAGTTGACGAAGCTCTTGATAGAGCACGGAGCAAATGCTCACACTCCGATATATGATCCTCATAAAAAAACGATGATGCCTCTTTTGCATGTAGCAATCCAGAACAGAAGTACTCCTATGGTTCGGCTTCTGCTGGCCCAGGGGTTGGAGAGAGAGTACACTTGGAAAGGGAAAAAGCACGAGGTCAAAGGAGATCCAAAGGAGGGCTGTGGCTCTGAAGTTTGGTACCAAATAGTTAAATGGCACGGTAAGCAAGCCATCTATGAACATGACGGCTATGTGGTGGTCATAGGGGGATAGTCAGCTAGAAGAGGCCTATTGCATTACCTTGGTATATGTTTAACACTTACCTCAACGTAGCGTTGCTATTCTGACTGACTCCCTCGCGACTACGATGCCGAGGCTGCTGCATTGACCGCAATCCCAAGCACTGGTGGTACCACCATTCATGCCTATGGTGGTGGCGGTTGCAAGCAGAGGAGACATGGCAGGGGTCAGTCAAGCTTGACACATGCATGACCCCCGGTCATGGAAATGACTAAGATAAAGCTAGGGCGCATGTCTAGTGGTTTGACATGTCACTTGTTCTCGGGGGCCACTGAGGAAGATCAAGGAAGAATTCATTGGATTATTGAAGCTATATACATTAAGCGCCTAGCCCCAAGAATCGTGTTGAGTTCCTATCATCCTGTTTCTTCTAGCACCTCCTAAACACCCCTATTGCATCCACTAAGCTATTGACCACACTTCAAGTACTACAAGATGAGGCACATTGACTCATTTTGTCTGGATATTACTATGTGGTCGGACAAAAGTCGTAATTTCCATTGACATTGTTACCCCACCATGCAGGGAATGGCACCGAACGACCGCCGGCGCCGAAGACAGCAAAGGACAGGATGAAAAGCACTGTCAAACTGGCGCCGTCAAACGCACCGGTGATCAAGTACGAGTAGTCCTTGAAGAGACGTGGATGGTAGTTGCGCAGATAGTACTGCACGAAAAATCCAGAGGAAATCTGGTTGAAGATGACGCAGGTCTGGGGCGAGTTGTATGGGATGTAACCGGCATATTGGATGAATTGTGGGAAGTTGAACTCTTCGAGAGAGAAACCGCGGATTTTAGGAATAAACTAGATGGTTAGGATTTGCGTCAGCGAGAGTCAAGTCAAGCTGCACAAGCAACTAGAGGAAACTCACGTATACAACGAGACGGTGGATAGCAACCAAGCCCGCCCCAATTGCTAGGCCGATCGGCACAATTTCGTAGGTGGTGCCAGCTCTGTACAGGTATTTTGATAACGCCCATGACGCTGCATTGGTATTGTATGCCTGCATGGTCGCACCACTCCATGAAGCGTCACCGTTGCCATTAATAAGGAGCTCGCGATTACTACCCACAATGGAAACCATCACGCCATAGTTGACAAATGCGCCCAAGACAGTACCATAGATTTGGGTGAGGAACATGACACGGGGAGGGATCTTGACTGTATCAACACATCAGAATACGAGTTCACGCATAGCAGCAGAAAAAGAAAAGGTACGCACGGTATTCGCCCATTTTTAAGTCCATGCACAGATTGACCGTGTTCGCAGTGACGTTGTGGGACCAAGCAGCAAAGTACATGTTACCAATAGGACGTCCAGGGATCAGCAGTCCAGCAATCAACTTCGATATACTATTTGTGGCAATTCCGTTTCCATACCGAGCAAACAAAATGGTGCTCTGTAATAGTTGGCGTCAAAAATTCTGCATCACAAATAAGTATTGTATTGGGAATACTCACGAAGGGACCGAAAATTATTCCCACCACTAGTGAGACAATATACGCCCAAGCCGGAAGAGTAATATTTTCTTTGAGGACGACGATGAGACCTAGAATAAAGCTGATAAGAAGAACAGAAGCATACCACCACGCCGGTGTTTCCTTGTAATGTTTAGCCATATGGACATGGTGTCGGTCGACAGCACTTGATTCTCCTTTGTTTCTGTACGAAGTGATGACGTCCTTTCCCCAGAAGAGGATGCAGTGAGCGATCATGGCCCCGATCTAACAATATGTTCAGCTTCTTACTAGACCGCGAATTAGCTGTGCGTCGAAATCTGGGTTTACATACCGCTGCATTCGCAATAAACATTGCGTATGCAAAACTTCCGCTCAGCTTGGGAATCCCGTAACTTTGCAGGGCCTGCTCGTCGAGAATGCCCCCATTGAATACTTCAGTGACTGGGTATGTTGTACCGTTCGCCAAGAGAAGATCAGTCGACATGAATGGGAGCGATTTTGAACCCCATGCATTGCCGTAGTAGATGCCTATCATTACGATATAACAGGCTATGAAGCCCGCGGCTGAATTGGCCTGCAGCTTAAGTGGGAGCGAGGTCTGGTAGGATGTGATCTGCAGTGATTGGACAAAATTCCCATTAGTACCAGTGTGGGGTAAGTACGGAAGATGCCGGAATGCCCCACATACATATTGCCAGTCAAACCCTAAGTTGAAAATCCCCAGTCCCTCGTTGGTGAGAGATCCCCCGAAGATATTGGTGAGTGTTTGTCCGGTTTCTCCAGTAGCATGCATAGAAGCCAGACAGGGAATGGAGATAGAGTTCAGCCAAGGCCAGATATACGCAGGAAACCACTCATAGATTGCCATGCCCGTAAACGCGTACCAAAAGTATCGAAGAGGCTTGGAGTTCTTCATTGCCTGCCAATGCAGCCCTTGCAGTGTCTTTACCACTGGAATATTACCCCAATAGACAGCCTCTGGGTGCCAGACTGCAATAGGACGAATCATACCTGCAACACCGTACCCCAAAAGACCAATGGAGAGGGTGCTCAAGATTACTGTAGCCGCGTTCAGAGGCAGGTTATAGAAGAGGTCTTGCGCTGCGAATACCATGACGCTCTCCGAACCGTTCGAGGCAGCCGTGGCGGTAATAGCGCAGATTGCGTGCTCCTTCAGGTTCCACGGCCCATAGTTAAAGAGAGAGATGGCCCTGATCCACAGTGGAAGTTTGCCCTGGCCTCCTCTTTCCCTCCATCGAGCCTCATAAACTTCACCGCGAGGAAGAAAAGTGGCCCATGCGTTGCCCAAGAAGTAGCCAATGATGACGATAAATGTTCCTTGGATACTGACATAAGTCGGTTTGAACTGCACAACGGAGCCCATCAGCCATTGCTCCCATGGTGTGTAAAATATGACGGGGGGCAAAAGCCTCAACACAACATTCGCATATTATAAGGTTGTTACTAACAGTGTATATCTGGGTCATGACAGCCTGGAAACCAGAGAGCAATGTAGCCAAGACGAGACTCCGAAAGGTCAGCGAGGGCTCGAAGTCGTCTCGCATCGATAGCAGATGATTTGCGGCATCGGTACCGGTAACGATGATTGTGTCATCTTCAAGGTCATCATCGTCTCCATCGTAGACAGGAGGGCCGGCCTTGACTTCAGTGTCTTGCACCAGTGCGTCCTGTTTGGTGAGCTTGGATGAATCGTCTATAGCGGAGCGTATTTCCTTGCTTATGCCCTGGTCGGCCAGGCCGTCGTTGGCCTTAATCTCAGCAACTGTGGCCGACATCGCGTAGCGGCAATGGTAAGTGTCTCAGACGTAGGAGCGAGAGCGGTAACGCATGCGCACATCGGTCTTAACCCTTGCTGGCGACAGTGCCACTCGCCCTTATATAGTTCATTTTTTAGACGCGGCATGCCAGTCATCGATGGTGCGATAAGAAGGTCAGTTGCGCTTCCAGCACGTTTTCTGGAATCTGGGATTCGCAATTGAGGCTAGCCCTCTGCATTAGCAAAGAAAAAGGAAGTTGCAACATTCATTCCCAACGACTTTGGGACCTTCTCCATTGGGCTAGACTTGGTCATACATGGTCTCATGGCATATGCAGCTTTTGGTACCTCTTATTCGCCCTTCGGAGTCCTCCATGGACAGATATTGATGTTAGTGATACGACCTAAGCTTACTCGGGACTTCAGACCGAAGCATTGACCAGCTCGTTCAAACGATTCTTTTCTTTGGCGTGAATTTGCTTGTCTACTTTTTTTTGCTTAGGCGGGAACGGAATCGTATCCTGACCAAGACGTTTGTGTTCCGCACTCGACTAGTTTGTTTATTTAATCATTCTAGTGGATAACCTCTGCTCTGGAACTTTCTCGCGGCCTAATTTCCGGTTGAGACATGACTAGCTACTACCTGCGATACAGTATGGGCTGCCAGCCATGCATCTAATATAGGCACTCCGTAATTAGTTAGCAATGCATATGGATCCATTACCTATCTGCATGCATGTCAGACTCGTGACTTCCACGGTTATCTCGCGCTCTACTTGAACTCCATATGCATGCAGGAGATAACACCTTTTGAAAAGTAGGGCCTTGTTAGTCTATCTGCCAATACCACGCCACTTCCCTTTTTTCTTCCCTTTTTTCCTTTCGGTTATCAGGAAGCCGGTCAAGATCGGCGGGAACGTGCGATACATGTCGGTCAGATATATTTAGTGCACGTTACTATGATGTTAGCATGTGTGTTGGCGTATCTCATAGCCATGCTTTAAGTCATCCACCAATAAGAAAGAATTGATATTCGCCAATCTGGGGCTGATCAACGTGCTGCTCGGGGGAGTATATTAAGGTTACATTTTAGAGTGTTTGCGGTTTTTGAAAGGGGCAGGAGATATTTCTGAAGGGATAATGTGTGCTTCCAACACTTTATTTGCCTTCATTTTTTATTTTTTAAATAAAAATCATCATATACCCTAGGTATTTCACGATGCGTGGCCAGCTGGACATAGGAGAACAAACACCGCGGTAACTACTTGCCACATTCGGAAATGCCGGGATGCAACGCAACCGAAACCTAACCCTAAATGGACCATTCAAGGCCACCAGTGCTGCACACTTATAATGGCTGAATCAGTAATATATTTCTTTGCCGAAAGCTACGGCTGAATACTCTTACTGCTTGCATTGAAAAAAAGAGTCTTAACCGATCGTGGTCTATCAATCAACTAACTTGTAACAGATAGTAACTGTTTCCCGCAATTGTAACACCGGTGCTAGCGGGATTAAAAAACTCAATTGATAGGAAATTAGATCAATCAAATGGATTAAGATTAAGCGGACCACGCGAGCTTTAGAATGACCAAAGCGACGAGAAGACTAAGCGTACTAGTTTGTCAAAGCTCCTGTGCCCACGAAAATGTCAAGAGAATGAAAAGACACAACACCAGCAACAAGTTCACCAGGAACAGAGTCCGTAAGTTTTCATTGCTTGATAAAATGAATATTTGACCAGAGTCATTTGCCCGAACAAGGTTGAACATGTGTAATGATGGCGTATTACCATTCCTAAGCAGTTATCTCTTCTTTCATCCCGTTCTCAGCAGTCTCCTTCGCGGCTATTCGCGCGCTCAGACGGCAAGCCTCCCGCTTTGATTGATTAGTGCACAGAGTTGCCCCTGCTGCGGCATCTTTAGCAGCGATCTCGGCCCCAGTATGGTGGCGAGCCTCTAGCGTAGGAGGCACCTGAAGCCATCTGCTAGCATAGCTAGCAGGAGAACCCTGGATTCGAATAAATCCAGAATCGGTTAAATTAAACTATCTCTGTATTGAATTATTCAGCCGGAAGTTACTATGAATTTCTTCTCCAAGCCACAGACTGTGCCTCTGGCTGCAAAGCAGGAATGAGATGGCAGGCTGGGAACAAAAGCTACATCTCATTTTGACTTTCGAAAATGCACCCTCGCACTTGTTAGAATTCACGATGTTCACACTTGCTAGGCCTCTGCATATTTTCAATACCACCCGACGTGAAGCACTCTCGGAACCACATCTTTGGGAATCCTCGAGGCACATTGAGTCGTTGCTGTAGTCAAAAGGAAAGTTCATTGTATTCGCTGGTTACTGATTAGCACTAACCGCCATCGCAGCATCGGCCGCCGGCTACACATCTCAGCATGTCCCGTCCTGGTAAAGGATTTGAATCGGATACCCTATCGCGAGTTCTTCAAACGTCAGAAAGCGAGCAGCAGGTCTCGGAGGGAAAATTTCGAGACAAGGCACTTTCTGATACCACATAAAGTTGTCATAGTCGCCGAACCTAGGCTAGAGTGTCAATTCAGATGATGAGCAGCCGAGTTTGCATTATATCAGAGTTTAATTTATCTCTATACCATCTATGGTTACATTGGTAGAGAGAACTGGAGTGCCCAAGTCTACGCACCTGACACCTAGATATGGCACCAGACTTGATCATTGTCCCACAGATCACTGAGGAAGAGAAGTCCACTCTGATATATTACCAAGTAGAAAATGTGGAGATAACTGTTGTTTAGGTCTCAGAATGATTTTCTAGCTTTGCAAAACAAACATGTGCGGTCGAATGGAGTTATAGAGCAAACATATATCATTGATTACGAGCACTAGGAGTGAAGTGATAAGGCCCTATTGCTGATGGTACAAAATGCAAGAATGGTGTGCTATACCATCAGGGCTCTAAAATTCCCTTCTTCCATGTCTGACTTGGAATATGCTTTGGCAATATCACAACACTGTCCCGAGTCTGCCGCAGGTTCACAGTTCCATATCGCAGCAACTCGCCAAACGTGTTAGGTGCTGCATCCTTCCCCTCGTTTTCAGGCAAGTCAAGCAGCGTGCCTAGATGCACTGAGTGTGTCAAGCCTTTTGCGTGAGTAATTTTCCACATGCTTGCGTTAGAAAGCAGCTCCCAGATCAACTTCTCTGCGTCCTGGTATTCTTTGGATTTTGGGTCCGCATCGGATCCCGAGCGTGGCAGTTTCAAAATTTCAAGAGCACGCTCACCGAACCCGTTAAAGTTTGACTTCAACTCACCACGCCAGTCTTCCTCTAGTGCGCTAAAAGAAAGGATGTTGTTCTTCCAGTATTCGACTCCTGAAAACCCCTCGCCGTCGTCCTCAGTGCAGAAGATACGCACAAAGCACACAAGCTGAGTTACGTACTCGAGAGCCACTTGTTGGTCAATCCAGTCAAGTTCGAAGTTTTTGTCCGCACCCTCGAACATCATGGGTACAGCGGGGGCAAGAAGTGGATTCGACAGTAAGCCCCTGAAATTCTTATTGTTGCCCCAAACATGCGTGAAGAGTTGGTGCCTGACAAGACGGATGAGTCTCATTCCATGATGCTAGTTTTGCAAAGATAGCTTACCATCGGTAAATGAAGGGGTCATGCTTTCTCGCTGCCACAAAGTGGTTCGCTCCCGCAAGACCGTAGATTATTGGTATGGCTACACGGTATGGCGAATCTGGATTCTGCAACTCATTCCAGCAGATACGGTCGATATGCCGCATGAGAATGCTTCCTGCATCCATCCAAGCTCCGCCATGCTCGTAGAGGCATGCTGAGCGTGTCAAATCTGCGCCGTGCTGGCCGAGATATAGCCCATCCATTGTCTGGTTTACAAAAGCCGGTGGCAGCAGGTTTTCCGGAACGTAGCGAAGTGTATTGTTAGGAGAGCCGGATACGTTATCCAGAATGCGGACAGTCCATTCTGGACCGAGGATGCGTACCCAATCAATGGCATTCTTTTGACACCACTTGGGCATGCTGGTCACGCCGGAGTGCCAATAAGCCCATACATTTTTCTCCGAGGTGACTGGCCTGTATTCCAGGAAGCTTGCAAATATTTCAGCGTCACTGCGGTGGTCTGTAACCTCAACAGGCTGCAGCTTGTCGCGGTACTCTTCTGGGATTGAGAAGTCCATGCTGACACGATAATCAAAGGTCTGTTATTGAGTAGGGGACTTCTTGAAAAATACGTTAGGATGAGCTATACAATAAACGCACTGATACGGGGCATTGTCGTCCTTTTAAAATGTCAACACGACACGTCTCTATTCACACAAAGTCTTGCACCATGACGCCAAATCCAAAGCTGAACAGACGTTAAACATTTAGTGCTCACCTTTGTGTCCTATCCGATTACTCCATGAGCTCTTTTGGTGTTGGCACAGCATGATTGGCCCAGGAAACTTCGCCGGTTTCAGCTCTCTCTCTTTAAGAGTATAGACTACACGTTGGATTGCGTTACTCTTTCGACTGGGTTCCACAATTTCTTGTGTTGATATAATTAGTGATTGGGGCAGTGCTGTCAGCTATTCACTGAATTCTATGCAGCTAGTAGCAAATATCACACTATTATAATAAAAATTGGTTTCCATTGTGTTCAATGTTGTTTCTAAAATTTGGGAGTGTAAGTTTCTACTTTCAAGTAGAGATAAGACTATGACGTTAAATAGTCTTTCCTAGAATCTATCAAGCTGTCCAAACACCTTATACGGCCGACCCCTAAGCCCGACTGAACTTCCAGTAGGAATATTACTGTTTGGGGAAGTCGATCGCCCTCTTAGGGCTCAGAAGTAACATGGCACAGCCGGCGGCTTCACTTGCCTTGAAAGTGATTTGTAATGGACTTTATAGCATAGCCCCGTCGGGCTCGGAGCTGAACTTGAGCAGATGACTGGGCCGTCGAGAACAAGTGTTAGGACAAGTCCTCGCTGGCTAATGGCTAGATCCTGCGCTGTGCGAGGGATGGTAATGTCCACAAAGACCGTCTCAAATTCTATGCCGTCTAAGCATGATAAGCGGACCCAGGGGCTGTGGTGAGCGGCATAGAGAATAATTTTAGAAGCCAATATGAATGTGTTTCGCAAATGCAAGGAAGAAACCCAAGTGAGGTTCGGCTGAAATATATCTTCTCGATGGCATTCGGGCGAAGCTCAAATTAAATATGTAGTGCCGTGCGCTCACCTAGGCCTGCCGGTCTCGAAGTATACAATCCCACCAAAGAATGATCTTTGCGAAACGATTCTCGACTTGTGCTTGTGTTTGTTATACACATGTGCAATGGCCATCATAGAAAATTTGAGCCCCCTTCACCTCAGTGTACCACTCGAGCAAGGGCTTGATGTCACTGTGTAAATTCCAAGCCTTCAGATGGCGTGCGCTCGACGATCTTTCTGAGCGCACAGATGACCTAGCCCTAGGTGGTATCCGGGTGACGTAAATGTATCGTGATAGAGTAAAGAACTTCACTCTTTTCGCGCAGATAGCCAATCGATCGCCTCTCGCCCAGCTCAAACGTGGCTCTTAGGAGGAGGCTGGCTGAAGTGGATTGAACTAGATGCTACTGTGCGAGAGCGGCATCGACCCGAAGTCAGTGAATTATATCCAGGATTGCTTGAATATTCATTCCAGGGTGGTATGGGCGAGCATTTTCAAATGCGCAGGTGATGGCCGAGTGTAACCATGATGTGTCAATAGCGATGGAAATGCTCTCACAAGGAGAGGTGCATCGGGATGTGTATTACAGGGAGACCGCGACAGGCACTCACCCAGGACGACCTTGATTCAAATGAGCGTGTTTTTTTTCTTTTCTTTTTCCCTTGTTGCTCTGAATAAGGGCATAGAGTGGGTGCTCAAGCACAACGCAGAATCCTTCAGCTACAGACTCGCCATGTAAGAATATCCTTGTCAGCTACTCGATCTGATGACTGACGCTCGATTATGAAGAAGAAGTGTGCGTGCGATTGCTCTATGATAGGCAGATAAGAAATGAGACACTGGAAGCAAACCTGAGCCAAATAAATTGCAATGTGACGCGGCGGAAGCGAAGGCAAAAATGATGGTCGTCATGACTGTTTCCCAGAGTGATAGTTCAAGCACGGTGCATGTGCCCGTTCACAATTGGAGCCATTTCGATGCTTCTGATTACACTGTATATTTACCCTCATTGATGATTTGATATTCTGGACGTGGTGTCATCACGTTTTGCTTTCCCACACGACCCTACGCTCCTACTTAGACTTGAGTTCACTATGCTCTCGCATTCGACTTCCAGCTGGCACGCATGCTCCTAAGGGTATCACTATTGCCCCTAATCGCTTGATAGCCCTAGCTCCTCCTCCCAGCATCAAAGATCGTGGGATATATAAGCATAATATTCCATGACATGCAGGGATGCAGACCCCAGGCAGGATCACGAGAAGCTTGTACCTAGGTATGAATTTGCAATGGACGCTAAGCAGGCAATGGAGACGACAACGAAGCTTCCTAACTATTGACACCCAGGACTCAAATGACCATATTTCAGAGGGAATACAATGAGCCCGAAAAGAAAATGGCCGCTCGCAGGAAATTCAACAAGTTCCTTGTCCCTGTTTCTCTTGTTCTCATTGTCTTGTCTGCTCTAGATCGAAATAATGTAAGTGGGCTCCTTGTTTCTCAAGCCCAGTCCTACGATTACTAACAAATACTTAGCTTGGAAATGCGCCAGACTTCGGTTTCCGCGCTGAAACCGGGCTCCAAGGCGGCCAATTTGGCAATATCTACGGCAGCCTATTCGTACAACCTTGCCAAAATTCATAATGTATTAAAATATAATAATACTACAGAAAACAAAACAATATCTATATAGCTCGCTTATAGTAGGAGCTAATCTATTTATAGATTAGTCTATATATATATAGAACTATATAATCTAATTTTGTTTCTATATAGAGTCCTTTAACAACTTTGAAATTCATTAACATCATGAACGCTCTTATGGATTTTTAGTATGTCAAGATATCTCGATTTGTAGGCTTATTAAGGCCTAACCTGACTTTTTTAGATCTATTAACTTATCTTCCTTCATCCTCCTTACAACCCATTAAAAATTCTCCTTCACCAAGCAGAGTAAGCAATATAATATAACTATCTTATTTTAATTAAATTATATTTAGCTTATTAACTTAAAATTAGATTTTAATTTGATTGATTAATTTAAAATGTTAAAAATTACTAATTATTAAGTGGTAAGTAAGGTAATAGATGATTTTTATAGTTATATTCTATCTAATCAGTAAGGTTATTTTTAGATAACCCTTTTTTAAAAGCTAATATATAAATAAAACCCTTTTCTTACTCGTATTATTTATTAAAGAAATAGATATCTATTTTAGATAATCAGATTAAAAAAAGAGTTCTAAGATATAAGAATTTTAGAATTTTTTTTACAATAATATCTTCTTAAATAACTTTTTTTAAAAGCTAATATATAAATAGAACCCTTTTCTTACTTATTCTATTTATTAAAAAAGTAGATATCTATTCTAAGTAGATTGAAAAAAAGATTCTAAGATATAAGAATTTTAGAATTCTTTTTATAATAGTATCTTGAATAATAAAGAGACTAATAACTAAAAGCTATAATAGTAAAATAGATTTTAATAATATAGAATCTAAAAACTCTATTGATAATTCTCCTAGATTATTAAAAAATAATCTTGAAATTTTAGATCTATCCTTAGATAGTGAATTATCCAGTCTATTATTAAGTGATAAGTCAAATAATAAGATAAATTCTAAAAAGAAGCTTATAGAAAAGGTAGTAATAATCTAGAAAAATATTACTTATAAGTTTTTATTATCTTTAGATTTAACTTTCTACTAATATAAAGAATAGTGAAAAAAATTCTTAAGAATCTAAATAAGAATATTTTAGTTTTACAGTAATATTTTAAGCTTATATCTAATAAAGAGTAGAAAATCTAATTATAGAGCCTAAATTTTCTCCCTTATTAAGAAGAATTATGGAATTGCTGGCTCTCTAAGCAGAAAAAGTAATATTATAATCCTAGTATTAAGCAGGTTCTCTTAGTTATATATACTAAAGTGAAGGATTTTAATAAGAAATATATTAATAAAAATAGCTAGGATGATATTTATTATTACACATATTTTATATATTAAATCCTACAAAGGAATCTCAATTATATAAATAGACTTTTTAGATTTTATCTTATAAGTTCTAATAAAGCTGAATACTATCTTTAAGCTACTATAAAATATATCTAATATAAATTTATACTATTCTAGTGATATAAGCCCTTAGATGGCTATATATTACTATATAAGGAAACTCGCAAAAGGAAAGGTCATCCTATCAAGTCTATTCCTCATAAGTTAAAGAAGTAGTCTAAAAAAAGTTTTATATAGAATTTTATTTTAGGTGACCTTGCTTTTAATCTCTTTAATCTAAATATTATCTCTACTAATAGTATAGGTTCTTTTTTAGGGCTTAGTATAAATACTGGCTCTAATAATAATAAAATTAATTTATTTTTTATAGATATTAAGAAAATTATAGTTCTAATTAATACTATTTTGATCAATTCTTAGAAGAAAATAATCTAATCTTATATCTAAGAAAAGTATCTAGTAAAGCAGTCTAAAAAATTTAATCTTAATAATTTATATTAGCATTTAATATTTACTTAAATAGCTCTATATTATATAGAGCTAAATAGTAAAGATAAAATCTAGATTTTACTATCTTCTAAAATTAAGAATAGTGATGCTAATTAGTTAAATAATGAATCTATTAGATTAGATTTAAGTAAAGCTATATAATATAATATAGTAATAAATACTTTAATTTTTAAACTTATAGATTTAAATTCTAAAAAGAATTATAATAAAATTATTTATATCTCTAATTTTTTTAACTATCTAGAGTTTAAGGATATAATTATAGAGTAAGAAGACTATAAAAAGAATGTCGGAAACTTCGGTTTGATTACCGTCGAGTATAGCTAGGATAGCTATTAATAAACGAAGTTAATAGGCTTCTAAGGTTGAAAGATCTTAATAGATAAAAGAAATAAGAATAAGGCTATAAATATTCTAATTGATAGAAGATTATATACTTAAGTTATTATAGTTA